ACAAGCCCAAACCTTAACAGTCTTCCAACATCTCCTAACCAAGCGCCGTCCCTGCCATTGGAATCTTGATAAGAAATATATGCTATACATATACCATCAGTTTGAGCGTGGAGCTCCCAATTCTGAACTTGAAGTTGCGGGGATTCGTCAAACTCAATGTCAAAAATTTCTCCTGAGCCTCTGTTCAAGCCTGGCCATGTCTGATGGAAGTTTTGAGCGATTTGTCGACCATTGTAGTCAAACGCTTTCGCCATTGGTAAACCACCTCCTGCATTTTTCAAACCACCATTCACACCGTTAAGACCCAAGCGTACTTTCATTGCTGGTTGTGGGAGGGGGTCTGGAGCGCTTTGTTGCGCAAAGCTAACGATTCCTAGTATGCCAGATACTATGCCGAGAACATCAAATGCTGCAACTGAGCTTGTAAGGAATCCAAGAGCTAGTAGAAGGAAAAGTTTCGGTGTTTTACGTGTTGCAGAGGAAGTTGGTCCGAGGTAGTTTCGAACTGTTCTGATGCTGATAAACTTTAGTATAGGAAAGCCTGTGAAAGTTAACATACTAGCCACAGTCTGCGACGAATGTTCCATTACAATTTCCAGTAGTGAGCAAGATTCCGTCGCGTATCTTCGCGTATTCGGGAGCATCATCCGAACACGGCTGATCTCCTAATGGTCCGGTGTATGTTCCGTTGTCCAGGTTTCCAGGACCATCGTCAGTCTCGTACTTGACACAGCAATCACCACACGGGGTGACATTGGCTGCTTCTATTTGACCGATAGCGTTTGTGAATTTCAAATCTACCATGAGTGTTTGAAAGAAATGCCTTAGATATTCCTAATTTATAGGCTATCGATGCATTATCCGATGAAATCTTTCAAAGCGGAGTCTTTTGATTACTGACAGTGCCCCTGTTTGCTCCGCTGAACTCACTTAGCAAACCAACCAGGAGTCACTTATCAAAACAACCAAGAGTCTCACTCTATCATAAAGCTTACCAAAGTTACTGTGTATATCGAGTTGCTCTTAAAAGCTATCTTTTAGCATTCATCATCAGTTTTAAAATTTAATAAAGTGGCTTAACCGTTCAGGTACAAGCTTTTATTACAACTAGCAAACTAAAATTTTTTAATTAAATGCATATCAGATATCGAGTTTTTAAGTGGCACAGTTTTTCTTCGCATTATTGATCGACGGCAATTGTCCAATGGAATCCTTAATATAAGCTATCAGTATACAAACAACCATCTCAACACCCACTTTCACGAGTGACAAAATGTCTGATTTGAAGATTTCCGAAAAAAATCAATTTATTTTTTTGTCTGGATGTAGATTTTTTTATCGTACGTGCACAAAATATTTAATTGAACTTAGTGTTACGCTCCATTATCAAAGAATCGACTAATGAGGATAAATACACTTACAGTTCTGATGTTAATGCTTTCACCCATTACTTTGTATTAGTTGCAAGGACTTGCCTAAATGGCAAATTGGGAATTGACCAACTTAGCAAGCTTATCTGAAAAGCCGTTAAGGTGTGAAGACGCATGCCTAGATCTTCCTGAATGTGAAGAAATGATCAATCATAATATCTAGTCCTCTTTATTTGTAGATCTGAGTTCTATTACCAAAAAGAGTGATGTGGCATTTTGACGTAAAGCTACTACACAATGAGCGAGTTTGCACCTTACATTGTAGTATGATAATATAATTATTTAAGACACCCAAAAAAGTAAGTATATTTGCAGTCTTTTGAACAAACTAGCTAGCCGAGACGGTTATCATGGGTAAGGCAATCAGAAGGTACATATAGACACTTAGAATTGATGCTTACAATTTATCGCGACATTTTTATATCAATGACAAGGAGATTGTCATCACGACGAGCAATGATAAGGCTTTGGGTATTTTGCGTGTGGCAGAGGAAGTTGGTCCGAGGTAGTTTCGAACTGTTCTGATGCTGATAAACTTTAGTATAGGAAAGCCTGTGAAAGTTAACATACTAGCCACAGTCTGCGACGAATGTTCCATTACAATTTCCAGTAGTGAGCAAGATTCCGTCGCGTATCTTCGCGTATTCGGGAGCATCATCCGAACACGGCTGATCTCCTAATGGTCCGGTGTATGTTCCGTTGTCCAGGTTTCCAGGACCATCGTCAGTCTCGTACTTGACACAGCAATCACCACACGGGGTGACATTGGCTGCTTCTATTTGACCGATAGCGTTTGTGAATTTCAAATCTACCATGAGTGTTTGAAATAGTGAGGTGATTCATGGAAATTTCTCCGGTGCCATGAAAGTTTTATGTGACTTTAGGTTAATATCACCAATTGTCATTGCGTTTATAAGTTGCCAGTGATTACTCCGAGCGATTCAACGACTAAGCCATTTCAAGCACCAATTCATATCACCAAATTATATCGTTAATATGTAATCGGCTAAAACGCTCGGACTGCATTATGCATGGACAGCATCAAACGCTTTGATTCCACAAAGAGAGTCCTCGTATGCCGTCTTATCGAAAACTTAGCACTCTTCAAGCCCTTGACGCCGAAATCGCATGGGTTAGCAATTTAGTAGGTGGGCAAAAAGAGTTTGAATAGATGAAATATTCTTGGCGTGGAGAGCGCAAGTCAGTTGGCGGGCAGTGAGAGTGATGATCAAGATAAGTGTGGCCATTGGACGAGTTGTACGCCATTTACATTGTCACGTCCCACGCGTGTTTCCTTTTCAACTCCAACGACTGACAATCCGAATGCCACCCAAGCGTAAGGCGGACGGCGACGATAAGAAAGCACCAGAAACGAAGAAAAGTAAGGCGAAAGAGCCAGTGAAGCCACTAGACCCTACGCAGCCAGTAAATAAGCAGCTGCCGGAAGAGTTGGGAGCGTATGAGAAAGGCGAAGGCGTGACGCGTATGACGTGCTGGAATATAGCGGGATACAACGCGTCAGTAAAGAAGGTAGGTAAGAATATCTGCTATGCGTGCCGTTTGCTCATAGGGACGCGCAGGGAATGCACAGATATATCAACGCTGAGCCTGCAGATCTACTCGTATTGACAGAGACCAAAATTGACAAAGAACCGAACGACGAAATTCTCAAGAGTAATTACAAGCATTCGGTTTGGACAGGCAGTACGAAGAAGGGATACGCGGGGATTGCGGTTTTGTGGAATGGTGAGGAAGCGCGCAATGTGGAGACAATTCTCCCAACGCATCCAAATCAGGACAGCACTCGTGGACGTATCATTACACTCGAGTTCGAGGATAAGTTTGTGATAGGCACTTATGTCCCCAATGCAGGACAGGGATTGAAGGCGATGGACGATAAGGTAGCTTGGAACTCTGCGTTTAAAACGTATCTTCACGATCTAAATGAAAAGAAGAGCGTGGTGTGGCTCGGAGATTTGAACGTCTGCCACGATAGCAAAGATATCCGCAATGACGAGAGTAATTGGAATAAATCGGCAGGGTGGACAGAGACTGAGGTGAATGGCTACAAAGAGCAGCTTTCAGATAAGTTTGTCGATGCGTGGAAGGAGCTGGTGAGTAATGTTTCTTATAAGATAATGCACATGCTGAAATTGATTCTATAAGCACCCCGATAACGTCGGGCAATATACATATTTTGGATATAGATTCGATGCTAGGTCTAAAGGTATTGGCTGGCGTATCGACAGTTGTGTGGTCTCGAGAGGTTTGATGGGGCGTGTGGAGGATGTGGTGATCAGGATGGAGGTGTATGGCGCGTCGGATCACGTCCCCGTATGCATAGACTTCAAGGCCGTCGATGAACAAGCCAGCAAATGATTATAGCCGACAGTATCCTTATTAAACTTGAACGATCGTATGAAATACTTGTATAATATGTGCGTATGCCTTGTGTAGTTGAGTGGATGCTTGGAGGATGAGTGGAGGAGGTATTCTAGCTTGGATTTATTGGTGTGGTGGCGTGTATTAAATTGCATGTGTATCCCAGGCGGTAATGTTGCGTTTCTGTGGCCTTCCCGGACCATAACGAGGTAGTAGAGCTCCCAAAGCGAGCGAGAAGGCAACGACCAGCGAAGTGTGTGTTTAATGAATATATTAAGCGTCACCCTATCGTATTCTGAATGCGTATTGAGGAGAGACAGACTGTAGTTGATATGATCATTGCCTCGCAACTTGGATTCCTGCAGGAGGCGGTTGAATTTCATATTGAAAAGGCTGATTGGTGATTGCCGTGGCCTGTAGCCGTGGAGAGCGTGATAGTACGCGTTTGAGTGGCTGTAATTGCTCAAGTACTCCGTGCTTATATCATGAAGCAGGTTGAGCTGCCCGGAAATCCTAGCGAGCCTGAGCAACTCAACCAATAAGAAATGTTTATTTGATTTATCAATCTGCTTTATATAATTGAAAGATTTCTTTAAAGATTTAAATTTTCGTAATTTAAGCATTGGGAGTTGAAGTGAGAAGACACTCAGCTCAATCCAACGATAGTCAAATCCTTCATTTCTTGTAGGCTGTTCTCCACCTGCGTTTATGTATTAGAATTTGTTATCCCCATGCTAAACACACTAACCTCCGCATCCAAACTTCCATTTGCGTAATCGTCTCTGACGTTGTCTGTAAAGTACCTCTGTACACCACCGAGCTTTTCGTAACCCTCCTGACTGAACTTGGATTGCAACCTCACCATCGCCTCGAATGATGGGTCGAGGTATGGTATTCTCAGGTCGAGCATCTGTGGCATTATGTCCTTCAATTCGTCATTCAGGGCTATGTACGCGTTCTCGCACATATCCATTTCCCGTTGTGCTCTTGGTAATGCGCTTGCGTCATTTGAAGGCTTCTCTGTTAATTTCCGTACTTTAGTTCTGGCTGCATCGTAGTCGAGGAGCTGGTAAACTTGTCAGCATGATAAACCACTTAATATCATCAACAGCCACCTTCTTATGTCTCTTGCTAATAGCTTGATTCGTGTTGGGGAAGTATGCACACAGCTTCTGTATTGGCTCGAGGACGGTTGTTCTGTACGGAGCATCCAGCTCCCTTCCTGTCTTTGTATCGAGGTCTTCAACAGCTCTCTTGTACGCGTGCCCAGCCATAGCCTCCTCGTTTGAGTCTGTGTAGAATGATTCTACTGTTTCGGCGATTCTAGCCTGAGCCGCCGTCATTGCTGGAGGTGGTGTGAGCGTGCAGCTTACTTTATGCAACCAGCCCACCTCTCATGCTATCCAAGTAGCCTTTTGCCTCTTTTTGAAGTCCCGTAGACTCTTTCTCGTATCTGTAGTGCGTCAGGTGAGTGCCCTAGCTATCACAGCCCACCAACTCACACTTTGAATCTGGCTTCGAGCTCTGACCACTCGCTGTCATTGGTTCTCTCTATTTGGCCAACCTGTGCGCTTTCTTAGTCGTATGTTCTCCGTGCCACTTCCCCTGAATACCTTCTGCATCATTGTTGTGCCACTAAACGCTCAGCATTAGTAATCAGCACAGAGCTTATACTCCCACACTCACGCCCTGTTCATAGACTTTTTAAATCCATTCCACGACATTTCTTATATGATGACCGTTGTGATGACCGTAATCTGCCAAGAACGGATTGGGGATATCTATTAGGTAACATTCAAAACAAACTATATTTACGCCTACTCGAGGGTGCTTGTGCCTCTTTCGCGTGCATTAATGTCTCTAACCTTCGCATCACATCCTCCAGTTTATCCTTTTTCTCTTGCAGGTCGAGGTGCGCGCGCACAGATGGGTTTTCCCGCGCGAAATTACTGATAGCCTGTCTATCCAGGTCATACATCAGTCGCGAATCAATCTCTCGTGGGAACTGGTCAAAAAACGTCTGCAGGAGCTCAATTTGCAGGAATAACGATGAGGTATATGCCAGTTTCTCACTAACTACCGTCAAGAAAGCCTCGGGACAGCGTGTCTCTACTCCCTTTCCATACTTACACTGCGATGATTGAAGGGTTGACTTTCTCAGCTTGAGTATTGCGAGTCTTTCCCCTAACAACATTGCTTGTCGTGCTTCTACTAGGTGTGCGGGGTTGTAGGCCAACTTCCACGCAGGTTCTCCCTCTTTCCCACTCTTTTGGGTCATACTGCCATCCTCCACTTGCTCAATATAACTGATGATGCTTTTCAGCTTGCGATATCCACCCACCCTCTGGCGTATCTCACTCAGTTTCGCATTACATGCTTCATGCTCTTTATCCAATGCGGATATCGCATGCCGCCGTCCCATGTTCCACTCTTTGTCTTCCGTCTCCACCTCGAATTTGAACGGCTTCAGTGCGTTCTCGACCTGGTCACTAGTCGCGCTCAAGCGAGATCGCAGAATCTCGTATGAGAATTCTCTGATTCGTTGTGCTGCCTCCGAGTGGTATGAGTAGGGCGAGTCAGTCGTCAACACCTCAACCAACCCCCTCAAACCATCAGCTACGAGTGTAGACGAATCCCTGCCTATTCCGCTTTTAGTTAATAGTGAGCGTGCAGCGTCTGCTTTCTGCGTCCAATACTGATCTACTTCTCCTTGAGACAGTTTGTTCAACTCAGCTAGTCGCTTGTCATTCCAGTACAGCTGTTCGAGGATATACATGACGCGATCGCTGAGCATGCCCTCGAGTTTCTCCCTCACTTGAGGTTTACTGAAGCTTAGTTGGCCATCTCTCAATCCCACCTTGAGTCCATCTACGACTTGAGCGACGTAAGATTCCGGACTCATTCTTCTGTCGTTGTACTCCACTTTGAATTGGTAGGAAGCGTCAGTGAGTTCATTTTGTACAGCCGTGCTAACATCTTGGAGATTATCACTCATGCTACGTTCGAGCACCTCCATAAGTTTTTTACGCAAAGTGTTTGTGCCGACGAGTACGCCTGGTTTACTAAATGACTGAGAGTGGTTATGAAAGTAATTTTCCTCGCGCTGCATAATAGCCCCACTCATATTCCCATTACTGTCCGCGGCGAGCACGTCGATGATGCCGCGTTTGGGCGCCTTGCACACGACGCCGACGTAGCCCAGCTGGAGCGGATACTTGCGGTTGGTGAGTATAGCAGTGCCCTCGTCTGGTGTCACCATGTCGAGTTTGGTGACAACGCCGACAGTGCGCATGCCAAGTGCATCTACACGCCGACTGGCACGCAGAGCTGGCGAGTTGGCGAGATCTACGTCCGCAGCGCAGACAGCCAGAATGACGTTGGGAGGGGCAATGTACTTGTCGCAGAGACTGCTGATGCTCTCGCGAAGGTCGTCCGGCTGATCCATCCCACTTAGCTGTACATAGCCCGGCAAGTCAATCAGCGTGAGGTCGGGCACGTGTGGGCTGTATATGCGCAAATCGATGGGTTTGTCAGAAACACATTGGCTGGCTGGAACAGAGAGGTTTTGGTCAGTAAGTATTTTCTGTATGGCTGCAAAATCCTGCACTTTGCCGAAAGAAGGCAGACTGGGGAATTCACCATATTCCTCGGAAGAGTGGGGTGTATGTACTAGAGTAAGCTCGATTGGACGTCGAGTTACCATGTTGTTGCCTTTGGGGAGGAACTCGTGGCCGACGATTGCCTCGAGGACGCTGCTCTTTCCGCTGGATTGCGAGCCAATGACGACGATGCTGGGGAGGTTGAGGTTGTCGCTCTGGTCAATAGAGACGAGAATGGACCGTATTTCGATGAGCTTGCGTGTGAGATTCATTAATAGGTTTGGCTGCGAGTCTTGTGAGTCGTCGTTGCTGACCTTGTTGCTGTCGTCTGGCGATAGAGCGAGAGCAGCGAGGAGCGCTGGGTTTGGAGGAGTATCAGGGTTGCCGTTGGGGTCGCCCTTGTCGTTGCGACTGCGACTGCCACTAGGACTGCCATCATCACCACCACCTCGACCACCACCGCGAAACCCACTGAGCCACTCATTGAGCCTCTCACGGCGCTCATGGAAGCCATCGGCGGAAGGCAGGGTACCACGCAGGGCTAGATAAGCGTCAGTGAAACCAGAAGAGACGTCATCGACAAGATTAGCAGTTTTGCTGCGAAATTCTGGGGGACAAATGAGAGGAGAATAGTGGGAGAGTGTGTAACCACCTTCAAATTTATAATTGGCGTATGCAAACGAGCCACCGCCTACAGTGACGCCTGCGATGGGTACACGAAGAGCTCTGCCAACGAAGCGAGGAAGACTACTGAAGCTGATATTCCTATTGATTGCCGTGTTTGTAATATTTCTCATACGCGTGCACCGGCGAATCGGTGTAAATGATTTCCTGATCATCACCGTCGAGGAGATAGAGATGGATAGCGAGATAAAGCTGCGATTGAGATTTGCCGATGGAATGAGAATTTTTAGTATTCCCAGTAAATCCAGTTTGATTGAGTTGCTGGGGGTTATTGAGGGAATCAGCGGTGTGGCCATTGGTAGACAGGATTGTGAGTGGATGGCTAGCCGTTGATATTTTATTCGTATCTTATGCGATCCTAGTACGCATCGGATATCCCCCACGCTTACTCCAATTCGATTCGAACGATTTCACTAAAAACGCGTTGGATTTCGGTTTAAGCAGTGGCGAACAAATTATTTTGAATGATAAAGGCGGCGATAGTGCAGGTAGTGATGTGCGAGCTCATATAGAGACTGGAAATTCAATATCTAAGACACCCGTGACTCCCCCCACTCGCTCACCCGATGGTCACTCCGTCGAACTAAACACGGGAGATGGCTATCTAATACTCAGAGTAGTCCCTGATGATAACAGCTGTCTATTTTCCGCCATTTCGCTGGCTCTGCTTGGGTCTATAGACGAGAATTACATGATGCGGGGGAGTGAGTGAAGTTTTAAACCCTATTAACTCTAATCAATCCACAAAGTTGTTGCAAACACCATTCAAAGCGATCCAGAAACTTATAATGAGTCCTTTTTAGGGTGAGTTTTGGTCTACAAATCTCAGTTTCATTCAAATACACCGTCTAACAACAACTCTATTTTCCCTCACAGCCACAATCCAGCCGAATATGTCGAAGCTATCACCAGACCAGAGAACTGGGGCGGTGCAATTGAACTATCAATTCTCTCCCACGCATTCAAGACTTGCATAATCTCTGTAGACATTGCCACCCTCCGTAACGACGTCTACAATGAGGAATATGAGAACAGAATCTTTGTTATGTATTCGTAAGTTGAGTGTTTAGTGCTGCGTATAACCCTCACACATCGAACAGAGGTATTCACTATGACGCCCTATCTATAGCACCATCCCCAGACGCGTCTGTCGAATTCCACACCACCGTTTTACCATCTTTCACCGCTCCTCCTGACCTTCCAGATCCGCTACTAGAAGCATGTAAGCAATTGGCCTCGGAGTTGCGCCAGAAGCGCTATTATACGGATACTGTGAGTGCGTTGTGTTTTTATTACCCACACTCACCCCACATACGGTCATCTTTCACTCTCAAGTGCGGCGATTGTGGTCAAGCACTTGAAGGCGAGAAAATGGCAACAGCGCACGCAAAAAGCACTGGACATTCATCCTTCAGCGAGTATTAGCGAGTATACATTCTCAGAAACAAGATACATTTACTGTCTCACTTATCGTCTACGAGACACTAAATTTTCATGTGATTGAAGATCGCGATAATAGAATGCTACAGATGAACGGGGTGACTAGGTGTTGATTCTAGCTTTATTGTGTGTGAATAATGACATTTATATTTTGATATCCTGTAAACCCCTGTGTACGATACGCGCTGCGTTCCAAGGAGATTAGCATAGACAACAAGCAATTACTAACCATTAGAACATGTTTGAAATATTTAAGCCAATGTTGCTGGGACTTATTGAGACCTACCACGCTCACCATCGAAATGCCACAAAGCTCACGTATAGACGAATTAGTCGCAGAATGGCTCAGATATGATAAAGTGAGTCTTATAAAATTACTTTTATCCCGCCAACCTCCTTCAGAACCCAGAAACTCGCTCCGAGATTGAGCATCTCTGGGATGACGGCGAGTGGGATGAGCTCGACGCAAGATTAGGGCAGCGTATTGAATTCGGCACGGCTGGTTCGTCTCGGCAGCTTTACCGGCTTCTCTTACTCTCTATCCAGGCCTGAGAGCTAAAATGCAAGCCGGTTACTCGTCTATGAACGATCTGATCGTCATACAAGCTGCACAGGGGCTGGCTGCCCATCTTTCCACTCTACCAGATGCTCTCAAGAGAGGTGTCGTTGTAGGCCACGACCACCGCCACAACTCGAAGCGCTGGGCTGGTCTCACCACCCGTGCTTTTCTTAACCGTGGTTTCAAGGTGTATTCATATAGGGGTGTAGTACACACGCCACTCGTTCCCTTTGGCGTTAAGAAGCTCGGTGCCGTTGGCGGTGTGATGGTTACTGCCTCCCACAACCCCGCTCAAGATAATGGTTGGAAGGTCTACTACGAGAATGCTGTCCAGATTATCCCCCCTGTAGACTCTGCTATCGCTGACGCTATTCTCGAAAACCTCGAGCCGGAGGATGAGGCCTGGGATTGTGATACTGTGCGTGAACATCCTCTTTGCGAAGATAAGACAAACAACATGCGCTACGAGTATCACAATCACGTCGCAGCTCTCTTCCCACCAGAAGAAGCGGCCGATTTGGCCATCACGCATACTTCGTTCCACGGCAGTGCCGATCTGTCCATTGCGCGCGCTTTCGCCGTAACGGGACTGCCACCAATTATGACCGTCAGACAGCAACGGGATCCAGATCCAGATTTCCCTACACTCCCATTCCCTAACCCAGAGGAAAAGGGTGCTTTGGTGAGTGGATTGTGCGGATAGTGTACAGACGCTCATTTTTCACAGTCGCTTGCTATAGATACAGCAAACAAGAATGGCAGCCAGTATATTCTCGCTAACGATCCTGATTCTGATCGTTTCCTCGCTGCTGAGAAGATAGAGTGAGTGGTGTGTCTTGCAAGCTCAACACCCTACTGACAGAAATAGTCTCAACCAGTGGCATATATACACAGGCGACGAGTTGGGCGCTATCTTTGCATCGTATATTATTGAAGAGTACAAGAGGACGAACCGTCCAATGGGTGAGACAGGCAGTGTAGATACTGCTTTCTACTGACAAAGACAACGTCGCAGACAAAATGGCAATGGTAGCTTCGACAGTCTCATCTAAGATGCTCGGTGCTATGGCCACAGCTGAGGGCTTCCACTTCGAGGATACGCTAACCGGTTTCAAATACATAGGCAACAAGGCTCTCGAATTGGAGAAGAGGGGTTACGCGGTAGAATTGCTCTATGAAGAGGCTATCGGGTTCGGTTTGTCGCCGTTTATTAGAGATAAGGATGGCATTACTGCTGCTATTGCTTTCGTTCGTCTTGCTGCGAGATTAAACAGGAGAAATACGTCCGTCTTCGCTCAGTTACAGCTGCTTTATAAGAAGTATGGGTTTTTCGGTACACGTAATAGTTATTTCAAGTGCGGCGCAAATGATTTGAAAGAAAAGATATTCCGGGGACTGAGGGAGAATGATAGTGCCACCGGCTACCCAGCTCAATTGGGACCATTCGAGGTGGAAAACGTCAGGGATCTCACGGAAGGACATGCGTTTGACTCTAATCAGCCAGACAAAAAGCCAGTGCTGCCCGTGTCTGCTGGGAACATGATAACCTTTTACGGCAAGGCACAGAGCGGAGAGGCATTCGTGATGACAATCAGGACATCTGGCACAGAGCCGAAAATCAAGTATTATTTGGAAGTCAGCAGCAAGGACCAAACTACGATCGACGTGAAGCTGACAGAAGCCGAGAACGCACTGGCTAGCGACTGGGTCAAGACATCTGAGCTTGGTTTGTAAAAGGGATAATACATTCATTTGACCAATCTGAGGAGTCTATTGAAGAGAGAGGGGAGAGTGATAGGAGTGCTTTGTCTAGCGGAGCTGATTGGGATGTTAGATGGACTGGATAGAAAGCTACAACCCACGTAGCGTATCCACGCATGGACAGCCTATTCACGCGTCTCGCTGTGCGTGCGTTACTGTGAGTATTTTGACCTCTGACCGGCAAGCCTTGGCCATGTCTCCTGCCCTTGTAACTGCCAATCTGGCGGTGGTGGTCGATGTTCGCCCGCACGTCTCTTCTCAAATCAGCCTCCATTTTGAAATTGGAGAGGTAGTGCGTCTGTGGCAGCGCTGGGGGTGCAGACAGGAACGATGAAAGCTCCGTGACTGTGTGCTCTGGTAGCTGCCCAATCTTCGCCTTGTCGTGGATGGAGAGATATGCACAGATACGCTCGCTCGTCGTGAGCCCAATTCCATAGAACCTCGTCAGCGCTATTTTTACTAGTTTCTGATCTGGTAAATTCACGCCTAGCAGATACACCATCTTTCTGCGTCTTCACCGTCTTCACCGTTTGAGAAGACGTCCACGACGACGAGTCGGCTCGCGTGGCTGATGAAATTGAAATTTATGTGGAGTAATTGGGCTGTTTGGTATCACTCGCTGTTCTATCACTCCCCTTTACACCTTCCTCGCTAAGATTTTTCATCTCTCTTTTTTCCTGTATTTTCTATCTCTATTTCGCCCTGAGTCCTTGTCGATGTTCGTGCACGCCTCTAGCTGCTCGTTAACATCTGCACCGCTCAGTCTGGCAGATGCAATGACGTCGGCCGGCCTATTGGTGATCCAGAGGCTTATCGGAAGTTTCAGCATGCAAATGCGCCACAGCAACATTTTACAATTCTCTTCAGAGCTCCACGTTCCCAGATTGCGCTCGATGGCACTGTCACATTCACCTCCCAGGGCTTCCAAATTCGGGATTTACGTGTATGCTCCCAAGAAACTAAGCATAGCCCTCTCATATTTGCTAACAGAAGCTACACCCATCAACTCATTCGAAAATAGCGTATGTTTCTTTCGTTGAGAAAATTTTACGCCTCCCTATCATCAGATATGCCGTTCGAGCGCTCTTAAGAAAGCTTTAAGCGCGCGTAAAGACGTCGCTAGACCACAAGTGGACTTTTACGCACCCACGCTCTCATCAGCAGCCTTAATTTGTCGAGCACCCCAAATTGGCATGTCCAAATGCGCAGGCATAATCCCATGCCATATCGCGCAATTACTCCTTCATCCCTACTATCATGGCGTATCAGAACATTGAGGCTGACAGAACAATCCGCGTCGAGGGCATCAATAGGCTTAGTAAGTACGTCTGCTACGCACATACCCCACTAACACACCCGCTTCTAGTCAGCGACGAGACTTTTTATGAGCTTTTTAGCAAAGTTGGTGAGTGTGTTGTTTATTTAATATATCTCCACTCATAATCCCCTCATCAGGCCTAGTTGACTCCGTCTCGATGCACTTCTCCAGAGGAGCGAAATCCGGATATGCTCTTGTTGTCTTTAACAGAAACTGTGATGCAATGAGAGCGTCTGCAATGAATGGTGCCGTGCGTTGTAACGCTACCCTGTAAGTTGTGGGTTTGAGGATGAAGATTTGCACCTTTGTGACACAACTGACACGCTCAGTCAAATAAAGTATGAAGGAGATCTTGCAACTTTTGATGCTTCTCAAAAGATGATAGAGTCTGACTCTAATGATCGAAAGAACCTCTACGTGCTCAACATTCCACTGGATATGACTTCGGACGAGTTTAGAGAGCTCTTCATTCCATACGGTGTTGTCACCCATGCCGTTATACTCGCGTGAGTTGGAAGGAGTATGCCTCTGTCTCAGTTTGCTTACTCATCTCATTAGCATGCTGGATACCTCGTCTCGCAGACGTGGTTTTGTGTGAGATTTCATGCAGCTATCAAGACTCACTCACTCACACTCACACAACAGTGACATGTCAACTCCTCAGGAGGCTGCTGACGCTCTAAACCACCTGAATGGAGCTGCAATCAGGTCTGTTAGCTAGCCAAAATCTATCACACCTCACATTCCTCGCAGGACTTACACTATCGAAGTCTCGTACGCACTCATTCAACGCTCAGGATGTAAGTATCTTACTCAGCTTCCTCTACGCCTTCTCACTCAATCTCAGTTGACGATCGTGTCAAAGCTAGTCGTTCACTCAAGCACCGCGTCCCTGTACTCTCAAGCCGTGCTGCCAAGGAACCTACCAGCGTTCCTTCAAACGCAAATGTTTTCCCGCTCAATACTCGCAAGTCTTTGATGGACGGTGGTCTTGCTTCTGACTTTATGTCTCGCTCATACTCCCAGCCACAAGCTGATGTTAATCACGGTTTCAATCCATATGTATCAGCCTTTGCTCCACATGCGCCAAGCAACTCAGCACCATATGCTAGTCAAGTAGTAAGTCATGAAGTTTTAGAGAAACTTGACTATGTAGATGACTCAATTCAGACCAACCACATATGCTTAGTGATCAAGAATCTGCCAATCACAATAGTGAAGTCAGATTCAGGTCTTCGCTCATTCATTCAATCTCTTGGACCAGTCGAACCGTTTACAGGAAACATGTTCGCTCTTCCAGATTCATTGGTAGCTTCAGCTATTGTGAAATTTGTTTCACCTTCAGATGCAGCGTTAGTGATGCATGCCATTAATGGTAAGTATATTGGAGGTAACAAGATAGAAGTCACACACACCACCAACAGTCCGAACAAGCTTCAAGATGTCGGTTGGGGTTGTGGCCCACTTCAAGCACACGACAATAATACTAAGCAACGTAGATTCTTCTCAGAGCAACAACCATTAAAAGTACCAGCTATCGGAGAATCACCACGCTTTTTCAGTGCTCCTCATGACCGCTTTAACTTCGCACCAGTACCACAAACTAAGGGTGCTATTGGTGAGGAAAGGAACTCTTCCAACTCATCATTGGAGTCGTTGTTAGAGCGTGCAAACCTCGATGACGCGAAGAGACGCCAGCCACACTCACCTGAGACAGGCGAAAGCTCATTCAATGACAATTCGGTTTCTACGAATGAGGTGGCTACGCCAAACAGCTCTTCTAAACAGTTGAATATCCAGTCTTCACCGCTATCAGAAGTATCAATGTCCAAGAATAGCGCTGAGAAGGAGAACTTTCGAATTATCAACCGTCAAAGTCAAAGATTTCCAATTGATTAAGTAAAATATTACTGCTGGATTTCAATAAATATCAAATGATAACTTGGCCCAACTGAGTTGCTTTATAAAAACAAGATAATCAAACAAATAAAAATTTCACATCATGTCACGCAATTTACGTATCTTTAATAATTAAGTAAAACATCATGAAACGTCCATTCCTTCTTGGTCTTTCTTGTTTGAGAGGCCGACTTTTACTAGAAGATTGTCAATTTCGGGTGCTTTGAGAATCTGACCTTTTGGTTTTCCAGTTTTTGGGTCGAGTTTGAGGATAGCGAATTCGACTGAGAAGCGTGAGTGGGTGAGTGAATGGCTTTAAACACACTACAAACCTTTATCAGAATCTATTGTTGTTGCGTCCAAAGTTTTACCGAGAACTTTGCAAGCCAATTCCACAGCACCACATTTCGAGCCTTCAGTTTCATCATGTTGGTCAGGGGCAGGTGACCAAAGACTAACGCCGTCTCTGTAGTCCTGTTTAAGGAGAGACTGGGCGGTACCATTGTTTGCGCCTACACAGGTAGCCTTCCAGCCAGAGTAGTTACCTGACGGATCGCTATGGTATAGTTGGAAGCCATGGTGCATATCGTGTCCAGCATAGAGCAAAGAAACACCGAAAGGTCTAAGACCGCCGTATTGAGTGTATCCCTGCTTCAAATCGCATAGCCTCTGTGTGAGTTGTTCAACGGGGATGTTGTCGTCGTACGTGTACAAGTACTTCTGCGCCTGCATCCTCGAGTAGTTTACCAGCGAGTTGGCGTCTGCGGTAATACCAGCTACACCTGCGAGTATGTTGGCGTTGAGTTCGAATATCTTTTCGTTGCTAGCTTCAGCTTTGTCGAGAAGCTTTGAAGTTACGCGCTTCTCTGCGGCAAGGACAACGCCATCGCTGGCGAGAATGCCTATACAGGTGCCGGCGTGGCTGATGGCTTCCATTGCATACTCGATCTGGTAGAGTCTGCCTTCTGGAGAGAAGATGGTGGTGCGTGAGTCGTATCTGCGAGCCATTTTAATTTATTTAGAGGGATTTCACTGGCTGTTGGTGGTTGCTGTGAGCGAGCAACACGTAATCTTCTAATCTTCAATTAAAGTCTATTATATTTCAAGTGCCTTCAAGTGTTTATCAAGTGACTAGTAATTTTATTGTTTTCCTTCAATTCCCTCAATGCCCCCAGCTGATGATTTCGATGAGGCTATAAGACTCAGTCTCGATTCCTACAACGACGAGAAAAGAGAGAGAGAGGATTATGAGAGGGATCTCAAGCGTGTCAAGCTCGATAGCCAGCAGATGCTTCGTCGCGGTGGCGCTCATGCTCATGATCATGATTCCGTCATCGATAGCAGCCACGATGACGCACACACAGCACACAACCTACGTATCACCCAACCAATCACTTTCAAAGCATCTCCGTATTCTTTCCACCCACCCTTCCTTTCTCCCCCCATCAGATTCGATCTGTGGACTGATGCGTGTGTTCAATGCTCTTCCACTCGCTCACGCATTGAAATCACCAACATACTCACTAACTACTTCCGCATTCTTATTCGCAGTGATGTTGATTCCCTCCTACCCTCTCTCTGGCTCTTCTCTCATCAACTCGGCCCTCCGTATGAGCCCAACGAACTCGGCATTGGCGGCCACGTTCTCAACCGCTCTCTCAAGGATGTCACCTCTATTTCCCCCTCCAAACTTCGCCAGCTGCACCACAAACTCGGCGATATCGGCGACGTTGCCTTCGAAGCCACCCGCAACCGCATCTCCGTCATCGAGCCAAAGCCCCTCACTGTCGACGCCGTGTACTCCACTTTTCTCTCCATTTCGCAGCAGAAAGGACCCCGGTCCCAGGAAACCAAGACCAATCTTGTCAAAAAGCTCCTTGTCTCAGCCAAGGGTGAGCAAGCACGCTATCTGTTCAGGTCGCTAGTGCAGAATTTGCGCATTGGCGCTGTACGCACGACGCTTTCGACAGCATTAGCGAGGGCGTTCGCGATGCACTACCACGTCAGCATTGAGGAGAGCGAGATGGCAGAGGTGGTGGAAGCGACAGGAAAGCGCGCGCGAGATGGCGAGCACACGCGGCGTGTTGAAGAGAAGCTCACTGGTGCTGAGAAGGTGGTGAGGAGGGTCTACGCTCGCCATCCTAATTACAACACCCTTGTGAAAGCACTGAGGGAGAGTGGACTGGATGGGTTGGAAGATTCCGTGCCTGTTAGTGTTGGCACACCCGTACAGCCCATGCTCGGCGCCATCACCCGCTCCTTTGATGACGTTCTCACTCGTCTTCGTCACAGACCTTTCACAAGCGAGGCTAAACTGGATGGGCAGAGATGTCAATTGCATGCGCGTGTTCTCAGCGCTAGTGATACTCTTTCGGAAGAATACGTGTGTAAAGGTTGGAAATCATCGCCATTCGATAGAATTGGCGAACAGTGCATGGTGTGGATACGACTATTCTCAAGACGACTGGAAGACATGACAGAAAAGTACCCCGATATATGCCTGAGTGTGTTGGAGATGTTCAAAACAAACCCCTCCATCACGTCGTTTGTAGTGGATGCAGAAATCGCAGCTGTCGACGACACAGGCAGGGTGAGGCCATTCCAAGAGCTGGCAAACAGGAGCAGAAAAGCGGTGCAGATGGACGATGTGCATGTCAAAGTCGCCGTGTACGCCTTCGACTGTATGCTTTACAATGGTGAGCCGCTCCTCGACAAGTCGTTCAGAGAGCGCAGACAAACCCTGCGCACCAACCTCGCCCCCTTCACTTTCGGGAACTGTGCAAGGTGGGACCATGTGCCCTCTACTGATGACACGCATCTCGATGCTATCACTGCTTTCTTCCACCAGTGCATGTCGATGAAGGCCGAGGGAATAATGGTGAAGGTGGGTTTTGCGCGTTGTTTCTTCACCCGTCTCACACAATCAGTTGCTGGACTACTACGAGGAGGCGGAAGGAGATTACGGAGGGGACCACGATGCAGACGAAGACACGAAAAAGAAATCGCCTTCAAAACAGAAAGCCCTGCCAGCTACATACGAGCCTGGTGAGTGGGGAGCATAATGCATGGATATAGAAATCATCTTAAACCTAACAAAATACACTAGACAAACGCGCAGACAGCTGGCTGAAAGTGAAGAAAGATTACATAGCCGAGATAGGCGACAGCATGGATCTTGTCCCGATTGGTGCTTGGCACGGTATGGGGCGCAAGAACAAATTCTGGTCACCGATTCTACTCGCTGTGTACGATGACGATGAGGGTGCTTTCACTGCTGTGTGCAAATGCATGTCAGGCTTCAGCGATGCTTTCTACGATAGTCTCAATCGGGTTTATGCAGAAGACGGCCCTAATACTAGCAGCACACCTTTTGCGGGTGTGCAAGTCGGAGGTTGGTTTGTTTGTTTCGTTGGTTGCTGCCGTTTCTCACACACTACAGACCTCAATCCGGATATTCACTTCAACCCTTTCCAAGTGTGGGAATGTAGAGGTGCTGAGTAAGTAGCGTGTGCAGTATATGCAGTGTGTAGCTTGTAGTGCCCATTCGCATCTGCATCTGTATCTACACCTGCTTTTACATCCTTCTCATTGTCTTCTTACACACTCCAGTATCACACAGTCACCCGTATATCCCGCCGCAAAAGGTATGGTGGGGGAGAAGGGTCTTAGCATACGCTTCCCGCGCTTCATCCGTTGTCGGGAGGATAAGCATGTCGAGCAGGCGAATACGGCGAGCGATCTCGCACGTATGTATCAGTTGCAGGCAGAGTGAGAGGTTGTATTATTTGTATAGCATATAGTGTATAGTGTATAGTGTATCATTTGTTGTTTATGGAGCGCTTGAATTTACTTTATGAAGAGAGCAATGCATAGTGTATAAGCAAGTATATGTAATAGACATGCATTCACATGCACTTCACATGTACTTCACGCCTAATGGGTCTTGCTTTTGTTGGGAGTCAGTGTACTGTACATTTTCAAGCTTTTGCTTTTGTTGAGATTGCGTCTGTTTAGCTTGTCGTGGAGCCTGTATGCGGCTGGGAGGGTGATTTTGCAAGTGAGACAGTGACTGTGATGCTTTTTGAAGTTGAGGTTGAGTGTGTGCATCATGTTCCTTTCCCAAACCAAGCACATTCTCAACACTCAATGACTCTTTCAGCTTGTGCGGTATAGCAGCGCTCTCGTCTTGATTTTCTGGACCATCTTGATCATCTTGATCGAACAGGGTATCTACGTTAGTATTGTTGGTGGTGTAGGTGGGGGTGCTTCTGCCACTCGCACTTGTGCTGCCACTCCTACTGCCACCAGCTCGCAGCCGCGGTGGCAAGCTGTCGTCTTGCTTGGTTTTGCTCTTGCTCTCACTCCCACTCCCATCGTCACTCTCACCTACGCGCAGCCCACCGAACCGACTCTCCATATTGGCATATTCGCTTGCAAGACCAGCGCCGAAATGACCGAGATTGCTAACGTGCGTGTGCACGTGCGTACCCAGTCCACGAGCCATATTGGCAACGCCTGCCATGTTCATGTTCACATTCATGTTGCCCGACATCGGCTTAGTGAATTTAGAGAACATGCTCGTGTTGCTGGTTGTGTGAGAGGAAAGCGAAGGGGATTTGGAAGGGTTGGAGAGAAAACGATGTGTGGATGTGGACGGTGTGGAGTGCGTTGATTGTGTAGAGATGTTTGATGAAGGGGTGGAAGTGGAAGTGGAATTGGTTTTTGAAGACGATGCTGGAGCTGTAGCTGATGCTGCTGCTGCCGCCGCACTCACCCCACTCACTCCACTCTTCGACCAGCTGTCAAAGTAGGAAGCGAGTTGACCCGTGCTGCTTTTCCGTCCTGACGATGGCCCGTTATCGCCCTTAAGTCCCAGTCCACCTTTACCGACATTCGCACTCGCATTCAAGACAGGATCGTCAGCCGCCTTCTCGACAGTCTCGGCAGCATCCTGAGTAGTAGAAGTATCGCAGTCGGCCTGCATCCCAAACAGGCCAGTCCACCACCGTATTTGAGCGGGAGAAGGAAGCAGCACGCCCATATCCCCCTTAGAGCGCTCATCGAGGGTAGGGTTGTAGGAGGAATTAGAGAACTCCTCTCGCGTGCTATCATCTAGTATGTAATCCCAAACTGCAGAAGTGCTCTCGACGACAGGAGCGCGGTGCATGCCATCGAGTGGATCTGGAACGCGACGTGCACGTTCGCTATCTGCAAGAAAAGACCCGCTTGTGCAGCTGTACACTTCGCGCAGCAGCGCCAGCAAAAACCTGTCATTATACTCAAAACGCTCCGGATGCTGTCGCTGTATCTGCCATAAACAGTCGAGGAATTGCAGAAACACTGGACTGATTTCTTTGTGGGATTGACTCTGCGATTGTCCTGGAAAGAGGGAGAACTTGTCATGCATGTTCGCCGCCTCCCCTTCACGATCACGCGCTATCTCCCCGCTCACTTCGTCCGTGCGGTAGAATGGTCGATGCGTGTGGTGGCCACTGCGCTCGGCGAATTTATGCCCGAATGACACGAAGTCTTTCTCTATTAGCACTGCCAATCCTCGCTTGGTGCGGTAAAATGGATCGAGACAGATCTGCGCAAGTGATACAACTTGTGATGTGCGATCCCAGCCCTTGTTTGCTTTGTCAGCGGGTGCGTTGTGTAGATGAGAAGGAATCACTACTTACATCCGAGCAATGCACGAGGACATGGGAGGAATGCACGTGAATGTTCTTCACTGTGGTGAGTGTGCCTGCAAGAATTGCATGGATGTGTTTCATGTAACCGGATTTCTGCAGTGTGTTGCGAAGTAGGTGGTGGTCGATGGTGGTGCTACTGCTGCTATTGCTGCTGCTACTACCACCGCCACCCCGCAAACCAGCTGGATCACTCAGGCCAAGCGCATCCAGCACCCTCCCCAGGGAATCGCGGATTATGTGTATATTTTCAATCCCCAAATAAACTTTCTTACACTGTTTATAGTGATCCATGTTCTCGGTTCCGGCACCGTTAGCGAGTTGCGCCATGGCATTGGTGGTTGGACGAGCATCCATAATGAGATTGGTAGGTGTACTGCCATATGCACTCGCACTCTCGACATGTACATGCGACGTGAATATCGTCTCTATCAGCTTCTCGTCTTGGATTGAGCGCGCATTCTTGAGTCCAACGAGTGGCTGCGCAGAGCGAGTGATGGTGGCGTTGTTGTTCCAATGCATGTATGTCAATGTTGGTATGCGCTGGCGGGATCTATACCTCGATGCGTAGTTGAGGACGCTGTCAGATATTTTGGCAGGCACGACGAGTATGGCTGGGTAAGTCGGACAGAGGGAGTAAGCTTTGTTCATGTGTGTTATGCGCCACAATTTGTTATCTGCCAATCCCTGCCTGTTGAATTCGTCGATTGGGTCGTAAATGGACCAGCTGGATGGATTTGGTGGCGAGCTGCGATGGAAAGCGGGAAGATTGTATATGGACGGTCTTTTCAGAGCTATACAGGCTGATTTTAGAGCATTGTAGTACTCTTCAGCTGTGTGTGCGTCGTTGAAAGAGAGATGTAACGCAGAGAGATCACGAAGCCGAACAGCGAGAATTATGTTATCGAGAAGAGCGTGCTGTATTAGTGGCGGAGATATCTCTATGATTTGGTGGGCTATACGTATACACAGAGATCCGTTGGAGAGATGCGCAGTAGCAGGATTGTTGTTACAGATGATTTGAATATTCTAGAGTACTGTGAGTAACGCTTTCAAACTCACACACGCTCAACACACCTCCATCGCTGCCGACGTGTTTTGAGATGGTCGACGTCAGTGATAAAGAGGGAATCCAGGCAAATAATAAAAAATACATCAATACACAGGCTACACGGTTAGGAAAGGCTTATTGGTTGCTATCCAGCTGTCTAGCTGCCTCCAGAAGTTGGAGACGAGAGATTTGTCTGTGTGTCGCTTGTCCTTGTCGACAGCAAAGGTAGAAACATTCCAATCCTTTATATTTGAGTTTATAGATTCATTGCTGTAATGGAGGTAGACACCTTTAACATTCCTGAACAAATCACGGGGGTTTGACCACTTGTATAGCTTGAATTGCCATAATTGACCTGTGGTTACGACGCAAACGACCCTCTGCCAGGCATCAGGACCAAATTTGTTGAGAGTCTCTACAGAGTTGATAATGTACCATTTGCTGGTCTGCTCATTGGGTTTTGACCTGTAAATGGTAATCAAATCATCTACACTCTGTTGGTTATCTTTGGCCATATCTTTGGCGATATTTGAAGGGATAAAGGTGGCTTGGGATAAGAAAGGCTTGACGTTGTACATGGTGAGGAGGGAGGTTGGTGAGGAACTGAGAATGATGATTGGAGACAAGTTCTTTGGTTTGAGCTGGGGTTTTGAGACGGGTTTGGATGGCTTGTTATAGGATTGTAGCTTCTGTGCTATAGACTGTTGTAGATTGGTAAATAAGGCAGGCTTATGACCCCTCAAGCTGCTCAACCTATCATCCAGCTCAATCTCCTTCAACTTAATACGCTTAACCTTCTCCTTATCCTGGTTATTTGTTGTGTACCTTTTCTTATCAGATTTAGAGAGTAAGAAGTCAATTACAGACTTTCTATCCAAAGCACTAATGAAACCGACAGCGAGGTGCTTTGATTGCTTCATGTATTCGATGAATGGAAGGTGCTTGAGCGAGATGGCAATGATAAGCGTGTCGAGTGGGTACTCCTCGTCGTCCTTGTAACCGGTAAGTTTAACGGGGGTGTTGCGAGGGTAGAGAGTGTCTAATTCGATGGAGATAGCTTTAGTGATGTCATCAGTGTAATCGCCGTTATCAGATTTATAATTAATTTTGTTATTTTTATTTATCCTGTCTTTCAATTGGAGGAGTGGGGTGGACATGGTGGTTGAGAGTATCGATGGAGTTTAACGGGGATTTGGAGTATAAATTGAATAATAGGAAATGTCCTATTAAATTTCAACTCTCCAAGGCTATAAATGTATTCCCATCAACCAATTCACTTGACAGGGTTCAAACATTCAATCCATATTCAAGGCAATTACTAAATACAAGCAGTAGAAATGGAATTAACTTGTTAATATCACCAACCAATGAGAATGATCAGTGTCTTAACATTAATCTGATCAATTCCCTCAACAACTCGTCGATAAACCTCAATTCCCCGATTCTGCAAATTTCTTCTTCAAACTCAAATACCTTATCTAGATCGAGGTATTTGGGTCATCTGATAGCTGTTAAGACTAGGTTGGGTGTCATATTTTACAACTCTTCCAATAAGCACCTCGATCACATTCACACCTTCACCCACACTCACCCAATCTCTGATCTCTCTTTTAAAGACCTAAATTGCCTGCTAATCGACCCATACGATAACATTTTCAAGTTCAACTTCAATCCCCGCCTCAAATCACCCGCATCGATATCTCAATTACGTCATCATCCATACTACCATCAATCCTACGATAACAGATTTAGGTTGATTGATTTCAATCCCTATGATGAGGCAGCTGAGTACTCTTGTTTAACTGCGAATTCTCACTCTCTAAGCGTGATTGATTTTAGAGTGAGTGGATGTCTTACTATTGCTATCCACTCATCACCCACAGTCATCCATTTCGACTATCATCTACCAATCACCCTCAACTATCACTCACTTACTGTCCTCCACTGCATCCAACATACCTCTCACTGCTCTCACCACAACCGACCACATCCTTTTCTTCGACATACGCAACTTCTCCCAATCTCTCCTCTCTATACCCCACAACAGAGACTACGATAGAACGCTCTCTATTCATACTATCAATGGCCCTCACAATACCATCTCTGTACTCCTCTTCTCGGCCATCCACCCCCTCCTCTCCATATGGACTATTGGTGGCACTCCCTCCTTTCCCCGCTCTCTACACGCTCCATACGCCCACAAACTGCCTTTTCCTCCGATTGGAGGCTGGGCTGTGCATGAGCGAGGGCGTCAGTCTGAAGAGCACGACAGGGAACCCACCCGACATCAAACGCGTCAGCACACGCGCAACCAATCTCGTCGACTTTCTCGAGCCTCTTCCCGTGCACCCACACCTCAGCATCCCCCCCGTGAGCATTCCCAAATCTTGCAGCCTTCTCAACCACCCACACCCTCACGACAACCCACACCGCACCAAAACCCAGACACACTCTCCCAAAACACCGACGCCGTGTATGACATGTATCTACGCAGCCAAGGCGGCTCATTATCCTACGCCACACTCTTCACCGCTGACGCGGACGCCAACGCACCCCCTCTCGACATTCGCACCGATCCTGCTGTCTGGTCGCAAGAGGTAGATGGCTATTTCGGCGACGGGCTAGCCTCTATGCGCGAATATACGCTACGCGACATGACCAAGCAATGGGGGCTGATAAGTGGGGGTGGTAGTGGGGGTGCAACACTCGCACTACGCGACAAGCTCCCACTGCAACCATTCGCAAGTGCGGGTCTACAGGTGCGTCTAGCCAGCGAGGTGGAGATAGGGCAGAGGGAATGGGACAGGAATAGGAGTAACGACGCACATGCAGCTTGGTCTTACTCTATCCCACAATCTCTTCTACCCCCACCTCCCAGCTTCCCATATGCGGGCGACGCGGCGGGGGAGATTGTTCAGCGTCAGCTGCAGGGTGCATACAACGTATGCAGCAATAGACGGCCACATGACGTGCCAGCGGAGGGCAAGAGCGAGGGCAAACGCAATTTTGATGGGGGAGTCGCTGTAGGTGATGCTGGCGGTGTTGGTGCTGCCAATACCCCTACTGATGCCACTGCTTCTACTGGCGGACTCGTACAGGAGCTCACACGCGCAGCCTCTGCTATGAATATACACAACAGCACCCCCGTGCGCCCCTACACTTTCGGCGCACTGCGGCCGATGGTGACGCGCAGAAGCCAAGGGGACGAAGCACTTGCACTCGCACGCAATGATGCCATTGACGCTACTGACGCTGATACCAAACCCCCACTCAACACTGCCACTAACCTGCTTCTCGCTGAGTGGAGTGGCAGTGTGGATGCCTACAGGTACAGAGACCCCTATGCGGATTCTGAGGAGGGAGAGATGGGAATAGAGGGGCAGACGCAAATGCAGACCGATGTCCCTCCGCCTCCCTCGCAGAAGATAATGCGCAGACCTCCCGTCGTCTTGTCAACTGCTGCGCCTGGCGCACATGCAACGAGTGCATCGAATGCAATGAATGGTTCGCTCACACCTGCTCCGCAATCTCAGCCACAATCACACGCACACCTTCATTCTCCAGCCCTCACTCAGCCTTCCCAACCACCTTCGCAACCCAATCCTAGCACCCAGGTCGAGCCGGGCAGGTTTGGCGGTCGGCCTGTCGCTACCAAGAAGAAGAAGAAGAGAGTTGGCGGATTTTAAACATTAAACACTGAAAACATTAGAAAACATTGAAAATTTGCATTGTTTAAATTATATATATTATACAACACAGTATATTATATTACTAAGTGTGATTATCAAGTTGTTCGTTTCTATAAATAGGAGAAGGTGCCGCATCTAACGCATCTACTGCATATGTCGAACTGTGCGTCTCTTGGCAGGTGGCGCTTTTCCATTCGCGCTGTTTGCGTTGCCAGCATTATTACTACTGTTACTGCTTCTCGTGCGCGCTGTTCCAGGGACATCAGGAGCATTATTGGTGGTATTCGTTGATGTAGTGCGCAGAGGTGCTCTATTACGCGTCACGCGTGGGTTTCCCTGTGCAGAGGCGGAAGTGGAGGTGTAATTTGAATTTGATGTAGGTCGACGACTTGGCTGCGGAGCGCGACGGCCATTTGTTGAATGCGAGGGTGGGGGTTGAGGGGGTTGATAGGAATGAGGAAGTTCTGCGTCAACTACGCCTTCCCCGCCTTCTACACCTTCGATATCCACACTCTCCTCCGCTGATACCTTCTCTGGCACCCTCTCAACCTCCCTCTCAACCTCCCCACTATCCCCTTTCAGACTACTTAGCGTCTTCCTAAACATCTCTCCCGCATCTTCTTCCTTGCTCTCCTTTAACACACGCGCATCGACCGTGTATGCGCCCTCTTTGCGTGGCGACATCTCAGGCGGAGCCGAGCCCTGTCTGTCGGAGTCTGCGTGGGAGTGGGGGTGAGCGTGAGGCTGATTGTGAGCATTATTACTTTCACCATCACCAACTTCAACTCCATCAGCACCTCCCGCACCCCCTCCAAAACTCTTAGCCCGCTTCGGCGGACCACCCGTTACAGCTCGCAGCACATCGCCTCTGCTCTGTACGGCCTGCATGTCATATGCCCCATCGCCGACCCACTCCCTCTTGCGAGGAATGTTGGTGTTGCTACTGCCGCCCACACTGAGCGTCTGCATGAGAGCATCGAGAGAGAGTTCCAGCGAAGCGACAGCCCTGCCAACATCGTCCGCATGCGCCCTGCTATCGCCCGCCGCGGAGGCAGTGAGAGAGGACAAAGTATCGACATCTCCCTGCACGCGCAAGTGCACCTGTGCGACATGCTGCGCGACGCCTTCGCACACTGTGCGTGCATCCGACTGAGTGTGTTGGGAGAGGGAAGAGTAATTTTCGTGTGCGCTCTTCGCCTGTCTGCGCAGCTCCTCACCGCGCTCAACTATCTCGCGCGCTTGCAGTAAGCCATCTTGCTCCATCTGTCTGTGCATCTCTCCCGCACTGGCTCCATTATCGCGCAAGGCGGCCTGTACACCCTGCTGCATCTCGCGCGTCGCACGCCGCACACTGGCCCATACATCGCTCTGGTGCGTGCACTCGTCGTTCTGCGAGGAGGCATGGTGGCGCGTGGACTGAGTGAGCCGTTCGAGCGTGTGGAGGGTGTGCGAGGCGTGCGCGGCCGTGTCTTGCTGTGTACTGCACATGTGGTCGCGTACTGCTTCCAGGTGCTTGTGCCGTTCACCCGCTTCTTCCTCCTCGTACGAACGCATTGCGCGCGTTACCTCAGCCACTAGTGCGCGCGTACGCTCACTGCTACTCGCCTCACTGGTCGTAGCGTACGCTTGCAGTCGCGTCTGTGCCTCGCTTAGCCATCCCTCCACGCGCACAGAATGCCCCTCCATGTGCGCGCACAGGCGCGTCAGCTGATCCACATCTTTCTCCATCGCCGTCACTTTGGCGGTGGAGCGTTGCGTGTATTCGTAGAAAAGCTTATCTAGTCTGTCGTCCATCTGAGCAAGTGTGCATGATTAGTAATAGGCAAGGTATGATGAGCAACCCAACTCACTCCATGCAATTCTCTCTCCAGGAGTTGTGTGAGCGTGGTAGCAAATTCTGCACTGCTCTCCTCGAGTTTGCGCACAACCGTCGCCAGCATCTCGCTCACTCGTCCGCCTGAGTTAACAATAGAGTCGCACGACAGCTGGCTCGCTACGCTGCTCTCGTCTTCCATTGTAGCCAGGTGAGCGATGAGGTCGTGCAGCCTATGTGCAGACTCCCCCATAACGCTCTCGGCTAGCTGAGGGATGGAGTTGAGAGATGTGGCAAGCTCCCTCTTCCTGCTGTCCATCTCTCCCATCGCCTCGTCTATGAGACGGGAGTGGTTGGTGGATTTTTCGCTGCATTCACGTATCACTTGCGCAGTTTCCGAATGGTATTTGGAGAGTGTGCTCGCATCACTGACGTGCTCTGTCTGCTTCTTCTCCAGCATCCCATGCATGATATCCACATCGCTGTGCTCGTCGCGCGCGTGTTCCAGCCACTTCTGCGCTGCACTCCAATTCACCTGCTCACCTTTCTCGCGCACACCGTTAACCACCCGCTCCTCATCCACCTCCCTCGTCAACCCCTCCACTTGCTTCTCGAGCTTAGCAATAGTGTTGCGTTTGATGATAATCTCGTTGTCGGCGAGATCTAGTTTCTGAAGTGTGTGAAGGTGCTCCTTCTCTGCTGCTACAAACCCCTCACGATCCTTTTCGCATTTTTCTTTGTTGTCGACGAGGTGGTCGTACTGCGCTACTTTCTCTTTACTGAACCACATGCCGTTATTGTGCTCAATGCTCGCGCGGAATTCCGCCTTGACGCGCACATTCTCCGCTACTAGGTCATTGATGTAGGTATTTTTGCTCGTTTTCTGCTGCACCTGTGGCTTATTCTCAATAGATTTGGCTCGTAAGGCGTAGTCAAGTGTCGAGAGCGTCTCTTCGATGCTTGTCTTGCTTGGGGAGATGGTTGCAATAATGAATGTCTTGGTTTCACCGCCAAGTGAGTCTTGGAGAAGGCGGGTGAGTTTTGAGTCTCTGGAAAGTTGGGTGAGTCAAGAGCGATAGAAGAGACAGACCACTTACCTGTACGGAATGTAGGACTTATCAGCGGCCTTGTCGGACAATTTTTTGTTTCTGTTCCTGTCGCTGCGCTCGACGAGCCCGTTGATCACCCTGCCTAATGCGAGCAGACTGGCGTTGATATTGCCAGCCTCACGCGCTCGCAGATCAACAGCACCACTCCTGCCAATGTTTTCACTCCCTGCCAAATCAACCAGGTTGAGTTTGCCCACCTTGACAATCTCGTCGCCACGGTCCGTGTAGTCTTTAATGTGCACGGTGATGGTGAAGACTGAGTGTGATCTGCTCGAGTACTCGTTGCAGTTCGTCGAGGCTATCCTCCGCCGACGACTACCTCTCTCGAACGCCTCGAAAGCCATTTCAGCGGAATTTACGAGTGTTTCTTCGAGACCCTGTATAATGACGCCGCCTCTGCCTTTAGGATCGCCGAACATTTTAAGCCCGTCGCCTGAGTTGGTGGAGGATGTGGTCTGGGGTGGTTTATAGTTGAGGCTGAGAAGATCGCGCAACTCTTCATTGTATAGCTCAATATAGGATACGCGTACGGAGCATTCAGCGTGCTGGGACTCGAGTTTGTTGAATATGCTGTGCAGCGCGCGAGGGATGATACCTGCACCGTTGCTTATATCAGATCTGTCAGAGGGGTTGAGAGCAGCGGTGTCCTTCTCGTCCATCGACATGGTGTAGGTTTTGCCAGTGCCAGTCATACCGTACGCGAAGATGGTGCAATTGAAGCCCTGCAGCATTTCATCTACGATGGGAGCACCGACGTCCGCGTAAAGCATGGCCTGGTCTGATTGGTCACCGAAGACGTGGTCGAATGTGTACGCCTTCTGCTGAGAGGTGGAGTGTGTGCTGTCTATAGTCACCGTATTCCCGCGTAGCCCGTCTGTAGATAGGATCTGCGATTCGCCGGGTTTAAGTGGCCGACAGCGCACAGCGACTTGGATATTGTTGTTGTTTGGCATTGGATTTAATAAAGAAATTAAATTTATCCAATTATCCAATTATCCTCGCTGCTGCTCTTGTTGGTTGGAGTTAGAGGAGTGGACGCGTATGAGTGGTGGATGAGATGTGAAAATTGCAAGTATTATTGGTGATTCATGCGTATTTGTTGCGTTTCTGTTGCGTGTCTGTCGTTAATCTCCGGGTTATCTCCTACGCCATCACCCTCTTATCTCCCGACACCCATGAGCCAGCTCAACAAAACCATCTCAATAACAGTAGATAAGGAACATCTGGAGGAGGTTAGCGGGGCACTACTCCACGCTGTTTTATTCCAGCGGACACTTGGAAATTTACAGCCGAAAGAGATAACAGTGTTGGATGTCGTTGTAGCTGGAATAGATAGTGGGATGATAGAGGAGATGGTTGTGAAAAAGGTGAGGGAGCTGTCAGCTACTAGTGGAGATCGCGGAGTACTGGCGTTGGTGCTGAGTGAAAATCAAAGTAGAAAGGTTAACCATTGGTTTGGATTTGGGGAGCAACACCACACGCAGCAGATACCTTGGGAGTGTTGGATACTCCAGTTCAATATACTCACAAGCAAAACGGAGAACCACAGACAGATAATATATCACAACACGCAGAATGATTTGAATAAGGCACTTAACCAGATAATTCAATTCACAGACACCAACAAAGATCATATACCACCTATTACCACTGCCGATTTAGCCCCATTCCCATTCCATGTCCTAGTCAATCCTATGACGTCATCTTACAATAGAAGCACAAGTCCACACTCACTGGCAGTAGCAGCTGCTGGGAATGCCATGACGAATACGATACAGGGCAATCCAAGCAATTCAAATGGCTCATCGCAGAACTCGTATTTCACAGCTATAGCTAGGAGAATGACGTAGTGATGAGCACTTGAAAACAGTTAAATACATTTGAAAACACTTGAATACAATGGAAAGTAATTGGAAATACTTGAAATACACCCCTACACCCTCACACTACCTCCAAAACCTAGGAAAACCACCTTCTGGACACATAGACCAATCATAATTAGGCAGATTATTCTTGATTTCCCTCTGCATACATTCTAGCCGATGTTTTATCCGTTCTACATCGCTTTCCATGGCGTTTCTCTGAAAATCACTTCTCAGCCATTGCAACGTTTCGGAGCGAGCCTGTTGATATGGAATACCTGGGTAGAATGGGTGAGTGAGTGTATCGCCATCATCGCCATTACTATCCAACCCACCTCTTGTCCCGCGTATAGCCTTTCTGTAGAGAGAAATAGATTTAGATTTTAGGAGGAACTGGGAAGCGTAAGAAGTGAAAGTGACTGTGAACATGAGTACATGATAGACCCACTTACGTGCTCTAAACTTAATCCCCATTTATCACTACCAGTAGCACTCTTCCTTAGACACCTCGTTGATATCATGGTCGTTCCCTTCCAACCGCACAGCGAGGATGAATAAGCTGGAGAAATACAAAGCGAGTATACCCGAATACACCAACAGTGACAGAATACAGCGTTTGCAATCGCTTTACTCGGATTTCACGCGATTGCGCCAGACGAATCAACGCGGTTATCAGGCCAATATGGATTGGTGGCGAGGGGCGTTAAGTGGGATAATGGAGTACACGTTCACGGTCGACGACGACACGCCGAGGCAGTGGCAGCATCCCGTTGCTGGTCAGCCGCGCTGTCTGGGTGTGGTGGTTGAAGGGATGGTGCACGACGGTGCACTTTACCCGCTCGAAGGGTTCATGGGGGGCAAGTCTAATTCGCATACGCACAACACACGTAGCGCACGCACCACACAAACCACCCTCGAATGGCTGTTCGCGAGTCTGGGCTTGGGCGGGAGCGGAGGAGGAGATTATGAGTCCCCCTCTACTCCCTTTGAAGCGTTCGAGAGGGCGTGCGGCAAGTACGTTGTCGTAGCGCGCGTGCAAAGTCTCGCTGCGCAGGTCGTCGATCATCACCTCAGCTGCCCACCCACCAAGTGTCTCTACACGCGGCGGCTGTTCGCGGCTAAATACTCTCTTGCACCGCTCGACGCGGATGTGGTGTTGAAGTGGCTGACTAACGATGGATATGCGGTGGTGGAGGGGGAGGCTGTGAAGGTCGTTGGGGGTGGGTGCACTACACACTCGAATCAAATCACTCAAATTGAAGCCGGTATCATCGCCATGGTCGACGCTCTCAACTCGGTTGATGCACAGATCGGTGAGCTGGATGTGGAGATAGGCAGTTGTAGCGACACTATCGCTAGCCACCTCCGCAGTAAAGATACAGACCGCGCTAAACGCTCCTTGAGATCACGCAAGACGTTGCAAGATGTGCTGCAGAAACGCCTCGACAGCAGGGAGAATTTGCAGCATGTTTTACTCAAAATTGAGCAGAGCGTTGGGGATATTGAGGTGGGTGTGGTGTTACTATGGAGTACCGTCTAACACAAGACTCTGCAGATTATGAAGGCTTATGAAATGTCAGATAACACTCTTAAGACACTTCTCAAGGCACCCGAGCTGGATAAGGACAGAGTGGAAGATACTATGGATAGCCTGTCGCATACTCTGGCTGACCACGGGGAGATTGAACAAGCTATTGCCCGGCCTGGTGCGGCTGAGATGAGTGGTGAGATGGAAGATGAGGTTGAGGAGGAGTATAGAAGGTTGCTAGAAGGGCAGGAGGGCGATAAGCGGGAGGAGAAACGCGAGAAGGAGAAGACGGAGAAAGACATAGAACCAGACACACAAGACACACAAGACACGCAAGACAACCAAGATATACGCTTACCCTCACCACCAACTGATATAATTGATAAAGAACCACAAACCACTAACAAAGAAGCCGAAACTAGCTAACTAAGTATAGAAAATGCATAAGAATCAAGTGAAATTGTGAAAATTTTCAACTCTCGAACCACCGAAACACTCAACGTGCACTCTGTTTACCACGGTTAAAGGCATCTTCAGCGGCGCCCACCTTAGCAGCAGATTTGTGCCAGAACTTGAGGTTGTTAACGACTTTGTCGTGTTGTCTTTGGCGAGAGAGGCTGTCTCTGAGGGAGGAGTGGAGCTGTCGAGGAACGCTGAAGCCGTCAAGGAGGGGCTTAGGTGGGGTGATCTTGGGAGCTTCTCTGTTTTGTCTATTGAGAAGGACTCTCTCTGCATGAGCACCCTTCTTCTCTAAGCGCATGGAGTTGTGAGGGGGGAGGATATTGCGGTGTTGGGCAGAAGACTGCGAGAACTGTGGCGGGGATGTGTCGGAGGAATACCAGAGCCACTGGGAATGAGCAATAGCCTTGTGGCCATCAGGGAGGGTGACTAAATTTGATTTGCTGGATTTGTTGGAGGAGTGTGAGGTCGGGGGTTCTAATCTGAGAGAGTGTCTTTTGGTGATTGCATTCGAGTGCTGGAGATTGTTGAGTATCTTGTGCTTGAGGTGGCTGAGCTGAGTGAGAAGAGGAACAAGTGAAGAAGAAGACGCACGAGATAGAAGGAGAATCGCCACTCATCTGCTTGAACAATTGCTTTGAATCGATTCCATTTGCACCTTTAATTATATTCAGCGCCTTATCCATTGTGATTGGTTACGACCAACAACACATGCTGATCAAAGTAAAGACGTTGACTGGGAAAGAAATTTCACTCGATGTAGACGTGGAGGACAAGGTTTTCAGGATTAAAGAGAGCGTCGAGGAGAAGGAGGGTATCCCGCCTGCACAACAGAGGCTCATCTTCTCAGGCAAGCAGATGTTGGTGTTGTTTACGTAGCCGTTGAAAATACTAAAAATCTCAAAGGGCAGATGATAAAACTGTTAAAGAGGTAAACATCGAACCAGGTGCAACGATTCATCTGGTACTGGCTTTGAGAGGTGGATAATGATAAATGAATTTTATTTTCGTTTCTACATTCTCATCGATTCATCTGCCTGTGATTGGCTTGGTTAGTTAAAAACCACCCGTTGCGCACTCAACCCACCTCATCATCCTCGTCCTCCTTATCTGTCAACTCGGCCTTCTTACGCGCATCTGCTGAGCTGTAATCAACATTTGAACGCGTTCTTCTCGATCCTGAGTCGACGATGGCTGATGGATCTATCTCCTCGAGGTCGTCATCCACGACATCGTCTCCAACTTCTTCGTCGTTGTAGGGAGTGTCTTGGTCGTCGTCATCCTCCTCGTCTTCCTCATCTTCCTCTTCCTCCCTTGCTTTCCCTTTGTCTGCCTCTGCTGCTACTTCTGGCTTCTTCTCAGTGACACCCTGTGGACTACTCCTTATCAGATAATTCACGCGTAAACACAACCACGCACGATTGATCATTCTTCTTTTCTTCAATTCCTGTCATTTTGAGCCGGTTTGACCTGGTTTACGTGGTTTGCGATTGAGAGACACTTCCACGACGCGACGCGTTAAAAAGGTGTGTCGATGGAATGTGAAAATTAGTTTTTCTGTATTTTTATTGTTATTTATCCATATATTCGTACACGATAAACTCCTCTTGACTCTCACACACTCACAACTCCTCAAATGAGCTATTTTGATCAAGTTAAAGAGCAGGTGGGATATGTTCTTTGTTTAGCATACCAAACACACTCACAACTCCCCAGAAAGGCCAACTCTTCAACAACGTACACGTCACAGATAGCGGCGTCGACACCACCGAATTCCTCGACGCTGCTGCCATCGTTGTTCAGCTGTTCGATTTACTAGGAAATAAGGCGTTTTCTGTTGTCCAGAGCGATCTCCTTGGCAACATAAGAAAGGTCAGAGATAGACATGACGCTGAGCCACTCCGTTCGTCCACCTTGGAGCAACTCGTAGCCGCTGAAAACCTCGACAAGCAATACACTGCTACTCAGGGCCTTGTATGGCTTCTGCGTGGTTTGGAGTTCACCTACAAAGCCCTCCTCCGCTCACTCAGAAACCCTGACGAAGAACTCTCAGACTCTTTCTCCATTGCATACCAAGAATCCCTCAAACAGTTCCACAGCTTTGTCGTTAAGCCCATTTTCAATCTCGCTATGAAGGCGTGTCCTTACAGGAAGGACTTTTACGCCAAACTCGGCGGTGATCCTACGACCGTGGACATTGAGTTGGGTGATTGGCTTGCAGCGCTCGAGAGACAAGTCGTGCAAGTGCAAACATTCATCCAGAAGCACAACTACGATAAGGGTTTGTAATCTACTTTCTACTGCACTTTATGATGTATAGCATTTCAATTCCCGCTCGTCTGCTCAGTAGTATGGATGCTTCGAAAATACTGGTCCTATTCAATCTGTCTACTATATCCGCCGGTCTGTTCTGCTTGATGGCTACGAGGTATAACACTCCACTGCCACTCAAAAGCCTAGGTAGATCTGACAGTACCCGCTCTGTAAGATCCATCCCGTAGCTCCCACCAGACCATGCTGCGGAGAGATGTCGCGATGCCTGTGAGTGAAGAATTTCACCACCATTTGTGGGTACATACGGGGGGTTGAACAGGAGTATGTCTACAGCTCCATCAAGCCTCGTACCATTGAGTAAGTGGGTGTTTATGGTATTCAAATTACACCCATTCAAATCCCCAGTTGAAATCGTTGCTTGATTAGCGTGTGTGTTTATATCGCTGGTAAAGTAGACGCAGCGACTGTGCAATATCGAGGCTATAAACGCAGAGACGCACCCACTCCCACTGCCAATCTCAAATACCACATTAGGCTGGCTGCTCTTGATCCACTCGCTGTCCATTTCCAGTGCATCGAGGAGGGCGAATGTATCCTCACTCGGCTCATAAACTCTTTCCCAGTCGTCTCTCTTCAAATGGCTCAAATCTGGCGTTGGAATCGCTGTTATCGTCGCTGCCATCGCGGTCTTCCCTAATCCACCATGTCCAGCGCAATCCGATTGAATAGAATTTATGATTTTATCGACGCTGGCAGGTTCAACGACGCAATCTCCCAGTGCTGCCAACTCCTCAACTCCAACTCCACGTCCCCCCACTCCGATCTCGTTAAATCCCTACTCGCCTTCTCCTACTCCAGATCTGGCAACGCCCACGCAGCTAGAAAGATAGCGCTTGGTTTGGCATCCACCACGCCATCCACCGCCGACACGCTCGCTGCGCTCAATCTCACCCTCAGTGATCTCGGCGAGTACGACGTGCTAGCGGGGGTATATCGGGAGCTATGGCAGCGTAATGGGAGTGCTTACGATAAGCAAGCCAAACTGGCTCTCACCAACTACGTAAAAGCGTTCAACTGGCGGGCTGTACAGGCAACCTGCCTGCGTCTCTCTAAGCACGACCGCAAGTATGAGTGGTGGGCGGTAGCGGCGTTGCTCATGCAGGCTGTGTCTGCGGACGTCGATAAAGAAAAAGATACAGAGAAGGGTATTGCTCTTGCACTCGCTTTGCGCATCGCCCACTCACTCCACCCGTCCTCCGCTCAACAGGCCCATCTACTCACGCGGCTCTACTCACATGCTGGCGATCTGGAGAAGGCCGCGCGCGTGCTGGATGAGTGCCACGCGTATGTTAACACCTCTCTCGCGCTGCAAGAGCTCCAGTGGGATGTCCTCGCTGAGCTACACCGCACAACATCCATTCGGGATAAAGCTCATTCCCTCCTACGTGCTGGATCGCATAACTACGCTCATCACTCCGCTTACCTCTCCACTATACAATGTGGACAGCGTGAGGATGTCGACCACGCCATCGAGCTCTTCCATTCTCTCTCACTGCAAGATCCCAAGGAACGCGGCCACTTGATCGCCCTAATGGAGGTGTCTAGGCGGTGTCACAGTGATGAGGGTGCACCACAGTTGATAAAACTGATAGAGAGGTACTGGCAGCAGTACAAAAGCAAGCCTGTCTGTCACGACGATTTGGCGGTATTTCTCGCGCATCTGCACGGCCAGCAGGTGGATCTAGGTGGGTTGCGGGGATTGTTCAGCGCAGCGCTACACGACGACGACGAGCAACTTGACGTGCGCATCAACGCAGCCAAACTGAGTCGCAGTCTGGCCATAACCACCAGTATAAGCGAGGATGTAGACTTTGCCGCCTACTACGCCCGCCTCTATGCGCACTACCAGCCAGCGAGTGCGGGAGTGCCATCAACAGATATCCACCCAGCCGACGATCTCGGTGTGCTTAGTGTGCTGTGTCATGTAAGCGCATACCACAAATCCAAACCAACTGATACAGCACACCTTCATGCCGCCGTTGCATTCATCGAATGGGCACTACAGGGGAATGTACGCAGCTACAAACTGAAAATACTGTACATAGCGCTTTGTCGTATCCTCGCTCAACCAGGTGGCGTGTGGAGGGGTGCGAGCGCTCTTCGCATACAAAGTGTTCAGAATGACACCCTGTCGGCGTATGCCTGCGCTCAGATATCTGCGCTCAGTTGCTCACGTGACGACGTCGCGGGCGTCCTCCCTAGCACTACTTCTCCACGCTGCGTGTGGAACCAGTCGGCGCGCGAGTCAGCTGAAATGATGGGCAGACTGTTCGAAAAAGGTGCATGGAGCCATCTCGAAGACTTTGCGGCTTTCCGGGACAGACTCGCTAGTAGTCTTAACAAATGGCTGCTCTGGTTCGAGGATGTCAGGATTAGGTTGGGGGAGGTGGATAGAGTAGGCACGGAGGAGATGGAGGCTTGGGTGGTATCTCTACAGCAGTTAAAGACTGTGGGGGTTGACAGGCTCGTCGATAATAGAGACTCCTCCCTCCTGCCCTCCCACTCCCCTCTCGATGAGCCACACGCCGGCGTGCAGCTACACGTCCTCACGAACCAAGACGCTGCTTGGCTCAGCGCCTACTGCGATATGTACGCTCGCTTCTTAAATGCCGCTTTGGGCAGGCAGGCGGTGCAGGTGGAAACTGGGAGTGGGAATGAGACGCAGACGCAGACCCAAGACACGGACAACGTAAGTAACGCCAAGGACGCCTCAGCGCCCCTGATATCCCGCACACCCACACTAACCACCACCCCACAAACCAGCTTACCGCGCCCGAGAGAGTACTCAGCGATATGTCGCACCTAGCGCACGCATACCACTGTCAGGGCTCAGATGCGGAAAAGGCTCCCGTAGCACAGCGCCTTCTGGACACATACACGCTGTTCGGCGAGCTCCTCAACGCCGCCACGCTGCCTATCGAACAGGCACATTGCGTTAAGGTCGCCATAGAGGTGGGTGGATTGTTGCGTGTAGTCGACAGCTGAGTAGCTGACTTGGCACCGCTATCAGGCCTGGTCACTCATCCTCCTCGCCATCCCCGCCCCTTCGAAGAAAAAAAAAACTAAAAGCCCCTCATATCCCCTCTACAACGGCGTAGGGGTGTGTCTCGCTAACATGGTCAAAGGCTGGCAGAGCAGTGTCGGCAGCGGCGGGGGTGTCGATCACTCCCTTTTCGCTCGCTTGCACGATCTCGTCTTGCAGAAAATCGATTACAAGAATATGTAACTCTGGCATTTGCTCGGTTGTATAGATGGATGGATGCATGGACGCATGGACGTGTCTCGTGCTTCTTGTTTTATATTCCGCTTCTGCTTCTGCTTTTCTGCCGTGCCCTTGCACCATCTCTCTTCTCATCTCCTTTGCTCAGGACGACGATGAGCTACTACGCCCACACCACAGGCGAGGAGCTCGAAGACGAGCTAGCGCGCTATCTCGACACGAGCCAAGACGCCTGTAACGAATTCTCGCGCTCGCATCATCCATCTCACGCGCGCACCCAGATCTCGATAGCATACATGACGCCATGGCGCAGCCCCGCCAGAGAAGCCACCAGTCGCTCGACAGCGCCAGCGTGGAGTCGTCTGCCGGAGCTGCCGCGCGCAATCTCTCCTCATCTTCTTCATCTCCCGTCAACCAATCTCAGCCAACTGGGCTAGCTCCCGATAACGCTCGCAGCTACTACGCCACGCAGCACCCAGCCGCATCCACCCCACTCACCCCCGTCACAGCCTTGCATCCCGTCTACGCTTCCGTTTTCCCCTTTACCCACTTCAACAGAGTCCAGTCGCAGTGTTTCGACGTAGCAGCACACTCACTCTCTAATCTCGTCGTCGCTGCTCCGACCGGCTGCGGGAAGACGGGCGTGCTTGAGCTGGCTATCGTGCAGATGCTCGAGCAGAAGCGGTGCGAGGAGCCCGAGTCTGCCGCGCGCAACAGAAAGGCTATGTGAGGTTAAGAGCGCGTCTACGCGCTATACTGACTCGCTGTATTTAATAGCTACCTCGCTCCTACGCGTGCGTTGTGCTCCGAGAAGGCTCGCGATTGGCAAGCTAAATTCTCCACATTGAAGGTGTCTGTGAAGGAAATCACGGGCGATATGCCCTTCGATGGTCATGGAAATATCCTCGACTTGATTCATGCCGATGTAGTCGTTACTACGGTGCGTTTGGGCGTGTTGCCTAACTCAACTAAACTTAAACACCCCTCATAGCCGGAGAAGTGGGATTCGCTCACGCGACGCTGGAACGAGAACCCAAAGCTGTTTGGCCAGATCAGATTGGTGCTGATCGATGAGGTTCATCTGTTGCATGTTTCGCGTGGTAGCACACTCGAGGTGCTTGTGTCGCGTATGCGCATGCTCGGTGACAATCATAACATCAGATACATCGCAATCAGCGCTACGGCGCCCAACGCAATCGACATAGCTGCATGGCTCGCCAATAGCAACACCTCCATCGCTACTTTGAAGGAATTTGACGAATCATTCCGCCCTGTTCAGATCGCTCGCCATATATACCCCTTCAAGCGCACCAATAACAATGACTTTGCATTCGACTCACTGCTAAATTACAAACTTTTCGACAAGCTCGCTGTACACATGGAGGGTAAACCCGCGCTTATCTTCTGTCCGACGCGCAAATCTGTTGCGAAAGCCGCAGAGACACTCGTCGACCATTTCACCACTGTGCAGAGCAGAGGTGGTGCGACGCCGTGGGAGGTACCCGCGCTTAAACCCAACTTCAAGAACAGCATTTTGCAGAGACTAGCCAGGTACGGGGTGGCTTTACACCACGCAGGAATAGATGCAGATGATCGTCGCCTCGTTGAGCAACTTTTCCTAAAGGGCGTGATCAGAGTAGTGGTATCCACCACTACTCTCGCCCAAGGCGTTAATTTACCCTGTAGGACTATCGTTATTAAGGGCACGCGCTTTTTTAGTAATGGCGACTGGACCGAGCTGTCTGAAATGGACGTGTTGCAGATGATCGGTCGCGCTGGTAGACCACAGCACGATACCAGTGGCACGGCTATAATTATGACAGATCACGCTCATTACGCTCATTATAGGAGCCTCGTTAATGGCGACTCCCCTCTCGAATCTTCTCTTCATCGAAATCTCTGCGAACATCTCAACGCCGAGATAAATCTAAGCACTATTTCAACCAAGCTCGGCGCCTTGGAGTGGTTGAGGAAGAGTTTCCTCTATGTGCGCATCCAGAAGAACCCAGTGCATTATCGTGATATTCTCGACCAGGCGAGTGATCGACTCGGGGGGTGGGAGAAGCGACTTGAAGAGATAGTGGAGAACGCTGTGAGTGAGCTGTGTCAGTATAGGCTGGTGGAGAGTGACAGTAGCGGTGAATTGAGGAGCACTGGTGGGTTACAATTGACTTGCTTGGTGTGTCTTGCAGCACTAACAACTGATGTCGCCCTGTAGGTCTCGGCAATATCATGTCCAAGGAAATCATACGCTTTGCTACATTCAAACAAATCTTGGAAATTCTCCCTCATGCCTCGGTGCACAGTTTGCTGCAGACACTGTGCGCAGCGGATGAACTGAAGGACATCACTATGCGCGCTGGCGAAAAAAAACCACTCGGTGATATCAGAGCACTGCAGGACATAAGGTTCCCTCCTGCTAAAATGACTCTGGCTGTAGATAAGATATCTGTGCTGCTTCAGGCCTCGCTCGCTGGTGTTAATCTGCAGTAAATACCTAAATGACCCGCTCTGCGTCAGCACTACGATTAGCTCCGCTAACCTCCCATCAGCGAATTCCGCAGTGACGACTTTCAGCCTTTCCACGACAGTATCACCATTTTCAAGCAGGCGTTCAGAGTAGCTAGAGGTGGGTTAAGTTATGTGATCTGTGTCTTGTGTGCCGTATTTCACATGCCGTATATCACTTGCCACTGCCACTTGCAACCTACTTACACCACCCAGCAATAATCGGTGTCGGCATCGAAAAGAAAGACAGCGGCATCATCCGCAATGCTGGTTTCTTGTTCAGATCGATAGCATCCAAGGCGTGGGAGGATCGGTCTTTAACTCTGCGCCAGATTGACCAAGTTGGAATGAAGTCGATCAAGGTGTGTCGTGTAGTGAGAGCGTGCGTAGACTGACTCACCTTTCTAGATATTCACGTGCAAGGGTATAAATTCGATAGAAAAGCTTAGCAAGCAGGACCCAGGATACGTGGAACTGGTAGGGCGTTGCAATTCTCGTTTCATCTGCCTGGCTAACAACACTAACCAGTTGCTCAATCGTCACCCGCCATTCGGGAACAACATCGTAGCTGCCGCTAAATCATTCCCAAAGTTCACCATAGGCGTCGACGAGCAATATCTGCTTCTCCACCAAGGCGCAAAGCCTGTGCAGGCGGTGCTCAAGCTGTCGATTGGCGTGGCCAACGCTGGAAAGAACATGAGAGTTGTGGGTAGTATACTAAACTCCATGCTTATCTCACATATACCCAGAAAACTCGATCAAATAGCTCTCTGCATGCATCGATCGTTGTGTGGAATTCGAATGACGATTTGGTCGAATTCAAGCGTATAGAGGTGAAGGCATTGATGGAGGGGCCTCGTACTATCGATATTAAACCGCTGTTCGCTAGTGTCGACACCAAGATGTCTATCCAGGTTTCTTGTGATGAGTGCGCAGGTCTGCAGGAAGTATTCGAATATAGACCTCAGGCTGAACCAGAGGAGTTTCCGCAGACGGCTGTGGATGACACCTTGCGTTGTGTTGATCTAGGTGCAGGTCTTGAAATAGATTCGAGCGACGATGATCTGATCGATCTGACTGACGCTGCAGCTATGGAGCGTATGATGGATACGCATGTGGGTGGTGGTAAAGAGAAGAGCTTTGCAGCTAAAGACGCGCCTGCTCCTCGCAAGTATGGCAGCAAACGGTCGTATGAGCACAGCGAGCATAACAATATTGCAGAAATACAGGAGAATCATATAAAGAAAAGCAGAAATAACGCATCCCGCAACAACCACATAAATAACCATCTTATAATGTCATTCAGCGACGAAGAAGACCAGCTGGCATAGCACAAGTCATCAAAACAAGCAAAGCACGACAAAAGTGTACTAAAATGCAAACCTTATTCAAGCCCATACATTCAGTTGTACAAGGAATATTCCCAATGAAAAACCATGAAAACCATTACTTGAGCTTCTTCTTTGGGCGGAGTTGTGAGGAGTGACCACATCCACGCTTACGGCAGTTGGTAGCACGTGGTGGGAGACGAGCGTAACACTGAGAAGGATAGTAAGCAGAGCTAACCAAACCAATAGGCCAAACCCACCTTTCTGCAGATTTGCTTCTCGCAGTTGTACTTTGAAGCAAGGACCTTCAAAGATGGCTCAATGATACCACCACGGAGACGCAACACCAAGTGGAGAGTAGACTCCTTTTGGATGTTGTAGTCAGAAAGGGTACGGCCATCCTCGAGCTGCTTTCCAGCGAAGATCAGACGTTGCTGGTCAGGTGGGATACCCTCCTTATCTTGGATCTTGGTCTTGACATTGTCAATGGTGTCCTGGGACTCGACCTCCAAGGTTATGGTCTTGCCGGTGAGAGTCTGGTGATGCGATTAGTACCAACGGAGAAGGCGAGCAATTCGTGATACACACCTTGACGAAGATTTGCATGGCTGGGCTGTATTAGCGCTGCTTTCTTTATATTTATTTTCCACTAACCTTGGGAATTTCGTTTCTCACAAGGAAACGAGAGCAGAGCAGCGCTCAATTTGCACGCAAAAAAATTCGATTCGATGCGCGCGACAGTGACCTCAAAACACTTTTTTATTATTTAAATTATGGTGAGTCGCGTGGTTATTTAGAGTTCTTTATTAATTCTCTGCAGTACAGTGACAGCGACGACTCGGTCCACAGCGCAGAGGATCTCTACAACGATGACGAGTTCGATGACGACGACGATCCTGTTCCACAGCCACAACCACAGTCCCAGCCACGCTCTGCTTTCAGCAGATTCAATGATGTCTTTGGTGGCTTCAACGAGCTCGGCGGTCTCGGCGGCTTCGCTGGCTTTGGTGGCCACGCTTTTGGCAGACCTCCAGCATCTGCGTTTACTCAGCACTACAAGGGTGTGTAGGCTGTCAGCGACTTGTGATGTATGCTCACTCGTCTATAGCCTTCTCTGTGGCAATGATGGGTGGTAATGAGCGTCCAAACCTACAATACGGTGGAAAGAGTGGGTCGCTGTGGCTTGCTCAATGCCCCTCCCACTAACACTTACCAGTCATTATGCCTCCTTCTGCTCTGGCGCGCCTGACAGACCTCGAAATAGAGTCACCGTGGACATTCGAACTCAGTCCAGCCAGAAACCCATCAAAGAAGACCCACGCGGGTGTGCTAGAGTTTATCGCTGAGGAGGGCAACGTTCATTTGCCAGCCTGGGTGTGTACTTATCGATGCACCTCTGACGTCACTCATTCTCCTCCCAGATGATGAAGCAACTCGAGCTCGACGAAGGCAGTCCACTTAAGATCTCCGGTGCAGCGCTGCCGAAAGGAAAATTCACAAAGCTGCAAGCGCAGACGACAGACTTCCTTGAAATCTCAGACCACAAAACAGTGCTTGAACGCGCACTGAGAAACTTTTCCACATTGAGCAAGGGTGATTACATAGAAATACTACACAACTGCATCACATTCGAATTGCTTGTGATGGAGATCGATCCAGAGTCTGACAGCCAGAGTATATTCATCATCGATACAGACTTAGAGGTAGACTTTGCACCTCCGAAAGGATACGTAGAGCCAGCACCTAAGGCACGGGAGCCACAGCCAACGATGGCATCCAAGATGAAGATAGATACACGCGCTCAAGAGGACTCACCATTGAGCAGCCGGCCAAACTCTACAGCGCCGGAGGTATTCAAGGGAAGTGGACAGACTCTCGGTGGACGCAAAACGAAGGGCAAGGGATTGGCCAAGCCAATTGAAAAGGTCGACGATTCGAGCAAAATATCGAGAACAGAGTGGGTTTTATGTGTTTGTGAGGGGTGTTAGCTGATAATCATCTAGTAAGCAGAGACACGTCACAGCCGACACGCTCGAAGATGGCCAGAAAGTGCCAGCTCCTCTCAATCTCCCATTCGGCAAGTTGTTCTTTGGGTTTGAGTATGTACCCATCGGTGGACACAAGGAGGACAGCAAGCCTCCAGAGCCATATGGTGGGGGCACGGGAGCGACACTCTCAGGAAGAAGCGTGGATATCCCACCTGTGGCACCAGCACCGCAGCCCCAGCACAACGACGCGAATAAGCATGACAATGAGTCTAAAGAAGACAACAGCGATCCATGGGCCAAGCTCGGCGCTGGAAACTCATTGTCACAAAGACGCGACGTTATCGACATTGACTCTGACTAATACTGTCATCATTGTACACTTACTTTTGCATGTATATCACGATCACATTGATGTGTTGAGGTGTGAGTGTCTGAGGGGTGCTGCAAGATACGATTCGCACTGGCTGAATGCGTCGAGAAAGGCATCATCAATTTATTGCTTCAGGCGGAGGTCTTCAATTGCATGCCATTCATTATTTGAGGAGCTGAGAAATACCTCATGCGCCAAGTTGTCTCAACTTTTAACCCTGCGTGTTACGTTTTGCGACACGAAGCATCCACAGGACAGAATGATGGCTTCTGGAGCAGAGCAGGGTGAGTTTTTATCTCATGGAGCATCTATTGGACTGCACAATCTAACAAAATTCTTAAATCAGCTCAACTCAAAGCTTTATCGCGAGTTTGGGTGTAGCTGGTGCATTTCGAAAGACATGCAATGGGTGCAGAGGGGTAATGAAGGGTGCGCTAGGATCTTCAGAGGTATATTGGTACGGGTTTGTATGTAAATAATACAAAAGCACGCGATCCCACGTGTGTATATCTAAAACTCAATATGAAGGGCGAACATACGCGCGAGTAAAATATCCAAAAAAATCGAGCCGTTCGAGCAATGCTAAGGCTATAGATAGAAGTATCTAACACTACCCTATCTAATGACACTCCTATCTAGCTTCAGCTTCATTTCCAACCATTTGAGAGGGATGTAAGACAAAGCGGCGACGACGAAGCCGAGCTCTGTTGCAATGTCACCACCAGCGCCAATGAGCGCTGCGAGTGGGCCAGTCCACCAGACCTGAGCCATCGAGACGACGACGACGCCGGCGCCGACAGCACCCGCGAGGAGAGCCGCCCCACCATACGGCAGCTTATGAGGGCTATCCCAGTGGGAAGTGTTGTACGCGGTGAAGTCGCCTCTTTTGAACAGGAGGTGGTCTGTTATCTGCATAGTGAGCGTGAGTGTGAGTCTGAGTGTGAGTGTGGGTGATAGAACAACTACGTACCAGCACACCCGCGAACAAGGCAGACCAGTAGCCGAGCTGTGCGGTCTGTGAGCGACATGTGCTACTGCTCAAGCGCTCCTCTTACACACGACAGAAAGTTGTTGAGGGCGTCCTCGAAGCGCGTCGCAATCACTATGGCTATGGGCAGGTAGATGCCCGTGGCGACGGTAGACAGGAGGAAGCGGGGAACTGTTGTGGAGTGTGAGAGTGAGTGTGCGTTACAGGAAGGCAAGTAGAAAAGACACACGACTCACCGCAGACGAGTTGCGGGAGGAAGGTCTGCAGAGTCAAGGCGCAGCTGTAGATGGTGGGTGCGTTGTTGGAAGATATGCCCAGCGCGAGAATGACCTGAGTATTTGTAAGCTGCGAGCTGTGGCTGTGTCTACGGCCACGCACCAGAACTACTTTCCTAAACCCCTTCAGCGGATGCATGACAGCATCTAGCAGGCCTCCCAGCCCAGCTGCCGCGTAGCCGTCTGACCATGCAGGTATGGCCTTCGCGCCCACCTGCACACATGCACCGAGACATTGCAGCAGGATGAGAGGGACGTTGAGGCCGAGGTAGGTGGCTAAGAAGACCTTGAGGCTTTTAGTCTGTGCGGGAATGTAGGCGGTCTGCAGGAGCGGAAGGAAACCAATGTAAGCATCGATGAGGATTAGCTGGGTAAGCTGAATGTTAAAAATGAAAAACTTCACCCACGAAATCGGACGCTAGGGGGGCCCAAGTCATACCATAGCCGAGGATGACAGCGCCGAAGCTTAATACAGATCCAGCTGTAGCAGGTTCGAAGGGGACGGAGTGGATGGCGGGGAGTTGTCTACCAGCGCACGAGGCAACGAAGACGAACATGAGAAAAGACACAGCCCATGCATACCTTTCAAAGGTATGCAACAGTCTTAAACCCGCGAATGAGACCTGTCGGGGGAGTGTTTGAGATGAAAATTAGAGTGAAAAATGACCCACGAATAAGGCTATCACTGCGATAATAACAATCCCTACAGACGAGCTCAGGTCGTCAGAGGAGACAGCAGAAAGTACTTGAGCGCCACTAACAGCGTTCAGGCTGCAGAAACCAATCATGCCGATGAGGTTGAGGAGACAGACGAGTATGACAGGATAGTAGCCGAACGAGTAGCGCGCTATACACATCTGGCGCATGCCTAATTTAGGACCGAAGGTAGAGAGATACGCGGGGAGAAGGTTGCCCAGGAGATTGAAAAAGAGGATGGAGAGGCAGGAGTCGCGTGGACTCATAGAGAAGCTGCCAGGGCCAAGACCGCCAGTGGAGAGAGTGAGTACAGTTGAGTTTGCACTGATCCAGATGCACCAAATGTTTATAAGAGGTCCGAGTCTGTGAGTGATTAGAATGATCGATTGGTAGCAAACGTACACACCCAGGAGTACGTTCCTAGAATGTTAGCAGATTCTTTGGTTTTGTAGTTGTACACCCACATGATCTGCTACAGGTTGGATACCTCTCACTTCCAAGCCAAATACAGAAGATTTAATGAGAAATTCATTGTATCGCAGCTTTAGAGAGTTTACAGTGACTTTCTGGCTGCTCGATTCGCTCGATTGGCCCATTTCGCCTTCCAAAGGTCCTTTCAAGAGTACAGCCAACAGCACGCAAGATGAATCCTCAAATTCTGAATCTCGTTCTCTCTTTGGGATTGATGCAGGGTGAATATGGCGTGTATGCAACCACCACTCTCTAACTCGTCGCAGTCGCCCGCAAAATTCCGTTCGAAGATGAAAACGTTTTGTTGGCAGTGAGGATTGGATATGTGGCGAGTATGCTTATCAGCTTTGGCTTGTACCAGTGGATAGCGGGCAAGGTGGGTATTGGAGGTGTTTACAGCATTCCAACTCAACGCGGCACCAGATCAGAGCCAAGAATGACACGACGATGCTCAAGTACACTGAGCCAGCATCTCCAATGGTGGGTAGGGTTTTTGATGTATTTCATCCCTCACCCTATGCAGTCCGGCGAAGAGCCACAACTTATTACAACTACAAACCGCGACTACGATTTACAAGAAACTTCCAAGCTCGTGAGTTTTGTGGCTGGCGTGATGTTAGTGCAGCTTCTAATATCCCCCAGGTCAAGAGCCTGTTCACATCCCTTGCCATGATGGGCTTCTTGCATGGATACATGAAGTACACGCAGCCACTGTTCATTCAGGGCATCCTCGGCGTGAAGAACGCGCTCGACTCTAAGCCAGCTAAGGTTTGGGTGTTTGGCAACGAGGCTAAGGGCGACCTCAAGCGTCCATGGAAGGCTGCTAACCCATTCGGTATGGGCGATGAAGTCAAGACTGATGCTGCGTCTGTCAAGCAAGCTGAGAAGTCGATTGGATCCACTAACAAGGCGGAGTAGATGGAATGTAATGTGATGAATAGAAGTTCTAGTTTATAATGTGGGTGTGGAATGTGTTGTGGGGGTTTTATCCACTTTTTCACTCTCCAACTTTTCTTTCTTATCGTCCCTATCTTGCTCTACTTTGTCTTCCTTCTTTTGCTCCACCTTATCTTCTTTATCTTGCTCCACTTTACTCTGTTCGACACCACTATTACCTCCAGCCCTCTCCTTATTCTTTGCCTCGACTAGAGAAAAAGGGTTGAATTTTCTAAACTTGGCATAGCTAGAAACGACAGAAACGCCAACGACACTCTTAAAGACTTCAACAATACACCAGCGATCAGGATTGCTGAGGTCAATTCGATGTGGTGGGGAGATGGAGTCGACTATCTTCTGAATGATGAAATCGCGCTTGAGGGTGTTATGAGAGCGGGTGCGCAATTCGATGCGGTACTAGGAGAGTTAGTAGGAATATCTGGTCCTATAAATCAACTCACATTACCACCAATACCATCTGCAGTTGAGGCATCCAAGTAATTCTGAAAAGTAAAGCCACAGAGTGCTTCAAAAGCATTTTCTGAGGCATGTGCGACGTGTGAAACGGGTGTTAAGCGTTGGATGTATCTATATGGTGCGGTATGTGAATTTATTGTGTACGCCTACAAACACAACCCACTTTGTCCTCATCTTGCCTGTCTGTTCCACCTCTTCCAAGTACCTCTCTACGATGGCTATTGGGTTGAATGGTCTGCGTACTTCAAGGTAAATCACTGTATGTGATGTGAGACATGTAGATTGAGTGGTGTGTTTGCTAACCCACTACATTGAGTATCTGTAGGGTGATTAACAAATCGCTTCAGATCTGTTGAGCTCTTTTGTGGTTTCTTGAAAGGGGTTTGAGTTTTATTGATTTCATCTAATTCTGCGGCTAATTGAGATTTTATGTCGGAATCTTCTTTCTTGTCCGTTGTGTCCTTATCAACGTCTACTTTGTCGTCTTCTTTTTTATCTTCTTGTCTATTGTCGCTGCCTTCAATTTCCACCTTATTCCTCTGCTGTACATTCACATCCGGGAAATATCTATCACATATTTCATTGAGTATATCCAAAATATCGTGTGTCGCCTGCTTTTCCTTTCCACGAACACAAGTAACAAAGATTGCAGGACCTTCTGGTGGACTGAACGATTTGAATTGAACCTGTGTGCCGTCTTTGCGGTATTTACGTTGTCTAGGTGCGTTATCTCCGCCTTCTCTTTTAGACATGATGGAAGTAGTAAACAAAGAAACAAATGAGTGTATTATTGTCAAAATTTTATTTGATTTAGTTGTCAGAGAAGATCCATGGCCATGCTGTTGGTTGGTAGCTGGACATTTCCTTGTCATTGAACCATAATCCAATTTCTTTGGTAGCTGATTCGAATGAGTCTGATGCGTGGATAATGTTACGTCCGACGGATACAGCGTAAGTGCCACGAATAGAGCCTGGGTCTGATTGCAATGGGTTTGTTGCGCCCACCATACGACGGCCCTGACGGATGACATCCTTACCTTCCCAGACAAGTGCGACAACTGGAGTGCCTGAGGTGATATAATCCACTAATCCTGGGTAAAATGGACGCTGAGCGAGGTCTACGTAGTGCTCCTTAGCCAATTCCTTGCTTGGCGTAACGCTCTTCACGGCTACAAGCTTATAACCACGCTCTTCAAAGCGGGAAATGATCTTGCCTACGATTTGGCGTGAAACACCGTCTAATTGGAGTCAGCTGCTGTTAGCACCTCTTCAAACCACACGCACCAGGCTTGATCATAACAAATGAGCGCTCAGAGAATGTTCCCTCTTGACCGGCGATCGTTTGTTGTGGTGCATCGAGGTGGAGTGGCTGAGTAGCAAGCGCTGTTGCTCCCAATGCTGCTGCTGCACTCACACCGAATGCCACATTGCGCAATGAGCTAGCTGGGCGAGCTGTGGAGAATGCTCTGGCTGTGGACGTGTCAGTGGTCGTATACATCAATAAACCCTAACTCACTTGCTTGACGGCTAGTTGAACGGAGGAATGTACGCGCGAACATGACTGTCTGTTGCGAAGAGAGAAGACACGTTGCCGTCGGTTGGGCGAAGAAAATATAAATAAAAGATGAAAATATTAAAATCATTTATATCATAACAGCTCGCCGTTTACTCAGTTATTTCTATAAACTACTCTCACGTCAGCAATTTGCAGTTTTTCCTCTAAATTTTCACCTCAGTCTCACCTTTCGCGATTCTGCAGCACTCACTTCAACAACCCCTTGTTCATCTTCACCCGCTGTAATCAGACTGAGTGCTTCTCCATCGTGGTTTCGTAGATACGTGAAGAATTTCTCCATCTCTTTCAATCTACCCAACAACCTACGCTGTGTGTTAAGTTAAAAAAATAAGCCATTCTCTCCACCCACTCATTGTAATCCTCAGCTACATTGTGTTTGGTTGCATACCCTCGTAGCACTTCCAGTCCTTCCACAGCAGCTGCATAGGTTTCTGAATTGCTAGCCGCTGTCACGATGCTTGTGCTCATCAGTTCGTGCACTTCCTCCGCCTTTTCCTTATCTCCTTCTTCCATCTCATTCCACGTTTGAACTGGGTTGCTGAGTGTGTTATGGGTTGTGTTTGTGTTAGTATGTGCATTACTAACACCACTCCCCCCACCCCCCAGTAATTCATCAATATTGATCTCCTGCGGCCTCTGCCGATCTTCATTTCCCCCCTTTCTCCCGTAACGCGTCTTCTTGGGCTGTGGAGTGTGTTCAGATAGTCCAAAGAGGCTTGTGCACCGTTCAATGGCCCCTTTTGCCCTTTTCTTTGTGAACGCAGGCGGATTGAGATATTTTACCACCTCTGGATGTGGCGGCGGGAGTGACTCCGGGTCGATTCTACCCCGTGCTGCACTATGTACTACTGCCTGATAGATGCGGTGTGTAGCTGGACTGAGCGATTCGTGTATATCAAACCACCCAACGTCACTTTTTCTGTTGGTATTACCGTCGTTGTCGCCGCCGCCTTCGCCTTCGTCCGCGCTGCCACTTGCACCATAACCGCCTCCCACTTCCATGCTGTCGACAAATGCATCCATAGCCACACATTGCTCGTCGGTTGGAAGGTGCCTGCTCGCGCCACTCCCATTCCCACTTCTCTTCTCTCCACCCTCCCTCTCGAGACTGGGGAAGGAGTAGGTGCGTATCTGGTCAGCGAAAGGTATTCGGAGGTACTGGAGGTACTCGTCGCTCTTGTTCACGACGGGAATGCACACGCCTAGGTAAGGCTTTTCGCCGTCCTTCCGCGCGTACCGCACGAGTGCGATAAGGTTATTGCGATGCAGAGCGTGTATGATGCTACTGAGGGCGCACTGCGCAGGAAGGTCCTTCATATCAGCGCAGATAAACGCTGGCTCACCCACCACCCAGTCTCGTCTGAGGGTGTGAGCGGGGTATGCACATAAGAAGTGTATCCCGCCTGGCGACTCGAATTGCACGAACCCCCCTTCCGTTTCAGATGGAGCCGGGACGAGATTAGAGCCGTAGTTGTACGCACGGATTAGCCTCTCGCCCTCCACCTCCTCATCGTCTAGTTTGTGTATGGGCGCACTTGTCGCCTTGTCTTGCGTCACACCTTCGAGTATTTTCAAAGGCAGCTTCGTTGCTTTGCCAACCGCTTTCGCATACTTCACGCTGAAATTGTACTTGTCGGATATACTTAGATTGTTGTACATCTGCGTTGACTTGGACGCGTTGCTTATCGGTTTGTGCAGTCTTTGCTGTGCTTGCTGAAATGTAGTGGTAGATGAACTGTACAGCTCAGATGTAAGATTGGTTAGAAAGACGTTGGTTGTTGAATTCTCGCTGTTGATGACGTTGAGAGTTATATTGAGCTGGTTAAGTGAGTTGAGGAGCGTGATGTAGTCGGTACCATCAGTAGCCAGCTGATTGTCAGTAATATAATTAATAGACTTGCTCCATGACTTCTTGGACGCGTACTTAATCTCAATCTGGTTGTACGCGACGATCAAACTGTCGATTGGGTCTACAATCGGTGGATTTGAAAGATCCAAGCTGTCAACCAAGCTCAATAGGCTCTTGTTAGACTGCTGTAGATTAAATATCGAATTTAAATGCCTGAATTGATTGGTGGATTCGTTGTGCAGGGTGTTATTTGTGCCGCCATCAACAACAATCAAACCAATCAAATCAGTCTTAAGATTATTTATGATTTTATTTATGATGACGCCATTAATGTAATCTTTGACGTCCCTAATCAATTCATGACTCGGGTGAGTGAGATGGATGACGTAGAGATTAATTGAGTACTGTTATATTGAAATTGGAATATATAAAACATATTTCAAGTAACTCACTCCACTGCGTACACTACTCATCTCGCTCCTTTCCCGATTACCACGATGATGAGAGTTGGAGAAATAGACGATGTCAGTGGGAATCGTTGCTTGATTGTGGAAAACGGAGATATCGGGGTTTTATTTAAATTACGCTGCCAGTCTAATCTAATCGTTGATCTCATTCAACCGGATTTGCTCAATCCACGCCCGCTACAATCCATTCACGGCGTTATTGGATTGATTGAGCTACAGGGGTCCACTTACCTGGTGGTTATAACCCAGTCTATTAAAATTAATAGCGATTATTTGAAAATCTCAAGGGTACACTTCTACTCACTCAATTCCCATTCAAATGACCTGATTGACACTCCTGAATTGGACTTTGACTATCATTACTGCTTAGATTTGAAGAGACTGATTGAATTTGGCAACTTCTACTACTCCCCCACCACGGATATCACCAACAATTCCATTGACAGCGGCAATCCACCTAACGATCACTTTATCTGGAACTCTTTCCTTGTAGACCCGTTGTTGCAGTGGAAGTCCTCCCTCCAACTCCCACAACGATCCCTAATCGACTCGCTTAACCCCTTCACTATCATAATCCAAGGCGCTATTTCCATCTACCCACTACCCAACTCTAACTCCTCCCTACAACTCATTAGCAGGCTCTCCTCCAAACGAGCCGGCACTCGCTTCTACTCTCGTGGCGTTGATGACGACGGCCAAGTCGCCAATTTCGTCGAATCTGAGACAATTTTCATTCACAACAACCTCACCTTCACTTACACTCAAATACGCGGCAGCATTCCTCTCTTTTGGGAGCAGCAGGGTCTCCAAGCTTTCGGTCAGCGCATACAAATCACTCGCCCTTACCGCGCCTCTCAACCCGCATTCGAAAAGCACTTCTACAACCTCCTCCAATCCTACGACGCTATACACGTCCTCAATTTGTTAGGTCAGAAAGACCATGAAGTGACGCTCTCTGATTCCTACAACACCCATCTCGACTCTCTTCAGAACGTCAATCTGCCTATAACATACAGTAATTTGGATTTCCACACGGTGCTGCGTCTCGCTGGACATCAGGCGGTAGTGCAAAAGCTAGACCAGCACCTCTCTCAGGGGCAGGGGCAGGGACCTACGTGGTCTTTAATCGACAATACCACCGGCCAAACCATTATTAAGCAGCATGTAGTATTTCGCGTCAACTGTCTAGATTGTCTCGACCGCACCAATTTCGTCCAAGACATTTTCTCCAAATCCCGTCTGGGCGATTACCTAACCTCTACGGGAAGCGCCTATGCGCACGACGAGGGCTTCTGGCAAGCGCATCGTCATCTGTGGGCGGAGAATGGGGATGCACTGTCTCGGCTATATGCTGGCACGGGAGCGCTTAACAGCAGCTACACGCGCACGGGGAAGCGTACACTGGCTGGACTTTTCTCCGACGCTACTAAATCTGTTACACGCGCGTATGTATCGAATGTAACGGATAAGGCGAAACAGACGAGCATTGACATGTTCCTGGGTAACCTCCCTACGCAACGTGGGGTAAGTGTTTATGACCCCGTGTCCGACCTTGTGAATGGAGCGCTAGGAGAGAGACTGGGGGAATACTCTACCTCACATCCTATCAGTATACACACAGGCACATATAATGTCGCAGGTCAGATACCGACAGAGGACATACTCCCGTGGATCCTCCCCGATTTGCCTGGTCAAGCGGATGCCGATATGCTCGTGCTTGCTTTCCAAGAACTCGTTCAACTCACGCCTCAGCAAATTATGTCTACTGACACCTTCCCTCTCGCCGTATGGGAGCGCTTCATTCTCGAGACACTACGCAGTCGCGGGGATGAGGGTGAGAGTAAGTACGCTCGAGACGACTACATAATCTTGCGTTCCGAGCAGATAGTTGGGCTGGCCTTGATAGTGCTAGTAAAAGCACCGCTCGCACCGCGCGTACGTAGTGTGGAGGGAGTGTTAAAAAAGACGGGTCTCAAGGGGATGTCGGGCAACAAAGGGGCTGCGGCGATACGACTGCAGTACGAGAGCACGACGTTTTGCTTCATAGCCGCACACATGGCAGCCGGGCAAGCAGGTGTGGAAGAGCGCAACAACGACTACCGCACCATAGCAGCAGGACTCTCCTTCCAGCAGGGAAAAGTTCCTTCTTCGCACGACTGCGTGATCTGGCTCGGCGATTTCAACTACCGCGTCGATCTGCCTTACGATGTCGCTACACAACTTGCCTACGACGGCGATTTTCACTATCTCCTCAAACATGATCAGCTCAGTCGGGCGATGCGATCGGGGATATTCAAGGGATTCACGGAAATGGATATTCATTTCGCTCCCACTTACCGCTTTGATTTTGGGAGCGATGTTTACGATACTAGCGAGAAAAGACGCGTGCCGGCTTACACGGATCGCGTGTTGTATAAGTGTAGAAACGATGCTGGTGGTGGAGATGCCGACATGCTTCAGGGACAGGCTTACGATAGTGTGCCCCTCAAAGGCTCCGATCATAGACCCGTCTATGCTCGTTTTAGCGCAGTCGTGAGGGTCATAGATGGAGACAAACGCGATGCTATCGCGAAACAAGTACAGAATGACGCCAACAGGTCTATCGTTACTGAGGAAGGCGTCGATGAGAAACTCGCGAGGTTGGGGTTGAAAGGGAGGAATATGAACAGAAGTTTGAGTGTTGATTTGAATGGTTGGTGGTGCTTTCGATTGACCTCTTGACAATTATGACTAACACTCTGACTTTCACAGGTGGGCTTACTCCAAATGATGATCTCCTGCCCCCTTCTAGCCTCCCCTCACCTAGCACCGAAGTAGACAACTGGTGGACTGATGAACGTGGGTGTGATGCTTAGTGATTCGCTCATCTGAATCTGACGCTCTGTCAAGTCGGCAACGATATCGACTTTGTCTCGCATTTGTATCCGGATGGCAAGGAGGATGATGTGAGTGATGTCTGTTATTTCATCACTTTTCTCATTCTCGCCTAAAGATAGCAGTTCCGTCTGCGCAGAAGATTAGACGCCCACCTCCACCGCCACCAGCTCGTTTGGATGTCGATGTCGATGAAAAGGATGATACGGCTGTTGACGATGTTGAAGATGTCGACGACGCTGAATTGATCAGATTGAATAAGAATAAGGAAAACACAGGCACTCCTTCTCCACGCAAGCCTTCGGTGACTGAGATGATCGGTAAGATAGAGGGAAGTAATAGCGACGTGAAGGAGGAGAGGGAGGAGGCTGGTGACAGCAGTGATACACTCAAAGACGCACACACCAATTCACAAAACACTAAGCCAAGAAAGCCTCGCCCACCAGTGCCTAAAGCGACGAAACCACGCGTGCTAAGTAACGATGAGGAAATCAAAGCTGAGTGATATTTATTCATGTATTGCATTTGTACTGCATTTGTATTTTATTTTACTTTGCGTTTTCCGTTGTGTTTTGCTTATTCCACCTCGACGATCATGGTAGGCACGCAGAAGAGCCGCGCATCACTCGAAAGGGAGCTGGAGGAAGCTGAGGGTGAATTGTCGCGGTTGGAAGCGTTAGAGAAATCGCAGAAGCATGAGCGGGCTCGAATGGAAGCCGACGACGATGACGTCGATGTCGGTTTCAACGATGACGAGCTTGAAGCCCTACTTGACCGACTAGCAGAGAGCGGAGAATCAGATGCGCTTACGGCATTAGGTAATAAAGACAGTGACAAAAGCGGCAAAAGCAACAAGAAGGACAAGAGCGACGAGAATACAAAAGCAATCCAGCGATATAACGATGAAATAGGCCTCAATCAGGCATTTACGGGGATAATGTTTAATCCACCCCAATTGCTATCGCAGGATGAGCATATCAATCATTTAAGCATATCAGGCGCGTTGCCGTCATTCCTCAACCACAATTTCTCCGCGGACGTCAAAATCGATACAATTAGCGGCCAAGTGGCTGATTTGAAGCTAAATTGTGCCATTCCTCAGCTTAGAGGGTGTATTCGTCACATAGAACACTCACGCTCACTCCCACTCTTCTTCCAAACAGTGAGGAAGCTAGGTGATATGTTGCAGTATTTTAGTGACCTCCGCCACGTTCTCATGCTACGCTACCAGAAACACGTCCTCAGCTTCGACACCAACAACATGTGTTTCATAGATCATAAGCAGCGAAGGCTGATATTTACACATAGCGTGAAGTGGAACATTGACTACTCGCGTCTAGAACCTGCATTTAGTTTATATGGTCGATTGGGTGATGGTGGGTGGTTTAGATGTCGTAATTTTCAACTCACACTTAGACACAGAACAACCTAACGCTGAAGCACGCGTGATGCTTCAATCGCTTAGCGTCAATTTCCTGCGCATGATTCAGCTCGGTTTCACGGTGCAGAAGGCGCTCGAAGCCGTCATCGATGTCTTCCTCTACGCCCAGCGCACACCACTCACAAACACTCAGAAGCAGGAGAAAGCAGTAGGGAGTGCGTCGCGCAGACAGGCAGCTGTTGACGGGAAACGCGCATTGATAGTGCGCGAGAAGCGGAAGGAGAGGAGGGAACACAATCTTCGGACTTTATTTGAGAGCCGCGGCGCATCAACTGAAGCACAGAAACAGGAGATCGTGGATGAATTGAAGAAGAAGAAGTTGCGCAAATTACGTGAAGCTAAGAAAAAAGCTAAGACGGATAAAAAAAGGGAGGAGAAAGTCTCAGATATCAGACAGCGCAAGAAAGAGCAGATGAAAGCGGAGAAAAAAGAGCAGCTGAGAAGGTCCAAGCAGGCAAAGAGGGATAAGCAGAGAGAGGAGAATGAGAAACGGGAGAGAGATAAACAGGCGAGAGAAGATCGGGAGAATGAGAGACGCGAGCAAGAGTTGGCTAGTGAGAGACAAAGAGGTGATGAGAATGGAAACGAAGATAATAATAACATTGCAGATCAGTCTGGCGACTAGGCGAATCAAAGTGAAGGCCAAGGTAACGATCAAGATCATGAATAATAATTTTAGCACATACAAACACACAACCTCGTTTCAGTATTTATTTTGTATAAAAATGTATCATGCGTTGACACTGTTATGCAAATGCACAAGCTCATCCAAGAATGAAATGCTCAGACTGAGAACGCATGCAGAACGTGCTTGACAGCTGGCCTGGCGGAGTTATGGTCTTAGAGGCAGCAGAAGCAGTCCAGCTCATTCCACCAATCAGATTCATATGAACGCATATCCCTTGGCGATACTAAAAACACAAGCGAGCAAATTTTCTGTGCCTACAAAATTGAGGTATTCTGTTAGTCAATTTTCATAAAATGTCCAAGCAATAAGACTATTTACCCAAAGATTTTTGTCTGCGCTTGGATCGCTTGTTTCGATCGTGAGCGTCATGGGTGAATATGCCCTGACACCTCGCTAAAGTCACAGAAACGCACACTGGGGATGGTGTGTTGATTGGTATGCGATAGCCTACAGAATTCACGGGCTTTTCCGGGTTATTTTCTGCATGCAATCAGCGTAATTTCTTCAGAACAAAAAACTGTGATGAAAAATTTGAGCGCCACTTGCACATCACAAGGGTAGTATAATATTGTCGACCATATTCTAGGGAGAATTATGAAACTTTATATATACTCAAACTCTCTGTACAAGTTTTTCGGAAAAATTTCCTAGGAGGCCTCGACCATGACGTTTAGATGAGTCGAGGCCTCAAGGGCTAAAATGAATTAAGGACTGCGAGATTCTTTCATCTTAACAATAACACACACACACACAAATAACAATGCAATCTTTGAGACGTCGTGGATCTTTGATTTTCAGACCAAAAGCATCGTATGAGCAGCTCAGGTCAGATATCGGAGTACAATTTCACACCAAACGCAAAGAAGAGGAAAAGCTCGATGGCTTGTTCGTCACAAAGAGGAACTCGCAGATAAACATGGATACAAACATGAACAATACAAACATGAACACAAATACACACATGAGGGAAAGAGTCTACAACGACATATTCGACGGTCAGACGCGTCCATACTCGACGTACAGAACCCACCAACCAAACAACTCTTTCGATGACAGCAGCTACACCAACACAAACTCTGTCAAATCATACAAATATGACTCTGTCAAACGGAAACGCCAACATTTCATCCACTGGGTCTCGTCAATCTTTTGAAAAACTGGAATAAACTGGATAATATAGACATAGAATAGACACCCTCACGCTCACACGCAATCTCACGCTCATTTACGCAACTTTGCTCATCAAACTAGGAACTTTACAAAATTTGAATTATTAGCTCGCCGAACACTGCCACTGTATTAAAAAAACTTATCATATACCCTGCTGTAATGTTATAAACGCATTAGAATTATCACTCCTCTGCTGACTGCCTGAATGCCTCGGTTTTTGCCAGATGGAACTTGCCGCAGTTGCGCTTGGCCGGTGGAGTCGTTAGCGGACAGTTTTTTTTTTGCGTAATTACATTCACTCCAGTCTGCTTGTCATTGATAGAAGCCACCCACCTGGACTCAAGACTCAAGGCTCGTTTATTACTCGAAGACTAACGCATGAATACCATAATCTAACAATATAAATTATTTTACAAGACGATATCTTTCTACAGTCTCCAGCATTTCAAATTCATCACCACGTCAGCCCTTCGCTCAATATCCACCGAGTTGAATTTCTCAACTACCATCTATCTCATCTAAGATGGCGGATTTACGAGTTTTGGTGATCTTCAAGTAAACAAGCTCGATAATTATTCCTGAATGGGCTCTACAAGATGTCACAAGAATTATGTCCCTGAGACTCCTACAGCGCCCTGTAGGGTGCTCGGAAGTTGTAATCCGACATTGCTTTAGAGAACGCTATAGGATAGGTATGGAAATGTTGTGCACTTCGTCGATAGACACAAGTATTTTCTGGCTTTTAGAGACCGCAAGTGCTCAAACATCTCAAGTATTCGGACCTATAAACGCGATAAACGCGGAGAAAACGTTTTATGACACATGGAGTACACAGCTATCAAATCCGGCTCAAGGAGAAACTCTTGTTGTTCCGCCTCAATTCACAACTGGAAGAAGAGATTTAGGTACAGAAAAGTGGGGGTCATCAAAACTCTGATTGGTCAGGGGGGTGTTGTTGGTTTCTGATCAGTAAATCTAGATAATCTTAATGGGGTTGGAGGGGTTTCCAAAGTTGCATTAGGACAATAGAAGGCAGAATAGCAGGAATTTATATTTTAGATACCAATTATACTCCCTGAAACAAGCTACATTTATCTGGACAATCGCAAAGCACATAACTAAGATATTCGCGATAAAGGCACTTTCGAATTAATCAAGTTCGCAGTAATTACAGTGTTGACGGAGACGTCATTGAACATGCCACGCCCGTTCTGGAAATAAGAGTGATGTAGTGAGAGTGGGGATAATCGAGCTATAATTGAATACTGTATGCATAAATGTAGCTTGATAATAGCACGACGTTTGATTTCGCGAGTGATTCACCACTCTCATCTGTTACAGCGACGATATGACCACAACAAAGTACGTGCTGTTCGATCTAGACGTGAGTAGGTGAGTCTGCGGCAAATGCGTGCTGAACGCAAGCAGGGGCTTCTGATAGACAGTGAGCGGGTGTATACGGAAGTAACGAACGAGATACTCTTACCGTATGGGAAGAAGTTTAACTGTAAGCGGTAGAGCGTCCGTTACAACGTCTCTTAACAGCTGAATCAGGGACGCTCAAGGCGAATATGATGGGCAAGCGTGAGTGACTGGGTGACGAACTGACCACTTGTACAAGACTAACACAACGTTAGATGAGAGAGTTGCGTGCGAGTATCTCGTCAACGCACTGCAGATCCCTCTCACAGTGGACGAATACATAGCGCAGCGCAACGCTAAACAGAATGAGGCTTGGCCAAGACTAGCACTGCGTCCTGGTGCACTCGAGCTGGTGACGCACCTCAAAGCACACAATATTCCTATCGCTGTAGCTACTGGTAGCCGCAAGAGCAGTCTGATGCAAAAGTGTAACGCTCCAGTCGTCCATCACCTCATGTCGCTCTTTGGGGAGAATTGCGTCACAGCTGACGACGTCGGTCCTGGTTTGGGCAAACCGAACCCAGATACTTTCTTAATTGCCGCTCAGAGATTGGGCGCTGATATTGGATACGACGTTAATGGCGTTAGTAGCCCTTCAAAGGAAAACCTCCTCGCGCGCGACAGCTGCCTTGTGTTCGAAGATGCAGTGCCAGGTGTGCAGGCTGGCCTCAATGGCAATATGAAAGGTGGGCAGGAGTAGCTGTAACGTCATTGCTAACATTTCATCTTCAGTCATTTGGGTACCTGAACCGGAACTACTTGACTTGTACAAAGACGACGATAGCGTAAAGGGCGTTTATCAAACTCTTACCTCCCTACAAGACTTGAAACTGTCAGACTTCGGTTTGCCGGATATCAAGTAGACCACATCTCCCAAAACATCTCATAAAGGATAAAAAGAAAGTAAATAAATCAGATTACATTTTTCATAGAAGGACTTGATTAGGTAGTACTCGGATCAACTTAAGCCAAAAGCGCTCTGACTTGAGATTCAATGTCAGCTGGGTGAAGCTTTTGGTAAGGGATTTGGTCAGAGATACCACCGCAGCCTTCGTGGAATGATCCGATGTGCTTGTACTTAGGTGTGAATCCGCGTTGAATGAGTTGGGTACCGAGTCTAGAACCCAAGCCGTTCTTTTGAGAGATGGACTCAACGACGAGAACAAATGGTGAAGAGCCGTATACCTTCATGGCGTCCTCATCGACGACGTTGAGAGTTGGCTTGTTGATTAAACCAACGTCAACACCTTGTTCACGGAGACGCTCGACAGCGTCCAATGAACGGTGCAACATGTCACCGAATGAGATGACGTAACCAGCTGAACCAGTTCTTACAACTTCTTCCTTTCCTGGAACAAACTTGTAGTCACCGCCGAAAAGCTTGTCTTGAGTGCCTTGCTTGAGGATATATGGAACCTTTGAACGGGTAGAGAAGACAATTCTAATACCTTCGTTCCAGAAAACGGTGTTGACGATAGCCTTCATTTGCTCACCGTCAGCTGGGAAGTAGAGGCTTGTTGGTGCGGTGTCTTCTAAGCCGTTGTCGGCGAAGAAGTGGTTCAAACCAAAGTGACAGGTGTTGTCAGCCATTTCATCAACACCAGAGTGAGAGAAGTGGCAGAGAACGTTACAGTGGTTGAGTCTAGCCATGGTCATTTCAGACAAGCACATTTCCAAGAAAGCTGAGAAGGTAGAGAAAACACCTTGACGCTCACCGTTACCACCGAAACCGAAACCAGCGGCAGCAGAGAAGTTACCACGCTCCATGACACCAGATGGAACGAAAACTTCAGGGTGGGCAGAGTGGATACCCTTCAAACCAGTTGAGCCTTCAAGATCCGAGTCGATAACCATTACGCGTCTGGCAGCTTCCTCCTTTGAGAGCTTGTCGAGGACAGAGTTGACGGCCTCACCAAAGATGACTCTGTTGGCGCCCTTGTCGGAGGTGGCACCCTTGTATTCGTAGCTGAAAGCTTTTGGCTTGATGTTGTCGTAGAACTTGAGCTGGTCTTCAGAATAGCCACGCTTGGTGAGGTACTTCTTGGCAACGGCGACAGGGATGACATCGTGAGCGTGAGATTCACCTTCGATGCCCTCGATTTCCGGAGCGATCTTTCTTGAAGATACGACGGCAGCTGGACCATCGTGCGCAACGACCTCACAGACAGCCTTGTAGAGAGAATCGATGTTTTCACCTTCAGCGCGCACAACCTTCAAGCCGTGACCTTGGAGGGTGTTTGCAACAGAGTAGCCCTTCATGTATTTTGATGGGTGACCAGAGATAGTGACGTCATTGTCGTCAACGAACAATTTGACGTTGAGGTTTTGGGCGACGGCGAGACGAGCAGCTTCGGCATCGTCACCTTCTTGCTGGGAACCGTCAGACCCCAACATGATGACATTCTTGTCCTTGTTGGCGAGAGCAACACCGTTGATCATAGCCCACATGTGTCCGAGACGACCAGAAGAGAATTTTACACCTGGAGTGAGACCTAACTCAGGGTGACCAGGGAGCTTCGAGTTGGCTTCACGGTAGTTGAGGAGGTGCTCTGGATCGATGTGTCCGTCGAGAGTGGAGAGAAGGTATTGGGTTGCTACACGGTGGCCAGCTTCATCGAAGAAGGTGTCGATGAACTTTTCAGGGTTTGCGTTAATGAGAGCGAGGAGGATACAGACTTCTGGGGCAGTGTCGAATGGTCCACCAGTGTGGCCAGACACACCTCTTGCGGCACCTGGATGGCTACGTAAGCGGGAGTCGCGTTGGAGTACGCATCAATGACGCACCAGTGGCAGAGAATGCGACGATGGCATCACGGAAGATGTTGATGTTGGCTAAAAGAGCGCTTTTCTCTTGCTCAGAGAGATTTGGGCGTCTGAATCGTCATTTGTCAGACGATTTAGTAAGCGGAAACAAATCACTCACGTATAGTCTAATTTTAAGCTTTGGAATTTAGAGAGATCTACTGGGAATGACTGGAACGTGTGTTAAATAGCTTGGATAGGTGCTCATCCCTACAAACCATTTCGATGATGACGGTATTGGTTCAAGGGTGCTTGTCTGCTTAGATTCTTATATTCTGATGTGATTACAGTGTGGATGCTGTTCAAAAATATATGACGGTTTATATCTCTTAATTCTCGTTGCTGTCGTGTGTTTTGGCGACGAAAACACGAAAATTCCGCAAAAGCAATGGAAGGCTTCCGAAGGCTTTGCAGTGGATGTTACGCGTTATTCAAGCCGAGGTGATTAAATATATCCAAAAATATCTTTAAAATCTCAACTTCCGACAATTGCTGGTTGCGATTGCTTGCGATCCGATATGACATAAGCTGGCTTTAGTATTGGCAAAATTACATAAGAATATAAATACAAAAGGGAAATACGTTTAAGAGAATAGATCATCTGCGTTTGAAGATTGTAGGATCGCAAGTGATTCCCAATCGACGTCGTCAGGGACTATAGGCATTTTAGCACCTTGAACTGCAAGGGCATCAGCAGCCTCATTATCAGGATGATCTGATTGGGTGGTTAGTGACGAGATAAAAAAAGAAAGATTAAACACCCACTGTCATGTCCTTTGACCCAATTGAGTTTAATAGCAGCAGTGTGGTTATCGAATAACGCGTATAGGTATTTGATCATGTCAACGTTCTTGATGGGCTTTTCACTGTTACCAGAGGCTTTAAATTCGCGTTTTTCAATGCCAGCTCTGAATTTAGTGAGACCTTTTATGTTTGTTAAATTATGGAAGATGGGACAACAAGACACACAGTTTATAGTGTACTCCGAATCAGAAAAGATATTCAAAAGTCTAACATCACGTGGGCAACTCTCCAAAGCGCGTATTAAAGCTAACATCTCACCTCTGTTGTTTGTTTGAATTGGACCAGGAAGTTTTCCAGACACGTTTAGGTGAGAATTTTCACCCCAAAATACGCCGCAACCAGCTTGTGAGTTAGATTTGCCGTTGCTTGTACAAGCGCCGTCAGTGTAAACGACAGCTTTGTTGTGGTAGAAACCAGCTCTATCCCGTTGGACAGGAGGAGGAGGGGGAGTCGGAGATGGTTGAGGTTTTGGTTTCTTTTGAGAATCTGTAGATGAATCTAATTTGCGTTTCTGAGGGATTTTGTTGGTGTTGTCTTTGCTGCAGGGAATATCAAGAAATTGAATAGCATCTTGTTCGTTTTTAAAGCCTTTGAATATAGCGCCAGGATATTGCTTAACTTGAGATTCACACTCAGACCAAAGCGTATAAATGCCAGGATTCCTACCCTTCTTGACAGCGTAAAATGATTTAAAATTCTTTGATTTTGACATTTTGAGTAAATTTAAAGAATATTTGAGAATATTTGTAAATTCAAAGATAACACGCTCGTTCAACTAGAACCAACACCATCAATGGACTTGGATCAATTCGAGTTACAATCCAGCTACAGTTACGGTACAAATAACCTGGAAAATGATTTGAACGAATTGAATTTTAATGATTTGAGCAATTTCAATGATTTAAGTTTGCAGCAGTCACAGCCACTGCCACAACAACTCGACGACGATGATCTCGTTCTTGATGATTTAAAGGGTGATCTCCCTGAACACGCGTGTAGTTACTGCGGTATACACAACCCAGCGTGCGTCGTTAAATGCCAGACTTGCTTGAAATGGTTTTGTAACGCAAGAGGTTCCACTTCCGGCTCACACATTGTAAACCACCTCGTTAGAAGTAAACATAAGCAAGTCGTCCTACACCAAGAATCCCCACTCGGTGAAACTCAGCCTGAATGCTACAACTGCGGCTCGAAGAACGTTTTCATCCTTGGCTTCATCCCCGCCAAATCTGATACCGTTGTCGTCCTTCTATGCAGACAACCGTGCGCCGCTATGACTGGTACACGCGATATCGTTTGGGACACCTCCCAATGGTCCCCTCTCATTCAAGATCGCAGCTTTCTTACTTGGTTGGTCAAGGTTCCCTCCGAATCTGAGCAATTACGCGCAAGGCAAATCTCCTACCATCAAATTAACAGACTAGAAGATCTCTGGAAAGAGAACAAATCCGCCACTCTCCAAGACCTCGACAGACCTGGCGTTGATGAAGAACCCCAACCTATCCTCCTCCGCTACGAAGACGCTTATCAATATCAAAATATCTTTGGTCCTTTGGTTAAAATCGAAGCTGACTACGATAAGCGTCTAAAGGAATCTCAATCCCAGCCCGATTTAGTCGTCCGTTGGGATATTGGTCTTAATCAGAAGCGTGTTGCTTGGTTCGCAATGCCCAAGTTAGAGTCTGGTGAAGTCAAGCTCGCTGTCGGTGATGAGCTGCGCTTGAGTTATCGCGGTGACAGGCAGTGGTCCGGTATCGGACACGTAGTTAAAATTCCAAACAACGTCTCTGACGAGATTGCTCTCGAATTGCGCAGACAAGATGCTGTCCCGATTGACATGACTCATGGCTTCGAAGCTGACTTTGTCTGGAAGAGCACCTCGTACGATCGTATGCAGTTGGCTATGAAGACTTTTGCTGTTGATGAGCAGTCTGTCAGTGGCTACATCTATCACAAACTTCTTGGTCACGAACTTGAACCCCAAGTTGTACGCACTCAGATGCCTAAAAAGTGAGTTTTCTCCACACTCACACTCATTGCTCACCTCATCAATCAAGATTCTCGGCACCTTTTCTCCCTGAACTTAACCACTCACAGATGTATGCTGTCAAGAGTGTTTTACAAAAGCCTCTTAGCTTAATTCAGGTGAGTTGTTTGAATCTCACATTTTGCTGTCTGCTTACATTATACAAAGGGTCCGCCTGGTACAGGTAAAACCGTTACATCTGCGTCAATAGTATACCACCTATCCAAGATGAATCCTGGTCAGGTTCTCGTATGTGCTCCTTCAAACGTTGCAGTTGACCAGTTGTGTGAAAAGATACACTTGACTGGCCTCAAGACTGTGAGACTTACAGCCAAATCGAGAGAAACAGTTGAATCTCCAATCACTTTCCTCACTCTACATGAACAGGTAACCAACTCAACCCATCACATTGAACTACAGAAGCTGATATTGCTCAAAAACGAGCAAGGTGAATTGTCGTCATCTGACGAACGTAAATTCAAAACGTTAACGAGGGCATGTGAGAAGGAGATACTTAATGCAGCAGATGTTATTTGTTGCACCTGTGTTGGTGCTGGTGATCCGAGATTGAGCAAGTTAAAATTCCGTACGGTCTTAGTTGATGAAGCTACTCAAGCTGCTGAGCCTGAGTGCACAATACCATTAATCATGGGATGTAAGCAGGCGGTGCTAGTTGGTGACCACCAGCAACTCGGTCCAGTCATCATGAACAAGAAGGCTGCTAGAGCTGGTTTGACTCAGTCTTTGTTCGAAAGGTTAGTCATGCTTGGCAACAGACCTATCAGATTACAAGTTCAATATCGTATGCATCCATGTTTGTCAGAGTTCCCTTCGAATATGTTTTACGAAGGTACGCTGCAAAATGGTGTGACTGCGCCTGAGCGTCTGAGAAAGAACGTCGACTTCCCATGGCCTATACCAGACACACCAATGTTCTTCTATCAGAATCTCGGTCAGGAGGAAATATCGTCATCTGGGACGTCCTTCTTGAACAGAACTGAGGCTAGCAATTGTGAGAAGATAGTAACCAAATTCTTTAAGGCGGGTGTTGTGCCTGCACAGATAGGTATTGTTACGCCATACGAGGGACAGCGTTCGTATATAGTCAACTACATGCAGTTCAACGGTGCGCTCAAGAAGGAGCTATACAACCAAGTGGAGGTGGCATCAGTTGATGCGTTCCAAGGACGTGAGAAGGACTACATCATACTATCGTGCGTGCGTTCCAACGAGCACCAAGGTATTGGGTTTCTGTCAGACCCACGTCGTCTCAACGTAGCAATGACGAGGGCTAAATTCGGCAGCGTCATTCTCGGTAACCCAAAGATACTGTCCAAGCATCCGCTCTGGCATCATCTGCTCACGCACTTCAAGGAGAAGAAGACGTTGGTAGAAGGGCCTCTCAACAACTTGCAAGAATCTATGATACGATTCAATAAGCCAAGGCAGCCACTCAACAAAGCCACTCTCGACCCCTTTTCGCGCAGATTTGAGATCAACGCCCGAGAAGCACTGGGAGCGGGTATACCAGCTACAGGAGCGCGAACGCCTACGACTGGTTTCGGAGAGCTTGGTGATGTTTCGACATACGATATGAACAGCATAAGCGCGTACAAGCAGGATGGATTTGAGGGTGGAGGAGTTGGAGTTGGTGGGGGTATTGGAGGGTTACCTCCTACATTTGGTAGAATGATGAAGCAGAATGGCGGTGGTTATGCCAACTACGCTAGCTCCGTACTGTCACAAGACCTCGGCAGTGATCTGGGCAGCGTTGCACCTTCTACCATATCTTCCTCCGTCGCTTACTCCCAGTCAGACCGTCTGCGCGACGCTTCAAACTCCATGGCTGTTGGCGGATATAAGGATGAGCTTGCTGACGATATGCAGTCTTCTTACTCAGGTGCTACTTCGCAGGCTTTTACTGAGTTTTAGAGTGTTGGAGAGTGTGGAGGGTGTGCCTGTGTCAGTGTCACTGTCGATCCGTTTCCTTGGTCTGTCATGGTTCATGGTGCATGGTGCACGGTTGCATCCCAAGACGATGTCTACGACGATCGCCAACGGATTGAAAGGGTGAAAAGATTGTTTCGTTGTAGTTGTTGTGTAGTTGTATAGTTGTTCAGTTGTTCAGTCGTGTGGTTGTTATAGTCGTAGCAATCCAAGTAAATGCAAATAAAATTATCTTGTGCGTTTCTTGCGTGCCATGCGTGTCTCCCCCACTTCGCCTCAGAGCCTCATCGCGTCTCTCTAACCAACACCACCACGATAAAGGATAAGAAAACGGGCAGATGAATGCAGTGAGCTCGCAAGCCACGCGACAGATAAACAAGCTGAATGAAGATATTTCAAAATTGGACAACGACAAAGGGGAGCTGTCGAATGCGCTGACGGGGCAGATGGCGGCGTCGCTAGCAGCGCTCAATCGGACGATTGACGACTACGAGCAGCTAGCTAAAGGAGAGTTGAACAGCGCCAAGCAGGAAAAAGCACTATCTCGCTCCGCCGATCTCCGCAAGGAAGCAAAGGCACTCAGACAGCGTTTCGAAATATCCAAAACGAAAGCGGGCGAGAGGGCAACGACATCGCTCAGATCTGATCTCATTGGAGGGAGTGGTGATCATCAACTACGAACTCGCAACGATCCCCTTTTCCAGCCGAATAGAAATGCTCGCCATAACACCCCTAACACTCCTCATTGGGATGATCTCGCCGTCAGAGAAAACGATTTCGCTCGTAACGCTAACTCTCAACTCGATTCATTCCTCGCACACGGAAGCAGTATATTAGAAAACATGCGCGATCAGAGAGGGTTGCTCAAGGGGACTAAAACAAGACTGCTCGACGCTGCCAATGGCGTCGGTCTTGGTAGAACTGCAATTGGGTTTATTGAGAGACGATCGTGGGTTGTTTGCTTGGGTTTGTGTCGATATTCGCTCACTAATATATCATGCAGCGCTAAGGATATCCTCCTTTTCTATATCGGTGCTGCTTGCACTCTTCTCGTCATGTTTGCCATTTGGTTTTACCTTGGATGAAAAAAGCTGGAAAAAGCTGGAGCAGCTGGAGAAAGACAAGATATACCATGATTTACGTGAATCTATAAATAATGCATCTATTAAACTTTAGCGAGGTTCTAAAATCCAACAACTTTCTTGTTGGGTTGTTTTGGAGTAGCCAATCCACCTTTACCACTCTTGATGGCCTTCTCCTTCATCTCAATGTCAGTTTTACGCGCAGTGAGAACGTGGAAGTCGTCTTCATCTGCATTGCCGCCCGTCTCACCCGTTCCAACGATAAGAGGAGGTCTTCTAGCCTCCTTCTCCTGGTCAGAACGCACAGGACAATCTTTTGCGAGGTGTTCAACGCTCTTGCAAATCTTACATTCACCGCCGCGAGGGTAAACGCCTCGTTGATTACGCTCGCATTGTCCAGCCAAATGACCTTTGTTGTTGCAAATGAAACAGCTGGCGTAGGGCAGCTCAACGCCGTCCTTTGGTTTGGGCTTTCTACACAGCTTGAGAGAGTGCGTTGTAGATCCACATCTGTAGCATAACGTGGATTGTTTCTTTCCATCGTTCTGAGGACACTTGTCGACGCTATGTCCTTTCTGTCGACAGCCGTAGCAGAGAGTGTCTGACTGGCGCTGAGCTATACGGTCCTCACGACGCTTGTTTGATTTGTGCTTCTTTATGGCCGCTGTCTTCTCCAATTTGGCTGCCTTCTTTTCTGATGGTTGGGATGGCTGAGATGGTTGGGGTGTGGTTGCATTAGCGCCAGTAGCTGAGGATTTGTTTGAATTGCTGGGAATGCCACTCTTATCGCCCGTCTTATCGCCATCATTATCTGCCGTGTCTTCTCTCTTCCCTTCAGCTTCGTGTTGGGCAGCTTTTTTATACTTTTTTGCAGATTTGCGTATACGTTTCTTCTTAGGAGGTTGCTGAGGGGTTTCTGTGTTGGTCTCTGGGCTATTCTCAGGTACGCTGGCTGTATCGGCTGTATCAGCACCAAGCGCACCCTCAAACCCAGCGTCTACGTAATTTCTCTTGCGGCCCATGTTTGTAATGCGAGTCCTTGTGGAATAATTCAGCGGGAATTCCTCTGAAAACACTCAACTCACATATCGTTGATGGTTGTTTTATCTCAACCAGCAACAGCCACAGCCATGTCATTGGAACGTGAGGAGTACGATGACAATTCTGAAGATAGTGATATTCTCGACGCTGATGACGGGGATTATTCAAGTGGTAAACCATCAAAACCGCCTAAGAAGGATACTGGTTATAGCTGGGAATCTGAGTATAAACGGAGCTGGGATGTCGTCGCAGAGGACGAATCAGGTTCACTCACTACCTCTGTTAATGCTTTTATTGAGCGTAATAAGCGCAGGCGGCGACTTGGTGGTGAAGCTATACAGCGCGCTATCATCAGACATACACTACTCGTTTTAGACCTCAGCAGCGCTATGAGCGATAGGGATATGCGTCCTAATCGTTATCTGCTATCTCTCGAATATGCACGCGAATATGCACGCGAATACTTTGACCAGAATCCAATCGGTCAGCTTGGTTGTATTGCTATGCGCAATGGCGTGGCCGAATGGATTTCTAAAATGACTGGAAGTGCACACGATATCACCAAAGCGTTAACCAACAAGAATAAACTTGAGCCTTCTGGTGAGCCTTCCCTACAGAATGCTTTGGAGATGGGAAGAGCGTCTATGACGTGGGTTTTTAGGTGGTTCTAGTATTTCTCTCATCTCTTGACATTCTATAGCCACCTCCCTACACACGCATCAAAGGAAATTGTCATCGTTTATGGCGCACTCACCACTTGCGACCCTGGAAATATTCATGACACACTACGTTCACTTATGAATGACAAAGTTAGAGTTAATATAATATCTTTAGCAGCAGAAGTTAGAATATTACGTGAAATTGCTGAGAAAACTGGTGGTATGTTGATACACCGTTATCAAACACGCTAAATGACATGACAGGTACATTCTACGTTGCCCTCGATGAAGTTCATTATAAAGATATTCTATTTGAGACTATTCCGCCACCAGCAATACACAAAGCCGACACGCCAAATACATTAAACACATCAAACACATCAAATACTGCTGATCTCATGCAAATGGGTTTCGCTGTTCGTTTACCATTTACAGCCCCACTGACACTATGCGCATGTCACAGTGAATTACGTCGAGAAGGCTATCTATGTCCGAGATGCGGTAGTAAGCTATGTGAGATACCAACAGATTGCGCTGTTTGTGATTTGGTTGTTGTTAGTAGTCCACATCTAGCCAGATCATATCACCACTTGTTTCCAGTTGCAGATTGGCTGGCTGTGGGTGTTGAAGGGGTGACAGATGAAAGTTTTACCAGATGTTTTGGATGTCGGTTGACATTTCCGCCTGTTGTGGGGGGCATGACAACACATACACCTACAGCTGCAAACGTTAGTGGCGGTGTCAGTTCCACTGGGAGATATCGCTGTCCCAAGTGTAGAAATGACTTTTGCGGTGAATGTGACATGTATTGTCATGATACACTGCATGTATGTCCTGTAAGTGGACGTATGTAGTTGTTTAGCCAACTAAAGCGTCTTCATAGGGCTGCGAATAAAGCACAGATCATCGTGAAAAAAGCGATGAAAAAGATGAAAAGCTAAAATGACATGATAATTACTTAGTTGGAATGTAACCATGACGTTAATCAGTCAAGTTGCCGATAGAATAATTTCGTTAGCAAGACATTTGAATTATTTGCAAGGCAAGAGATGCGCTAGGAATCAAATATCAACGGTGCTGCTCTGTGGGTTTGCGATAACGTCATTATTCTATCCGGCGTTTGGACTGTTGCTGTGGACAAAGCACGATAAGAGGAATTTAGATATAAATTCGAATAATTTCAATAACGCAGATTTTTATTCCATGTGGGATAACCATTTTTCATTCACTGCTGGGCATAATGGGTTCGGAAGCAATTACAGCGCTGAATTGGTTGTGTCACCTCTAGACGATAACTACCAATCGCTATTAGATAACATTTCATCTATATCCGATCACCATTGCCTCAAATTCGATCAAGACTGCTTCATTCTCTCTCCATTCTCTCTTTTATACAACGATTCTGCGAGCACTATTGCACAGTTCAACCAGCTCCCATATGCTATCACTACCATCTTGTTCCACGACTCTCACGATCACTCCCTCTTCTTCCAGAATCTTAGCGCGCTTGACGCACATGCTGTACCCTCTCAATCCCCCCACAAGGAAATCTCCATCCATCGAAACCCACACTCTGCGTACCCTTCATCACTCCCTTACATCTTCGGTATAGCCTACGTTCTCTTCATCATTTACTTGTCCATATCCGTCTCCCGTCTTCATCAGGTCCACTCGCGCTTCGGTCTAGCTATTACAGGCATAGCACAGCTCTGTGTATCTACCATCATGTCAATATCTCTCCTCGAGTTGTGCGACTGGAGACTGCGCCTAATTCCATGGACCGTAGTCCCATTCGTGATTGTTGTCGTTGGTGTAGAGAACATGCTCACAATTGCGCGTGCAGTGGTATCTACATCAATCTCGCTCCCTGTACCTGAACGTGTTGGTCAGGGCATGGCTAAAGTCGGTCCAGTTATCGGTATGACTGTTCTTTCGGACCTCACTCTACTCGCTATTGCGGGCTATCTGCTGCCGGGGATGATCAGAGAATTCTGCATTTTCGCCTCTGTCGTTAGTGTGATTGACTACTTTCTGCAGTCCACCTTTTTCATTACTATTCTTTCGGTGGATATACAGCGATTAGAGGTGCGTTTGATTGGCTGCTCGGGGTTGGCTGACAAGTATCGCAGCTCTCCGACCTCATTCATCAAGGTATTCAGCCAGGTGCTACGGCCCCTGCCCATGCTCATACTCACAGTCCCTCCGATACCCCCAAGAAGCACACCTTCACTTCGAATCCGCTGATAATAGCTACAAAGGCAGTGTGGAAAGCGCGCTCAACGCGCAATGCGAGTTTGTTAGTGGTGAGTGGAGAGTAGGGGAAAGGGTGGTTGGTGTATTGACTGAGAGTAGTGTAAGCTGACGACCAATGCAGCTGATACTGATAATGAGCACACTCTACTACATGACGCTGCCATCGCAAGTACACTCACACTCACACGCACACTCCCAATCACACTTGGACGCACCCGAACACAACTACAACCACTCGCCCACCTTCACCTTCTCACAACACGTTTGGTCGATCCTCTCAGAGGATGGGGCGCATGCGTTCGTGAATATTCACATCAATCCACCTACTTTCCTCACTACTTATGCGTCTCAGGAAAAACTTGACGCGCTTGAGCAGCAGGAGCTATTTGCACCGCGCACACGCGCGTTTCTATGGTCGGTCAAGGTTGTCGTTCTCCCCATTGGATCTTCTCTCGTCGCCCTCTACTGCCTCCTCCTCTTTCTGCTTAAAGATAAGGAGCTCCATGAGCTGCAGCGGAGCAAACTCGACGAGAGTGTGGGCATGAGCAGGGGTGGGAGTGGTAGTAATATTGATGCGCAGCCCCCGAGCGAGCATCAGCAGCTGCAACCGCATAGAAGGGAGGAAAACTCACAATCAAACCCTCGCTCAAAATCACACTCTCTACAAATCAATGCCTCCGTTGAAGTGGTAGATAGCGTCGACATCGCCCACGTCGCATCCACACCATCTCTGCTGGCGTGGTGTACGGTGCTTGATGATGTCAATGTGGTGCACTGCGGCCAACGCTTCCTTCTGACTATTCCGTCGCAATCTGAGGCTAACAATGAAGCTAATGGCCCGGTTGCGACTGCCAAAGTGACTGCGCTGGTGGCGAGCAATTCTCTGATCGCCGTTGGTTGGACCGATGGGGCAGTGATATTGTGGGATATGCGCAGCGGTGTCCCTGTTCCACGTCACCTCGAAGGTCTGCGTAGTGGTGAAGATGGAGAGTCTGTGGACTCTTCCTCGCCTATCTCGCCTGTCCCCGTATCTGCATTGGAATTCAGAAGCAGTTGCGGAGTTGCTGGCGATGCTAGCGATGCTAGCGATGGTAATGACCCTAATGATGCTAACCATGTCAATGATGATAACGATGGCAACTCCGCCTCCGCTGCGGACGTGTTGGTCTGCGTATACTCTAATCAATCCGCTTTGTTTTGGCGCTTAGTTGATTATCGCAGCTTCACCATCACTCATCACGCACAATTTGTCTTTTTGTCAAAGCCGCAAGTTTTCGTTGGTGTGAGGGGTGCACAGGGAGATACAAATACACTGAGCATATTCACCTACGATTGCCACAGACAGTCCAAGATTTTATGGGGCAAATTGCAGCGGTACTGGGATGAAGATGCCCATGAAAAAGGAGGCAATCAAGACACTCTCATCGACCTCGTTGAGATGGGACGCAAGAAAGTGGTTTTCTTTCAATCATCCCAAGGTGCCATACGCGCTGTGGATGTGGGGGGAGAGTGCAGCCAAGTCATTGGAGTGTTGGAGGGAATACTCTCAGACACTCCCACTCTCACTCATGTTGAAATAGTCAAACCGAGATTGTGCACGTGCGCGTGCAGCGATGATGCGATTGCTGTGCATGTGCTCAGATGCACCCTGCATTCTGTCTCGTTGGATATGCTGACTGTTGGCATGAGTGGGGATGTCCCAAGCACCAACTTGAGTGATGCAAAGGATGTAAAGGATGCTAGTAACGCAAGCAATACCAACACCAATACCAGCACACCAACACCAATGCTGCTCCGAAACAGATCGCGTAAGGGTGGCGCAGGAACCAGCAGCCACAGCCAGACTGAGGAGGGAGTTGGGTACCCGTTAGCTAACCATGGGTTCTCACGACGGGTGAGTGCAGCGAAAGGTGAAAATGGCGATGGTAAGATACATTTTTGCTTAGTGGGTTGGTAAGAGTTGACTAACTTTATTTGCAGGTTGCTCGACGTGCACACATACACACCCACTTACACTCCCCTCACACACTTCACCGCTACATTTGGACGCGCGATTTAACACCTGCGCAACATTCACCGACTGCGTCGTCGGTGTTTGTCGCAATGGTCGCAGTTGGGAGGCGTGGCGCGTCGCGTTATCGCATTGCGAAGATGCCGTCGTGGAGAGAAGGTCGTTTGAAGTGGGTCATGTGCGCGATGTGCGAGGTGTCAGAAGCGAGTTTGCCGGTAGTACACATAGCAGTGGTAGTATTAGTGCTCATAGAAGCAGTAACAGACCGCGCTTAGAGTCGCTAGGTCGACGAAGGGGTGTGTCGAGCACACCAATGACACATGCTATCATCCCCACCTCCCGGATACTCACCTGTCAAGCAATATCAGATACACAGATACTCATCGTATTCTCTAATGCGGTAGTTGCGTTGGAATTCAATAATAGTACTACCGCCAACATGAAGAAAGAAGTGTAAAAATCGTTACATCTATGCATTGCTATCATTATTGTCATCCATAACATCATCATCATCGTCATCATTCTGTCTAGCTTCTCGTTCAAATTCTGCGTGCTGTTTGACCTTATCGTGGTGTTCTCTCTGATAGACATCCTGCAAATACCAATGACCATGATAAGGGCCTTTGTTAGCTAAATGTGCTATAGTCATGAGAGTTTCCTTGAGATAAGTAAGTGGCTGCTGAGTTCTAGCACGCAAATCGCGCATATTCCAATATTTATTCCTCTCAAACAGGCTAAAGAGGAGGTCAAGTAGTTCATTCTTGGGCATACGAGCAGCGCGTTCAAATTGAGCACCAGCTTTCTTGCCTTTATCGGTTTTAACGAAGGAGGAGAAACGAGAGGCAGTGTTGAATCCATGCTGTAGTTTTGTATCTTGTGGTTCGAGAATCTTAGCAGTACGTTTTGGCTGTGAAGCAGAAATATGTCTAGCTTTCATAATACTTTTGTAGCTGTCATTGAGATCTGGGATAAGAGCACCTTCGTGGTGAATCCTACCGGATAAACGCGTATGTATTGGGTGATTGACACGGGAAAAAGCGCCAGAAGCAGCGAGTTGAGATTGCTGTGGTGTAATATCACCATCTTTTTCAGCGAATATGTAATTATTCTCGCTAGAATGTTTGTGTACATTGAGAGTGTATTCTCTGGGAAGGTCTTGAGTGATTTGATCTGTATGTTCTGGAGGTAGAATAACTTTTACAGAGTTGTCGTTGTAGACGCGTAGAGTACCCAACTCCAAAGCATCTTGCTCAACTTTCTCCCAGCGTTCTTTGAGGAATTTAGGAATCTAAGGGAGGTTTGAAGGGAGGAGAGTGGAAATTTACAACCAACCTTTATCAGCCACACCTTATTATCATCGTCATCGAGGTTTATAGATTCATCTGCGAAGACCTTGGAAATGTTTGAGTGAATTGGGTATTATCACCATATACACACCTCAGTACCAATATCCTGCATACTTTAAGCTATAGTAAATACCCTAATAACGTATAAATACCTCTGAGATATCCTCTGGTTTGATTGAAGTTCCCGGCTCAATGGGGTCCATGGTGGTCTAAATAATAGAAGGTTAAACTTGAACATTTGAAGCTGATTTGAATTTTACTAGTCAAATCAATTTCAACTGGATTATTACGCAATTTACTTGAATTTACTTGCTGCGCATTTTATTCTCGAACAATCAATTGAGTTACTAGTAAATGTTTATAGTGTTGGCTATAAACAATTGCTATTAAAATGGATAACAAGAATGTTAGAGCGCTAGCTGTTGATAAGCTTAGAAGGGCTGCTTCTATTCCTAGGAGGAATGTTTCTGGTGGTAGCAATGATAGTAATTTAGATGCTAGTAGGGATATTAGTAAAGATACTAGTAATGATAGTAGATTAGATACTAGCAATTTCGCTCCAAACTCACCCTATTCACCCACTATCTACGAACCAGTGTTGGATAGTGTACAATCCACAAACAGCGACGGTGAAGATGACAAGCAAGGCGATAACGATAAAGCAGAAAATCCAGAAACCTTAGATAACTCACTCACTCTCCAACTCGTCAACCCTCACTCCCCTCAAAAGCCTACTAAGAAACAACTACTCACTCTCACTCAATTACAAGATCAATTGCTATCAAAACATGGTAACTCCCTTTTATCTAGATCAAACAGTGCAACTGCAAGAGTAAACGCCTTCAACAAGCTCGTTAATGGTGCTTTACTCAACAATGATGAAAATTCTCGCTTACTGAGGAGTAACACCGTCACTGGTGCAATTGGTGGTCGTGGTAGCAGAGATGATTCTAGACAAGCTGCAAGAGCTAACATGCTTAAGCGTTTAGGTAGTCGTAGACAACCACCAACACAAACTACTCAAAAGAGGAGAAGTTCATTGGGTGACCTTGACTTGAGCAACTTTGATAACCTCCTCAACTCTTCTAAGCCTCCTCAAATTCTCCCTTCAAACCTTCTTCTTGTTCCACCCACTCCAAAAAGGGAACGTAAGCAAAGCTTAGAGTCCACAAATTCTATAGGTTCACCTTCATCTGCTGGAAATGGTGATAAATTTGAGTATGAGAGAATGTTAAACACTTCAACACGTTTATCACCCGCCAATAGTGATATTGAGGATAGTGATGATGATATCACTTATGAGGAAGTTGAGGAGGTTGATCATGTTGATAAAGTTGATCAACTTGATATAATTAACTCTGAAATTTCAAACAAAGCAGCACAAAGACGTAGAAGACAGATTCATTTCACTTCTTCAGCATATATAAATGAACTGCGCAAGACTTTAGGTCCTGACAGGTTGGCTCAGTTACTCGGACCTCAATTTGTTAATGAATTTGGAATCGGAATGGGTGATATGGAGGAGCATAAGGAAGAGGAGGACCAAGGTGATCGTTTTAAAGAGATAGAGACAGACAAAGGAAACGGAAAGGAAAATGAAGAAAAGCCAACTAACACCTCGGATATACAACCAATGCAATCAATACAACCAACTATAGATGAAGATATACCCTTGACTGAACAAATAAACGGTGCATACAGTGCAACACGCAAATCTTCAGAGTTAAAGCCACAACCACAAATACATTTGGCAGCACGCAACGCCGATAATGCAAAGTCACAGGCTATGCTTACTAGATCAATGACAACACTACCAAAATCAAAGTTGGCACAGTCAGAGATGGGTAAGGGGAAGCATAAAAAGGTAAAATCACAGAGATCATTTGGATCATTCAGAATAATAAAAAACAAGCCATCAATACAATCGAATAAGGAGTTTTACGATAGTGATCCCAAGTTATCGCCCTTTCCGGCGTTGAAAGTTACTGATAGTGAAGGGAAGACGACTTCACTGCGTAACAGGAGTATGTCGCCTGTTTCACCTGTGGGTGTTACAAACGCAGCCTTTAATACAAACAAAGCACCTTCAACACCCTCAACACCGCCAACACCTTCAAACCCACCAAAGAAACTGGAGAGAAAAACTTCAAAGATGGGAAGCAAGTTGAGGAGGTTGTTTAGCGTACGCAAGAGTGTAAATAAGAGTGAAAATGTTTGAATATATTTATTAGATTGTATTTTTATCCATGAATTCCTTGAGTAAATACTATCATTATGTCAGATAACGAGGATGTGGATGGAATGGTGGGAGTAAGGAATTGCGGGGGGAACATAGCTGATTAATGTTAATAGGTAGATGAAGGACAAGAGTGAGTAGTCTTTGAATACGTGAACGCTCTCTCTAAAGGCTACAAGCTTCTATCAGGATGCTGGAATGGTTTGTACGCGTAATTGAAGTGAGAAAGACTAAAATGTTTCAAGGAAGAGGAAGATAACGTTGCGCCAATGGAAGATGATTCAAATGTTGTTACCTCTGGTGCTGCGATCACTGGATCCACGGCTACAGTCGCAAATGAAGACAGAGTGACAACTCCATATATGACTAAATACGAAAGGGCACGTATTCTAGGTACACGTGCATTGCAAATTTCTATGAACGCACCTGTTCTCGTTCCAATTGAGGCTGGTGAGACTGATCCTCTGCAAATAGCAATAAAAGAGTTGTCATCTAAGAAAGTCCCGTTGATTGTGAGAAGATACTTGCCAGATGGTAGTTATGAGGATTGGCAGTGTCAGGAGTTGATTACTGATTAGAATACAATATTTATACGCGTTTTTTATCGATACAAGTTGCAGTGTTACTATTGAGTTGATTGATTCACGCTCATTGATTCTATCCACTTGCTATAATGGAAATTACCCATTCTATCGGTGAAAGTGCCTGATTCAATTAGCTTGGAAAGCTCACCCACATCACCGAACTCCTCTACCGCCCTCAGCAGCTCATTTGCATTTAAATAGCCTTTGAAATCCCCATCGAAGCTTTCAAAGCTCTCGGCTAACACTCCGCTATTGTCCATTTTATCGAGTTTTTCTTTGAACATAGTCAGAAACACTGGAAACGTAAGCTCTTGGCTGTTTGATTTGTCAGGACGCGAGTTTAATAATTCTGTTGTGAATCCTTCATCCAATCCAATTCCCACTGAAGAAAGTGTATTCTCTATATCCGTATAACTCAGTTTTGAATCGTTATCGTGATCGATCAGTCTAAAGGCCTACAAGTACGCATGTGAGTGTACGCGTCAAATCGCATTCAATCCCACCTCTCTAAACGTCTGCACCGCTTTTGCGTCATTACTCGTCTCGCTTTCTGCTCCGTTCATGGCCGGTATGATTAGAGCAGCGTTGCGATCAACTCGTACTCTAAATAACGCAAAATTACCAATTAGATATCAATCTCCGCCAAAGTATAAGAACCAAAAGTCTTTCCAATTTCCCACTGCTGGCTTGCTAGCACTATCTGCCATCCCGATTTTCACTCTTTATCTTGGTTTCTGGCAAGTGCGGCGATTAGACTGGAAATTAAATCTAATCGCAGAATTGGATGATAAGCTTGGTCAAGATCCACTACCTCTTCCGAAGCACATTGATACTTCGGTCCTCCCAGAATTTGAGTATAGGAAGGTTACAGCTGGTGGCACTCTCTTAAACCACGCCATAGCCGTCGGTCCACGTACACTTGATGGCGAGATTGGTGTGCATGTTATACAGCCACTACTAAGACACGACGGACAGACAGTACTCGTCAATAGAGGTTTCATACACAATGACAATCTCGATAGCTTTCTTAGCTCACTCGGGAACACCAGCACGGATGTAGACATTGTCGGCATGCTCAGAGTCTCCCAGAAGAGAAACATGTTCACCCCCGATAACATCCCCGCTGATAATGTTTGGCTCTGGGTCGATGTACCTGCTATAGCAACACATCTTTCCTCACTCACTAACACTCCCATCGAAAACGTTCTGATTGACGAGATTTACGATGGTTTGCCTGGCTCTAGATTGGCACAAGGTGTGCCTGTTGGTAGACCATCCAAAATTGAACTGCGCAATCAGCATGCTGTTTACGCATTCACGTGGTTCTCCCTCAGCTTGTTCACTACTGGGTTGCTCTACAGGCTAGCCAAACGCACACAAGGTTTGCGCTTAATGAGAAACAAATAGTTTACAAGTACGTTGACTTAAATATCGTTGAATAAATAGACCATCGCTTCTAGCAATAGTATACGTGCATCTGCGGTGTCAGACTCGAGACGATGCCAGTGTAGTAATCGTAGTATGGTGGTATTCTGTTGAGTGATCCTGCACTATTGTTGATATGGCTGTAAAAGCTGTTGTGATTGCTGTGATTGCCCAGACTGCCACCGATGGATGATCCTGCACTCCGTTTGTGTGACTGTGAACTGCTGCTCAGTGATCCTGCACTGCTAGTTCCGCGCCTATAACTGTCGCATATGTAGCATCTTGAACGCGTCGTCGAGTATGCAGCGGGAGCATGGGTGTATACAGACGTATTTACTGCCCGACGCTTATTATCATATCCACCTTTATCATACTATCGATTGTCAGCTAAATGCAATGTAATGCACCGCTCATCACTAACTCCGACATGTATTGACCTGTCCGTTGACGGATCGAGTAGGAACCTGACCCGCAGATTCTTCTTAACGCGTTTATTTCTTATATTCGATTTCATCGTAATCATCGTTATTTATTTGCAAGACGGTTTATTGCTGTGCTTTCATATATCCCTCCTTACCCCTTGAATCCTTAATTTAAGCGAAACACAGCTCCCCGGTTAAAATCTTCTGGTACGAGAATAGACATGAAACTTTTCATTTTAACGCGTCCAACGTAATTCACTAGTGATAAATACATTGAGTCCTAGAAATACAGACGCGTATCACCCAATCAAAACCTCGTACATGTCCTCATTTGGTCGATTGTTCGAAGCCGGGTTGCGGATTTGAGTACATTCATTTTTGATTTGCATGATATTGATGTCATCTGAGGAGGTACGAATGTGTGAGCTTGGCGAAATTGGTTGTACATTCCAGGAGATGAATACTCACGTTTAATATCTTCCCGCAACATACTGATGAATTTCTGATAAGTACGCTCATTACGAATAACACCCCTTATGTAAATTTTGCACTGATGATTCATCCTCAAACACTCCTGGAGGATGGTAAGCAGGGGAGAGAAGAGGTAATCGTCATAGACTACGTCAGCTGCGACGACTACATCTGGGATAATGTTCGTTACAACGTCTCGATCGTTGAACCAATCCAATCCAACGACCCTGGTGGAAAGATTGTTCAGATTAACATTTCTTTCTAACCTTTGAAGTACATTCTCATCCACATCTGTCGCGTATACTGTGCTATTGAATAGCTTACTCACTACCATACTCACCAATCCACAACCAGCGCCCAATTCTAGCACTTTTGAAGCTGATGCAAGGTGCTTGTGGAGTTTTGTATCAGGATTGTATATGTCACGAGCCATAGACTGAGCTGAAATCCTAGAATGACATGATGACATGATTATGATTAGATAGGTAGTGCAATCTCAAACCAACGAACCAAGTTACTAGCCCTGTTGTGCCTTTACTAATAGTAGTCTGATCTTCGTACAGAGTGAGTGGGTCTTGGTTGTAGTAGTACGTCTTATAACTTGATTGCGGTGGGCTGTTTGAGCGGTGAGAATGAGCGAGTGCGTCAAACACCAACAAACCCATCACCACACTTGGATAGAGATAAAGCATCTACGAATGCATCATAAATTTCTTGTCTAACTTCCTGTAAATGCCTCGTTTAAGCGGTAATTCCAACGGCACAACCAAGACAAAAAACACGGACCATTTCATCGCCATCAAGAACGGATTCAAGTTTAGAAATGAGCATTTTTAGAAAGCTAAATCGATACTCCGGACAAGGAGGGAATCTCGATAAAGTTCTATCCTCAATAATGGTATCGATTATATCTTGCTGCCTATTATAAAGCGACAAATGATCAAAATACCAAGAAAATTCTCTTATCGGAGTTAATTGAGCGTATTGTTGTTGTATTTGGTTCATTGATTACGTCCAAGAAGAATGACAAGCAGGCATTTACAGAACATGCAAAAGCAATTTTATAATCTAAATCAGCAGCTCAATTCACCTTGTCACAATTTTGAGAAAGTTGAGGCGCCTATAACTACAGTACCAAATTCAAAGTTAAAACTAAAGCGCTGGGTCCACAATAATGATTTGACGCTTGATTTAAGCGATGATGAGCATGTTGATGAGGTCATTAACATTGATGAGAGTGATCCAAATACTCAATCGAACAACACACAAGCCAATTCACCCACTGCGGAAGCTGTGGAGGTAGAAGAAGGCGTACATGATAATACCATAAACACAACAGATCCTTCTGCTGCTGCTAACCAAGTCATTCATCCAAATCACACAGAACATCTCCACCAACCGCTTCAACGTGACGAGAATGGCGAGAATGAAGATAAAGACGACGATGACGAGAATGACGTCAAGAGAGAAGAAAATTCCCAACAACAGCGATACTAATTTATAATTCAACATGTATCAGTATACAACCTACTTAAACGCCTCTTGTACAGCCTTCTCTTTCTCAATTTGATAATTAACAGTCTCGACGAGCGACAAGAGCTTTGAAATGTTGTTGGTAAAGTCATTCAGCACATCATCCGTTCTCTTGGGTTTGGTGAATGTGATCATCTTTGCTGGTCTATCAATCTTGGCATAAATAGTTCCATTCTCAACTAACGAGCTGAGTATTTCTTCAACTTGCCTCTCATCAACTTCCAAGAATGACTGCAGTCTCTTGAGCGTAATGTTAGTGTAGTACTTGTATATTACTCTAACATTGTGCTCCAAAACTCTCTTATGGAACTCATTAAACCTTGTCTGACCCTTACCGTCTGTAGAACGATTGCTGAATACATCTGTCGATTTGAGTATCTGACCATATAAAGCTTCCAAACCGGCCCATCTCATCAACTCAGGTGTAGTGAAACATTTCAAGAGGTTGTACTGATATTGTAACTTTGGGGTGTTAAAAGTTTGATCAGTAAATATTCTATGCAATAAGTCATGTTGTTCGTGGTTGAATGGAGCTAATAAAACAAAGTAGACTATATTTTCAAGTACTACCTTTGATCTTGATGGATCAGATTTGATGACATCGGTATCATAAACCTCTCTGTAATATCTACACGCGTTCAAGTATTCATCATTGTGAACTGCGTATCTAATGAGGTATTCGTAGTATCTCAACTTTTGCTCCTGTGTGTTCTCCTCTTTAAAGAATTTAACGTTTATTTTGTTTGTAACTATCTTCATTTGAACCCAATCGCCAATTTGAGCGTTAAGGAGTGCTTGTTGAAGCAAGTAATCTGTCTTCTGGCGTCTATCAAGTGATCCAAATGTTTCAACTGACAATTCACTCAAAACGTCTCTAGCTTTACGTGTTTCATTACGTGATAGCAGTACGTGTGCGAGAATATAAGTCAATCTAGCTCTTTCAGATTCGAGGAACATCTTTCCCTCTGTAATAGCCCTGAGTGATTGGATCAAATCTTCTCTTTGTTGACCTTGGAGCGTGTACACATGAGCGACGTCTTCATCACAAATACCAGAAGCGGCTCTAACTGCTTCAATGATAACAGTACGCATTTGACCGTGCTTCTTTGAGAATCCATGCACTATTTCCTTCAATTTATCGAGATTCTTCTGGTTAACTGCCAAATCGACTGCTTTTACGACGAGTCTGCTTGTAGATTTCAAGTCGTTGGCCTGTAGAGTAAGTTGGGCGATATAATAAACACATGCAAACTTACATTTCTCGCTTTTTTCTCTAAAACTGATATTCTATCCACAGATTGAGTAATCTGGGCTTTATTAGAATCGCGGTAACTCAACAAGCAATCCACTAACATCAGAATTTTCATTTATATCTTCAACCAAGGAATCCACTTCTTTGGTATAGTCTTCAAGCTGCTTTACTTCTTCTGGCATTTCGCGGTTGCGTCAGAAGGGACTCGTAAGTGCTTATTGGTTAAGTTAAATTATAAATTTATATTTAAATATTTCATTTTATCTTATTCTCTAGAAGTATATTGTATCGTGTTTGTATTCCCATTACTTTCCGTGCTTTCAGGCGCATCTTCATCGTTATCGTTATCATCATTCGCATCTTCATCATGATTTTCATCGACAACCTCATCATCCTCATCATCTTCATCATCCTCATCACTGAATAGCTCTCCTTCAGGCAACGCAATCACTCCCGAAGCGCCATCATAAGATACCGTCCTAGCTCTATCACCAGCATCCACATCCGCTTCATCCACACGTACCCATGGATTAGCAGGATTATAAGGATCAGCGAATGAGTTCTGTGATGAACGTTTAGCTACGTTGCGAGCTGCGTTATTCCTTCCACCTCTACTAGTAAAACTACCACTGCCACGCCTATTGAGCACATCCCGCGCATCACGTTTAACTGTAGACCATCTCTTGCGCAATGTAAGCACACGTCCATCATTTACTCCACCATAAGTGCTATTCCTCGCACTATTGCGTTGCGTTGACACAGTTTGCTGCTGTGGTAACCACATTTCTGGTAGAATTCCAGTCAGTGCTGGATGTCCATACCGCCGTCTACCCGTGTTGAGTACACCATAATACCAATAGCGCATTGGTGGTTGTGAGTAGTCAGTCTTGTCACTCTCAGGCGCTACGTAGAGTGCTGCATCATTCATCGCATATCTCCTTCTATTTAGATTGCTAGAGTATATGGTTAGCGGGTGTATCTCCCATCTGTAACCCTCACTCACCTCTGTGATCGTGGCACTGACTGGTCATAGCGTAAGCCTACTATCTCGGTCGGCAATGTGCCACGTTGAGCTTCATGGAGTGAGCTAAGACTACTCAAGTAAGCATAGACCTCAAAATAATCGCACCCTGCACTCACTTCACGTGTTGAGATAACCCTCGGAATTTATTCTCCGTGCTGAATGCCCACGAGACTGTACCCGCAATGACGGGCAACAGCACCGACGAATATAAGAAAGCTCCCTGGAGAGTAAACAAACCAAGCATGAACACCTGGAATAGAACAACTCCCCAGCAGCATCTAGCGTAGGTGATGGGCCACGCTTGACCAGAGCTCTCCCAAGGTTTGTAAAAGATAAACAGCAATTTGTATTTATATACCTAATTTTGTTAGTTGAAACCTTGTTGAAAAAATCCAGCCCACCAGATAAGCCATACCAAAGTAAACGGCAGCAGCGATCAAAATATACGGCGACATGATGCTGTAAAGCAACCCAATCACAAAGACCAGAATAGCCTGTGGATAAACTGACCCGTAGTTCAATTCAGGTGGTGCATTCAACTCTGCATAATCACGTGGGGTCTTGGTGAACGGGCGCAGGAAGATATGCGGCAGGACCTGATTCAGTTGAAGTAGATGCATCGGAAGGATACCAATACCTTGAAGAATGACATAAGATACGAAAAAGTGCCTCGAAGTTGATGATTTAAGTGATTGAGCTAACTTGTCGGGTATCTTGAGGGGCGCGTCAGCCAACTCTCTCACCATTGATATAGTAGCAGTAGTGATTCTAGCGAAAACAACAGTCATGAAGAGCGCAAGGAAGTACTTCTTCATAAGGGAATACTCGATATGACTGCGTGCTTTGTGACCTTGAATACTACACAAAAAGTGCAAGAATAGAGGTAGAGTAGCGTTAAATAAAACTAATGCTAATGGTGGTAAAGATGTTTGCACTAATGCTCTTAGTGATGGATATTTCTCTAGTAATCTAGCAAGTGCTGGTAGATGCTTTGATATTTCACTGTACTGGAGTAGTGTGTAAAGTACAGTAACGGGAATTGCCCAAGTCAGCAATAATGTTATGACTGTGCTATACACAAACAATCTCTTGCTAATAATAGCACGTGTACTTAAAGCCACATTTTCCCACACTACGTCGCGAGGTTCAGGTGCTAAGTTGGTAACCACCTGGCCTGGTTCAGGGTAATTTGCGCATTGTGATGCCACTTGAGCACTTGACGCGTTCTCAAATGTAACGAAACTGACATGAGTATTTTTATACTCTGATTTGCGAGAAGTTTTGACTATGGTATCGAGATTTTCAAAACGTCTTTCGAGCATACGCAGCTTATCTATTTTAATACCACTAAAACCCATGAAACCAGATCTTGTAGTGGGACGTGACTTTCCTTGAACAGTGAGCAGTGAAGAAGGGGTTTCGAGATCACTAGTTGGGGTTAAATAGGTAGCGCGACTTGGATTGCCGAGGTATTTGCACCATTCAGCCTCCAATTCTAGTAAAGCTTTGGTGCGTCTGGAGAGTAGTTCATCGAGGGATTCAACATCCTTAACCAAACTAACGCTCTCAACTTGAAGACTGATGCTATCAAAATATTCAGTTAAAGCCTTTTCATCGCGGAGATGAAGTGGTAGTGATTCAATCATCACAGTGCGTGCGCTGATAGCATGGACCAACTCGAGACTGAAGAGTTGGCGCTGTCTGGTGAACCTCAAGTAGTTCTTATGTACAAACTTGAGTGCCAAAATAGACAAGAAGAAAGTGAAAATTAGTTGTAGACCCAAATAAGGATCAGTGTTTGATAACACAAAAACATCCACTACTTTTCTCCACTTGCCTTGATTGTCACGTAAAGCGTCCCAAGGGTCGTTTGATGATATTCTAGACAGAGTTTCTGCGATTGTGACGTAATTTGATTGGAGAGTACTAGAGTTATCACCTTCGTCTGAATCGTCTGAAGCTTCCCAAGTGCCATATTTCTAAAGTATATTGTTAGGATTAATGAATTGATGAGTGTATGACCATACTTTGTAGTTTATTGGCACTAAAATTGGACAAGTGATAGCCGCTGCAACAGAGAAGAACCAGAAGCTCATTTTGAGAAAGTTGAGAAGCTGTGAGAGTAGCTTGAGTGGTTGGAGCTGTATAGAACAAAAAAAAACACACCACAGCTGCATCTAATCCAACAATTTGAAGCACCGTGTACTCAGAAGTACGTAGCGTGGGGAGAATCCAGCCAAAGAAGGAGCTAGTATCGTGAGCTTCATGTGGTGAGAATCCTATTGATATATATATTAATGATCGAACACCAATAAATCAATCAAATCGCACCCTTCAATTTGGTCCTCGGAGCGAACAGAACGGTAGAATTCCTTCTAAGGCTGCAAAACAACAAGAAAGAAGGCAATCCAATCAACAAAGCTAAACCAATCTGAGTGCGTATCCAAGGACCTTCATAGTAGGCTGTGTACTACGTAAGTGAGCTATATTTTGTACCTTGTAATACTCACGTGTTGCCCAATTTGGTTCATCGTTGTCAATATATCCAGCACTAGCGCTGCATAACAGGATTGGCAGCAGCAACAGCGTGTGTTTCATATTGAGATAGCAATGACGCTCACAATGATGATGGTTGAGATGGTTCAGACATTAAGAGATAACAATGCAATATTAATTTATATTTTATATTTAAAAAAGAATAATAACTGAGATTTATATGCTTGAGGACGTAGAAAGCGTGGAAGTAGCGTGGATAAGTGGTGTCTAGTGGTGAAATAGTAGATAGGTGAGATAGTATAAGTGAGATAGTACTTTGAAATAGCACCTTAAATAGTACTTGTATTTGTAACCATAGAGTATCATAGAGTTGAAATTATACCAAGAAAATCAAATTAACTTGAAATCGATTGAGAAACCAACTGAACTGTGAATTATTTCTTCTTCTTGTTTGTTATTATCTATGCGCCCACGGCCAGCGTGGAAGAAGCAGCTGCCGCGAATGATTGTTGTGGTAAATCCTTAGTAACATTATTTGTTATGTTATTTAAAACTAAACTAGAAGATGGCGTAGTCTGAGCAGTTGAAGGAGCTTCCTTTACGCTACTGTAATTCCCATTATCTGAAGATGAGCTTACATTTGATGACAAGCTAGGAAAATCATCTTGTGTTGGTACACGTTGTGCAGGTGAATGAGTACGACTCGCCACAGCTTGTGCTTGAGCTTTAGGCATTGATGGTGGAATCTTATTTCCACTAAAACTAGGTGATTGTTGATTAAAATTCAACTGAGACAAACCATTTGCAAACTTTTTATTATCAAAGTTATTAGAACGTGATGATTGACGTTTGTGAGAGTTGTTTGAATTAATTGGAGCTGTGCCTCTAAGTGCAGGATCACGTACATCAGTACCATCTGCAAGTAAATGTGGAAAAGCGCAACTATCTTGATTTCTACATTTACCCATTGGGAAAAAGTAACAAGGAGGAAGTTGACCATCCTTACCACGCTTTGAGATTGATGAAGCTCTTGTAATATTACGATTATTACGGAATTCTTGTGGATTTGGTACCATCATTGGTGGTGGACGTGGAGCAAGTGGCATCATATAAGCATCTTGTGGAATCAAAGGTTGCATGAATGGGGGAGCTTGTTGAGAATGAAAAGAGCTTTCTTCTTGAGATTTAATAGGCGAGCTAGCATCATCAATAGGATGCTGTGATTGATCTGCAGGGATTGAATTTGGTGGCATTGGTGGTGGTGGAGCAGCGAATGGAGGAGGAACCATTTGTGGAGGCAATTGATAGAAGGGATGATGAGCATGCGATTGTGGCTGTGGTATAGGCTCAAATTGAGGAGGTAATTGAGGTGGTGGTGGTAAGTACATTGCTGGCTGTGGATGCATGAAGATACATTCATTGCCATAACGACAACCAGGGAAGAACCTGCAAGGAATATTTCTTGCGATATCTGGTGGTGGTAAGGTGCCAATTTGGTTTGAATGCTGCTGATCTTCTGGATAATACATTTGCATATCCATAGGTGGAGGATAATGATAGAATTGTTGCATTGGTGGTGGATAAAATGGTGGCGGTTGGATTGACGCGTTAAGTTTTTGAGCCATTTGACCGTCTGTCGCGTGAGGTAGAGCAGAGTAAGGATTAGCGTCTGAAATTGAAATCCTTGTAAGCTTCAATCTCGGTTGAAAATATGCAACTCACTCTTTGAAAGCAAAATATCCACCGCTTGGATATTGCTCAACTTGACCGCTAATGCAAGTGGAGTCAAGCCACTATCATCCACTAAATCAATTTGTTCATACGGAGCTTGCTGGATTTCTTGTATGTTGTTGCTTGCGACGTATTCGTGCAGCATTTCGTTGTGTGCTGTTAGAGTTTGAGCTCAAGGGAGAATTACGAGAATTTTTTTGATGACAAGAAAATGTTAATTGAGAATTATTATGATAATAGTCTAGGTATTTTGTTAAAGGTATTAATATTCATTCCTATTCAATTACTATACAATGCACTGTTTCTGAGTTTTTTGTTTGATTGGTTTGATCAAGTTGTTTGTAGTTTTATTTAAGTTACTAGTATGAATACTAAGAACTATATGATTGCTTATTGTTAGTTGCTTACTCTTGTCTGCTTATTTCAACCCACAAAGATTATTATAACTCCAAATAACTTGAACATCAACATTCTATTCGATTTGATCGATTCGTAGTACTTCAATAACTCAGATTGTGCTCCATATACATTGTCACTTATATCATGCACATCTGCGTCAATCCTTTGCACAGTTTCGCCTTGAATAGCCACCATCGAACTCAGCTGGCTAAATATCTGTCCAAGTTCTGAGATAGTACTTTCTATTGTATCAATAGCTGATGATCTCTCATTGAGGTAGTTGTCCTGTCTACCAATCATCGACATTTGCTGAGACTGTTGATTTGTGGTGTTGGGTTCATCAAGATCCAACGCTAAAACGTCTGAATTTCGTTGTCTTCTTTTGTGAGTCGACGAAGAGGGTATATTGTTAGTATATAAAGGTGAATCAGATTGTTTAAAATCTTGATTCGTATCCTTGTTGGATATGGTTGAAAATTTTTCAGTCCTTTGCTTAGACTTTTTAATATTCTGAGTCCTTAGCTCCAGGACATCTTTAAAGGAGAAGGAAGTGTTGGCTAGAGTGTTCTGAAGTGAGATGACTACATTCGATTGATGTTGTGAGTGTTGCGAGTTCTGGTTAGACTGATTCAACGTTGATTGTAGTTGAGATATTTGAGAGTTTAGATCTGCTAAATCTTGTTTTATAATGTAAGTGAGTTCCTTTAGCTTTGATTAGACCACGTCAAACGCATGAAACTCAGCCCAACGTACGTTTATCTCAAGCTGCTTATCATCGAATAAGCTCTTTCTATTTATCAATTGAGTTAATTTCTGCAGCTTTGACGTCGTTGATTGAATATCTCTTGAAACTTTAAAGCTCAATGTTGAGAAGGTGGAGCGCGTGATGGGCTGCGCAGGTTGAGCTTGCTTCGATTTAGATTTATTATACTGGTCAATCAAAAGCTTGAATTCTATACTGCGATTTTTTATCATTAGATTGTAACAGTTCAACAGACTTGAATACATGTGCCAACAGCCGCGAAACGCGTTCATCAAAATATACAATATCTTAAAATATAAATTTGGATACGCGCGTCTTTTACTCTAGCTTATCCGTTTTGTTGGTCGATGACCAACTTTCTTTTAGTCACGGTACGTGTCTGCTGGGGCCAAGACTTTTTACGATAATAGCTCTATTAATCGTCTACCTAATCATGCTACTTGAAAAACTGGTGTTCACACTTCCAAAATCGTCATCATCGCTGTCTTGTTCATCTGAGTCACTTGAAACACTATCTTCACTTTCTTCATCGTTGTAATGGCATTGACGAGCATTTGAAATGACATCATCGCTACGGCCATCTAAGCTATCAAAGTGTTTTACTTGGACCATTGGTATCGACTTTCTCCTACCAAAAACATTGCTTTTCTTTTCCTCGTCTACACGCTCTTCTTGCCTCATAACAACACCTTTGACTTCTTGCAACGTGTGAAATGAGCCTTTCAACAAAACATGCTTGCGTAGGCTATTTGGACTCCGATCAATAGTCATCGTGCTCCTCTCAAACTTTGTTAATGTCAATGCTTCAATACGCAGTATAGTTCCAATCATTTGAAGTTCCTCTTGAATGTTGCACTTAAACTTTATCCTATTCTTCTAAGTAGTTCCTAACTTCCGATTAAATTGGTCGTTTTTTTCGGACTCAACGTAAAGAAGAAAGGTAGGCTGAAATTTTCTTAAACTTCTAAAACAGGCCTGGCCCCGCAGTATCCTATATCCAGTCTTGCAATTTGTGTCAGATTTGCCATAATAGGCAGGCGCAGTCGTATTGCATCATCAGTCGCCTCAAATGGCTTTAATGCCACTTAATTCGGCAGACTTTTATATGATTGGAGAAGTTAGTACCTTCTAAGGCTGCTCATTTATGCATGACTACCCGCATATCACCTCATATTCTCATTTTCCTCCGCGATTTAATTTGCAGCGAAATTTTAATAAGATTTCGCACTATACCACGCTTGTCAATGCACCCTTTCGCATGCATATAATAGCCTGTATATTTGATATACGCAGTCATTCACACCTTATGCACTGCATTCTTTTTTTAATCTGACTTTAGACTGGTCTGTGAAAATTTTCTCCCTCACCTTCCAAATCGAGCATAACAAGGAGATTGATGTAACTGGAATATTCGTTAGGTGTCTACGTTATCATCAACGCATCATTCACATCTCCCTCATTCACGCGCATTAATTGACACATGTCATTTATTCACACATACGGCACGGCAAAGATTGCCGCGGTTTGAGACATGCACACCAATATTGAGAAATCGTGCGAATCGTGCATTAATACAAATTTTCTATACCAACATTCTCACCAAGCTGTAATGTCATTCGCTTCAGCTTCTCCAAATACGCTCGTCTTTTGCGTGTCAAATGATTTGATCTCCTCGAGATTGAGTAGAGGTGGTGAGGAGTAAATTTCAGGCAGCGCCTCTTTGAGAAATTCAACAACGTACTCATTGATGGCTTCAAACTCTAACAAGAAGCCGTCGTGTCCATCTGGTGATGGAATCATCACAAGTTTCGCATTAGGTGCTGTACCGATTTGGCGCTGTTCATATGGAGTGAACAGTCCATCAGATTCAATACCAATTACTAGTATATTCTTAGGCAGTTGTGTTAATGCTTCCTCTATCGTCAGATCTGCTGATCGGTGTCTGGCACCTTCATCATCCATGTAAAACTCAGCTGCTATATCATGCGTGTCCATTTTGCGTGTGAGGTGTATGTAGCAGTTTGCATCAAATCTCGAAGTGAACTTATCACCCTGGTAACGAAGATAGGACTGCGCTGTGAAGAGGTTTTTGGGGCGTGGTACTGATGTGCTGCTGCGCGAGCGTATATTTCCATCATTATGTGCATCCCTAGCTTCGTCTGCAGGACTAGAAGGGCGAGATGACGATGAGTTTGAGTCATTTGATACGCTGTCGTCACCAGTGGCATTGGACAACTTGCGACCTGCCTGCCCCAGCTGTGGCTTACGACCGAAACGTGCTTCGAAGCTGTCTCTGGATCTGTATGTCAACATGGCTGCCATACGCGCAGCTCCTAAACCGGAAATAGGACCAGCTCTCTCACTTGCGTCTGGGTGCTCGTAGTAAAAGCCATCATAATAGGCAGGATCTGAGTAGATAGATTGGCGCTGAGCTTCACCCCAACTTATGCACCAAGCGCTGTGTCTGACGGACGTAGCTATTGGTATTATAGAGCGGATGTAGGGACTGCCGAAAGACATGCCCCATTCGATTGTTTGCATACCACCCATTGAACCACCTATAACAGCAGCTACTGATGTGACACCCATACCGTCGAGTACTCGCTTATGAAGACGGACATCATCACGGACGGTGCTGATAGGGAATTCAGGGCCGTATAGCTTCCCAGTGTCTGGATTTACGGAAACAGGTGAGACAGTTCCGTAAGGACTACCGATGACATTGCCACAGTAAATAAAGTAACGGCTTGGATCAAAAGCCTTATTCGCGCCCATAAGAGGACCCCACCTAGGAAGAGGGACTTTAGGTTTGTGGGTGTTTAAAGTGAGTAACTCACCAGTCTTCGACGTCTGCGCTGCCGGACAAAGCGTGACAGATAATCATAACGTTATCCTTGTTGTCGTTGAGCTTACCCCAAGTTTTGTAAGCCACGGGAACATGCCTCAACTCATGGCCTTCCTCCAAGACGAAGCTGTCGAAATGAGTGATTGTTTGGTTGGGTACTAAACTGGCTAGCTGAGAAACTGGTCTATCTGGTGGATCGAATGCCATTTTTCTTTTTTATATGTTGGCTGTATATGATCAACTGCGTTTGATATATCCACCAACTCAAATGAAATTCCAAGTACTTACATTAGCGCTGTTTGCTATTCTTGCTGTAGCCCTTGCAAGGGACATCACAGACAAGGTGTTCTTCGATGTCGACCAGGGTGGTAACTCCTTGGGCAGAATAGTATTCGGACTTTACGGCTCTGTTACACCAAAGACTGGTGCGTAATCAGAGTCTGTGTTATACGCGTCAGACGCCTAATTACGCCTCCACAGCTGACAACTTCAAGCACCTTTGTATCGGTGACAAGGGTCCAAGCTATGAAGGCGTTTCCTTCCACAGAGTCATTAAAGACTTTATGATTCAATCTGGAGGTGTGTAGAGGCTTTGAGCGCAAGCAAATGTCTCAACATGCTCACAGACTTCGAAAATGGTAATGGTACTGGTGGTTACTCAATCTACGGTCCAAAATTCAACGATGAGAACTTTGATATCATCCACGATAGACCTGGATTGCTCTCTATGGCTAACAGAGGCAAGAACACTAACGGTTCTCAATTCTTTGTGAGTTTTACTTTGTGTTCATGTCTCACACTGACACACACACAGGTCACAACAGTTCCAACTCGTGGGTTATCTAAAGCTACTCATAATTACACCCTTAACACTCCTCTCAGCTTGGTTGAATGGAAAACACGTCGTTTTTGGTGAGGTTGTTCAAGGTATGGAAGTTGTTCGTGAGATTGGTGAGTTTTTGCGGCAATTCAATCCACTATTTCTCACCTTTACGCCCAGAAAACACTCGTACCGGCTTCTCAAATAAGCCACAAACTCCCATCACCGTTAAGAAGGCTGGCTTGATCCAAAAGGATAACACAAAGGATGAACTCTGACTGCATGATTAGTGAGCATGCCGCAATAGAAAACTGTTGAAAATTGAATTGTTTGTAACTACAAATGATCGATTACATTACTTTGCTGATCTACCTGCCTTCAACATTTCATCCACCGAGAGTACGTTAACTGCAATTACTGAGCAAGATGCTAACATATGTCTCTTTACTCTGTAGTTATCCCAAACTCCTTCAACGATTGGATCGAATGGTTCACCTGACTTCAAGTCTAAACCAACAATGTGTCCTTCAGCTTGCTCCTCTTGCAAACCAACAATAGCATCTTGTATATCGAAACCACCGTTAGCAGCTAAAGTCTTTGGTATAACAAGCATTGCGTTTGCAAATGCTTCAACACCTAACTTAGCTCTACCTTTTGTTGCCTTCTTTACTGGTCCAGCGAGATGAGCAGAGAGTGCAATCTCGAATGCACCTGCTCCTGGAATCAGGCTGTCATCTTCAATTGCGTTCTTTACACTTCTCAATCCATCTCTCAAAGCATCATTGATTTGGTTTATTGTGTGCTGGTTTGGTCCTTTAATTAAGAGTGTAACTGATTTTGGATCTTTTACTTCCTCAACGAATGTAAATTTGTCTTCACCGAGTGTGTGCTCATAAACTAATCCTGCATATCCTAATGCTTCAGGTGTTAAGTCATCGACAGAGTTTTGAGCAGTACCACCACAAATCAATTGCAATCTTTCCATATTTCTTCTCTTAGCTCTACGTAATCCCAAAATACCATTCTTTGCGAGAATATCCAAACTCATTGGATCAATACCCTTTTGATTGATAATGACAAAATTCTTCTTGTCCTTTGCGTCTACTTGTTGATCACAAACAAAGTTCTTAAACTCAACGATCTTTTTCAACTTTGCATCAACGTGCTTTCTCTCTGATTCAACGAGCTTTTCACGTTGTTCAGCTGAGCTATAGAAGAAAGAAGAGTTGACTTCAGTTTTTTCATACTCCAAACTAACATTCAGAGTGAGAATGTAAGCATTTTCAACTCTCTTTGGCATATCGGGGTGTCTAGCACCGTGATCTAAAACTAAACCTTTAACGAGACGAGTATCAGTGTCTGTCTTGTGTTGCATTTTCATTATTTCAACCATATGCAAGTCAATTGGATCAGCAAGGAGTTCATCGTTTGCATTTGAGGATGGCTTGATAGATAAAACAGCGTCAACGACTGAAGTTGCGAGTTGTTGAGCTAACGAAGAGTGTAACTTTGTTGCCAATGAGGTATAAGCGATGTTAATCAAAGTGGATCTATCTAAAGTTGGTTTTTGACGGTAGCTGTCGAGGAACTGAGGGAGTTTTAGCAGATTCTACGTGATGAAACCACTAAAACTCACGGTTAAAGCTTCTTTCTTGGCGACTTCGAAACCTTCAGCGATAACGCGTGGGTGTACACCTTCTTGGACGACTCTTTCAGCTTGCTTGAGGAGTTCACCGACGAGTAAAACAACTGAAGTAGTACCATCACCACATTGATCGTCTTGAGCGACAGCAGTTCTAGCGATCAAAGCTGCAGTTGGATTCTGAAGGGTTTATAAGGCTAAGACTAAGCTTATAAAGATTCAAACGCACTTGAATTTGCATCTCAGAGAGCAACACCTTTCCATCCTAATAAAGGTAATCAGTTTACTTGATCTTGAAGGAAATTCCAACTAACTTTAGTCATTTTAAGGTTTCCAGCACCATCAACAAGCATTTTAATAGTGCCCCTTGGTCCCAAATTTGATTTAACAACGTTTGCTAGTCCAATAGAGCCAGCGGTATTGACAGCCAAAGCTTGAGCTCTGCGTACTCTCTCTGCTTGTGGATTGATCAATTCAACACCAGACCTATTAAATTATTAGCCTGGGATTATTAAACTTGAATTAGCTGTTTTTACATTTTGAGCGTGTGTGTCCAAGCAGTAGAAACGCTGCCTTCTCTAGAATTCCATCATGTTGCGAAATGGCTTGAGAAATTTGAACAAAGCAGGCATATTTAGAAGGTCTTATACGCAACAATGTAATCCCCAGCCCAATCAATCACTCACTCAACGATTCAAACAATTATCACAAAAGTACGGATGGGTGGCTGTTGGAGTTTATACTGCAATTTCTGTATTTGACTTCTCACTGGCATTTACTGTTGTTAATGTTGCAGGCGCTGAACGCGTTAAAAAGGTTGAAAACAAAGTTCTTGATTGGGTTGGTATGAACACATCTAATCCATCAGATGAGCAAGTAAAGGAGGACAAGAATAGTATTTGGGCAATGGCTGTATTGGCTTACGGGATTCATAAAACACTCTTTCTCCCTCCAAGACTAGCGCTGGCTGCGGGAATCACACCAAGACTTGTCAAGGAACTTCAAAGGAGGGGATATAGAGTTGGTCCTAATGCTGAAAAAGTAGTTGCACGCGTTCGTAAAGCCAAGGAGAGGATAAACGGGGATAATCATTAGAATTCATTAGATACATTGCATTGTTAACTTGGAATAATCACTTGAAATTACTCCAAACCACTTGAAATTACTTCAAAATACCCCTTTGTTTGAGCTGTTGAGGTGTTGGCCTCTTTATCAGATCTTTCACAAGCGTATCCTTTTTGTTTGTTAGGTGAATGAGTTGCGTGTGAATGTCTCAATTGAAACTAACCTCCAATTGATGCTTTTCAAGTGATAATTGTGTTGCTACCAACGAAGGAGCTGTAGATGAAGATTTCAAGATATTCTTCTCAACTAAATCTGTCTGTTTTAATGTGATTAGTAGGTTACAAAGCTTTAACTTCATTTCTAACCTTTGAAGGACGATGGATAATGAAATTTTCAAGCTTCTGCGTGTCTATAGTGAGTTATAGGGTGTTTAATTCACAATAAATTATATCTAACTTTTACGATCCAAAGATGCAGACATGAATGCACAAGTTTAATAGGACTTCAAGTATAAATCAAATACCATCACTTATAACATACATCCCAATTAAATATTTCAACATTTCTCATCCACTACTATCTCCAGAACCGTCATGGTGAGCATTGCCTTCAATTCAAATGAAAATCAATTATTAAGTTAATTCAAGTCAACAGCATCAAGAAGGAGGTTGATTAGAGACTTTAAGAGGCTAAGTTCAGATCCACCAGGTGGTGTAAGTGGTGCACCATGCGGTGATAATATTATGATTTGGAACGCTGTGATATTTGGACCTGGTCAGTTGACTTGATAATTTCAAGCAAACGTTTCTCATAAATTTAATCAGGAGAAACTCCTTTCGAGGATGGCACTTTCAGGCTTTTACTGACTTTTGATGAACAATATCCAAATAAGCCACCGAGTGTAAAGTTCTTGAGCAAAATGTTCCATCCTAACGTATACGCCAATGGGGAGTTATGTTTGGACATATTGCAGAATAGGTGGTCACCTACGTATGATGTAGCCGCTGTTCTAACTTCCATTCAATCTTTATTACATGATCCGAATCCGAACAGGTGGGTTTAGTTGATTATTTATTATATGTACTCAATAACACCACTCATAGTCCCGCTAATTCAGAAGCCGCGTCACTCTACTCGAATAACATGAAGGAGTACATACGAAGAGTTAGACAAACTGTTGAATTGTCTTGGGTTGATTCAAATGAGGTCGACGACGTTGACAATGATAAGCAGCAAGATTCAGCAGAGTGAAGTTTGTATATAAATTTGTATTTAACGTATTCCTCTTACATGTTACCACCAAGATCAATTCAAACCAAGAAAAAAAGCCCAAATGAAAATAAACTTGAAATCGCAAATCAATTGCGTCATTTGAATTTGAGTCACAATCACAGCACAAGCAATTCAAACTACAATACGACTTACTCTGCCGATGATGCTAAGAGTGCTCTATACTGGTTATCTTTATCTTTAACGCCTGCGAGTTTGTCAAATAATACTCAAGTACATCAACACGTCTTAAGATTTGATGGATGTACGTCTTTGTGCTTACTATCCACTCAAACTCACGCTAGCTATCATAAGGGGTCAGCATTTCCCATCTCTTCAAACACACTCCTTTCTTAAACTATAATAAACCTTTTAACGGTCAACAGCAAACTATTGCTCATTTCGTTAAGAAATATCCAGAATATCACTTGGAATGCATCCTAGACAATGATAAGGGTATTTGTCTGAGGAGAATTGATACATTGGATATGGATATGGATATCAATCACCTTACTGTTTATATCGTACGTGTTATTCCTTTGATTCACTCTCTTTCTCACATTACATCCCAAGGAAGGTCTCCCTGCCATGTTATCAGACTATTACGGCGTTCTCAACTATTTGATAGATAAAATTCCTGAAATACAAACTATTCAATTCCCACGCTTATTCTCAAAGAATAATGATACCACTTATAACTCTTTAGGTACCTACAGAGGTATGGTCTTTGTCTCATTCTGGAATCCTCAAGATGTCTCATCTGTACTCGATAAATGGCCTTGGATAGCTAGTCGTACAGATAAACAATCTAAGAATCATATACGCTCCTTGTCATTGTAGGTGATGCGCTGTTCTTTGCTATCCACCTTACTCAATCACCTAGCACCCACTGGAATCAACTCAAAGAGGAATATCTTGCATTATGCGATAGAATACGCAGTCAAAATCAATCCTACCGAGCTCAGTTGAAGTCTGAAGCGTCCAAACAAGATGACGCTAATCAAGACCACTTTGATGCGATGGATGAGGACCGTGTGGATCAGCCTGATCAACCATTAGCAACACAACGTCCGCAATTTCCAATCAATTGTGTTCTCCAAATCACAGATCTCGATCCAACCACCAACAAGCCATCGATACGATCAGATATATTGGGTGTCGTTGATCAAAGTGAATGCGCGTACATTGAATACGTCAAGGCTTTATGTACAGTGAGTGGAGTTTTATCTTGACAATATGAATTCCTAACAGCTCCTATTAGGCAGTAATACGATTCAACAATGCAAACGCTGCTTTGAAAGCTCAGCAAGCACTCGGTGGTGAGTTGCTCAGTGGTATAAGTCAAGTCAACTACTGGAATAATATTCCTGAAAGACTGAGAATACAGGCGATGGAGAAAAGCGGTCAGTTGTCAGAACATACTTCTGCGATCGGTGATGATGGTTCGAATGTCGATTCCAAACAGCAAGCCGCCAAGAGCAAGCGGCGTAAGAGCAACAAAGGTGATCTCATCGCAAATGAAAATTATGACCAGCAAATTTGATTTAGTTGAGCAATGTAGCATACGTTAATACAAGGCATTAATAAAAGATATAAGTACTGCATATTGATTCATCGGCTGTTTGCCAACTTTTGCATACATATGTACCCAATTCGCATTGCCCAGCATCGAACATTGCATAGCAAATCTTTGGACTTGCAAAGAATTCGCACTAGCAGTTTGCGAATGTGCATGAATGCCTACACACGCATACACATTTCACATTGTCACATTTTCTTCTTTATGTTCACATTTTACATTTTTACAATTTTGCACGCTAGGGTTACGGCTTATAAAAACTGAGCAGCCCACAGGCCTGATTCTTTAAGACGGTTAGTCAACATCTAAGTCAGTATTGTAGTAAAGCTTACACGGCATTCCAGGTACTCCAAAGGATCATATTCTATAGGTCGTATCCAGTCTATCGCAGATTTAATTCTGCCACTTTATCATTGGCTCGACGATGACTAGTAACCTCCTTCCCTTTTCACCGAGAACCTCTGAGGTGGTGGCTTGCTGCCAGCCTCTCGATGACGTGCACGCAAACTGATTGTCGACGTTGATTTCAATGTCTTGACGTTGTTTGTCGTGAGGGACTTGGAGTGTTTTCTGAGGCCATTTATGATTGTAGATTTGATTTACTTATGTGATTTAACTCATTATTTTAAGTTTTTATTGGTTTGTGTCGTTTGAGGAATTGTGTGCTAGGGTAGAACAGTGGGCCGTTCTAATCTCCACAGATTGTTTCTGGCGGTTTTTGACGATAAGTAGAGATGCTTTCAGATTCAAAAAGCCTTCAAGGTTAACCGAAGATCTGAACCAACAATTTCCGTTACAGCTAAAGAGTACCAGTACAAATGAACGTGACACTGCTTTAAAAAGATGATAAAATTTAATGTCTAATTCGAAATACTGAAGTAGAAAAATATATTAGATGAGTCCGATCAGGAGGAAATAATGCATTAACCCGGAATTGAACCGGGGGCCGATCGATGGCAACGATCGAGGTTACCACTACCCCATTAATGCTTGATGATGGACTCTTTATCACTACAACTATAATGTTTATGATCCACTGCATTTTAAAAGACCATTCTTGAATTTCTTAGCCCCTTAAATCCCTATCCTTTAAAAAGTTGCGCCAAGAAGTAATTTTGACGAATTGAAGAATCCGGGTTTCGAAGTATTCACCGAGTAGCGGCGATGAGTATGCAATATCATGTTTTAAAGTAGCCAATTACAGGAAAATACTTTAGAAATATCTAAACGTTTTCAATTTTCCAAGTAAATTCTCTTTCGTCGACTCTATCACTCGTATCTAGCTATCTAACAACGATATGGACGGAAAGCTGAGCAAAAAGCAAAGAAAGGCACAAGAAGCGAGGCAGAAATTGAAAAGTAAGAAATCATCAAAAGAAGACGAGCAAGTGGATCTCCCTGAAGAAGATATTCCAGTTGATGAAGTACAGTCAACTAAGGCAAATGCTAGGGCGGAAGAGGAGGCATATGCGCCTATAGATGATGACAAACAAGCTAAGAAAGCAGCAAAGGAGCAGAAGAAGATTGAGAAAGCAGATAGTGATAAAAAGCACAAGAAGCGTAAGAGAGATGAGGATGAAGAGGAGCACAAGGAGCAGCAGGCTAGTGAAGAAATACCCGGATTTGTGAAGAAGGATGCTCTCTCTGAAGCTGCCAAAAATGCAAAGAAGAAGCGTAAAGGTGGTGAAGCTAGGTTTATCACTTTTGTTGGAAATTTACCATTCGATATAACCGTTGAAGGGATCATAAAGCACTTCAATAAGTGCGGTCAAGTGCCTGAAGTACGATTGTTAACTAATAGAACGAGAGAAGATGGGAAATGGCAGGCTAAATCTAAAGGCGCAGCCTTCTTAGAATGGGACACAGTTGATGCTTTACAAAAGGCGCTTAAATATCACCACACACACCTTGGTAAACGTAGTATAAATGTAGAGCTAAGTGCAGGCGGCGGTGGTAAATCTAAGAATAGACTGCAAAAGATCAATGCTCGCAACGCAGATCTTGACACGCAACGAGCAAAAACATACAACAAGAAGATTGGTCCAGCTAAAGAAGCTCACAAGACGGAAATGGCAGAACAAGGTGGAAAGCAAAGAGACTCTACCACTTCTGGTGTTGCTCCAAAAGCTAAGCCTGCACCCTCCCAGAAAACACAAAATGATAGTAATAACACTAGCAAGAAGAGCACTTATAAACCTTCAGGTGCCAATGTTATTCCACTTGGATGAAGGGACAAAGAACATTGGACTACTTGGGATCTAAATTTACACAATGCATTCATTATTTATTCATAGAGTCTTAATTCAGTATGGACTAAAGTAGTTTAACCATCTTGCATCATTGGGTTCATCATACGGCTTGAGCTACTGGAAAAGTTGTTACCATTGACATTGGAGAGCTTACTGATGAGCATATCGTGCATCTTCTCCATCTCGTTGGTCCAATTAGTCAGCTCAGTGTACCTTCTTCTCTCGAGTTGAGGGCTAATCTGTGAGTAAAAGCTGAGATACCAAGTCAAATACTCACTCTCTGTCTATTTCTAGCCGCTGATTGACAGAGTCAATTGAACCTTGAATCTTGTCATCAAGAATGAGTTCGATGAGCAAGTCTTCGACTTGGTTGAGAGTGACATTCAGTTGCTAATCGTAGTGTTAGTGTTAGTGCGGTTTAAGGTTTTGAGAGCACCTACTTTTGCAATAAAACTCAGTTCTAATCTCTGATAAGGCTTGATGAGATCAACAAGATAGGTGATTCTGAGTGCGCGCATGACATCGTCAATAAAGTGACTAATGAAGGTATCCTCCATAATAATCTTGCGATTCTTGGCGATGATTCGTTCGGCTTGGTGTACTTCTTTGTGCTGATAGGCCGAAACAAGTTGCGTCATAGGTAATATTTCAACATTCTCTTTGTATCTAACACAATATGTTAGAGGATTTCAACTGGTTAAACAACTTACGGCTTAGTTTCTTGAGAGTCGAAAGGATCAATCTCAGAGTTCATAAGCATATGTGCAAGGACAAGGTATTTTAAAACTTGAATACGCTGCATAGAACCAGCTTCATCGTAGCTTCTGAAACTTTCAAAGAAATCTGTTTGGGCCTTTTCCCAGCTTTCTGTTGAGCGTCAGCTTGATGGGGGGGACAGTGAATAAAGTAACTCACTTTCGTTCATATGCATCTTACCGCCGCACTCTTTAATGATACCCATAACTCGAGGGTGAGAGATAGCTGAGGTAACAGTCGAAGTTTGATTATAGATTTCCTATGAAGAGATAAGGAGGATAGTGATGTCATATGTACTACTCACTCTCAACTTCTTGGTATCATTTGTTTGGGAATACATTTGTATCTCGAGGGCGAAAATTTCAAGGAGTAAGCTGCCTTTAGATTGATCGTCTTTGCCATCAGCACTCTGACAAGATAAGCGAAGTTCTTTGAGGGTCTTGAGGGAGAGTGAGTCAAGTGAAAACAAAGAGAGTGAAAACATACGGCATCTAAGCGAGAGTACTCTCTTCTATCAAGCCAAAGTTTAGCGAGTTTGAGGTTAGTTTTAACGCTTAGTCTCTCATTCTTCATTTCAGCGAGTGTTTTCATGGTGACGGAATAGAATTTCTCCATAAGTTCAAGGTCAAGCGACTGATCGCTGGCTCTATCTGAAGAGACATAGTCGAGGATGCCATTGATAGACTTTTCAGAGTAGTTACGCGTAACGGCGCTCTTTGTATAAGTGAGGAGCTGATTGTAGAAATCAAGGGCTTGTGGGAATTGCCTGAGCTTAAGGAAATGAATCTTTGTGACTTAATACGTCGGGTTAGTGTGGGTGGCTGGTGGATATTAGGCCACGTACGCTGCTTCAAGGCTTTGAAACCCCAATCGCCTTTGTCGTGTTCAATTTCAACAATAGACTTGAAGTCTAAAATAGCCTGATCTAGATTATCCTCTTTCTTACCTGAATAAGATTATTAGATGACCTAATAAACATCAATATATCAATTACCCTTGGCCAGATAATATTTATTCTCTAAACCGGCCTCGCCTTGCTCAACGTCGTCATCGTCATCGTCCTCATAATCGAAATCGTATTCCTAGTATAAGTAAGCGTGTGCGTCGTTTGATAGAGTTAGACGCACCTCATCGCCCTCGTCCATCAGGAACTGGAGAAATAAAATCAGTAACAGCAAATAAAGTACACAACACTCACATCTTCATCGTCTGACATAATAGTTCTTGAGCTGCAACGTCCAACGCTGAAATGGCGATGGCGAGTGATGAAACAATAAGTTCGAATAATTTAGATGAAATTTCTAATCATGATTTTAATTTGAATGGCCCTAGGTTAGTTTATCTGGGTTATTTCATTAAACTAGCTAACCCATACTAGACACGGCTTTGGGGATCCCTTCACACCCCACGACTACAACGAATCATACCCACTCCTCCCTTACTTTGTTTCTAATAGGCATTTCACTGGTGGAAATCCATACCCTGACGATCCACCCGATCCCGATTGGAGGCTCAAAGAGCGCCTTAAAACTATCAGTTGCGCAATAGTTCTCTGCTTAAATCTCGGCGTTGATCCTCCGGATGTCGTTAAGACTGAGCCCTGCGCTGTCCTTGAAACCTGGGTTGATCCAAGTCATATGCCACCCACTAAAGCCATTGAAACTATTGGTCGTAACTTACAGCAACGTTTCGAAAGCCTATCACAGCGTACACGTGTTAAACAGTACCTGGACCCCTCTGTCGAAGAAATGAGAAAGCTCTGCGCAAGTCTTCGTCGAAATGCTAAAGAAGAACGTGTCGCTTTTTACTATAACGGTCATGGCGTCCCAAAGCCCACAGCTAGCGGTGAAATTTGGGTCTTTAACAGAAACTACACTCAGTATATCCCTTTATCGGTTTTCGATATACAGTCCTTCATTGGCAGTCCTGGTATCTATATCTGGGATTGCTCATGTGCCGGAAATATTCTCAATTCTTTTGTCAAATTCGGCGAAAGGAGGGACGATGATATTCGAGCTGCACATGAATCAACCAAACAAATGGCTGCTGCTAATAATATGGCTCACACTATGCCTACCTCCCCTTTCCCTGCTTCTGTTGATGGTAGACCTGATACTCCCCCTGTCTTCTTTGCCCCACTAGGTGACTCAATTCATATGGCTGCTTGCTCTTCGGACGAAATGCTTCCTATGACTCCCGAATTACCTGCCGATTTGTTCACTTCATGTCTTTCATCCCCAATAGAGATGGCTGTTCGCTTCTTCTTACTACAAGATCCTTTATCAACAAAACCCGACCTCGATCTTTGTTTGAAGATACCTGGTGAATTGAAATTACGTAAATCACCTTTAGGCGAGCTCAATTGGATTTTCACTGCTGTCACTGACACAATAGCTTGGACTACTTTTCCAAGAGAGACTTTCAAAAGACTTTTTAGACAGGACTTGATGGTCGCTGCACTTTTTCGAAATTTCCTTTTGGCTGAGCGTGTTATGCGAAATTATCACTGTACACCAATGTCTCACCCAGTCTTACCACCAACATACGATCACCCATTGTGGCAAAGCTGGGACTTAGCTGTCGATGGCTGTCTTTCACAATTGCCAGCATTATTGAATCAAGAAAAATTAACTAGAGAAGCACAATACAATGATCAAGCTGCGATAGAACTGAAGAAGGCAAACCTGGTACATTACAAGCAGTCGTCCTTCTTTCAAGATCAGTTAACAGCCTTTGAGGTGTGGCTCAGTAGGGGTTTATCGAGCAGTTCGGGACCAGCCACCGCCCCTCGTTCAATGCCTGCCACCTGGGATCCTGTCAAGCGCAAAGATTACAACCCGCCTCGTAAACCTCCAGACCAGTTGCCGATAGTATTGCAAGTCTTACTTTCACAGGCTCATAGATTGCGAGCACTTGTGTTACTGTCCCATTTCCTTGATTTAGGTCCATGGGCGGTCAATTTAACCCTTTCAATTGGCATTTTTCCATACGTTCAGAAGCTGCTCCTTTCGCCCGTTCCTGAACTCAAACCCCTGCTTATCTATATCTGGACTCGTATATGTGCAGTTGACAGAAGCTGCCAAAATGATCTGTTGAAGGACAATGGCTTTGCTTACTTTGCTAGAGTACTATCACCTTTCCAGGACGATGGTGGTTTACAAATATCAAACGTATCTGAGCACAGGGCCATGTGTGCATTCATTTTGTCGTTGTTTTGCAGAGATTTTAAACCAGGTCAAATGGCTTGCTTTAATTCTGGAGTATTTGAAATGGTTCTTTCGCATTTAAATGATGAGGACTATTTGTTGAGACAATGGTGCGCTCTCATGCTTGGTCAACTCTGGGATGGAAATGACGAAGGTAGAGCATTAGCTTTGAGGGAAAGCGCGACCGACAGATTATGCTTGATGTTGAATGACATTTCACCAGAGGTTAGATCTGCAGTCATGTTCGCATTGGGTACTTTCATGGGTGCTTCAGGCAGCGTATGGAAAGACGTAAACAAGCTCCAGCCTGGTGAAGTACCCAGACTCGGAGGTGGTGGTACAGGCCCTCTTCCTGGTATTTCAAGCCTAGAGCATTTCACTTTCGAAGTTCACTTGGCAACTGCTGTGTTAGCTGCTAAAGAAGATGCATCACCTATGGTTAGGAAAGAGTTAGTTATATTCTGGTCCGCTTTCGTTCGCGAGTGGCAAGGCTGGTTCAGTGTTGCTGCCTACGCTTATTACGTTTGTGAAAAGCGTGACGAAGCTCGATTAATTGGAAACCCATACAAGCCATCACTTACTGTTGTTAAGGAAGCTATTTACGAACATCAAGGGGAAAAGCTTGGTGATAAGCTGTTAGATGATTTCACGGCTCTTTATATGGCCTTATTGGACATGACAGTAGATCCATATCCAGAGGTTGGCTCGCATGCCTGCACAGTTGTCGACTTTATTCATGCTTTACTCATTGAGTCACCATTGGCCGACTCTGAAGATTCGGCTCTGTCTCATATACCTCCAGTTAAACAAGATTTTGGTACTGAAGCGGAAGCGACGCAAAGTGCAGCTACAAGTAAGGTTAAGAGCCAACCAACCTCTCCAGCACGTACAGCAACAGCCCCCAATCTTACGCAGTTCGCTAAGAATCCGAATGTAAAGAGTATGAAGAACGCCCCACCGCTAAAATCATCTGGCTCATTTACAGCTGCCCTCAACAAATTGACATCTCTTCCTTCATTAACCAATCTCACAAGTCTCAACAGAGGCAACGAAGAACCTGAAGAAGATCACCCGTCACCTCATTTTAACCATGCACTTTACCACTCACCTTATGTTCCTCAACAAATTACAAAAATCAAACCCGAAAGCGAGTCAAGTGATGTAAATGCAGAGGCAAGTCGAGCTGGTCAAATGGCCCATACACCACCAAGGACACCATCACCTAATATATTGGAGCATGGTGTTAACGGAAATGATCACGATCATCATAATGGTGGCTATGAGGCATACAATGAAGAGACTATGAATGTCTTTGACGCTGTCACAATGTTACTTGACGAGGACGAATATAGATTGAGAAGGCGTAAGGAGAAAACGAACGGTGGAAAGTTTCATCCGTCAACACAAGCATCTAGTCATGCCGATATACCGGTTACGCCGTTTAGAAAAGAGCTTCAAGCTCAGATGGGTATAATATTGCCATTGAAGAGTAGACTGTTTGACTGGTGCTGTGAGTATTTCACGGAGCCTCAGATGCGCGTAAGTCAGATGATTTAGACGATTTTTTGCTGACTTACACTCTCAAGAACCCCGAAGCTGAAGAGCCCGGTAGCGAGAAGTACAATGAACAGATGTGGCGTCGGCAACGAAACGAAAAAGTAGTGATAGATACACAAACGCAGGCTGAAGTAGCGACTCGAAGTGAATGGAGGGAAAACATCATTAACATTCAAGAGCACTATTTCCCAGTGAAATTAAATTTCCATCAGTTTGAGCCGCAGTTAATTACTGCTGATCCTCATGACGCCATCTCTATCTGGGACTGGAAAGAGGGCGTAAGGTTGAACAGATTTAGTAACGGGAATCCATGGGGCAGCAACATTACCACTGTGAAGCTGATAAATGAGGACGATCAAGCTTTGCTGCTCACCGCCAGTGCTGAAGGTATGGTGCGTGTATTCAGAAATTACAGCACACCAGGAGGTGCAGAGTTGGCGACGTCGTTTAAGGCCAACAGTGAGATGGTTCCATCTAGGCATCCCTCTGGATTGGTCGCTGATTGGCAACAAGCGACCGGACATCTCCTCGTTGGTGGTGACTCACGAGTAATCAGATGTTGGGACTCGCAAAGGGAGCTGTTTCACTCTGTAAGTGATTTGCACTTGCTTGATTGCTTGCTGACTACATACCTATAGGATATTCCCACAACTGCTCAGAGCTGTCTCACTGCTATCACATCAGATCAAGATATGGGCAACATTGTTATTGCTGGATTCGGTGATGGTACAGTTAGAGTTTATGATCGTAGAGAGGACTCGCGCAACTCGTGTGTCGCTCACTACAGAGAGCACTTGAGCTGGGTTCAAAACATCCATCTGCAAAGAGGTGGAAACAGAGAACTTGCTAGTGGAAGGTAAGAGACTGTTGCAGTGAAATGATACGCATATACTTAATTTAAACAGTATCGATGGTGATATTCGGCTCTGGGATATCCGAGCGCAGGCTTCTATTTCTAGGGTGGATGCACATAGAGAGGGTATGTCATGCATCGATATGCACGAGCATGCAAGTGTCCTGGCAACGTGAGTCTTGAGTTTGTTATCTCGCGTAATCTAACAGGCGTCCAAGATCGTCGATGCCAGAGTTCAACAGCAGTGGTATAAGAACACAAACAGTCAAGCTATGGAAAGTAGACTCAGAGGGTATACTCCCAAGAGGCAGAACTATATCATCAAGACCATTGGCACCACCAGCAAAAGCTCTGCCGTTCAATCCATCAGTCTCGAGTCTCAATTTCCATCCAAATGAAATGTTAGTTGGTATGGGCAGCGCTGATGGCCAAATAAGCATCGTTGCTTGTAATGAAGCAATGAGTACGCATGAGGATAATTTTATCTAGATATTTTAGACTTTTAGTCTTCGTAGTTTCACCTATTGCTCGTACACAAAATACTGTAACATTAATTTTCCTTGTCTAAATGATACATTAATACTTTTAATCATTCTTCTCGACTCAAGGGCGCGAGATGCGACAGCACGCCTGTTTCTGTCATAAGTATAGCGTAGATGAAAGGAATTACATGCAGTTACCGCGCAAATCGATATCCCAATCATCTCTTACATCTTCCCGGGCTTTATATGGATTTTTGTGCTCTAATTTCATTGATTCATTTGGTCTTTCTTTATCGTTGTTACGTTCACTTAGTCGCAAAATTGCTGAGTAACAAATAAGTAAAGGATATTCAATACACGTATTAAGCACATTTCTGAGGGCTTGGATATATTACTGAAGTCATTTATCCCATTTACACCCACAAACACTCAATCTGGGACTCGTATCTACATATTTAATGACGTCAAGTGAAGTATACAAGATGACAGGAAGCTTTAAGCTGTGTGTCTTATTCGTTTGGATCATTTCTGCTCAAGGCACCCTACAAATGACCAGGTAATTGAAAAGACGAATGAAGGATACTATGTACTGAAAAATTGAAGAATATAGCGGTACCACCGCTCTCGTGGCGGCATTCACAGCATTCCAAAATCATCCCCGTCTCAACCCTCCACTGAATATCGATCGAGTTGAATTTCTTGACTAACACCTATCTCATCTCATATGGTGATTTTAAGACTGCACATGAGACAACTTGAGGCTATCATCATATGACAAGAATGTACAGAGTAATAACAATGAAAATTAAAAAGAATATTCATATGCTAAATAAAACAAAAGATAGAAAATAAACCAAGAATGAAACATCAAACAAGAACAACTCCAACTTATTACGAATTAATTTAAGTTAATAATTTAGAAAGAGAAGCACGCTCTTCCGCTGAAAGTGTGTCCATGAGTTTAGCAATACCCTCCAAAGTACCTTGCCTGTTGACTGCAGAGAATTGAGAAATTTGTGCTTCGATGTAACGTGAGTGGACCAGTTGGACAATCTCATCAATAGCTTGTCTTTCACGTTCAATGAATAATGCAATGTTCGAGTCGTCATCAAGGTCGACATTCTTCTGAGAGTAGATGTTGTATAGGATTGAAAGTCTAGCTGACCTGTCCATCAATGGGTTAGCTTTGCCCAATCTGTTGATGATTGCTTCTTCATCCAATCTTCTTCTCAGACGCTTGTAGAAGTATCTCCTAGATTCCAACCATTCACAAGGAGATGCGCAACCCTTTGCTGATAATCTACCAACTCTGTCGTGTAAGTCTGAATATAAGATTGCAATTTGTTGGTAGGTAGGGTAAAGGTCCTTTTCACGCATCAATAATGCCTCAGAGGAAAGCGTACGATCTTCAGCTGACTTTGATACGTCCTCGGTTTCTTTCTTCAGACGTGCATATTCTGAATCGAGTCTGTTCATGGTGGAGAGAACCTTGTCACGACGGTACTTGATCTCGACAATACCTTCTGGTTCTGTAATGTCGTTAGATGTGTTTCACAGTAACCTCATCAAGACTTACCAAGAACACCAGCACGGGCCCAAGGGTCTGCGTACATCTCCATCATTGGCTTGTTTATGGATGGATCAAGGACAACCCAAGCACCACCCCTGAGTTCACCATTTGGAAGAACGTATACGAAGATAGGTTGCTTGTAAGATGAGAGACCATCAACAATCTACAATCCCATGTCAATAATAAGATGTTTGAAGATTATCTAACTCACCTTGGAACCCTCCTTAAGAATGGCGTCAAGCATATCCTGTTGACCACCAGAGAAACCACGCCAGTTTGCAAAGATCATGAGTGGCAGTTCTTCACGGTTGAAGTCTTGAATAGCTTGCGCGGTCTTGTATGCGGAGTTAGGGTACCAAACTTGACCAGCTTCCATGATACGCTGTTCGAATGAGACTGGGTTGGCAGGGTCGGCAGGTACGATTCTCTCCATTGTGCGAGTCTCGACTGCAATAGTACCCATTGGAATACCACCCAACTTGGCTCTACCAGTGACAACGGTCTGAGCCCATCCACCGAGCGTTTCTTGGAATGAATCCTTGTCGAAGAAACCTTTCATGAACTTTGGTTCACCTACTTCTTCGTCTTCGGATTTACCTGCCAAGAACCAACGTGGGTCGTATGGTCCCTTTGGTGGAACGTACTCGACTATTCTATCCCAACTATCGCCTTGTGGTGAGATTGGCACTGGCTTTCCTTTGCGTTCAGGAACGTATGACAACCATTGAAGAATAGAAATAGCACCTTCTAGATCATTTGGAGAAACAATGTGAGAGATACCGTTCTTGTGCATGATTTGTGTACCACCAAGTTGCAAGTTGGAGGTATAGACTTCACGACCAAGAACCTTGTTGAGAGCAGGAGCACCAGTGAGGATAATTGGTTGACCTTCAACTTGAACAGCACGTTGACCCAACCTGACGAGGTAAGCACCTATACCGACAGATCTAGCAGTGACTAAAGTGATGGTAAAGATGTCATCGTAGGCGCGAGTGGTTTCACCGGCAATCAATCCAGATCCCTTGAGACACTCCACACCCAGACCATCACGCAATCCAATGATATCAGTGATCTTGTATCTACGCTCGCCATCATCGGTGATCTCTTCAACGTTGACGGATGAAGCAGCTTCCTTAAGTGACTCGTAGTTCTCAGGTGTGAGATAGAGATACTTGAAGCCCTTTAATGGCTTGCTAGCGTCGTTCCAGGCAACAGAGTACATGTTCATGATTTCCTCAGCCAAACCAATACGAGCACCAGAGTTAGCAGATAGATATATTCTTGGAAGGCCATAGGCACGAGCGAGTTCAGTGACCTTAAAGAAGTACTCGTCCTCGAGTGGACCGAAAGAACCAATTTGATAGGTGATATCATTAGCAACGATCACTGTACGTCTACCTTGTGGGTACTCTGGTGTCTTCATGGTGAAGATCCATCCAACCATACCGATTGTGTTGGAACCAGCCTTGCGGTTAACTTCTTGTAATTGGTTGTGCTCATCGAGAACCAATTCCGACGCAACAAGTGGGTCTTCTGGTACATTCAAACCTGGAGCGTTACGAAGAGCGGTAGCCCAGACGTTGCGAAGAGCTTGACGGAAGAGATCTGGGAAGTCGTACACATAGGTTGTCCCTATAACGTGGGCTTTGTAACGCTTTGGTTGAAGCCACTCTTTGGTTGGGTAGGGTGCGTTAACTGGTTGTAAGTGATGAGCACCTTGTGGTCCAATCGATTTAAGGATACTTGAGCCTGAGTCAGTCTCGACTTCCTGGTAGGCCTCGTATTTGACGACGAATCCACTGACGTTCTCGATAACAGCTCTAATTGGTTGAACGTTACCCTCTTCATCTTCAAGAACGATACGAATCTCAGCTCCGGTAACTCTCAATCTCCAGAGACGCTTGCCGTGGCGGTCGATAAAGCCAGCAAGTGCTTCTTGAACTTCATCAAATGAAACGCGGAGGTTGTAGAGGAAGTTAAGAGAGACGTGGTTACAGTCAGCAGTTGGATGATCTGCGCCTGCAACTTCAAGAGCGTCGAGGATATCCCCAACAAGTCTGTCTGATTCAGAGATCAAGTAATCAGTTGTACGGATCGAGCCACGTAGTCTACCAGGTCTAACCAAAGCTCTGATGAAAAATCTGTTGTCAGATGCGTTCTCACGACCTTGAGCATGATAAATGTGAATTTGACGGTTCTCAACAAACGAAGGTGTGATCTTAAAGTTGGAGAGTCTACCAAGCTCGAGTTGGTAGGCGAGAGCTGGCTCAATGTTTCTGATTTCCTCTTGTTCGATCCATCTACCGTTTACATCACGCATGGTATAGAACCAGGGGTATTCACCCTTGTGGTTGATCAAATAGGTGACTCTTCTAATACCGCATTCTCTGATCTTATCGCCAACTTGGTTGGTCAATTCAATGAAGCTCTCCAACCATGCTTCGTTGCTTAAATCGTCCTCCTTGTTAAAGGCGTTTACAGCCAAGTTGAGAACGTTTGGTGGTTGTGCACCTTCGCCATAACGTTCGTAGTGCTTTGGAGCATCAAAGTGAGAGTACATAGCGAGAACTTTGTTGATGCCAACTTGAAGAGCAGACAAGTTGTTAAATGAAGCAATGGCACCCATGCGAAGTGGCTCGAGTGAGTTGCGCTTAACAGCGTATGTGAGATCTGACATTGAACCAACTCTTGTGACGTCCTTGAACGAGTCGACACGTGGCGTTTGAGGTGCGTCTGGTGATTGACCCAGACGGAAGCGCCAAGTAACGATGTGAGGGGCATCGACTTCTTCACTTGGATGGTAGTCAACACCGAGAACTGTGTATGCACGGTAGGCACGTGAAACGTAGACTTGGAGAGCAGCTGTAATACGTCAGTAAATATCGTTATCAGAATAGTATGTCCTACCCAAAGATATCCAAGGGTTTTGGTGAGCAAAGAAAGTAGTCAAGACATCAAAGACAGTGTAGCGAGAATCGGTGAGTTCCTTGAGTATTTCGACGTTTGGCATTGAAAATTCTTGTCCTTTCTCACCATAAAGATTTGTTGTGACTGAAGACTTTAAGATATCGCCCATTTGACCGACACGCTCTTCGTATGAAGGAATCTGCGTCAAGATAAGAACTTCTCTAGCCTTGAGAGCAACTTTGGTGCTGAGCTTGGTATCAAGATCAGCGAGCTCCTTGAGTGACTTATTCAATGGGTTGTCAGAGTGGGTGAAGTTGATACCACCACCCTTAATCAGATCTAAGATTGCGTGCATGAGTCTATTCTTGGATTGAACCTTAACATGAGAAAGAACGACGGCAGCAGCTTGCTCTAAGTTGTCACGGTATTGCTCTCTCAATGCTAAAGCAGCACGATCTTCACCAAGTCCGAACAAATTCTCAGTTTCAACGTACTTGTTGATGAAGCCAGCTAGTACTGTCCATTCGTGAACCTTAAGACCACCTCTGAATTGTTCCGCAATTTCAATGATTGGTCCGACACTTAATCTAAAGGTAGCACGGTCTTGTGCACGAATGTTTGCAATAGTGTAAGCTTCAATAAGATCAACAACTTTGACGGCAGGGAATTCGACTTGCTGCGAGTGGTGTAATTCTACAAGCTCACGAATATCATCCTCAAGCCTAGCTGGAATACGACCTGAAAGAGTTGAAAGTAATTGACTCATCATAGCGTATGGAAGCTGAGAATCACGCAAAACCTCAATCAATTCCTTCAAAGTAGGTTGCATGATTGAGAGGTTGTCGTAACCGTCAAGAATGGTGTTAATAGCGTCGACCAAGTATGCTTGACGTTGGTGTGGTTTGTTGCCAAGAAGAGATGGTGGACCAAAGGCTGGTAATTGGCCCTCGAAAGGCTTAGCATGCTTGACTCGGCTTGGGTCGTCGAGGGCAAGAATACCAAGTACTTCACCAGGTTGCAAAGCTACACCAACTTGTTTAATGAACATAGGTGAACCATCTTCCGTAGCGATTAGAGGCATGTACATTTTCATGACCTGTGATTATGTTAGCTATAAGCGTACTTGCTATTTTCAAACACACCTCAATCTCAGCGAATGGTTGGCCAGCACGAATATGACCACCACTTTCAACAAGGTATCTGACGAGTTTACCTGGAGATGGAGAACGGAGTTGTGTGGGGTCGTTTTCTTGCTCAATGAGACAAGTTTTTCCATCAATCATAACCCTCCATGCAATCGACTCGTCTCTCCAATAGACACTGTGTGATTTACCATCTAAAAGAACCAACAAACCACCATCAGCAAGGGGACGAGCAGTAACCTTGGTTGCGCTGCCGTTGAGGTATAAGGTCCAACCAAGCAATGAAGATCTGGTGACGGTGAAGTTGTATTTCGTACCTTCGTAGATGAAATCAACAGAGAAAATGGTTTGCAGCTTCTCCTTTGGTGGAACTTGACCCTTCTCAAGAATGGCTCTGTATTCAGCCCAGCTCTCCTCACTTGCGACGTGAGCCTTAACGAGTGCACCACAAATGACAGCTAAGTATTGGTCTGGACGCTCGGCAGTGAGGCGGTTCGATATGAGAGTGTCCAACCATCCTGTAGTGATGGTGTTCTCTTCGAATGCCTGTGTCTCGAGAAGCTTGATGAGATATTCAACAGTCGTTCTGAAATCACCTCTAATGGAGATCTCCTTAAGTGCGACGACCATGTTCTTACGAGCTTCAGATCTGTCAGCACCGTAAGAGAAACAATGACCGAATTGAGAGTCAGCTAATGAGTGAAGACCACCCCTTGCTCCAATAGCAAAATAACCCCAAACGTTTGGACTTGATCTGAAGTTCAATTCATGTACAGTACCGCCAGATGGCTTGAAACCTGCATCAGGGTCTTCTGCAGTAAGACGTACAGCAACGACGTGTCCTTTTGGTTTTGGTTTACGCTGAGTTTGAAGGGCTTCGGATGAAGAGAAGTCAAAGTCAATCGGGGATTCACCAGTTGGGGTCTTGCCGTATAACGTACGAATGTCTCTAATTCTGTGAAGTGGAATACCCATGGCGACTTGTAATTGGGCAGCCGGTAAGTTGACACCTGAAACCATCTCAGTCGTTGGATGCTCAACTTGAAGACGTGGGTTAAGTTCTAAGAAGAAGAACTTATCTTCGGAGTGAGAGTAGAGATATTCAACAGTACCAGCAGAGACATAACCGACGAGCTTAGCCAACCGTACAGCAGCTTTTTCCATCTGCTCGAACTGTTCCTCACCGGCAATGGTGACTGGAGCCTCTTCGATAATTTTTTGGTGACGACGTTGAACAGAACAATCACGACCAAAGAGTGAGATAGCATTTCCATATTGATCAGCGAGCAATTGGACCTCCAAATGTCTAGCAGCACCGGCCAATTTCATGATGAAAACAGGAGAGCCAGGAACCTCACCAAGAACGGCGGTGAAACTGAGAGGGAAATCTGCGGCATCTTCAACCTTACGAATACCCTTACCACCACCACCTTCAGATGCTTTGATCATGACAGGGAAACCGATTGATTGAGCCTTCTCGAGACCCTGCTCGACGGTTGTGACGGTAGCGTTCTTGTAAGCTTCGTCTGGAACGGTAACAAAGTTTTGAGGGGAGAGGGTTGTGTCAGAGATACCAGTACCGGACCAAGCCATTGTAGGGACGTGAGCGGACTGAGCAACGATGGTGGAAGAGATTTTATCACCCAAGCTACGCATAGCAGAGCCAGGGGGACCGATAAAGACAATTTGAGATTGAGCAAGCATTTCAGGCAATCTTGGGTTCTCAGAAGCGTGACCCCTTGAGTGTTTGTTAGTTTGTTTGTGGAGGTTAACGAGTGTGGACTAACCAACCAGCCCATACAGCATGGACACCAGCGCGTTCAGCGACATCAACGATAAAGTCAACGTTTGCGTAGTTGTTGTTATTTGAACCGCCAGGAACCTCGACATATTCGTCAGCCATACGAATGTAATCAGCGTTAACAGCTAAATCTTCTGGAGTGGCCATAGCTACGAATTCTACAGCTCTTTCATGACCGAATTGCTCATAGCACCACTTCCTCACGGATCTGATTTCTTTAACTGCAGCGATACCTGAGATAGATATGAGTCGTTGGTGGCTGTAGATTTGGGGAGACAAACACACCGTTGTTTGCGATAAGAACTTTAGAGATTACCGTGTGTCCTTGATGAAGCTTGACAAAGTCCTTGAGTGGAGATGGCTTAGCGCTGTCTACGGCATTACCGCCAATGAAATGAGAATAATTCATATTTAAAATTTAAATTAGATGATGGTATAGGTTCAAGAATTATTTTGATTTGTTTGTGGTGATTGCTTGCAGGCAAACAAAACCGATTGAGAATCCCAATATCAAATTGGATGGGGTGAAAATTTTAATTTATTTAGATATAATTTACAAACTATTAATATAATACTTTTTTGTATCAAATACATTATTCAAATATCACTAAATCTTTCACAATTTATCCCATCTCACTGCATCTTGCGTAGTGCATCCAATTCATCTAATATTGTCTGCAAAGTCATCTCATCGTTCTCGTAGAGACTATTTAGCCCATTTAGCTTTTTCGCGGCTATTAAAACCTCCTACTCACCTTGGTATTAATGATTTAGCTTCATCAACATCCCCGGGGACTAAATTACCAATCTGAGCTTGTTCAAATTGTGTCATTTTCTCATCTTTCTTTAATGCTCTGACTTTCAAATCAATGGAGTCACTTGCCGCTGTTTATGATACCCACTCTCGTACGGAAATGGCTGATTCCTTACTACCGAACACCGTGAACGTATTAACGTACTCTGACGTCTTCTTGAAAACCCTTTTGCCACTATAAGCTATATACTTAACCCACTTGTTATAAACCCACGGCGTATCTTGTTGGCCAGTACGGCCATCGAGCAAATGCTTCACTTCCGAAATTGTCAAGCAACCCATATCATTAAACTCGGCACCGAGTTTTAATTTCGATGCGTCTTCATCATCCAATGCTCCCCTGCGAAGGTATCTTCCTGAGCTCGTCATTGCGTCGTGTTGGTGGTTCTTAAAGGCTACTCCAGTTTCTTCAACTAGAATCTTTAACTACCCAAAACAAGTCTACGAAGTTTAACCGATAATATTGAGCTGCGAGCTTTTGAGTACCCGTAAATTAGCCAAAGTTTGAAAGTAAAAGTCTTCTCTGAGTGATGTCATAGGTGAGACATTATCCAGATTTTGAAGAATCTACAAAAATGTATCACATTAGAGTGTGTTGCTTGAGCCGAATGGCTTTTAATATTTATAAAGTGATAGATACAGTTGTAATAAGTTAATTTGGTGGCGTTAATGCTGGCTTTGTCGTTGATTCTGATGCTGATGCTCCTTGCGGTGGTTTCTTTTCCTTCTTCTTCTTCTTTTTTTTTTGCTTGCTGTACGAGGGTGGTGGCGGTGCAACGCCTACGCTTCCACCAGCCATTTCTCCCTCTGCTAGTGTCGGTACTTTCTCCCTTGCCTCCACGAAAAACATTAGATCCCTAACATTCTCCTTCAATTCTGTGTTTTCAGCTGATAATCCAGCTATTATCTCGTTCTGACTTTCATTCTGTTGGATTAGCTTGTCAATCCGCGCAAGTAAGCCCCTTGAAAATGATTTTTCTTCATCTGCTTGCTTACGTACGAAATGTAATATTTCAGCAGACTTGCTGACCTTCTTCTCCAGTCTATTGTTTTCTTTGATAAGTCCTTCTTCGGGATCAACCATGTTCCTTTGTGATTCTATGGCCATCTCAAGGCTTTCCACACGTGCATTGAGATATGCCTGCTTGTTTTCCTTAAATTCTGTTAGCTGAAACTTTATAGCAACTCCACACTCACAAAATAATACCTTTGAGTTTCCAGCTGAGATGCCAATAAAGCAGAGAATTCCAAAGCGACCATCTCATCTTCAGCTCCACTACCCTTCTTCTCTATCCCTTCTTCGTCTTGTTCAGGATTATTATCTCTTTGCTTGCTCTTAGAAGCGAGTTGAGAGTACGAAGACGTAGCAGAAGGAAGCTCAACGACCTTTCCATCCGATTTTTGAATAAGGCGATGAACGTAACCATCACCTGCATAATCCCAAACACGCTGTGTAGCTAGATCGAGTGAAAAGAGATGCGTAGTCTCCTCATAATGACGATATGCGTGACCAGGGCCATATCTACCACAACCAACATGACCACAAATAAGGCATATCCAAAGATCATCGTAAGTTCCACAGCTTGTACATTGTGTTTGACTAGATTGCGATTGCGTTGGTTGAGAAGATGACTCTGGCTGAAACTTTGGCAGAGAATACCTACATACTGGACATCTAGAGTTAGGCCATGCTGAAAGGCAGGTACAGTGAAAGCTGTGGTTGCAGGGTATAGTCATCAGACCTGTCGCTGAGCCATCCATTCTATCGAGACAAACAGGACAGGTTGGTAGCTCGATAGACTGATTTGCACCACTAATCCAGCCATCAGATGCACTCAGTTCGAATGAAGAAGGCTTCATGTTGCTGGAATCTGGCTGTATTTCAACTGAAGATATTCTAACGACACGGCATATTTCCTCGTTAAGGCTGGAGAAAGGAGTACCATCATACATATCTTTGAACTCGATAGCGTCTCTAAAATCCTTAAACTTAATAACAGTAATGAAGCGATTCGGAGCAGCATCCCTGAGAATACGTATGTGTGAAATAGCGTCGAGGGCGGGTCTGATGAATTCGAGCAAGTCTGAAGGGGACATTGAGGAAGGTACAGCTAAGATTCCAACGACAGAGTTCCTCTCAGCTGAGGAAAGAGCGGCACTTGAAGACGTTTGAATGAAATTGAGCTCATTCATAGCGTCATTATCGCTCTCTTCAAGTGATAACGAATCTTTATAAAGGTGAATAATACCGCTTACTTCAACATTTCCTTCGAATGCTGCTGGATAATATTTTGCGATTGGTGGTGAAGGTGTTGTAACTGTACCTTGGTCGCAGTTGTTGAATTCCATGTAAGTGCCTGGTGAAGGAATTTCTCTTAATATAGCGCTATTAACACAGTTCTTTAGTTCTTCGAACGGATCTGATAACAGTGGATCAATGTAACTAATTGTTATATCGCCGAATCTGCTATCTTTACACTGTGAGCCTTGTGTACCTTGTTTACTGCGTTTATTGCTGCTTATAGATAAATCTTGGAAAATATCTTTCTTATCGTGTGTGTTATTGGCTGTGATCACAATCCTGAAAGCCATACAACATGGATGTTAAGAAAGGAGGTAGGAATTATATTAATTTTTACTTTATTTACAAGTCAGCCAGCCAAATGAACGACGTTGGTGACTGCCCTCCTTGTTTCGCTGCTTGTTTCACTTCTCCTGTGAGTGTATCACGCTGGAATATTCCAACATTAGGATCATTCTCGTAAGTATTCCCAACTATCAAATACTCCTCCTTAGCTCCAAATAGCTTAAATGCCCTTGGTTGTATCCCTCCAACTTTGGCGTGTCCTTTCACGCTCAACTCTTCACCCTTCTCACCAACCGTGATTATAGCAAGGTGATCTTCATCCTTGGCATCTGCAGGCTTCACGTCCCTGTTAGCTGCGTATATATACTTTCCATCACTGCTTATACCAATCTCAGATGCCTGCATTGATGTCTTGTTCTTTTTGCTTTCTGGAACAATCCCAATCTTGGATATTTGTTCCAACCCACCGCTGTCATCAACTTTAAACACTAAAACCTCATTAGACAACTCTGTAATGACATATAATATTGGTAACTCTGGATGGAAAACTCCGTGTCGTGGTCCTGAACCAGCAGGAGTCTCATATTCAGCCACCTTATCAAGATTATCATTCTTAATGGCGAATTGCAGAATTCTGTCACTGCCGAGATCAGGTATGTACACTGTCTTGTCATCTAAAGGTGATGCAACGACGTGGTGTGGATGTGGTGATGTCTGTCTCTCTTTATTTGGTCCAGATCCGCTTAACTGCTGAGGCTTTCCGAGGTTAGATATCTTACCATCGTCTGCAACGCTGTAGGCTTGTATACTGCCACTAGCATACTATTTGAATTGAGAATTCAATTAAACTTGGCAAAAGACCACTCACATTCGCTGCAACAAAGCACTTCCCATCAGCAGTAAAACCACCACTAGCAGGTCCGTCACCACCAGAAGGAAGAGTATTCACAACGCTATGATTTTCAGCGTCTTCAATTAACGTTGATGCCACGCTCCCAGGAAATGTTTCTGAGCACACGGCAACGAGTGAGTCATTAACTGGTGATTCTTGTATCCATGAAGGCGCAAATCCTTGAGGCAAAGAATGTTTCTTGCCGTATCCAATAGTACTCTTATCGCTATCAAAGGTATACGTCGTCAAGCTCGCATTATAGCTACCTGCTAGAATCGTATAGGCTGACGCGCCACTCAGGCCAGCCAATCCAGCCCCTAATTTCCAAGTTTTCATTTCAGCCTTAATCGTTCTAAGTAAGGTGTGAAGCCTTCAAATATCGAATTCCTCACCATTCCGGGAAAGTGATGTCACAATATCAAGATTCGCAGTCATCAACAAAACAAGACGACGTCGTTTGAAAGTTTTGATATAAATACAATGTTGTGTTGTTGCTATTCGTCGTTTTTAAGTGCATTTACCAACCTGCGTTTGCAATCAGTGAGATACTCATATATCCTCATACAAACACACCAATTCAATGCCTCATTGAGCTCTCCATCCTGACTTATAGCAGAACATCCACGTACACTCCACGTACGGTCTTTCATGCTATCCAAACCAAGTTGAAGAGATACCTCTGACGCAGGTAACGCGTCCGGGCTGTCCTGCTTATTGGCGAGTACTAGCAACTTTGCATCCTTGAGCTCGTCCTCTGAAAGCATTGTAATCAGTTCTGAGCGTGATGTTGGTAATCGTTCGGTACTGGTGGGTGTGAGCGGATGCCATTCAGATTACTAGCAAACTGACTCTGTGGAATCAACAACGTATCTGTTGATGTTTACGTGTAAGCCCTTGTTCTCAATGGCAATTAGACTGACATAATCGCCTGTGTGTTGGCGTAATAACACCGCCAATATCTACACAAGCATTTGTGAGTTGTGATTGTAAGCCTGAGTCAATAATACCCACGGCCTAATACTGGTCTGTCCACCCAAATCCCAAACATTGAGTTTGAGGCCATTGTAATCGATGCTCTCCACATTGAACCCAATAGTGGGTATTGTTTGAATTACTTCTCCAAGCTAATTGATAGGTTAGACTCCCGCTACCAACTACATAAATCGCGATCGAGCTTAGTGCTGTCACATTCCACGCACTTGCAATCTGTAGATGATCGTCGTTTTCCCTGCAGCATCTAATCCCAGCATTAGAATACGACACTCTTTCCCTCCGTTCCAGAAGAACAGTGGCTTGAATATATTGGCCAGTCCTGATAGAGTTGCACCCATCAGCGTTGAGTGTATGAATCGAAGCGTGGTAGAAGATCAGGTTGTGTAGGAATTGCGGATAAAAATTAAATAAGAATCCTTTAAAATCATACAGCCCGATATATGTACATATATATCCCCCTCAAATCGCCATTTCCGTGGATCTTTTTCTTGGTGTCAACTTTAACAGGTTTTTAGAGAGCAATTTGTCAGGAACATCAACTTGACTCCTCATTTAACATGATCAAAGGCCACTAAATTACTAATACACTCCCTCAATTGCCTCCCTTATCACACAATCTTAATGAGATTAGAAATGACGCAAAAGCTCTTGATTTGGGAAATGCTGATCACTAGTTTGAAAATTTTGTGTCGCTTGTAATTTTGAAGCACTCACCATTAGAAGGGTGAATTTCGAAAAAATCGTCGAAAAGCTTTAAGACACAAGGATACTCGAGGATAGTATAGAAAACTGTGAGTGAAAAGCAAAACCAAGCAGACATGCTTTCAAATTGGAAGAAGGAAGCTGAAGTGTTCATATGAAAGATATTACATTCATGATGAGAAGTAGCGTTGATTAAGGGTGTTTGGTGTGGAAAAGATGGATAGATTAAAAAGTCATCTGCGTTCTTGTTACTGAAATTGTGTTATGCGAGTGAACTGTCAAACAGAGTAAATAGCTATGCGATTGCAAGATGTTTCAATAATGAAATAACTGTAGGAATATTGGTATGATACGATGATTGTGAATAATGATTATTATCTGTGATTCAAGATTATTGGTCTAAAATTTTTCATTGTAACGATCTTGTTGAGCTTTATGCATGACGAGAGAAGCAGCAATAATCGGAGCTTTGTCCTTCTTTGCGGATCTAGGAGGTTTAGAAGGGCTCAAGTTAGATAAAGACGGAGAGAGTGATTTGGATTGTGCATCTGCAACTGCATTTGTTGCTTTACGCACAGCCGCCAAGTGATAGCCGCACAAGCTAGCGCTGTAAGACTGAAGGGTCATGTTGTACTTGCCGACGCTGCCATTGCTGTTGTTGCTGTCCTCGCCGTCTGAGCGGTGAGAAGGAGGTGGAGAGAGTAGACCAGAGTCGCTGCTGCTGTTGTTGCTGCTGATTGTGCTGAATGACATATTGCAATTAGTTTACACTTTCGTCACCGTCAAGAAAGACCAATGCGCATCTTCTATTCGTGCCTCAGTGATCTCATCATGGAGCGAGTTGGGGCCTATCGATGAATCAGTAACCAGAATTTCAAATCGATGATATTTCACAATTTTTATTTTCAATTATTCAATTGTTTCCTACATTCAAATCAGCCCACTCCAAATTTTTCACTTGACGCGTCCGCGCTTTCCACTTCCGCTCTCTCTCTCTAATATCACCCGAAAAAGATAGCGGAGGAAATAAAGGAAATAAGCAAGGGAATATCAATGGCAGTTACACAATCACACCCTTCAAAAATCAACCTTCCTGAGCGTTCACCTGGTTTCACAGTCTCATCAAACGCTAGTGTCTCGCCACGCACACCACGCACGCCACCGCCTACGGCTACAAGGCTCCGTGGATATCCTTTAAGAAGGCGAGCATCTTCAATATCATCCCTTAGATCGTCAGTATCAGAGGCTAGCGTTGAGAGCTCCGAGCTCGATTGGAGCACAAATGAGGACGACAATTTACACAGAATCTGTGATGAATACGCTAATGAATCGACTCATACCCCATACGCTGATTGTGCGCCGCCAAATCAATTGGTTCATCATTTGGCCAAGACGGCACGCAAATCAAAGTTTGGACCTGAGAATGATCGCTGGAGGCACACTTTGAGGTTGGTTTTTGTTTTAATATCTAACATCAAACTAATCATAACTCTCTCCATTCAGATCTACACGCCGTCGTATCAATATGATTATGAGAGAGGACGCTCGACCCCTCTATTCTCGCATACAATCCAATCAGGGTCTAGTGAAGTCTAAATCCACTCCGAGTAACAGCGGTATGACAAGTCCCCATCAAAGACTTATCTATCTTAATGACATTGATGATGAGAGAACACCGAGGAAGTTACTAGCAAATATCACCGCAGAAGCCTACTTCTCACCAGATAAATCTGGTCTAAGGCAAGCGCTAGGCAGCATATCTATAGCTAGTTCAATAAAATCTGAGCAACCTATACGTCGTTCAGCTAGACATGCAGCAATCAGTAGTATATCATCAGATGAAACCATGATTGATTGTGCGCAGGATAACAATGACAATAACAAAACACCTAAAGCTCAGCATCGTAGAAAGTCATCAAATTCACCTTATAAAAGTTTAGCCGCCGAGTGCACAATTGACGAGGGTAGTAGGATTGGGTTACGACCTCGTAAGCGTTAGAATAGCGTTGATCGTGGATAGAATAGTGTTTATAGCATTGTATAGTTTTGGATTTAGCTGTTACTTATTTCTCTCTCAACTTGAATCTTTCACTTAATTTATTGGACATTGTAATGAAAAATATACACATAATTTTACAACATTGAATTTAAGACAAAGTGAAAGAAATAGCAAATCATGAAACAAAGACCTTGCGTAGTTTGCTGTAGTGGACTATTGTACCATCTCGCGGACATTTGACCATATTTTGAGCATCGTTTTGAGCCATATCATGTAAAGCAGATTTAGAGTAAACTCTGCCATTAGGGAAAGCGAGCATTTCACCGTCTTTGACGACTTTTCCAGAAATCTTACAAACGATTGAAGAGTTAGTGTGATGTGAGTGTGGAACTTGTTGAGCCAATGCACCTAGTAACTCAGGGTCACAAGTAGGACAGTTGGTGGAGTGGTTGTCGAGGAGTCTCTCACTCTTCGTCGAAAGGAAAGTTGAATCATTGTAAAGGTGTTCAAATTCGTTGACATGATTATCAACTTGAGAGGAATCTTGAGCAATTGAGCAACATTGTAATTTAAGTGAGGGTAGACCAACGCTGAGAGCGACATGTAGCATAGGTTGAGTACTTAAACCGTATAAATGTAAAGCGACAGCTTTAAATTGTAGACTCAAGTCTGACCATCTAGATTTGTTATATAAATTACGATAAACGCCAACAATGGAAGATTCAGGAAATGCTAACAGAGCGACAGCTTGTTGAATTTGCTTGGAGTGAGTAGAAAAGTGAGATATAAGATGATGCCTTAAGTAAGAGATTGCTGATTGAATGTTGCCTTGTCTGACGATTTCAATGTACTGTTGTAACCTTAAATCGAATTCGAATTGAATACTAAGTTTGCGGAGGTTCAGCTTGTTCTCATTACACCAGGCTAAAGCTGAATCGCAAGAGAAATTCAACAAATCTGACTCAATTTTAGTAATTTGATCAGTTAAGTCGTTATCGATGAGGAAATGAATGTTAGATTTGTCAATCAGAAGATTTGCAACGGATTTGTTGTTATTTCTTAGACACCAATCAACAATCCACCTTTGAATTCTAATATCCTTGAATTCCTCAATTAGGTTATTATCATTGTGATGATAACCATCTAACAGAGTAGATTTAATATGCAAGCATCTGAATTTAAGCTGATTGTAATCGTTTGATTGTATAGATTCTAATTGAATCAGCTGTGTTTTGTGAGTGTGCTGCAATCGGTATAATAGCCGTAACTCGATACCTTTAATTTGAGTGAATGAGCTTTCGAAATCAATTTATCAATATCATTTACTGATAAATCATTCTTCAGACTATTAGAAATCAAATTCAAATCTTTATCCAAGTGCTTTTGAATGTTTCTGAAAGATTTACGTAATTTCTCTAAAGGTGACTGAATTTGCGTGTATTAGAGTGGCCAATATAGCATTTAACAAAACTAACTCTAATCAAAGGTTTTTCAAGCATTAACATTCCTTCCAATTCTTGCTTACTCGATACCATGATGATGACAGTTGGTGTAATAGATTAGATAAAACAATTTTAATTCATTCTTTCATTTCAGTACATCAACTCAAAATTAGCTAAAAATTAGTTGCTATTAGCTACTAACATCCATACTATCACCACCTTGACCAATCTCAACAACTTCCTCTTCATCAATAAGATTTCTGATAAATTCCTTCTTAACAGCCGTTGTACCCCTTCTGAACTTGTAATTGTTCTCCTTTTGTGATCTTGCATTCAACTCTGGTGCAATATTTCTATATAATTGAGTTGGTTGATCCTTCTCAATTACGCAAACATCACAATTTGAACCTGAACCTAAATCGTTAAAGATACCTGCTGAGATTGCTTTGATTACTAAATTCTTTGCTTCGTCTTGTGTTAAGTTTGGTTTCCATGTTGATTCGAATACTGCCATTGCTGCTAATGAGCCTGAACCCATCGTAACATAAGGTAATTTATCTGTTGATCCATGTGGTGCAACGGTGAATAGATTAGGACCTGTAGAATCTATTCCACCTAAAACTAAAGCTGCACCTATATGACCTTGGTATTGGAATAACATTTGTTTCAACATTGTCATTGCGGTTACAACTCTTGGACTTCTTCCTGTGGATAAAGAGTGTAATTCCAGGTTTGAAGATATCAATGCTGTAACAGCTTCTGTATCTGCAGCAGTGCCTGCGCCACAACAGCGAATATTATCTGTCAAGTAGTGGATCTTTTCACAGTTTTTATCAGCGATGATTTCACCTTCAGTTGCTCTTGTATCAGCGCCTAAAACTAAACCATCCTTGTAAATGCAACCAACGATAGTTGTACCAGTTGAAGTTGCTTTTGGTAGATTAGCTTGATTATTTGAAGCCAATGAGTTATTTCTATAGAGAGGTCAATAGATTTATTTTATTAACTGTCAAATTTCAAGTCTAACCTGTTAAAATTACTAAAATCGAATTCCACCATAATTACGTGTTGACTGTTCAAACTCAACACTCAACGCCCAACTCATCGCTCATGACGAATAGAAGGAGATCCCTATCAAATGAAAATATTCTAATTCATCAATTCCACGGCTCCTCCGAGATTAACAAGGAGTACAAGTTATCCGATAAAATTGGTGAAGGTACTTTTGGCGTTGTATTCAAGGCGACTTCTAGGTCTACGAGTAATCAAGTCGCAATTAAGAAAATCTTAGTTCACACTGCAAAAGATGGCGTTAGTTTAGTCTATTGATTTTATCCTTATCAACTTACACGCCAAACTTAGTTCCCAACTACTTCAATTAGAGAAATTACCTTCTTAAAGCTCTTAAATCATTCAAATATCGTTGAATTGGTTGACATGACTTATGGCGAAGGTATTTTCCCTCTCTCTCCTTCTTTTTCCTCTCTTAACACTCACTCATTCACCCAGAAAACTCATCACCAATGTTTTACATGGTTTTCCCTTACATGGATCATGATCTCACTGGTTTACTTGAAAGACCAGATTTTAAACCTCCTGCATCTCAAATCAAGCTATACATGCAACAATTATGCCAAGGTACTGCTTTCATTCACTCAAATGGTGTTCTACATAGAGACATGAAAGCTTCCAATATTCTAATATCAAACGATGGGTCCTTGAAAATTGCTGATTTCGGCTTAGCTAGGATTTGTCACAAACTACAACGCAATCTTACTTCAAACAAGTCTAGAAACTATACAAATATGGTTGTCACTAGATTTTATAGACCACCTGAGTTAATCCTCGGTGAAAAGAACTCTTGGGGTGATTATGGTCCAGAGATCGATATCTGGGGTGTTGGGTGAGCTTTGAAACCTTTATCCACTCCATCTAACATTTACTTTTAGGTGCATATTTGCTGAGATGTTCACACATAAGCCTATTTTACAAGGCCAAACCGATATCGATCAACTTCGGCGTATATTTGAACTCTGTGGCGATCCTACACCTTCATCTTGGCCTGGATGGGAGTCAATCAAAGGTCAATACGATATCGATATCAAAACATCTGGTTTCAAAGGTGGTAACTTGAGAAGCAGATTCACTCAATTAACTAGCTCCGATCAAAGTACTCTCAATCTACTTGAAAATATGTTGACAATGGATCCAAAAAAGAGGATCTCTGCTAGAGATGCTCTCAATCATAATTACTTTTGGTCCAAACCTCTACCAATGGATAAAAACGACGTCAAACCTCTACCATCATCTCACGAATACGACACCAGAAAGCAACATCCACAGCATGATAAAGCTAGACCTATGCAACCTCAATTACCACACATACAGTCCAAACCTAGAACTAATCCGTATGCTCCACCTAATCAACAATCTTTCGGTCAATTTAGCTCTAGACCTGCTCCAGCATATAAAGTTCCTCAACAAGTCATCACCGGCTCGATGTTTAGTGGTAAGCCACCTCCGCCATTGAATTTTAGAGGTGCTCCTGCTCTTAGGGGTCGTTCACAAAACAACGCCCCTCATCCACGTGTACAATCAAATCCTTATGTTAGGACTGCGTCTAATCAATCACGATTCAGCAATAACGACAACTTTAAAAGAGCGCCACCAAGACAAGCGAAACAAGACAATTTTCCTGATGATGACGCTATGGATTATGGCGAGCCTGAACCACCTTCTGATCGAACTAATGAAAGAAGCAAACAAGAACCTTCAATGGGTAATAACCCACTGCCACCCAAACCTCATGAAAGTCTAAGGCGGGACAATCACAATACTGAAGGTGAGATGACAGTGCCTAGTATTGCAAGAAAAAATTTGACATTCAAATCTAGAACCTAAAGCTCAACAAACTGTACAGTCAAAATTACCACACCCGCGAACGACATTATCGACTCAATCGGATGATTGTGAAATCATCAAGTCAAAATCTCACGACCCTTGGTCAGCGAACCAAACCAACAGCCAATGGAATGAGGCTGTTGAAGGACGTCAGAGTCCTTCATGGAATGACCAAAGCACATGGAATACGCCCAGAACTTCCCAACAAGATCAAACAGATTGGAGTAAATCAATCGAGAAAACAGGTGATAATACAATCAGTCCAGATGACGGCGATGATAATAACAAGCTTTCTAGTCGTAATAAAAGCACCAATAATAGCTACAATGATAAGCAGATGGGTAGTTTCCATGGCCAAAAGCGCGATAGACGTCCATCAGACTATAACAATGATCGCTACAGTGGCAGATCAATGGACTATAAAGACAGATATAGTAATCGACAGCACAATGGGCGAGATTACTATAACAAGAAACCATACTTTCAGGACTTTTATGATAGCAGAGAATCTGATGGAAGAGATGGGTTTGGTCGTAATCCTCACAATCCTTATAAACCAACAACTAAGCCCTACAAACCCTGGAGATATGACGAACCCAATGACGAATCATTGAGCAATAACAAATACACAAGGCCGAATGACACAAATCGCCAGGAACATAGAAAACATTAGCCTTATAAAGCTGAGAGGCATATCTCTGATCGATGAGTTGAAGGTGGGGATAGAAATCGTTATGTTTAGAAACGTAGTCACCATCACGACAACGAAGGACAAATAGGTACTTGAATTACCGCGCTCATCATCAGTACTCAATATTGTAAAGTTCTTCATTTAAAGTTTTTTCTATTACCTTCAATCGGACATTGGGGATTGTTTCAGCTTAGGTTCTCAGTCAAAGCAATTATTTACACTAGGATAAGGGTTCGGATACCAGTAACATTTAACATACACCCAATACAATCAAAATAGCATCCATGCATATTTATTCTCAATCTGTCTAAAGTAATCTACACAAGTCGTGTTTTAACCTCCTTAGCTTTTTCTAAACTCTCATTCACTACCTCCTTGACCTTCTCCCCATCATCATTCTCGTTGAAACCATCTGCTAAGCTTTTTGCACGCTCAATCAAGCTCTCTACCTCTTTGGTGAGCGTTGAAATGGCAATTGAGTAGCCTCTTTCCCATCTTTTACGGGTCAATTCAGCGAGGGCATCTGTACCAACAACAGCTTGCCAAGAAGCAATACCTTGTGACTTCAACTCTTGAGTAATCTCATCTTTAATGCGCCTAGGTAATCCTACACCTTCATATCCTAATGAAGTGTACAGTTGAACTAGTGATGCACCTGCACCAGCAAATTTAAGAGCATCCTTGCCCGAAGAAATGCCTCCACATCCTATTAGAGGGACTTGACCATCTGTAGAAATGTAGAGCTCCTTTAACGCTTTGACAGACTTTTCTAATAAAGGTTTACCACTCAATCCACCAACTTGATTACTGTTTTCAGATTTGAGTGTTGAAGGTCTATCAAGTGTCGTATTACTAACTATAACGCCATCAATACCGACGTTCTTGGCTGCCAATCCAACATCTTCCAACTCTTCAAGGCCGAGATCTGGTGCAACTTTTACAAGGATTGGAAGATGATTCTTAAGAGTCTTACGTTCACCAACCACACTCGAAAGAAGCTCCTCTAACAAACCTCTCCTTTGTAAACCTCTCAATCCTGGAGTGTTTGGTGAGCTGACATTAATAACCAACATGTCAGCGAATGGACCAAGTCTTCTGACGCCTTTCACGTAATCGCTAACATCGTTTTCAGCGGTAGTCTTGTTTTTACCGAGGTTCAAGCTAAGAATTCTACCTTTATGCAATGAAGCAGGAGTGTCGAAGTGAGTCATAGTTTCATCAGCGCTGAACAAACCAGATTGAAGAAGTTGGTTGGTGGTATCTGTGTCTGAATTATTTGTGACGAACTTCTTCAATCTATGCCTTAACCTTGCTAGGACTGTCATATGGCCAACTGAATTGAAGCCGTACCTGTTAATGACTGCCTCATCTTCAGACAATCTAAACATGCGCGGTTTATCATTTCCTGACTTCAAAACATGTTAGCTTTTGTTTAAAGCATTTTAACCGAATAAGTCACCTGAGGTTCTGGGGTGACGGAACCAACTTCCACGAAACCGAAGCCTAGATCGAACAAGCCATCAATAGCTTCAGCGTGCTTGTCGAAACCAGCAGCTAAACCGATAGGATTGATGAAATCTTTGTTCCAAAGGGTAGTTTTCAGACCTTCCCAATCAACTGAGTAATCCTTTGGGTGTATACCGAGCGAAAGAAGGTTGATTGCTAGCTTGTGGCTGTTCTCTGTGTCCATTTGGTGGAGTAGAGGCTGCGTCAACCAGTTGTGTATCGACGCACGCGAATCTTGTGCGTAAACGGCAACACCGCCCAAAGAAAGGAAGAAAACTGGTTTTATTAAATTTTTATTCCTGTATAGTGCTCTAAACATTCTTGTTGGTTGTGCAGGATAGACTCGTACACTAAATGGAATGTAGCATTTCAAATAATTTAATCAAAGGTGTCTACAATTGAATGTAATAATTTTCAATCTAACTTCAATACAGACTTCACAAAGCTCCTTCAATGCCTTTCTAGATTCAGTGATGACTTGACTTTACGATGCTGTGATACAGATGTTAGTAGAGTGCGAGGATGTATGGCAATATCAACTCACTTAAAACTTCAGATGCAACTTTCCGCTTTAAATTCTACAAAATCAGGTTTCATCATATTCACGCTATCTTCAGACTTCTTTGACGATTACAAGATCCTCAATGATGAAATTTCTATTAAATTAATGACGAGAGCTTTGCTTTCGATAATGAGATTGAAATCCCATGAGAGAAATCTCAGCGGCTGTAATCTTAAAGTTGTCGATCAAGATGTTTCATCGCGACTTATTCAAACAATTTCCTTCAACAACGGCGCAACTCGCACGCATAAACTTATTTACTCTTCAACAACTCTCACATTACCTTCAAATGACCCAAGTCTCTGTACTAGCTCAATCATCGCTAATGCCCGCGTACTTCGTGATTGGTTAGATCACTTTACTCAGTTCAATATAAATAATGACATCACTCTCATTTGTTCTGAATCTTCTGCAAGGTTCGCTAATGCCTCAGATAGTAATTACGACAAAACTGTTGCTGCAGGTAAATTGAAGGATCAGTCTACTCAGACATTGGTTCAAGTTGAAACTACCGAGTTTGATTATTACGCTGTTTACGAGGATGTTGCCATTAACTTTTCCTTGAAAGAGTTTAAAGCTATTCTTCAGTTGGCTGAAGGCTTGGGCGCTCCAATTCGACTTATGTTCACCAACGCCCCAGATCCTCTCCACGTTGTCGTTGACGCCGATGACATGCGAGCTTCAATGATACTCTCAACTTCTGTCCCAATGAGCACTCCTTCACAAGTTGCTGAAAGATCTAATCAAATCACTCCAAAACTCCCTACTGCAATTTTACAAAACCGTCGGCGCTCTGATACAGTTAATGTTTCAAACTTTATGCAATCTTCTATACCTCCACAATCCACTCGCAAGAAGCGACGTATTAACATGGAATCTGTTACACCTTTCAAATCAACAAACCAATCCAAGACTAATATACCACGACATGAAAAGGAGATCAATGACCAGCGCCAACAGAATGAAAACGACCAACCCTTGTTTCTAAGTCAACCACTTGAGGGTAATATAAATGACACCGATATAACTACACCTCCACCGCCTGCTTCCCAAATTATAGGCGCTAGCATCCAAGATTATGATCCATCAATGGCCAGAGATGGAATGAACGATGATGAAATGAAAGGCGTCCTTGATGACATGAACCTTGATCCAAGTTCTGATGAATCATCGACTCAGGATGAAGCAGACTTTCAAGATGATGACCTTCTCGAAACACAACAAAACGGCAATTTCAAACCACTATGGGATTGATGATATTGAAAGGTATAAGAGAAACAATATATAAAGAGTAAACGAGTGTATTACATGGTCTATATTACTAAATTATCTTCGTAAAATCTGTTTAATGCAAGAAATTAATGCGGTTCTTTAGTGGTCTAAATGTAAGCATTCAATCCAGCTTGAGCAACTTGTTCCGGTGTTTGCTGATTGATTGCCTTAATAAGCTCCACCAATTCTAATCTGACCTCTTGACTGATTTGTTCAGGCAATGATGGATCAAGAACGTGCTTGAAAACAGCCAACAAATTTGGCAACTCTGGCATTATTAAATTTGCATTAGTTCTAAACAACGTGAAGATAGCTCTGAAAACTGGGCCATTCTCTAATAAGTCGTTCCTTAATGGCAGAACACTGATTAATACTGATAACACCTGATCCAATGGCATAGCTGATCCGTTTTTTATAATCATTCTTGATGTAGCACCGGCTGCATTATCACGGGCATTCAAAACTGGGCTTGGTGCCTCATGTCCAACATCAAACAACGGTTTCAGTGACGATAGTATCATCATGTATTGACCTGAGAGGTCTAATTCAGTGTTCTCAACTAACACACCAGTTGCAAATGCTGCATTAGATCTTACTTCTGCTTCTTCGTCTGAAAGTGCAGTTAAGATTAACTTGAGTAAATTTTCTGTGTGTGGTGTAATACCAGACTTCAATCCAACGATAATCTCTCCTATGGTTCCAATCACTGATGATCTTTCACCGACGGCTCTACCCTTTCCGTAGAATTTGGCAATTAATGGCAAAAATGTTCCAAATGGTCCAGAGAATTGTTGTCCAATTGATGTCGCCAATGCACCAACTAAGTCTCCAGCGGCTTGAATTAGTACTGACTCATACTCTGCATTTTCAACATCCTCCTCTAGTTCGTCATCCTGATCTGGATCTTGTTGACAAAGTGACTTGCCGTTCAAAATCTCAGCGGTTGAGTTACAGACGTTTTCAACGCGGCCATCTCTTAAAATCAAGGATGGTCCCATCTTGTTGAGAGTTTCAGCAAGTTCTTGTACAATCGTTGTTACAACTTGCTTATCATCTTCTTGTGCCCAAGTATCAAAGATTGCAGGTAAAACAAGCTCGATCAACTTTTCAACATTTTCATGATATGATGTAGCAATGCCTGCTTGCCATTGCGCTGGTGAAGATATTTCATAGAATGCTGACATGAAAGCAAATAAACTTGAAAGTGCACTCTTTCTAATACCTTCGTAGTAATGTTCGAGTTGATCAATCAATTTTCCAACAGACTCCTCTACGAATGGCAGGAAATTTGACTTGGTATTGATAAAAATTTCACCAATTGCATCTGCAGCTACCTCTTTCTCGATTGCCATTGCACTATTTACTGATAGCATTCTTTCTGGATCAATATCTTCGACGTTTTCTTCGCCAGCATCGAACAATCCATCACCACCACCACCTTCCATATCATCGGTTTCGTCTTGACCCAAGCTGCGCAAAAGAGCTGGTACAACATCACCAAGGAATGGTGAGAATTCTTCTCCGAAGACTCTAGTCATGACGGTGAAGAAGATGAAAGAACATTCACGCAAGCGTGGTGAATCAATGTTCATTCCTGCATATGCTTGCTGCATGATTTCTTGGAAGACAGGTCTGAATACTTCTGGTCCGACTGCTTCGGCGATTGTACCAACAGCATCCATTGTTACACCCCTGAGATCCATTTCTTCACCCTCTTCCGTCAAGTTGAGGAACGGAAGGATCAATTGAATTGTTTGTGCGAAGTAGGGTACGAATTGAGTCTTGGCAGCGTGAGCGGCTGAACCAATTGCACCAGTAACTGTACTCTTAACTGCTAGTGGGGCTGTCGACAGCAATCCAACTAATCTCTCCATGAGCATTGGAAGGTACTGGTTGATGTCCTCTCCAAGAACTTCCAAAAGGGCATCAAGTGCGGTACAGGCTGGACGTTGAGTTGCTTCATCGTTCATAAGGTTGAAAACTAATGGGAGCAACACACCGTGTCTCTCCGCAGCTTCATCACCCAACATGTCACAAATACAACCCAAAGCCACACAAGCAGCCTTGCGGACTATTGGTTCGCCATCTTGCAAACCAGCGTCGATGAATGGCCAAAGCTCATCAATGTGAGGTCTAATGAACTCTGAGCATCCTTCCACGGTGACACCGAAGGCCATCATTGCTGATTTACGTAGTGGTGCTTGTGGGGAATTCATGTATTCACGTAATTGTTGGTAAAGAGGAGGGAACACTTGCGATGGTGGTAAAGATGTTGCTAAAGTGTCTAAAACACGGAAAGATAATCTAGAAGGTGAATCTTCATCAATGTCTTCTGGATCTTCTTCAGCACCGATTGGAAGCAAGCGCTCCAAGATTGGCTTGGCAAGACCAAGGGACTGAATCTTAGATTTCTTGTATTTGACAGTCCAGAGCAAGCAGTTAAGACACATAACTCTAAGTGAGTCTTCGTAGTTTGAATTTGAGGCTGAAGTTAAGAAAAATTGAACGAGGTCTGGTATAGCCTTTGAAAGGAGTGGTGCTTCCTGATTCGAGCGTCAAAAATGAACTTTGAACGGTGTGATTTCACGTACTATGATCAACATTGTTTCGAAAACGTCAAAACCAGCTTTTACGGAGTCCTCTTGACCGGCTTCCAAGGCTTGTTGGAGGACGATAACCATTGGCTCAATAAGACTTTGGAAGGTTTTCTGATGGTTTGTTAGAAAAGTGAATCTGAATACTCAAAACTCACAATATCGTTCTTATCATCGATATCAATGTACTCAGCGACCTTTCCTAAGGCTTTGAGGGTTGTGACTCTAACCTCCAAACTCTCAGGGTCTGATATGCTTTTTGCGAAGAGAGCGAAGAGAGAAGGCAGGTGACTTTCAAAACCTTCGATGATAGTTTCGAGGAGGGCGTAGAGAACAAAAATACCAATCTCACGGTGCGCAGAGTTTGGTGAAGTAGAAGCTTGTGTGAGGTAGCTTAAAAGATCTGGCCAAGTGTTTAATGGTAGTTCGATCTCAGCGATTGCAGAGATGACACGAGCGCATGAGTGACGAACAAGATTACTTAAATCTTGTAAGAATAAATCTAAATTGATTTAATTAACGCACCTGTGCTCAACCAGAATTACTTCAAGCAAACGAGATTTGATTGAAGTTCTGATTTCTTGAGGGCAATTCTTCCAAAGATTACCATTAGAATTACTGACTCTCTTACGCAGCTCAACGGCAGCCAATTGCCTGACTGGATCCATTGGGCTTGACGCTACTACCTCGAATAGCCCTGGAATGCACTCAGGTGCTTTGTAGTATTGTGCGTTTAATGTCGCCGTAGCATTCTTGATAATCTGTGTATCTGGCGCGACTGTCTGCTCAAGCAGACTATGGAGATTTTGTACGTAGGCCTCCATCGATAAAATGGGTCAAGGTGCGAGCGTCGCGAGCGTTGGCTTCTTGTTGAATTTGAAAATTTACAAAGTCAAAAAAATCTATCAAAATTAAATTCATTTGGCTAAATTCACTGGCTATTTCTGCTGATCATTTCTCTCATTCTTTACATGCTTTGTTGCACGGCGTGGTCAATTATCACTGCTAAAGTGAACGAGTGCATAGACCGGGTAATAGTCATAAAGTTCGCATGATTCCATGATTCCTCAGGGTTCGGCGCTCCGACTTAAATTAAATTCACCTGTCATCAATTTGCTTGAATTAACGATTGGAACGGACTTTTACGTCTTTAGACACTTCAAAGGCTTATAATTGAACGCGTCTACTGTCAATAATGTTCTTTGCGTTCGCTTTCTTCAATCTCGAATTATTGTATTCCTCGGATTAACGAACCGGACAGAGTCACAAGTCCATTCACCGTCATGTGCCCCTATCGTTCCTGAGTCATCATTCTGACTTAAAACTCATCAATTCATAACTTTGTCGTATACTACCTGAGTTATCGCTTTCATCTCAAAAAAATTTCCGTCAATTTACTAGATCAAATAATAGTTTCAGACAATGAATATCGAGGAAAACAAAGACTTTAAGAACGAGCTCGAGGAGCACGAAGCAGCACCAGACACCGGTAATGGGACGACTGTTGATTTAGAAACTTACAACAACGATGACGACGAGTTCGGTGGCTATGAAAACAGGAAAAAGATGGAGCGAAAACTTGTTTTTAAGACAGATTTGAGGATGAGCATTATGATTATCAGTAAGTCAGCTTCGACGTTACATTAACCATCATTGATAGTAGATTTCTAGTCTACATTCTCAATTACATTGACAGAAACAACGTGCCTGCTGCACGCTATCAAGGATTGCAAAAGGACTTGGAACTTGGCGTTGGTCAGAGATACGAAACTGTCATCAGCATTCTTTACGTAGGCTACATCCTTATGCAGTAAGCTTCTCTTTCTACCCTCTTATAATCACAGCTCACTTTGTTTAGAATTCCCTCCAACGGTTTGATCTCAATCATCAATCGACCATCGCTTTATATAGGCGCTGCCATGAGTATATGGGGAACGATCAGTGTACTCACTGGTATTACGGAGAACTATGTTGGTATTCTGATGACAAGGTTTTTCCTTGGCTTCATTGAGGCTGCTTTCTTACCGGGTGCCATGTTCTTGCTATCTAAATGGTACAAAAAGAACGAGCTGGGTGTCAGAATGACTTTACTTTACTGTGGTAATCTCATATCAAATGCCTTCGGTAACCTCATAGCCGCTGGTATTGTCAATGGAATGGAAGGCAAACTAGGACATAGAGCTTGGAGGTAAGCAGATTCAATAGAGATTACATCAACTTACAAAATTTACCAGGTGGCTGTTTTACATTGAGTGAGAAAATTTATTCTTCCCAAATTTTGCTTACGTCTCCCCAGAGGCGCGCTTACAATATTTGTTGCTGTTTGCTCAGTTTTTATTTTACCGGATTTTCCCGAAACTGAGAGATTCTTATCACCATTGGAGGTAAGACAGTTGGCCTTTCATGAACGTTAAGTTAATAGCCTTCTCAGAGAAAACTAGCTATCCGTCGTATGGCTGAAGATGCTGGAAAGGTGGATTCAGTCGGTGGAAAGAAAGAGGTGCTCGAGGGTATGAAAATGGCCTTATCTGACTACAAAGTCTGGTGGTTGGCCTTAACACTCACAGGTATGGTCATAGGTTTGAGTTTCAACATCTATTTCCCCACTCTTACGAAAAACATGGGATTTGAGGGTACTAGAGCTCTTTTAATGTGCGCACCGCCATGGATCTTCGCAACTTTAGTCGCTTTCCCTTGGTCAGTTAACTCTGACAGATGCCAAGAGCGTACATTCCACATTTTAGTTTCAAACCTGATATCCATCGCTGGATTCATAATTGCTTTGGCAACTACAAACCAGGCCGCTAGGTATGTTGCCTTGTTTTTGATGACTCTGGGCTACTGTGGTTTCATATGCGTTTATGCATTCACTGCAAGCTCATTTATTCGCCCGACATCGAGACGTTCAGTTGCCATAGCCTTTGTTAATGCTTTCTCCAATATTGGTAATATCGCTGGTAGCTACATATGGGATGCAGACAAATTCGGCCCGGACGGTTACAGACAGTCATACGCAATTTGCCTTAGCTGCACCGGATTTTCTTGCTTTGCGATCCTAGGCTTTAGATACATACTGAAGGATATCAACAAGAAGATAGAAAAGCTGGAAGAGGAGTACCCAGGTGTCGACCCATGGGACGTACCAGAGAAGTTTGATCGCAAAATAGATTACTCTCTACTTGTCAAGCGTGGATTTAGATATATGCTTTGAGCATACCTTCGATTGCCTTGCATATCAATATTGCATTTCCCAAATTTGCACATGTACACTAGTCATTGAATCGCCTTTGGATTTATATTTTAACGTGAAGGGATACCTGTGCTGTGGTCATTATCCTCTAGGAGGGCGGTTCAGTTTCAATCGAAGCCGACGTGAGCTTCGAGGAGCTGATGGTTCAAAGCGTTAAAAGTGGGCAGCAGTTGATTACTTACAACCTTAAAAAATATACAGTCAATTAATTTAGTGTAACCTGCAATCATTCACAAACAATTTGAGGCTCAACTCGAGGATTATGCATGGTAAATACACCGGTCTGATTATGCATACTTTCGAGTTTTACAGCTGAATGATACAAGAGTGCACATCTTTTTAACTTTACTGACTAGAAGACTTTTCTCTCTTTGAAAATGCTATTCTAGTCGAGAAGATCCAAAGACGCCAATTTGCGGTTCAGGAGACTTGATAACATATCAACGTCAAGAAAAACAAGTACTTGTGAAAACAATATGTAGCCCTATTTATTACCACTGCTCGCTTTGTTGGTGTGTACGTTTTACGAATTGCAAGCAAAAGTCATAGATATATTATTGAATTAGTAATAGCTAAGGCTGAGAAAGCATAGAGAACGATAAAGGTAAACACTTGAAAACAGAAGAAAAACAAGAACCGAAAGCGATATGCGTATTTCATACTCAAATGTCAAGGTACATCATGCACAAGTTAAGAGTCGAAATGCGATCACTTTTCAGAATGCATGATTTAGATGAAGGCAAATGTAAAGTGCCGGAAAAAGAGTTCGTAGATGGAACTATTCTCTTACTTAAGCTTCTAAGATAATTTTAAACTAATTAAAATCATAATACACCCCACTCACTACTCAAAATGCCAAATGCATGCATTATGTTAGGGTACATTGAGGTGCAATTGAAAAGGAACCCAAGAAAGCCAAAGTTGTGCCATTATTATGCTGAAAATTAGGAAAACATTACGCACTAATTAGAGTCACAATCAACCTACTATTCAAATTCCACAATACGTGCATTAGGTTAGCTTACCATTTACCTAAACCCTGTGTCCTCAGTGAGCCTTTCAAGTTCGTCAGCTTGTTGTACAGCACAACCCTGCCGATGTCCTTTCAACCAGCATAACGTCCATACGGAAAATGGGTTGAAAGTTTCGTATTTCCATCTTAATACGCCGCTAAAGTAGCAGCAGGTGACCTGATATCAAATATGTTTCGGCCTGTCGTCTTCTAAAAAGCCAGAAATCACTTTTTTCCCTAATCAGGATCGTGATTCACCCAATACTTTGCCTACTGACATGCACTAGGTCAGGTAACTTTTAGGGGAAAATGAAAAGTGACTCCATAATCCATCTCTTTGGTCTTTCAAACTCTAAAAAGTTCACGAATGAATAGGCATCACATCAAATGGCGATCCCTTCCCCCCAACCCATCTCACCTAACAGCACGCACAAAGACTGGCTACTTTTAGGGGAAGCTGAAAAGCCGTACAGTATGGTGCTCTTTTGGAACTGTGGTATTTTTAAATTCAGTAATCATTACGCAATATTCAGGATGACAATCCCCTACTTTTCATCATGCCAGAACTTGAGCACTAGGATGTCATAAGGGAAGTCATATTTATACTCAACAATTATTCATTCGTTCCTGACTAGCCCTATATGGTTTATAATGTTTTGTGAGCTGAGCGTTATCGCTTGGCTGAAGCTTGTTCATGATCGAAAGGTGGTACTGTCAAACTATTAGACAAAGCCGTGATAATATATCGTTAAAGTTTCTGTTCACAAATCAATATGTCTCATCAGTACTTAACACGTCGCTGGTGTATGTTAACAACTGAGTTGATGACGGAAGTAGGGAATATGTCTTATCAGAGTTTAATATGTCAGTTAAAGTAATGCGATCGTTACAACCTCATTCCTGTTACTATCTCATTACGATTTCAATAGGCTCGAGCCACATAATGACTCAGCCTTTCTTGCGTGAAAAGCTTCCTAATTGTGATTAAAGGGTAACTATAGAATCAAAAGAAGAGCAGAAATTTTCATCATTAATAGCTGTCTAAGTTTGCAGAATTGTATATTAGACTTTCATTGTTAACTTAAGGTTATTAATCACTTTGGCAGTCGGAGCCCTACCCTTTCGAATTTGATGAAAATAATCGAGTTTACTGGCTAGCTATACCACTAAACTAGAATTATTGACTATCATTATTCAATTTAAATTGATGCCAGATGCGACCTTTTCCTAATTGTGCCTAAGGACACCACCCCTGATGACGTACATGACCCTTTTAACTGGCATTTGGCCCCTAACTATTTGAGAAGTGCTCATTTGTAAATGTTAATGGTGTCTCAAAAATGCTTTACAACGCCGGATAATCAGAAACCGTAAAGAAGAAGGAGTCACTGTTTAAAATCAAAGAAGACAAAGGATTTAAACAATAAGAAAGCTCAGTGATTACTTTTGTTTAGCTAATTAATCAGTTGATGATCAATAGGGAAGTCAATGGTATTTAGCAAATTCAAAGAGAAGGTCATAAATCACGAAGCTTTCCTGATAAAATAATCATCGCGAAATAACTTTGTTTCTAATCATTTCACTATGATTTTTCTTTGCATAGTCTTTTTATATCTTAAGAGCTCTTTAAGCAGCCAATTTCTCAATAATTTATTATATTTTTGTTACAATCATTAAAAATAACGTAACTTTTATTCTTTACAAGGGTGTTTGACATTAAACGACAGAGATTATCGTAACCAATGTCACTGAAAAGTTTCCTGTGTATCGTGTGTTATAGGAAGTTTTCAAGACATTAACGTCAATGATTTTGATAATAGATCAGATTTTACCACTAACCCTTCACATATCAAATATAAATTAATTGTAAAAATTACGCAAAGTATTGCTTCATCTACAAAATTCAAGGCCATTGTTGACATTATTGTTTAATTACCGTCAAATTGTCACTAAGTCCTACATCGACATTTTACTGGTCGTTTGCATTGCAATCGATTTTTTAAGCTGACAAAAGCTTATGCATAAATAAAATGAAAAGAAATCAGAATTTCTACGAATAAACGACAAGTGCATCACATTTTGATTTTAATTTGAGTCGACAAACTTACATCATGAAGAACTTTTTCATCAATGCAAAATTCAGTACAAGATTTGAAGTCGTACTTTTCAATCTTGTTATTGTTGTACTAAGGTAATGATAAATAAATAATTGCATGCCCTGAAAAGAATATTTTACCGAACTTTGTCGTTTAAATTGAATCAACACTATATGAGCTTCGCTGTCAATCTCAAATAAGAAAAAAAAAGTATCATATTAGATTGTTTTCACCACGTTAAATTGTAAAAGTATGTATCCGTGTCCCATGACCTTCTGTTTTCTTGTCCGTTTTCTACAATTTGAAGCAAGAATATAAACATATCTTTCATCGATTTCTCGAAAGCTTGGTTTCGTCAGGACGGATCGAGATTACTCTGCTGTCGCGAAATTCTATTTACTCTTTTGCATTTATAAGCTTAATCAGCTCAGAAAATCGATTGCAATGCAAACGACCAGTAAAATGTCGATGTAGGACTTAGTGACAATTTGACGGTAATTAAACAATAATGTCAACAATGGCCTTGAATTTTGTAGATGAAGCAATACTTTGCGTAATTTTTACAATTAATTTATATTTGATATGTGAAGGGTTAGTGGTAAAATCTGATCTATTATCAAAATCATTGACGTTAATGTCTTGAAAACTTCCTATAACACACGATACACAGGAAACTTTTCAGTGACATTGGTTACGATAATCTCTGTCGTTTAATGTCAAACACCCTTGTAAAGAATAAAAGTTACGTTATTTTTAATGATTGTAACAAAAATATAATAAATTATTGAGAAATTGGCTGCTTAAAGAGCTCTTAAGATATAAAAAGACTATGCAAAGAAAAATCATAGTGAAATGATTAGAAACAAAGTTATTTCGCGATGATTATTTTATCAGGAAAGCTTCGTGATTTATGACCTTCTCTTTGAATTTGCTAAATACCACTGACTTCTCTATTGGTCATCAACTGATTAATTAGCTTAACAAAAGTAATCACTGAGCTTTCTTATTGTTTAAATCCTTTGTCTTCTTTGATTTTAAACAGTGACTCCTTCTTCTTTACGGTTTCTGATTATCCGGCGTTGTAAAGCATTTTTGAGACACCATTAACATTTACAAATGAGCACTTCTCAAATAGTTAGGGGCCAAATGCCAGTTAAAAGGGTCATGTACGTCATCAGGGGTGGTGTCCTTAGGCACAATTAGGAAAAGGTCGCATCTGGCATCAATTTAAATTGAATAATGATAGTCAATAATTCTAGTTTAGTGGTATAGCTAGCCAGTAAACTCGATTATTTTCATCAAATTCGAAAGGGTAGGGCTCCGACTGCCAAAGTGATTAATAACCTTAAGTTAACAATGAAAGTCTAATATACAATTCTGCAAACTTAGACAGCTATTAATGATGAAAATTTCTGCTCTTCTTTTGATTCTATAGTTACCCTTTAATCACAATTAGGAAGCTTTTCACGCAAGAAAGGCTGAGTCATTATGTGGCTCGAGCCTATTGAAATCGTAATGAGATAGTAACAGGAATGAGGTTGTAACGATCGCATTACTTTAACTGACATATTAAACTCTGATAAGACATATTCCCTACTTCCGTCATCAACTCAGTTGTTAACATACACCAGCGACGTGTTAAGTACTGATGAGACATATTGATTTGTGAACAGAAACTTTAACGATATATTATCACGGCTTTGTCTAATAGTTTGACAGTACCACCTTTCGATCATGAACAAGCTTCAGCCAAGCGATAACGCTCAGCTCACAAAACATTATAAACCATATAGGGCTAGTCAGGAACGAATGAATAATTGTTGAGTATAAATATGACTTCCCTTATGACATCCTAGTGCTCAAGTTCTGGCATGATGAAAAGTAGGGGATTGTCATCCTGAATATTGCGTAATGATTACTGAATTTAAAAATACCACAGTTCCAAAAGAGCACCATACTGTACGGCTTTTCAGCTTCCCCTAAAAGTAGCCAGTCTTTGTGCGTGCTGTTAGGTGAGATGGGTTGGGGGGAAGGGATCGCCATTTGATGTGATGCCTATTCATTCGTGAACTTTTTAGAGTTTGAAAGACCAAAGAGATGGATTATGGAGTCACTTTTCATTTTCCCCTAAAAGTTACCTGACCTAGTGCATGTCAGTAGGCAAAGTATTGGGTGAATCACGATCCTGATTAGGGAAAAAAGTGATTTCTGGCTTTTTAGAAGACGACAGGCCGAAACATATTTGATATCAGGTCACCTGCTGCTACTTTAGCGGCGTATTAAGATGGAAATACGAAACTTTCAACCCATTTTCCGTATGGACGTTATGCTGGTTGAAAGGACATCGGCAGGGTTGTGCTGTACAACAAGCTGACGAACTTGAAAGGCTCACTGAGGACACAGGGTTTAGGTAAATGGTAAGCTAACCTAATGCACGTATTGTGGAATTTGAATAGTAGGTTGATTGTGACTCTAATTAGTGCGTAATGTTTTCCTAATTTTCAGCATAATAATGGCACAACTTTGGCTTTCTTGGGTTCCTTTTCAATTGCACCTCAATGTACCCTAACATAATGCATGCATTTGGCATTTTGAGTAGTGAGTGGGGTGTATTATGATTTTAATTAGTTTAAAATTATCTTAGAAGCTTAAGTAAGAGAATAGTTCCATCTACGAACTCTTTTTCCGGCACTTTACATTTGCCTTCATCTAAATCATGCATTCTGAAAAGTGATCGCATTTCGACTCTTAACTTGTGCATGATGTACCTTGACATTTGAGTATGAAATACGCATATCGCTTTCGGTTCTTGTTTTTCTTCTGTTTTCAAGTGTTTACCTTTATCGTTCTCTATGCTTTCTCAGCCTTAGCTATTACTAATTACGTTCCTTTTTCTTCCAGTTCAATCGATAAAGGATCATGATATTTTATTTCCATTACACAATGAAGAATTTAGCAAATATTGTAAGTTGCAGGCTGCAGATTAAAGGAATGGCTTGTACAAGGAAAAAGCATATACAACAAACTGATTTAATGAGATCAATGTTATATCCGTGACGAGGAAAGGCGTGTAAATACAGTAGATGGGAACTGTTGAATTTTGTCCATTAGTTTAGACTGGTGGAAGGGCTATGTACAGAAATTATGACGTGAGGGGGCACGTGGGGCCTGCAAATAATCTAGAAGCAAAGAGATTGTCGTCCATCGTGCTTCTTTTTGTTAATAAGCTTGGTAATATCTATGACGTTTGCTTGAAACTAGTATAACATAAATTTAAACTGTGAGTGAAATGTGCTGGGCATTTTCTGTATTTTTTAAGCTAAGTTTTCAGTAGACCTTGACGTAATACCTAATGCAAGCACTTCATGAAGTGAGTTTATTGCGTTTCTAACCAGTACATGACGTGTCCTGATTTTAGATAATTTAAGAGGCGCAACCATAATGCTTTTCCGACTCAATTTATCTTTAACCTAACCTGATGCACATTTTATGAATAGTAATTAGATTTTGATGGTGATTATTGCATAATAATCTGATCAATTTTGGAACGCAAGAGCTCAAACGGATTTTCCTCAGGCGACTGTAATTATTTCTCGCTGACCTAATGCACGCATTTTGACTTTTTGAGTAGTGCGTGCATTTCGGTTCTATTTCATGTATAATTCGCCGTGATATTAGAAAATACATTGGGCCTATAAGAAAGTCTTTGTTTTTTTTGCTGTGATCATTTTCGCAATTACCTAGAGATTTGCACGGGATTGAGCAAATATAATCACATTAAGTGATTGTTATTGTCAGACATGCTAGAGGGAAAAACCATTATTTCCAAACATCTTTATAAACCTCATCCTTGTTCTGAAGGTTATTAGTGATGCATGGCAGAGTCGCAGATAGGATAATCGTGGGCAATTATATAAATACCTATCTCAACCTTTAAAACAACCGTCAAAATAAAATTACACGTGAATCGCAAGTAAAATCAGAACATGAGTAATGAGACTGCGGATAAAGACACAGTCAGAGTATTGAAAGCTTGAATGAGAGGCGAAAGGGGGAGTTGGAAATACCTACGAGCAGTGAGACATATCTTAATGTTCGAGACAATACCTACAAAGTGATAAAATAGTAATAGCGAAATGATAGCGAAAGGAATTACGATATCCAAAACAAAACAGAGATCCAGGTAATCATACCTCATCAAAGCACGCTAAACTGACCGATCGATACTGAGATATCCAACAGAACTCTCAATCTGCTTCTCTTCGAGTTGCTCAAACTGCTGCTGTTGAACAGCGCTAGTCCGCCTCTTCTTAGTATTGACGACTGGTTGTGGTGGCAGACCCATGAATGGAAGCAAAGCGGGACTTGATTCTGCGTAATTGTCCTGGTTTGAATTGGTGCTTGCGTGAGAGTTTACATCAGATGAAGAAGGTGCTTGTGATTCTCTCTGGGTACCCTCCTTAGCACCCTTCTTACCCACTGTTTTTGGATTATTCGAGCCAGCTCCATTTCTGTTTCTCTTCTTTATGACGTCAGATTTGAGACTTAGTGGTCGAACTACACCATGCAGCTTTAGGAAAAGCCCGCAGGCATTACAGAGTGAGTTGCCATCTGGATCTCGTCTCCACAAGGGTGTTTTCGTAGTCTTGCAGTTGTAGCAAGTCATAGCATTCGCGCTTTGGATATCTGTTATCAAGTTGACGTCACTGTGAGATGCAGTGGAATTAGGATTACTAGGTTGCTTAACCGGTGCTTGGCGTAATGGTACATAAGATGAACGCTGTTGAGATTGACCTCCTGATTGTGTTCCTGTCTTCGTTATTGGTATGGATGGTACACTGGTAGATAAGACGTTGTTGCTCTTATGGTTCTGCTCTTGTGATTTAATGGGATGTGGTTTAGATTGAATGTTAAAAGACGACTTCAATTTGGGGGTGGGTTGAGTTGGCAGTTGAGGAGATTGAGAGGCATATTTACTAGAAGACTGACTAGAATTGGATGTGCGCATCGGTTTCACTTCCCTGTTCTTCTTGTTAAATAAACTAGCTGGGTTGATGTTTGCTGCGAACGAATTCATTGAATCCGTCAAGGATGGAGTGGATGGGGCGGAATTTGTACCATACAGCAAGCTGAATAAGTTATTCCAATCTTGATCACCTGATTGTTGATTTTGATAGTCCTCGTTGTCCTTATTCGCTGGAGCATACTCCTGGTATGTTGGTAGTCCTTGCGGTATTGTTGGAGGAAATACACCGTATGAATCGCCAGGGGCACTCTGAGATAACAGTGCAGATAAACCACCATCGTCTGGGAATCCATCAGGTAAGACCAAGCTCTTCTCATTCAGATCTATTCCATCTGGGCTGAGTGATCCTTCAGTATTAACGCCAGATTCATGGTTGTCAGTTTTATTATGGTGAGGCATGAAAGAGCTGGTAAGGCTGAAAGGAGGTGGATCTGATTGACCGTTTCCTATGTTGTTGAATAATGTGGTAAATTTTGGAGAATATTCAGCAGGACGCTTACGAGCCACCTCAACTAGTGTCAATGGGAGCTTTTAGAATTTTTTTCGCACTCACTGGTACATTATGAATTTCAGGTCTGTATTCGTAACTGGAAGAGAGAGATTTGGACAACAAACTAGGAGAAGGAGTATACTGTGACTGCTGAGCGGGCTTGCCTTTTAAAAGGTCTTCTATATCTTTATTATCACTCAAAAGATCGTAAAAATTTTGTTGAGGATCGTTTGCACGGTTAGTGTTGTTTTGTTGAGCATGATGTAAAAAGAACTGTGGGTCTGGTAAGGATGAAGCAGTGCCAAAGTGGTAAAAGTGATCATTTCCAATACTATCTTCTTCAATTGTAGTTGTCAATTCATTTTTAATACGTGAAGGAAGATTTTGGTGGAGCTTTTGATGATCAGGAGTAGATTCACAGGCATCCGCATTGTTAGCCGTATCTGGAGAAGGAGTGTGTGTAGGTAGACTGGGGATGAAATAACTCTTTGAAGGGTTTGTGCTTTGATGATTTTGAGGAGGCCTAGAACGGGACCTTGATTGACCTCTCCAGTCCATAACGGAGCGTGACCTAGATCTAGATTTGCCCCTCCAATCCATCAAATCGTCAACAATAGCTTCACCATTATCAAGACCTTCAGGGACTTTGCCAGCGAAACCGACGACGACGTTTGTTTGCTTCCTTGGAGCACGATGTCTGCGAGGTTTTCTACCACGCTCGTCTTCCTCATCTTCCTGATCATCTTCATCAGGCAGAGGAATTTTTGTAGAGTTGATAGCGTCTACAAGATTTTCTTGAACAGTATTTGTGGTTACTTGAGTGGCAGGTTGAGCTTCAGGGGTTGGTGAAGAGTGATCGCTTCTATTATCAAAATCAGCTGAATCTTGTGTGGGGGGTGAATCAATTTTATCTTTAAGAGAATGATTTGACTCAGAATGTTTCTTTCTTCTTAAAGACATCATCATCATTCTCCAAGACAAATTTTCCATTCTTTGAGCGTTTGGGATAGAAGATTTGTGTTTAGCGTATAATTTCCAAACTTGAGAAGCGATGGGGTCATCCTTTGAGTCATGATCGACAGTTTCGTCGATTTGAGTGGGAGTGGAGGGGGAGAGAGGGGAAGATGGAAGAATGTAATGTTTTCTTGTGGCTAACTTTCGATCGAGTAAGTCGTCGTTTAGAATATCTGAGACGACTTTGTTGGGGGATTTATGAGATTGTGGTATAGTGGTGTGATTGGAGGTACTAGAACTATCACCAGTGTTAATTAGAGCATCATTAGAGGTAACACCTGCGTCATTATGAGTTGATAATGAAGTAGACGTTGAAGGATTATTTAAAGTTGAGCTAGTCGACTCTGAGTTTGCAATATCACTCAAACTGATTGGTGTATTCAATTCTGCAGATAATGGATTAAAATTAAAGTCAAAATCGTCATTCCCCTCCTCTCTGCTTAAAAGTCCAGATATTTGACCAAACTTAGGAGCTGTTAGGGATAATTCAGATGGTTTCCTATTGGAAATATCACCAGGCGCAGGTGGTAGTCTGAATTTCGGATTTGCTCTCATTGCTTCTTCTTGATTCTTGAAAGCTTGTTGTAAGCGTGAGAGTGTATTGTTGGTGGTATTGTTGTTTTCGATGTTTTTGCTACTGATGCTGCTATTTCCACTGCTGCCACACTTATTGTCGTTATTAATTGACATTGTGATGGTGGTGAGTGATGGTGACTGTAACTGATTGAACTAGCTAAACCAATAAAATTAATGAAAATTGGATAATTACAATATAAACATTAAAATTATAATCCTATTCTACTTTTACTGCTTTTACTTATTGTACTGTACACATAACTCACTACACTCCACATTCAGTCATCCTCATCATCCTCAATCTTATCATCATCATCATCATCCTCTTCAACACTCCCAACTCTCTCCAACCTTTCCACGTACTTTTCTTGCTCCTTTTCCTTACCTATATCCATTATCGGCACCTTGTCAGTCAATTTGTTCCTTGTTCCTGACTGAGCCTTTTACTTACGCATACTTATCGCCTTTGACAACTCCTCTATATACCTTTCATACTTTTTCATCTCATTTGTTAAATATTTTGTCTTCTTATTCCAATTATTAACCGCCTTATCGCGATTGGATGATTTGATTGAGTAATTTTGTAACATTTTGTCGTAAACTTGTCGGTGTATACGTAGTTCTTTCTTCAAGTTGTTATTACACTTTTCAAGAGCCTTTCTTTGATCTTCCTCGGCTAGGCTGGAAGAAACAACAGGTAAATGAGGAGAATTCCATTCTTCAATAAACGTTCTATCTGCATTAGTACGAAATGTTTGCTTCCATCTATTGAAAGAGTAGTTTGACTTTACACTACTCCCATCTTCTTCCTTCTGTGGCTTGAGATGGGTTGAAGATGTACCCTGCTCAATCTCACTCAACGTTGTATTCCATCCATACTCCATATTTGAAATGCCACCACTCAAAGGCTCCTTAGAAGATCGTGATGCCCAATAATTGCATGTTGATACCCACTCTTCTAATAAAGATTCTGTACCTGTTTGTAAGTAATATTTACCTCCATTAGGCAATATAAGTTGAAAGCAATAAGGCCGTGATCTATTATAGCCAGGTTTCATTATATCAGAAATGGAATGTGCTAGCGGAACATCTTCCACTAAATTAGCGTTATTAGTCCAATTACCACCACCTACACCACCATTAGATTGAGCACCTTGTACACCAGCAGTGTCACCAAAAGTAAACATTTTCAGATAACCTTTAGATATCACGACAAAGACTTCTAGCCAATTGCGGTCTTTTGAACGCTTATTTTGAGATTCATAGTAGTGTTTGCGCTGTAAAAATCCCTCTTTAGCCCAAGGAGGACCCATCAAAGCTAATTCTTCATCTTTGAGTGTTAATTCGGCCAAAGTTATTTCTGATGGAGATGATTTGAGTGAGTTTGATTCTTCATGTTGTTCTTTTATGATAGTTTGTGAGAGATTTGAAGCAAAACCGATAGAAGGAGCAGGTTTCTGTGATTGGGTTGTAAGTGGGTTTCAAGAAGCAGTTGTTAACCATCAACTCACCTCCATTACCGAACCCAAAGAACAAGTAGGCGATGATCGACCTTCATTTCCAAGAAGACTAGACAGACCGCGTATACTACCACGCTTTAGAGAAGAAGCGCTCATGGAAGTAGAGGACATATTCCTAGGTAGTCTTTGTCTGTTATTAGTATTTTTTTTGCGATGATTACTGGCAGAGAGATTACCAGCAGTGGTAGAGTCTAAAGGAAGTAGTATTTTGTGTAAGCGGACGCTGTTGTAAATTTCTCGCAGTAAAGGTTCTAAGTCGGAATCTAGCTGATGAAGATGATAGCTTTGGTTGATAGTAATGGAAGAAGAGCTCTTTTTAACCTTGTCATCGGAGAAAGAGGAAGAAGAAGGAGGAGAGAGGTTGGACTTGATGGAGGATAAGCTACCGTTGCGAGCAATATTACTTTTTCTCGAGTAGTAAGATAGAGGAGGTGGTTGATGGGTTGATGTGGAGTTATCATTAGTAGAAGAGCTAATAGAAGAGGAGTCATCAGCATCAAGGTCCTTAAAGTTATCGCACTGGTTGTGTATAACATTGAGAGTGTTTTTTAGGAATTGGTTTCTAGACATATGAGTAGCAATATCTGCAATGTGTAAGTCAGTGTTAAGGAGTAGAATAGAGTAGGATATAGCGTGTACGATGTCTGGGTTGCGGTATACTGAAGAAGGGTTATCGCTGAAAAATTTAAAGGAAAAAGATTCTAAGATGCGATCAATCTGCTGAGATTCAGCGCGTAGGAACAATTTGGAGGTAAGTTTCCTGAGAGCATTATCCAGGCGTAGATTGGAGAAGTCGAACTGAGACATGTAAGACATTAACGCGTCTTTATTGAAAGGGGAAGGGGATCCAAGGTATTGAGCGTGTTTGTGTTTAGGGAGGAATGATTCGTCTTGATTGAAGCAAAGCATGCCAATATCGGTAGGAGAAGGGGGTAAAGGAGGGAGGTGATCGACGTCTCTATTTGAAACCTTTGGAGTGATGGTGTTCATGCTAGAATCCCTATTTTCCCTAGAGAAAGCCAAAGACGAAATTCTAGGGGAAGGTTGAGGGGAAGGCTGAGGAGAGGGCATAGAGGTGGAAGGAGAGAGTGCGTTATCATTTTCGCACCAATTATGATTAAAAGCGGGTGAAGTGGGTATACCGACTTTCTCGAGGCTGAGATTGTTTTGGAATATCTTTATCGGGGAGGGTGGTTTACGACGACGAGGCGTGGTAGTGGGGTGTTGAGTAGGTGTACAAGTAGTTGTAGATTCAGGTGTATCGTCAGACAGCCCAGATCTCAATTGCTCGTTTATAAATTTGGTTTTATTCGAATTAATTATTTTATCAAATTCAATTGGGTTTTTACTGTTGCTCATGGCCTGAGCTTAACAAGAAACGCCGATGAACTTGGAAGATATTAGATTAAAATCGATTACACCACCACCTGGTGATAAGGTCAGTCAATGGCATGTTGCTTCTTTTGGTTTCGATAGGAGGGTTTGTCGGGTTTACGTGGTTGGTCGAATCTCACTCACAAATTGCTACAGGAAGCTCCACTCCCTCCAATCCCTCCTTCACCCTCCGAGTCTCGAACCCCCAACCCCACCTTCGTCCTCCACCCCGCATCTGAATCCGTCAATCAACACGTTAGTTGATTCATCTTCTACATAATCCAGTTACACTAACATATTAACACACACAGTCAAGACACGTATTCTTACCTTCTGCACCCGCCACTGCAACTGAAAACACTCAGCCACTCCCACAACATTCCTCCCCTCTCCAATTCCAAGACACTCATCAAGACACAAACCCTATTCCACCTGAAAATAATCCTCAAGAACCTCCCCTTGAATCCCCAGACGCGTCTTCTATGGGCACTGAAAGGCCTGAATCTGCTCTTGAACGTGCAAAAGATCTCGATGACGATGACGATGACCATGTTGACTATACTGGCCATCATCATGATCAACATCACAATCAAACCATTGATAATCACACAGACACCCAAAAACCTCATAGTGACGACATTCCTCTCATCCCTTCTTCCCCTTCAACCTCCACTAACAAATTACAGCGCAATTTCACTATCAACGACAATGACCTTAAGCAGCTCCTCTCTGCAGCTACTGATCAAAGGCAAGACAAAACCGTACGTGATGCTCTCAAAAGAGCTGCTAGAGAGCGCATTGACGTCATTAGCCAGATTGAGCATCAGAGACAGCAAGAGGCTGCCAAGGCTGAGGAGGAAAATATTCCTCCCTGGGCTTTGTCTATTTATGAGCTACTTCATCAGACTCATCATAAGCTTGAAACTCTTAATATACGATCACCTGAGGCGTCTAGAGTGGGTTCACCAGTAGCCGTGGCGGCAGCAGCTACAGCACCAGCACCAGTACCATCACCAGCACCGTCACAATCACCATCGCCATCACCAAACCCAGCTCCACTCTCCATGGAAGCTATACATGCTCAATCACACCCCCAATCATTTCCTGGCGAATATATTCCACACTCAACTCCCCCAATTCTCACTTCACATCCTATGCAACACTCCAATCATCCAATAATACTCCCTGTAGGTGAATACGAACCTCACTCTGCACCCTATCCAGAACCATATCCTATCATGTCACCAAGCTCCCACACTAAAAGTAAGAAAGCTCCATCTACAGTGGCTTTACCACCATCTGCTCCAGTTGAGAGACCACCAACTGAACCTGCTTTACCCGCTGCGTCCCCACCTGGTGATAATCACAATGAAAATCCACAATACGCACCTGAAACACGCCCCTTACATAACCAATTTGAGTATATTCAACACCCAACTCACTACGAAATACCAGATGCACCTACACCTAAACCCTCACATGCACAAACTCCCATACGGGAATTTGTTTTGGAGCCATCTCCCCCAATGCCCGTAGCACCTCAAACCACTCCAGCTTTAGACTACTCGAGTTACAAGGAGGAGAGTAGTTTGGCTATGGATGAGAGTGTCACGCCAAATAAAGTACCTATACCTGATTCCTCAGTCGCTGAGTCAGTCCATCACATACATCACTTGCCTCAAGTCGATGGTCATTTCGATAGCGGCACATTAGAGCATGTATTAGAGCATTCACATGCTCATAATCATGATCATGAGCATGTACATTCACACTCTCGCACACCTACACACATACACACTCACCCTCACACACCAACTCACATCCCCGCTAACCACCCTTGGGAGAACATTAGCGACAGACTGGCAGCATGGGCGGATCTGTGGAGTGCACACGCTACACCAAATCAGCTCGAACTAGCAAAGGAGTCGACGCACTTGACGCGTTATGTCAGTATGATAGCATGCGATATTTTTTGCACACAAGTCTACAAGCGCTGGGTGCGCACTATTAGTGCTCGTTACCCACCTGTACAGATCGATAAGCTATTCCTTCCTCCGTCATTCACTGAGGTGTTAAATAGTGCTGTTGGGGGGGATCCATATGCCCACACCGCGCCGACTTTTAGAAGGTGAGTTGTGATTCTGATTCATGTCTTTCAATTCACACTTTTTCAGTTTCTGGAACGATCTCGGTTTCACTGGCACACCTAAACAACTACTTACTCTGGCACTCTACAGAACTGATCGTTACCATTTTCAAGTCTTGCGGTTCGATTTAGAGGCAGGTGTATTGACACACTACGACCCCTTCGACGCACCCGCATTACTCGACCCACGTCCGAGGCTTTGGTGGACGGGATTGCGCGAGGTATTCCCCGATGCGCATATTCCACCAGATCATAAACTTACTGAGCGAGTCGTCGCTATCAACCGCCCCAAACCTACTGAACGCTCGGATAGTCCACTCGCTGCACTTGCTTCGTGGCGACATATGCTAGTTAATAAAAAACCTAACAAAGAGACAGATCTGCTCGCAGTGCGGAGCCTCATCGCTGCAGAGATCGAAGGCGTGCAGAAGGTAACAGATAGACGTAACAGACAGAAAACCAAGAAGATACTCCAGACGCACAACTAGACTGATATATTAATTATAATAATCGTAACACTAATACATAACTTTTCTTACTCTATTTCCTTTGGTTACTATCAAGTCTATCAACAGTGAGTGCTAGATTGCGAGCACTGCCTGTGTCAATGTCGAAAATAGGTCGCACTTGTACCGTTGTGTGTGGTTCATGTGCCGTGCGCTCCTTAACGTAGAGAAAGCGATCGAGGTGTATCAGAGACTCAAACATATCACCACAGCGTGCTTTGGCTGTCCAGAACACCTTCATGCGCCAATCGATGAGCTCCCAGAAGGCGTCATCGATGTCATCCGCCAACTCTTCTGGTTGTAGAGAAAGTTTCTCAGCTGCACCCTTCCTGTAAGTCCACCAATCTTTGTAATGGCGATCGCGCAGTTTGCCTAGGCGATTTTCGCTGAAGTGTGGGCGACCTATGCGACGCAGACACTCAGCTAGGCGTGATCTGCAAAGGAGTTTAAACATCGGGAAGCGCGCTACCTCCCAATACTTTTCAGGCTCCATAGTCCAATGAGCGAGAGTATGCACTGCCAAACCAAAGTAGTCGTATTCCCAAACGAATCTTCCTGGCTCGAGGCGGGCGATCTGCGTGCGGGTTTTTTGAGAGAGAGGGAAGTTCTGCGGTGACAGCTTATTGTAGCAGCAGCTAACCAAGACCAGACCATCGTAATCGTGTATACCGTCGATGAATGCCTCTATAACTTCGACTGAGAGATCACCACAAGGATGTAACCCAATTAGAGTACTCCGAGAATCACCCTTCGCTTTCCACTCCCTGTTCACCCGCTCCAAACTCTGTCTATCGAGAAAAGCGCAGACATGGTCTAATCGGCCCGTTGTAAGCCCCACATCGCGTCTTTCGGAGGTTATCTGTGAGCGCTGTACATTGTTGTTATCACTATCAACAGCGAGAACAGCGAAATCGAATGGTTGGCGACTGAGTGTTCTACTGAGATAGCCCTGCCCACTACCAACATCGATGAGGTGGGTGTGGTGGGAGAAGTCATTGCCAATGAGTGTAGACAATCGTTCACACTCATGCATCTTTTTTGGAGTCATACCGAGATTATTCACTTTTCCATGTCGCAGGTTTATCCGTTTGGTGTGAGGTTTTTCTGAGTTACGGTATGCGCGTGGGGCAGCTAGTTCGTTGCAGCGAGTGACATGACGCTGTAGACTGATCGGCCATTCCTCACTAATATCACCAACAGCAATTCTTCGTATCTGCTCATCTTTCCATTGCGAAGTGTGGGTGTTGGTGGACTCAGCCCAGTGCATCCACTCAGAGAATGCTTCGTGATTATCCCACCTTCGCTGCATTAGACGTGCGCTGTCTAAAATTATAAGCTTCTGATTGGCCAAAGACACTGAAAATTCAACGTACTGGTGTGGGTCTCAATCAATGACTTGACATAATCATCGCTAACGAATTCAAGTAGATCATCTAGGTATTTAAAGATATCTTGGTTGTATTGTGGAGGTATTTCCATCGTTTTTCAATCCAAAAGAGAAGTCTTGTCATGTGGTATGCATTTAAAATGAATATTTGATATAAAATTAAGTTTCTTTTGCTGCAATATCAATTCCCAGTTTGAACGAAGCGATAAGTGCACTGAGCTGTATTGTTTCTGAAGATCCCGTAGACAACCTGTATTCTATTTCAGCAAGATTTTCTAATAAATGCAATCGTGTAGCCCTTGGGAATTCAATTTGCTGTATGTATTCATAAGCACCGGTTATAATATCTTGCAGGGCAAGTCCATTCTGCCTCTTAAGAGTGTGTACGCGCTGATAACAGGTGGATATATCATCATTCATCATACTCTTGATAAGATATTCAATAGTTGATGGTGGCGGTGATGCTGTAACATTAAATACGTCATCCGCTGTAATCTTCTCTGGCGCACAAGCAGTATGACACGCTTGAAGGACGTTCAAAGCACGCCTCATATCACCTCTAGTGAGATTCAGCAAAGCATCTTTTGCATCTTCGTCAATTTCAACTGCCTCTCTATCAACAACCTCAGTTAAGCGGGCATGTAAATGCTGTTTAGGGAGAGGTGAAAATCTGAATCTAGTGCACCTCGATAGAATGGCAGGAGTAATCTTGTTTACGTAGTTGCAGATTATACAGAACCGCGTTGTTGGTGTATAATGCTCGATTATTCTCCTAAGAGCACCCTGTGCTTGCTGTGTCATAAGATCAGCCTCATCGAGTATAATAAGCTTGAAGCCATTTGAAAACAGAGTGCGCGTCTGAGCAAACGATTTGATCTGGTCGCGTACGACATCAATACCTCTGTCATCGGAAGCATTCAACTCCAAGACGTTTCTTTTATAGTTTGTGCCGTAGATTTTTCTGGCAATTGCGAGGATAGTAGAAGTCTTACCAGTTCCTAGTAAACTGAGTTATTGATACCGACCAAATACTCATCACCCACCCGGTGGACCGTAGAACAAAAGATGCGGCAAGCGCTCTTTATCAATGAAATTTGAAATCGTTTGTATTATATCCGTATGGCTGACAACGTCAGATAACTGATTCGGCCTGTACTTCTCAACCCTTGAAATATATAAGCCTGGCACTTGTAATTCAAAATGATATATCCCACCAAGGCAAATCGTTGTTTAAATTATTATCAACCTCCATTTTGCTCATTTCGTTATCTTCTATCTTCTTAGTATAGAACATCGACGCGATTTGAACGCGTTAAAAATAAAAATTTATAAAAATGGAATACAAGCTTGGCTACACACCTCGTATAGAGAGCTCATTGAAGTCCCTGTCACCGCGCTCACTTTGCCAAACTGTTTTGGATTGGATCGACGATAACAAGGTGGAGAGGCCTTATGGTGATTCGAGCAGTGTTAGAATCAAGTATTCAAAGTTCTCTACAAAGCCACCGACAAAGCCATCTCTTCTCCGTGAAATTTATCGAGATTGGGTGCGTATACCATTCACCGATAAGCATAACGTAATGACGCGATTTAACAGCCAGCTGGTTTGAGCTATAGACAATTAACTATTGCTCACTTTAAACTTTACCAAGAAAAGCCTCTATCGTTTGAATGGCGTGTTTATAGGCTAAAGGAATCAAATTTCGTGTCTTTGGATAAGTTTATTGAAATATTTCAACGCAACTTGGATGTTACCCATAATTACACTCTCTATATGCAATTTCTACCCTCAACTTCCCATTCTGTTGAACAAACGCCGATTTTCACTTTGATAATCCACGCAGAACCAGGGGAGGAACTTCCACCACCGTCTCAGAGACTGATGTTTGTTCCTTTATTATCAGCAGGTAAACTCATAACCACTGCTATCCCTTCAACACACGTCCATCACATCGTTAGAGCGTTTTTGTCCGCTTTCGGTAACGCTGAAGAGCTTATTAACCTTCAATTATACGACACCAATCTTTTATCTCTTAAAACCTTAACACTTGAACCTAAAACTCAAGGAATTTGGAGAAAATTAGCATCGTCTATCGATAAACTACCAAATCCGTTGGAAGAAGCGCCTCATTCCGTGGATTCAGACGCATTAATTTCACCTCATGACATTCAACCGTCCAGTATTGGGGATGGATATGACGAAATCATCCAACAAACATCCTCAGACCATCAAAACAGACGGCGATACGAAGCGATGGATGTATGGGGACATGAAAGTGACTTACCCCAAATTCATCGACTTACATTCAATGTGCGCATGCCATGGCGTATTCAAGATGAAACGGATAATTTAGATTGCAAAATCCGCATGTTCGGCGATGACATCTACCGCGGTCTCCGTCAAGCTGAATTAGAAGGCAAAACAACAGAGGAGGGTATACCAGGCTGGATACCGCAATCTCTCGAAACTGGGCACACGGACAACATTGTTGTCAAAACATCTCGCGTAACTGACAATTGGCAGTTCGTTCCAGGATTGGGAATAGAAGAAAACGGTGACATATTTGGAGCAGATCTTGACCGCGTGGATGAGATAGAACCAGAAATGAGACAACCGACACCATCACCAACATCTCCATCCGCCCGCGATTCTCCCGGTACGAGGAAGAGGAAACGTGAAGCACCGCAAAAGGTCTATGAGGATGAGAAGATTGATCAGGAAACAAACCAGAATAGAGAAATATACGATAAGTATTATGCACCCGTTCGCCTACCACCACCACCACCACCACGTGTAGAGCTTCCGTCTGAGTCATTCAGTATTAAAGACTTGAAATTAAAGCCAGGGTTGCGCAGGGCCAAGGAAGAAAAGAAGGGCAAGAAAAACGTTGCATCTGAATCCACAAGCACGCAGCGGCCACCGTCCGCGCAATTCTTGGCTCCTGAAGAAAGGCTTCTGATGCAGCTCGACGACGAAAGCTCTCAAAAGGCTCAGCTAATAGGTAACGATGAAGAGAGGGCAGAATACATCGAAAAGATGCAGCGCGAAAAGGAAGAAGAGCGTCAAAAGTATCAAAAGAACCGCGCAGCACCGCTTAGTGATGCCACTAAAGAGCGCCTCAGTAAGCTAGACGATAGGAGCAGACGGAAGGGTAGCGCTATAGTTGATGCGTTCGAGCGCACGAGCTATATTGAAAGGAAAGAGCGTGAAAAGGCTCGCGCTGATGAAGAACGTCGAAAAAAGATCAGGCGCGAGTCAGATGAACGTAGAAGAAATAGGAGGGCTGAGGCTGAGCAACGTGTTTCTTTACAGGATCCGGCGACTGCTGAGGCACGCGTGGCTGAAGCTATTGAGAAGTCACAGAGACGACTGGAAGCTAGACGCGCTAGAAAGTCGGGCGAGGGTGTTGTAGAACCTTCTGCGTCAGCGCCAGCACCTGCTGGTACAACTAATGAACCATCGGCATCTGCATCTGCATTATCGTCCGCATCTCCGCCAGCAACATTACCAGAACAAGCGCGTTCACCGTCTGGTCAACGCCAAAAGCCTCGTCCACATCGATCACCTAATTAAATTGAATCCGCGAAAAACCCCACCACTTAGAGTAATAAAAGTATGTTATAGTGTACCTATTAAGCGTTGTATCAATATTCAAGAAATGCATAAAGATTCGTACTTGACGTGATCGTGCGTTTTATATAACAAACAAAAGCATTCTAAAATCAAACAAAGACACCTCTTCGAGCAACTTTGTCGAGGATACCGCCCATGTGACGATCGTAAACCCTAACACCTCTGAGATAGGTTCTCGAGATTCTTCCAGCGAAAGTATGACCGATGTACGGAGAGATTTGATGCTTGTAGAAGAGGTCATTTTCACTCAGAGTGTATGCGGATTCCGGCTCGAAGAGGACAAAATCAGCATCGTAACCTTTCTCAATAAGACCCTTCTTTCCATGAAGACCAGCAAGTATGGCTGGTTTGGTGGACATGGCTTCAACGAGCTCGCCCAAAGATAAACCAAAGCCGCACTCATCAGCGCTCATCTTGGTATACAAAGCTGGAAGACCGAGACCAAGCGATGAGATACCACCCCAGCCATTCAAAAAGTCACCAGACTCAATATTTTTAGTGAGAGGATCACTAGGTGAGTGATCAGAGGTAATGAGATCAATGTCACCGTCGTTGAGCGCCTTCCAGAGCAGTGCATTGTTGGCGGCATCACGGATAGGTGGAGCACTTTTATACTCAACACCGCCATCTGGTATATCATCCTTATTGAAGTAGAGATAGTGGTAGCAGGTTTCGACGGTGAGCTTGAGACCGTCTGCACGTGCTTGTCTGATCATTGGCAAGGCTTCAGCTGCAGATAGGTGAACTATGTGAACATGAATGAGTGGATATTTGCGCATTTTCATTATTAGCGTTCTTATGGCGTCCAATTCGTATTCGACTGGGTGAGTTTGAAGGTAAGTGTTGTAATCAGCGGGGTTGCTACTGTCAATTGCTTTTTTAATTGCCTTTTCTGTCTTCTTGTTTGAGGATTCGGCATGGAAGAGCATAGTGACGTTATGACCTTTGTTTGCGCTCTTGCTGAGTTCCTTGAAAGCCTTTTCAATGTCCTTTGGAGAGACTGCTTTGAATTCCTAGAATGAAGTGTTATTAAGCATCCAAACAAAAAAATATGACGCACATCGACACCGCTGTTTATCATGAAACTCTTGAAACCCTTGACGCCTTCCTGCTTAAGGAGACTGGAGAGGTGCTTTGTGTTTCCAGGCACACTGCCAGCCCAGAAACCCAAATCAGAGTGAATGTTGCCGGTTGCAGCCGCCTTCTTCTCGACCAAAGCTTTGACGGTATTAGTGGGTGGAATGGAGTTGAGAGGCATATCAATGAGAGTGGTGACACCACCTGCAATAGCAGCTTGTGTAGCTGTATCGAAGGTTTCCCACTCGGACCTGCCTGGATCATTTATATGTACGTGTGTATCGACGAGACCTGGGAGAAGAATCTGGGAAGGACCGTAGTTGATGAGTTTACCAACTTTTTTATCTTTTCTAATACCACCGAAAACTTCAACAACCTTTCCAGTCTTCTTGCTAACTTGAAGAGTTGCTGGCTGTGGATCGTAGCTTGAAGGAAGAAGCGCGTATTGAGCGGTAATTGTGTAGATATCTGAGCCCAAAAGATATTTGAATAGCAGAGTCGTTAAAACAGCAGCCAATGCCGCAACTGAGTATAATTTGCGTTCTTCCATCCTCAACGTAGCTCTATAAGACTTTTCTTAATCAGATAACAAATATTTTTAAAATGCCACCAAGTACAAGAGGTGATGTTATATCTGAGGTAATTAAAATCCTTATAAGGCTTTTGCACTCGCTTAGTCCTCCTCAGTACGTCGATGGCGGCTCATTCAGTCGTAACAAGCTTATTGCTTCTCGTGAATCGTTGTTTGGTGGTGCAGATGGATCCCCTGGCAGCTTCCCAGATAAATTACCAAAGTCTGGTTTAACTGCTACCGAATTGAAGCAATTATCGAATGATGACGTGAACAAGATTGTTTCAGCTACAGGGTACAGTCAATCTAAAGCGCAATTAAAGTTGAATCAGTTTAAATGCGTCAAAGATGTCATATTAGATTATGTAAAGGCTTAATCACTATCTTCGTTATTTCTTCAATTAATTCTTCTTTTATTATAATTACAAGCAAATAATATAATGCTTTCATTTGATTTGGGTATATTGAGACATTTCAATCATGAAAATTTTGAGCTGCGACAGCGAGCAATACGATGAGTACCAGTATCATTATGAGTGAGAGTGAATGTTTATGTTAGATTAACTACCAGAGCCATCCTACTTTTCTTTTTCTTTAATTTGTTAATAAATTAGATTAACACCGTTTGAGGTGAGATAATTGGTGATTGTGGTATCCATCTTTGGCTTGATGAACGTGAGCGTGTAGTTGTTGGTGCAACTGGACAGCTTCTTGGTGTTGTGTTCGCACTTTGCTTGATTGAGTCGGTAGTTGCAACCATATCCAGTGATCTTGTTGGCTTAAGGTGTTCGTCTACCAGATTGAACACATCCCTAGCCATTCCCCAGCTGCATTGATATCCAGCAGGTCCAATACCGTAAGCGTGTACGACTGGGTGACCTTCATCGAAACCTTGCGGATCTTCGAGCAACTCAAATTCCAATCTAGCTCCACCCTCTCTAGCAGGACGAAGGCCAACGTTATGACGCACGACTTTAATATCTTCAAATTTACCAGTAGGGCTAAGATTCTTGTTTAATTCGAAGCAGCGTTCGAGAATGCGTTGACCCATGTCGATATCCACCTCAGTGTCCCAGTTGCCGACTTGGAAACAGCCACCCAAGATAGCTTGGCCATTTGGTCTTGGAATGATGTATGCTGATTCTGAGCTGTATGAGCTATCAAGAGCCATGACGCATTCTTTGACATTAGGAGCGTCGACCACGACTGTTTGACCGCGTATAGGCATGACTTGAGGGTCGTTGCAACCGTCCAACTTGCGCGCACCAAGGCCAGTGGCGTTAACGACTAGATCAGCAGTTGGGATACCATGAGCGCCTTGAAAAGGCTCGTGGATAGAATTGAATGACTTCCTAATAAAGCCCACACCAAGCTGTACAGCTGTCTTGTAGAGGTGCTGGAGGTAGTCTGGGGCTGAGAGTGAGACAGAGGTGAAGGCGGCACCAGAGACGCCTGGTTTAGCACAAGGTGGGTGAACTCTACGGAAGTTTGGAGTGAGGTGCTTGTGCCAAAGATCTTTAATGCCTTGCTCTGACTTGTAAACGGTGATTGGCAGTTCCATTACGTGGCCAGTGGGGATGAGGTTCCAGAGCTGCTTGAAAGTGTGCTCCTCCCACCTCTGCAGTCTGTAATCATATTTGGAGGCAAAGGTGGCCCAGTCTGTGGTGTACTTGTGAGTTTGGCAAGAGAGAAGACGTTCGACTCACTTGCGCCAGCCCAAGGAGAAGCGAATCCAGTGGACTCTGAGTCTGTGGGGAGATCTCTAGCGCAAACGGTAACCTTGTAGCCTTGTCTAGCGAGGGTGACGGCGGTGGTGACGCCGATGACTAGCGTAGGTGTGAGTAGCGTGACAAGAACAAAGACCAATACGCACCACCGCCACCGAGAACGACAATGTGCTGATTTGATGTGATTGAGCTTGGTACAGGCATGATTGTTCCTTTATAAGTTGTATGAAATCTGCCGATGTGATTTCTGCTCTGTTTGGAATGAAGAGTGAAGAAGGAAGGAATTTAAATCCCAGAAATGTGTCTGCCACCGGCCAAAGATTGTCCTTGTATTGTTGCGCACGGTTGACGTACGTTTGCCCGGGTGTGCCTAGCCAGTGCAGATTTGATTGGGCAAAGCGGGGAATGGCGTGTATTGGCATTAGGTGGAGCGGCTGGGTTAATAGATCGAAGGCGATATTCAATCGAATACACTTGTCAACCAATTAAGCCCAAATTAGCCCAAATTAGTCCACTTTACCCGCTGTAATCACCAAATATCGGCTGCAATGATGACGCCTGGAGATGTCAAACGGGGAGTGTGAAAAGTAATTTAATCGGTGAATCATTGGATATTGCAGTGTCCGATTTAAATTTGCTGGCATTGCCGGTATTACTCCCCCAAAAGCCGCATGAATAGATGCATAAACAAACGCACTAATAGAAACACAAATAGATTCGAATATTCCGTAAAAAAAAAAGCGCGTAAGAAAGTGCGTAACAATGGTATAAACATGTTTATTACATGATACACGTACGAGAAAGGTATAGCCGCAACTTCTCCTTGATCTCTAGCCCGGATTGGCCGACACAATAAAAATTGAGAGAGTGTGTTTAAGTGGGCAAAAGGGGAAGTGTGATAAGATTTTTAATAAGATTTATAATGTAAAATGATTAAATGGCAGTGTAAATCTAAAGATATCGTACAGCTGTCATTTCAATTAAAGTGACGTCATTTGAGGCTAAAAAAAGAAAAAGACCAGCATTAGAAGTACTCGCCTTCCTTTGGTTGCTGTAGCTTTCTATTATCAGGTGCAGCCATTTCCCTGTAAAAGTGTGTTAAACGGCTGATACGCCACCAAACTTCCACCTCACCTTCTCAAATCCACGAGAATCTTTTCGATAGTTGTAGCGTCATTCCATTTATTTAGCGTTGTGAACTTGGAAGTATCAATACTGCCTGTGTTTGAGACAAAAGGTAAATTGACTTTGCTGATAAAGCGCAGAATTGGCGGAGTTGCCGGGTAGCCATTGCCGCACTCCACAGACAGCGTATAGATCCTATTCTCGTGCGTTGAATGGCCAGGACCAATTATAGTGGCATTCCAATGAGTCATGGAAATGTCATCACTATCTGCGAGACCATATGATATGGATCCATCGCCAATACCCTTTTCACCCTTCTCGAGTTCCTCTAGGAGTCTAAAATTTCTAGGTGCTGATGCGTGTTAGACGGAAATACACGTAACGGCCAGCTCACTCTTTACTGAAGCCATCAAGGTATAAATACAACGATGAACTTATTCAAAGAAAAGGATAATAAATTTGAATCTGAAGTTACCAACGCTACAAGTGAATCTCACGAATCAGAGCCATACGATTTATATTTTGATTTGCTTGATAAGCTTGGCCAGGACGCCGCCACCAATTCTAAGCTAATTATCGCTCAAATACACAAACGTCTATCACATAGGCATTACAACACCCAAATACTTTCACTTAAATTGGTGGACTTCTTATTAAAGAACTCTGAATCACTCCACTCTGATGTCGCTTCTCTTTCTTTCACTCAGTCGCTGCAAAGACTTATCACTGACAGAAACTCTGATCAGAGAGTTAAGGATACTGCCACAGATTTGGTCTACAATTGGTCTGATGTCTTTGATAACTCAAATGATTCAACCACCCTGGGTTTAATGAGGGAACTTGCAGATAATCTCGCTAATCAGCACATTTACCCTTCAAATACCCACAATAACCCTCCTCCTTCCCCTGATTACGATAAACTCAAGGAAGAAGAAGACCAACTCCAAAAGGTACTCGAAATGTCCAAAACTGACATTGGTGGCAGATTCAACACGGAGGATATCTCCGCGAACCTCCCTTCAACCTCTCAATCAAACAATATCCCCCCTCCATCAAACTTGTCTCCTTCACCCATTCCACAAACTCAAAACGCTCCCACACAACGCGTTAAAGCTTTATACGATTTTGAACCACAAGAACCTAACGAACTCGGCTTCTGCAATGGTGATATTATTACCGTCCTTGAATCCATCCACAAAGACTGGTGGAGAGGTGAGTTGAGTGGTGAAATTGGTATCTTCCCCGTCAACTACGTCCAAATTCTCCCAAATCTCACCCCTTCTCAAATCACCTCCGAGGCTCAATTCGAAGCTGAGTTGTTCGATAGTGCTGGCGATGTTGATCGTTTGTTGCGCTTGTTGCAAGGTGTAGATCCTAGTAGAGGTGAGACTATAGACGATAATGAAGAGATTCAGGTGAGTTTCATGTGCATCTAACCTAAATAACCCTTTAACTCTCCAACTTCTTAAAGGATCTCTACGACAAGACACTCAGATTACGTCCAAAGATTGTCAAACTTATTGACAAATACTCACGCAAGAAAGATGAACTCGTTGCAATTAATCTAAGGTTCAACCAAGCGAGAGATCTCTTTGCGGGTATGATGGAGCGTCCGGGTGTAGGTGTTTATCAGCAGCATCAGCATCAACAGCCACCAAACGCATCTCCATATCAGCAGCCGCCAAGTACATCTCCATACCACCAGCCACCGCCACAACAGTATGCACCATACCCAGCACACCCGCAACATGCGCAAACCGTTCAACCCGCTCAACCCGCTCAACACCCACAACAAGTCCAGTTCCAGCCAGGTCCATACGATGAGCAATGGGCGCAATATTACGCTGCACAAGCAGCTACTAATGCCAATACCAATCCTAACGTTGGTGTGGTTTCACCAAACCAGAATCAGTTTGCTGCTGCTGCTGGTGTTCCTCAGTACACTTACAGTCAAACCTCACCTTATGCTGTGACTGGTGCTCCAGCTCCAGCTTTCTCCTCACCACCTCCCAACCCCGCTCAACTCAGCTCTACCAGTCTTGATCAGCAGTTTCAGCATGTGACTGTGAATGATCAGTATGGTGGTGCACAAGGTGGTGCTGGTGCTCAACAGTCTTATTACCCAGTGCAGCAGTGAGCAATGTACAATTTTTTTTTTCTTTGTTGGTAGAATTACATGAATTGATGATAGTATTGACAAGTGCGTAAGATTGTGTTAATGTTTGATTAGATGGTGCATATTAATGTATTGTTGATGTTAATGTGGATGTTGTGATTTCTATTCACATGAGCCACGCGAGCATCGAAGCCGCGGCTGGTGAGACAGAGTGAGCTAGACAGTTGAATTTATCAGTTTGATCTTGCTCTATCATGCTGAGTGTGTTAAGTGTGTTCAATGTGAGGGCAGCGCTGAGAATTGTTAGTATAGCTCATTCTACCGAAAATGCTCACCGACCTATCATCACCGCCTTCATCTGTCTCGCTGAATGCACCACTACTAAGCGAAGAAAACGCGCTATCTGCACTGCCCCTCCTCGAGCTCAACTGTGAAGGTATATCTGTCTCAGTTGCGTCATCATTCTGCGTATTTGTTTGTGTTTGTGTGTGTATGTGCATATGTGCATGCGCCTGTGTAAAGTGTATCCGCTGACACCCCTCCGAAAGACTCTGGCCACTAGCACCCATTATTCTTCTCGTCCGCTTTAGTGCACAGCGAGGACACAGCGACGTCTGTTTGAGGCCTTCTCTAAACAGAGACCATGGAAATGTATCATCCTCATCGCCATATTCCACAGAAACCCTCCGTGATAGTATCCAATTGAGCATATATGTCGCATGTCCAATCGCATACATGCTATGATTCGTTTGTGTTAATGCAATATAAGACTTTGTACTGGCATGTTTATAAACCTCCTCTATCACCTCCACAGGCAGATTAAGAAAGTGCATTGGCGTGATTCTCTGTTTTACTTGTCTTTGTGATGGTTTAAAGTGTACCGAGGTGAGTTCGGTGATTATATCAACTATCTTAATCCGGTTGCCGTTTTTAGATTAGTTTGTGTGGCGTGTATGTGGTGTGAGTGGCGTGATGTCTTATTCGGTAGTAATCTTATTTCAATCGTGTGACAATCGTGTTTATCGTGGCTTGTGTCAAAACCCACGCAGACAATTCTCAATTCCTTTTATTCACCCTAATGACCGAAGCTCAGCTAAATCAGCGGCACGCTTTTCATCGCCGTTCCTCTTGCCGACTCGTGCAGACGTTCTAAATCTAAGCGTGCGCGGCGTTTCCCAGCCTAAAAGATATCTTTGTGATTATAAAATAATTTATTCAAATATTCCATTACTCGTAAAATTTGTCTAGATTCTTTTCACTCGGCTTTTTCACCGCCGGGAGATGTCTCGGTGTTAGTGGCTGGGGGTGCAGACGATGCAGATGTTTCTTGAGCTTCTTGAGCCTCTTGAGCGTCTTCAGGCTGCCCACTACCCTTTGATTCCGGCTTATCTCCATCTGTCGGCGGTGAAGCGGACCTCATATTTACATCTCTGTTATCATTACCTGTTTGCCTCTGATCTATCTCTCTCCTAATTGCCTCATCTATCTCCTTACTAGCCGCCTCACTAGTCACATTATCGTGCTCGCCATCGTCACTTCCAGGAGGAGACGACCGAGGCACTTCCTTCTCTTTGCTGTTATTGTTACCTTTGCTCTCATCACCATCCTTATCCTCATCTTCCTCTTCTTTATCACCAAATTCTTCATCCTCGCTTTCGTCAGACTTGGAAGCATTAACTCCAATCTTATCTTCCTCCTCCCTCCTTATCTGCTCTTCCATTGCTGCCTTGCGCTCCTTTTCGAGATCCTGCTTGTGCTGTATTTTCTCAGATTTTATGCGCAGCTTCTCCTCCTCCTTGGCTGCATCTTCCATCTGCCTCTGTTCCTCCTTCTTCTCTTTGGCTCTTTGTGGTCCAGCTGGCATAAAGTAATCGTCAATTGCCATCCTTTCACTAACCTCTTCTTCGTTGAGAGGTTCTAATCCGAGTTGAATCTTGTCCCACATGTCTTCATCTTCTTCATCCTGTGTAGTTGTTTAATGAGTTAGTGTTTTCACAGATAAAAACCACTCACCTTAGGTCTACGCTTCTTCAATGTCATTCTCGTCGGCATATGCTTGTAATAAACACCCTTTCCACGCGGTCTGGCAGATGCAAGTGAGGGATTGATTACTGTAGATCCAGGTGGTTTACTGTCACCATTATCAAACATGAGAAGTATATCATTGGTATCTTTCTGCTCATTCGTGACATTGTATTCTCTAATATAATTGAATATAACTCTTTGCTGTTCATCGACATCTTCAGGTAAGGTTTCTGCTTCAAATTTAGATCTGAGAAGTGCATACTGTTCATCACTTTCAGGCAAATAGTACTGCAACCAAGTTTCACCATTATCTGCGTATCTTGGTCTTAGTATACCATTGTGTAAACGATGATCAGAGGATGTTGTACGATCAGAAGGATCATCAGCAAATCGCATAAGGAAATAATCGTTGGCAAAGGTTTCAAAGTCAGGTAAAAAGTCGTAGGTATCAACAGCTTTGAGATGTTTCTTTTGAGGGTGTGTGATTTCAGACAACTCTTGTGACGATGGTTGACGTGTGTCCCACTGGAAAGTTGACTCAATCTCTTGTGCTCGGCCTTCGGGAGTATCATCGTATACTCTAACGTCAGAAGATTGCTTTCGTGAGAGAGCAGCTTTAGAGTAGTTGGTACGCTTTTCATTAACTTCTGAAGCGTTTAAGTTTGAGTATTTGGATTTATACAACCACGCCTTATTTGAAGCTTGAGAGGGTTTATCTGGTGTGGTAGTGCCAGAATTAAGAGTGGTATTACCACGCAGAGAAACATCGGCAGGATCAACCAATAAGGCCAAGTCATCGTCATCCAATTCGACGTCAGCTTCTGGATTGAGATGAATATGCTCGTCATCCTCATCGTGATCATCCCATAACTCAGCAAAGTGTTGTAGCTGTAGGGGCATACCAGATTCAGCATCGGCGAGCATTGCATGTGGCTGCTCCGCGACCAAATCCGCTGTGAAGTTGTAGTCACCCAGTCTTTGTAAATTTGGTTCGATATTGATCAATTTAGGACCAAATTTAGGTGCAGGAATCTGATTCTGATATCTAGTTCTAACGATTAAATCATATTTACTGAGATTTTTAGTTTTTATTGCTCTTATCTGCGAATTGAATTAGACTCACGATTTCGACATCGCTGTTTGAATACAAAGGTAGAATGACAGATGGGAATATCGATAATGATAGCCGTGATAGTCGTGTAGATGAGTATAGTGGCGTTGAAAGCGTACTTGAAGTACCACGCACGCTCAAGCAATCAATCAAAGCGTGGTGGAACTACACGGACGACGATGGCTTGAAATCACAGCACAGAATGTTCTCTAAGCTGCCATTTAATAGGGTGAGCAAGGATGACGCCGATAAGCTCGAAGAACCTACGCGTGTGGCGTTCACTTCACTCGTAGATATCAGCCACCCGTCCTTCACAAATCCCGTAAAGATTAATACGCTCGAAATTGGTCAGTACCCAAAGCCCAGTGATCAAGATGAAGTTCCTATTGTTTGTAGCCACGGATACGCCGCAGGTGCGTACTTATCAGTAAACGTCATAATTCTAACACATATCATCACAGCAACTTTCTTCTTCTTGAATAATCTACAAGCCTTAGGATCCATTCCTAAAACCAGATTCTATGGAATGGATGTCCTTGGAATGGGATTGAGTGAAAGGGTTAAATTCCCAAACATATCTTCATCACAACCCGTAGAAAAGCGGGTAGCGGCGGCCGAGGACTTTTTTACTGATGCTTTAGAAGCCTGGAGAAAGGCTCAAGGTCTTAATCGCATGATTCTGGTCGGTCATAGTTTGGGTGGCTATCTTAGCACAGTTTACGCGTTAAGATACCCGCAACACGTAAGGAAACTGATTCTCATCTCGCCTATTGGTTTCCCTAATAATCCCGAGATCGCAACCCAGGAATCTCTCAATCAGGACCTTCAAGAGGCTCAAACTGAAACACGCTCGCATGAATTTTCTGATGTGCCTGAAACACGTACGAGAAAGGCAATGAAAGGACTAGTGAGGTACTTGTGGGAAGACAGAAACTTTAGTCCATTTGATATTCTCCGGAAGAGCCTTTTTTTTGGACCAATGCTTGTGAGCAGCTATAGCCTGCGGAGGTTTAGTACGCTGTCAGAGGACTTGCAGAGAGATCTGTATCATTACATATACGCTATCAGTATCAGAAAGGCGTCATCAGAGTATTCAATCACGCATTTACTAAGCTACGGTGCATACGCGAGATTACCGCTTATTGATAGAATTGAACATTTAGATAAGAGGATTCCGGTGACGTTCATGCATGGATCAGTGGATTGGGTGAGTGGAGGGCTAGAGGCGTTCAATAAGATGAAGGAGATGGGATTTCAAGTAAAATATGAGGAGACGCCAAAAGCAGGTGAGATAAATGAGGTCATAAGACGCAGAAAACTCAATTGATAACGACGTACAGGACATCATCTGTATTTGGATAATCCAGAGGACTTTAACAGGTTCATTGTGAAGGATATTGAGGGATCGCTCTGAGTGGGGGCGTGTTGCGTGCCGCGTATGGTGAAACAAGGAGAGAAAATCTATCACATAGAAAGTGAGAATGGCGAAAGCTGAAGCTAAGGATTGTACTTGTAGAGAAATATACATTTAATTTAAAATTATGTTTGCCGCCTAATGTCGAAAGATCGCTATCGTGATTTTCGACAACCATCAAGTAAATCTATGAGCATCACAGACAAGCAAATTGGAGAATGGTGTTTCGGTAGAGAGATTGGAAAAGGTTCATTTGCCATCGTTTACCACGGCTGGCACTCGAGTAGCGTAAGTGATGGTGTAATCACAGTCATGATCACAGTCACTGACATATATTCATTTATATCAGAATCCAAAGGCTAGCTCTTGCGCTATTAAATCCGTTATCAGATCAAGGCTCACCGCCAAGTTGCTTGATAATCTAGAGGCCGAGATAAGCATCCTCAAGCGTATACAGCATCCAAACGTAGTCGGCTTGCTCGATTGCATAAAAACTCCAACTCATATCCACTTGGTCACAAGTTACTGCTCCGGTGGCGATCTTAGTTGCTACATCAAGAAACGCGGCGAGGTTCCTACTCTCGAGTACTGGCCATCTGGCTTTGAAGGCGTTGGCCATGCCGCTTTCTACAAGCACCCACAGCTTGGTGGCTTAGACGAGCGTGTCGTACGCTCATTTTCTGGTCAGCTCGGTGAGCTCATCATTCAATCTCACGATAAGCAATCCATTCTAACAAATTCCTTCAACAGCCCAAGCTTTGTTGTTCCTCCGCTCTCAGGACCTTATGCACCGTGATATCAAACCTCAGAATCTCCTTTTACAGCCCCCAGACACCACTGCTATAGCCAACGGTCATCCTATCGGCATCCCTATTCTCCGAGTCGCTGACTTTGGCTTTGCTAGAAATCTCCCTGCCGCTACTATGGCTGAAACTCTCTGCGGCTCTCCACTCTATATGGCCCCTGAAATTTTGCGCTATGAGAAATACGACGCTAAAGCCGACCTTTGGAGTGTCGGTGCTGTCATGTATGAAATGACAACTGGAAGACCTCCTTTTAGAGCTCAGAACCATGTTGAGCTTCTCCGTAAGATCGAGAAATCTGATGATAAGATTAAGTTTCCTTCTTCGTCAGAGGTAGATATCCCCAGGGACATCAAAGACATAATCAGATCTCTGCTCAAGAGGCATCCCATTGAGAGGATATCGTTTGACGAATTCTTCAGCTGGCCCGGTTTCGATTCTTTCGAGAAAGACTCAAAGTGCACTCAAAATGTCTACGCTGAAGCTGCCAAAGAGACTTTTGGTACGTCTCCATTAAGTATATCAAAACCTGTACAATCTACAAGCCGACCACCACTCACTACTCATGTCACTTCCCCTGATACATCTAACAACGCCGTCGCAACAACAAGAAGACCCTCTTTTACGCCAAAATATATAGTTGGGCCATCTAGAGCAGCTACGACGAATGCTGTTCCCTCTACTTCCCCAAAGAGCAGCAGTCCTAGAGAACAATCATTAGCCAGGTGCACTAGTCTCGGCGAAAGGTGGGTGATTTAATTGCTATCTACACAAAGCTAACAAACACCTAGCGTGGAAAAGTTCAGTGGACTGCAATTAGGTTTCAACGAGCGCATCAATGATACATCAGAAACTCGCATTTCAAAGTTTCAATTACCAGCGAACGAAGATTCAATTGTCGGCAAGGAGTATGTCGTGATTGAGAAAAATGCCGTAGAGATTAACAACCTCGCTGATGACATGGCAGCTGCAGCAAGACGCCAGCCTGTCGTCGGAAGATTGAACAGTCGCGGAAATTACGGTGGACCAGGTACAGGTGTTTTTGGAGACACCCTTCGTCGTGTTTCTGATCCTAATGTCAACGCAGCTGCAGCTGCAGCAACTCAAGCAAAAGTAGGAAACACGCCTCCAAACAACTATATTTCTAAGTTTCCACTACCTGGTACATCTCCAACGAGCGCTGGTTTCGGTTCGTTCCCTCGCAGACCATCGATCAGTCCAACAACGCCTGCACCAGTGTACAACCAGGCATACCATCAAGTAGCGCACGATGTGCAAGTGAAGGAGGGTGCGCATCCTCAGCTATCGCATCAGCCTCAGTCGCATCAGCCCAAGAGTGCGCTAACGCGGGCTATCAATTTAGCTAGCTTGAGGCTTTTTGGTAGTGGAACGCCTGGACGAGTGTTGGCGCTAGTCAAGGGAGGCAACAAAGCTTATTCATATGCATACAACGAGCAGAAGGAGACGGATATACTCCGACAACTAGAAGAACTCGCTCAGAAAGCTTTTGTTATATTTGATTTCGCTGACTCAAAATTATACCAAGCGATAGCGACCGAACATGGGAATGTTCCGTCTTCAAAAAATCTTGACGAGATGAGTGGGTTGCCACCATGTTTCTATAGCTACTGTCAGCAGCGTGCATCTCAAGATATTGCTAACGGTGTAATGAGCAGTAAATCATACGACAATGGTGAGAAGCTGGCAGCAGAAGCCGTCCTACTCTACATCAGAGCATCTACAGTACTATCGCAGGGCGGAGAACTAGTAGTGAAATATATGACAGGACGGAGTAGCACGCAGACTCAGTCTTTTTCCAATGGTCTCAACGATGCTGTACAGTGGTTCAGATACAAGTACAATGATTGCTTCGATAAAGCTGATTATGCAAAAGGAAAGTGCGGGAATGAGATAATAGATAGTGTGGAGTATGTGAGTCAAATGCTATTCGAGAGAGGGATGGAAATTGCAAGAGCGAGTGCACTGGATGAGCTGATGGGAGAGGATGTCTATAAGTGCGAGGCGGCGTACGAAACTAGCTTGTGGATTCTTGAGGGACTTCTAGATGCACATACTAACGATGATGAGGACAGAAACATGTTCTTACAGTACAAAACGTCAATTGAGAAGCGACTTCATGGACTTAAGAAGAAAATTTGCAGGACTTCTGTTTAGACAAAAAAAAAAAAAAAGAATAGGAGAAAGGAAATAAAAGAAACATGCGGAATTTGAAAATGTTTTAAGACACAGGGAATTGGAGTATTTTAGTATTTTATACCAAACTGAATAACAACGAACAGAATCAAATTAAAGTAAATCACGTCATAACGTAATCTTGTAAATTGTATTTGTAAAATCAACGCTTATTTTAAAGTTATCATCTTTGGATATGCACCACGATGATGGCACAGATGGCACAGATAAGGATTTGGATAACAACAGCCTGAGATCGATAAGGGAACTTGGTAGGCTGGTGCTTCTATAGCTGGCTCATCCTTATTGCCTGCAGGCGCTGCAACGTTCATCAAACGTATTTATGATGATGACAGCACGGATGACAGCACAGATATCCGGCGAGTGATCAGGGACCTGGACAGCGAGTGCACTGGATTAGAGAGGAAGTCTTCAGTGCAATTGAAGCAGGTAGATTTCATTCCCCAGTTTTCCTCATCCACTCACTCAACTCAGCTGCTCAAACGTAAAGCCATTCAAATTGGTAAACAGCGCAGTAGAATTTCAATTCCGGAGACCTATGATGCAGCAATAAACCTGATTTCCATCTCTTCAAACATCTTAGTCGTCTCTGGCGCCGGTGTGAGTTGCATTCCTGCCGTGACATTCCAGTCTGATCCAGCTCAGATATCTGTCAATCGTGGAATCGTGAGGCTTCTCTACACTTTAGAATATCCTTCTAACCCCACAAAGCCCGACTTCCGCTCTCCAGACGGTATCTACGACCAGATTAAGCGACGCAATTATCCAGAAATAGACGAACCTGAACAGATTTTTGACTTGGTGCGGTATGATTCATTCAAGGATATGGCTTTGCTTATAAGAAACGCAAAAGGCTACCTTTGTAGCACATCCAAGACTCTTTTAGTGGGTGAGATCCAGGCAGATGTAGTGAAGCTCATATAAATATACAGCTCAGTGGCCAAGAACATTATGCCGACTCATTTCAGTCCCGGCCCTGCCCATAAATTTGTCAAGGTGTGTCTGCCTGAGACATAGCAACACGACTGACGACTACAAAGGCTTTACAGGATAGTGATACAGTAAGTAGCATTTCATCTCGGGACACCTACTAATACCCTACAGCTGCTGAGAAATTACACCCAAAAGTAAGTCGTTCCTCTTAAGTCTATTCATTGGCTCAAAGCACGAAGCATAGGTATGTCCCCGTGTGTTTTCCTAGCTAGCCAAGCAATCTTGACATGCTTTCACAGATAGCCTTGAGCGTAAAGCTGGGGTAGACCTTCTGCTCGAATGTCACGGTTAGTAGGAATCCGTATTGGGATGATGGTTTTTAACAAATATGACTAAGGAACATTCGCTTTTCTTGAGTGTCTGCGATGTGGCGAGATGTACAATACAGATGGTATGTCGTTGTCCAACGATATTAAAGTGCAGCTGACACACACAAGATTTCTCACACGTGATACTTGGGGGAGGTGTGCCCGTCTGTACGAAAAAATGTATTAAAGAATACAGACGTAGACGCAAGAAACGCAAAAGCGATTCAACTGATAACAATACAGTCGCACCACTGGATGTGTCTGATGATGCTGTTATTACATTCTTCGATACCAAAAATGAAGATATACCCTACTTGAAGGTGGGTTCTTCTTTTCATCTTTTGTCAGACTAACTGGACGAACGAAGCCTACCATTGTGAGCATTCAGTTGAAGATATCCAAACGTACTCACGAACTACAGACATTTTTCGGTGAAGATGTTCACTCTGATTATGAACAAAGAGTTCTAGACGACTCTCAGGCCACCGATCTCATTCTGGTGCTGGGTACTTCCATGTCCGTGAGTGCAAGCCGCTGTTTTGATGTCTCAAGCTGATTTGCTTAAGGTTGCACCGATATCAGAGTTTATCTGTGAGCGGAGAATCTCAGTGCATGGTGTGACCTAACCTTCACAGCACACATACCCCACAAAGTTCCCATCGTAGTAATAAACAAAACGCCCATCAAAGGCCTGGAACCAGACGTGAGTGGGGCATGAATGAAAATGAATGTCAAAGCCAACCTATTACGCAGATATTTCTACAGGGAGATATCGATAGCATAGTTTTGGAGATTCACTCCAAATTGGATAAAATCAAAACCGAGCTTTAGACTTTCAAGACGAGTAGTCTCATCCATTCAGCATTCTTGACTTCTGTTTTATAATGTTGGCTTTTTAAATCATTTTGATTTGTTTAAGCTTGCAGGTGCAGGTGACTTCAAAGTTCTAGACAAAATGCGTAGCAATATAGGATTGATTTCTATTGAGCAGTTTTACTTGGAGAGACGCTCGTTCATGTTGTTGAGGTCGGCTTGTTGCTCTGGGGTAGGGACGATGTTGTCACCACCCTTGTTTACTTGGGCAGTAGCTTGTGAGTCTGCGTACTTCTCCTCTTGAGTTCTGTCGTCGACTGGGCCTGGAGCGTCCGTGGTAGAGGTGGTACTACCGGCGATGCCTGCTGGGCGTTCGCTCATCAACTTATCGTTGAGGTTATCCTGGGTTGGCATACCGTGGCCAGCTGGATCGACCTGATGTTGTTAGAGGAAATGTCTAGTGCAACTGTTCACAACTCACGACTTGTTCGGCTTTCTTGAAGTGTTCTGGCATTATAGTGTTTCAAATGTAGATGGTGGTTTATATAAAGAAGATGCTGTCTTCTTTATATCCCCTCAGCGCCACGCCATGACTCTATTAGGAGTGAAAACTTTCAAAACGCTGATCGGAAGTAGTATCCCATTATCGCTCTAGAGCGCATTCAGAAGAGGGAAATAAGTACTTGTGATAAGACAGTATGGCTTAACTGCTCTATTCGCCCTGGAATACGCTGAACGACTCAGGTGCTCAAGCATCGAAAACTTACAGAAGTTTAGTCCACTTTTAGCGTTATATGTCTCTCATGATTGTGAATATATCTTTGAATCCTTTCTTTGCCCAATATCCACCGACCTAAACTTTACTCCTGCCACTAATCTTCTCTCAAATGGGATTTACAACTTCTTCTGATCTCCATATAAAATGGCTTGATAAGAGATATGTTTATGCCAGAGTTAATACCTGGAGCTCCCAAGTTGCGCCCTGAACACTGATCGGAAGCAATGGTCCGAAATCGCTCTAAAGCACGCTACAGGATATATATGGAGGTTATGACGCGCTTCATCGACGATACGAATTAGTTTACTTGCAAAGACCGCAAGTGCTCAAATATCTCAAGTACATGGCCCTATACATGTGAAAAAAAGTTTTATTTGCGTGGCGCCTACAAGAATCAAACCTTGCACCAGGGAAAAGATATTGCTATTTCGCCTCATTTCATACTTTGAAGATAATATTAAAGCATAGAAAAGTGGGGGTCATCAAAACTCTAAAGTCTGGGGGTCTAACTTCTGATCAGTGAATCTCAAAAATCGGGGGGTAAAAAGGTGATCAAAATGCACTGAAATCGCAAAAGTCATAAATTTAGGAGATTTTATTTTTATATTCCAAATTAAGCGGACCTATACAGTGCGCTACAATCCACCAGTCACTATAAAGGTATTTTAAACATCTTGCACAATTAGCGACGACAACCCTATTTCATTATTGTTTGGCTTGTAGTCTTTTCGGTGCGATATTGAACATGCAATTATTGTCCTGAAAACCCAAGGTGAATTTCGCGCGATGCCTCGAATCAGCACTTAATTTCAATATAGTTCTCATAAATCAAAGTAAAAAAAGAGTGATACATAATGAGCATTGTGGTCATAATGACCTTGAGAAAATTTTCTGGAAAATTAAGTCTTGGGTTTGTCGCTTTCTGAGTCACGTGAGCTTCCGTGCAGATCATCGAACCGATCAATGTGGGCCACCTGAGTCTTTTCATGGTCTCCTAGTCCTTGCGCGTGCTTACCAAACTCTCTCGTATATTCTTTCTCAACAAATACAGGATTACGACGCTGCTTGTGTGCCATAACAAATATCTTGTCCATCTCCTCCAAGCTGTGTCCTTTTGTTTCTGGGAAGAAGAGCCAAAGCACTGGCAAGAAAAACGTGTTGGTCGCGATGAAGATAATATATGTCTTCCATTCGATAGTATCGAGACATATAGGAGCAATTTGGACAATGAGGTAATTGAAAAGCCAGTTCGAACAGCTCGAAAGACCATTTACCGCATGGCGAGAGCGAAGTGTGGAGATCTCCGCTGGATACAGCCATGTCACGCCTAGCCAGCCGATGGCGAAGCCCGTATTGTAAACAAAGAGCATGACTGCACTGCCTACTGCCAGATCTGATCTGCCTGTCGACTGAAATCCGACCAACATCACCAGCGCCATAATCATGATACAACTTCCTACCATCATTAGCGGAACTCTTCCGGCTTTGTCAATAAGCCACAATGCCGCTACAGCTGATAAGAAGTACTCAACACCATTTCCCGCTGTGACGATGCGTGCCTTTGTCTCATCAAGTCCGATACTGAGGAATAGCGTTGTACTGTAGTAAGTAACCAGGTTGATACCACCTTAAACCTCACGTCAACGCCACATCTATGTGAAAATCTTACTACCTACCGATTTGCTGGAACATTTGACTACAAAATGCTACTGAAGTCCTCCAGAGCGTCATGTTTTCGTCATTTCTAAATATCTGCCAGAAGGAAAATTCTCCACCAGCCTCTTGTGCATACACTACCTCCTTTATCTCACTGTATTCTTGAATAACGTGGGTATCTTCTTTATTTCCATCTCTTAGCCTACACAAAATGTGCATAGACTCGTCATCTTTGTGGTGCTTAGCAAGCCACCTCGGCGACTCTGGCAAAACAGCGATACCAAACAGCATTACAATAGCAAAGGCTAGCTGCAGGCCAAAGGGAAATCTCCACTGTGCAGATGCATGAGGAACCTCTGCATCTGTTTTATTCATATACCACATTCCCAGGTTGACGAGGTATGAGATAGCTATGCCGCCACTAATTAGCGCGCCTTCGAAAAGCACAAGGAAGCCTCTTCTATCCTTATGCGCCATTTCTGACTGCAAGACCGGAATCGTGCTCGTATTCATACCGTTACCAATGCCGGTAACAATTCTGCCGGCTACCAACTCTCGGTACTCATAAGAAGCTGTCTGCGTGACAGCTCCGACGATCATGATGGAAGTACCAATTATGACGCATCTTCTTCTTCCTAGTTGATCTCCCCAAATTATCACAGCAGCCGATCCGAACATACATCCTGTGTGGTTGTTTTAGTTTGGAGATTTACTCGAGATTTGTCTACGTATATTTCGTAAATGGCGACACAGAGTGAGCTGATTGCTTGCTTTGGGTTAATGTCAGGATCATCTCCAAATTCCGGGAAGGTTTTGATAAAGTATGGTTCTGTGATGATACCAGACATCACACCCTGATCTGTTGGACGAGATGCGAATCAGAGATAAAAAACGCCATAGAAACACGTCTCTCACCATACCCGAATAGCAGAAATGCTACACCAGCACACATTACTACACTATATTCCAACTTCTTGCCTGTGAGTCTACTCGCGTATCCGTTATATCCACCCAATATTTTATCCAGTGCGCTTAGAAATCCCATTGTTATCTTTATTGTCAAGTGTCAAAGCTCTGTCTGCAGTCGTATGCTTAAATTGGGTGGGATAATGTGATCTCAGGTTCGGTGTTGCTGCCGGCACGATAAGTCCGAGTAGCAGATGATATTGACTGAAAAGAGTAAACATTCACATTATATAGCTTTTTAGATTGATTTCATGCCTCTGTATAGGCCCGATGTTCATGAACATTCAAAGCTCTCAACTTCGTTACGTCATCACATGCCAACCACCCTTAAGGGCATGAATATCAAGTGAGTTCATTTAGAATAAACAGATGCAAATCAAGGAACACATATTTGAAAGTCGATAGTACAACGATTCTGTCAAGGTGAATGCAAGACACGAATGTGTTGTGTTGTTTCAATATTATCAGAATTGCGTTATAGGAATTAGCAAACGAATCGAGTTACTTTTTAGCTACTGTTAAGCTCAATATTGAGGTACCTTTTTGTCAAACACTAATATAAACACTTACATATTTTTTTAATGAATTATGCCAGATGGAATGCCAACGCAAATATGTGACTTAAAGTTTATTTCTCGCCCTTTCAGTGCAAATCTTGCACCGCTAGCTTGGTTTCGGCGCAGATTGAAGTCTTAGATATACTCTATGTATACTTGTTGCAAGCACGGGTAAGCAGTCACTCAGCTGGTTCTTCATGTAGGTAGTGCTGCTAGGATGATCACGATGATAACTATTCTAACATAATCAGTTCCCGGATAAACCGTTTATGCTGTAATTTCATCGATCATTCGGGTACTCAGCTGGTCCTCCTGTCTCCGCTTAATAACCGAGTAGATTGAACAGAGCAATTACAGAAGATCACAGGTACACTCATGAATCAAAGAAGCTTCATTACTCAATTGTCTGCCTGATCTACCTAAATCACTCAGTTTAGAACCTGGTCTTCCCTCTCATGACCTCAAGGCAGATTAGTACAGAAGCGAATGATCTATTGTGCTGCTTATGTAGCTTGAGAGACTTCAGAAAGGACAGTTAGGCTGAATTCATGGTATTACTCAAATCAATATTCAAGTCACCAAGAAGGAATCTATCGTACTCATCGGAAGAATGTAATGAGAATATGAATGAAATTTATAGATCAGCGTGTTTTCTTAAACTTCAAAATGTTAATTTTATCTCTGTTTTACCCATCCGCACAATATCCACCATCTTGGATTTTCACTTCGCTCGTTATCTCACCTTGACCTGCAAAGTGCTCGGCCGTTTAAATCCGGCATCGTTCTGGAGCACGAACGAGAGCATATACGGAGGATTTCATTGGCTCACCCGATGATAACCAAGTCACTCAGCTCACAGAGAGTGCAAGTGCTCAAGATCATCAAGTATTCGGCGCTGCAAACACGTAAGGCGGTTTCCGACGCGTGGCGTCCAAAACACTCACACCTGGCTACAGGAAAAAATTGAGGACACTTTCATTCATCAAAGACCTAACAGAAACGATTTATGCAAAGAAGAAGGCGGTCAGCCTAACTTCAAAATTGGGGGTTCGGGTTCTGAATAGTGTGCATTTCAAAATTTCAAATCCTTGAGGAAGAGCAATGATAAAGGTCGCGCTAGCATCGCAGAAGGTATTAAATTGCGACATGGGATGTCCGAGTATTGATTCGCATTACAGGTATACAAATCACACCCTTATCCACAAGTTGCGTCTAAATTGAGCTCAATGGACGTTTATTCATAGATAAATTTTTTGGAACACCTTGATAACCACGTGTTTAATTTCCGTGCAACACAACATCTCCGCATATCGGCACTTTTCATGGATTGACTGCAGGAGTTTGCAGCATTAGTACGAGCTTACATTAGGGAGTAAGGAAGAATTGAAATGTAGAGATAAAGAGGTCATATTTGATTTGCTAATATGCGTGAGGCTGCTTCCGATGAGGGGTTATGATTAGATTGGGGGAAGGCAGACGCGATATGCGCAACAAGCGTGACTTTCACAGCGATTTTATTTTGAAATCTAAATTTTTCTTTCCTCTAATTCGCGTTCAACAAACATATCCTCTCTCTCACCATCAATGATCGCCCAGAAACACAACAACAAACATAGCAAAACAACACTGGCGACTCTTCCAAAAGAGCTCATAATGAAGCTTGTCGACGAGTATCGCTGCTTAGAGCTGGGACTAGTTAACAGGCGCCTGCGCAGCATCGCCATCGACTCTCTCCTGACACACAGACTATACAGTCCTAAAGCTCCGCGCGATAGGTCCAACACTCTGTCAGCTGTTCAGTCATACCTCAGATTTGTACAAGTGGTGCCAAATACCATCTTTGGCGACTCAATCGAGTCGCTTTTCTTGAACCTCAATCACTTCACGGGAAATGTAAGATTCGAGGAGTGCGGTGAAATTTCCGAGCTCATTAAAACGTTACCCGCGTTAAAGAGCGTCAAGATAACGCTTGAGAAGGTGAACCAAGAGGAAAACTTGGCCAAGCTGGTCGGTTCATCGAAATGCGCGAAAGAGTTAACGATTGAGATAAACGATATCTTTGATGACGTTGCCAACGTATTTGCGCAGTGCATTTTAAAACTATACCCCTCCCTTGAAGTACTCACAATCCACCGTCCTGCCGATGCGCCTGGCTTGGCACAGGACAATCTCATAGAAAGTATGAATAGAGCCCTACCAGATATCCAAAAGACTTCACTGAAGAAAATCGTCATTCTGAATGACTTTGGTACATCAAACGAAATGAAGATAAAAGAGACTCATCACTACTTGCACATATACAAGCTGTCAGATGGTGCGTTTCATAGATATCAACACTTCTGGATGCACGGTCCAGGATGAGAAACGTCATCAATGATGACCACCGCGCAAGTAATCTCTATCGCTATTTCGATCTAGAGAGACTGATCTGGACATTAACGAATAGCTTTCTCGATAACGTACAATGACTCTATGAAAGTCAAAGATGAAACCAGATGAGAATATCAAACAACGCAGTTATATACCATACATGACGTCTTTTGATACCAATGAATGATTAATGTCTTCAAATTGAGCCATCTCAAACTAGCTGAGAAAGGAGGATGGGCCGCACCAATCAAACTAACCAAACCATTCTGAAAACTAACGACAAGCTAGCACAAAGTCGATGCATTAGATTCATTTATTTAGTCATACAGCGTAAGGTGAGTCTATTGACAAAATGCGTAGCAATATTAAGATTGATTTCTATTGAGCAGTTTTACTTGGAGAGACGCTCGTTCATGTTGTTGAGGTCAGTTTGTTGCTCTGGGGTAGGGACGACATTGTCACCACCCTTGTTTACTTGGGCAGTAGCTTGTGAGTCTGCGTACTTCTCCTCTTGAGTTCTGTCATCGACTGGGCCTGGAGCGTCCGTGGTAGAGGTGGTGGTACCGGCGATGCCTGCTGGACGTTCGCTCATCAACTTGTCGTTGAGGTTATCCTTGGTTGGCATACCGTGGCCAGCTGGATCGACCTGATGTTGTTAGAGGAAATGTCTAGTGCAACTGTTCACAACTCACGACTTGTTCGGCTTTCTTGAAGTGTTCTGGCATTATAGTGTTTCAAATGTAGATGGTGGTTTATATAAAGAAGATGCTGTCTTCTTTATATCCCCTCAGCGCCACTCCATGATTGAAAACTTTCAAATTAACCATGACGTGAGGATTGTGTGATGTAACGCGGAGCACAGATGCCAAAAGTTCAAATGATCCCAAGGGATGAGCCTGGACTTGTCATTTAAATTATAGTAACATAACAATCATTATATTCCTATCTGACTATCCGACTTTTCAACAATGTCGTCATTTGGTGGCCATTACCTCATGAGCTGTCTACATTGGAATAAATAATCAACGTTAAAATACAAGTGGGGTATAACTGCACCAGGAAGATAAACAAAGCAAACTACTGCTGCCTTTCGATGAGATAATGAGATAGATCTTTCCAACCACCGCCGACTCTAACCATAACTTTCTTCCTGTCGCCTTCTCCGTTTAACTGAGCACGCCTTGTAGCTTTTACTTCTAGTAGCTTACAGTTAACTACTTTCCTGTTGTGCGGAGTTTCGAAGGCGTACTGAGCCTGCATGTTTGAGACAGTTTCAGGCCGAGGCCTACGAGAGAGAGGGGGATCGATCCTCTGAATTCCGATGCCGAGGCCATGATCGTTGTAAATTATACCTACTTGAACATCTAGTGGGTCTATGGAGTTGGGGAGGTAATTACCGCTATCTTCATTTTTGCTGGATGTGCTGCTACTAAGGATGGAAGATCTACCACTAACAACCCTCCTGGATCGTGGAATGGGGCTATTAGAAGCGCCCCAAAAAGGACGCGCATTTGCTCTAAGAGTGGGCTCAGGAGTGAGGAGATTTCTACCACGACCAATGTCAGCCGAAAGAAGGGAAGAGGAGCGAGAAGAACGTGGTATTCGTGAGGGTGTAGATGAATTTGAGGGGATTGAAGGGGTGGGGCTGTATGGGCGTGAGGGAGTTGAAGGACGAGGGAGACGTGAAGGAGGTCGTGAATGAGACAATCTAGAAGAAGGACGTGATTGAGGTTTTGAAGGAGTTTGAAGGTTTAAAAGGGCGAGCTTATCGTTTAAAATGTCAACATCGTTTGAGTGTTTTATTTGAATCAATTTTGAGTCAATTTCTTCTAGTTTGTTGTCCAAAGTTTTCCATCTCTGCTGTAAATCAGCGTGGTCTCTAAGGCAATCACCGTTGATATTGAAACCTTGAGTGATTGACTTTGATAAAATGTTTAAAACTCTTTGAATTGAAGGAATGTAGTAATTGCACTTTACTTTGAACGAAGAGTATATCTCATCGAATTGAGGTGAATTTGGTTTATCCAGCAACTGTTCAACGAAATTAAAAGATTTATCTAAACTATTCATCATAAATTTAGCTTGATTTGAAGTAGATTTGTAGATAATCTGCCAATTCTTATCCTTTGAGTGAGATCTGAGTTGATTTATTTCATCGATTATATCACCAAATTCATTAGATTGATCAGATTCATTAGTACTCTCAATTATTTCATCTATTTCTTGTAATTTGAAGTCATAAGGTCTGTCGGTGTGTCGAAGTTCTTTGATAGTTTACAAATAATTAGAGTTGTCTCACCAAAAACCAAAACCAATTCCTACCTTGTACCTCAAACAACTTTAATTCGATCAATTCTCTTTTACTCCCTTCAATCGACATGGTGGACGTAACGTATACCTTCTTTCATCCTAAATGACTCAAATTATTCAATTCATCATTTTTAACAAATCTAAATCAATTTTATTAAATTTGACGTCAAATGAAAGTGTAAACGTTGGATTATACCTTGGTTTAGTTGAGTTTATAAGCAACTTCAACAGCCAATCACTGGAGCTGATTGTCACAACCAATCAAATCATTTACTTTTTGTATTTTAATGACTTGTATTTGTCTGTTGTGAGTGCCAAATATACTCACTCTCACTTCCTCACAATCCCCCAGTCTATTCCCTCAAACACGCCAAATTCAATTCAAATTGAAATAAAAAATCTCATCAACGATATCGAGAACCCTTCATTAGAATCCACAGACTGGTCATCTCTTTATAGCTCCATTTTATCATTGTGAGACACGTTGTACACTAACCCATTCTGTCATTTTATTCATCTTTGTTATAAAATCTTCTTGTAATTTATCCATCAAGTCTTTCAATGATGTTTTACTCTTACTTTCCAATCTCTCGATTACTTGGATTGCCTTTGTTGTACGTTTGTCCTCCATCTTTATCCCACTCAGGGTACTTCTCATAGCACGCGTCTTTCTACTTGACTCGTTAAGCGTGGCTGTTGATATTTGTGATATCTCTGTGATCATTCCTAGTGATCGTAATAGGTATTCATCGATGAATCCTTCTAAACTGGGTATACTACTGTTTGATTTATCGGTATTACTGAGAGTGCTGGTGCTTTGGTGGTTATTGTAAGTATCAACGACCTTCTCATTCATATTGCTATTGACGCTATCACCAACCTCATCCACCTCCTCTTCTATACTATCTAATCCTTCAATTTTCTCATTTTCCAACGGTTCAAGCACCGCCAACACTCTATCGTCCTCTTTGCTCAACTCTCTATCCATTTCCCAAAGCTGCCTGCTCTGATCATCCCGCACTTTCGCTGTCTCCACCAGTTTTTTCACTACAACTGTAGCTGTTGATTCAAGCATAGGCAGTCCGCTATCGATATCGACGAGCTTATTGAGAAATTGAGCATTAATCTCAATCCCCTTGTTAAGTTCCGCGTTGTATTTTTCCAACTGTGTTTCGTCAAGTGTGTACATCTGTTCGTCATCGCTGGATTCCTCAGAAGAAGTGTGTGCTTCATCTACCACTCTCCTCTGCGTTTTGAGTGGACTGCCTCCACTGCCCCCACTCCCAAACGCTGCTGCCAGTTCAAATGCCAGTGAATTGGCCGATTCCGTTTGCTGATTACTTTCCATCCTGTGCGACTCCTCGAGTAGATTTAGATTCCCCGTATTCGCCTCACCCAGATCAACCATGAATGGATCAGGGCCTTCTTCGAACTCTTCGTCGCTCATTTTGTCTTGTGGTTGTGATGGTAGTCGGCAGAGTGTTCAACACGGCGAGAGAAGAAGGATTATCAAGATTTACAAATCTTTGTAAAACGCAAACAGCACAAAGCACAAAATACACAGCACTCCACAATTTCCATCAAAGTCATTCAAACACTGCATCATTCTCATACAAACACCCAATGTCCACATTCCTTCATTTTCCCAGCGAGTTCTTCAGCAGAACTCTGAGTGAATATTCCAGCCAACGGAGCGACACTCTCCCGCGCATCCTGGTCAACGAGACGCATATCCCACACCTTCTTATCGATGAGGACACCGAGTCCTGATCCGCCGACGGTAGTGACGATTGAGCTGAACCCGTTCTGTGCGAGGTTAGACGTGACGTGAGCAAGAGTGTGAGCACTCTCTCCACTCTTTCCACTCTCTCCACCCGCTCCAAACGAGTCTGGGAGGAGTGTCACCGTGCAACCGCCGCCGCCCGCGCCAGTCAACTTAGTCTGTAGCCCGTACGCCTTCAATTTAGCGATGATCATTTCGAGAGCGGGGTGGCTAACGCCGAGTAACTCGAGTTGGGCGTGGTTAGCTGCGACGAGTTTACCTAGACCGACGAGCATGCTCTCGCGAGGAAGGTCAGTATCCTGAAAACAGCGCACGGCCTCGTCCACGACATCCTGAATGCGGCGCATGCACTCATCGAACAGGCCCGGCTGGTTCGCTTTAAGGGCATGCACGCGTGAAATCACCGCCTTCGCGTCGCGCTCGACGTGCGTGTTTGCGAGGAGCAGCAGCATGCTTTGGAAACCTTGCAGGGGGATCATGGGCTGAGCACGTCCGCGCGCATACGATATGGCCCCGCCAAAGACCGACACACTGTTGTCGATCCCCGAAGGCGTCCCGTGCAGTATCCGCTCAGAGGCAAACGCCCATTTGTTCACCGTTGCTGCGATGTCTACACCGATGTATTTGCGTCCACTGTGCGATATGTGCGGTGTGGCGCGTTGGCGGTTGATCACTACCTTCTGCATGTATAACAGCAGCGCGGCGGAGACGCACGTCGAATACGCCGCTGATGATCCCAGCCCGGCACCGATAGGGATCGAGGAGCGGGCCGTGAACGTGAGGCTGGGCTTGGTGGGATAGCACAAAGACATGTAGTGGTGCACAAATGCAACAACCGCTCCACGAATCTTGCCAGTTATGGATGGTGGCAGTGTCTTTTCGATGGCTGCGATGAGCGTAGGGTTCATGTCGACGTCATTGCCATCGCCGTCGCTAGCGTCGCTCTTCTCCACCTCCGTCTCCGCCCACGGGAGTGCGCTCACCTTGGTTGAGTACTCGCTGTGGAGGTCGGGAAGAACAAGGTGGATTGTATCGTCCGAACGCGCTCCAAGACACCCGTAGCAGCGGAGATCAAGGGCGGACGCGATGGCAGTGACGCCGTGCACGACGGCGTGCTCACCAAACAAAATCACCTTACCGGGTGCAGACACGACTATGTTTTCAGCGTCTCCTGACGTATGTGGCTGTTGTAATGCGCCGTCCATACTTGCATTATTGGCATCACTTGGCAAACACCGCTGCCATCCCAGCGCACGCTCTTCACCAACACGCTCCAAAGAGCCTTCTGGGGAACTCAGCGTGCTCGAAGTGGATTGCTCCTCTCGCCGCCTGATGGCACCCGCCTGTACCAAACTACACTCCAAGTCGTCTATGAGATCTTCCCAGTCTTCAATACCGACGCAAAGTCTGATGAGATCCTCAGGAAGCCCCCTCTCAGCTCTGAGATGAGCGGGGATGGACGCATGAGACATGAGACAAGGCATCGAAATGAGTGAGTTGACAGCGCCAAATGAGACGGAAATTCCCCACAGTTTTGCAGCCCCCACTATACGCTCACTTGTCTTGATGTCACGCGTCTCAAAGGAGAGGACAGCGCCTGCATCTTTAGCCATTTTAAAGTGAGTGTGGTGTCCAGGGTGGTTTTTGAGACCGGGGTAATGAACTTGGAATTGTAGCTGGTTGAGGAACGATGCGATAATCTTAGCAGATGCTTGCTGACGATCCATGCGAATAGCCAGTGTCTTGAGACCTCTCAACAGCAAAAACGAATCGAATGGACCGAGACCATTGCCGACTGAGTTGATAGTGAAGGACATGTGCTGTGAGGCGTAAAGCGTAAGCTGTAAGCTGAACCAGAATACTCCCACCCACCTTTGCTAGATCGTCTCTATTGCAAATGACCACACCAGCCATAAGATCGTGATGGCCTGAGAGGTACTTGGTGGCGGAGTCATAAACAACATCAGCGCCAAAGTTGAGTGGACGTTGCAGATACGGGCTCATCATTGTGTTATCGACGACGATAATCGCGGAAGGACAAACGGCTTTAACGCGCGAGGCGATCTCTTGGACGTCACAAATCTTAATGAGAGGGTTTGTAGGGGTTTCTAGAAGTACCAATCTGGTGCGTTCCTTATCCAGGTATTGTTCTACGGTGCTGGGAGTGCAAGTGTCTATGTGGTGCACTACAACGCCCGCATTCGATTGTAAATAGCCTAATAATCGATTAGAGCCGCCGTAGAGATCATCACCGGCTACTACGTGGTCACCTGGTTTAAGAATTCGCGCTATAACATCGAGTGCTGCCATTCCACTGCTCACAGCGAACGCATGCTTCGCGCTGCTGATTTTTGCGAGATGGTGCTGGAGATGTGTGCGGGTTGGATTTCCAGAGCGTGAATAGTCGTACTCCCCGTTCATTCCCTTAAAAGTCGCAGACTGGTAGATGGGTACTGACGAGCTGTTAAATTGGTCCTTCCCAGCATCTGGATTATCTATTGTAACGCATTCAGTGGAGAAATTGTATTTATCGGGGCCTTTTGAGCTGCCGTCAGTCATGGTGGTTTGAGAAGAAAGAACAAGGTAGAAGGCACATACACACTCCAATTAAACAAAGATTTATTGTATTTACATTCAAGATTGTTGAAGCCACTCCTCTCACTCTTGTTGTGCCAATTGATTCATTATACGCTCATTTACCGCCTTTAAATCAGCGATAAGCGTTTCGGACTTGCTCAGCTCGCCTTCAAGCTCTTGTACGCCTGGAGGAGGAGTCAAAATGGATGCTGTGAGCTCATTACTCCTACGCACGTTCAGCACCGTCTTTGTTTGGTGTATTTTGAGCATTTTCAGCACTCTCAGCACTCATTCTGAGACTTTGCATTTCTTCTTTCACTGCGATTGGTTAGTATAGCGCACAAAAAGCAAATGAGCCCACTTTTCAGCACCTCTTCATCCTCTTGCATCTTATCAGCCACCAACGTACGCAATTCCTCAATCTTGCTCTTTAGTTGAGCGTTTTCGACTTGCATCGAGTCGTTGAGGGTGTGAGCGTGGTGTTCAAGCTCACTGATGCGTGCATTGGCAGTGTTGAGCTGTGCAGCCACATCATCGCGCTCCTTTTGACTACCCGCGTGTGTCTCACTTAAGTTTTTCATCTCCACTTCCAACTTGCTAATTAACTCGCTCTTTTCAGTCAGTGCTTTTTCTTGCGTGTCAAGGTGATTTGCTTTGGTGTTGGCGAGTTCATCCTGTGAAGTAGGTTAATACGACATATCATAGTGCTAACACTCGACGCACCTCCAACTGTTTCACCTTCTGCTCAGCTTCTCCAGTAGCCTTGTTGAATTGCTCGCTTTCTGCTCTTGCGCAATCGAGGTCAGACTGCATGCGCTGTGTGTCATTGACAGAAGTAGCAGCAGCGGCAGCCATACGGTCGTGCTCATCCACAAACGTCTTCATTGCCTCCATTTTCTTCTCAAGATTGACAATAACCAATTGATACTCGTTTACTTGGGTATTAGCTGCGTCGTACTTGTCTTGCAAAGAGGTGTTTTCATCAACAACTGCCTCGAGCTGTGCAATACGCGCGTTGAGTTTATCTAATTGAGCTGTGTTTGCTTGTGCTGGTGGCGCAGTGGGATTCTTCCTGATCATGCGAGGTGCAGGTGGTTTGTTCTCCTTGACGGCAGCCCCAGTGGATGGCTTGGTTGAGCCGATAGTGGTTCTGCGTGCGGTGGTAGCTGGGGGAGGATCAGCGCGTGGAGTAGAAATTGAGGATGAGCGGTTGGCGGTGGTTCTTGGGGCCCGTGAGGCTGATGGATGTGATGGGTGAGATTGAGTACCTGGACCAGAACGAGTGGCAGTGCTAGTGGTACTTGTAGGATGCGTACGAGAAGTATCAGGCTTTGTAGTTTTAGTGGTTGTAGTGGAAGACGCGCCAATTGGTCTGCGAGTGGGTGCCTTTGGATTGCCAGCAGGTGCAGTTGAGCGTACGACGCGTTTAACGACCTTTTTAGTTACAGCTGGTTTAGCGGGTGGGTTTGTTGTTGAATCAGGGTTGGCTGGGTTGGCTTTTGACTCATTTATTGGCTCAGCTGCTACCTCAGGCTCAGGCTTAGCTACTTGCTCAGACTCAGGCTTAGCTACTTGCTCAGACTCAGGCTCAGCTACTTGCTCAGGCCCAGGCTCATGCACACAAGCAGAAGAATCTTCTATAGCCTCTGCAACGTCTTCTGGCGCGTGTTCTTGTTGGACAGCCTCAAGAGGATTCAACTCACCTTGATTAGCATCCTCTGGCCCAACGAATTCCTTGTTTAAAGCGATTTCAGTCATTTTGGATTTCCTACTAGTAATTTACTTGAATTTACTTGGATTGTTGTTGTCTGGTGTCAACACGCAGGCAGGCGATGACAGTGCGTTGTAATTTAATAGCAATCCAGACAAGTAATTTTCAAGCCTTAGATACTATCAGCCAAGACGTGTGATATACGTTCAGTCCACGCAGTACTGAAATCCATAGGCTTTGCCAAGGTTAGCAAATGTAAGCACAAAGCGATGTAAACTGACAACCACCCACCCACGCAGCTCGCTGTACTACAGATACGCGATGCTGGACTACAGTTCACCGTACAATCCGGACAAGAAGTCACAGCGAAAGGGTATATACCGCGTACGTTCTTCGACGAATACGCGTTTAAGTCCAGTGAAGGTGCAGTGCAGATGGAAATATCAATCAGTAGCCTAATAGAAACTATGAACATCTACGGCAATGCCACTACGACGGTGACCAACGCGAATTTTACTTGTTCCGAAAAAGGAGAGCAGGATGTGCCTACAGTGTTGAAATTGAATTACCAGGGATATGGATATCCACTAGCATTAGATATGTGTGTGTGGAGTTGCTTGATTTCCCCTTCTAACAACACAGCATCGCTCCCCCTACTATTCTCCCAGACGACAGTATGTGGTCACCGCAGACAACTGTCGAGCTCAAGACGAATGAGTATGATATTGCTTCTGATGGAGCACTAGAGCTGCCATTCGACGATGAAAGCGTGTGAGTGTGCTGTTTGGCGGGTAGATTGCGCAAATGACGTCATCTCAAATATAGACAGATGAAGGTGATAATGCAATCGCAGTGGCTGTCTGATGCACTTGCAGCGCTCGAGACGCAGACAGATGTAGTAACACTGTCTTCACCCGCAGACACATCCGCTAATGCCCCTGCTCTGCGTCTCAGTGCCATTTCCGAGACTGGTGCGCTGGAGTTTGATTTCCCAGAAAGCGAGCAGCTGGCTCTGCGGGACGATGGTCCTATCGATAGTATAGTGAGGAGTGTAGAAGGCGTGGTGTGTGAGAGGTATAGAGCTGCACATATTCTCCACGCCTCTAAAGCTATTGCTGCGTCGCACAAGACTAGCTTGCGTATAAACAGCATTGGGATGCTCAGCCTACAGATGATGGTCATAGACGCTCATGGCAAGCAGACATTCATAGATTTCGTTGTGGGTGAGTAGTAGGCAATGTGCTCTACTGACACACCAACAGCTTAGACCGCTTGAGAACGATGACATTGATATGCTGTAGATATTTTTTGTGCCAAATATTTTCATTTTATTTTTCACCTTTGTCTTCTTCCGCCATCACAACGATGGCTGAGAATAGGTGCTGGATCTGTTTAGTTGATAAGACGGATGATGACGACAACGCGTGGTCTACGCCATGCAGCTGCTCGTTGATAGCGCATAAGGAATGCCTTCTCGTGTGGGTGCAATCCAAGCTGAGTGACGACGCAGACAGTCCAGTGCAATGTCCGCAGTGTGGAGAGCGCTACAGGATAGTTACGCGTACTCCGCCGCTCCTCAGACCTCTGCGTTCTGCCGACAAGCTCCTCAGGCGGATATCACCTCTAGCGACGATAGCCGGTGGGTGGAGACGCACGAGAAGCGCGAGAAGACACCCACTCACTCCATTACAGGACTCGGTCTTGGCGTTTCTGGCGTCGGTGCACTCTACGGGGCAGCAGTGGCGCGTGCAGTCCTAGGCCCACTGGCTTCTGCCAGCCTCCTCAACAAACCACAGTGGTCATGGCGCATGTGGTCCTCTCTCTCGCTCGTTCCCTGGGCACTCATGTTTTACAACTCAAACTTCCCAGACAAATTCCCTGCGACTTATTTCTTCGTGATTCCTTACAGCTACATCTTCCCAGTGCAGCCGATAGACGTTGCTTGGCCACCCAGCCCAATGCTTACGCTGGCTTGTGTACCCCCTCTCCGCGCGGCTTACGGGTGGTGTCGCGCGAGATTGGCGGGATGGTTCACTCCCGAAGCAGCACGCGGAGCGCGTCGGGAGACATTCAGCATAGCTGGTGCAGAGTTCCAGCTGCAGTATGGCAATGATGACGAAGGTGAGGGTTTGGTGGATGAAAACGAAAATGAGAATGAGGTTGGAAATGGCGATGAAAACAACCCACACGCACGAGACACTCAATTCAGATACAAACTCACGCTCTCCACCGTATGCAGATACCTCACAACCACCCTCGCCTGGCCTTTCGCTAGTCGTCTCCTCGCTGATTTACTCCTTGGTGTACGCATTCTCCACCCCGTCTTGGGATACACGCAGAAAGTGGTGCGGAGGTCTCCCATTCCTCTGTGCTTACGTGATGCACAAGCTTGGGAGTTTGCGGGTGATCCCGTGTGGCTGCGTACTGCCATCGCTGCAGCCACAATCACTCTCGCCAGCGATTGCACCCAGATGCTCTATTCACGGTTGGAATTGAGCGAGAAAGAGAGCAGAAGTGTGGAGAATAAGAAGCAAACTGTGTAAACAAGATGTATTTGGATGTTGATTTAGTTTTGTTTTCCCTTTCATACCCACGGAATGGCACTGGCGCTGTGCTTGTTACGCGACTGGTGCTTGGGAAGGTAGTAGACGTCCTGGCTGCAGCTATCAGCGGACACTTGCTCACGCGGGAGGAGCGTTCCTGAAACAAGTGGTCCCTCGAGGTTGAACGAGTACCAAACTTCGTGTACCTTATTACCGCCACCATCGCACTTGATAGTTGGAGCGTAACCAAATGCTTCCTTGAGCGCGTGCTTGATGTCTGCCAGTTTGTAAGTGTGTGTAGAAGAAGGAGTTATGCCTCTGTTCGCCAAGAATTCGTAGGTCGGGAAGCGGTTGTAGGTGTTAAGAATGCGAGAAAAGTAGTCAATCATTGTGTCCACGTTCTCGCTCCCACTCTCGCTGCTATCCGCTTGACAGGCTGGTTTGAGTGTGCTGTAGCAACTACCGTGTTTGTTCCACTCATGCTGCCAAAAGTGCTCGTTGTGTCCACGGTTATCGAGCCATACAGTGCTCATAGCCTGGTAGAGGTCCGTCTCGCCCGCTGCTAGAAGGGAGGAGGTGATGTTGTGCAGCTGCATGCTGTTATCGCAGAACTGGGGATAACTGCCATCGCAGCGATCAGGCCAGAGCCCGTGCAGCGTCCACATGTCTTCGTGGCCTTCGTAGGGTGAGTAGTGCTGGTGTGGTGTCAGGTGACGTCATTTGGTGCCGATACCAAGCTTCACCTACCCAGTCCCAGAATTGGCTGTAGCGCGGTGTAAGATAAGGTTGTGGCATGATTGAACTCTACTTACGTTAGCAGTAGTAGCCCGTTCTTCTCCACACAGCAGCTGTCCGCGGGCGATTGGCGCGCCTCTCTGCTGCAGCTGACCGGCAAATCCGCTGGGCAGCTTCCCTTTAGTGCGTGTGTGAGTGTGAGTGCTATTATCAGTGTTAGTAGTTTCTTAAGCATCGTCGTCGTCGTCGTGATGCTCCAACACCCATTGCCTATCTGTTAATTACGCGCGAGAATTAATTTATGCAGGTGACCAACGTGGAAAGCAAGACAGATAAGACGAGAATAAAAATAAATAAAATGAATGAAAATCAAAATCATATCATAATACTCCCCTACAGCCAGCTCCTGGCCCACAGCAACGCGCCTCTATACGTAGACAGCAGGAGAGAAGTGGGAGATCTCCAGCCGTAAACTCTGGCGAGAAAGGCAAGTATACCAATAGAGCCAGCCCCGAGAGTGAGTGCGATAGAGAGTGCGTTAACGACGTTCCTTCCTCTCCTCTGTCTCGGCAGGGCTTGAAGGGGTGTACTGGCGACTGAACAGATATACTGGAATAGTCCCGCCGTTTCGCCAGCCTGTACGCTCACAGCGATGGGCACATTAAGTGCGCGACGCCTACAATAAACATCTGGTTGTACGTCGCTGCGCTGCTGCGCGAGATCAAGGTCTGACTTGGTAGCGACGTAGACGCACGGCGTGTCTAGCCCATCTAGGTTGTGAATGCTGTTTAGGTGCGTGAGGTGTGCGAAGGATGTGGCGTCGGAGCAGTCGTACGCTAGTACGAGCACATCCGCTTTGTGAAGGTGGGGGAGATGCGTAGTGGCTGGTTTGCCCTTGGCGTGCTTGCCACTAACACTCCCACTACCCCCCGCGACATCAGCAAAATCAACCACCTCCTGCGCTACTAGGTACTTCTCACCACCTTCCATCTCTACTGCATTCACAGCGTTCAGCACACTCCCACCGCTCGAGCTACCCACACTACCCCCACCAGCAAACGGCTTGTTGAGCAGCGCGCGCAGCAGGCTCGTTTTGCCGGCGTTGGGCGCACCTATGATATAGGCGAGGAATACATTGCGCTGAAGAGCTCCGCGATCCCCCGAACGACGACGAGGAGGGGTAGTTTTTAGCGCAGATGTCGTTGTTGCGTTCTCGTGCGCAGAAGCCATCTCGTAGCCCAAGTAGGCGAGATAAGCTAATGTAGTTTTGTGATCGAGGAGTGTAGTCATGCTGTGGTTGTGGGTTTATGAGTGCGATATTTCGTAGAAGCGCTCGCACACTCACCTCCACTGCGCTAGCCAGCCCTGCAGAGTGACGGCACCTTTCTCGTCTGTAAGTGTGGTGTCGGGGAACCCATTATTGAGCCATGGATTACCGGGCGACGTTGCGAATAGCTCTTCTAGCTCGCTCTCGCACAACGCTCCATCCTTATCTACATCGAACTTTTCAAAAATCTCAGTAAAAAATGAGTAGCCTTGTGGAGAGAGTTCTACAGATGAGTTTGGGGGTATGTGGAGACTGTATGTAATAAGTTAAGAGTAGAAGGGTGTAAATGAAACCCACTCTGGATACAGGAAATCTTCCTTCAATCGCAAATCCTGGGCGTAGCCAAAGTTAGTCAAAACAGACCACGTGGTTTCCAGTCTTCCTCTCTGGATAAAGATGGTATGAAGGAGGATGAATCCGAGTTGCGTGAGAGCGATTGAATTGTCTGGGAGTGTGCTGATGGTTTGGGGGGAGTGCTGGGAGACGAGCTGGGTAATGTCTCGGAGGTCTCCATCGGACAAAGGCGAGTTGAAGCACTTTATTTGAAATGCATTGAGCTCAGTATAATCAAGGAGACCATCTTTATTTGAATCGCAGAGTTTGAAAATCCTAGACAAAGCAGCTGCAGAAGCAGGCTTAAGGGTGTGTAGCCTGGAATCGTATAAGGGAGCTGTAGGATAGAGAACAGCCCTCTGAGCGAAATAAAAGATTTCGTTGATGTTTATAGACAATTTCGCCGAAGACTCAACACAAGACTCAACTTGTTTGAATTGCTTCATGATTGGGGTAATGTCCGAGTGGAGAGAGTAGCTGGGACAGTCCAAGTCAATTTTATTGCCGATTAGAATGATAGGGTTATTGATCCCGATAGATTTAAAGTAGAGAAGCCAATTTTGAATATTTTCGTGGTTATTAGGGTCAGCGACAGAGTAGACCAGGCATATAACATTAGATTTCTTTAGTTCTCGCTCTAAATTCAAGGAACTAGTGTCGATCAGGTGTAGATTGTTATCCAACTCGACAACCACCTCAGGCAGGCAGTGATCAACCACCTCTATAAAATCATTTTTAATTAAATTAACGATTATCGACGTCTTTCCAACGCCTTGATCACCGCAAACCACACAGCGAATCTCCTTCATTAGTGACGTCGATGAGTGAGTTAAAGGAGATGCTGGTAAATTTGAAGGTAAATCTAATATTTCTAATAAACCCAGGCTATATACAGAAGCTGCTAATACGTGGTATACGCTCCTTTGACGATAAATCAAACGAAGTTATCCAGTTTGATAAGCCAATCACAATCATTTCTGGGCATAATGGGAGTGGGAAGACTACAATTATTGAATGCTTGAAATACTCCACTACCGGTTATCTCCCTCCGAATTCAAAAGGCGGCGCTTTCATCCACGATCCAAAGCTGGCCAATGAAACTCAAGTAAAAGCCCAAGTAAAGCTAAGATTCACATCGACATCCAAACAGACACTCACTGTTACCCGAAATCTACAAGCAACCCAATCCAGATCAAACACACTCTCCTCAAAGACCCTCGAAGCTACTCTACAATCCATCGACACAAAGACCAACAAGAGGAACGCCATTTCTTCCAAGTGCGCTGCTATCGATAACGATCTCCCTCTCTTCATCGGCGCTTCAAAAGCTGTTCTCGATAACGTCATCTTTTGCCATCAAGAAGACTCCAATTGGCCTTTGTCTGAACCTTCCGTTTTGAAAAAAAAATTTGACGACATTTTCGAGGCAACGAGGTTTACAAAGGCTTTAGATAGCATAAAGGTTCTTAGAAAAGACAGAAACATCGATCTTAAACTTCAATCTGAGAAACTTAAATCGCTCTCCTCAGATAAAGATAGGGCTTCCAAATTACGTCATCAACTCAATTCCCTCACAAATGACATTCACCATAAACAACTCCTTTTTGATGAATTGGCCATTGAAATAGACACCCTCTCTCATGCTAACAGCGAACTCTACCAATCTGCTTCCAAGTTGACTGAAATTTTTCAGAAGGTTGAAACTCTTGAACAACGTGAAACTCTCATCCAAGACAACCTAAACTCTCTCTCCCTCTCCATCTCCATTCTCAACGACTCTGATCAAGATTTGCATATCCGCCAAACAAACTTTCAGTCTCACCTCGATGAGCAGTTGAGATTGAAAGACAGCGAGTCAGTCCTGTATCATTCACAGCTAGAATCATCATCCCTCATCAACCGCCGCCTTCAATCTCTCCTAACCACAAGAGGTCAACTCGAAGCCGAGGCCACCAAATACGACGACGAGTTGCGCAAGAGGTTTGACCTCATTGGTGATGTCGCCCGCGAGTTGAACATGCGCATCGAAATGGACTCGTACGATAACCAAGATGCTGCCATCGCCTTCCTCGATAGCCTCAAAGGTCGTGTTAAAATGCACCTCCAAGAGGTCACGAAAGTGCGCAACGACGGCACTCTCAAACAACGTGAATTCGAGCAGCAAGTGCAGAGTATCGCAGCCCAACTAGTTGCAAAGCAACAAGCTAAAATTAGTATCCGACAGCAGATTGATCAGCATAACCTGAAGCGCTGTCGTACTCAGTCTCAAATCGATGATCTTAGCACCACATATAACAAAATTGAAGGCATGAAGAGCGATGTCGATCAATCCTATCGTCAGCTTCAAGCCATCAATGATGATGTTGTATCTTTGCGCTACGACGACAAGATTTCCGATATGACAGCGACGATACGCTCCCTCGAAGAGCGCAAGGATGAACGTAATGGGGAGATGGCTACACTCAACCAGCAATCTGACACGCGTGCACGCCTTGCTATCAAAAAGTCTGATCTTGAGCGCAAGCAGAGTACAGTACAGTCAAGCGTCGCTAACAAGCAGGCGCTAATAGATGTTTATTTCACAGATAGCGATCCAGAGACACTTGAGATATCCGTTGGTCGCTTGTATCGCGAGCGCGAGGGTGATTTTGAACGCGAGCAGAGTGAATACAAGTCTCTTACCAAGCAGTTCAACCAGCTCGAGACGATACTCGGCGGTGAGAGGCAGCGTGAAAAGGGAAAGAAGGCAGAGATAGCGCGTGGGTTGGGGTTGATTTGCTTCGTAAGCATCGCATTACTAACAAGGCTATCACGCAGATGTGGAGAAACGCATAGATGAGGCATTGAAATCGTCCCAGACTGACGCTGCTACGCTCGAAGAAGCAACGCGCGTCGCAGAGGAAGAGAAGAACGGTTGTATGGCTGAGATACACGAAAGTAGTGGTACTGGGGATTTTCTGCGCAAGGCTCTCGAAATTGCACGCGCCAAACACAAATGTCGTTGTTGCAATAGGAGCATTAGCGATGGTGACGAGATGGGCAAATTTGAATCGTATGTAAACAGCCGTCTCGACAAACTCAATCCGGCCCATCTGGATGAGGTGGAGAATGACATGAAGGAGTGGTCGCGCATACACGAGGGGTTAAAAATTCTTAAGCCAGTAGCGAGCAATCTCGATCGCATGTGCAGTGTTGAGCTGCCTTCACTCACTACGTCAATCGGCGAGCTCGAAGCGAAGCACTCGATACTGGAGAGAGATGTTAATAGAGCAGATTCAGGTCTCGACGCGGGTAAGAAAGCTCTTGGTGAGCTTGAGCAGCTCAAGATGCTAGCTGGAGACGTATCGCGTGTGCTGCGCGAGATAAAAGACCTTGAGCGGGAGATCAGTTCGCTCGAACGCGAACTCAAACTCACCTCCAACTCCTCCCTCACCCTTGAAGAAGTACAGCGGGAGCTGGGCGATATATCCGCGCGCATTCGCAGCACGGCTGATGAACTTACAGTGGCTCAGCATGCCAAGGCGAAGAAAATGCAGGAGCTATCGCATGCTCAGGAGTGCCATCACGAGAAACAGTTATCACTAGAGCAGTCTCGTAACGCAGCTCGGGAGCTAGAAGCTGCCAAGGGTGGACTAACTGAGATAGATCTGGAGATACGGCAGCTGAGTGACCAATCGCGCATGCTTGATCCAGAGATAGACGCTTTGTCTGGTCCACGAGATGTACTAGAGCGGGAGAAGTGTGAGCACAGTGAGCAAGTTGAGCGTGCTGAGGAGACTGCCCGCTCCAAACTCCACAAAGTAGAGGGATACGTGCAGCAGCTTCTCTCTGCCAACCGCACCATTGCGGGGTACGTATCCAGCGACGTGCTCACGAAACTGGCTGAAACACTCGAGCGCATCGCCGCTCTCGAAGCTGAAGAGGCGGAGTCGCGCACACACGCTCAACGTCTCCACGAGAACATTCGCTCATACGAACAGACGGCCGCGAGCGCGAAAGAGGCAGAGCGGAACTTAAGCGATAATATCCGACATCGCAAACTCGCTAGAGAACTCGACGAGTTGCGCGATCAGATTAACTCGTACGATCTCGAGGAAACGACGCGCGCTAAAAGAGAATTCGATGAGATGTACGATGATAGTCGCGCAAAGGAGGCAGATAAACAGGCCCAGCATTATGCTCTCGGTGGAGAGCTCCTCAGCGAGAAGAAGAGAATCGATGGGTTGACAAGTGACCTCGATAGTGAGTACAAGGATATCGACTATATACACCATCGTCAGCATGTTGCCGTCACCGCTTCTTCACTCGCGAACGACGATCTGGAGAAATATGCCAAAGCACTCGAGGGGTGGGTATTTATAGTGTTTGTTTTTAATGAGCTCACTCACTTTACAACAGCGCTATTCTCCAGTTCCACGGTCTAAAGATGGACGAAATCAACGAACAGATACACCACCTCTGGCAGCGCACATACCAGGGCACCGACATCGACACGATAGCTATCCGATCCGATGCAGAAGGCGCACGTGGAGGCAAATCGTACAACTACCGCGTCGTCATGGCGAAAGATCGCACCGAGATGGATATGCGCGGTAGGTGCTCAGCTGGACAGAAGGTGCTAGCGTCGATTATAATTCGCTTGGCATTGGCAGACAGCTTCGGGGATAAGTGTGGCATCCTCGCCCTAGATGAACCTACAACCAACCTCGACCAGGAAAATATTCAGTCGCTCGCTAGTGGCTTGGCAGAGTTGATACACGAACGCAAGCAGCTTGATGTGAATTTTCAACTCATACTCATTACGCATGACGAGGATTTCTTGAAGTATCTCAGTCAGTATAATGTCACTAACTTCTTTTGGCATGTCGGCAGAGATGAGAATCAGTGCTCTATTATACAGAGACAGACTATCATCGGTGCATAGTGCATAGCGTATAGTGGTTTGGTAGTTTGTTTGGGTTACTGCTTAATGCTTACTCCCTACAACATAGTGCTTATTGGCTGCTCTTTGCTTCTTTGATAATACCAAATGCGTCATTTATATCAATTGTTTCAATCGTACAAGAATATTACCAGTTCAGTTTATATTGCATTGCTCACAATACTTTAAACATTGCACACCACACAGCACCCAGTAATCTTCGACTGTACCGCTTGTGGGTGGAGTATATATTTGGGTCGTGCATGAAGTGACGATTGAAGCTGCATTTTGCTTGCTTTGCTCGCTATAAGACCCATTGCGCGGGTTTTACCACTGCGAAACCATCATGCCATTACACTCTACATACAGCTCGAAAGTGTCTCCGTGGCCAGTATAAACCCATTACATATCTCCACTGCGCATCCCACCCACGTGTCTGTTCTCCTCGTAGCTGAACACACGATCATACTTGATGAAGGAGCTATCTGGAGTGAGAGCGAGGTAGCTTTCTTTGCACAAGAGTTCGAACAGTTTCTGCAGGTGTTGTACTTGCCCCGCACCCTCCAGCTACAGGTCGGATTTTCAAAAAGCGATGTAATTTAAGCTGGTTTGCCGGGCAATATGCAGCCGCTCTTTATCTAGCAGCCAAGGAGAATCGTAGAGCTGCCACGCAGAGACAGCACCATATATGACTCCTGTGCTACCTGCAAAGAAGCCGTTCCAGAGCCGGCGTCTGACATCACTACTATTCCACACCCCCAGCTCGGGTTTGAAAGGGACATGGCCTGTTTCGTAGTGATTTTCGAGATTGATGACTGGCCCGCTGAAAGTCTTGCGCATTCCGTCGATCAGTTCATAGTTTCTGAGAGAGTTCCATCCCACAATGGCCTCATTCGACGTAGATACACCATGTCTCGATTGCACGGCATCCATAGAGACGTTGATGCTATGAGCGCCGAGTGTCTCGTTGAAGTAATTGTTTCCATACGCCAACGACAGGCCACTAACGTTGATATACTTGTTAGTTGGGTGGTAAGTGACGAAGAGGTTGTCTACCGCGTCGGCCATACCGTCCACCATTGCAGCCCAAACCGAACATGCTTATGTGAGCGGAGGCAGCATTGCGAAGGGGTCCTCGCTGCGGTTCTCCTGGTACTCCGCCTGTACTGCTGGAATAGAGCAGGCCCAGTCAGCATTGCTGTCCGCACCCACTTTCTTGGCAAGTCCTGCATAGCGCGCGCCTATGTACTCAACGAACACGCACGCATTCTCCACGTCGAATATCACCGGTCGGCCTCTCCACCCGCAATTCACCCAGCGACCCCACGTAGGCACGAGAGCGACGAGGATGCCTGAGTGTGTTAGTGCGGGTTGCTGCAAGGTACAAACTACCATACACCTACCATAGTCAGCCGCACGCTCAACCACCCAGTCCAGGTAGCGGAAGTAGTCTTCGACGGGACGCGTGGGGTCAGCGTCATGCAGTGGAGACGACCGTAGTAGTTGGGGTGCGTCGTTTCATTCAAATCTGCCACAGCTACTATTTGTACCACGTTGAACCCTTTACTTGCTCGGTTGGAGAGGTAGGCGTCGACATCTGTGGCGTTCTGACGCGCTGCTAGCTCCCATGCAGTGTCAGCTTGCCAGAAAAAAGGTGTGTCGTCGAGACGCGACAAGTGTTGTCCTTGTGGTGAGATCGATAGGTCTGGCCATTTCTTAGTGCTGGTGCCGGTGCCAGTGTCGGTGCCAGTGCTGGCGCTGGTCAGAGCGGATAACAATGCTATTAGAGTGATGAGTAGTATTTGAAAGCTTGCAGTTCTTCTAAAACCCATCACGAATGCTTATTAAATACTAGGCATGTGTCCATCAAGACATGTGCTTCTCAAGACATAAGATTGTGCCTTGGATCAAGCACAGTATCCGCGCGAATCGGTAAAGTGCTGAGTATAATTTAATATACATTGGCTATATGAACAACTAAGTGAATGAAAGAAACGCATAAAATAAAACCTTTTTTAAACAAAGCAATTAGTATAACACCATAACACCTCAGTTAACACCTTAGTAGACATCGGTTGGCTCAATACCCGATTGACCCTTGGCAGCCTTAGCCTTTGCCCATTGTCTGAGACGGATGGACTCGATGGCAATGAAACCGGTGGTATCAGTAGGCAAGAAGCCACCTAGTTCATCCATCGAAGCAGCTGACTCATCATAGAGACCCTCATCAGACTTTCTACCGCAGACAACGACATTGCCCTTGTAAAGCTTCAGTTTGACTTCACCGTTGACCGTCTTCTGTGAGGCAGGAATGGCGCTGACGACAAAGTCACGCTCTGGAGAGAAGAAGTATCCGTTGTAGAGAATGTTGGAGAGTTGAGGGGTTATGAATTGATCTCTGAGTGCCCTGACGTTTCTGTCGAGAGTGAGACCCTCGAGATCCATGTGCGCGGCTCTGAGGATGGTAGCACCAGGAGATTCGTAGCAACCTCTAGACTTGAGACCGATGAAGCGGTTCTCGACGATATCAATTCTACCGATACCGTGGTTTCTGGCGAGAGCGTTGAGGGTGACGAAGACGTCGACCTTGTCTGTGTGAGTCTTGCCAGTCTCCTTTACGTGAAGCTTTACAGGCAAACCGTTCGCAAATTCGATAGTGATGTCTTCTGGCTTCTCTGGAGCTTCTTGTGGAGATTGAGTGAGCTTCCACATATCAGCTGGAGGGGTAGTGTTAGGGTCCTCGAGGATACCAGCTTCATAGGAAATGTGGAAGAGGTTCTCATCGGTGGACCAAGGCTTGGAGGTAGTTTGAGATACAGGAATGCCCTTCTCTGCGGCGTATTGAAGGAGAGCGGATCTGCCTGGGAAACGGTCGTAGAATTCAGGGTTTCTCCATGGGGCAATAACAGTAATCTCAGGGTTGAGACCGTAGAAGGCTAATTCGAAACGAACTTGATCGTTTCCTTTGCCCGTGCATCCGTGAGAGACAAAGTCGCAGCCTTCGCGCTTTGCGACAGCCATCATGCCTCTGGCGATGACAGGACGTGCAAGAGAGGTACCAAGGAGGTAAATACCCTCGTAAATGCAGTTTGCTTGAACGGCGGGGTAAATGAGCTCTTCAACGAATTCGCGGCGGAGGTCCTAAGAAAAGGTTGAGTGCAATTACGGGAAGGATTTACGCAGCACTAACATCGCAATGGAAAGACTTTGCGCCAATTTTCATCGCCTTCTCTCTTGCGGCGTTGAAATCTTCTTCTTGGCCGACGTTTGCGAGGTAAGCGACGACATCGTAGCCTTGCTCAATGAGCCAAACTAGGATACAAGAAGTATCTAAACCGCCAGAGTACGCGAGGAGAACCTTTCCTTTTGAGCCTGGTTGTACCATTGTGATGAGTGTGAGGAAGAGAGGGGAATACAAGTGAAAATTAGATGATTCTTATCAGTAGAGTGTGAGTCATTGTACTTTTACTCTAAATTTTGCATTTATAACCTTCAAATGGTTTGATACTCTCGAATAAACACAACTAAGTTCAAATTGAAGTAAAATTATCACGAAATGGAATTTAGATTGAATTTCAAGCTTGGCTTGGTCGCTGTTATCGTTCTCGCTGTCTTTGTAACCCTCTATTGTGCGTTTGATGAGCTGATTGCGTCATCATCGCTCATACACCTTGCAGACAAATATATATACAAAAGAAAGGAATACATACCCGTAAGCTTTGATGAGCAGATTGAACTTGGTTTCAACTCAGACAACTTTAATATCACAAACAACCTCAACGATACACGACAAGGTTTGAATGAGTTGGAGTTGAGGGAAATAAACAACCTCATGAATACTAACAAGATATCGTGAGTATAGTAATTTGTGACAAAAGTGAAAATATTCACCTGACACACCCACACAGTTTCGATCAAGCGAGATTAAAGAGACTAGAGCGCACACTCAATCAGAATAATATTGATGAATCTGGTCTACCCAGGGATCCAAAATTTGTACAATTTAAATAGGAGAAACTTTGGAATGTAACTGCGCGAAGATGCGTGACATATGACATAGTCAGAGATATTTCCCGGAAAGCATACTTTGGGAAGGTATAGCTATCACAAGTATAAAACCAACCGCAATGCAAATGGACAAACTGCTCGGAAAACTTTCAATGATTCACCTCGATGGAGAAGCGGCAGGAGGAATTGAAGAAGTTGAAGAAGCAAAGCAAGTTGAATTAGTCCAAGTAGTTGAAGCAGTTGACCCAGTTGAAGGAGCAGGAGCAGTCGAAGCAACAAAGCAACAGCAAACACCACACGAGACGCCGATCCACCTCAGAGACAGGACTGAGTTTTGGGCCTACATTGAATCATCGCCGATGCGTACAAACACGACCAATTCAACAGTCTCACTGAGATGGGTCTCTGACACCAAACCTCCACCAGTATACTGCCTGCCAAAGATACACATCAGCTATGCAAACAAGGTAAAGCTGGGATTGGGATCAACGGAGGTGCTCCAGAATGGTATTGCGGGTGAGTGGAAGATTAATCAACGTTATTTAGCTAATTATAACACCCTAGACCTGGCAATCCAGCCAAACAAATGAAAAAATTCAGACGTAGACGAAAACTACCAATATATTTCAACCTTGATCTTTATTCACATAATACTCTAGCTTGTAATGTCTGATTGATCAATACCCAACATATCGACGACTGATTGTCTGACTTTGTTGTCATAAGTGCTTCTATCGACGCGGAACAGCTTAGCGCAATCTATGTTCGCTGGTGATTCAATGTTAGGCTCAGCGAGCATACTTATGACGCTAAGAAGGACCTTAGGGGATTGTGAGCCATGTGAGAGTGTCTACCCGAGACAAACCTTTTCGACAGACTGCACCGGCGACCAACGCTCAGAAGAGCGCTCATACATCAAAGGATCGTCTCCAGGGGGATGCAGAATGGATATGCATACGTTTCCATCCTCGTAAACTGGATATGTGAGTATGATTGGAGGAAATCCACCCATGCTCACCATTTGGATGGAAAATGGGTGGCGTGAACTTCATCCTGTGGTTTTTTTATGAGCTGGTTATTTCAGAAGCCTTCAAACTCACTTGAACGGCGCTAATGGGTAGTCTTTAGGCTGCTAAATGTTAGCTGGCGAATGAGCAGGCGCAGAGAACCGACGAAAGATAGGCTAGCAGCGAATACACCACCTTCCTGTAGATATTATGTATAAGTAATCATCTAAATCTACCACAGTACCCACGAATGGCGTCTCATCAGGCCCCTGTATCAAGGCCTCCCATTCGAACAAATTATCTTCGTTTACAGGGCCAGCGGTGAACATGGAATCATCTAGCGACTGCGTAGACAGCTGCTTGTACTCCGTCATCAGCCTTCTCGTAGCAGTAGCTTGAAATGCCATGGCAGTTACTTCTTACAACGTAACAGCGAGCACTAAAGTAATGGCAACGACACAGCCACCAGCAGGGCCAGCCGGGCCAGGAGCACGCCCACCACGCCCACCACCACCCGGACAGCGTGTGCAGATAACTCCAGAGATTGCTCAGCAAATGGCAGCCAAAATGCGTCAACAGCAGCAGCAGCAGCAAATGTCTGCACCGCCGCCACCACCGATCAGTCCTGCTGAAGTCGATTTCGTTGAGCAGCCAGTGCGCGCTAAGGGTAGTAGAGTGCATGTCGACAGCTCAGCCGCATCAAATCCACCAAACGCAAGTGGAAAGGCATCAGACGCACCAGTCGCATCAGAGAAGCTCCAATCAGTGTGCAATGACATTAACTACCTCATAAACAAACTCGAACAACACCCAGAATACGCTGTACCACCACCGCCCACTATCATGAAACCACACCGCTCTCAGCAATTCACAAAGTCTAAGGAAGACGGTAATGCAAAGTTTAAAGAAGGCAAATTGGACGACGCGATACAACTCTTTTCAGCCGCTGTTGATCTTGCTGCTGATAGACCGCCTTGGGAATCACATGTTTTGGCTCGCGAGGAGCTCTCACTAGCGCTGTCTAATCGCTCGCTATGTTTTCATAATAAGGGCGATTTCGAAAAGAGCCTCTCGGATGCTAATGCTGTCGTCGAAATCAAGAAAGCTTGGTCTAAAGGTCATTTTAGAAAGGGTAAGGCTCTCATCGCACTCGATAAACTCCAGGAAGCGCGCGACGCTATCCTCTTAGGCCTTGACTTTGAACCTTCGAACGACGATCTCAAGAATGCTTTGACAGAGATAGACACAAAGATCATTTCTAATCATCACGCTAAGCAGCAGCACAACAAGTTGTAAGATATCTATCTAATTACATCAATTTACATCAAGTTACATATATCATACATCAATCATACATCATCACACTAACAAACAATCTATATCGAATCTGAACGGTCTCGCTGGCTTATCGAGCAGCTCATTAACTCTGAACAAAATTTGTTGATTCATGTCATTTTCGTCGGTCATGGTGATCACCCTATCTGCGAGTAGGTTGGAGTGCTTCAGCGTGAAGACAATATCTTGCTGGCGCAGACCGGTATTCTTAGACCATTCGGAGAGGGACCACATCGTATTTGTGGGATTTAATGGCAGCGATCGCACTAAAGTGTCGCGCCAGAAACTAAGATAACTGCGCTGACCGAGTTGAGAAAGCGGTCGCTCTGGAGTACCTATGTAACCGTCAAGGTGGGACAAAGCATAGCCTGGAGCACATAGCATTAGCAATGAGCACACGCACCAAAAACACACCCACTACACTCAATCAACAATCTCCCATACTGCTTACTTTGGAAAGGGGGGAAAGTTATAATGCAAGCAAGGTTGAAGTTATCGACATTGCGTTTCTCTCGCGAGAAGAAGGCAACTGGAATACCAGCTTCTGTTAGGAGAAAAAAGTCAAAGTACTCGACATCGAAAAAAACTGTCTTGGTATCGATAAAGAGCTTGCCGAATAAGCACAAACGCTGAACGTAGTCTTTGTAGAAATGGCCGTCTATTCTATGGATACGCTCGTTGTGCTTATGGTAGATGACATGGCCTGGAGTTTCAAGAGTACATGTGGAAATATGATTCGTGTATGTAGACCTTTGGCTGAAGTAGTCGAAACAGCGATGACAGAGGTATAATTTGGACATGTTTGATTTCGTGGCTGGGTATATCGATTGTGATTTAACTTTGATCACGTAGTCATGGTACCTGACTATATCTATCCGAGCAAAGGCTTCGGTCATCGAAGAGAAAATACCTTAAGGATTTGATCAGATATGTCCAGCCTCTACTCGGTGTGCGCGTTGGTGACCCAATCGATTGGATTTCAATTCAAATCAGATTTTAAAGCGGTGGATATTTATCAATCAAGCGTTTCAGACTGACGTGCAAAAATAATCCAATTCATCATTTTACTCCTTATCGGGCCACTTGCACGCACTAAAATTTACTCACCAGCGCAGCTAACCAAGAATTATTCACGTTTCAGCCAGAATTTATTCAAAAATACACAAATTTTATTCATCTTTATTTTACCTATAGAACTCTAGTGTATCGTCAGACTTCTTCACCACTGAGCTGTAAGCCTCTTCGATATGCGGCGTCAATACGACGTAAGAGTTATTCCTGATTGCATTCATTCCACTGCCTTGCAAGATGGATGATATCTCAGCACACGATATCCTATCAGGTCTAGACACAAAGTCTTCGAGATCGACATCAGCTCCAATGTTCATGTTTGAGGTGATTGTTTGGTAGATTAGACGCTTTTCACGTCTTGAAGGCACAGGGAATTCAATCTTTCTGTCCAATCTACCTGGACGTAAGAGAGCAGGATCGAGAGTATCTGCGCGGTTAGTGGCCATGATTACCTGTCTTTGTTTAGTAGAGATGAAAGAAAAATGAAAAACGCACTTTAACATTACTATCTTGATCGAAACCATCCATCTGATTGAGTAATTCTAAAAGAATACGTTGAACTTCCCTATCAGCGCCAGTTTGAGCGTCGAAACGCTTTGTTGCAATAGCATCAATCTCATCAATAAATATGATAGCAGGAGCATTTTCCCTTGCGAGTCTGAAAACATCTCTAACCATACGAGGACCTTCACCGAGGTACTTTTGAACGAATTCAGAACCATTTACACGAATGAAAGCGGCGGTTGTGTGGTGAGCGACAGCTTTAACAAGCATGGTTTTACCAGTGCCTGGAGGACCATAGAGGAGAACACCACGTGGAGGATCAATACCAATTTGCTTGTAAAGGTCAAAGTGAGTCAACGGCAATTCAACAGCCTCTCGGATCTCTTGCTTTTGGGTATCCATACCACCAATGTCCATGTAAGATTCAGTAGGTTTCTCGTTATCGCTGAGGAGAGAAATGGAGCTATCAGCTTCTGGAGGGAGAATGTCAACGAGTGCGTTTGAGTGACGGTGAAGGGCGACGGATGAGTTTGGTTTGAGAAGTTCTCTGTCGAGAGTGGAGAGAATTCTAACAATGTAATTTGAGCCAGTTGTAGATCCAACGATGCCAGTGTTTTCATCGATGGCTTCTAAGAACTGGCCAATGACGAGTGGAACTGATTGAATACGCTTAACTTCCTCTTGGGCTCTAATCAATTCAGTCTTCAAATGCCTCTGCTCATCCTTTATATAATCCTGCTGGAGCTCAAGGAATTCCAAATGCTTATTGAGGCTATGAAATTTCAAGTACAAATCACTTGAATTCACGAGATTTTTATTAAGCGTGGTAATCTCATCGACCTGGTTTGTAAAAGTTGGATCTTGCTTGGAGATTATTTCCATCTTAGTCTTGGTGGTTGGTGGCCAAAGGACTCGTCATCGTATACACCACCATGTCCAATTCAAATCAGATCCGAAGGATTTCCAGGAGTAATCACAGTACACAACAGCCTCTATTAGAATCCAACCACCGGCCACGCGCTCTCCACACGGCTTCAATTCCAAGCTCTGTTGCTAACCTAGCCAACACTATCATAGGCACTGGAATGCTAGCAATGCCTAGTGTGATCTCTTCCACCGGCTTGATACCTGCTGTAATTCTCATTCTCCTCTCTTCATTCCTCTCTTCATTTGGCCTATACCTGCTACACCTGTCATCAACCCAGCTTGGAAGCAAACGCAGCAGCTCTTTCAACGCTGTAGCCAACATCACCTACCCAAACGCTGCCATCTACTTTGACATTGCAATCGCCTTGAAATGCTTCGGCGTGGCTATCAGCTACCTACTAATCCTCGGCCAGCTACTGCCGCCACTCGTTACGTCATTCTACCACCACCTCACTCCCTCTCACTTTGAACCTCCATCCGTACTCCTCTCCAGGCACTTCTGGATTTCCCTATTCGTCGTGATCCTCTCGCCTCTAGCCCACATGAGACATTTGAACTCACTCAGATACACGTCGTACATTTCCATATTTAGCGCTACCTACCTACTCATGATCGTTGTTCTATGCGCTATTCACTCCCCTATCCCTCTCCCTCCACCTGGCAATATCACTTGGGCGAAATTCGATTCTTCCGCAATTTCTAAATTCCCCGTATTGGTGGGTGTTGGGGGTTTTGAGGGGCAAATCACTCACACTGCTTCTAGGTATTCGCATTCACATGCGCGCAGAATGTAAGTAGCATCTACCTGACCACATAACATAGAACACAAAACTCACTGCTGCAGTTCTACCCTGTCAAGAACGAGCTGCGGTCGAACAGCCACGGGAGCACCTGCGCCGTAATAGCCATCTCGATAGGGTGCGTTGAATTGCTGATGCTGATGATCATGCTCATGCTCATGCTTACTAACCACCTCCAACAGCATCGCTGCTGGTCTCTACCAAATCATCGGTGTGTTGGGCTACGTCACATTCGGCGATAAGGTGAACAGCAACATTATGTCCATGTATCCAGGTGAGTGGGGTGTGAGTGTTTTTATACTTTCAAACACCACGCAGATACTTCCATCTTGATATCTTTCGGTCGTCTCGCTATCGCCGTGCTTGTCCTCTCTTCTTACCCTCTCCAAGTCCATCCCTGTCGCAACAGTCTCGACAAGATCATAAGCAGCGCAAAGACAACCAAGCCCGAGTGGCAGCAGTGGGAGGGTGATGGAGACGAACACCGTGATGATCAAGTTGGTGATAGCGACGGTGAGGACGCAAATGACGAGTTTAAAATTCCTCCTCCTTCTTCTCCTCTCAGACACTCCACCTTGACAGTCTTGATTTTGTTCTTCACTTGGTCAATCGCTATGATGGTTAGCCAATTAGACAAAGTACTCGCTTTCGTTGGCAGCACTGGCTCCACTGCCATCTCATTTATCCTTCCAGGTCTCTTTTATAGAGCTCTCAGCAGAAATGATACTGATCCTAGTCGTAGATGGCTGCGTATCGGTAGTCGTTTGCTCATAATCTATGGCTTCAGCGTTATGTTTTTCTGCCTGGCTTTTAATTTCTATGATATGTTTACGTAGCCCGCGGCAATTGTTTCATTTGTAATAAACACATATATACACACAAATAATAAACTAGAGTCATGGAATAAAGCAAATTAACAAGCGTTTAGAGTGGTTTTCAAAGATTTTTGAATTATCGTAGTTGGTATGCAGACCTATCTCAGAACGTTTCGTCTTCCTCCTCGCCTTCTGGCACTTCGAAGCCTTCCTGTTGGAGTGGTGAGTGTGAGTGAGTGTGAGCGTGTTCAAAAACAACCTCAACCCACCTCTGTAGAGTAGAGTATCTGCTGAATCTGTTGGAAGGCCTCACTGGCAGGTGTATCGATAGTTTCTGGGTTTTCGAGGTGAGTTTGAACCAAGATTTCAATATCACGGAGCTGGATGGAGTGAGACGGGTGAGTAACCCACAAGCCATAACAACCCACCTTGGCAAAGTAGAAGTCACGTTCCTGCAATGCAATAAGGTGGATTAGCAACAGTCACACTCCCACACCTCGCTCCCACCTTCTCGAGAGAATCGAAATTTATTTTGAGGTCGCCCATCTGCGCGTTTAAAGACTCGATTTGAGCATCGGCAGCGGCTGAGGATACACCGCCACCGCTGAGTTTGGCTGGTCGCCGTGTGCCGGCTGCGGAGGAGGTTCGTGGTGTAGGACCACCGCTTGAAGGTGTGGCAGACACAGCAGCGCCGGGAGCACCTGATCTTCTGCCGACAGCGTCATACTCACCACCGGGGAAATGCTCGTCCCAAAATTTCTTAAACCACTGGCAGAATTCGAGGTTGTCTTGCATTTTGCATTTCACAAGAGCTGTGACGGGAATGGGCTGGATGGGTGGAGTGAGAGGGATGCTTTTAGAAAGAATTAGCTCACCTTGTTTCTGAGCTGTGTGAGTTGAATGCTGGGAAAATGAATTCACTCACACTGGATTGTGGTTAACCGTGTGGTCAAGTGGACAAGACAAGCAACTCACTCTTGTTAGACTGGCGAGAATTGTGTGAGTAGAGAAGCAGGAAAAGCAAGACACTCACTCTAAACGCCGTTTGCAGAATTTTGAAGTTGTTTATGTACTCGTATTCCTGGGAATGTTGGTGAGTGCTGTGGTGTTTGCCAACCCATTTAACACACCTGGCGAGCATTAAACTTGACTCTCCCCAGTGGCACATTCTCTGTAAATCCCCGTTAAACCCGCTACTCCCCACAAACACATCACCACGCACGGTAAATTGAATCGAGAAGCTGGCAGTAAATCGCACCGGTTCCGCACTGCTCTACTTTGGTATAATTGCTGTCAAGTACCCCATTTATCCACTGGACTATCTCTGCTCGTGACACGGATGGAATTGACATGGCCGTAATTCTTCAAGAATCAATCTGAATTTATCAATCTACAAAACTTTTAATTTTATCGATATTTAGTCATACTTTGTTGGATTCCAGCTACCGTCATCGTAAGATGGCCCATCTTCCGCTTCACCGCCGCTCTCACCGTGATTTATATCTGTTGGGAGCGGTGATAGTTGCGCGTGGTAAGGAGTGGGGGATGGTGTAGCTGTAGCTGTACCCGTGGAAGTGCTGCTTGTCGTGCTACTCACGCTTTCCACTGTCATCGTAGGCATCAGTGTAGTCGCGGTGCTACTGACAAACTCGACGCTCGATGTGATATTTGGCGCTAAAAACTGCACCTGATAAGCATCGCCAGCCATCTCTACATCCATTTCAGCCGCCTCGTAGAACCCATCGCTCGATGCGCTCTCTACCAATCCATCCACATCTGGCTGCCAGACGGGTGGACCTGGGAAGACGTAACTGTGAGCGTCAAAGGCCTCATCCACGCTCTGCAACCCCTCGTCGTCTTCACCGTAAGCACCTGGTATTTCCACCGTGAAGTTTGACGATGGGTAAGTCTCTACGCCCTCAACCTCAACTTGGTTCTGGTTGCGCACATTCAGCGCAGCGCAGGCCGGGAAGAACAGCACAGGGTCCTGATCGAGCACGATTACTTCATGACGCACTATGTAATTGCCCTCACGCAAGGCGGCAGGGATAGGCACGTATATGCGCTGCGTATCCAACTCGCTTTGCCACCAAGCCCCACTCGCATCGGCAGCCTTCTGGTCGATCTTGAACCATTCGAGTGTAGTTACGTCGGACTGAGCACAGTCGTTGTCGACGCACGCAGCGAGGTATGTCATTATAGGTCCGATGGAGTGCTTCCAGTCGTCGCTCCATTGCATCTGCAGCTGCGTGCCTGCGTCTATAGCGACAGGGTGGTCTTGGTGCTGCACCGACGCTCCCCTGCCACACGTTAGGTCGTGCGACTTTACATCCTTTATTGCTACAGGCTCGCTTGCTTGCGCTGCTCGTATCAGGTCCGGCGATACCATCTGGCTTTGTTTTGATGACATACTCATTGGTGTTGGCACTGGCGCTGCAATGACCGGCATTGCGCTAAGTAGTGCTGTCGCGATGGCTTGTGAGAAGTGCATTGTGAGTGTGTATGTGTGTGTCTGTGTGTGTGCTGTGCTGTGGTTTTATCTCCCAGAGACTCTGTCTTAATCAATACCAGTTGATTGAGGTTAGAACGTCCAGCGATCTTTGACTTGACAAATAATTAACGAAACAAGTCCGGCCTTTATAGTAAGGCCCGTCGCCGAAAAAGGAAATCGCGCTAAAAGTGAGCTGGAAATTAAAAATGAGATCAATTGATCATAATCCTGCTAACTAACACATTTCATAATATCGATTATCGCGCAGGGATAAGCACAACTTATGGTGTATTCAAGTGTTAAAGCCTTGTAAATCATTGCACAGAATATAAATAATCAATTGCGATAGAATTACAACAGTACAGATCACCACACTCACCACGCATCCTCATTCTCATTCTCCTTCTCAAAGCTCTCCTCAGGCATAAGCATTTCACGCGTCATCTTCCTCCTCGGAGTCATTTTGTACGCCTCCGATATCCTACCGCCTCTGAATTTGTTCGAAGTTGCACTGTTTGGCGTGTACTGCTTCTTTGGTGTGAGATTGTCAATCACGATGACGTCGTCGTCTTCCTTGGGGAGGGTAGTTTTGGGGGTGGTGCGCGCTGTGTGCGTGTGTGTTTTGTGGTTATTTGGGGGTGTTTTAGACTGCCCAGCCTGCCCAGATTTTGCCGGTGTAGCGCGGAAGACAGAGGAGTGAGCGGGATGTGCGGAGTTAGGAGGCGCAGCGTGATATATTTGTATATCACGGTTATCGCCCTCATGAGCTATTCTCTCACTCTCTTCACCCATTTCCTACGCGTTTGTGAGCAGAGAAGACGGATTTATAACGCACAACGCACAACGTCGAGCCCATTCACCCTCTTGTTAACCTTGTCATCCCTCTCCTCTCGCTTCCTCTTTGAGCTAATCAGGGTTAGATTGGTGGATAACACACAGCCACACTGCCCACCTCTCCTTGTTCGCAGAATCGAGCGCTTGGACGCGTGCGAGGAGGTCATTGAGCGGTTTCTTATCGGCTGCGCAAGAGTTAGAGGGTTTTGTACCGTGTTAATGGATTTATTCACGCGTATTCGGTACTGCCATTCTAGTTTACAATCAAGACGTCATCGAGAAAATGGATGGATTGATCTAAAAGCAAATCTTGAGTCAGAAGTGCAGGCTGATGAAGGGAAATACACTCATGTCCAAGATTGATTCGAAACGCGTCTCTACCTCCAACGACCATGATCGAATTGCTATCGTCATCGCTTGTGAGTTGAGCTGTGAGTTGTACGCTGGAACCACGGCTAAGAAACCAAATAGCTCTATGAAATACCTCGTAACCCGGCAATTGCCGTTGGATTGCCGATAGCTTTGGGTGGTTTAAGCGGGGCTATAACCAAGTCCTCTGTTAACACATGGTATGCAGCTCTGGCTAAACCACCAGGCCAGCCACCCAGAATAGCCTTCCCAATCGTGTGGACTCTGTTGTACGGTGCAATGGGATATGCGGCTCACTTGACAGCGTCGCATGTCAACACGCCATTCATCGGTGACGCAGCTAGAGATAGCTTGCACCTTCAATACGCGCAGTTTGGAATGAATATGCTCTGGACACCACTATTTTTCGGTGCCAAAAAGCCTGTGCTCGCTTTATTAGATATTGCCGCACTTCTTGGGACAGTGCTGAAGACTACAAATGATCTCAGAGGGATTGACACGAATGCTTTCTATCTTTACCTCCCTTACTGCGCGTGGTTGGGATACGCGACGTACCTGAATGCTGGGATTATCTACAAAAACTACAAGAACAAGAACTGAAGCAATTTATTCAAGCAGATGTATCAGTATCCTTGCTATCATGGACACTTTCTCCTTAATCGAATCGTATTCCTGCGTTGGGATTTGACTTTCATATCGCACGAACTTGTCTGGGTGGAAAATGCGCATAACGTCTCTCACCACGCGTTTCTTATCGGATGCGCGTAAATGAGAGAGTTGCAAGAAGCTACTGACGCTGCTCTCGCTAATGCAACCATCGAATGAGGGGTATTTGATATTGCTTGAGGTGATTTTACCCGGAGTATTCAGCCAGAATGACCTGAATGACTGTCGTTTGGCTTCTGCTTGCTTCTCTGCCTCATTGATCTGTTTAGCAGCTTGTTCTGCCTGCTCGCTGTGTATTTCATCGCGAGCTGCGTATTTCGCTCGACTCGTAATATTCCTTCGATCTGATTTCATCTTTGCAAACTCACGCGCATGCTGTGCTTCTCCTGGGTGAGATTTCTCCCACATTTTCTGCCTTATATTCTCCGCATATCTCTCGTCGTCGTCGCTGTCGTTTGAAAATGTATCCAAATAGCTGGTATAAGATTCCCCACCTCGCCATGGTGGAGGTACGTATGCTTCAAACGCACCATCCTCACCACCGACATCGTATAACTTGGCGTTGAATTCTTCCTCTTCTGCGTCAGCATCATCGCCATTCCAACGCCGTCTGCGTGTCTTTCTCGGCGGACTAATAGGCTCGTCGAGATATGCATACCGCGGAGGACTTATGCGCGTGCACCGCCTCTTGAACTTCTCTTTCGTCTTGTCAAAAATCTCGGAATCCGATTGGTTGCTGCTTTTTTTAAATTTCAATCGACCGGTCATTGCTACACTTTCACTTTCTATAAGCAGAACGACGACGACGATGGGAGTTGAAAATGAATTTATAATTGGAATAATCGGTATGGGGGATATGGGGAAGATGTATGCGAACAATTTCTACAAGTCTGGTTGGAGGTGAGTGGGTGGTTGCGTAGGTTGTGGCAGCTACAGTGCAATTACAGTCACAATTACGTCATCGAGTTTATTACATAGAGCTTACGCTGATACACACACGCACAGCTGCATCGTCTGCGATAGACCTGAGAACTACGACAGCCTATTTGCTTACTACCGCGACACACCCGTACATGTAGTCAAAAACGGTCATCTAGTATCACGCAAGGCAGATTTCGTCATCTATTCAGTAGAGGCGGAGTTCATAGATAGGGTAGTTGGGGAGTATGGCGCGTCTACGAAAGTGGGTGCCATAGTGTCGGCTCAGACCTCAGTAAAGGCACCTGAACGGGCTGCGTTCGAGAGGCATCTTCCACACGATGTGCATGTAGTATCCATCCACTCTCTTCATGGCCCCACCGTGAGTCCTGAGGGGCAGCCGTTGGTGGGTTTGAGTTTTTTCAATTTTCATTTTGCACTTTGTGCAATGTCTCACAAACGCACCAGGTACTCATCCAACACACTTCTCCAGACTGGGTACTGCGCAAGGCGGAGGATGTCTTCAGCTGCTTTCGCAGCCGCTATGTGTATCTGACGTACGAGGAGCATGACATAGTTACTGCCAACACCCAGGCAGTCACCCACGCCGCTTTCCTCAGCATGGGCACAGCGTGGAACATGTCTCAGAGCTATCCGTGGGAGCTAGACCGTTATGTGAACGGGATAGAAGTCGTCAAGTGCAACATAGCTCTGCGGATATATGCGAATAAGTGGCATGTGTATGCGGGGTTGGCTATTCTCAATCCAAGTGCACATGCGCAAGTGCGGCAGTTTGCTGCATCCGCGACTGAGCTATTCAAGTTGATGATTGCGGGGGATTACCATGGTTTGAAGGAGCGCGCTCTCGACGCTCGTAGGCGGGTGTTTGGGTATAAAGATGGAGTGGAGCCAGGGACGAACGGAAGCAAGAGTGAGCGCACACCTATTCTGCTTAGTGAGAGCCTGCTCGATCGCTTCTCACTCCATCAGCCCTCCAGTCAGCACTGCTCGGCACGCAACTCACATCTCACAATTCTTGCTATGGTGGATTGCTGGAACAGACTGGGTATTCATCCCTTTGATCATCTAGACGTCGCAGGAACACCCCTGTTTAGGATGTGGATCGGTGTGGCTGAGTACCTCTTTAGGTCGCCCGATAGACTGAATACGGCGCTCGAGTCGGCGTCTTTTGACATTAGCCATCGCTCGGACGATACAGAATTCGTGGTTGCAACTCGAGGATGGTCCGAGGTTATCGAACATGGCTCGTTTAGTCACTACAAGGACAAGTTTGAGTCGACGGCACGTTTCTTGGAGCCACGTTTCGAGGAGGCAGCTCGGATGAACAAGGAGATGCTCAAGGTGATTATGGAGAGTGGGGCACCCAAGACGGTCAAGAGCCCGCCCAAGAAGCCGGTGTCGTTGCCGCTGAGTCAGTGAGAAGGGGATATCAAGTGAAATCTGGGATGTCAAGTAAAATACAAGCAAAGCTACTTTTTCTTCTTGTTTTTCTTCTTATTTTTTGTCGAGGGGGAGTCTGAGGGAGAGTGTGGGTGTAATTGTGGTGGTCGCGACTGTGACTGAGATTGAGATTGAGGTTGTGATTGTGGTTGTGATTCTGGCTGCTGAATCTGGAAATCCTCCGTGTCAGACATAAGGAAGCCGAGCTTGCGATTGAAAGAGAGGAATCTATTGAGAATAGACGCCGACTGGGTTTTGTACTTGAGGCAGAGGTGGTCGTTGGTGGACTTGACGACCAGATCCTTCTTGGCTGCTCGCCATTTAACGCAGTATCGGTACTGTGGGTGGTTAGTGTGGTGACTGGTACAAAGCACAGCGCTCCACCTTCTTTGGATTGTCGCTGAACAGCTCAATACTCCGCTTCTGGTACTCCTTCCAGCTCTTTACGTTGACCATGGTTGTCTACTCGGAACCACCACGACATGCTTTCCAATTATTTTAAAATTTTGAACTCTTTGAAGCGGATTTATACCCCTTTGCCACGAAATACACAGCAATTTGAGTCTTTGGAGGATTTATATGCTTACGCACGCGATAGTGGTGGTGGTGGTGGTGGTGGTGGTGGCAGTGGCAGTGACACACAGAATGCACACATGGATCGAAATCATTCTAGCAATCCCAGCCAATCACTCTCAAGAACTCATTCTCCCAAACAACCAGACTCACAGCCATCCACCACAATGTCTCAAACTACTTTACAGCCGCACGGCATACACGAGACATCGGGGATATCGCATACACCCACACAGCCTCTCGCAGTGCCACCCTCTCAACCACCCTCACACTCTCCACGCTACACAAAGGTACCGTCTTCGCGCTTAGGCAGGCTATTCCACTACGGAGGCTTAGCAGCGGGGCTTACGTACGGCACAGCGAGTCAAGTACTCCGCGGCGGCAATACCCAACATTCCGCCTTGCTCTCCCCAGCCAACGTCGACCGACTAGTGGCCAAGCTGTCAGTAATGCGCGGCGCAGCCCTCAAACTCGGACAATTCCTCTCGATCCAGGACAGCCACCTGCTGCCACCCGAGATAGAAACGGCGTTGACGCGGCTACAGAATAAGGCCGACTACATGCCCAACTGGCAGCTAGAGAGAGTGCTCGCCGCCGAGTACGGTGCTGACTGGATCAGCCATTTCGAGCATTTCGACAAGGTGCCTGTGGCTGCTGCGAGTATTGGGCAGGTGCACACGGCGACACTCAGCGCACACCACCCCACACACCCACGCATGCACGTCGCCCTCAAAATCCAGTTCCCAGGCGTTAAAGAGAGCATTAGCTCGGATCTGAACAACCTTAAACTGCTCGTCGCGGCCAGCGGCATCCTCCCGCGTGGATTGTTCCTCGATAACACTATTCGTCAGATGCGCACTGAGCTGGCTGATGAATGCGACTACCTCCGCGAAGCTGAATGTGGAGAGCGGTTTGGGGAGTATCTGCATAATGACCCCGTCTTCAGCTGCCCCGTGGTGGTAAAAGACTTGTGCACACCCAACATACTCACCACACAATTCATGCCGGGAGAGTCGCTGTCGAGGGCGTACACATACGACCAGCCAACGAAAGACAAGGTGGGTGAAAGGTATAGCGAGTGTGCTGTGTACACTGCTCACCCGCCACACAGATTGGATCAGCCATTATGCGCCTTTGCATTAGCGAAATATTCCAATTCAGACTGATGCAGACAGATCCTAACTGGAGTAACTTCCTGTGGGATGGGGAGTGTGGAAGGATTAACCTTATCGACTTCGGCGCGTCAAGAGCGTATACGGAGGATTTCGTCGGTGCGTTTGGACGTTTGTTACTGGCAGCAGGGAATGGCGATAGAGAGGAGTGCGTGAGGACTTCGCTGCAGTTGGGATATCTGACGGGCGACGAGAGCGAGGAAATGATCAACGCACATATCGCATCCATGTTGGCTCTGGGTGAGCCGTTCAGACAGGCAGAACCTTACAGCTTCTTGAATCAAACCATCACGGAACGCGTCAAGGCACAGATACCGATCATGCTCCAACATCGTCTTACACCACCGCCTAAGGAAACTTACAGCCTCAATCGGAAGCTTTCGGGGGCTTTTCTTCTTTGTTCAAGACTCGGATCAGTCGTCAACTGCAGAGAAATCTGGGAGGAGGTGACGCTTGGGAGGTTTGAATCCAACAGCCAACAGGTAAAATAAATAAAGATAAATAAAAATAAAATGCCAAAGAGTGCGTCTTAGTTGGATTTTAACTGGAAATTAAATTAAATTTATTACAAGCCATCGTCGAGAGTGAGGATGATGAGGTAGACGAGTTAGCCTCGGAGGATGGACACGATAACATGGAGGATTATTCTCAAGATGATGTGGACATGGTCGACGATGACGACGATATACACAACGACGACGACGAGGATGACGACAACGACGACAACGACGACGACGACACACCGTCTCAAACCTCCAAGCCAAAGGCTCGCAGAGGTCGCCCACCTGGTTCCACTAATAAGAAATCCAACTCGAGTGCTGCTGCTAGACCACGCGGTGCACGCTCTTCTGCCCGCACTTCCGCCCGTGCAACTCAGCAGAAACCGCGCGAAAAATCGCGTGAGGAGGAAATTGACGAGATAAGCAGTGGTGAGGGTGAGGGTGAAGGTGAGGATGACCTCGATCAAGATGAGTTGGATGACCTCGATGACGCAGACACGCGGAAAGACAATGATAAAGATGAACAACGTCTCACTGCGAGACAGCGTGCTGCACTCAAACAACCCAATGACGACGGCACCAGCGACACACCAGAGCTCATGTCACTTGATATAGGCAGACAGCATAAGACTACGCTCACAGAAGAAGAACAGGCGTTGAAAAAGGCTGAGTTGCTGCGCAGGCGTAAACACCAATCTGATCAGCGTCTAGAGAATGAGAAGGTGGAGACTATCAACAGATTGCTCACCAAAACCGCTTCTAAACGTCGAGGAAAGAAGGAGGAGGATAAAGATGAGGAGGATCGCGAGTCTTCGCAGGTTGTCGTCGATGAAACTCCGCAGTCATTGCTCACCTATCGTTGGGTGAGTAGACCAAGTGGTGCCTTATTTAGTGTACAGTGAGCAGTTGTAATGTATTACATTTGAGACATTTGAGATATTTGAGACATTTGGCATAATCATCTCATCACAACATTTTAACCAACATTTTCATCTGGTCAACGGCCACTTGCACCCCATCGATAACATCTACGCGCTGGCTATTGAGTTGACGCAGTTGGTGTTGAACGTACACACTTTTCCCAGCCATACCTGCGCAAGCGAGAACAACAGTGTTTGCGCCACGCTGTACGAGATCCTGAGCGCAATGAATAAGTTTAGCATTGACGGTGCTTTCTTTAGCAGTACGCAATTCTACGACATCGAAATCACTGCAGGTGGTTCCAACGTAGCGATCTGACGCGTTGGCGCCAATGCCGAGGGTCTCACCTACAGCTCTACCGAACTCGTCGATCCAGTGCGGGGAGGTAGTGACAAAGCCGAATTTCCTCGCGGGAGATAGCAGAGCTGCGGTGATAGAAGCCTCTAAGACACCGATGATCTGCTTGTACTTGTACCGCTCGCGGAGCATTGGTATGAGGGGATGGTTCGAATAGCATCCTACTATTACACCGTCGTATTGCGTGTAGTTGCGCTTGTAACATTCCATGGCACTCTTTACGCCACTGGCGGTGTCGTAGATGCTCCTTGGTGCCTCGGGCGGTGCCGATTGGGTCGTTATACTGCACTCGTCATCGCTGCAGTTTCCCACTAGACTGCGCAGCCCTTCTGTGACTTGTTCGCTGGAATTCGGATTGAGGAGGAGTATGGAAGATGGCATTTGGGTTGTGAGGGTGTTGAGGGCGTTAAGGATGCTGAGAATGTCGAGGATGCTTTCAATCGATACAATCCACATATACAATATACATAGACTGATTTATATTGCCATGTCTACTCTTTCTTATAATGCTACTACGTAGAGCACTAGCAGCTAGACCTACTTTAGCAAGAAGAATCACAAGCACCACCCAAGCAGCAAAACACAAGATGATTTCAGAAGGTGGGCATTCTTTTGCATTCTACAGTCTAAACACAACTCACTGGATACACAGCTGAATGGCAAGCAAAGCTTTCTCCAGAGCAGGTACAATTCATATATCATCCCCCACACAAACCTCTAACGCCCTCCAGTTCCGCATTCTACGTCAAAAGGGCACCGAAATGGCAGGCACTGGTGAGGTTTGCCACTGTGGCGGTGAATAACGTCATAGTTGACACACCGACTTAGGTGAATACGACGAGCATTTCGACAAAGGCGTGTACAATTGCGCTGGTTGCGACACTCCACTTTATACATCTGAGTGCGTTTTTCTTTGAGACACCACCTATGAAAATTTAACCAAACAATAGCCACAAAATGGTTAGCCATTGTAAGCATTCGTAATCACACCGGTTATCACACTCACACCCCTTTAGGCGGCTGGCCTGCTTATTTCACAGCCCTCCCCGGGAAAATCAACCGTCACGTCGATAACTCATTCGGGATGAAGAGGATCGAAATAACATGCTCCAACTGCGACGGTCATCTTGGACACATCTTTGAAGGCGAGGGATATAAGAATCTAGCTGGTGACAAGGTGAATGACCGTCACTGTGTCAATTCCGTTAGGTGGGTTTAAATAGGTTGGCTTAGTTATTTAACACTCCTAACACCGAGCACAGCTTGAAATTCACTCCAGAGAACAAGTAGTTCTTGTAATGCGCTAATCATGCTCATCTTTATCAAATACACTTAACACTTAACTGCATACTGCATACACCAACTCACTCCTGCATACGTCCAGACTCAGCCTGTGTCTTACCCAACTCGTTAGCCTCGTCATACAGTTGCGCAGGCACGTGAACGTGTTTATACTGCGAGTCTTTACCGATCCAGCTAATCTCCAACTCGAATCCCTTGTCCTTAGTAGGGTCATGAACGAGGTGAATAATTCTAGCTGCTTCAAACACAGCCTGACGCATTGACAGCTCGTCGAAATTAAGTTTCTCGAGTTCCGTCTGAGCGAGTTGCTTGCCTTTACCGATAGCAGTAGCTTGGTATCCCCAGTAGAGACCAGATGGCTCAATAGCGTAGAGCTGTGGACCGTTCTTGTCGCACGACGAGATGACTGTGGATATCCCGAATGGCCTCACGGAGGAGTACAGCGTGTACGCGTTGAGATACGAGCCGAGTCTGTCAGAGAGGTGTTTGAGGGGGATAGGCGACATGTAGTTGTCGCGGTAGTTCTTGCACTCCTCTCTCGCCCTTGTCTGAAGGTGCTTTCCATCCGCACGCAAACCGGCAGAGGCCTGGGAGTGGAGCGAGTTGAGAAGAGGGAATCGTGAACAGGAAACCACACTTACCATACCGATATGCATATCAGCAGTCAGTATACGCTTGGCTGTGCCAGAAACGAGCAATTTGGAATCTAACAGCTTCTGTGCAGCGAGGATGACGCCGTCTTTAGTTCTAATCCCAATTACAGTGCTGGAAGGAGTGAGATAGCGTACATAAGCCAATCTATACCCACCCAGCATTCTCCACAGCCTTGTTTGCGTATTCAATCTAAAATGCATGCAAACGTCAGCGTGTGCTGTTTCTGGCGTAAGAGGCGACCGACTTGGAATATTCTGCCATCTGGGGAATACGTGGATGCAGATAAATCATATCCAGTGCCGATACTAGACATTTTAAATAATATTTATATTTGGTGGTTGAGAGGCAGGGAGGTGGCTATTCACAGAGGCTATAGACGTGTACATGAATCTGGTTCAAGATGAATTCGCCATCTACTTTGAATATGATCTTGCTGCACCTCCAAATAAATTGCCAAACTCAACGCGTTTCATTCTGATATCTGTGCGTAGCCAGCACTATCAAATAGCCCTCCTAAACACACACAGGACACTCACAATCGTACATTCGATATTCCATACGGTGAAATTCTCATACACGCAGGTGATTTGTCTACTCTGTCCAACATTGAATATGGAGTAACTGCAAATTGGCTTGCATCATCTTCCTGCCCTTCAAAAGTCATTATAGCTGGAAATCACGATATAATGTTACTGAGAGAGGGATATCCATATACAAATGGCAGTTGGAATCTATCTCACAGCGACCCCGACGCTATACACTTCCTATGTGGAATTCAAGGTGTCACTAATGGTGTTTACTACCTCCAAAATAACACCAGAGAAATAGGCATAGATAGAAAGACATGGAAGATTCTTGGTTCTCCTCTATACCCCTCCCGTCGACCAACGAAGCATGTAAGTGTGTCTCACTCATATTGCTTGAAAATAACCTCGTTGCAGACAGCTATGAAAGCATTACGTGGGTTGTGATAGCTTGATTCCACTCAATCCACCCAAAACTAACACAATATTAGAAACAGTCAGCAGCTTTGAACCTACCGATGTTTTGTTGAGTGGAGAGCACATACTCCTGCACTCTCAGCTAACACCTTCTCAGAATCACCCACGGTCCTCCTCGAAACATCCTCGATAAAACCCAATCCAATTTACACGTCGGCTGCATCGAATTGACAGACGCACTGCCGCGTCTGAGACCAAAACTACATGTCTTTGGACATATACACGAAAGCAGAGGATTTCAAGTCGTTCATTACGACAACGGTGACTACACTATTCATGTCAATGCAGCTAACAGTCCAGTCGGTGGTCATTATGTGAATGATAAGGATAAGGATTACAATCTGCATGCTGTGATTGTTGATATTGTCAATCTGTAAAAGAATCCACTCATATTTAGATACATACATGTATCAAAGACAACAGCTACAAGCCAAATACCACATATTTCATACTACACAACCCACCACCCCATCAAGCTGAACGGAGAGAGCGCAAGATAAGCACGCCGAAAAGGGTGTACTTTTCAAATATGTCTCTCAAGACGAACAAGAGAGCTTGTTGGAGAACGGCCTTGACAATTTGAGCGTGCATGCCCTGCAGGAAAGAGACAAGTATTAGAAAGTGTGCTAGTGAGCTGCTAGAGTGACCCACCTGGTACCACCCAGCAATACCCCTCTTCTTGTAAATGTGCATGAGGAGCTTAAGTGCGCCTGTATTCTTCTTCAACTCCTTCTTGTCCTGCTCAATGGTTCTTGAGCTACGCCAAGTAACCGGGGTACCAGCCATGACTCTAACTTTCGCCATGATCTGGGTGCTTGTTAGAGACAGTGACATATGTATATCAGCGCAAATGCAGACTAACATAAGGGTATGTGACCTGTATGTGTATCATCAGACCAGTTCAGCACAAACAACCTCTACCCACGATAGTCGCTGCTGTCTTGGACATAGCCCCGAGGAAAAAATTGGCCCATGGACTCATCCTCCCGTCGCTGCGGCTGAGATGTCTCGACAGAGCGGCAGTTTTAAGTTTCTCGTAAGCGCCGTAAGTGATAGCGGGATTGACTGAGAGCGAGAAAAGCGTAAAAAACGTAAGAATGAGCTCGCATAACAAGAAAGGATCCCACCTGAAAGAACCAGCGATGGCTGTAAGCCCCTCCACAGCCCAGTAAGACCGTCGTCTGTGATTATCTGCTTAGCTACGGAGAAGAAGGTAGCGTTGGTGTTGCCGTCTTGCACGCCGATCTGCTGTCTTGTGGCTATGACATTGACAGGTATAGTGAATACCTGTGCGAGATCGCCGGCTATTGCACCGCTGAGTGTGTATGTGTGTGAGTCATGACATCATCATACCAAACAAACACACTCAACTCACATGAGTAACTCAACAACTGTGGATAGATTGCCGTTGTTTTTGGATGACTTGATCCACGCCGTTCTCACTGCGCCATACCAATACTTTTGTAGCGACCGGTTAGAAGGTGGAGTTCAATAAGCGGTGTGCGTACAAAGTATGCGAATTCTGGGGGTTTCATGAGAATAATACATAAACAGCCAATGAAACCCACGCTGTGAGAATGTGTTGAGCATACTTGCACCAAAACCACCATACGCAGCTGCTATGCCTTCTTGTTTGAACAGCTTTATGATACCGTTGATAAGAGTATTCTTAGGGATGTGTGCTAGATCATTTGAAATGTCTGTGACTTGATATTTGGTGTTATCGCTGCTTTCGCTGTCTTCAGTTTCGTCGCTAGCGTCTTTAGCTTGTATGCGTGTTTTGAGTGTGTCAAGTGGGTAAACAATGCCGTCTTTGAACAATTAGAAGCTATCATCGACAAGAAATCTCAACTAACTGCTAACAACAGCGCCTAATGCACCAGAGAATGCTATAGCTAGCGGTGTAAGTTGATCAGACATGATGGTATGAAGTACACTCCCAAATCAAGCACAACCAAATCTAATCGTACAAATTTCAAGAACAATCAAACTCTTACAAAAGATAAGCACTTAGACTTAGTAAGCTGAACGCTTTTGTGCGAGTTGAAGGTGAGCTGAGTGCTCTTCAAATGGATGCTGTGGTGGAGCAATATCACGCCAGAGGTTTGGAGTGAGGAAAGCGTAAGTACCAGAGATAGCTTGGAAGGTGGCCTTGATAAAGTTACCCATGGTTGAAGTGTTACCCTTGGTTTGAGTGTAACAGTCTTGAATACCAGCTAATTGCAACATCCTCTTTGAAGCAGGAGCAGCGACGATACCGGTACCTCTTGGAGCAGGAACCAACCTAGCCATGACGGAACCACACTTACCAGAAACCTTGCAAGGGACTGTGTGTGGTTCAGCAAGAGCGTTACCCCAGTAGCCACGTCTGACTGGAATAGTCGCAAGCTTTGCTGCGATCATTGCACCACGGATAGCGGTTGCAACTTCCTTTGCGCACTTGACACCGAGACCAACGTGGCCATCAGAGTCACCAATTGCAACGAAAGCCTTGAAGCGTGTACGTTGACCAGCTCTAGTTTGCTTCTGAACTGGAGAAATCTTCATAACTTCATCCTTGAGCTTTGGCAAGAAGAAGTCGACAATTTGGTACTCCTTGACAGGAATTGAGAACAAGTAGATCTCCTCCATTGACTTGACCTTGCCTGCCTTCACAAGACGGCCAAGCTTGGTTACTGGAACCCACTCCTTGCTCTCGTCTTTGGTTTGTCTGCCACGGCGTGGTCCACGACCTCTGCCTCTACCGAATCCTCTGCCTATAATATGTGAGCTGTGTTGGCGCCTATAAATTCCCTTGTACTTACCACGGTCAGCCATTTTGAAAACTTGGTCAAGAACGAAAAACCTAAGTTGAATTCAGCGAAATCCTGAGATGAATTTCGGGATGGGTGAAAAATAAAATCGACCGAGGAAAAAAAATGAGCGAGCGCAGATTTTATGATGGGCGTGGTGAAATTTTTTAACGAAATGTTCATATCTTGTCAAGAAGAAAAACATGTATGAATGCATTATGTAGATATTCAACAATTTTACACGGGTTTACGCCTTTGTTCGACTTCTGGGAAGAAATGGAGCTACCGAGGAGAAATGGGTCGGATGGCGACCAGGGCGCAGCCATAAGTAATTAGATAATAAAAGTTAATTGTGCAGGAAATCCAGTTTGTTGTCTAAGCTCACTATAACGAATGACTTCAAAAGCTCAATTCGAAGAAATGCTCGCTATGATGAACAGGGAGCGTGAAAAGGAGAATAAGAAGCTGTTTTACGCCGAAGACGTAGCTGAGATCAGCAAAAGGACCAAAAACGCACTAAAAATACAAGGAGAAGACAGAAACTGCCATTAAGAACGAGTGAGGATTTCTCGTCAATCCCAACCAGCGCAAGGAGGATGCCACACCCTTGGCATCAGTAAAATATATCTCCAAGGCGAAGCTTTAATGCTTATGGATTTGCGTCTCAACTTCCTCAACACGCGTCAAGGACGTCACGTCATTCGATTGCAATGTCTGACATGTGGCAGATGTCATCGGCTCTTTGCAACGAGGAAATAGAGAAGGCGAAAGCTCACTACGATGGTTCGGCCTGCTTCAACACGAGCATCGAAGGTGCGGCGGCTTTTAAGAAAAGCCTTGACAATCTTCAACTCCAACACGATCGCCGCAAGACTGTCGCCGCTAAAGCAGCTAAATGCTGGATGACACCTTGACAGACAGCCAAGGTCAAGCCTAAATTTAGGCAACAATCATTATAGCCACTTCTAATCTCAGCTCTTGAGAGCATCTCAGAACCGAGAGTCCAGATGAGAATGTTACCGAGGAAGCTACCAAAGAGGTATTAGAACGAGTTGAGAGAGTGTAGCCTCCGAAGTTTCTCAATCGACTTGATCATACGTTGTTTTTCAACAAACTCAACCACAGGTCTATCAGACATGCTAAATTGCGTATCATTGAAGTCAATAAGATGCTAGGGGAGAAGCAGATGCGTTTGAATGTGAGGTATGAGAGTATCGATCATTTGGCGGAGTCTGGATACTCCCCAGCATACGGCGCTAGAGCTATTTGGGAACTGTTAGAGTCAGTATCGCAAACTCCCTCGCGAGAAAGATCACAAACGATGGCAATTAGAGTCACTATGAAGGATGTCAAGATGATAATTGCGGACAATTGCACATAACGCAGCCGCTCCATGAGACACTGCCTATTAATGTCAAGAAGGATGAGCAAGTATTGAAAGATGATGATCATGATGATCCAAATCAATATGAGCACAATCGGCTTACTAAAAGACTTCAAATGAATTACTATTTATTATGTTCCACATGACATATAGTTCTCTTTGATAAACTCAGATCTCACTCGACTACAAGGACTAGTGGTTTGGGTCTCAACCTTCAATCAGCAGACACGGTTATTATCTTCGACTCAGACTGGAATCCACACGTTGATCTTCAAGCTCAAGACCATGCTCATAGATTTGGGCAGAAGAAGGAAGTTGGAATATTGAGATTAATCACTGAGCGTTCAGTCAAAAATCAGATTCTTGCACGTGCACAGTATAAGTTGGAAATAGACGGCAAGGTTATCCAAGCAGGTAAATTGACAATAAATCGACAGCTGAAGAGCGTGAGGATTTCCTGAGATCTTTCCTCGAACAAGAAGCTGAAGAAGAGGATGAAGCTGGTGTTATGAATGATAATGAAATCAACGAGCAGCTCGCTAGAGGGGAAAGTGAAATAGATGTCTTCAATAGAATGGACAGGGAGAGAGCAGAGAATGACAAGCTGTCCAATCAAATGAAGGGTTTACCTGTTGATAATGTTGGAAGATTGATTACAGACGGAGAGTTACCAGAAATCTACAGAACGACGATCAAATAGAATCCTATTATTGAGGCTGATCAGGAGGCTTTGGAGGGCGGTTGAAGAGCGCGTGCTGGTGTTGTGTACGACGATGGTCTGACTGAAGAGCAATGGGAGAATGCGCTTGAAAATGATGGTACCACTATCGAAGAAGCATCTAGACATAAGCGCAATATGGCTCAACAGCAGCAACAGCAGCCGCAAATAGCTCCGCCTGTCGAATCACCCGAGTTGAACACTGGTAGCAAACATAGCAGATCTTCAACTAAAACTTCCACACCAGTCTCAAATCTTCCAATGGGCTAGCGCAAGCGCAATACCATTCACTGATGGTAATCCAAATGTCGATGTTGAAGAGACTGAACCCACGAACAAGAAGAAGAAGGCCGGTGTTGATGGGGAGACTAAGGAACGTCTGGAGAAGGTCCTTTTGCCATTCTTCGAAGTGGTTTGGACGTTGACGAACGAGAATGGTAGACCAAGGAGTGATATTTTCCGTGAAGTGCCATCGAAGAAGGTAAGTGGTGTTTGATCAAATCAGAAAAGGCTAACAAAGTGACAAGCTGTACCCTGACTATGCACTGCTGATCAAGAACCCAGTGGCACTAAACACAATCAAGCCCAAGATCAATAGGAAGTCATACCAGAATGCAAGGGAGTGTTTGAGTGACTTCCACTTGATGTGTGCTATTGCTAATACATACAACGAACCAGGATCATGGGTTGTAGAAAATTCGGATGCTTTGCAAGCGGGACTGGGTCAGGCGTGGAATGAGAAGGTTTACAATACAGGCGTGCCTGGATCGGAGATGCGAGCTGAGGCATTGTAGCCAGTATAGGCAGCACAGGTGTTGGGTGCTGCGGTGCAGAATACAGTGCCAATCCAACAGCAACAAGCAGCGCAGCCACATCTTCAACCACAAGCTCAGATGGAGACAAAACCACAACCACAGCCTCAGTATATGATTGACGTGCGTCATAGGCAGAATCAGGGACGAGCGCCTAATGCTGGTATGCAGCATGCACTGTGTCAGGCACCAACTGGATATGGAGGCGTTGATCCAGGCACATTTATCGCAAATCCTAGAGCAATCAACAACAAGCGTTTCGTTAGCAGCAGAAACAGCAAGTAGTATATGAGCAAGAGGAGCAAGAGCAATTGTATCAGATGTATCACAAATACGAAGGGACTCCGCTTCTCAAAAATGCTTGATCAAATTTTTAATAAAATTTGAACTTATTTTTATTTACATGTCTTATTTGTGGATATTCTAACTACATTGACTATATGATATACATTCCTTTAATCCTCTCAACTGGTCGCTCCTTCTTTGGTGAAGTTTTGCAATTTATCACACAAATCATCTATATCAAATTAACTTAGGACATCTTAAATTCAACGGTTTCAATCTGCTTATTTTCCTCCTCTGTCTCGTAATGTATCACGATATCTAAATCTCTTGGATTTCTTTCATTTGGCTTGACGCTTATATTCCCTTGAATCTCTTGTCCTTCATATACGCTTATAGTGTTCTTTGTATAAAACACTGTTTGCTTCCAATGTGTGTACTTGGCATGAGGTCCTGTTGAGAATCTAACTGGTCTACCATTTGGTGTAGGGAATGAGCAATCAAACCAACCCAAGAAGGCGTGTATATCTATTGCAAGTTAGCTTGTCCTTTAAGCCAACCTCAACCCTCTCACAATCATCACGTGTTGATTCAAGCTTCCACGATGCTTGGAATTGTAAATCTCCCTTTTGTACAGTGTTTATGTCGATTTCCTGTTTTATCAGCTGAGTGCATGTAAATGATACACATTCCCACCTTGATTGGAGTTGGATTCGTGACTACGTTCTTCAAATCGACACAATCGACTAGAGGTTCACGTAACGCAATATCCTTGATACAGCTATAATCGAATCCGTAGACATCATCCCAGACTTGTGTAATCAAATCAGTACTCAATACTTAACTACGATACCAACTCACAACCAATCTTCTCATCTTTGTATTCAGCATCTTCAATCGCAGCCATGTAGAGGGTGACTTTGTCAGGAAGAATTAAACCACCTGGTTTCAAGAACTTGTCTCTAGCGTCAAGGACAGTATCGAGCATAGATTCGTATAACCTGGAGTGAATGTGAATCATAAGTACCTTGAATATATCTCAAAACCAACAAGAAGTAACCCATCCACTCAGATATGATAATGTCAACCTTTTCTGGTAAATTAACGTTTTCTAATTTATCCTTTATAACTTCAATCGCTGTAAATTGCGCGTAAGTGAGAAGGAAGAGGGTTGTTACGATAAGACAACTAACTTCCTTGGAATCCGTTAGCTTGAGTGATAACTTTTGCTTGGTCTGCAATTTGAGACATATCAATCTGTGAAATGGTTTGAACGAGATTCTAAACTAGAGAAATTAACTCACAGCGTACACTTTACGTGCACCAGCTTTTGCAGCGAACATTGATAAGATACCAGTACCTGCACCGACATCTAAAACAACTTTATCTTTAAAAGCTTCGCTGTTGCTAAAGATTGCGTTTCTGTAGCTCATAGTTCTAACGGTATCTTTAAGCATTTCCTGGAGAATATTTAAGCAAGGCGATTAGAATATCAATAGGAATATCAACCTCATGAATACCAAAGTGGCTATAAGAATCTGCGTAACTGGGGGTACCTCGGGTCAGCTGCTGGTTAATACACCTAAACACTCTGTTACTCACTAATCCTTGCTTGTCATTTCATCCAATTTGACTTGCTCTGCCATTTTAAAAAAAGAGAAGAACTTGGTCGTTTGGGCAGAAGGAGCTTCTTCACTTAAACCATCATGCCACAAGACGACGAGCAAGGCTGGATAACTGAATCTAATAACAACCCTGAGCAGCAGGATAACGTTACAAGCCTAGCAGATAGAATTGGTGGTTTGTCTACCGAGAAGGCGGAGCAGGCGGATCAAGGAGAGAAGGCGGAACAAGGAGACCAACCACAGCAACCACAGCAACCAAAACAAGAACTAGAAGTCTCCGTCACTCTCGCTGATCAACAAGCTGATCCAAATTCTCCCTTATACTCTGCTAGCACTTTCGAAGAGCTCGGACTGTGAGTGTGTCTGTTGAGCTAGCACAACTCCCCCTTAAACACACACTTACAGCCACGAAAACCTCTTAAAAGGTATCTACGCCATGAAATTTCAAAAACCATCCAAAATTCAAGAAAGAGCCCTTCCACTCCTCCTCCAAAATCCACCTCGCAACATGATTGCACAATCTCAATCAGGTACGGGGAAAACTGCTGCCTTCGCTTTAGCTATCCTATCACGTATAAATTATGATTCCTCAAATCCCCAAGCTGTTGTTCTCTCCCCTTCTAGAGAACTCGCCAGACAAACAATGTCGGTTATTCAACAAATGGGTCAATTCACAAACGTAAAAACTGCTTTCGCTATAAAGGATGCTATCCCTAAAGGGTCTAAAGTAGACGCTCAAGTTATTGTGGCAACCCCAGGCGCCCTCGTTGACGCTGTACGTAAAGGTCAAATAAACGCAAAAGAAGTCAAGGTTTTTGTCTTGGATGAGGCTGATAACATGTTAGACCAACATTCTATGGGTGACCAATCCATTAAAGCTAAAAACCTCATCACTTCCAAACCTCAAATTCTTCTCTTCTCCGCTACATTCCCCGATATCGTTAGAAATTTTGCTGCTAAATTCGCACCTGCAGCTAATGAAATCAGACTTAAACAAGAAGAACTCTCTGTAGAAGGAATAAAGCAATTCTACATGGATTGTGATAACTTGGAACATAAATTTAAAGTCTTGGTCGAATTATACGAGCTCATGACTGTCGGACAGTCCATCATTTTCGTTCATCGTAGAGATACAGCTGACGAAATCGCTCATCGTATGACTGCTGAAGGACACACCGTTGTCTCACTCCACGGTAAACAGGAATCTAGCGAGAGAGATCTAACCATTGATTCTTTCAGAGATGGTAAAACTAAAGTTCTCATCACCACAAACGTTATTGCTAGAGGTATCGATATTAGTCAAGTAAACATGGTGATTAATTACGATATGCCAAAGACTGCGTCAGGAAAACCTGATAGCGAGACATATTTACATAGAATTGGTAGAACTGGTAGATTCGGTAGGAAGGGACTTGCTGTCAATTTCATTCATGATAAGGAATCCTGGAAAGTTATGAATTCTATTGAGGAAACCCTTAAGAAGGAAATAATCAAGGTGGATACTTCAGACTTTGATGCTATGGAGGCTATCATGAAGAAGGAGCTTAAAGATTAATTTTGCTGCTGTTTGTAAATACCCTATGCGCCATCTTATTAATGTTCCACTGGTTTGTATGACTATTTGTGATATTTATACACCTTGATCTATCCAAATCAATTACATAATTTAATTTTGAAAGCCTTCTCGACTGAATGCATAACGTAAACATGAAACCAGCGTGAATTTCTGTCTAGAGATAATTTTCCATCTTCTGCATGTGTGTCAGCAATGAGTTATTTATTTATAAATAAATAAACACACTCACCTCATCGTCATCTTGATCTTCGCTGTCTTCATCGGATGACTCCTCTGCGGGTCTAGTACCCTTGTGGGTTTCTGGGAACTGTATCATTTTCTGATAATCTATAAAAGTAGATGTGAGTAAGCAATCTGCAAGATTGAGCAAATGCACAGCGTTATTCTCCAAAATATCAACCATCTCTTGATCGTCTAAGGGCATACCAATAGCATCGAGCATGCGTCTATAACTAGGCTCTTCACCGGTGACATCAGAGCATAGGGCGTGATAAAGTGGTATGAGACTCGTTATACCGTAGATATTGAAAGGTTCAACTGTTCGCCTTATAACATTCAATTCATCATGAACCCTACTACTAATGTCCATTTGCATACCCTCAAAAATATTATCAGGAAGAAACTGCTTGAGCGCATCTTTTGTCCTATCCATGTCTTGGGGTAGCATTGACTTCTTAACGATGATCATTCGACACTCATCTTGATCGGAAGTCTTGGTGTCAAGGATAGCTTGTACGTATCTCTTCAAATATCGTCTTTCAACTTCGTCCTTGTTTTCAGTATAAGTATCAGTGACCGTAACCCAATCCTGATAGTGATTCGATTTAGTTTTATCAAGTACGAATATGCTGAGACCTTGAATGATATTTGTGTTGGGATTTGTTATCCAATCCATAGCAATGACACTACCTCTAAGTTGATCATCTGCCAATTTAATAAGCCGATAGAAACGCCTAGACATTTCAAAGTACTTTTTCTCAAGTACGACGTTATGAGTAACGCGATATTTAGATCTATCGCGCTTATAGCGTTTATTTATCTTAAAGATACCGCTCTTCTTATCTTGAATATTAGCAAAACCAAGGAAGTCTTCTAAAGTTTGAAAGTGTGCAGGAGAAACAAAGTGATAGAAGTGAATGTTTTCAAAATCATTTTGCTTTATGTCTTTGAACCTTTCAGAAATCATTGAGTAAGGGATGAGAATTTCCAATCTATTCCTCTTCGTCATACCGATAAAGACTTCAATAGGTTTACCTTTACCTTTACCGAAAGGATAAATGCCTTGTTCCAAATCAGTAGTGATGATCCTTGAAGAGCCTCTACGTGTTGTACATAAGGAAAAGGGTATATGCAGCCAAACCAACTTACTGCCATAATCTGGACCATTTAATAAAGTTGAATGGGTACGCCACGAGGAATTCATCGTTGTTTCGTTGAATTTCATCTAAGTCCAACATTCTTTGGTGGTCATCGTCGATTTCAAATTCACTGGACAGTTGGGACATGATGATGGAGTGGATGCAAGGGTAAGCAAAGGTAAGTAAAGGTAATCAGAAGCATGTGGCCTCATGTAAAGACATGTAAGGATAAGGATTCATTCATCAAGCACAAGATATTAAAAGAATCTAATGGTGGTTGTTCTTGTGGTGCTCTAGGGTATGTCAGTTGGTGTGAGTGTATCATAAAAATCCAACTCACTGAGGTGAACTGGGGAGAAAGAACGAGTTAGTGAGAAAGACAAAAGGAATTCCAATCAACTTACGGTTGTCTGATTATCAAATGTAAGAAATAATCATAAGAAAAAGATAAAAACTCACAATCAAGCGTATATCCGAATAAGAATAATCCACCAATCGTTGCGAGTAATGGAGTACGTGATGAATTTGAGCCATCAAAGTATTTGCCTTTGATACCACTAGACTTTGGAGCTGCGTTACCTTTTGGTAATTTGCTATAAAACTCAATAACGGAGTTCATTCTAGCACCGCCCTCAGAGCCAGACTTGGATTTGTGAGTTGTTTGAGGTTGTAAACGGTGTTAACAACTCACTACTGCACCTGGTGTTGCTATCTTTGGTGGAACTAAATTCTTTAATCCTTGACGTGCGTGAGTTGCGAACATTTAATGGTGGTCGTCGTTCTGGTCGTTCTGGTGCCGGTTCTGCTCGCGGTGAAAACACATAAATATTAGTTACAATTTACAATGCATTCGAATCTACAACACGGGAATATTCTCTTGTTGCCATTCTTCTGTCCTTTCACCTGCCAAGGACTACTTATATGTGCAGTACAGCAAAGCCAATGACTTTTCAAATACCTGCTGAACCAATTTGTGAGCGCTCCATGCTTCTTTCTATGATGAAATTGCATATTATATGAATTAATTATCTAGATCCACCCTGTGGCTGGCTTAAATACAAAAAGCGTTGGCCATCAGCCTTGAGGGACTTTGAGCTTCGTAGCTGACCAATGTATTCCTATGGATTCCTAATTACGCATATTTGTTGGATATCGGTGCGCCCTCAGCAGCCTGGATGGAAATTTTTGTGGCCTGACTGAACTGACAAACATAAGAAGTTCAAGCATTCCTCAACATTGTGGCTAACGCAGAGCTAATATTTTAAGCTCTAGAGTAATTTCGATGTGATTTACTTATTATCCGATGGAGTATCTTGGCTATGATATTCACCCGCTTCTCTCTCTAATTTAAGTCACCAAAATTCCAATAATTAATACTTTAATTTCAAGCAGCTCAACGAGTATAAGCATCTCAATCAGTGCTGTGCGATAATCCCACGTTTAGGCCCATTTTTTACGACCAGGAGGGATTAAAACGCGGTATAAGGCAATTATCGGGAACTGGAGACGCATCTCCAATCGTCAATTATAATACAGGTACAGGCTTGGACCGTCACCAGCCAGACGTCGAGTTGAACCATCCTACCCCACTCCAGCTCAGAAAGCCAAAACCTCGCAAGCCTAACAAACATCCAAAACCTCATCACACTCTTCCAGCGGAGAAGCCTTAAAAATGCGATATCTGCGATGCACTTTACGCAGAATCATGATTTGACAAAGCACAAGAGAAGGTACCAGAGGGAAATCCGCAACCACAACGCTGAACGTGCCGATGGAGCTTCACGCGTTGTGATTACCTTCTTCAATATCAACACTCCTGCACATGCTGTTGGCTCTCAAGATGGACAATTTAAACTTTATCAGGCTTTTTCCAGGACAACCTCTATACAGTTTGTATTTCACACTTCACACTTCTAGCTATCGAATTGAACACAACGCAACAAAACAAGACACTCAATGTAAACATCAATCTTTGAAAGATGAGCATTGTCAAACAATCGAATTCTGCATAGTAAGACATTATTTTGCTTGCTTGAATTTGGTATTTGTGTGCGCGTGTGAGTGTGTTTCCGATGAATGTTGCAGGTATATAAGTGTTGCTAGCAAACAAGAGCAGACTTGCCATCCAAAGGGGTCTAAACAGACGCTGGCAGACGAGCTCCAACCCGTATGCGATAGACAGCCAATGAGCCAGTGGAGCAAGTCAACATACTGTGATTCTCAATTTCTGCTTAGTAAAGAGATTCAAAGACGACAGATCGACAGGCAAGAGCTAGATGTACCAGAGGAAATACTATTAGGAGTGAGGTTTGTGATTATGCGTTGATGCGTTGCTCCTGCGATGAACGCACCCTATTTAAAGTGTAAAACGCATATTCTGCGAAAAGCAGGCGAGTGAGAGAATCGCTTTGCTCTACAAAAACCCAATCTATGCGATAGGATTAGTTGCGGCACGATCGAGAGTACAGAATTGGAGAAGAGTGAGTGTGTCTGGTTGGCACGTCGTAGCTGAGGTAGGTAGGGTACAAATAGACCGTGAAGATGTATCGATGGCCCTTCCTCCCCACGTGGTGGTGTAGATATGTCGATTGCACAACTTCCATGCCGTATCTAGAGGGAGCGTGAGTGTGAGTTTGATACCTCGTATGACCACCCGGTCTACAACCATTTCCTTACATGGACACATTCACAGCTGCAAAGACGACCACGCTGATGACCGAAAAAGAGGCTATCCGCTTCGACCAAAAATGAGCGAGTATCGAAGGTACCTAGTTGAAAGAGTATTCTGTTAATGCACGCTAAGCGCCATTTATAATAAGCTGAGCGTGTACTGTTCGTGCAGGAGCAAATCGAGAGTAGACATGACAAGCACGCCCATGAGGGACTCCGGTGTGCCTCTAGTGGAGAAGAAAATAACGACCGGGTTGGGTTTCTACAGGAGGTGAAATAGATGGTCTCTTTTGCCGCCACCCGCAGTCTCAGCTGAAATTATATCTACATTTACTCCAATTGCCAGATCTGCCAACGAGAAGATCATTTTACCGAAATTCTCATCGAATGGTATTTTCGGAAGGGGCATCCACGATAGCAACGGCCGTATCTGTAAGCCTTCCGCTCGTATGGCTACTGCCCACTGTGGACTTACTCAGCCACTTCGCTCACAACGCGATAATCAACACCTGTGTCTGTACGACCGCCATTCGTGCGCGCTATATCATCGTAGTAGCTCTAATCTATCAATCAAAACATATCTGATGACCGTCTAACGAGCACAACTCATGCCATGATGAAATTAAGACACCTTGATAAAAAGTTACAAATTCTCATATGTCATCGCTGGTAAAGTCGGGGCGTCTTCAATTACAAACCCCGTTGATGCCGGTGAACTAGGTGCTGAACTTGCCGTTATTCTCTCATCTACTCCCAACGTTTGTAGATGTGGTAAACTTGGTCGACGTCCAACATTATTCTGCGTTGGTACATTTGAAGCTGAACTTGAACGCGATGGTAAGTACTTGGATTTATGTGAACGTTGCTGTGAGTCTTGTGAGTTTTGGTGTGGTTGTTGCTGTTGGTAATGTTGATGTTGTGGTTGTTGTGGTGGTGGTGGCTGCTGCTGCTGTTTCAAATTCAGTTAGCTTTCTTCTACTACACACCAATTCCACACTCACACTATAATGCTGCTGTTGGTACTGTTGTTGTTGTTGGTACTGCTGTTGTTGTTGTTGCATCTGTGACCCAGGCGACCACGACCCACGACGTACTTCCTGTATAGCCATCGCATTTATATACCTTTGCTGCTGCAACTCCTGTTGTTGTTGCTGTTGTTGTACTTGCTGTTGATGCATATACGCCTGCTGTTTCATTAATTGCTGATGATGCTGCGAATTCTGTTGATACACTCCCCATCCATGCATCCCAAATCCTTGATTCTGTTGTTGCGTTTGTTGCATTGGACTAGGTGAATGTGATGGCACTGGTGGTGGTGATGGTGATGGTCCGTACATTTGTGATCCTCCAGGTGCTTGTTGTTGTTCGAATTGCGCTTGTTGGTATTCTTGCATTTGGGCAGGCGATGGTGTACGCATTATCGGTGACCCTTGTTGTCTTGGTGGTTGTTGTAATATGTATGATGATTGTTGTATTGGAGGTTGATGCATCATAACTGGTGATTGTTGTCGTGGAGGTTGGTGCATCATTACTGGCGACTGTTGTCTTGGATGTTGGTACATCATTACTGGCGACTGTTGTCTTGCAGGTTGATGCATCATACCTGGAGACTGCTGCCTTGGTGATGGTAACTGCAACATACCTGGAGATTGCTGTCTAGGTGAAGATGGTTGATGTATTATACCTGGAGACTGCTGTCTAGGTGATGGTTGCTGTATCATTCCTGGAAACTGCTGTCTAGGTGAAGATGGTTGCATCACTGTCTGTGACTGCGACTGCGTTGGCGAAGAGTACGTCAATGAATGCGGCGATTGCTTCGGCTTATCCAACATTTTGTACGGATCTTCGTACGATGGTTGCTTCATACCAATCTCCCCTCTAAAGCTACCTGTGCTTACCATCTTTGTAAGTCTGTTTCTCTTTGGTGTTGGAGATGCGCTTCTCTGTTGATTGTTCTGCGTAAGTGGTGATGGTCCCGGTGAGGCTACAGGTGATGAAACGGGTGCAGGTACAGATGAGGGTGATGGTCCCGGTGATGGTGATCTTGAAGGCTGCTGTGTCACAATATTCAATAATTGTCGTGCAGTTGATGGTGGTCGCGATGGTTGAGCTGGTGCATGGTGTGGCTGAGCTGGTGATGCTGGTATTGTAACTGGTGAAGGTGGTTGCTGAGGAGGTGTCTCTGGACGCGCTGGTTGTGTCATTACAGGTAAAGATACAGGAGGCTCAGCTATTACTGACTCCCTCTGCTTTTGCTTTTGCTTCTGCTCCTTTTGCATCTCTTCTTGACGCTCGACTGGTGGATCACTTGGTCTTTGGATCTGATCTTCAAACGATGCTAATGGTGACATACGCGCCTCTTCCAGCTCAATAGGTGAATCAAGTGCCATCGGGGGTGAAGGTGAACCTGAAGACACCGATTCAGGTGGTGCGATAACTTCTTGTACATCTTCAGGTAGAATCTCAGGTGGAGAAGGTGATGGCGATGGTGCTTTTGCAGTAGTTGTAGCTCGTTCCGGTCCCTTCATGGTTGCTTGAGCAGGTAAAACTGGCTCACCAATTTCTATTTCTTGTATTATATCACTCGTAAGTGATGACAGTGTCTCCTCCGTTAAATCTTCCTCGCTACCTTCATTGAGAGCCAAAGGATGTTTCTCTTCAGATTCCTCTCCATGCTCCTCGTGAGGAAGGGGAATTTCGCCTGACAAAGCTGGAGTTGGAGGTGAGTCCGGTACGGATGGATGCGTCGGCGAGTTTTGAGGTGTAGGTGAAGATGTCAACACACTCGAAGCTTCGTAATTTACAAAGCTGTTTTGGTCCGCATTCTCGACAAACTCCTCCTGTCTGTGCACCTCAATCTGGTCATCTTGTCTGTGTCTAGCTTCAACCTGCCTCTGATTCTGGTGATTCACTATTGATAAATACCAGAACATGAAGTTGCTAATTAATACTTGCTCGTAAAGTGACCGGCGTGGATTAGCGAGCTTGAGGTGACTCCTGAGGCGCTATTCGTTAGCATTTCCTTACATTTAATATCTGACTCACAATCTGTAAATAGCACGTTCGATTTGGATAGGATAGCGATAGTCAAACATGTTAGCCGGTGCTTGAGGCTTTTGTTCCGAATCATTGGCTTTCTTCTCCTTCTTACCCTTGTCTTTCTTCTTTTTCTCTTTTGGCTGATCACTTGTTGAGGATTTAGTAGAATTAGACTTCAGACTGCTGCTGCTCTTCTTCTTTGATCCGAACAAAGTGCCAACGAATCCTATATGAGATGATTGAGTATTCTTAGCAGCTTCACGTGACTGAGCTGCGGCAATCTTTGCTGCCTCTTTGCGTTCCTTGGCCGCTTCCTTGTCCCGAGCGCGCTCCTGCTCTTTGGCCTTGGTTGCCTGCTTTGCTGCCTCTTTGCTTGACTTAGATGACGCTGCGGAATCAGATTTCTTAAGCTTGAAGGATGGTTTAAGTCTTTTCTCTTTGGGCTTCTTTTCGGACTCTTTCTTCTGTTTATCACTCTCCACTTTCTTGGTCTCATCGCGCTCCTTTTTTGCATTTTCTTCTTCCTCCTCACGTGCTTTCTGGAGCTCGATCTCAGCATCAGCGAGTTCTTTCTGAAGCTGCTTCTCTTCAAGCTCTCTCTGATTATCAAGCTCAGCTTCTGCAAGCTCTTTAAGACGCTCCTCCTTCTCACGCTCTCTTTGGAGTTCGAGTTCAGCCTCTTCACGTTCTTTTTGAAGCTGCTCTTCTTCACGCTCTCTCTCGAGCTGCCCCTCTTCTTCAAGCTGTCGGTGAAGTTCTTCCTCACGCTGTTCTCTCTCTTCGATCTCTCTCTTCAGAGCATTTTCTTGCTCTTCAAGTTCTTGTCTGAGTTTGGCTTCAGCTTCACGCTCCTTCTTTATAATCTCCTCTTGCTCTAAACGTTCCTTCATGAGTCTCTCCTCTTCCTCCTTCTCTTCTTGCTCCTTCTTGAGCTTTTCCTCCAACTCTTCCAGTTCTTTTTTGAGCTTACTTTGCTCTTCTTCGCGCTCCTTCATTTTTCGTTGTTCCATCTCCTCGCGCTCAGCTTTCATCTGGATTTCTCTATCCTCTCTTTCAGCCTTGGCTTTGGCTTCAGATTCGGCTTCTCGAGCTTCTTGTTCTTGACGATCGCGTTGAAGTTTACTCTCCTCAGCCTCGCGCGCCTCTCTAGCTTTAGATTCCTTTTCCTCACGATCGCTTTTGAGTTTGGCTTCCTTGGCTTCGCGCTCTTCTTTCATTTTGGCTTCTTTCTCCTCGCGCTCGTTCTTTTCACGATCTTCACGCTCCTTCTTGGCAGATTCACGCTCCCTCTTTTCGTTTTCTTCGCGCTCTTTCTTCTGAAGTTCCCGCTCCTTCCGCTCTTTTTCTTCTCGGTCTTTTTTCTCTTTCTCCTCACGCTCCTTCTTCTCTTTTTCCTCGCGAGCGACCTTTAAGTCATTCTCCTTCTTCAACTCACGCTCCTTTTTCTCTTTATCTCTTTTTTCACGCTCGCGCACTTTCATGTCACTCTTAGATTTAGCTTTAGCCTTTTCTTTCTCTTCCATCTCACGACGTTTCTCCTTCTCACGTGCTAGACGTTCTTCTCGTTCACGCTTCTCCTTCTCCTTTAACTCAAGCTTTTCTCTAACTTTGGCATCTTTGAGTTCTTTCATTTTCAGTGCACGTTCATTCCTAGCTCTTTCCTTCTCTTTGAGCCAATTCCATCCCTTCTTCTTTGAGGTAGACGAGCCAGTTGAAGGTGTAGGAGATGGGTTGTTCCGAGAAGGAAGATCAGAAAAGATTATTGGAGTTGGAGGTTCAGGAGCAGGTCTCGAAGGTTCGAATAGCATTTGGTCAACATTTGGAAAGCTGTTCACACTATCAATCTTTTTTATGTTAGTATTGATATTATTGATATTGGTATGTCTAGTCTGTGCGGGAAATTCCGGTATAAGCGAGCCTACTGAGAGATCCATCGACATCTTCATTGGATTTGAAGTTGGTGGGGGTATTTCGCTTGGTATTGGTGTCGGTGGTTGAACCCTGTTTTTCAAAGACTTTGTTACCATGTAGGCATTGTCAACGTGTTCACTGGATATCGTTTCGTAACTTTCACCCGTTTCAACTGACTCTGATATCTCTTCTGATGTGGATTCATTAGACTCGTTTGTGTCTTCAGTGGAGGATATAGAGTTGTTCCTGAGAGTGTTTGGAGTATTCAGAGAACTCTTTGAAGGTGAAACATTGGTATTGACAATCTTGAGAGTATCTTGCTTGTTTTGATTTGGAGAGCCATGAATGGTCTGGGCATCATCATCTTCGGTGTGTAATTGAGTGTCGTGAATCTGATTATCGTGAGTATAACTATCGTGAGAATGAGATTGGTCAAGTCGTAAGTCGTGTTCGAAAGGGTGAGTATTCTCTGAAGAAATAGCAGAAGAGACAGAACTGAATGAGCCACGTTCATTACCCATAGCATAGGCGTCAAAGATATCATTCGTGAGAGTGGATAGAGGTCTATCATCCTTGATAGGATGATCAAGAAGGCTATGGTTGAAGGACAAGTCGAGGCGTGGTGGTGGTCTATGGTCCGATGAGAAAATTTCGGAATCAATTTGATATGACGGTACCGCAACTCTTGAGCCATTTTTGAGTTTTTTGGGTTTAGAAGTATAATTATCATTTTTAACATGATAATTCTCATCATTTGATTGAGACATTTCATTTGAAGTCTCTTCTGTGAGAGATTGGAGCTGGAATGTGTAAGTGTTTACGCGTCATTAGGAGATGAAAACGAACCAAATTAAGAGAACTTGGCTTGGAGGAGGATGGGGATATGAAATCATTATCGCCAACGCCGTCATCCTCAGTTGGAGTGTATTGTCTTGATAGCTTTGACTTTCTACGGGAGAGTGAAGAGCCATGAGAGCTGGAGGATCTAATCCTGCTAAGAGAGCCTGAGTTTGATGGTGTAGGAGAGTGATTGGAAACGTAATGATTGAATTCATTTGGATGGGTGGTAGTCTCTGGGTGAGCAGAAGCAGGGACCCACTAGGAAAAGGGGCTAAGAGAGGTACTCAATATCAAGATAAACACGACTCACATATTGATTCAAAGCTTTATCATTTTGAATTTCTTGTTTGGTCGGTGGTAGATCAGGATCAATTGCAGTACGCTGGCCTTGCGATAGTGATCGTCTACGTAGAGCTTTCAGGATAGAAACTTGATGATTTACATCAGCTGAGATTGAGCGTTAGATTGGTTAGTGCTCTAGACTTTAAATTACCCACAATCATTCATTATTTTGAGTAATTTCACTGGAATGTGTTGGACGTTAGTAGCAAGGCTATTCTTTAACCAGGATCGTCAACTTGTAAAATTGAAAATGTATTTATAAGATATCTAGATGTACAAGCACTGACTTAGTTTCTTAGGACTGGTGCTCCCAACAAAGAAGACAAAGCAAAGATTCCAAAAGCTGTTATCAAAGTGAGTCAAATACCCTTATTGATTGATGTAAACGTTAATATTGATTCATAGAATGTTGATATGTCACAAGAATTACAACAATCTGCTATTGATATCACGTGGGTTTCTTGCCCCTAGCTTAAACATTCAAATCTCACTTATACAGCTCAAATGCTTTAGAAAAGTACAATATTGAAAAAGATATTGCGAGCTTCATAAAAAAGGAGTTCGATAGAGTTCATGGCGCAACTTGGCACGTCGTCGTTGGTAAATCATTTGGATCATTCGTTACGCACGGTGAGTGAATATTCATTCCAATCTAACGTGTATATTCATTACTTCAATAGAAACTAATCATTTTGTTAGTTTATTATTCAATTCTTTAAATAAAATCAACTGACAAACTCAATAGATATATTTCTACATGGGAACCTCAATGGCTTTCTTAATCTTCAAATCGGGTTGATTTGAATTTCTCTATCATCATAATACATTGAACGTTTCATAAATTTGACGCGCTGTTTTCTTGTCTTTGAATACTGTCTTTGTTTACCACCCCACTCCACCTCTAGGAGATCCCAGACACTCTAAAAGAATGCATCGTAACATGAATTTTATTAACAAAATAACAATAAATATGAAATAATTCAATGTTTTGATCATTTGTCTTGAATATTGGAGCAATTGGTATGTATCTTGCCGCGAGCAGCAAGTTAAAAAGTACAGCTGTAATTAGAAAAATTGTTGAAAAATTGTTGAAAAGTATTATACGCAGTTAAACGTACTACTATCGTTAGTTGAAATGGTTTGATATAATGTCCGTGTTTACTATCATTACTTCTTCGATTGCTCCCTTGCCGCCTTTATCAATGGTCCTAGAGTTCTTAATGGTTCAGCCATCTTCAAGAATGGATGTCTGAGCATATCGAATGCATTCATTCTCCTCTCGTAATCTACTTCCAGACAGCGAGCAAGGAAGTCTCTAAACACTGGTGATAAATTCTCTGGGCTTTGTATTTTTGGTGTTCCGTTAGTTGCAATCAAGTAGAGGGCCTGAAATGTATGTGAGTTGACTTGTAAATTTTATCCAATTTCACCCACTCTAAGAGGATTCTCATTCAGGTATGGTGGCTCTCCTTCAATCATTTCAATCGCAAGTATACCAAGCGACCACACATCGACCTTACTCCCATATTCTTTACGCGTCACCACCTCCGGCGCCATCCAGTAAGGTGTTCCAACCATTGTTGTTCTCTTGGCATGGGATGCATTCTCCCCAATCCTCGCACAGAAACCAAAGTCTGTCAGCTTAACATCTCCCTGCATAGATAGCAAAATATTGTCTGATTTTATGTCCCTGTGAATCACCCCATGTTCATGCAAGTGTCTCAATCCTTCCAAAATTTCTCTTGACACAGCCGCAATCTGTCCTTCTGTCATGATATTACACGTCACAACATCCGTCAGTGAACCACCTTCCATATACTCCATTATCACCCATAAATCTCCTTTGAAGAGGAAACTGTCGATATAGTTGACAATGTTCACATGTCGAGATGATTTCATTACTATAATTTCATTAATAATGAGATCTTTCTTTGGCTGCTGCTCGAGATTCATTTGTTTAATAGCAACGGAGAGATTAGTTCCAGATTGGTAAGCAGTGTACACACCTCCACTAGCACCTTGACCAATCTTTAAAAGATTCTTGTAAAGTTTTGTAGGATCTGCGTCTGTGCAAATTGATTGTAATTTTTGTATAATTTCAGCCTCTGACTGTTTATTTGATCCGTTATTCTCTCTTCTGCGAGGTACTGGACCTGGACCATGATTAGGATGACCTTGTGTTTGATGGGGCTGCAATGAGCCTGGTATTTGTGGTATAGCCTTGTTGGTCTTTTCCGCAGCTCTGGTGAGTGCGGCAGAAGCTGCAGAGGGTTGTTTACCCAATGCTTGTGGGTTGTGCAGAGGTGGAGGTGCACGACTGTATGGCGTTGACGATGAAGTCATGTTTGGTACAACAGCTGGCTTCGTCTGATGAGATTTAGCTCTCTCGAGAGTCTGTGACGCCGAAGTAGGGTTTGGTGGGATACGGTGCGAGACTGACCTATCAAGTTGTGGAGGTGGCGTTGGACGAGGTGGGGGTGGTGCAGGTCTAGGAGCTTCACCCTTACCTGTCTCACCTCTAACTGAGCCAGGATTCGAAACACTTTTATTCATAGGTGGCGGTGGTGGTGGAGCTGCGCGCGTATTGCCATACCTGGCTGGAGGACCCGGAGGTGGGGGAGCAGGTCTGGCTATCCACGTTTTGTCCTTAGGGTTAGGAGGGCCATTAGGAACACCACCCATCTTTTTCCATACTTGATTGTCAACGCCGTATTGAGCATTCTGAGCGTCTTGATAAAAGGCGACAATGTCCATAACAGCTTGCGGGTTAGCTTCTTGGTCTTGCTTGGAAATACCAGAGTCCTGTAAGAGCTGCTGCCACTCTTTAGGCAAGCCAGTGAATTCTCCAGTGTCAGAATTGAAACCAACGTGCGTCAAATGTACAGGATCGTAAGGAGTTGAGATTTCTGGCTTTTTTTGCAACTGAAGTAAATCAGAAAGCGAAGAGGCGAAACCGGAGAAGACGCCTCGTTTCTTGTCCTTATCGAAGGTGTCTCTGGTTTTTACATTGCCAGAAACAGTAGCTGAGCGCTGCAAGACAGGAGGTCTTTGAGGGGATTGTGGGGGAGTGTTCGAGTGCACCTCGTGGACGTGATTGCTCTTGTCCATAAGAGCAACAGGGCTGCTGTTCTGATGAACGAGCGGTGGGGGGGACAGGGAATTGGACATAGGTTTTGATGTTTGTTGCTCGGTATCGTGGGTGGAGGGAGAAGAAGAAGGTTCGGTGCAAGGTGAGAAGCTGTTGCTGGCGCTGGAAGGGAGAGTGGTGAAAGACGTTGATAGCGGTGGCCCCAAGTCAATGTCATTGAGAGTGTGCGCTTGTGAATGCGTCTGCGCTTGATTGGTTATGGGATGTGATGGCGGTGATGGAGCCGTGCGCTTTGGCCTGTACTCGCCAAACTGAGTCTCTAGATTAACATTACGAAAGTCAATTGAGGGATGCATCGACCTGCGCTGGCCTGTTGGTAGTATAGGCGATGATATCTGCTGTGAGCCGACGTAGTCATGAGGATGCTTGATAGACGGCCGCTGTTGAGATTTCTTTGTGGACCTTGCGACGAATTAGACGCATTTACGCGTTATTCATAATACTCACATATATTTTATCTCAGTGAGTATATATCTAAAGCAGGGGGGTCTCAACGAAGAAGCTCGATTTGAGCTAAAATTTTATCAAATTATTTATTCATTTGTACACTACATATCATGCTGAATCTCCTTTAACTAGCCACATATCTGGATCTGGCGTTAGTTGGGTTGGTTGGTGTGGTTCAGACTCACAGTAAACTCCAATGCTTCGATCTATTGACACGCGTAAGTAACATTATAGTTCTCCAATAAACACTTACATGGTCTCCATTCACTTGTTAGCGCCTCGCATTCCTCCGGCGTGAGATAACCGACCCTGAATATAGCAAAAGCATAAGCATCGGCATGAATGAACCCAATTCACGTGTTGAGTACCCACTTCAATCGCTTCTTCAGTCGCTGTTGCAGAACTTTCACACTCAACCCCATTTCAATAGCTGCCGGGGGTAATTCAGGTTCAACATTCTCCGATAAATCCTTATCAGATGTAAGCTTGACCACTGACTGCTGTGCACCTTTTATGTTGTCATCTGGTTTCGTAATTCTCTCCTCGTCTACCTCATCCACCTTAAGCTGTCTGTGCCTTTTCGCCAGTTCTAGCTCTGACCCTAGAAAATGTTTCACAAGCCCAGCTTGCACACCCAAATCAGCGGTTGGTAGAATATCTGTTCTTCTGAGCATGAATATACTCAGCATCTATGCAGATGTGAGGGGATATGTCAAATAAAAGGGTATTGCTGCACCAACATGAACTGTCCAAGGACCAATACCGCGAATATCGGTTAGCATCTTCATCAATTCCTCATCAGACGCCTCGACGAGTTTTTGGGATGTAAGTTTACCCTCCACGAAAGCCTTTGCGAGACCGATGGCTGTGGTGTGTTAAATAAGCAAGGTTTATGAGTTATTTCAACTCACCATACTCTCCCTTTCTTACGGAGAATCCAATCTCCTGTTTAAGCAACTCGTCAGCAACTTAATGTGTGTTGATTGTGATATTCCCCACTCGAAGCTTGGAAACGTTTGTGTTGGCGACTTGTTCTGGAGATGGGAATTCTTCAGGATCACCCTCACGATTTTCGGGAAGGTGTGGGAAGTAGTATCTAACGAATTTGTAGCAGACGCTGGGGAGTATTAGTGACGTCATCTTTGCCCCTGCTTTACCCACGCCTTGGATGCTTTGTAGGAAATTTGCTGAGCTAGTATTGAGTCGCAGATGACTCTGAATGGATTTATCGGCTTCTTGAGATCCTGCTCGAAGGGCTTGCATGGGATAGCTTCAAACAAGCGAGCCCAACGTGGATCCAAGCGGATATAGTGATCCTTTATAACATCCAAGTTCCAATTAGTTGGTGGGAGTATTTTGTTTGCGTTGTTTACATTGTTTACATTGTCATTATCCAATTTTAAAGATTTCACGGTTTCGTTCGCAGTATTCGGGTTGTCAATCGTCTTCCTCTTAGCTTGTGTATCGTGTGCATCGTATCCACCGGCATGAACATTTCCATTCTCTTCGGGTGCAATCATCGTTGTTGTACCTCAAGATGACGTTTTCGACTTTATCGTGAAGCTTGAGTCTCAGAGGTGCAACAAGCACGTGCAAATCACTCAAAGGAAGCAAGGAAACAAAGGAGTTAAATGAATAAATGATTGCATCTGTGCATTTCTAAAATGCTAACGAGAAATGTTCATATGTGATATCTGGTATGTGTGTGGTGTTGTGCGCTCACTCACCCGCCTAGCAAAGCGCCTCGATACAGAGAATATCCTCACAAAGGCAACAAGCGCAAATACCGGCGAGACAAGCACAGCAACCGCAACACGCACTGCTACCAGCACCGCCGCCACCGCCTTTCTCTTGGGGTGGGGGTTGAACGTACATCTGTATAGAGTTCAGACACCTATAACATCAAAACTAGAAATACTTGACTCACCGGCTGCTGTGGTGCATAGCCCCCGTATGGCTGTTGAGGTGCGTATCCCTGTCCACCGTATGCTTGGGGAGGTGGTGGACTGTGCTGTTGGTTAGTCATGACGATCTTATATCTTTATTTCAACTGACGGGTAATAGCCGCCTTGCTGTCCACCCTGGTTGTAATACTGTAGCCGCGTTAATGTGTTGCGTGTACTACAAAATCCTACGTGCATCGTTTGCAGACATAGCTTGCTTGACTTTATAAACAAACTTAGTTTACTTGATTTGTGAGACTAAGCCTAACGCGCGTCAACTATAAATAGAATTTTTTCAAGTTTATCATATACAAAGTTTATCGGAGCAATTATTATAGTCTAGAGTACCTCTGCCTACAGTTCCCCTTAACTTCTCAAGAAAGAAAATTCCATTGTACCTCTACAGCAGATGGGGTCGACTTGAATAAATTTCAGTATTAATACACAATGTACAGTTAAGCTAGCTAGATTTAAATGAGCCATTTTTATTGGCTTGGTGCACTTCCACACACATCCACTCGTTTGGGATTGGATGGAGTGGTGGTAATCAGACGCCTTCGACAACCTACCCAAGTTATCCAACGTTAGATTGTCTGCTGATTGTCTGGGATTTGTATTGGTACACCCGCTGCATGCAGCTCATAAGACAAGTTGGTAATGGCTGTATTTGCAAATTTGCAAATTTGTCAGCAAAGGTAATTTCCACAAACATCCACCCCACCTGGAGCCTCATACTTGCACAACTCGACAATTTCGAACGTATCAGTTATCGCAGTCGACAGTGTCTCGGAAGCAGTGCTCGAGCTGATCTCTGAGCCTGGCCTATTGTGTGATTGAGATTATGACGTATAAATTAATAAAGCTGGCGTACCTTGCCAATCTGAAGAGGGATATTTTCAGTCGATAGATGCCACAGACGCGTACGCCGAGGTCTGTGAACGGGAATACCACCTCACCGCGTGCCTGGTAAGGGGTAGTGACGAGTGCACCATACAACATTCTCAAAGGAACGCTATCTGCGTCTTCTGTGGGCTGCGTGACGTCTACGTGGGACTCTGCGTCTTCTGAGAGTAGCGAAGCGTGACAAACGTAGAAGGGCAACTCCTCGTGACTATAGGGGTGATTAGATAGTGGCGGATTGTGTAACTCCAACGCACATATCAACAGCATGACCCTCTGCATTCCTCACCACCAATCTTACTACTAGCGCCGGTGACAGCGGTAATCGACTGTAATAGCTAGATCCAAATGCTGCCGAGCGTAGTGGAGACTGGATGATCTCGAGTGCGTGGGTGCGGCTGGAATAAAGAATATTAGGAAAGAAATCAAAATAAATGTTATTTTCTAACCCATTCAAACTATCCTGTGAGCTTCTGCTGTTCGTCTTCTTGTCGTCGTCGTCACTCGGGCTGGAGACTATGGAATTTAAGCTAAGCTTGGACATGACTGATGAGCGAAAGTTGCCAACAAACTTACAACCCGTCGAACCGAAGATCATTTACTGTTTCAAACTTTTTGCCCTGATTTAGTTGGTTTCGTACGTTTTGATCTGATTAGACGAGAGGACCGACACGCTGGGACAGCGCAATTTATGCACGATGATGCGCGCAACTCAAGTTGATCGGTGGCGGTGCTTGAGGGGTTTCAAAGCAAAGTAATTAAAGGACGCAGTAATATTGAGCTGAAACTTGGCTCAGTCCCTGGTAAAAACTTCACCAGGCACACAAGTCACAGGTATCATACACAAAAATAGTTGAAAGTAAGAATTGATTAACATTACAAAATACTCCTCTTGAACAACGACCAGCCACCTGCGGTTGTGGATAAAATACCTGCGGATATCGCCATTGGTCTGAGTCCGGCTGAAATATAATTCGTAAGCCAGATGTTTCATAAGACCGATAGTTTCAGACTCCGAACTCACCCGTGGATTTGAATAAAGCACCCGAAAATGCACCAGCGCCCATGGAATTTAGCACGTCGTGCTTACCTCTTATGCTGTCGAGAGAGGAGTTTGTCATGTTGTAAACCATAGCTGGTGGGAGTGTTAGAATTGCGATTGGTAGAGACTGTCACCGACCAATGATACCACCAGAATTGGCAATAAATGAGCCACGCTTGGTCAAACTGTTGAGAATTGCGTTCACCCTCAACCTCGTTACAGGCGCAGCGAGTTTCTTATTCATACCCTCTCTCAGACCCCATAAACCACCAAGACCGAGACCAGAAACATAAGTAGTACCAACGCCATAACAGAGGTCATCTGACCAGCCACGAGAAGGCAGCGCCGTCTCCGAGCCAGGCAACTCGGACAGCTTTTCATCGTCTAGTAAGAGGTAATCGAGTTTATCGCCGACGTCTGCCATTGGATGGAGGGTTGTTGGGTCAATTGAGAGTACATCCTGGGCAGAGGTGGCTTGAGTGGCAGTGGGTTGTGTGCGGGTGTTGGTGGGCTGTGTATTGATGGGCTGTGTGCTGGATAAGGTGGTGTCTGGAGCCAAATCAGAAGCTGTAGAATTGCTAGTGTCTTGCTTGGTGAATGGCCACATGAATCAATATATTTGCCTCTTTGATTGGATTTCAAGTTGAAGGGAGAAGACGACGCTCATCTCAACTAAAATGTTTAGATTCGCAGGATTAGCGAGGAGTATTAATAGGAGTGCTAGCATCGTCAAGCCTACCTTGAAATCATTTTCCAAGCCACTCACTCCACTCACTATCCGCAAAGCATCTGGATATTCATTCGATCCAGAGGCACAGGCTATTGATGAAATTGAGGAAGGCACTAGAGTACTTAATGAGGGTGACGTTGAAGGCGCCAAAGAAAAGTACCAAAGATCGCTTGATATACAAAAGGAAGGAAAAACTGCAGCTATGGGTTTGTTCAATTTGGGCGTGACTCAATTCTATACCAAGGACATTCAAGGCGCTATAGCCACTTGGGAGAAAAGCCTGGCTATCGAGCCCACCTCTGACCTCCTATCGAACCTCGCTTCTGCCCATATACTGTCATCGCCTTCCAACCCAGCTAAAGCACTCGAGTACCTCACTCAAGCACGAGATGTAAACCCAGATGACCCTGAAGTCGCTTTTAATCTGGGCGTCGTCAGTGAGGCAACTGGGCAACTGGAGAGCGCTCTAGACAACTACAAAGCTGCTAAATCACTTGGTGTTGAACGCGCTGAGGAGAATGTTAGAAATGTGGGTGCCAAGATCATTTCAGAGAGGGCAAAGAAGGCTGAGCAAGAGGAGTAATATCTGCATTATAAGCAAGAGGAGTAATATGAGCAATATGAGCAATATGAGCAATATGAGCAATGAATGGTATACCTTTTCCATGTTTAAAACCTCTGAAGATGCTTTTTACTTTTACATTTATTTTTCCCTTGTCTTATCTTACTCGTGCTGTGCTTGCATACGTCCATCATTGTGTCATCGTTATGGGCGGCCCACTCAAAGCAACCAACACGGATTCGAAGCTGAACGTGAGATGGCCAGTAATCCACTCAAATCCTTTCTAATTTCCTTGTTTCCAGTCCTTCAAGCGCTCCTGGGACGACGCCAATCACGATTCAAAAGAAGAAAAGCCAGCGCCTCAAAAGAATGCTACGGACGGCGCTGCTCGTCGACGTGCTGCTATAATGGCAGCACTCTCCAATGCATCCACTGGTTCAGCGTTATCCGCGCCGACTCAAGAACACGCTCCAAAGAAGCTCAAGCCGATTCAAGAAAAGAGATCTTTTGTACTCAACGATTCTGATCTGGATGGTAGGGACGCTAGGGATGCAAAGGTTTCGAAGGAGTCTAAGGACAGCAATGATCCCAAATCATTCAATCAACCCCCTCCAGACGTGGCTAAAGTTAACAACCCAACTTCATCTGCGACTCCCGCACCCCTCGTACAGCGCAAACTTAGACTCTCCAATGAACAGCAGAAAGTCTTGCAGATGGTCGTCGATGAATCTAAAAATGTCTTCTTCACCGGTTCCGCAGGTACTGGTAAATCCGTCCTTCTCAGAGAAATTATAACCAGTCTGCGCAAGAAATTCAAAAAGGGCCCCGAAAGCGTTGCTGTTACTGCTTCCACTGGTATTGCGGCGTGTAACATCGGTGGTACAACTCTGCATTCCTTCACAGGATGTGGTTTGTGTAATGAGAACGTCAACGCTCTCACGCAGAAAGTCAAACGTAACCCAAAAGCATTGAAACGGTGGACTAGAGTTAAGGTACTCATCATTGATGAAGGTGTGTGGAGGTTTTTTCACAATGTGACTCCATTTACTCACAAATTTCAAGTATCCATGGTTGATGGTGAACTATTCGACAAGCTTGAAGGGTTAGCAAGGAACATCCGTAAACGTCCTGAACCTTTCGGAAATATTCAGATTGTCGTTTGTGGTGATTTCTTTCAACTTCCACCCGTTAGTAAAGGTTCAGCACCAAATTTCTGCTTTGACGCTGAATCCTGGACGCGTGTCATTGCACATACAATCAACCTCCGCCAAGTGTTCCGTCAGAGAGATGAGACGTTCATCAATATGCTTAACGAGATGCGTTTCGGGAAGCTTTCAGACAACTCGATTAGAATATTCAAGAGTCTTTCAAGACCACTGGTATTTGCTGATCAAATTCAGCCGACTGAGCTCTACCCGCTGCGTCAGCAAGTCGATCAATCGAACAATGGCAGAATGAATCAACTTGAAGGTGAAACAAAAACATTCAGTGCATTAGACTCGGGCGAGCTGCCTGTCGATCAGCGTGACAAGGTCTTGTCCAACTTCATGGCACCGAAACAGCTGCATATCAAACTCGGTTGTCAAGTAATGCTAATTAAGAACATTGACGAAACGTTAGTGAATGGCTCACTAGGAAGGGTCATAGATTTTATTGATGCTGTAAGATACACGCGTGGTGAAGCAAGTAAAAGATTAGAGGAGGATGAAGAGTACGATGATAGCGTGCATAAAGCTCGTTCAGCTGCTTTGGGCGCAAGGAAAGGGGATCCCCAAGTCAGTGGACAGCCAACAAAAAAAGATCAAGGAACTGCTTACCCTCTTGTACACTTCTTGCTCCCAAATGGCGGATACAGAGAATTGCTGTGTGTTCCAGATGTATGGAGAACAGAGGGCGTTAATGGAAAGATTGAAGCAAGTAGAAATCAAGTTCCGCTCATCTTGGCTTGGTCAATGTCGATACACAAATCACAAGGTCAGACGCTCGAGAGAGTCAAAGTCGATTTGTCATCTATTTTCGAAAGAGGTCAATGTTACGTCGCTATCTCTCGTGCTACCTCGTTGGATGGACTACAGATACTAGGTTTCAAGCCTGACAAGGTTATGGCTCATAGACGAGTTATAGAATGGCACAAGACACTTGAGAATGTCTAAGTCGACAATTTAACTAAAATAAACTAAAGTAGCAAGGGCATTTTATCATTATTACCACTGAGCAACAAGCATTGTAACAATATTTCCAGCAAACAAGCTAAACGAGTTATAAATAATATATTACATTCTATTCAACCAATACACAGCATTTGGCTATGTATCTCGCCAGTGCTAGCCTAACGACTTCCAACTCAGATAATGCGCGATGGTACGATGGTGTGCCATCTTTAGCAAGCAGACGAGCCAATGGATCTAAATATTCTCTCTCGCTGTTAGCGCGCACGCCAGTATGCACGTCCTCCAATATCCTCAATAACTCATACGCTTCTTCCGTAGTGAAGAGTATTTCAGAGTCTGCAGATGTGAGCCAAATTGTGATGAGAAGGAGGGAAATAACTCACATTCTAGCAGTGGGAGTGCGTCAGCCAACAAAACACTCCAGAAACGTCTTGGAGCCATCTCAGTGGAAAGCATCTCAACAAGTAAAACAGCCGCGTTTTCTCTATTATTAGTTTTCAGGTGACTATGGAACTCTTTGTAGCGCGCTAGGAAAGCCAATCGCGATGAAACGGCAGGATCTCTGGCTAGAGCGCGAGCCGAAGCATCCTGAGTGCCATCATTCTCTATTTCCAAGCTGCCCATATCGCCACTATCTCCACCATCGGCAATTCCACCAGCAGACGACGTCGTCACGTTGAGGAGGGATGTCGGGATAGTGTTGACGAGATTGCTGAAGACTGTCTGGCCATGAGTGATGTATTCCTCGAGGATGAGGTCAGTGATACGACCGAGCTTGCGCGCCTCTTTCGCTCTGATGCAGAAAGCTACGGCGAGCCCATAGAACCCTCTGTCGAGCAACTGCTCAGCCGTGTTCCTGCAAACCTCCGACGCTTCTTCTTCGAGAGCGTACTCTTGGCAGATGGACAGTATCTCCTCTACTCTCGTTAAGTTGGGCAAGTCGGTTGAAATATCAAAGACATTGTCAGCGTCCATCTTGTTGTCGCGATCGCTGCGCGCATCGAGCTGGAGAGGTACACGCACTATCAACGCTCTCACTCGACTTGCGCCTTCGACTCCACATTGGGCGTAGTAGTCGAGTGTTATAGTCCATAGTCCAGGGTCCGATGCGAGTTTATCTGCGTATTGAAGTAGGAAGTGCTGTCTGAGAGATAGTGGGAATCTACAACACGGGTTAGACGATTTGGAGGGTAGACAAACACTCACTGTGGATCGTGATCGACAGCGCCAATTTTGTCGAGCAGATCAGTCAAGTGTGCAACAAGCCATGGATCGAATTCGTTGGATAAAGTGATGGCCTGGTTAATTTGATTAGGTTTGCCGCAATTAAATAATGCAACTCACTTTAGTGGTGTCGGCAGTAGCAAGAGCAGCTTCTATACACTGATCGGGGAGAGTGGTGTCGAGGGGGAGTTGGTTGAAAATTTCATCAATAACGCTCGGGATATCGTCACGGCGGAGGGAAGGAACGACAAACAAGCCGAAAGCAGCGAGGCACTCCCTCCAATCGTCTGCAACTTGGAAGATTTTGTCCTTCTTTCCACAGAGAAGTTGAAGAGCTAGGGTGATGTCATCAAAGACGTATTTTGTAAATTCGTCAGCATATTGAGACAAATCGGCGATACTAGATAAGCTTCGTTTAGCTTCATCTCTCCAAGATCTATGTGCAGCCAAGTAATCAAGTTCGAATTGGTAGGTGGTCGAGCGAGGGAAGGTGTATAAAAGGGAAATGAGACGTTCAGCGGTGGAGCTGATGGATTTAGTTGGGTGAGAGAGTAAAGAGTGAAGGGGCTGTGTTGCAGTTTTATGGAAACCTCTAATAATGGATTTGTAAATGTAAGGCCAGAAGTTGTGATGAAGGTGAGGGGTATTTGAAGAGGTAATCTCCAAGCCTTCTTCGGTTGTGGGAGCTATATCGATAGTGTTTATCCAATCTAGAATTTCTTCTGCGACGATGCCTTCACCACGACCATCGATAGGGAAATAGAGGAGATGAGAGAAGGACCAAATAGCGTAAACATTAGCTGAGTGGAGTAGATTGGTTGGACTGCAATGATCCAAGTGCTGGTTCAAGGTGGATTTGAATAAAGATGAAAATCTTGAGTAAGTTGATAGATTTGATTGGTTTAAATCTTGTATGCGTTGTAAGGAAGTGAAAATAGGATAAACAGCGTGAATAAGGGATCTATTTTGTTGGTCAAGTGGGTCATGACACGCGAAATAGATCAATCTATCATGCTCAAGCTGGTTAAGACGCTCAAACGAGTTGATATTTAAAATAATCTCATTATTTGTACTTTGATTATTAGAAATAAATCTATTGGATAATTTAAATTTGTCTATTTCTCCAGATTTTATACCAAATGGCTTTAATTTTATTTCCATTGGTTGGTGGTCGTTGGTGTTGAACCTGGCCAAACCCTCCTTGATTTGTAACAGCCATCATCTAATAAACATCATCTAATAAGCAATGGAAAACCCTTTACAGCCGCAGCGGGAGACGCCGGGGGAATTGCACACGGAGACACAGCCGCAGACAAGGGCACAGACAGAGACGCAGGCACAGACACATACACCCACACACCCAAACATCAATCACACCCTCCCAAGTCTCCCAGATGGCGCTTCTCTAGGTACACCACCAACACCACTGAGTGAATCAATCGAAGAACCATTCAACGGTGTTGGCGGGGTGCATGGAAATACATTCCCAGGTGATATAGTACCCACAAGCTTCGATGACAACGTTTACAACTCTCTTTGTGAATTGGAATGTGGGATTCCACTTATCCTCGAACGCATAAAGCAATCAATGATTAGCTGCAAAGAATCTTCCACTTTCCTTAAAAGAAAGTCCAAAATCGAAGAGGACTATGGAAATCAATTGATTAAACTTGGTAAATCCACGTCAGAAATTTATAGCTCAACTGAGGCAAAAGCTGGTTCATTTGTCAACTCTTTTCACTCGATTATGCGCTTACATGAGTCTATCGGTGAAGGCAAGCTTAGATTAGCTACACGTCTCAATGAAATCTCAGATGAACTATCTCAACTTCACAGACAAGTTGATAAAAGCCGTAAGCACGCAAAAGATTATGGAAACAAACACGAAAAATTTCTACAAGAAGCTGAAGCTAATACCGAAAAAGTTTGTTCCTTTCTAAATTTAATCTTCCGCTCACATCATATTCCAGAGCAAACACCGTTTCGACGCTGTAGCTGAAGAATTAGAACGCGTTCTCATCATTAAAGAAGGCGAAAGTCTTAAAGAGGGTTCTATATCACGTGCCGCAAATGCAAATGCTGGCTCTTCTCAATCCTCTGTACACAGCGATAAGAAAGGTGGCTTCTCTAAAATGCGGAAAGGTGCTGGTTTCTTTAGAGGTCGTAACCCTGCACACATACTCAAGCAAGAGGAGGATATCCGCAACAGAATCTCCCAAGCTAGCGATTCTTTCAAACGACATGCCCAGGAGAGTTCTAGTCTGCGTTCAGAGTATTGGGAGATCTACATGCCACGTATAGTGAGAACATTAAAGGAATGCTCCGACGAGATTGACTTAGGTGTTCAATATCATTTGGAACGCTATGCTTTCTTATTAGAGAACTCCCTCCTCAACGAAGGTGTCACTGTCACTCCTCTAGCAAAAGAAGACGGTCCCGGTTTAAGAGCCTTGGTTGAAGGTATCGACAACCAGAAAGACTTCAAGACTTTCATGCAGAACTATTCCATTTCTCAACCAAAAACAACCGGTCCTGCCAAGCATGGTCCCGATTACGAAAGTCAAGCAAAGTCATTCTCTCCTTCACAATCTTACGCCCGCATACCAACAGCATCACACTCTCAAAATCAAACACCGAAAGCTGCTACCGCCTCGCTGCCTTCATTTTCATCTAGAAAGACATTTGGTGTCGATTTGACGGAGCAGATGGTGAGAGATGATGTAGAGATACCTCTAATTGTCGATAAATGTAGCAACATCATCGAAGCTCAAGGATTAGACAGCCAGGGTATATACAGGTTGTCTGGTACAACATCAAAAGTCCAATCACTCAAGGCAAAGATTGACCAGGATGTGGGTGGCATAGACCTCTTCCAAGAGGAAGAAGCTATGGATATTAACGTAGTTGCGAGTGTTGTTAAGCAGTGGTTCAGGGAGCTTCCTGAGCCTCTTCTGACGTATCAACTTTACGCACAATTCGTCGAAGCCGCCAAGGTGGAGAACGACAGGCTGAGGCACATCAAGCTGCATGAGACGGTCAACCAACTCCCGGATTGCAACTACTCCACTCTCAAATATCTGATGGGTCATTTGGATAAAGTTAAGGACCTGCATGAGATCAACTCGATGCATACATCTAACCTTGCTATTGTCTTTGGGCCTACTCTTCTCAATCCACCTCCAGAGGAACAGGCCAAGGGCACTGCTTTGGCTGATATGCAATACCAGTGCAAGGCAATTGAAACTATTCTCGAGAATTACGCTGCTATCTTTGTTGAAGAGGAACAGCAGTAGGATCAGATATAGTAAAGGCGATTAATTAATGGTATGCGAATACCTAATGAGCAATTTCACATCCATATATATATATATATATATATATACTAACTACACTACACTACTCTATTTATATTAACTCGAATCCGCAAGAAAGAGATGGCCGAGCTTACACTACTTTTTAATACACTTACGACATCGTAGCACTCAACATCTGTACATCCACTTTCTCATACCCGTTGACACAACTCACTATTTAATTGCTCAGTCTACTTAATTCTTTGTTATCTACTATTGGATTCACCTTTGTTTATGATTCGCGTTTGTGTGTAGATTAAGGTACATTTACAAAAGAGATAAAAGTAAGAAACAGGTGAAAATCTTAATCCATGATACTTTAGCAATCTAATGTGATTTGTAAAGGGTTTGCGTGTCGAGAAGGGTGTCATTCTTCGAAACGATGAATGAATGTGTGAGATGGGTACGATTATGAATCGTGATCTCATCATATCCAAATTCGCCCTGAATAATGTTTCTAGACTGTGGTGAAACATCCTCTGGCATATCGTCCAATCCATCGTAATGGCCAGCCGCGCCATTGATTATATACCAAGGGGAAGTTGGATTGTCAAGACCCTTTTTATCGACTGTCCCATTTGAGATAGGAGCCAAACGCTCGTAGAGATGTACATGGCCGTGCATGACGAGATCCACATCATACTTGACCAGCAGCTCTTCGAAAGATTCCTTACATCCGGGACAGTCTGGCGATGTGCCATACCACGGTCTATGTCCGCCTACTATCAACCACGGCGTGATTGATCTGTCGGTACTGTTGAGCTCCTTCTCCAAAAATTCAATTTGAGCATTAGGTTCAGCGAGGTTATTTTGCTCTGGATCTTGTGTGATATCCACTGGAGGTATGCCAGCTTTCAGGTCGGTTTCCGTGTTGAGTTGGATGAATTTCATTGGACCTGCCTCGACACTCCACCAGAAATTGCACAATTCTCCACTCTCACAGGGCATAAAGAAGCGGTTGTTGTAAAAAGTAAAGTTGCGCTGTCCGTTAGGAATGTCGTCAACTAGGATAGGTTCGTTGGTCCATGGATCTGTGTAGTTATGACCTTCCGTCAACAGCTGCTCGTGGTTCCCCGGGCCTACCATGTAAGGAGTGCTTCTAGCGAACTGCGATGTCTGGTTGAAGTAAATCTCGAGAATGAGCTCGTATGTCTCACTCATCTGCTCAAGAAGCGAGTCATTAAGGGCATTTGAGATGTATCCATCGGTAATTTCCTGTCGCGAGCTGGTCTGAGGTGCAAATTTTACACATACGTTCCACTCACCTTGCCTACATCGTCGGCATAGGCGTGGTCCCCGTTGTGTATGATGAGTTGATACTTGTCTTTATTTTCTATGAGAGCCTTCATCGTTGAGCGCTCTCCTTGGTCAAGTCGAGCGAAATCGTCGACTTTAGAGGGTGCTTCTGTGGATAGACCTGGGTGCGTGTTAGAGGATTGACCTTGTTACACTTGCTACATCTGCTGCACCCACCAAGCGGTCCCATCACACCCATGTCACCTAAGACAGCAAATTTGAACTCTTCTCCAGTCAATCCAGGCGAGACTGCCGATTTGAAAGAAAGCACCTCTGAACGCGCGCACTCGCCATCGACGTTTAGACATGTTTGGTAGTAATATGTGCAGTCTGACGTCAGGTTTCTGAGACCCACTTTATGCGTAGTGGAAAGAGCAGTGTTATACATTAAACTCTCCCCAGAGGCATTTTCTGTGATATTTGTAGCATTTGTACTGTAGTAAACAGATGGAGTGTATTGAGTGTTGTTTCCAGGTGAGTTGAACGCAACGTTGACTCCATTTGGTGCTATAGCCGTGCGCTGTTGGTAGGTGAGTGAGTTTGAGGTTGAGTTGAAGGCGAAAGCTATGCCGAGCAATTGGAGCAGCAAGAATGCATTCACCACCATATTAACTGTGATGAGTGTGCAAATTGATGCTGTACCTCAATTTAGCCACTCACCAGCCAACGTTCAACAACCGTCCAGCGATGATGCAATCGACGCAAAAACCATCAAAGACGCTCACACTGACGCTCGACGCTTGGGAATCCAAGTCACCGCTGAGCACGACAGCCAACAAAAGCCTAAGTGTGTTATCCAATGCCAGTGCGGAATACGAGCGACCGTTGCCGATAAAGCTAAGCGTGAGTGTGGGGATTTGTTGGAGAGTATTTGCTTAGTTTACTTTGTCAGCTGAACAAATCGCAAATCAGTAAAAGCGCAACACCAAATCTGAACACTCCCTTTGAAGTACCTGGCACGCCTCAGAATGAGCATAATCAGACGCAGAATGAAATCATCACTACTCCACAGCAATACCTCGAATGGTTTGAGCAGATTGAGAAGTCTATCGATAATGAACACGAATCAAAGTATCAGAATCATCTACAGAAACTAAACAGCGAGTTGCAAGTACATGAAGATATTTTGAATAAAGTGAGCTTGTTAGAAGACGAAATATCCTCGCTGCGTGATAATTGGGATGCTATCGATACTGGTACAGCGTCACTCAAGGATGCTTGTCAGAGGTACCTCGATGAGCGCGACGATTTGATAGCCTTGAAGGAGAAAATGCAAGAGCAGCAGCAGCAGCAGCAGCAGAAGCAGAAGCAGTAATATCAGAAGAACATCACATTAACACCAATTGACTGTTTCGCGGGAATTCACGTGGAGCTATTAAATACCAACGCATCTTCCCTTTCCTTTTCGGATGGACAAGTATTGCGGTTACCATTCTATGTCCTTGTAAAATTAGAAATTATCCTTATAAGTGCGAAATGACGTAGACTTAGATAAATGACTCAAGTGACATAATCTTGTAAAGCATAAAGACGAGCGAACATGGATAAAAGTACAGTATCAAGATGGTTTCGATAACACCCCGAATGGAGACGTAGAAGCAGCAGCAGAACCGGAAGAAGCGAGTGTATCCTTCTGTTTCTTCCTCTCGCTCCTCGACAGAAGAGGAGGGAGGAGGGTATCAGAGTGAGGTGAGCGGGGTGTAGGGTTGTGAGTTTGGTGATTTTGCTGGTGCTGCAATCTAGCGGTAGATATACCAGTGCTAGTGCCAGTACCACTCCCACTCGACAGAGGCAGCCCACCGTGATCGATTTGCTGTGCCGCAGGATCACTATCGAAAGGGAAGAGATAGCTGAAGAGCAAATGCTGGACAACGACCCTCTTCTTCAACACCTCCGCATCGAACATTTTAAATAAACCTTTGTTGACTTTAAACCAATTAGGGACGGTGTGAGCGATGCTGTAGAGCTGCGGCGAGTGTTCGTGCCACGGACCGCTCTTGAATTGGTGTATATTGGACACAGCGCGGGCGTAAAGATTGGTGTGTGTATCAGGGAAAGCGTCTGTCTGGTGGAAGAGACGGGAAGGTGGCGTGTCAGTGCTCCTTATCTGCGCCGAACCGAAGATGTAGGGCATGAAACAGTAGTCGTCTAATCCCCACACGCCGTGGCTGCCTGCTGGTTCAAGTTTGTAGGTGATTTGAAGACGTGTTACTGTTTTCCAGTAGTTGACAAATACTTTGGCGATTAGCTCATAGTTGTGCGTCGAGTTCAGCACTCCGATTTGTCTCAGCATGTATAGGACGACGATGAATGATAACTCGTGGCCGGTACCATAGTCTATTCGGACAAAAGACCCGAAAGCATTTAGGAGGGTGGGCGTTATCTGGTTTAGTGCGTCTGTGTGGTTATTGTTTGGAAGTAGCGGAGTTAACATTTGAGCTGCGTTCTTTGGTGGTGGATGGTACAATTAGATTATTAAGTATTAAATACATACACTCACCTCTTCCAACCTCCTTCCCCAGTCCCTGAAAGCCGTATTACCGAATCGCTGTGGGCTGTCAACTGGAGTTATGTCATCGATCCAGCTATCGGTAGTTTGGATGAGGGAGAGTAGGTTGTTAATCGGGCTATCTGATTCTGAATCTAGTTCTGATTTCCCAGTGCTGTCCAAATCCATGGACTTATCCACCACAGCTTCATTGAGCTCGACAATAAACGCAGTCAATCCAGTGTATGCCTTCGATGTGCACCACAGGTGTAAATCGTTCTCTGTAAATATTCTACGCTGAGGTGGCTGTTGCATGGGGCTTGAAGGAAACACTCAAAATGATAAGGATATCAACGGGATTAAATGATAAGAATAAAAATGAGTTCAAGCTACTCGAATTAGATAATGAGCTGGTGGAGGCGCTAGAAAAGCAACAAGTGTGCGTGTCGCGTGGTTTTTGGCTGGCTATATCACTCACCGTACTTCTCGTTTAGTTTGGAATTCAAAGGCGACGGAGATGAGGATGCTGTGTTATGTAGCAACTCTAATACTTACCTGCTGAAGAATAGAATGCATTCCAACAGCCTGACGCTGCTTGAACGCGATACACACGATACACACGATACACACGATACACACATAGTAAACACATTCCATGAAATACTCGAAACACACAAGTGTATACCAAATATGGACAAACTCGATCAAATACTCTCACATCGCGTTTTACTCGATCCAACTGAGTCTAATGTGTGTAGGACGGGATGAGCTAGTAAGACCGCCACTAACACACTCTACACAGACAGACAAAGATAGAGACGTCGATAGCAGCCTGCGATATGATTACAAGCGTTTGAGCAGCTCGATCCAAGCGAGTGATGAGGAAATGAGACACGCTCTGACAGCACGCAAGATAGTGCACTACAACGGAGAGTACAGACCGGTAGATGCTGAATGCCTGATGCGCACTCTCGATCTCATAGCGAATACACTCGAGTTGCTGGGAATGTCCATGACTAACTTGGACAAACAGAGGGTGGTGGAGAAGGTACACGAGGAGCACAACGTAGATAAACAATACACAGATACTGTCATGGACTGGTTTATGAGCACTCCTACATCGCTCGATATAAACGCATTTGTCAAGGAGATGGGCGTGTGCATTTTGAAGACTCACAAACACCCCACGCCTTTCGAAACATTCATCGACGACTGGAAAGAAAGAGTGGGCTACGAGCTGTCATCGTACTGCTCACTAGACCTTCTCAAAGGCTCCTACCTCATAGAAGCAGGTAGAGTCAAGTTTTTCACCTCTTCCTCCCTCTCCAAAGCACCGTCTACACGATTCCAGGAGTTGTTCAAGATGCGTGGCAAATGGTTTGCTGCTGATCTCATACCCTTTATTCAAGACCTCGGAGACAGCAAGGAGCTAGAGCGGCTGGTACTCAAGTTCTGTCGCAGCCAGACAGATAAGAGCAGTGGAATGGAGACATATACATCGAGACAGAGAATATAAGCAAGAACGAGGGACCAAGTCAATCAGAAAACTCTATAGTTTCACCACCTTGTTGTAAAACACCCCTGCGTACCTTTTCGCCTTTAGCGCGCATGAGATCTTCGACGGTGCGCAGCTCTCCTTGGGCTGTATCGGGCTGTTTGAACCAGCCAAGGTTATCAGCGATGAGATGGCGATTGCTGCAGCCCGGACACTGAACAATAACGATGCCCTGTGAGTTGGGTGTAAGCAGCGAGTAAGAATGACGTGACGGTGACAAACCCACCTTGGTGTAGCTGCTCTTGGCGAATTCGTGGGTGGATCTTTCGCCGCAATCTTTGACGGTGCAAGTGAAGCTTATTTGAAGGCGTGGATCGACATGGCCTATCGGGGTGGATGTACCGTCGGTAGGTATTTTGTGAAAGCGTGTGGGGGAGTGCGTGAATGGTCTGGTGAGCTTTGGGAATGCAGTGGCAGCTCTGTAGCTGCATCCAACACTGCGACTGATATTTCTTCTCAATATCCCGCCCAACATCCTCAACGTGGACTGTGAAGAGAGAAGAACGGAGAATGTCAGATAATGCAGAATTACTCGGTTACAAAGCCAAGGAAGCTTTCGATGCTTCACAGTTACTTGAGTCTACCCAGCGCTCGAATGCGCTGCTAGCGATACGCGACGAGCTACAACACCGCAAAGAGGAGGTTTATGCAGCAAACGAGCGTGATTTGAAGGTGTGTTTGGGTGTAATTTGTGTTAAATGCCAGCCAATTCCACCCACAGGAAGCAGCTACACTGGTCGAACAAGGCAAGCTATCAGCGCCATCGATGCGCAGGCTGGCGTTGAACAACGATACCAAATTCAACGGCATCATCCAATCACTCGAGGAAATAGCCTCGCTCGATGATCCTAACGACAAGATTAGCTATGCTGTTGAATTGGATGATGAGCTGGAGTTGTACAGAGTCGCGTGTCCAATTGGCGTGCTCTTGGTGATATTCGAATCACGTCCAGAAGTCGTCGTCAACGTCGCTGCACTCTCTATCAAATCGGGTAACGCGGCGATACTCAAGGGCGGTAAAGAATCGAAACACACATCTCAAATACTAAACAGCGTGATACAAGAGGCACTCAAATCACGCACTCAACTTCTCCCTCACCTCATCCAGACTATCAACACTCGCGACGAGGTTAGTAGTCTCCTTCATCTCGACAAATATATCGATCTTGTCGTTCCTAGAGGTGGAAAAGCGTTGGTTCAGAGTATTAAAGAGAATAGCAGAATTCCCGTTATGGGTCATGCAGATGGAATTTGCTCCGTCTATGTCGATCAATTTGCAGATCTCAATAAGGCAGTGCGCGTAGTAGTCGACTCTAAAACAGACTATCCAAGTGTTTGTAACGCCACCGAAACTCTCCTCCTGCACCGCTCTCAACTGAGCAATTTGGACACTATAGCTTTGGCGCTGTTGAAGAATAAGAATCCAGTGACTATGCACTGCGATCAGACGTCGTTTGAGAATATCTCCAAAGATGTTCATCAGCAATTTTCCAGTCAGCTCTTGCTCTCCACAGATACCGACTACCACACTGAGTGGCTCGATTACGAGATATCAGTAAAGGTTGTCGACAGCATAAACGAGGCTATCGTGCACGTCAACACTCACGGCTCCCATCACACAGATTGTATTGTTACTGAAAACAGCACCAACAAGAACACCTGGATGAAGGGCGTTGGCAGCGCTGGGTGCTATGTCAACGTTTCGACTAGATTCGCTGATGGGTTTAGGTATGGATTTGGCGCTGAATTTGGTGTAGCCACTGGCAAAACTCACGCTAGAGGTCCTGTCGGTTTAGAGGGACTGGTTATATACAAATACATACTCAGGAGTATTGCAGACAATGGTCACATCGTAGGCGAATTTGGGGAGGGTGGTAAATCATTCACTCATAATGCAATCACGGATAATCGTCAACCTTGGTATTGAATGGGGTTATTTTTGTATAACATAAATAGTTTCAGTGATATATCTGTGCTAGTTTGGAGTTTCTTCGTTTTCTGTTTCTGTTTTTTTGCCTGGGTGAGCGTGAGGGTCACTCTTCACCTTCTTGTCAGCCTCGCTCGCAGGTTGATCTTCGGCTTTCCTCTTGTCCTGCTTTTTCTTGGGTTGGAGTACATTCACGGGGGCGTCGCTAGCGACAGATTGTTTAGCCTTATCCATTTCAGCGACAAGGACATCGACAGTAGATTTGGAAGGGTCTTCAGAAGCTGGAGGAGGGGGTTGTTCGAGTTCGGCAATCTATTGAACTAGTTAGAAGGGTGTGTGTGATACAATGTAAACCAACCTTTTCTCTAAGATCACCGATGAGTTCCTCGATGTCTTTAATCTCTTTGGTGGCATCCTCGATTGACAATCTCTCAACGCGTTCTCTAAGTGCGGGTTTGTCATTGTTTTCATTCTCACCCGACACCTCCACAGGTGCACCACTTTCAACGCGCTTTTTCAACTCGCCAAGACGCCCATCGAGCACCTCTTTGGCATCTTGGACATGCACGAGTGCAGTATCGCGTCTGACATGGCCTGGTACAAGCTCATAGCTAATGGCAAGCTTGAAATGCGCTTCTGCGAGTACTCGCGAAGTCGGGTTGAGAATTAGTTTCTTAATCTCGAGCGAGCTGCTGTATTCGAGTGCGGCTGCTTCGAATGTCTCCAACTCGAGTGCTATGTCACCAAGAAGCATGTGTGCATCTGCGAGACAGAGTTTGTTGTTATCGCCGTCTAACTTTTGGTAGATAACTTTGGCAAGGTCGGCAACTTCCCATGCAGCACCGAAGTCGTCGTCGGGGGTGTCTTCGTTGGAGTGGTCGGGGTCTTGTTCAGGCTGGTTGTCGTCATCGCCTTGATCGTCGTTGTCGTCGTCGTCGTCGTCGTCAGATAGCTGAATGAGATTGTCTGTGTTTGCAGTGTTTGCAGTGCTTGCATTGCTTGTGCTTGGAGTGTGTGCTGTGTGTGCTGCATTTGCCGCGTCTGCCGTATCTGCCGTGTCGCCTGCCTCATCAGATTTACCAATGACGTCAGATTGGGATACAGCGTGTAGGTAGAGAGATTCAGCGTATTTGAGGAGGAGTGCAGCTGATTCAACAGACAATTCACCGTGAGTATCGCGTACAATCTCTAAAGCGTCAGAATATTTGTTAGATGCTTCGTTATAATTTCCAATAGAAACAAGTCGATGTGCTTCTTGGGTTATATTTGATAATTCTGATGATGATTCAGACATGGTCGTTTGATTAGAAACTACAACGATGAAAATTGGCAGTGGAGAAGAAGAGCTGCAGAATTTACTAATAGAATACACAAATACACTGGGATATATTTCAAACATAATCGATATTCTTCAATACAATAACAAGGTAAACAGCTTCATCTTTCTATTGGCTGTGAATTTGGCTATTCTTTATTTCAATTGGGTTGAATTATTAGCAGCAATGACTTTCTTATTCTTTGGCCTATTTGAATCCACTCAGAAACCCACTAAAACCGATAAAGATATCAATCAATCAATTATCCATCTTCAGAAGATCAATATTGGTTTAAATCAGTTTAAGTTTGGTTGTTACACCTTTACTCAATCTTCTATTGCTGTGGCTGTTGCTGCTTTCCTCAGATTAATCCTCCCCACACGCTTTTTCTATTCATTCTCCTTCACTTGCCTGTTTCTAGTCAACAACCCCGAGATTTACGTCATTCTAGACAGCTTCAACAGCCAATACTCCCTCAAAGACAAGCGCATCCCTTTCATTACCCTGGTTAAAGACAAACTAAACACTCTCAAACGTAACAAGAGTAAATCTAAAGATACCATGTTTCGTTTTGAGATATACGAAAATCAAAGATGGTGGATGGGTCTTGATTGGACACACGCTTTACTTCCTGGCGAGAGACCTACTTGGTTAGTTGGATTTGTGCTTAGTCTTACACCCGCACTCACATTCACTTCAGGTCAGACAGCAATCTAGATCCCGTCTTGCCACCTAACACTTTCAACTTACCCCAGGATACATCAACCAATGACAAAATAGTTTACACGTGGTCCTGGTTAGATGAGTCTTGGATGGTTACCACTCCCGGACAAAATAAACCTGTGAAAATACTCCCTCTCCCAAATATTCCCTCTGAAGACGATGACAAGGGTGATAATTCTACTCACTCCTTCTCTGTAGATAGATCGGGTGCTGAAAAAGCTCTTAAACAGGGCTTGGCTAAGTTTAACAGACATTCTGCGCAGGCACCCACTGAGACAAAACAGAAAAGTGTCGACAAAGATCCACCAACGAGGTCTTCAATAGATGCTATCGCTGGATCTAACCAGGAAATGGGTACTGCAGATGGTGTTGATCAGAATGGCTGGTCGTATGGAGACAACCAATGGGAGAGATGGAGTTCAAAGAATGGTATGGGATGTTACACGCGTCGCAGGAAATGGATACGCACAGCAGTATTGAAGCAGGTGTTAGTAGAGTGAGAAGGGGTGAAAATGTTCAAATGTAATATTAAACCAACTAAGTGTATAAATAACGTATCACAAACTCAAACTAACTGCTTCATTTCACCATTTTCAACCATTTCACGTAGTATGTCTAGACCACCGATGAGTTCGCCCTTTACGATAATTTGGGGGAATGTTGGCCAATCATTGAGTTTCTTGAGATTCTGCCTGACACTCTCATCCTGGAGAATATCAAAATGAGTGAATTGAATGCCTTGTTCCCTCAACAAAGCGACAGTCTGTTTGGAGAAGCCACAGCGTGGAGTTTGAGGATCCCCTTTCATGAATAAGACGACGTCTGATTGGTTCATGATGGAGTTGCACCTCGAGTTGAGCTGATCCTCGGTCTCAACGGGCAGTGGTGGCTGAGGAGGCTGGCTAGTAGTGGATTGAGAGGAGTTGTTGTTTGATAAGGTGGAGTGTTTCTGTACTGTCTGTGCGAGTAAAGCAGCGTTTGCGCCACTTATTCTATCCAACAGAGTGTGACCTCTAAGCAGCACAAAACAAGGTACAGCTTCAATATCGAATGTTTCCGAGATATCGGGCAGAGATTCGGCTTCAATGTTGAGGAATAGCACAGCGGTGTGCTTCTCACTCAGTTCGCGGGCTACAACGTTCATCTGAGTGCATGGATCTGCCCAAGGAGCCCAGAAATTGAGTACGCTCAATCCATTGAGGTTGTTGGACAATAACGATTGAAATTCTTCAGCTGATTCCACCTCTTTGAGCATTTTGTTGGTTGTAGCGGATCAACAACCATCTTGAGGAATTATTAATGAAATGATTGGTGGATTTGGAAGAAGATTTACTAATTACGGGAAACACACTCACAGACTCATTTCCACTTCTCCCACTCCCCTCCAACGCCAATCCCTCGTCGAGAAGATCGTCAGCCAGTACACCACTCCTACAAAGCCTGTGAGATCTGGTGACTACGTCATGATCAAGCCACAGCATATCATGACACACGATAACACTGGTCCCGTCATTTCCAAATTCGCTGCTATCGGCGCCACCAGCTTCTCGAATCCCCGACAACCCGTTTTCACTATAGACCACGATGTACAGAACAAATCTGACAAGAACTTGGAAAAGTACGCTAAAATCGAGGCCTTTGCGAATAAACACGGTGTAGATTTCTATCCAGCCGGGAGGGGAATAGGTCACCAAATCCTCATCGAGGAGGGGTACGCGTGGCCACAGTCGCTAGTCGTAGCCAGTGATAGCCATTCTAACATGTACGGCGGTGTAGGCTGTCTGGGAACACCGATAGTGCGCACAGACGCTGCTGCCATCTGGGCAACCCAACGCACCTGGTGGCAAGTACCTCCCGTCGTCAAAGTAGAGTTGAAGGGCAGTCTGCAGCCGGGCGTCAGTGGAAAGGATGTAATAGTTGCGCTCTGCGGCACTTTCAACCACGACGAGGTGCTCAACAGCGTCATTGAGTTTGTCGGTGACGGTGTATCCATGCTATCCATCGACGAGCGTCTCGCCATTGCGAACATGACCACCGAATGGGGGGCACTGGCTGGGGTGTTCCCCGTCGACGAGCATACACTTGCTTGGTACGAAGCACAGGCGAAGAAGCTCGATCTTGGGGTGTTCTCCGCCCTCGCTCCCTCCGCTGGCCACCAACCCGGCAGCCCGCACCCGCGCATCAACAGCGACAGGATCCGCGCGTTGGCTGGTAATGTCCTGCGTGCTGACGATGACGCGCAATACGCCGCCCACCTCTCTCTCCAACTCGACACGCTTGTGCCGCACGTATCCGGCCCCAACTCGGTGAAAGTATCGACGCCGCTGCCTGTGTTACAAGAGCGCTCTGTCAAGATCGACAAGGCGTATTTGGTGAGCTGCACCAATAGTCGTGCGTCTGATATAGCAGCTGCGGCGGCGGTTGTGCGTGGACGACAAGTGGCGGAGGGTGTGCAATTCTACATCGCTGCTGCATCCTCAGTCGTGCAGAAGGATAGCGAGATGAGCGGTGATTGGCAGACACTGCTAGATGCCGGTGCCCGCCCTCTTCCGGCTGGTTGCGGCCCTTGTATTGGCCTAGGTGTTGGGTTGCTCGAAGATGGCGAGGTCGGTATTAGCGCTACGAACCGCAACTATAAAGGCAGGATGGGCTCACCTAATGCCCTCGCTTACCTCGCTTCTCCTGCTGTCGTAGCGGCGAGTGCTATCAATGGGCATATCACCGGTACTGGACTCCACGATAATCTCCACCTCAGCACGAGCAATAAACCCGAATGGAGTATTGAAAATGGTGGTGAGAAGGAGGAGAGCACAACACAAAACGTTAACCAAAACATTCCAAAGGAACCACTCCTGCCAGGCTTCCCAGCCATGTTCGAAGGCCCACTTCTCTTCGCCCCTCAGGATAACCTCACCACGGATGGGATGTATCCCGGCAAATACACATACCAGGACGATATCACCGCTGCCAAACAGGCCGAGGTGGTCATGGAGAACTACGACGTGTCGTTTGCGGGAGTGGTGAAGAAGCTGCATGAGCGTGAGTCGAGTAGCAGGGTTAATGACAATACGTCCACACACTCCGGCGTCGTCCTCGCCTCCGGTTTCAACTTTGGTACAGGCTCATCACGCGAACAAGCCGCAACAGCCCTGCTTAATGCCGGTATCCCTCTCGTTCTCGGCGGAAGTTTCGGTGATGTGTACCGCCGTAATGCCATCAATAACGGCCTCATCGTCGTCGAGTGTCCCGAGTTGATTGAGGATATGACTAGCAAATTCACTCCAGATAATCAACGCGGTATGGGTGGTCGTAATGGTGAACAGACGGTGCATACTGGGTGGAATGTCCGTGTTTCTACCGCTGATGGACTCATTGAGGTCGTCGACGCGGACCGCAACGTCGTCAAATCTTACATAGCTCCTAGAGTTGGTACCGCCGTGCAGGATATTTGGACAGCGGGTGGTCTCGAAGGTTGGGTGAAGAGATCCATTGCGGCTGCTTAGGGTGTTTTGAGTTTAAAAGTATTAGTTATACATTCATATAGACACACACACACATGGACATGTCAAAGATAGGCAAATAGATCGGTTATGCTAGCTACAGGTATGCTTTGTGTGAGTGTGTCTTTATAGAAGCCAATAAGGTCAGTGAGTTGTTCCGAGCGGTGAGTGAAGCTGAGTGCGTGTGTTAGGTGAAGCTGAGAGACGGGGAGTGAGTTAGCGAAGCGTGTTGAGTATAGTGCGCAAACCCACCCTAATCCTCCGCGATACATCCAACAGAGCGCTAGAGAGAGTTTCCTCGACGGGTTTCTTTGCGAGGAGGTCGCTCATCAACTCCTTCTCATCAGCCGCATGCTGGTGGAGCCACGCGAGCAACTCGCCCGCGAAGCGAACGGGATGGGTGATGATATCCTCATTGCTTTCCAAGTTTGCGAGGGCAGTAAGGAATTGTGATTGTAGAAGCATTCTGCGGAGTTTGGCCAGATGTACTAGCACCTCATGGTAGAGATCATCACGTTGGGCTAGGTGCTCCAGACACGCAACGTGCAGCCCTTCCACAATGACCTCCCCTCCGCCCCTCTTGGCATAGTGCATGTCGAATTGGTGTTTGAGATACTTGCAAATTTTCACATACGCGGTTTCACATAGCGGTGAGGATGTGTGGAGAATGTCGAGAGCTGCCGTGGATTGGTCGCCAGTGGGCGTGTGTAGCAATTGGGCTTTGTGGCGGATGTCGTTCAGACGCGTTAGCGCGTCGAGGAGTGGGTAATCCATGTTGTAGTCTTTCGAACTGAGCAAGAGGACTGCTTGGGGAGGGAGAGTGAAGGTTTCGAGGAATTGCTCTGTGGATTGCAACTTGGATTGGAGTGTGTGTGTGGAATTGAGTAATTGACGGACTGAGCTGGTAAATTGAGTGTTATGCTCGATGGCTCGTGTGAGTTGCGTGTTGATAGCTTGAATACTTCCATTGATAACACTTATGTCGTCATAATTGCTATCTACTCTCTCCTTATACCTCCCTAGCTCATCTCGATAACACCTCACCTGACTGAGTAAATGGGAGTGTGTTGAAGATTTTAAATTTAATTTCGATAGCTTTATATCTAAATTATCTAAATTGTCGAGGTAATTTAAACTTTTTAAAATATCCTGATTTGACATGTTTCGATTGAGCCAGACCCATTGAGCCAGCTTCTATCTTTCACCATCACGCAAATAAGAGAAAATGTCCAGATCATATGATAGAGCACTCACGGTATTCTCACCAGACGGTCACTTATTCCAGGTTTGTTGTGTGCGCTGTGTTATTCGTGGCTTACGTATGTGTCCCAGGTGGAATACGCGTTGGAGGCGGTGAGAAAGGGAACATGCGCAGTTGGTTTAGTTGGTAAAGACTGCGTTATTCTTGCTGTCGAGAAGAAGTCAGTTTTACAGCTTCAAGACGCGAGATCGTTGAAGAAGGTTGTTGGATTGGATGACCACATTTCATTGGCATTTGCAGGACTTACAGCTGATGCTAGAGTGTTGGTTGATAAAGCTAGGCTCGAATGCCAGTCACACCGACTCACCGTAGAGGACGCTGTTACAGTGGAGTATATAACCCGCCACATAGCTCAAATTCAACAAAAATATACTCAATCTGGTGGTGTTAGACCGTTTGGTATTAGCTGCTTGCTTTCTGGGTTCGATCCTTACGAAAATACTCCAAAATTATACCTGACTGAGCCTTCTGGGATTTATACTGCATGGAAAGCAAACAGCATCGGTAGATCATCAAAGACTGTCAGGGAATTCTTAGAGAAGAACTACAAGGATGATCTCAGCGACGATGACGCTATCAAGCTCACTATCAAATCACTCCTCCAAGTCGTGCAAACTGGGGCTAAGAACATTGACATATCAATTCTCAAGAAGGGCGAGAAGAGCACGCAGCTGGAATCTGCCCAGGTTGAGCAGATTGTAGAAGCCATTGAAAGGGAAAACAAGGAAGAAGACGACAGAAGGAAGACTAGATTGCAGGCTCAATTGGATGCTCAATCCGCAATGACCTGATGAATTCAATCTTGTAAATTGATTTTAATTAATAATTGTCATACTTGTCAAATACCCCTGAAGCTGCGTCTCTTGGCTGTCACAACCCTTGTCCCCCAACAGCCATCATGTCGTCCCTATACGGCATCCTGGCAAAGCAAAATCCACTTAACGACGAGAATAATCCTGTAAAAAACATTACCGTCTTCCTCCTCCAGCTTATCATCATCATCATCTTATGCCGAATCTTATCATTCGGGTTAAAATTCATCAAGCAGCCACCAGTCGTCGGTGAGATTATCGCGGGTATTTTACTAGGTCCAACAGTGTGTATCTTTTTGCTGCAATCTCCCATCCTTAGTCGCTCACTCTCCCCAGGCCTTTGGCGCAATACCCGGTTTCACCCAGACAATATTCAGCGACGAACACAAGGCTTTGTTGTGTTAGTAGGATCCTTTATACTTCATTTCCCCTTAATAACCCCCTCCAGCCCTCACCAGCAACGTCGGTCTCGCCCTTTTCCTCTTTCTTGTCGGCCTAGAGACTGATATCGATTTGATGAAACGTTTGTGGAAGGAAACTATGGTTACCACTATCCCAGGTCTCCTAGTTCCTTTCGGCGTATCTGTTGGCGTGTCTGTACTCATGTACCAAGAATTCGCTGACCCTTCCATCAACTTTATCGGCTTTTTCCTCTTCATCGCAACTTCAATGGCTGTTACCGCTCTCTCTATTCTCTCTCGCATTCTCGTTGAACTCAACATCATTTCCACTAAACTCGGTGCAATCGCTATAGCTGCAGGTGTCTGCAATGACGCCATGGGCTACATTCTTCTCGCTATCTCCACTGCCGTGTCCTCTGGCGGTGATCAGATCAACGCCCTATGGGAGCTTCTCTGCTTGATTGGCGAAGTCATCTTCATGTGGTTTGTCACTCGTCACATTATCAGCTACTTCTATCGCAGAAACGAGTACAAACTGACTACTGGTATCGCTACTCTTACTATAGTTGGCGCCCTTATCAGCTCTTGGTTTACTGACATCCTAGGCTTGCACCCTATGGTCGGTGCTTTCGCTTTTGGCGCTTGCTGTCCCCACGAGCATGATTTCCCAGAGAAGATGACTGAAAGAATCGAAACTCCGATCATGATTTTCCTTCTCCCTCTCTATTTCGTATCCAGCGGTCTTAACACCAACTTTATCCTTCTCGATAGCGGTAAGATTTGGGGTCTTATCTTCCTCCTCCTTGCAGCCACCTTTATTAGCAAGGGTGGCTGCACCGCCGTTAGCTGTCTTTTAGTCGGTCTCCCGTGGCGCCAAGCCATGTGTGTAGCTTTCTTGATGCAATCCAAGGGTGTTATAGAGCTCGTTATTCTCTCTGTCGGTTTAGAGCTTGGTGTTATTTCCGAACTAGTCTACGCACAGCTTGTCATGGTCTTTATTCTTACCACTCTCACCGTACGTCCGCTCGCAGACTGGGTCTATCTCAACAGAATCGATCTCCACGCACACCCCGTCGACGAGAAGGACATTGAAAAGAATGAGGGGGGTATTACTCAAGAGGAATCTCCGTCAGCCTCCAAGAGCGTTCTTATTGTCTTTAATACCATGGCTCCTCCTTTAACCCCTACCCTCAAGTTTCTTTCGCTCCTGTCGTCATCGACGCCCGGCTTCAACGTAGTCAATCTTCATTTGCATGCAATCGACATAACTTCACGTGCATACATAGCACGTGCCACTGCAGCCGAGTACCTTGGACACTCGCACATGAACATAAACAGTGAGGGTCTGGAACTAGTTAATGCGCTAACCTCATTCGAGAAGCTATCCGGCTTAGTCAACACTCACCACAAGTCCACATCTTTACTAGTTGAGCGTGTCGATCATGTGCGCGTGACGCTCGAGTACATGCAATCCATCTCCACCTCAGGCATAGTCATAACGCCGTGGATACCATCCAGCGGGGCTTTCGGAACTGCAGCGACGACAATTGCGAATGACATCAACAAGCCGCGCTCTTTCGCTGGTGCGTTACTGAAAGAGTCACAATACATAGCGGAGATGGGCGTGATAGTGCAACCCCTCGATATACTGCGACATGCTAGCAGCCATGCGAAGAAATCTCCCAGACGTCCTAAAGTCCTTCTCATCTTTTTCGGTGGCAAAGATGATGATTGTGCGCGAGAGATAGTGCGACGGATCCAATCTGTCGATGTCGTCATACTCAACTTGACCATTCAATCGGAAACGCACGAGAGCAAATTGGCACAGGAGGCTGAGCTCACTCAAATGGTTTCTCCGGGAATGGGGCTGCCACAAAAACACGACGATAACACGCTTCATGGTCAGATCACTATGGTCGCACCTGGTATACAGGAGAGCAGAGGTCTGAGTCATATGTTCCACAGACGCGCGTCGCACGATGTGGGTGCGGGCGGGCTTGGTGATGACGAGGGTGGTGGTGAAGGCGCAACCGCTTCTGCTCAGAATGATGTGCCCGACACTCCTCCCGATGGCACTCCTCACCGTATCGATATAAAGGTCGACGCGGAAAGCATCCTCACTACCCTACTAGACTCGCTTCACTCGGCACTGCCTGATCCTCATTCAGAGGATATGGTCGTCGTCGGGCGCGCGAAACTCGACCAGCAGCGCACATCGCTCTTTCGGTCCCAGGCGGAGGAACTGCTGAGGGGGAACGCATATGATATAAGCACAGAGGAAAGAGGCGAGATTAGTGATATTGGTAGGGTTTTAGGTGGGTTGAGCTCTTTACTTGATGCTATTATCTCATACACTACACAGGCTCCGTCGCACAATCTGTTTCACTCGACCTCGGCTGTTCAAACAAGAGGAACGAAATGGGCTGTCCGCAGGTACTAGTAGTGCAGTCAAAATCGGTTCCTGAGGAGACTGCTGTAGATGCAGAAGTGTAGTTGTAGTTTGCATTGTTCAGGATATCAAATTAGCATGTTTAAAAATCAACACACTTGTACTATTCATTCATTTTCACCATACAATTATACAATAAATACATTAAAGAGTGTAATTAAGACAAGACAGCGAATGCACTAATGAGCCCAATGGAGACAGTAGCGATGGCGCCGAGAGCCATGTTACGTGCACCGCTATCACCGTTCTCTGCCTGTGTGCTACTGTTGCCGCTGTCGTCGGAGGTTGATTGCGGGCCGTCGCTTTCGCTCTCTGTGTGCACGTACATATGCAGACTGGACTGGGTGGCACAGTTGGAGCTAGAAGGTGTGCTGTACGGTGCCGACGGGGTAGCTGTATCGCCTACGGTGTATACCTCATAAGTGTTAGAGGTGATAGTACCCGTGTAGCGCTGGTTGAAAGTGCTGTAGCCGTCTCCATCTGGATAAACACCTGGGGGGAAAGCTGCGTCTGCATCGCACGAAATAAATTCATCCTGCTTGCCCGCATAATCACCAGGCATGATGAACCCACAGCCCATCTCGTCCAGCTTGTGCTCGCACATAGTTGACGCATCCCACATATCGTCCGCTGCCGTACATACACGCAGACAGAATTGCTCATACGAAATGAATTCCATCCACTCCTCGTAGAATACCGCATCACCAGTTATGTTAGATGTGACATTCCCACCGACAGGGTTCCCATTTCCTTCGGCACCGTGTGGGTCGAGCTCGCCGCCGTAGTCGCCGTCCTTCACCCCGATCTTGGTCAGATCTCCCCACCCTTGCAGCTGGATGTAGTAGGGTGTCTTGACGAAGTGCAGGCCTGTGCGGTGTTGTGAGCGACTGTCTCGATGCGCGCACTCCTGCACTTATAATCCTACGCACCCGTGAAAGTATCTTCGGGAATCAGGCGCGCGTTGTTGCGCGGTTGCGTGCACCAAGCTACCTGCTCAGATTCCGTGTCGCCAATCGTTTTGTCGGCTTCCTTTGGTCCGAATATACAGAAATCCTGATTTGGGTGTAAGTGCGGGCGCGCGTGCCTCATTTATCATTACTCACATCAATGTTGTTCACTGTGAGCAGTCGCGCTGTCGAGTCGTCCGGCGTGTCAGTGCCCAGTTCCGGTTCGTCTGGGTTTGTAGGTCCGTTTTCATTCGACGAGACCACTCCGGGATAGTCGATCGATTGCGCCGATGCTACACCAGCCACTGCTGCAAGAGAGAGTAGGGAAAGTTTTCCAACCATTTGGTTAAGTTGAGTAAAGTTGGATAGATTTGAGTTGTTGGTTAGTGTTCAAGTCGGATCTGCCGGTTTTTGGGTTATTTTAGTGCATATTCATATCTCATTTCGCGCTTTTAGCAGCGGCGCGAACGCGAGCCAAGGAACTTTGAAGACAAATAAATGAGGTATAGTATAGGTAATTGTCGCACAAGATATACCCCTGATCACACGCGATTCTCAACTATAGCGCTATCTAACCAATGACATAACTTCGTACATAATCTACTTTTTTAGTCCTTTCAGCAGCCACTTTGGTATCTTTTTCTCCTTCTTCTCTCCACTCGGAACTGGCTTCTCTACTGTGTTCTTCTCCGTCCTCTGTTCCGACTCGAAGCTCGGAGGCGTAGGCAGCGAGTGAGCACTCGCAGTGAGACTACCTTTCAGAGGAGCTTTCGATGTCGAAGCATTGAGGCTGTCTGTCTTGAACTTTATCATGAGCACCGATGACGGGGCTAGCCCCAAGTCAATAAGGCGTTTGCTTTCGTTTGGTTTGAATTCAATCCTCGGTGGACTTTGGTCTGTGTATTGTGAGCTTTGTGTGTACAATACACTCCATGCACCACCAACACTCACACAGAACAAATTCCTCGTTTGTGTACTTATCGTCCAGCGTATCTTTCACAAAGTCATAAACCCGCGCTATAACCTCAGTACTGCTGAATGCTGACTGTATGATACTTCTATCTGCAAACTTCACGCGTATATTCGTCTGTATGGGGAGTTGGCAGTGTCAGTGTCGTACAAACGTACGTCATAACACTTCACTTACTGTCGGCCATCTAGCCTTGCGCTGCTTCTCCTCTCTCTCCCTCATCACTCGCGTCTTTAATGGGCCCTCATATTCACTCTCTAATCGCTTCGATGTCGCTGTGTGTGCTTTTGCAAGCTCGCTCGACGTAGGCTCAAAGTACGATTCTGGGTATTCCTGCGTGGCTATATCGTGTAAATACAAGTCGCGAATTTCAGCATCCACATACAACTCGTCTTCTCGTATGGTTTGAAAACTGATATTTTCCGCTGATTTTGATCTCCGTCCATGATGATGGTGATGATGATAACAATAGTCGATTAGACAGACAGTGACGAAATTACAAAAATATAGACAAATTCACAATCTAGTTAAATGACTTTTGCTCAGCTTGTCCAACACCGCCAATAAGTTCTGTTCTCTGCTAAGTTTAAAGAGTCTAGATAAGTCGTAACTCACCTTGGGCGTCACATTACCATATTTAGTTCTCCTGAATCTTAAGTGTTGGTTAGATAAATTGAACATTGTCAATCTAGCACTCACGTCGAACTATCAAAGAATGCCTGTATGTGATTCAGCTTTACCAAATTCAGTATCTGATCCAGTTCAGTAAGCGTTGGTGGTTTTTGGTCGCTAATACACTGTGTCATGAGGAAATTGACGTCGATTCTGACGTTATCTAGTCCCTTTTCATTAATCACTTGCACTTCGCTACCGACCAACAAATCAAGTATACCTTCAGCAATATGTTGCACAGCATTCGCATAAGCCTGGTCGCGCAGACTAGTAGGCAAATTAGTCAGCACCGATGAGCTGATAAAAGAGAGGTAATCTGTCATTTCCCTTAAATACTCGCTCGGATTTACGTCACTCTTGAGTGCCGTAGAAGAGTCTGGGGTCCATTCAACCTCTGCCATCTCGAATAATGAGTCGAGTTTGTCGCCAATAAGAGCACTTATACGCGTCAAAGTTTGCTTTGACAGCTTCTTAACGTCTTTGATACAATTCAGCTGGTGAGACGAACGGGATGTGTCGTGTACACCTCCAAACAGAGCACTCAACCACTTGATTAGCTCTCCAGCTGCAAACTCGAAATAACTGACATCTACAGCCAACTGGACCGCTTGTGAGAGATTAAAGACACCCTCGGCAATCACGCTTAGCGCTTTGACTACTCCATCTCTCATCACACTGTCTAAGCCATCCACGATTAGACTGTTAGTATCCACTTGAGCGTATCCATCCGTGTATTTGTAAAAATCTTCGATAAATTGTCGCAATAATCTGCATGAATCTGGGTATATGCTTGAAAAGGGTAAATGAATAGGTGGTTTCTGAGAATATACGGCTGAGACTGAAGAGTTGTCAACCCAGCAAATACTAAGTATACTTTCGAGATCCTCAGAAGACTGGACCACAAGAGCTTGCTGATCACTGCCTTCAAATACGCTCCTTAGCTCTTTTGAGTAGTTATCATGAAGTAATGTGGTATATTCTTCGAACAATGCGTGAAGTAGCGTGTTCAATTGCTGTACGTCAAAATCGTAGCTTTCGAGCGTCCAAATAAACGTCATTACATTTTCTTTGACTGTCACATGCGACTGTGATGTGCGCAGACCATCCCTAACTACGCTAGATATACCAGAGCATATGAGATCCCACAGATCATCGACATTACTCTCGCTCCTGAAGCCACTAGTCAGACTGAGTACATACCTCTCGACGATAAAGAATCCGACAACGTCCTGTAGGAGATGCTGCAACGAATGCGAGAAATCGTGATCACTTCTTGTTGACAAAATCAAATCAGCTTGCGACTTTCTGTCCTCCTGATACGCTTTCCTTAAGTCTTGTCTAGCTGCCAGTGCGTCGTAGATGTGTATACAGTGCAGTAGCGGCTTGAAGTCGATACTAACGTCGTTGTTATTTAGTGGATCGAAATTATCTTGATTCATGACCAGTTCTAATGGGGAGTTAATACCGCTGTTGACTAATAGGGGATCTGATTGCTTTTTGCTGCGCCATCGCTGCTGTCTTTCATTCGTGTTGGATAGAGCTAAAGCACCGACTATGCGCTGAATGTTCCTGATACCGAGCAGCCAGTCTTTCAACTCGAATGATGCACTATCGCAGACTGTACGACGCATTGCTGGAATACCATCTAATAGGTGAGCACCGAGTGTGTAATTCGCTAATGGTGGAAGATGGTGAATAGCGAGATCGTCAAGAGAGCGTAAAGCTGCGTAGTATTTCCTACTCTCTATCAGCTCATCAACTCTTTTCATCATTTCGAGTACATGCTGAAATGCGCGCATCATTTCTGTAGCTTGGTCGATATTACCGTTTGTTCTGTTTATTTCAAGTAATTCCTTCTTCTGTAAGGAATATTAGATGTGCATTATGATGTATGTGTTGTAATACACACCTTCATGACTAGAGATCTTCCTGCAGACTGCATGTCATCATTTACCTGGACGATCTTCTGCTTAAGCTGCATTGTGCTCTTGCGCACTCCAAGAAGCGTCTTCACTGATCCTACAAAGTCCTTCAAACATTTGATCAGCCGTGCTTCTCAGTGCCGCTGCTGTACAACTCACCTGATAATTGTATTTGCACTGCTCCTCAATCTCCTTGTCCTTCTCTGCTATGAAAGCATCTAATGCCTTCACATAGTCTCTCTCCTGCTGCGATTCGTTGATATTCTTTAGTATTGGACCAAGTTGCTCGAGCGACTCGTCCTGCACATTCGAGCTATCGAATTCTATCAAATGTACCTGCGACAACTGCGCTTTTATATCCTCCTCATTGTAGTGCGGCCGTTTGCGCTGTTGATTTTGCAGCATTCTATGACGAGATGATGGAAGTGCGTAGATAACGAGTGCTATTTAATCATTCTAGGTATTTACAATTCAATGCCTACGGTTTACTCTCATTCGCTTTCAAGCCTTGCTATCATGCCTTGGGGAATCGTGCGCTGAAGTTGGTCGTCGCTGCTGGCAGTGAGGGTGTAGACATACTCATTGCATTGGCTGGATTGAACGGAGTGCTTTTAGCACTAAGTTTGCTTTTACTGTCGTTTGTGTTGCTGTGTGCTGGTGGTATATCCTTCAATGCTACATCGGCCATTCCACTTGGTCTTGCCTTTGGTGTTTTGAGTTCCGGGGTTGTGTATGCAAGTGTCAAGGCTGTATGCTGGTTAGAAAGTATTGTAAAAATATATGAAAGCCTACTTGGATCTCTTTGAAGCACTCGCACCCATCTTCGCCTCCTCACCCAGTAGTTCTTGTCTACATTGTCTGAGGATGTTGTCTTGCTACCACTCTTACCGGATCTACCACCAAACATCTGTGTAGCCTTGATAGAGCTTAATCCGGTACCCTTTTCGAGATTCTCGATTTCCTTGTTTTTGTTCCCCTTCCATTGAAGGCCATTAGCACTAAAGTCGTGTGCATACATCCATCCCTCGCCATCTTCTTTACCGGCTGATCTCCATACTAGCCAGTCATCAGTAGTCCAGTGATACGCGCCACGATTGCTTGATGGCTTTCCTGATACCGTTGTCAGGTTGAGTGTGAACGGTTTGCCGATTGAAGGTATCTGTACATCGTTGAAAGGATCTGTAGCATCTATTGGACGACCATCTAGTAGCTCCCACTTAGGTCTTCTACCGCCCTGTCCTAAGCCCGAGTTGGACCAACGCGGAATACCGCCTGTTTTCGCCAGCGTTGACATACGACAATCCAAGCGCTGGTTTTCGAGGATGGCGATAGGTGCTGACTGATGGTATTTGAGAGGGTTATAAGAAGCAGGATCCTTTACGAGCCCCTTCTCAGACTCGAGAATGAACTGGGACAATGTTGGTATTGTGTAGGGTATTGAAACACACTCACCTCGCAGATATCAAAATTCAAGCTCTCAGCTGCTAGTGAGTAGGCAGTAGCACCAGATTTGTTGCGAATGAAAGGATCTGCAGGTGCGCTCGCCTCAGTGAGAAGGAAAATGACAACGTGGAGATGACCTCTGCTTGCTGCATTCATTAGAGGAGTATATCCAGGACCACCTTGCATACCGCCGACGCTATCAATGATATCCTTGTCAGCGTTGTTAAGTATAATTCTGACGGCATCTTCAGATCCATTAGCAGAGGCGTTATGTAGGGCATTCCAACCGTCGCTGTCAACGTGTGCGACATTGGCGCCAGCACCAAGAAGATAAGCGACAGTCGGAAGGTTGGCTGGTTTGTGAGAGGCTCTCAACAGCGCGGTTTCACCTTCCCTGTCTTCCAACTCGAGCATCGCACCAGCGTCTTGAATGAGGTACTTGACGACATCCAAGTGTCCATTACTAGAAGCAGCATGAAGAGGAGTGATTCCGCTTCTTTTATTAGTCTCATTTGAATGCGCGAATGAGGGTTGGAGAAATTCGAGAGTATCTAGATCGCCGGAGGAAGCTGCTTTGAATAGACGTGATAAATACTCATCACTGACATCTTGCGAGTTTTCTTTGTCTTTCTCCTTGCCTGTATTGAGCTGCAATGTGTTCTCGAGTTGCTCGCTGACTTCTCTGGTGGGCTCAACGAGATTATCTGCATCTGCATTTTCATAAACGAATTCCTCCGAGTCGTCGTTGCTGTTATCGTATTTAAAGTCTTCCTCGTAATTGAATTTGGATGTAAGCGGATCGTTCATTGGCTGTTGGTTGTTGAGGTAAGAGATGGTGACGGAAGGCTCAAGGCTTCGGCTGATGTGTATTACCAATATTGTACAGAGGTATAGAGCGTAATCGCTCAGCAGTTTGAGTCCCTATGACATACGATCAATTAACTCAATTCGGTGCAATTCGATAGTAATTTATATATATTATAGTACATATAGCTCATTTGAATACATCCAACCCATTTATCTCTTTGCATTATCGATTGAAAATCTTCACGTCAGTTGAAAGTGTAAATAATCAGTAATTTAGAAAGAATAGTATTTCAGATGAGAATAATGGATTTTAAATTTAATTTAACCCATTATTCAGAATTTTGGATTTTTGATTGAAAATGTAAATTTGACGCATCGCTCGAGAATCAATCAGAAATTGCTCTTTAGCTCGAACAACGGCCACTTGAGGGTAGGTTTAGACAAGTCCCAGTATTTGAATAAGAGTTGCTGCGTTTTATCTGCGGAATCAGATTTAGCTTAGTTTAAAGCGTGAGCGTAAGGAAGGTTGAAATGCTGGTGGATATTATGCAGTACACTCCTTCTCATATTGGGACTTATTCCCTCTCATTTGCATCATTCTAACGTCTTCTCAGATGTCTCACAGAAAGTACGAAGTGAGTAGCCACACGTACACCAACCAAGACGAACTCTAATCAAATTTAGGCCCCAAGACACGGTTCTTTAGGATTCTTGCCAAAGAAGCGCTGCACTAACGTCGGGTAAGTTATTTGGCTGTCTTCCCGCTTCACAGCCTAACACCCACCCAGTGCTAGAGGAAAGTGCAAGTCTTTCCCTAAGGATGACGCTAAGAAGCCAGTCCACCTCACTGGTTTGATGGGTTACAAGGCTGGTATGACCCACGTCGTCAGAGACCTCGACAGACCAGGTTCGTGTTTTTAGAAATTTTTCATCCTCCTCTTACACCCTCTTAGGCTCAAAGATGCACAAGCGTGAAGTCGTTGAGCCAGTCACCATCGTCGAAACTCCTCCAATGGCTGTCGTCGGTGTTGTCGGTTACGTCGAGACTCCAAGAGGTCTCCGCTCACTCACCACCGTTTGGGCTGAGCACCTTAGTGACGAACTCAAGCGTCGCTTCTACAAGAACTGGTACCGCTCAAAGAAGAAGGCTTTCACCAAGTACGCTAAGAAGCACTCTGAGAACTCTGGTGCTTCCATCTCTCGTGAAATCGAGCGTATCAAGAAGTACTGTCAAGTCGTTCGTGTCTTGGCTCACACCCAAGTCTCAAAGACTTCTCTCCAGCAAAAGAAGGCCCACCTCATGGAGATTCAAGTGAACGGTGGCTCAGTCGCTGACAAGGTTGACTTCGCCAAGTCTCACTTCGAGAAGACCTTCAACGCCTCATCTGTCTTCGAACAAGACGAGGTCATCGATGCCATCGGTATCACCAAGGGTAGAGGTTACGAGGGTGTCACCAAGAGATGGAACGTCACTCGTCTCCCAAGAAAGACTCACAAGGGTCTTAGAAAGGTTGCTTGTATTGGTGCTTGGCACCCATCCAACGTCATGTTCACTGTTGCGCGTTCTGGTCAGGATGGTTTCCACCACCGTACCGAACTCAACAAGAAGGTGTACAGAATCGCAAACGGTGAAGACAACAAGAACGCTTCTACCGACTTTGACCCAACTGACAAGCAAATCACTCCAATGGGTGGTTTCCCTCACTACGGTGTTGTTCAAAACGACTTCATCATGCTCAAGGGTTGTATCGTTGGTCCAAAGAAGAGAGCTATCACTTTGAGAAAGTCCCACCAAGTGCACACCTCAAGAGCACACCTCGAAAAGGTCAACCTCAAGTTCATCGATACATCATCCAAGATTGGTCACGGTAAATTCCAAACTTCAGCTGAAAAGGCTGCCTTCTACGGTTCTACCTCTGGCCGTCTCGCTTAAGTTTAACTTAAGTGATTGGTTTTGTACTCATTCATACTTTATTGTATTTATAGAAGTGTGTGTGTGTGGTTCTGTTGAGATTTTTACATGTGAGTGTTAAGCTTTAGATGATTTCTTTTCCACAACGTAAGATCTATCCTCCACCTGCAAGATACACTGAAAGCTCTCTACTATCACCTATCCAAACAAACGTTCACGGCAGACCAGTTACCAAAAATACATTAGCGAGAATTTTGGAAATAAGATATCTTACATTCCATCAATTAATCCTTTTCTATTGCAATGCTTCTGCGACTACGTCGATGCAAAAAAAAAAATCCTCCTATTCTCATATCCCTGCACAAAATGGTTCACCATGCTAAATTCTGGAAAAAAAACAGCGATGCAAAAATATTAGCCCCACGCGGGGCTCGAACCCGCAGCCTTGTGATTAAGAGTCACACGCTCTACCGATTGAGCTAGCAAGGCTTGATGGTGTGAACCGTTCAAGTAGCAACAACATCGTAAATATTAGACATTGACTACTTCAAATCCTTTTCGGGAAATTTTTTCGGACTATGTGGAGTACCCTTACACTCAGCAATGCGACGCAGAATATGTGAGCACTATACAGCATCCCTAAAAGTAGAAGCCTCCAAAATATTAGACATTAAGTCCAACGCGCTCTCTACGAGCTCTTCAAAAACCAGCTCAGGACCCACACGCGCGCTTCCGGTAGCTCCACGTAGTTACCTCCCAATTTACGGCACACGTATCAAGAACCGCATCCCTTTGAGTTACTATTATCGTCAGCTTTCTATGTACAAGAAGTATAGGTAAGCGAAGATTATTTATAGTTGTAACGCTTTTGACTATGTATTATGATTTCTATCTTTTAAGTCCAACGCCGCAAAAACATCAACTGGAAGATTTACAGCAGCAAAAACGGCCAAGGTACTCAACGAGATGCCTAGCCACCCAGCTACGGTCAGGGCATTACCCTACGACTAAGTCTTACCGTTACCGGTTCCGACTGATTGATTCACCTAAATACAGTGCGTATGGCACAGAGGACACCATCTCGCATAGAATCTTCATACTCAAAAGACACATAATGGCCAGAATCACATTAAGAAGGAAGATTACCAAGATCAATATTCGGTTCGAATTAGGTCCAATACTCAGAAACACACACTCTTTACAAGCCCTTTACGAGTTCTTCAAACCGCAATTGACTACGTACCAAAGATACTCCGATGGTTCAATGTAATTGAGAACCACCAACAATTTACAAATTACGACGCTAGTAAAGAAACGCTTCCAGTAAATTCCGCATCCCCTTTGACTCCTCATGCTTTAAGAAGTATTGATGGACGCGGTTTATAACATGTATCGTCTTAACAATATAATCAGATTTCATCATCATTATATTTTGCTCAAGCTCTGAAATCGAGAGAGGTGTACCGTCGCCCGTGGTTGACGGGATGCTCCACCAATTACCACGGTAAACGACTGCGACGTGACCGATATCTTGTCTTTGCACACTGACGTAATCAGCTGGCTTGGCTGGTATGCGGCAGGCATCAAAGATGAATCTGTATGCGTTCATGCACATTGGCGTTTTGTTGCAGCCGTGTATCAGGTCCGATATTGCCGTCGTAGAGCATCTTTCGGAATTGAAGAACAAAGTGAGCCATTCGAGCTGCATATTAAATTAAGTTACAATTGTGATTCATTGATTTCTATCCAGCATAATAAGATACATTCACAACGGCAGAATCACGATAAGACATGTAGGTTGCGTCGTCCCAATACTGCTCGAGCCAATTGACGTGCTCTGGATTTTGACTGTGTGAAATTATCCTCTTCTGGAGCTTGAGGTCCTCTTTTGTTAGAAATTTCTTCAGTTTGCCTTCGAGATCTCTGACTTGGGTGACGTCATTCGTCAATGGTTTGACAAATGTCAACAACTGCACGACTATATTCTCCAAAGATGGCACTGGTAACGCAGGCAGCTTCAAATCATGGTTTGAGATGTACGGCGTGAGTGACTTCCACAAAGCAGGCCTAACACCATCAGCTGGTTTTTTAGCTCTTTTCCTTTTGAATATGGATGTGGAGGTAGGGTGGATCGACGCGACATGATCTTCATCGTATCTTGTGGCTGGTCTAAGTCTTGGTTTACTATCTGACAATTTGTGTCTTGATGTCAAGGGGATAAGGGTTTTACTTTATTACGTTATAAAAGGACCTAAAATTCGAGTACACATTCTTTAATATGTGCATTTCAACGCAAATTTGAGACTGATTTGCAATCGGTGATGCTAGTCGCAGTTCATTTATAAGATTATCGCGCAATATTGATATCAGTTGGTACTAAATGCGTTCATGTATTGGTTTTTTATCAAAATTTTTTCAGCATGCTTAATATAACATGAAACGAAATCCTGTTGTTATCAATGTGCGCCAATCCATAGAACTTTTTGCAACCTCCACTTCAACGAGGTTATCTTGTAGAGTACTGTACGATGAAAGCAATTGGAATGTTGCGTTGAATTTATTTTGCTACCAAGTTAGATTTATCTTAACCACATATCAGCAGAAGTGAGACCATTTTCAGGTTTTCGATAACCAAATCCCAGCTGGTTTTATCAAAGGTATTCATTATTTATATGGAGTTTAATTAAATCGTAAACGTTATGCAAATATCTGACACAGCGGTCCCTCAACTAGACTTAAAGTTTAGATTGACGTTCAGAAGACCCAAAAAGCGACAACATGTCGTTCGCAGCTGTGGTCAAATCCTTCAAAAATGCTTCGTTACGTTCTTTGCCCATGTCATTCTTCTCTGAAGCTGTGCCATAAGCGCTATGACTTGTTACTGTGAATTGAAGATAATCCTCGAAGATAGCGTAGGCGACTCCAAAACTAGAATTAAGGTTAGAATATTTCAAATGGTACTGCTAAACCTCTCACCCGCTTGGCACCACTTCGCCCCATCCATATGTGTCAAAGTATTTTGATGATATCTGTGAGGTTGAGCTGAAGTGTCGTTAAGTGTAGTTAAATCACAGCTCTCTACACTCACAGTGTCCAAGTGCCTGATTTTGAGAGGAGCCCGTCATTGAAAATCTCAGGCACAGGTTCAGTAGGAAGCAGTGATTTCTTCAGACCTTTTAAGAACCTATTAGCAAAGTACGTGCTAAAAGCTGATTGAATTGCCTACCAAACAGATGTCTATCGCAACCTTGAGCTAAACCGGCCTGCTTCGCATTTTTCAAGTGTGTTTTTACAGCGACTTCCAAGGCGTTTATACGTTCATCAGCGGTTTTAGAAGGATCGTTCATAGCATTAGTAAATGTCGCGCTGTCAGTGGTGGCTGAGCGAATACATTCAGTACGGCCATTAGCGAATGAACGTGTCATTGCTGCTTCATATGTAGGAGCTGGGAATGCTTCTTCACCTTCTCTAGCTGCCAAACGAGAGTAAGCGAGCTGTATGACCATCTGCGTCCACGCATCTGGTGAAAAACCTGCTTTCTTGATCGCTCCTTTGCCATAATTAGTTAAGATATATCCAAGAACTTGGCTATTTGCCAGCTCCTTGATCTCATTCCAGGCATCATTTATTGACCCTTGAAGACCGTCGAGGTTGAACGGGAGGGGGATTGGTGTTTGGGTATCTCTTCTCTCTGCATTAACAGTATCTTGATCGAGCAGCTCATTTGAGGGCAGTGAAGCCTTTTGAATGCTCTCCATAACGTAATCACAGACTCTTTGAGGTTGCGTCCCGTCAGCACAGGAATGCTCACCCATAAAACCACCACTAGCTGTCTCAGAAGACTCGTCCTGCCAGCAGATGAATTGGAGGGGCTTGTCGACAAAGCGGTTGTTAGAGAATCTCCCTGTTTCACCTGCATGCCAGAGGTGTCTAGACTTATCGACTGGCGAGTTGATTGCTTGGTTACCGTCTAATGTGATAACAACGGCAGCTGATTCGATTGCAGCTAAAGACTCTTCATTCTTTTTGTCAATTTGCAACAGAGCAGATCGATCCTAGATAGCGTGAGCAAAAGTATTCCTGACCAAGATCACTCACATCTGCCCACTTATCTCTGTTGCGTGTCGTAAGAAGACCAACGTACCCCTCTTCGGCTTGCTGATCAAGGATGTATTCTATATTTTGCTCAAGCTCTGAAATCGAGAGAGGTGTACCGTCGCCCGTGGTTGACGGGATGCTCCACCAATTACCACGGTAAACGACTGCGACATGGCCGATACCTTGTCTTTGCACACTGACGTAATCAGCTGGCTTGGCTGGTATGCGGCAGGCGTCAAAGAGGAACCTGTACGAGTTCATGCAAATTGGTGAATTGTCTCTACCGATCGCATCAGGTTCGATTTGGCCGTCATAGAGCAACTTTCTAAATTGAAGAGCGTGGTGAGCAACTCTAGCAGCATACTGAGGTAAATCCAGCTTTTGCTTTGGTGGTGCGAAACCATAAAAGTAAGAAACGTTGACGACGACAGAATCGCGATAGGACATGTATGCTGCGTCGTCCCAATACATCTCAAGCCAATTGACGTGCTCTGGATCTTGACTGCGTGAAATAAGTCTCTGCTGGAGTGCTGGGCCTTCGTTGGCTAGAAATCTGTGCAATTTCCCCTCAAGATGCGTAAATTGGTTGACGTCATTAGTCAATGGCTTGATAGAATTTAAGACTTGATCTGCAGTGTTTTCCAGAGATGGGACTGGCAACGCAGGTAATTTAAGATGGTGGTTGGAGATGTACGGTGCGAGTGACTTCCAAATTGCAGGCCTAACACCGTCAGCGGGTTTATTGATAAGAGATGGCTTCAAATTCATAAGCCGTGAATGAAATCTCATTAGTCAATTGATCAGACTTGGGTGTACGTGACCAACATCTCTTTAACCACAACGACGATGGCAAAGCAAAATATAATCTCAAAGAACGCAAATGACGTAGTAATTGTATCTGCTGTAAGGACACCAATTACTCGGGTGCGTCCATCTCCTCATATCCCAAACTTATATCTCACCCGTCACACAGGCTAGAAAGGGTGGTTTAGCCGGTACTCTCCCAGAGAAACTGCTGGCCCACGCTTTTAAAGAATCCATCCAGCGTGGCAAATTAGATCCAAAGCTTATCGAAGTGTGTATGCACTGCTGATATCACTCACCCGGTTAACTCGCTTATTAGGATATCGCCGTTGGAAATGTTTTGCCACCAGGTGGAGGTGCCAGCCTTGCACGTATGGCCCAACTCTACGCTGGTATTCCCCACTCGGCAGCTATTAATACCGTTAATCGCCAGTGCTCGTCTGGTTTACAAGCAGTGTCTCAGATCGCACTCGAAATCGCTTCTGGCCAGATCGACGTTGGTATTGGTGCAGGCGTTGAGTCTATGACTGCTCACTACGGCGCTGGCGCTATGCCACCTAACCTCGACCAAGATGTTCTCTCTAATCAAGAGTCAGCCGATTGCCTAATTCCGTGGGTCTTTCTTCAACACTCTAAACCCTCCTAACAATATTTTAGAATGGGTATCACTTCTGAGAATGTCGCTAAAGATTTCGGTATTTCTCGCGCAGCTCAAGATGAATTCGCTGCACAGTCTCAGCAGAAAGCTGCAGCCGCTCAAAAGGCAGGCAAGTTCACTAACGAAATCGCCCCTATCATGGTCAACAGTGAAGATGGTACCCATAAACTTATCGACAAGGACGATGGTATCAGAGATGGCGTCACCAAGGAAACTCTTGCCAAGCTGAAGCCAGCATTCGATCAGAATGGTTGTACGCACGCAGGCAACGCATCTCAAGTCTCAGATGGTGCAGCTGCCGTCGTTCTCACAAGGCGCAGTAACGCAGAGAAGCTTAAATTACCTATTCTTGGCAAATTCGTCGCTTCGGCTGACGTTGGTTGTCCACCACGTATTATGGGTATTGGTCCAGCTGTTGCTATTCCAAAGGTTCTTCAAAAGGCTGGTTTGTCTAGCTCTGATGTCGATATCTACGAGGTGAGTGGGTGTTGTGAATTTAATACTCTAACGATATGTCTAGATCAACGAGGCATTTGCATCGCAAGCACTCTACTGCGTTCAGAAACTTGGATTAGATCCTGTCAAAGTCAATCCAAACGGCGGTGCCATGTACGTTAGCCTATGTCGCGAATTAGTTATACTAACGTACTTGCAGTGCCCTCGGTCATCCTCTTGGATGCACTGGTGCTCGTCAGATTGCAACCATCTTATCAGAAGCTAAGAGAATTGGTGCTAAGGTTTTATGTACCTCTATGTGCATTGTAGGTTGGATGTCTTCTCACCTGAAACAATTTAATCGCATTTCAGGGCACGGGAATGGGCAAAGCTAGTATCATCATCAACGAGCAATGAGCTGAATTAAGTTACTAGGAATGTATAACGTACGACAAAGTAACGAAATTTCTTTATGAATACCATCACATGTTTACATGAAGGCTCTACTCGTTGGCATTTCCTGGTGCTCATTCGATACTTTTGGCTAGGCGCTCGAGTATGCTTTCCATTCGCGCCTGGCGAGCATCAATAGTCGATAGTTTTTCATGCATCTGTTCCGACTGGGTGCTATCCTGAAGAACATTCTGAGAGGGATGAGGCGATGTATTGTCACTCTTGGTTTTGCGTGACGGCTGTAAAGCGCCCTCTTGTTGAATTGGATTAGCCAGTATCGATCCAATATTCGACTCATGTGATCGTGGTTTCCTATACGCGCTAAGCATCGGCCGTGTTGAAAAGGCTTTGGCCAGCGGGCTGTTCAGACTGCCTATATTGCGACTGAGGGTATGTTCCACATTCGACATTCTGCGAGGGCGTCCCTTTTGGATGCGCTGCAGTCTGGCATTATCCGTGTCTTGAGTGGTGGGGCGTAGAACTGTTGATCCTTCTGTTTTCCTCCTGTTGCTTACTCCTGGTGGAGGATCGGTCTGACTAAGCAGTGGACTGACGGCATCTTCATTGTCATCGCTCTCCATCCGCGTCTGAGGAAAGGGTAACTCTGGCTCTTTGCCCACACTTTTGCTAAAACCAGGCTGTAGCACTTCCAGCTCATCGCGCAACCTCTGCTGCTGTATGCGTTGAGGGGAGAGTACATTACGCGAAGGTATCTGACTCAATCTGCGCTGTTCAATTTCCTCGCACATACGTCTATGCAGTTCATTCTCCTCGGTGCCATAGTGCTGCTCGCGTGCCACAGTAGTCGCGCGCTGTACCTCGTCATGATTGAACTGCGTCTTGCCAACGAAGTCGAGATCCTCCTCCTCATCTTCATCCCAGCCTTGATCGGGATGGTACTCGAATGCAGCTGCTACATCTTTGCCAGACCCTACCAACCCTTCAAGCAGAGTTAGGTTTTTCAGTTTCCGAGGCAGGCTCTCGCCAATCTTGTCCGCCATCGCTTGGATCCTCTTGTAGAAGGGCAACACGGAACGCAGCGTCTCTGGCTCATATCTCTCATAAAGCGAGATGATAAGCAGGATGGGTGCCGCAGTAGCTCTGACCATGAAAACGTTGAACTTGTGGAACCACCGTGGGGACAGTATCCATCGCGCAGGCGCCATCACTAGCCATGCAAATATGTTCAATGGTGGCTGGTACCCGAACAAAGCATCACTTTTGACTCCTTCTATAGTCTGCACCGCCTGTCTGAACATATACTCAGCTTCGGCGTCGGCATCTATTTTCGCAAATGTCGTAGACAGAATCGAGACGAGCACTGTGAGCAAAAGCGTATTGCTGATACACGCATATAACACAATTAGCACAGGCCCAAATACTGGATGAAGGTTTGGGGCTATGGTGAATCCAGTCCCATCCAATCCAAACCACTGCTGTTGTTGAGAAATGTCTTTAAAAAAGAAACTCAACTCACGATGAAAAGCATATATTTTGCTAGTTCCTCCCAAGTATACGCACCCCTACCGAGGGTCCAGAGAGCATAGAGAAACCCGGTGAAACAGAAGAAGGCTAGTGCCATCAGGAAGAGGAAATCGAGGAAAAGAGCTCGGATTGACAGAATCATAAGATTGTTTGATAGCGTAACAAATGCCAACCTAGGGAACAGCAGAGCAGCTGCGCATGATAATACTTCGAGTCCGAGAAGTGAATATTTTGGATGATCATACCAGATACCGTACACTCTAAAAGCGAGGTAATGGAGAAAATCGATAATGAAAAGCAAATCGAACCCATTCCAAAGATTTGCTGAGTATACTTTCCAACCATGCTCCTGTGTACTTGCCAGCTTTTCCAATGTGAAACCCAGAGCATAAAAAATGAAGCCGATTTCGATGATATTGAAAGAATGTTGCTCATTAGACTCAATTGCAAAAACGAATAGTGCGAATAAAATACAGAAGTTGACGTATTCAATGACAGAGCGTATACGAGGAACTTTTAGACGATAGTGATCTAGCAGAGGTGATTGACGGGGGTTGAAGAAAGTGATTGGCTTTACCTTGTAGTAATCACTGATAAAGGCGTGTTTGTTAACAGGTGTATACACTACAGAGCCATTCCAAATGGAATTGATAACTTTCTGACAATGTGCACTTTTTATAAAGCGCTTTGCATTTCCCACTATTGCGATCTCAAGTGCATTGCTGGCTTTGTAGAGAGGACCTTCACCTTCTTCTTCGATGACTTTCTGTACGACGTCTTCTGAAGCACCTTGAAAGAGTCTGAATGGCCCAGCTAAGACATAGGCTAAGTCAATCTTGGAAGAAGCTTTATCAGCATAGACTCGAAGGACTTTGAGAGCAAGTAGTTCACAGAGGTTAGCTCTGGTTGCATTTACGCCCATGTGGGTCTGCAGCTATGTTAGAGAAAGAGAAAATGACGCAATATGATGTGCACACCGGGGAACTTGACTCGCTAATAAAGTGAACTCTATTGACGAGAAGACAGTAGACTTATAGGGGTATGAGCAAGTAGCTAGGAAACCAATGGACACACACCAATAGCCAAATTTTGGTGGTACAAGGAACCATACTTGAGAGCGAGGATTTGAACGACATTGTAAGTAATATGGGGAGATTGTAGCTGCTCCCAGGAAAAAGGGGTTTCAATAATTCTAATGATATCTCTGCGTATTGTCCAGATAAGCGGATAAACATGGGATGTGGCCATCTTATCGTGGATAGACATCTCAGAGGTAGATGAGGAAGATAGCAATGGTGCTTCCTCGTCGCTGTTCTTATTTGCAAGATCCATCGACGTCGAAACCTACGAGATTTTTTATTCAACCAGGAGAAAGGGAAATTGTCGCTCGTTTCGTAGTAACGACGATGAGCATAATGAAGGTTTTAAAAAGAGTAAAATACAGCTATAAGTTTATTTATCTCAGGCATATATTTTAAATTGTGCGTGTGAGTAGTTAACTATAGCGGGTGTGTCACTGGGGGAATCGATTAGACGATAATGCCCTTTTGTAGATGAAAAGCATCTGCAGGAGCTTTAGCGTACACGCTATTGCTGCTAACGGAGGAGGGCTATAGAGATTGGTTAATTTAGACAAACGTGGGTTTGAGCTGTACAGTGCTTGAAGCCAGAGATCTAAAGGCCAAAAATGTATTGTAAATAAGAAGAATATTTTCATTTAAAAGTCTTTATATGATACAGCGTGATTAGATCTTTCTCTCGAACGACCATCACAAGCTAAATAAGAAATTGAGATCGTTTGATGGATATCTTGAATTAAAAATCAGATGCCACCAAAGAGGAATAAATCAAATAAGCCAAGTTATCCACAGCAATCTACAAGTCAATCGAGCAATACAAACAACAGCAACAGCAACAGTAATCCACAGCCAGGTTCTTCAAAGAGAAAGAGCCAGCAACCAGTTGAAACCACAAGTAACAAGAAATCAAAGTATAACCTCAGATCTACTAATAAAGAAATGGATAAGAAGCAATTAAACGTTCCAAATGAAAAATCTAAGAAATCTCGTCAACCAAACACTTCCAACCACAGACGTAATCCACAAAGAAACTCCTCAACCTACCACGACGATGACCTTCTCATGGCTGAAGCTGATGCTGCTGCAGAAGCTCGCAATGACGTACCCAACCTTGATAATTCTCCACAACATCACAACCAGCAACACAACGACCATGACCTTGATTTAGACCAGGATTTAGACCATGACGACGACGACGACAACCACCTAGATGAAATCCCTCAAGACGATCACGCTCTCCTTGCTGACTATAGAATGCTCAGTGGCTTGATCTTCGGTCAATCCTCACGCTACAAGAATATCCTCCAACACCTCCGCGAACGTCCTCATCCCTTAGGCTCTGGTGATGGTACACAGCTCATGATTGCTCTTCAAGAGTTAGCTGAAGTTTTAGCTGTTTCTACTGAAGAAACTCTCGCTGGCTCTTTCCAGGTTGAAGCTTTCTCTAAAGAACTAATTGCAATCATGAATGGCGATCCTCCGACTACAACCGATCAATCAAATAAGAAAGAACCTCTTTCAGCTGAAGCTCAGGAGGAAGCCGAGATAATGGCCGCTCTCGCTGCTTCTGGTGGTGGTGGCTTCGGTGACAACGTTGGTGAGGCTCAGCTCCTCGCTTGCCGTTGTTTGGCCAATCTCATGGAAGCCCTCCCCGGCTCATCAATTAGAGTTGCTCAAAACGGCGCTATCCCTATCCTTTGCTCAAAGTTACGTGATGTTCAGTACGTTGACCTCGCTGAAGAAGCTGTTTCTACTCTTGGCAAACTCGCTCAGGAGGTTCCAAACAAAATTGTCTCAGAAGGCGGTCTCACCGCGATTCTCCAATACCTCGACTTTTTCAATTCCCATGTCCAACGTACTGCGCTCACCGCTGCCGCCAACTGCTGTCGCGCTCTTCCTCCAGACAGCTTCGATATGGTTCACGACGCAATTCCGAAAATACGCGACGTTCTTGGTTATTCCGATCAAAGATTAGTAGAGCAAGCTTGTCTTTGTGTCGTTCGTATCATTGACAGTTACAAGAACAAAGCTGATCTTATCGAAAAGCTACTCGAGGATGGCACACTTATTACTGCAGTCGTCAGCCTTCTCTTACCCTCTGGATCAGGAGGTACGCCTCTGATCACTATTAACACCTTCACTGCACTCCTACGCTCCATGTCATCAGCAAGCAAAGCTAGTGCTAAGGCTGCCATCGCCTTGTTAGATGGCAGCATTGTTGACACTCTTTATAACATTCTCACTGGTGTACTCGTTCCAGAGAAAACTGATCCAACTACGCAAGCAATGAAAGATGGTTCTGCCCCTGGTGAAGGCGGTTTAGCTGATATGGTCGTTCTCGAAAACTTGGCTCACAGGCCAAAAGATCAAGTCGATGAGGCTCTCAGTCTTTCGTTAGAGCTACTTCCACCCATCGTACCTGGTGAGTAGCTCCCTTTTATTTAACTTAGCTAACGAACCATTAGTTGGTGTATTTGATAACAAGTCATACGTAAACAAAACAGGTGAAGGCCAAGATGAGAGCTCACGAGCAAATGAAGAGGTTGAAAGTCATGCACCGCCAAGCCTTGTCAACCGTACCAGACAGAGAGAGGCCACACGTCAAGAAGCAATGCGTAACCGCATTGAATGTCTCCGCTCTAACCCAGCTTCAATCGATCGCTTTATGTCTCTTATGCTTCCCGTATTTGTGGAAGTTTTCGCTGCATCTGTCTCTTTACCTGTCCGCAGTAAAGCACTAGCTGGTCTTCTCAAAATAGTCAGCTTTGCAGAGGAACCTGAACTACAGAACCTACTCAGATTTATTCCAATGGCTAGCTTTATTGGAGGTATACTTTCTTCACGCGATAACCCTAACTTGGTTACTGGTGCTCTTCAGCTCGTTGAGCTTCTCGTCAACAAGTTACCTGAAGTCTATCACTCAGCACTCAGACGCCAAGGTGTTATGTACGAGATTGAGGTTATTGCCGATGACAAGCTCAACTCAGAAAAGGACGATAAGGAGAAACAGACCGAGCCTAACTCAACGGCTGAAAGAGACGAGGGTCCACTTGGTGGTGATCCTGTTTCCAACCTCGCAAGAGCCCTTAGAGTTGACATACCGCAAGCTGAGTCATCACCAGGTTTCCTTAGTCTTGGAACTGGTAATCCAGCCAACAGACTCGCATCTTACTTGGCTGCCGGTAGCGCTGCTGCTTCAGCAGCTGCGGGTACCGCATCACCTGCGAGCCTCGATAGAGCTTCGAATGTAAATCCATCTGATGCAGCTATTGCCAGAGCTAGGGCACTGAAGGAAATCTTCGCAAAGTTGGAGGAACAAAATGGTGCTGAAACTTACGATGATGCCAAAGTTGCGCTTGCAGAAATTCGTGAGATGGTTCAAGGTCTCAAATCCTCAACTACACCTGCTGAACAGATAGAGGAAACACTGCAGAAGCTTGGCAATTGGTTTACTCGTGAAGATAGCATGTCTAGCTTTGAGTTACTCCGCAGTGGATTGATTGAGGGTCTGCTCGCGTTCATTACTGGTAATACCGATTCTCTTCCTACAGCACTCAGACATAAATTAGTAATTGAAATATTTTCAAGTAGACGATCACAAATTCCTGGCTCGCCATCTGCTCTGTTATCTCTGGTTAAACGTCTTCAAGAATCGCTCAGCAGATTGGAACCATTTTCTGTCAGCACAGTTGGATCAAATCTTGGTGATGATAGTCGCCGTAGCCCGATCTCAGCACTTAGTCGTCAAGTCAGACTGCGTTTGGTGGCTGATGATCCAGAGTTAAGCAAGGTGCAACCTACCATGGTCGTCTCTGTTCACGCTATTGCAACCTTCCAAATTCTAAACGACTATTTACGTCCTAGAATCATTAATGGACTTTCAGGTAAAGGTGGTAGTGGTTCATCAAGACTCTCTGGTGTGCTTGCCGCGTTTGCCGCCGCAACCGGCATTCCTCCTCCAGAAGCAGATGCATCTTCACCGAACTCCAGCAAGAAGGAAAATAAGGACAAAAAGGAGGGAAGTAGTAAGAGCAGTAGCCGTCGCAGCTCCAAGGAAGATTTGTCTGGTACACCGACAGCATCAAACCAGGAAAGCAAATCAAAAGGAAAGGGCAAGGAATCGGCCCAAGGTGATGAGGATGATGAGGATAATTACGAAGATGACGAGGATGATATCGATGAGGAGGAGCTTCGTGCTATGGAAGAGGATGATGATGAACACGAGGATGATGAGGATGAAAATGATAGAAATGATCCGTTTGCAGGCGAATTCGTTGATGAATTTGATGATGAGTTGTATGACGATGAGATGGAAGCTGACATGGTGGGTGAAGGTAGACTGGGCCAGGAGAAAACCATCAATTTGGATGTTAAGGATGATGGCAAGGAAATTGAAGCCAAGACTCCTGAAGGTACGCGTATACCGTCTCCAGCAGTTGCTTCTGAAGCTTCACCGAGTGCGAGAAAGTCATCCAAATCTAGCTCCAAGAAGCCTGAGTCTTCAGAAGGTACCAAGGAAGCAAAACCAAAAGGATCTTACGCATCGGCACTCAAGACAAAGCCAACCGACTTCCACCTCGAGTTTGAGTTGAATGGCGAAAAGGTCGATCTGGGGTCAACCATCTACAGTAATCTACATGACAATGATGATGCTGGTTCGAGAAACGTTTTCGCAAACGTCTACACTCTTAAATTTAGACGTAAGGAAGGACCAGTACCTAAGAAAGAGAAGAATGACGTTAAGCCAAATATCAGCGCCATCACGTCTGAAAGTGTACAAAACACGTGGTCACAGCTTCCTGCATCTGTCGCTCAAGACTCTCAGCATGCTCTCATTCTTCAACTTCTTAGAGTTCTCCATGCTATGTGCACAGGTGTACAAGAAGTCAATGTGCTCAACCAACCTGGTGCGGCTCTTTCTCAAGAAACTGGTGTTGGAGAGATGACGTTTGTCAACAACAAGCTTACCGCTAAGCTCAATCGTCAACTTGAAGAGCCTATGTTGATAGCTAGGTGCGTTGGTATCTGACGAGAAAATAAATCCTAACTTTTAACACAGTTCCTGTCTTCCTGATTGGGCAATCGACCTGCCAACTGCATTCCCCTTCCTTTTTACGTTCCAGACCCGATACGCTTTCTTACAAGCACAGAGCTGGGGTACAGCAAGGTTGATTACCAAGTGGCAGAACGAGGCATCACGCACATCTTCAGACAGCCGTAGAATTGATCCTACGACATCTCATCTAGGTAGGATGCAAAGACAAAAGGTTAGAATTTCCAGGGAATACGTGTTGGAGTCTGCCATCAAGGTATTTGAGTTGTACGGTGGCTCATCAAGCATATTAGAGATCGAATACTTTGAAGAAGTCGGAACAGGCTTGGGACCTACGTTAGAGTTCTATTCTTTGGTTAGTAAAGAATTCGCACGTAAAGACTTGAAGTTGTGGAGAGGAAGCTCAGATTCGTCAGAATCACCATATGTCTACTCACAGACTGGTCTTTTCCCAATGCCAATGTCAGCAAAGGAAATTGAATCAGATAGAGGTGAAGAGCGGATCAAGTTGTTCAGAATTTTGGGTCAATTCCTCGCTAAGGGTTTACTCGACTCTAGGATTATCGACATATCATTTAACCCTCTCCTCATGAATTTGGTTATGGGTTTGAATATTCCAAAGTCAGTTGCAGGTGTCAAGCTTGTAGATCCTTTGGTCGGAAAGAGTATCGAGGAAGTGCAAAAGATTGTTGGTTCAACAGAGCTGTCCAAGGGTCAAATAGCTGATAAGATTGATAACCTCGCACTCGACTTCACTTTACCAGGTCAGCCTGAATACCAGTTGGTCGAAAAAGGCGAAAATGTCGATGTTACTCTCGACAACGTTGGCGATTTCATTGATAAAGTGATCGACGCGACTCTCGTCAGTGGTGTGACCAAGCAAGTAGATGCATTTGTGGAAGGTTTCTCAAAGATATTGTCCGTTGAAGATATGAAGATCTTCACACCTGAGGAGCTCACAAGCTTGTTCGGCAATGCTGATGAAGATTGGACGACTGAGACGTTGAGCGAAGTCATCAAGGCTGACCATGGTTTCAACAATGACAGTCCAGCATTGCGTAGATTAATTGAGGCCTTATCTGAATTTGACAAGGTCGCTCGTAGAGACTTCTTGCAATTCCTCACTGGTTCTCCCAAGTTGCCAATTGGAGGTCAGTGGTATGTTTTTTGTGAAAGGTAATTGCTAACTCTGAATCAGGCTTCCGAGGACTGCATCCTCAGCTCACTGTCGTTCGCAAGTCGCCAGAAGCTGGGTACAAAGCGGACGACTCGCTTCCTAGTGTTATGACTTGCGCCAATTATCTCAAGCTGCCCGATTACAGCGACAAGGATGTATTGAAGCAAAAGCTTACGATAGCAATGAGTGAAGGCAAAGGTTTCTTGCTGTCATAGAAACCAAGTTTTAATCTTACATGTCTGATTTACTTTCTTTTTCTTTTTTTAGCATATCTCGATAGTATTCTAGCTAGCATGAATTTTAAATTTCTGCATTGTAACTTCAAGTTTGACGTTGTGTTCGTGACTGTCCCTTCATGCTTAACTATGAGGTATGAGGCTATAGTGACCATAATCTTCTTCTTGATTAGCAATTTCTTTACACTGAAGCCATTCAAAATCAATTTCAACAATTTCAGCATCTATTTAAACCTTCACACCGTTCCAATTCTCTGCATCATCGTGCTATTGGCTAGCAGGTGCATCGGTGGAGAGCAGTTGAAATACGGTTTCGTAGGCGATGAGACTCATCTAAGGCCGTATGATATTCTCCTACTGTTCTTGTCACTGGTGAGGTTTATTGATTGCATTCCTTGTACTATCAAAGCTTATGATTTCATAGGCTTATATTGCGTTATCGCTCGATGCAACGGGATTACTCCAGTATCTTGCATTTTGGGTATCAAATAAAGGCAAAAACTCTGGATACGCTTTATATGCTTACTTTTATTGCTTCTTTATCTTTCTAGCCACGTTCGTCGGGAATGTAAGTGCTCTTGACCTTATCTCGGCAGACGCTTATGTGTATATTTACAGGATCCAGTTATATTAAGTGGAACGGCATTTCTGGCTTACTTTACTAGAGTTACTGGACTCCATCCACCAATCGCGTTTCTGTTCTCTCAGTTCACAGCGGCGAACTTAGCATCGGCAGTACTCCCACCTTCGAATCCAACCAATTTAGTTTTAACGTCTACAACTTCTACTAGCTTCCTCACTTACGCGCTTTATCTCATTTTACCAGTCTTCTTCTCTGCAATAGCATTGCTAGGAGTTTTGTTCATTCAATTCTCACCATACAACAAATTACTCAGTCGTGATGATAACGAAGTGTATATCCCTTCTCGCTTGAGCGCACCTGAGGTCAATCCTCGCAGTGTCTTGATTGATAGAACTGGGGCAATCTTTAGCAGCGTGATATTAACAGCAACACTGGTTTCATTGGTCATTTGCAGCGTTTTGATTGAAGGTATGCATGTTTGTTGGATTACAATACCCGCTGCATTCGTTGTCTTTGTTAGAGACCTGGTACATGACTGGCGCCATCATGCCAAATTCAAGAGCAAGGTGGAGAAGAGGATTGGGTGGCTGCGAACTGTCAACCTGTCATTTCCTACCGTGTTGACAGTTGGTAGCCGTCTGCCATTCGCCCTTATACCATTTGCCATCACACAATTCATTCTCGTCAACTCATTGCAAGCAGTTGGCTGGATAGACATCTTTGCCAGTTGGGCACAGAAAGCAATAGGTGATGATACTTTACGGGCAGTGTGGGTATTGGGTTTGATAGAGATAGTGCTGTGCAATGGCAGCACTAACATCGGTGCAACTGTGCTTATGTCCCAAGTTCTCGTTCAGTCGAGCAGGAATCCAAAAACAGTACGTGCAGGGATGCTCGGTATAGCTTTCGGAAGCAATATTGGTGCATACTCATTCACGCTCTCGGCTAGCTTAGCGGGGCTACTATGGGATAAGATACTGAAATCAAAAGGAATCAGGATAGCGCGTCTGCAGTTTTTGTGGATGAACATATTTCCACTGATAATAACAGCTTTGGTAGGATTCTTTGTTATTTATGCAGAGGTTATGGTTATGAGCTGAACATATTCCCTTGTTCCACCTTTTCCATCATCACATCATAACAAATGGAGATAAAGAGAGTGATTGAGGAGAACAGCAACCTTCGCAAGGAGATTGAAATTTTAAAGAATAATTTCGCTAGTACGTTAATAAGCTTTACCCACAAATCAACTAACCCAATCACGCTCAGATTATCCTAATGCAAACGAGCTTAAAAATCTTGCAGTCCTCGTAAGAGATACTCTACAAGAATTCGACAGTAGAGAGCGTTTGATGAGAAGGCGTATCCTGGTTTTACAGCATCAGAGAGATCAACTCAACTATCAAGTGGAGGGTACGAGCAGCAACCATAGCCATACTCAACAATTAAAGGTATTTGAAGAGAACAGCGACAACGACATTGAAGTACTACGGAATCTCTTGAAATCCAAAGACGCACATAAGAACGCCGATCCGCTTTGGTTTAAGCGTGTGCGAAAGGAGCTTGATCAAGTCACCGATACTGAAGAAGAAAAAGCACTTGATGATATCGACAATCGACGAGATACACTCAAAATGAAAGATAGAGACAGACAGACTGAATCTGTTTTGGATGACTACATGAATCATTCAGCTAGCCCGTCATATTCCCAAGAAGGCTACCCACAACGACCGCCTGCTAGAATGAGTATGAGAGGTTTCGATGATGATGATAATTATTCAAGTCAATTCAATCTTCCCAACAACACTACCACCAGAACAGCGGATCTAGAAGCAGCATATAAACGCGTCACGGAAGCTTTTGAGAAGCTCGCTGATGAAAACATTCGAAACTCTGTTGCCGTGCATCAAATACTGAAAGAATATAGGCAAACAAATGGTCAATCCTAGCCTTTACGTACCATATATATAGAAAGCTAACTTTTGCATTATTTATTGTATTTTATACACATATAACTTAATCATAATCAGATTTTATATCTAGGATGAATGTGGTTGGCGAGTGGCAGCAGTGAAGTCTGCAGAAGTCTTTGCGTCAATGAAAAGATCATCCAGCTCAGACACGTCTTCTGGAGAAATCTCTGCCCTGTTACTATTCTTGGAAAGGATTGAAGCTGGAGTCAGTGTTTGCAAGACATATCTCAGCGATGTGTTTGCACCCTTCTCAGCCAATTGATCGAGTGCAGCCTCTCCCAATTTCAAACCTTCGACCTTGGATCTAAGGCTCAGGACAACCTTCATCTCTTCCTTGCTGTATGGAGTGGTCTTAATGATCATACATCTGTCCAATAAGTCTGTTGGTATACCGTGAGGAGAAACGATACCGTCGCCGCCGCTGTCTTCCGTTCCCTTGACAGTACACATACCCCTATTGGTTGCCAAAATGACATGTGGTGATATCGTACTCTCAAGAGCTCTGTTGAGGTATGTGAAGCACTCAATATCCAACATGTGCACTTCATCAATGAAGAGAACACCGGGAACCAATTCAGCTATACCTTGCTCAATGTAGCTATTCACGACTTTATTAATTTCACCACGCAGTTTGTCAGTTATTTCAGTTCGTCTACCCTTCACCAATTGACCCATTACGCTCATCACATCTTGACCGCCCTGTGGCCTAGCATTTGCCATATCAAGATCATGCAGAGTTATATCTTGAATGACTTCCTTTTTCTTATGTACTTCTCCTTTTGGCAGAGGTACATACTCTTCTGCTTCCAAATCGAATGATGTTGCATAGGCATCAGATCTACCGACGCGCTTGAAAGGTGAAGATGTTAAAAGAGACCTTTGTGCTTTTGCGCTATTACGCTTACCTTAACAGCACCAGTATTGGCTTCGATGTAAACGATATCACCTACAGAAACGCGTTCCTTCTGAATTGATTCATAGATAGATGGGTCCAATCTGAGCTGCTTTGTACCTTTGACAGTCTTGAGTGATATAACCACATGGCTGATGGTCTTTCCGTATCCAGACAATGGGTTCTCTGCTTCGACAGGCGTCAACTCTGAGATTTCGCCTTCATAGACCTCCTTGACTTCCTTTACGCGGAGACCTAGAGCGGTGTTTTAGTGGGAAGACCATACACTGTATACCACAAAACCAACCTATGGCTCTACGGAAGTTCTCCATCAACACTTCAGTCTTCTTCACTTCGGATGAGTAAACTTCTGAACCGACCATCGGGCAGAAGGGGACTTTAGAGCCCAATTCATGTGAAATAGACAGAGCAAGTGCAGTTTTACCGGTACCTGGTGCACCTGCGAGTAAGAGTGCTCTTCCTGAGAACTTGCGAAGTTTGATCATATCAGAGACGATACCACAGGCCTAAAGGGTAGCCAAGGGTGGCCTGTAAGCTAAACAGCATTTACGAATTGAATAAATCCCTACCTCTCTTGCCGTAGTCTGTCCAACCCATCCAGCAGAGCCAGTACCAACAACAGCAGAGCCATCTTCTTGCAAACCGAGACCACGGATATGCGAATGGGTCGCTACTCTGCTCTCACGAGCGCTTGTATTGGCTTGCGGAATTTGTGAAGTTTCTCCAGTTGCGGCCATGTTCGATGTATATTTCTGAGGAGGTTTATAACCAACGTCCACCAACAAAACGAAATAAATTATTCAAAGCATGTCACAAACACCTTCAGTCGTTGACCAATCAGAAGTTCTTAATGAAAATGTAGAGCATCTTTGAAGATCTCTAGTCATCTCCATCTCTAACGCTCATCTCTTAGCAAGCACCAGAGACTACTTTTGATCACATTGATACGCTCCAGCAGTACAATATCAATGCTGCTGATATCACTAAACTGCGCAACGGCGGAATTAGCACCGTTATGGCCGTTTTGCAAGTTACTCGTCGTCAATTGCTCAAAATCAAGGCAGATAGCTTCAATACTAACTGCTATCTACATACTCACAATCAAGCTAGGGTCTTTCCGAGGTTAAAGTCGAGAAGATCAAGGAAGCCGCTCAGAAGTGCTCAAAGACTGGTTTCTTAACCGCTGCAGAGGTCGCTAAGAAGCGTGAAAGCATATGCAACATCTCCACTGGCTCGAAAGCATTCGACGCTATTCTTGGGGGTGCGTTTGGTCGTCTTTCGCACCTATACTCACCACCTGTATAGCAGGTGTTCAATCACAAGCCATAACAGAGGTATATGGTGAATTCAGAACAGGAAAAACTCAACTCTGCCACACTGCTTGCGTTACTGTTCAGTTGCCCCAAGACATGGGCGGCGCTAGTGGTAAAGCTGCCTACATTGACACCGAAGGCACTTTCCGTCCAGACAGGATCAGGTCAATTGCGGCAAGATTTAACATGGATGAGGAGGCAGCTCTTGATAATATCACTGTTGCGCGCGCATTCAATTCAGAGCAGTATGTGCGACTCTTAATTTAATGTAAACTCTTACCTTGAGTAGACAGATGGACTTGCTGAACACTCTGGCAGCTAAAATGGCTGACGAGGGTGGCATCTACAGAGTGAGTAAAGCTACAAGCTAGCGTAGCAAATTGACATGATTCTCAGCTGGTCGTTGTCGACTCGATTCTTGCGCTATTCAGAACCGATTACAGCGGCCGAGGGGAACTTTCTGAGCGCCAGCAAAAACTGAATCAGGTGCGTCGTTAGTCTGATTAGTGGTTCAAAGCTGACGTAGTCGCATAATAGCATTTGACACGTCTGATTAGACTCGCTGAAGAATTCAACGTCGCGATTCTTATCTCTAATCACGTACAAGCTGATCCTGGCGCCATGACGACATTTGCAGCAGCCGACAAAAAACCTGTCGGGGGTCACGTTCTCGGTCATGCATCCACAACACGCATCTATCTTCGCAAAGGCAGAGGCAACGAGCGCATTGCAAAGTTGTCAGATTCACCAGACTTACCTGTAAGTATAATGAGGCGATGTATTATTAAGCTCATATTGTCTAGGAAACTGAAGCTACATATGCACTGGGTGTCGGTGGAATCGAAGAAGCTTAGTTGAACCTTTAGCTCTATTGTATTATTATATTTATTCGTCATTCAAATAAATTGCAAAGAACATTAAATAAATTATTGCTACAGATACAAATTGTGCGTTATGTCGTTAGCTTATAAAACCGTTGTAAGTCTATCTTTGAGCTGCGAGTAAGGTCTCCGTTATAGATTCAACCTCTCTTGCATCTTTAAATACGCAAAAGATGACTTGCGCAGGTATCTCCATCTTTGCTTTTTCCAATCTCATCATGAAATTATCAATGCGTTTCATTAATTTTGCTTCTGCGGCGTCATAAGCTTCAAACTCTATTGGTTCGCTGTCACTGCCCAGAAGAGTGATAGATGATGGCTTCGACCGAATTGAAGACGATGGCGTTGTCTCACTTCTAGATGGAAGCTTTGGCGCCAAATGTGTCTGTGGTGTGAGTGAAGGTTTAGGAGGCACAGGCGGTGGCGGGGGTTTCTTCGTCTGGCAAGTGTTTTCTTTCGGTGCTATAGGTGGTATATGTGACATAGGTGGTAGATCTGGCTTTGTGCTTCGCGGTGGTGGGACTGGTGGTATTAACACGTCCTCAGAAGACGTCCCTGTACTCTCCTTACTTATATCTTTGTCGTTTGGTGTTGTCACGTCTCTTATAAAGACTGCCAGTATCTGGTTAGGTCGCTCTCTCGCCAAAGATGAATACAGCTCCAAATCCTGTTCACCGCTATCTCCGACAAGAATAAACTGGCAAAGTTTGAATTCATTCAATATTTCAATCACACCTGCTCGTTTCCTCTCCGCAGCCGGTTCCCACAAGCCACCGAGCAGAGACTTTCCGCCATAATACTTGAGCTTGAAATGACCATGTGGGAGATTAGAAATATTGAAAAAGTCGTTAATTGCTGAGAATGCCTCATAGGGAGAATTAGACACATAGTGAAACCCTGCTATGCCCTGCTTATACATGTTATTGTACCAGTTGACGATATCTGGTATAACCATTTCTTTTTCATCGTTGACAAAGACGTTGCGGAACATGGCTCTGACCCCGTTGAAAATTTCCGTCGTCCTGACTGTATCGTCGAGGTCTGATATCACTCGTATGCCACGATCGGAAGACAGCTTTACATGGAGTATCTGACTGGCTGTTACGTCGGCAACTGAGTCAGGAGTTGGTACTATGCCTGGGCGTAAACTGTAGTCAAGCATCTGAGGGAGAAGGTCTACCTGGATTTTCAGCTCTATGGGCTTTTGATATGGATCTTTAACCCAAGAAGGTCTCCGGATGTTGTCTATTTTCTGTGAATTATAAGAAGAGCTAAACAAATTTAGTATCCGACCCACTATGTTAAACACATATTCAAAATGGCCTTGTTGATTCGTTCTTACTTGTGTAGTGGCGACCGGTTTAGCTTCGGGCACTTCGTCAACCGTCCTGTCGACAGGAGTACCCCAAACAGCATACACGTTGAGTTTCAAGATTCTATTGGGTAATATAGAGGACCAGAATGGCTGCAGACGCTTATCTGAAGATTGACGTAAGATGGCATACTGAGGAGTGGTAGAGCGACTCACTCATATTTGCATGCATAGTGTGCAACTTTTCAAGAGGTATACTTGGTACGCTAGCTTGTTGTCTTTCTAGTTGCTGAGGCTTCATCATATTCGCAACTCTGGGCTGTTCGTTCCAGCGACCAGGAGCAGTATTAGAGCCACCTGTACGAGCCGACTCAGCCTTGAGCTCAAGTTGAATCTGTTCTTGTTCAGATTTGGGTATATTGCTTGCCTCTAACTCCTCCAATTCCTCCTCGACGCTGCTGAATGTCTCCTGTGACGAAGCAGTAGTGTTGGGGAGAGGGGGAAGTGCAGCGAATGATCTTGCGAGCTTCATGAAAGCCCGCTGGGATCGTGTTGCTTTATCGATGCTTCTCAGACAGGACGCGTAGCCGCTGAGTTGGAGTTTGTATACAGATTCTTCAGCTTTCTCGACAGCCCAGCCTGGGAAGACGGTGATTGTATCAGTACCCTCAATAACTGTGTTAGGATCATTTGTGTATCCGAGTAAATCGCTTGCGTTTTGTGATGCAGATGAGTAAAAGGATTTCGCGAGCTGTGGATAGTCCTTTGAAGCGATATAAGTACCTGCGGAGCTGGCAAGGTTTGCAGCTCTCTGACCGAATCTTGAAGAAGTTAATTTTTGGATTCTGTTATTCCTATCCATTTTACCGTTAAACGTTGATAACAGAGAGTGAAATGGCCAAGTCAGCCAAGGGAAACGACCAAGAGAAGAAGCGTAAAGCTAATGAGATCGATGATATATTCGCAGGCGGTAGTACAAGTCGGGGTGATGAGAAGAAGCAAGAGCAGTCCAAACCAAACTCAAATTCATCAAAGAAGAAGGCGAAGAAAGCAAAGAAAGTTAGTGAGGATGTAAATACTGGTAAAGGCGACAAAGAGGACCAGTCACCAATTACTGTAGTCGACACAAGCTCGAGTACTGTAGACAAGAAACCAGAAAAGCAGAAGAAACAGCCGAAAGACGAGGAAGAAGACGACTTTGCTGATTCTAGGGGTACTAGTGGGCGTGAGTCAGGGTTTAAACGCTTAAACTCTTTTAACGCGTTTATACACAGGAAAAAGGACCGATGACGGATTTTCAGTGTATACCTTTGATGAGCTTGGTATGGATGATGATAAAGGTGGCGATACAGCTTTATGTCCATTTGATTGTGACTGCTGTGAGTTTGCCGGAATCGAGATATTGAACAGTACTGATAAAATTTTCAAGGTTTCTGAGTTTAAACTGAGGTATCAAAGTGTAGATTGGATAATATAGATTAGCAACATGTACCAATTGATGAAACACGTCTGAATTCGGATTTGGCTAACACAACTAAAATTCCGACGATACCGACGATACCGATGAGGAAAGGAACGGGAGAGAGATGAATTAAGTGTAAAAACATTAACAACGGGATAGCTAATAAGATTTAATAAAATGCTGAATTGTAATCGGAAGAATTTTAGTGGACGACTACGAAGCACATCATCGATGCAGATTGGCGGACTCGCTTCTTTAACTTGGACCAACAAAGTCAAAAGTGAGTAAAGCTTGAAATTTAAAGGAAAAGCTAATTAGTATATAGATGGCCACCTTAATTTCACAGGTGGTTGGTAGAATTACTTATCTCAGTTCGAAGACAGTGGTATCTGTGTTGCCACCTTCAAACCAGCCATCTTCATTCGACCAATCATATTCCATTTTGGCAAATGACACTGGCCTTGTAAATCATCCTGTGATTGCCACTCTCCATTCCAGAGCTCAGCCAATCGACACCGCCGTTAGACACGCACTCAATGGCGCAAGTCCTGTCTCCGTCACTGGCTTTGCAGACCCACACATGATTAACGAGATTATTACTCTTACTAAGCAACTCAACGATGAGCCAATCGTCTTCAATTTGTCTATTGAACAAGCCGGTGACCTCTCCGATATACTCACCCTCCGCTCTTCCGGTCTTCCAATCATCTACTCTTCATCTTTAGTTGAAGCTCACGATCATTCTCTCATTGCTTCCAAGCTTGCTGCTCAGCTCAATTCCTCCGTCATTCACATCTTCGAAGATTCCTCCATCGTTGACCACTTTAGTGAAATTTCTCAGCAAGACATCATTACCTTCCTCCAAAATGATAAAGCTCCTTCTAACGGTATTAATGGCGTTTCTCACTTACCATCAGACAAGTCTGCTAAGCAGCTCGAAAATTTTGATGCTATCGCCTTGCAGGCACTCATCGCCACACGCAGACCACAACGCACCTCTTTTTACTCTGGTCCTTCAGATCCTAACACTTTATTTATCACTTTTGGCTCTGCTTCTTCAGCCTTCCTCAACTCCGTCAACAAAGACTCTGCTATTGGAGTTCTCGCACTCACCACTTACCGTCCAATGGACTATCAGCGACTCCTTGATCTTATTCCTTCATCTGTTGAGCGTATTGCCGTTCTCGAACAAGTTACCAAAAAGGTTGATCAATTCGCTCCACTTTTTGTTGACGTGATCAGTGCATTCACCACCTCAGACAGGCAATTACCAAAGCTTTCGTCCAGTGTTATTGGATCTATAAGTCAAGACAAGATTGCTACGGTGGTTGAATCTGTTCACTCCAACCTCGACAAGGACCAACCAGAGCACGGTCAGCTCTATGGAAAGCTCTCTGAGGCAGCTAAAGCAAATTACGATGTTTACGTACCTAAGCATGAAAAGTCATACACTCAACTCTTGGAACAAATCTTTGGTGAAAACTTGGCTGTTGTCAACTCGCCAGATCAAGTACCATCAGAGGGTCTTGACATTACTTCACCAGAGTTTGCATTCGGTTCTACTCTCGCTAATCTCAACAAGAGAGAGTCCGTCATTAGTGCCATCTCTGAGTTAATCTCCTCAAACAGTGTTTCGAATCAACTTCACGAAGCTTTCTCAAAATGGCTTATTAAGAAAGATGACTCGAAAGTTAGCCAGTCACTTGCAAACACAGCCGTTGAAATCTTAAAAAATGAAAAGCCATCTCATCCAAAGGTCCGATATGTTTTGGAAAATACCAGTTTGCTCACTTCACAATCGCGTTGGATTATTGGATCTGATGCATGGTCGTACGATGTAGGATTCTCAGGGCTTCACCATGGTAAGTTGGAATACGAGTATTGATTGAAAGTTTTGCTGACATCAATTAGTTATTGCATCTGGAAAGAACATAAACGTTCTTCTTATTGATTCATTGCCATACCATCAGAGAAACGCCCAAGATCCATCAAAGCGCAAGAAGGATGTTGGTCTCTATGCAATGAACTACGGAGATGTTTACGTCGCATCTGTTGCCGTGTACTCATCATACACCCAAGTCCTCCAAGCATTGATGGAAGCTGACAAGTATGATGGCCCATCTATTGTCCTTGCTCACTTGCCATACACTTCAGAGCAATCTACTCCACTTCAAATGCTCAAGGATACAAAGGCAGCTGTCGACGTTGGCTACTGGCCGTTATACCGTTGGAACCCAGCAAAAGAAACCAACAACATGTTCTCACTCGACTCTGAGCGTATCAAAGAAGACCTCAAGAGCTTCCTCGATCGCCAAAACCATTTAGCTAACTTTGTTCAATCCAAGCCACAGCTTGCACCACAGCTTGTTGGCTCAGAGGGACAAGGTTTGAAGGATGCTCAAAAGAAGAAGGCACAGCAAGCATTGGACTCACTTCTCGGTAACATGGATGGTCCACCATTGCTCGTATTGTTTGCTTCTGACGGTGGTAACGCTGAGAAGGTTGCTAAGCGCATCGCTACTCGCGCTAAGCTGCGCGGAGTTGCTGCTAGAGTTTTGGCTATGGATGACTTCCCATTTGAGGATATGAAGCTCGAGAAAAACGTTGTCTTTGTTTCTTCAACAGCTGGTCAGGGTGAGCCACCACAAAACGGAAGAAACTTTTTCAAGACCACGGCCACCTTGCTCGGACAAGCTGATGTTTTCAAGACATTGAATGACGTCAAGTTCAGTGTGTTTGGTATGGGTGACTCTCACTATTGGCCAAGAATCGAAGATGCACACTTCTACAATCGTCCTGGAAAGGACTTGGATGCACGTCTTGAGAAGCTTGGCGCTACACGTTTTGCCGACCTTGGATTGGGTGACGACCAAGATCCAGATGGTCCACAGACGGGTTACAAGATCTGGGAACCAAAGCTGTGGAAGGCGTTAGGTGTCGACGATGTCGAAGTCACTGAAAAGGAACCGGAACCAGTTACAAATGAGCACATCAAGATTGCATCCAACTTCCTCCGCGGTACAATTGAACAAGGACTTGAGGATGAGTCTACTGGGGCTATCGCCGAGGCCGATACACAATTGACCAAGTTCCACGGTACCTATATGCAAGATGACCGTGATATCAGAGAGGATAGAAAGAATGAAGGGCTGGAGCCAGCATACAGTTTCATGATTAGAGTGCGTATGCCAGCAGGTGTTTGTAACGGTCCACAATGGTTGGCATTTGACAGGATTGGTGATGAGTATGCCAATAAGTCGATGAAGATTACTACAAGACAAACATTCCAATTCCACGGTGTGATCAAGCGTAACTTGAAGGCAACAATGCAAGCAATCAATAAGACAGCCTTGGATACTATTGCTGCATGTGGTGATGTCAACAGAAACGTATTGGCATCGGCCAATCCCACATTCTCGCATTTGCACGCTGTTGTGCACGAAGCTGCTAAGGGACTGAGTGATCACCTCTTGCCGCAGACCTCAGCATACCGTGAGATTTGGTTAGATGGCAAGAAGATTGCAGGTGAATCTGTCGTCGATCAGGAGCCATTGTACACTCCATACTACCTGCCAAGAAAGTTTAAGATCGCTATTGCTATTCCACCTCACAACGATGTTGATGTCTTTGCAAATGATGTTGGTTTCATTGCGATTGTAAATGAGAGAAGTCAACAACTTGAAGGTTTCAACGTTGCGATAGGGTGAGTGTTGAGACAAGATTTTAGAAAACGCTAACAGTGCTCACAGTGGTGGTATGGGTGTTACACACTCAAACAAGAAAACATATCCACGTCTTGGTGATGTCATTGGATTTGTGCCACCAAACAAGATCAACGACGTCGCTGAGAAGATCATGTTGGTTCAACGCGACTATGGTAACCGTGAGAACCGCAAGAATGCTCGTCTGAAGTACACCATCGACAACTTGACATTACCTGGATTCGTTGGCAAGCTCCATGAATACCTCGGTTACAAATTGGAAGAGAGTCGTCCATACAAGTTTGACTCGAACATCGATAGGTATGGATGGGCTCAGGGTCAGGATGGAAAGTGGCACTTTACCATGTTTATTGTGAGTATTAGTGTTGCAAGATTAGACATGCTAATTGGATCCTTTAGGAAAACGGTCGTATCCAAGATGAAATCGATGGTCTTCAATACAAGACCGGGCTGCGTGAAATAGCAAAGATTCACAAGGGTACATTCCGTCTCACAGCCAACCAACATTTGATAATTTCAGATGTTGAGGATTCACAGCTCGAGGAGATAAAGAACCTGCTTCACAAGTATAAGTTAGATATCTTGACCTATACAGGATTGAGATTGTCTTCATCAGCGTGTGTTGCGTTACCAACTTGTGGATTAGCAATGGCGGAATCGGAGCGTTACTTGCCTATGTTAGTTGGAAAGGTGGAGAATATCATGGAGAAGAATGGATTGAGGAACGACATGATAGTGATGAGAATGTCTGGATGTCCAAACGGATGCTCTCGACCATGGATGGGAGAAATAGCATTCGTGGGTAGGGCTCCTGGAACATATTTGATGTTATTGGGTGGAGCATCTGACGGAACACGATTGGCGAAGCCATTCAAGGAGTCGGTAACCGAGCCAGAGATATTAGACATACTCAGCCCATTGATCAAGCAGTACGCGCTTGAGAGGCTGGAAAATGAGGGATTCGGTGATTTCGTTATCAGACAAGGAGTTGTGAAACCAACAACACACGGAACCAACTTCTACGATAACTCATGTCTTTAAGTTTGAGTAAAGGCGAAATTATTCTTTTTAAGGGCTTTTTCAATTTATTCTTGTTTGCATAAATAATCTATAGATACATAAAATCTGTGTGATAGATACAAGGTCCGTGGCTAATTGTGATCAACTTCAATCGACTGTGGCTTAGTTGAGTTTCGTTGAGTTTTATCGACGCCCAAACCGACAGCAGCGTCTGCCTCAGCCTGGGTGTAAGCAGGTTCCTTGAGATTCTTGAGACGTCTTCTGTGAACTTTTGTCTTTTGGTGCGCGGACAGAGAGACGTCAGATTCAAAGTATCTAGCGCATTCAACGCAGTAGTGCTGTCCTAATCCAGGCAAACTTTCGTCCAGAGGCTGGTTCTCCAATTTTGCTTTATTCTCAGGCAGCAAATCTTGTAGCTGGACCTGGTCGAGATCCTTAGTGCGGGCTTTGGTTCTCGATGCTCTGTGGATATCTCTTTTAGACGCGCCTGTCCTGCTTCTCCTGGAGGGGCCTGGCATATTCAGCGCTCTCGACGTTTAGGACAACCATCATTGAGGTGATATTGAAGAGAGATATAAATTGACTTAATTTTATATTTTTATATGTCTTCCTACTTTCCACGTCCATTTAACGGAAAGGATTATATTCCCCCACAGCATCTCACACCTGACGATGGCAACGCGGGTGACAACAGGGACGACAAGGACAACGGGGATGACGCGGTGACATTCAAGCGCTACATCTCTAATCTCAAACTAGGCGAGACGTGGGACATGCTAGCGTTGAAATACGGCAACATAGATGCAGCAGAAGATGATGAAGTGGATATACTAACAGGCGAGCTAATTTCGGACCGCGGTCACATACGCGGGCTTGACTCTAACCTCGTATTCGGTGGTGTAGACGGTGGTGATGCGACAGATGACTCTGGAGCGTCAGACGAGGATAGCGAGCATGAACGCGAGCTGCTCGAGCAGCACCAGGCACTAATACACCAGCAGCGCTCTCAAAGAGACCAGGAAGATCTTGATGCGTTTCTGCGCGCTGATCGGGAGCTACACGCCGATCACGAACCTTACTACCGCGATAGAAAAAGCAGGGGCTTGCCGACGGTGATTGATTTCTCAGAGAGCGATGCAGAATGGCATGATTTGAGTGGTAGTGATGACAAGGAGAATGCGGGCGTGAGAAAGGGTATGCGTATGGGTGGGTGTGAGTACTGACTCCTTCCTTTTTTTGACTTCTGACTCTGACATTACCGCTTTACAGCTCGTGCAGGTCAATCGACAACCAGCAAACGTAGAAGATCTTCAGTACAGAGGAACATGGCGCAGAATACAATTGGAAACACATCTCCCAGCTCAGATGGCAGCGTAGTAAGAGGCGCAACGAAGCACATCAAGACGATCGAATTGTCTTCGAGTGAGAGCGAGGACGAGGACGGTAGTGATGAGGGTTTGCCACACGACAGACTATCCGCTTGGCAAAGCTACAGCAGCAGTAATGAAAGCGACAGTGACAGTGACAACGACCAAAACTCAGCTGCGGTGAAGAAGAACGAGTATCGCACTGCGAATGACGACAATGGCGACACCAGTTTTGACGCTTTCTGGAAATACAAAGAAGAGAAATATGCGATGGACGGGCGCAGTGATGAAGAGGAGCTAACAGATGACAGTGCAAAGCAGAGAGCGCTGAGGGAGAAGAGGAAGAGAGACAGAAGAATGCGTCCGCGTGACAGGCGCAGCATGACACTGAGCAGCAGTAGCAGTGGCAGTAGTAGCAGTAACAGCAACCCATCGGAAAGCGACAAAGATATAGGCAAGACGCTCACCTCGCGCTCATCCCACAAGGGGAAAGGGAAACCAAGACCGAAACAGAAGGTTAATTTCAACTTGGCAAGCAGAGCCAGCGAGAGTAGTGAAAGTAGTGAGAGTAGTGAGGATGATGAGCTCACTCGACGCGTCAAAGCGATTAAACTGCGCCAGGAGAGTGAGGAGCAATTGTTCAAGAAACCACAGTCAAAACAACACCAACAGCTATCTGCACCAATGTCAGCGCGCAAGAGTCGGAACGTGACACCACCTAGACGGACGACGATAATTGATGGGATGCGCACAGCGCCTGCGAAGAGTCGCAAAGAAACACAGCCATTGCCACTGACGCCGACAGGCAGTGGGATGAGCAAGAATAGGGGCACTTACACACCAAGCGCATCGAGAATGCAGATGACGCCATCACAGCGCAACGATAACCGTAGGAGGAGAATCGAGGAGACGCTGGCAGATGAACGAAAAACGCGGTCTCTGTTGTCAGGTGATCGCTCAGGGCTTACGCCCATGATGAAAAAGATCATGATCAGTGACACACCGCGAAGCAGCAAAACACATCATACCCAGACACCGTCAAAGGCGGGAAGAAGATGAGAATAGTGTTGTAAAGAGAAGATGTACATTTTGAAAGAAGAAAGAAGATTAGAATACAATGGATGCAAAGGTTAGAGAAAGGATTACCACTTCCTACCCATCTGAGAGGTGGTTAGAAAGAGAGGAGAGTGAGAATCATGCTCCCACTCACGGCGTTAGTGACGCAGTTTTTGAAGGCTTCAAATTCGCTTGAACAGACGCCTTTGGAAATGTCCTCGTAGGAAGAAGCAACGCAAGCGCCATAAGCCTTAGCCTGGAGGGAATGAGTGATTAGTAGGTCAGTCTATATGAGCACATGCCATAACTCACAACAGGTGCACATGTGGCTGTGGCTTTGCTCATCGTGGCCAACGGGCTGCTGTGTGCCGAGGAGGACGATTGAGACGCTTTAAGTAATGCGTTGGAGCTGAGCATTTATTTGAGTGCGTTGATTTGTGCTGACAGCTGCCTCGATTTCTGGCGTGCTTTGATGGCTTTCGAAGTTTTGAACCAAACGCGCTGTGATTCTCCATCACGCACACTCAAATAGAAGTAAAATGCAAGAATCGGGAGAAAGAGAGGAGAAGTATGGATTTGATGAGAATGATACTCAGAATATGCAGGATACGAAGGATACGCAGGATACGCTGGATACGCTGGATACACAGGATACGCTGGATTCCAATGATACCCAATCCTTGACGCACCAGCACAAGCAGGAGCATCAACACACCCTAGAACCACCGCTATCACCTTCGTTATCCTTATCGCAAACGAAATCGCTCGATAAATGGGACGACGCCGAAGAAGATTTCATAAAGATGGAGGATCATACCACCGGAGGTGTGGGTGAGAACGAGAATGGGAATGAGAATGAGCAAGATGCGGAGGACATACCCCCAGCAAAGACAGTGGACGAGTTCGATAAACGCATGTCAGTGCTAGGACTGCGCACGCCGCCTGAATCTGAGAGAGATATAGAGCACGCAGAGAAAGCAGAGCACACAGAGCACGACCTAGAAAAGATACTTTCAGAATTGGCTAAAGTGCGTGAGGACAACGTAGCTCTAATGACAAGTAACGAGAAATACAAAGAAGATTGCGAATTAATTGCACAGGAGTTGGAAATAGAAAAGAAGCAAAGAGTAGATGCAGAGGAGATAATAGTACAATTGCGTACGCGGGTTGAGGAGAGCAGGAATGGCGTCATGAAACTGCAGCAGCAGCAAGAGCAGGATAAGAGTAGGAGGAGACAGGAGACGGAGTCGAAGCGGTCGTCGTTTATACTAAGCGAGCCAGCCAATCTTTCGGTGAGTCGATATGTTATAATACAAAGAAATACCTCTTACACCCTTTTACCACAGAAGAGAGCTTCGATCAAGTCACACAAGAGATTGTCGTCCGTATCAGCGGATAATGCAAGCATCAGTGGTAATGGCAATGGTAATGGCAACACAACAAAATCCCTCAAAGACTTACACCTCAACCCTCAACCAGCCCCACAACAACCGTCGAGCAACGCATCGTCTAACAGATCGTCGCAGGTGATGGATATGACTAATGTGCAAATGGAGAACGCTAATCTTTCCAACGAGATACAGAGGCTGAGGCGGGAGGTGGATGTAATCAAGGAGGGTAAGTTATCGAGTGAGAATGCGCTACGGGCGTTGCGTGAGTTCATGGATAGTTCCGGCGAGGAGAAGCCGAGTGGGTTGAAATTACCGCCGCTGCCTACAGATGAGGATGTGCCTACGCCTACAGATACTGCTCACAAAACAAATGCATCGTGGTTGTTTGGTAGACAGCAGAGCAGCGCAAGGAATGCTGATAGTACGACGCCAACGCTAACGCAACAGTCACACTCACAATTAAACTCACATGCCCACTCACACGCCCCCTCTAACGACGGCGGATTCGATAAACCGTCCACGCTGCGCTCTATTTCGAGCTTCTTCGGCAAGAGTTGAATTTAGTGATACGGATGCATGTGGTGTTGTTTATTAACCTAAGGTTGATCAATTAAGCTCTTCTTCTCTGTTCTGATTTCGTTTTCGCTCTTCATTTCTGATGGGTATTTTGACACCTTGCGCCGCGAGTGATTTAGCGAGATGAGAAGAAGCTGTGTGGTAATTAAAAGGAGAAAGCCAGATAAACAACCCAACTTACGCGCCATACCAGGAAACTTCTTAGCAGTGTACACGGTGAACGGGTTAGTGACGACATGGCTCAGCACAGGCTGTGGGGAATTATCCTGAGAGCAGACGGTTGTGAGAAGGAATTTGAGACGATAAGCGCCTTCCATAGTGAGAGTGAGGTCGCTGGGAGTACGTTAAGTGCCTCAATGAGATTAGATTAGATATAATCTGATGACGTACCTGAAATAGAAAAAACATCCATAGCCATCAGTGTCGTGGTTGGATAGACGGCAGTAGTGTGCAGAGGATGTTAATGAGCCTTGCAATATCTGTGACTGGGGTTTGGGGAGTGTGTCGTTGTCTGCGAGAAGAACGTGTAGTACCCAGAACGGCGATCTTAGCGCGCTGTAAACGGTGTGAATAAAGATACTTGTAATTCTAAATCACAATTTACTCCTCATCTAGTCTACCCGCGCTATCATACACCTCTAGCTGAATAATCGCAGGTGGATCAACCGGCCTCTTCTCGCTAAAGGAAGACATCCTAGCTACGCGGGGCTGCTGGAGGATGTTCAGACGATATTGTCGTGGCTCTTTGGATTGGTGTAGGAGACTGTCTGCATTGTTCATTTTGTCTACTGGAGCTTTTTCTCGTATCTTCTACCTTCCCGCTTGGTTAAGCTTCAAACTTCACGGCAGAAATGAAATATTCGGTAAGGGACGAAATAACAAAATTAGGTTTATAAAATTTGATTTTTTATTCATAGTAAGTTCATTTTAGCCTCGTTCGGCATGTGTTAAACAGGTTGAGTGTTTTACTTTAGCTGAGTAACACAGTAACTGTCTTGGATATGTGTGCGGAGCATACTAGTCATATATGCACACGCGTAAACACTCTAACACGAAAAAAGCAGCTTAGCTTTTAAATTTAGCCTGCGTAAATTGGGTTCATGCAGTCACCCTAGCATAAAGTCACGTGAATACGTCATAGAGGGGGATGTTGGTGGTGGCGGTGGTTAAGGGGTTAGCAAATAGTATCAAAACACACTCAACACCAAGCAAAACATATGTATTCAATCATAATTTTTACACCTCACACCGCCTAAAACAGGGTTCCGTACTCGTTCCTTAAATCATGATCGAAATGTTTCTCAGTAAGCGTGCGCAGTCTGGACATATAGTCGTCATGGTTGATATACGCACCACATAATCTTCTCTTGCCGCTAAAGGCAGATCTACCATGGAGGATTCTCCAATTATCGAAGAGGACGACCTTTCCTTTCTCAAGAGGGAGCCAGAACTGATTGCGGGGGTCGTTGAGGATGCCATTCCAAATCTTTAACGCCCTGTAAAAATCCTCAACGCGTTTCGGAGACAACGCATTTAACACCGATCTGTCGTCATTGTTGTAGCGGATTTGGAGTAGCTCGCCGGTGATGTTGTCGAGGTTGATTATAGGATAGCCAGACTGCTGTGCAGGTTTAATGATGGCGTCTTGGCTCCCAACGGAGTGAGAGGGGATAGGGGTGGTGGAGAGTGTGTCGAAGGCGGGTGGATCAAGCTGCTTGAGGATATTTGCGCAGTGGAAGCCGTCGATGAAGAGACTATCACCGCCTTGGACTGTCGCCGGTTGTAGCAAGTGGAATAATTGGAGACCGATCGGGTCAGTGAAGTAGGTAGTGTCGGTGTGTGCACCGAGTGCTATGTCGGTGTATGCAGTGTCACCGTGGCTCAGGTCGGAGGTGAAGTCCCAGAAAGTTCCGTAGTGGGTTTGGCGAATGAAAGTGATTTGTTGAGTGAGCTGTTCCGTGTGTTCGGGAGTGGATGGTACACCTTCAACAAAACCAATTCCATGGGTGTGGATGTTTTGGAGCCAGTTTAAGATACCTTTATCTGAGTGTACAATGTCGGTGTACTGGGTTGTCGGAGTGTTCTGGCGTATCTGCTGGGCATTCCAGGTTGGTTTTATATCCCTCTTAACCTCACTAAGCTTGGGATAGTAGCTATTATTATATAGCCAGTGATACGGGTACTTGCACGTTGAGTTGTCATTCCAACGAACAGAGAGCGTGGTGTCTGATTGAGATACTTCAATGGGCTGTATTGAGTCTGGAATGGCGTAAGTGTCCACCAACCTCTGCTTTGTGATTGGATGGAATGAGTGTGCGTCCCTAGAGTGGTCTCTAAGCCATAAGTTATGAAAGTTACACGATTTGTTGTCATTCCAGTGAATATTAATGAGCTTGTTATTCCAATCCACCTTAACTGGCTTTAGTAGCCTATGTATCCTATTCATATCGTCGTCGAATCGTTTGAACACGTTGATTAGCCTCAATCATGTCTTCTTCAATCAAAGACAAGTCACAGAGGACGGTATGGGTAAACAACATCAGCCAATCCCTCAATAAGGATGATTTACACGCTTCTTTTCACTCCTTCGGCAATATCCTCGATATACAACTCCCAGCGCCTCAGGAGAAGTTCTCAAAGCTGCCCCATAGGGGATATGGCTTTATTGAGTTTGATGACAAGATTGCTGCTGCTACTGCGATTGACAATATGGATTTAAATATTCTTTCAAACAACGTTATCAAATGCAACTACGCAAAGCCACTGAAAGCAGCACACCTGACTGGTGAATCCAATAAACCAATTTGGAGTACGCAGGAGTGGTTGCATGAGTATGGCAAGGAGTGAGAGCTACTACATTAGTAGTCCTTCCTCTCCATTCCTTCCGGCGGCGTGCCCTTCACCTCACCCTTCTTCACTTGATCCCAATTCGTCGATAGCGTCGTACCTCCACTCTCCTGATACGATTTCATCATTGCCTTGCGAACGTCGTCGTCTGCACCGGCGAAAAGCTTCTTAAAAAAGTCATCTGGGTTTGTGTCTTGATTCTTATCTTCTTTTTCTTCTTTGTCTTGTTCTATAGCTATTTTATTCCAGTCTTTTGTATTTGTAGGGTGTTGTTGCGGCTGTGTGTCTGCTGGCTGTGTTAAACCACTCCAATGGACCCCTTCTACCGCTTTAACCAGCTCAATTTCAATTTTCATGGATTTTAACGTGTAGCTGCACTTTGAAGGTTGAATAGGGTATAATAGCGGTGCTAGATGGAGTTGTCTGTTGTCACTTAGGTTTACAAACAGCTCTCTCTCCTTAAACTCCACTGTTAAGCCATCCTGACTCACTCCTTTGGCAAATACGCTAACCTCTAAACTCCCATTCGTTTGGAAGTAATCATATCTCAATTGCCCGCTGTTTGCCTTTTCAGTCCATGTCTTCTCGTTTCAGCACACACCCACGTCATAGTTTGAAGCCAACAACGGCGACAATCAAATAATGAATTCAAATGAAATGGCAAACAGCTTCGGTGGCAATTCCCCGCTTATCAATCTACAGGCGTTTCTAGATCGCTGTAGAAGGCTGGAAGAGAGTAAGAGTAACCAAGGCGAGGGCGAGGGCGAGGGCGACGAGGACACCACCAACACACAAACGCACTCCCTCATACACTCCCTCACGCGCTCCACAGCCACTATCACCGCTGACGACGAACGGCTGCTGTGCGATAAGCGATTCGTGCACGCACTCCAGACCCACAACGAGAGATACGCGTTGAGGCGGAGGCGTGGGCGCAGGAACGATGCAGATACAGATCAAGGTGCAGCTGCAGACGCGCTAAACGTCCTCCCCTCAATCATAACCGCACCCCCACAACGGTGTCTGGACCACATCCAGAAGGGTTGCGATACGCGCACACTCGCACACCACATCCGCCCCGCTTCCGCCGCCGATGTGGATGGGAAAGGGGCGGATAACACGGATATTAATGCACGCGGGCGCGGTTGGGACTATCGGTGTGCGGTTGTGGATGTGCTTGTGGGCGCTCCCGCTCCAGACACAAACAAACTGTGCTCACTCGCCCTGCCTTCTGCCGCCCCTCTCAATCATGTCATCGATCGCATACGCGCTCGCTGTTGCTCCAACATCACTCCAGCAGGATGTATCCTCTTTGACGGCGTGGCTTACTTGGATGGGCGCGCAGGGTGTATTACAGCGTATGAGGAGGTCTTTGGGAGTGCTGGTGGCGTTAGCAATCGTAGTGGTAATTCTAGTGATAGTACTAGTAGTAGTAGTAGTAGTAGTATTACCAATACCGATACCAATAGCAACGCCAACACCAAAACCACAAACAACACCACAGACACCCCCATCAGCAGCCTTCCTCTCCGCACAGGCGGCGTAGGTATATACATCCACAACGGAAACTGTGAGCATACCCTGCAAGTTACCAGTGTCAGGTTGAAAGCCACCAAGGAAGTTGTCCCGCGTTACAAGTACATACGCGCAGCACCAACACACACAAAACACTTGTGCGACATCTGCAATAAGAAACAGGCACATTTCACCACTTACAAGGATAAAGTGGGTGCTGCACTCGTCTCTTTCTGGTGCCCCACTTGCTTCGACAGTGTCCGGGGTGGTGAAGGGGGTGTGCAAGTGTACCATTTGAATGCGTGACGGTAGTGTCTGTATGTATCTGTCTATGTATGTATTATCTGTATATCTATCCATTGCATTACTTTCCACTTTGCACTTTACCCCACTCACACCGTCCCATAATACCTATCGCCCACATTGCCCATCCCTGGTACGATCTGCCAGTACTTTTTGCGTTCGGGGACCTCCAAGCTAACGACGCTTTTGCGCCTGTGAGTGGGTGTGTGAGTGTGAGTTTGCACATTCTCCTGCGCGTCATTCTCCTCGTTGAATGTGTTAGCTTTCCCGCTACCATTACCGCTAATAGGCACCTCGACTTCGCGCAACACGGGGTCAGCGGCGGCCGTAAGGATTTGAATACCGGGAAAGGCTCTATGAATAGCGTGCACGCCGCCGCGTTTCGCGACGAGGAAAGTAAGGAAGATGATATGATGTTGGAGGACGCCGTGGTCCAGCAACACCCGAATGGCCATGTAAGCCGCAGCGCCAGTGCCGCATTGGGAGTCAGACAGCAGCACCCAAGTGTGTCGCGCTGTCTCAGCCTGCTTCACTGCACGCGGCAGATTGTGGTGGTACAGTGCCGGCTCACCGTGTTCAGTATCGTGCTGGATCAACATTGAGCCCAGTTCTACATCGGGGAAAATACGCCGCAGGCCGTGATTGAAGAGTGAGCCGGAGCGCTGGATGGCCACTGCGCAGAGATTGCCGGGTGTTGAAACATTAGCATCAACATTGGCATCAACATTAGCATCAGGATGCCTACCCTCACTCAGATTCATTCGCACCCCCTCACTCACCGCTAAGGGCGTGTCTACCACACATTTCTCGTGCGGGAGATAGGCCAAAACCTCTCCAGCCACCATTGCAGCTAGGCGGTCGACGGCATCGACAAATTGCGTGCGGGGTGTGCAAGGATCGCGGAGGAGTGTGAGGAGGGCGTTACGTGTCGGGGTGCTCGCTATCACGCGCACGTTAGGCGGTAAGTCGGAGCAGCGGGGTGAAGTGGTGGAGAGTGTTTTGCGAAGGAATCGGGAGCGCTGTGTGAGCTGCGTTTTGAGATGCGTCACTATCAGATCCACCGCTACACTGTTGGCTGCGCCAGGCACTATGATATCAGCATGACGGGAGGAGGGAAGCACGAAATTTTCCTGTGTAGTTGTTAGAGAGTGTTGGTGTGAGGTGGGCAGTATACACTCACAAAAGACGGCTTGACCCATTTGAGGTACTGGCTGAGCACACCGTCGACATCGCGCGATCTGGGTGGTGTGAGCTGTCGGTCGCGCTACACGCTACACACCCCCACTCACCTCTCGACGACATCGCGCTTGATGCGCCGCGCGAGCATGACATCACTGTCGCATTGCACGAAGACCTTCATGTCGAAAAAGTCGCGCAAGGCGGGATCAGTGAGAACGAGGATCCCCTCAACGATAACGACGCGTGCACCGTACAAGTAGGTGGATTGGGGGAGACGGGAGTGCGTGTTGAATGAGTAGTTTGGGAGTTGGACAGCCCTGCATTTCTTAATATCGTTGAGTACGTTAGTGAATAGCTCCATATCGATAGCTTGGGGTGAGTCGAAATCGTACATGTTCTTGTACGCCAAGTCTATTTCAGCGGGTGTTCGCTCGCCGTAGAAACTGTCCTGGGAGATGATGGCTATGGATTGTACGTTGTGCAGACGCTTTATGATTTCACTAAGCTGGTTGAGTATGGCAGAAGCGGTGATAGCGACACCACACTCACCCCGCTACGTACGTCTTGCCGCTCGAACTGCCCCCGGCTATGCCGATGATGAACGGCTCAACTGGATTGCCGTTCTCGTCATACCACGCACGGAGACCGTCAGTCTTGATGAAAGAATTCTTCACCCGTGCGGGTTGCTCTAGTAAGTCCATGATGATGGGCGTTGGGAACCAAGAAGCAATAAAAACGCTGAATGATATCGACAGAATAAGCGCTGCTCTATTCGCCAGTCTGTCCAGCCAGCCAGTGAAGCCCGGAAGAGTTAGTGTGGGGGCGTTGGCACAGCTCTCACAACTGGACAGCGCACTGTCGGTGCATTTGGAGGAGCTGCGCGGGCACCAGCTGCGACAGGGTATTATTGCTGCTCTGGAAACGGATATCATCGAGTTGGAAGAATCAATCCAGCACTCACTACACACACTCAAACAATCACAGAATGATTTGGGCAGAATTGTACAAGACAGTGACAAAGACAAGGCCCAGATGAGAGCGGCTGAGGAGAGTAAAATACCTCACGAAACTCTCCTCGAATACGCTCAAAAGTTGGCTGCTTTCACCCACGCTCCACCGTCTCTCACCACCAACGACAGCCACGCCCCTCAGCAGCCATTCAATATGCCTTTCCCCACCGAATCAAACATGCGTCGTGGTATCCTATTTGCTCAGGGCGAGGAACACACGCTCACGCTTGAAATGGGAGAGAGTCGCGAGGTGGAGGCTGAGAAAGTGGTCCACCATCCAATCAACAGCACTGCACAAGAGCAGCAACACATGCAAGCATTTGACGGTGATGGGGATGTTGAGTTTGATTTGCTGGATTGATTTCAATGCTGAGGCTGAGGCTGAGGCTATTTCTAATGCTAATGATGACTATGGATTACTAAATGCTAATTGCTAATTGCTAAATGCTAAATACCACAAGCCACAAGCCACAAGCCACAGGCTATCCATACTTATCCTCCCCTTCCACCACCGGTAAACAAAGCCTAAAAGCGTCTTTTCCGTTCATGTAGAACCGATAAAGGCGTTTCTCTGCCATAAAGCCAAGTCTCTTGTAAAATGCAATAGATGTGGAATTATCCACTTCAGTTTCGAGCACAATCTGCCGTGTGTTAGATTGCTTATACTTTACAATCCATGCTCCACACGCACCTCCTCAGCACCGCCGCTAATCATGGCGTCTATCGCCATCCTCACGAGCTTCGTGGCTATACCGCGTTTACGATAATCCGTACGCACTGAGAGCATAGCGATATAACCGCGCATCAGCCCCGACTTGTGTCTCTCCTGCTTACATACGACGACGCCAACAGCGAGAGCGGAGTTCTGTGCAAGTGATTGAGATTGAGATTGCGCCGTGGTGTGGTCATGAGCCTGAGCAAGCAATGAAAGAAACAATGAATAAGCAAATTGCAATGTTTTCAACCAACACACCCACCAAAAACGTCAGCTGTGGCCTGTAGTGCGCACGCGCGCGCTGTTAGCTGCCTTGGCTTCACCCTCACCCACACACCACGCACCACGTATGCACGAAATACCGGTAAGTCATGTTGATGTAGGGCTCTGAGAGCTCCGTGTCGATGAGATCCATGATACTCGCAAGCTGCCGCTCGTCGTGGTATTGTGTGTATGTGATGGCCGTGTTCGACATGGTCGTACGAGAGACAAAGGCAGAAAGGATATAAAACATATAAAACACAGGAAATGCATTATTTTAACTCCCAATTCACCGTAGAACCCGTAAGCGATATCCCCTTCACTTCGAGTCTGCACTGCACGCCGTTCTTTGCAAAGATGCTGCAGATGCCCTGCGCAATGGCGTCATCGTTATGTGTGTGCAGGGCGAGTATAGTTGGACCAGCGCCTGAGAGGCAGATTCCAAGCAGACCTGGGTGGGTTGAAGGTGTGAGAGATCTAGTGATTTCCGGTAGACCTGGTATCAACTCAGCGCGGTACGGCTGGTGGAGACGGTCCTGCATAGCTTCCCAAATAAGATGTGGGTCCGGTGGATTAATGGAGAGAGCTGTAGTAAGTACAGCGAGGCGCTGTAAATTGAAAACGACATCTCCCCTCTCATACAGTTCCGGTAGACACCCCCTAGCCTTGGCGGTAGATAATTCAAATTGAGGGATGACTACAAGCGCCTTGATCTGCTCTGCCCAGCCATAACGAAGCCAGTGGCCGATCTCGTGCGGGGGGACGGGAGGCTTGCTTCCCCAGTCCTTGCTGGCGTCGCGCGGGTATTCGGGTAGCACCTCGCTCATGGGCACGCTGGATGGGTCGAGCGCCCCCGCTGGTAACGTTTTCAGGTAGCTCCCTACGAACCCGCCGATCAACGCTGCAGCTACGTTGTCGGGGTGACGCTCAACCATTAGCGCGAAATCGAGCTGGCGCGACGGCGTCATACGCAAATCAGCCAGCGCATCCGCTAATAAGACCCCAGCTACCACCGCAGCACCGGAACTGCCCAGACCGCGTCCAAAGGGGATTTCGTTGTGCACTTTTATGTCCAACTCGTCGGGGAATTCTCCTATGTCGTGGCATCTTAACACATATATGCACACGCGCGTCGTTAGATTCTTGTATGGATCCAGAGGTACCTCGCCAGCTCCCTCGCCTGTGTAGGTGATTGTAGGCGTTGTGTGTTTCGTTGCGGGGTAGGGTTGGTGAGAGACGCTCAGACGTAAATCAATACCCTCCCAACTGGCACCCAGGCAATCAAAGCCACACGCTAGATTTGCAGAAGTCGCTGGAACTTTTACAGTGAAACGTCTAGCCATGGAGAATGGAGAGTAAGGAGAGGAGCAAGAAGAGGGCAAGGAGGGAAAGAAAACGAATGCGATAAAGAGTAATGTATAAAGTGTGAAACAAATGAATCTAGAAAGGTAGTGGCGGAGTGTGTTTCTGTTTGCGCTGTTCCTTTTCCTTTGTAGAGAGTAAGCAAGAAGACAGAACAAAGAGAGAGAACAGCGCACCTTGTTCCAGAAATCGATCTTTTGGGACATGTTCTGTAGATTTTCATGGATTGCTGCTTGTCTGGCTGGCTGCTTCCTGTGCCAGAGACTACCCTTAAACTTCTTCTCTGCAACGGCTCTAGGAGCCCTTGGGAGGACATCAAACATGGCCTTCTCCTGCCAATTAAAGGGTTTCTCAACGGAAACAGCATCGGTGACAGCGTCCTTGACTGAAGTTGGAAGTAGGTGCATCACGCCTTCAGCTCTGGCAGCCTTGATGAGGTCAGCCTGCTGTCTCCTCGAGTAACGCGGGGGCTGCCATTTACCGGTGAGCTTGGACTTTCTGAATTGAAACGGCGAAGGTCTCAAAGCGCGAGGATCAGATTGCGCTTGTTCGAGGGTCGTTGATGGCGGCAGGAGATGCTGGGATTTCTGTGCCACAAACCAGAAATTAGATTCAGAGAGAAGGAATGATTTTAAAAGCGGGGATTTGATTGAGTGGATGGCGTTGTTTATTGAGGTCATGATGGTGGTTCTTGTTCAAGATTAGAAACAGCGATGAGCAATACGAGTAAAACGAGTAATATTAACGATATTCGAGGTACTCAGGGTACTATAGATACTCCAGGTACTCCAAACACTCCAAACACACCAATTATATGCCTCATCTGCAAAACGAAACCAGTGGAATATAGTTGTGTACCTTGTAATCACGCTTACCTGTGCAAAACAGACGCGATGAAGCAAGGTACTGGCGGGAGGTGTAAGGTGGGTGAGACGGCGGGCAGAATACACAGGCTCACAGCAACCCACGTAGATTTGCAAGGAAATGTTTATTGAGGTTAAAAGGGTGTTTTAGGGAATTAAATAAATTCCTTCTTGTATCTTTCATGTTGAATGGCTCACGTCACTTGAACTTGTTTGCAGCTCACAGTCATGAGATCTTCTGAGGAGAGAGAGCAGCAACAACAACAGCAACAGCAACAACCACACACAACACCCACCACCACTCCAATCTCAGCCACTAAAAAGAAAGATCGGAAGCCAATCATCAATTGGCTGAGTTGCAAAACAGACGCGAGGAGGCAAGGTACTGGCGGGAGGTGTAAGGTGGGTGAGACGGCGGGCAGAATACACAGGCTCACAGCAACCCACGTAGATTTGCAAGGAAATGTTTATTGAGGTTAAAAGGGTGTTTTAGGGAATTAAATAAATTCCTTCTTGTATCTTTCATGTTGAATGGCTCACGTCACTTGAACTTGTTTGCAGCTCACAGTCATGAGATCTTCTGAGGAGAGAGAGCAGCAACAACAACAGCAACAGCAACAACCACACACAACACCCACCACCACTCCAATCTCAGCCACTAAAAAGAAAGATCGGAAGCCAATCATCAATTGGCTGAGTAAACGCCTTGGTAGACGCTCTTCCACTAATGTTCCCCCTGCCCCCGGTTTTGCTTACGATTACGAGCTACACGATACGCCAAAGCCATCTTCTAAGCGCAGGTCCACTCTCAATGGCGTCGTCAACCACACCTCATTCTCCACTATCAAGCGATCAAATTACCCAGAATCTTCAATCGGCCCACACAACGGCGCAGACGATGACGCAAGCTTAAAACCCCTCAATAGCAAGAAGTCCATCAGCTTCACTTCCAACTCCATTGACAGCGATCCAGATACTCATTCTCATTCCACTCTTAACACCGATCATCCAGACAACGACGACGACGACAACGAATCGAATACTTTTATTTCTAAAGCCAGTACTAAGCCAACTACTCTGCTATCCATCGATCCACACGATAGATCCTCTTTAGAATCTCATCAAGTCGCTCAAATCGCCCAGGCTTCTCCGTCTTCTCCTCATTTTAATCCGAACTCCTCTTACAACTCTCACAACGCCCAGATCTCTTACAACACCCCTCCCACGTACACACGTCCTCAACTACACAACAATCCACGTCCTCTCTCTCCCCCTAATGACGACGCTTCAATCATGACTCTCGCTTCTTCAAACGCTGGAAGAATTTACCACAATGACAACTCAAATTCTATCACTAAATCTAGCCTGCACTCCTCACTCAAACTCGATGACGACGAATTCTCCACTAGAGCTCTGGCACCTAACAGTCGCCGAGAAAGTTTCGATTCAAACACCACTCAATCTCTCCGTAGCTACAACATTGGCACTAGTCCGCTCAATCCTATCCGCAGTCCTGATTTAGTTTACAATAATCCTGCTTCTAATTATAAGAAGAGCTCTACTACTATTGCTACCACTGCTGCTAGTTTCATCACAGCCTCTGAGAGGAGGCAGTCGATCGATTCTGCTAGTTAGTCTTATCTGCTACTTGAGCTTAATAACGATATTTCTGTTTACGAGAATTGTCTATACCCTTCACTCACTCTCACGTTTCACTCTTTTGTTCTTTCTTTATTTATTATGCTTTACGTCCCCCTGTCGAGATACCTGTGATAAATTGGTGCGGCTCAATTATTTGGCACAAAACGCCTTGTGAATCGCTCGCTGCACGACTCAGGTACAAAAGCATGTATCGGCAATTTACAGAATATAAGGCCAATTTTAAGAATTTGTGCCTCTCAGGGTTTTAGGAGTGTGTATTTCTCTTTTTCAAATGTCTATCTCTGAGACATGCCAAAACCATTGTAACCATTGCAGAGCGCTAAACAACACCTAACCCATTGAACACGTTTATAGGAAGAATTTGATGATAAATTAAGCAATCTAAGGTTTTCCTTTTCTTGAACCTAGCATGGCTTGAATCACTAAGTCTTCACTCTGATATTATGACTCTCGTGATATCATTGATGCACGTGCAGAGGTGATTCAGATCGGTGACTAAAAGTGCTACAAGTGAAGTAGTGGTAGATACAACAAGCAATTTGGAATTTCAATCATTTTTTTGCGTCACAGGTACCCATTATTTTCTTGGGTATTTGAGGCGTTAACACATCAATATCATGAACTTTTAAATCAGTCTTGGGTTCATTGAGACAGTATCGTGTTGCTTTAATGATATTTTTGTATGACTTTAAGAACACTCTTGAATATGTCATCTCCTCGAAAATCGACTGAGTTCAAACTGTTATTGGAAGGTTATTACTATGCTCATAGAGCTTTTATTACACTAAGCAGCATATTTCAGCTACAGAAGAGCACTTATACTTTCAAAGATACTGCAGAATGCCTCTTTTTGTTGTTTTGATGAGATAACCGTCATATTTGCAACTATTACTCGTTTTTACTCACTAAAGCATCAAAGTAGAAATTTTGTCGAACTTGTCTATTATTGTGTGATTTTGACGTCTATAATGTCAAAATTTGATGCCTTGTGACATCTTTGCTTTTGCACAAATTAAGATTATATTGTAAATTGTTGAGAACGCTATTAACAGCCTTGCTAGCTCAATCGGTAGAGCGTGTGACTCTTAATCACAAGGCTGCGGGTTCGAGCCCCGCGTGGGGCTAATATTTTTGCAATCGTTTTGTTTTAGAAACTTCATCAAAACAATTAAGCTCGCTATTTCATATCATTGTCTAGGTACACTCTCAGTATTCTATAAATTCTATTCACTACAGCTACACCCTTCCGCTACTCCAAACATAGCCACTCCATCCAGACTTTATGAAGGCATCAACGAGCTTTCTCTCCAAGTCACTTTCGCTGGCTTTTGAGTCATGGTACGCCTCCAGACCCTGTTTTACCTCATCTGCATTCTGCCAACCGCTGACAGTTGTATATTTGCGCATAGAGAAGCTCGCCGCAGCTTTGCTAGCCTCCTGGCCCAACGCTTTCACTGTGCGTTTTGCAGTATCTTTGAGACCATCTGGCGCAGGATGCCAGTCTGGGGGGCCTTGAGGAGTGAGCAAGCCCATAGCGAACGGACTAGCAGTGACGAGAGAGATACTGTCATCAAACAGCCCCTCGAATGCTTCAAAATTGGTTTGGATATAGCTGGGTGGAGCGAGCGCTTGAGGGCCATGATTAGCATACGACATGACATACTGCAGTGAATCTTTTCCGAGGTGGCTAATAGCCAACCTAGAAACACGCAGCAGTGTTGGTAAGGGTAGTGCGGAAACGCCTATATTGCGTATTTTGCCTTTTTTCTTATACCCGTTGAGTATCCGTAGGGCGTTGAGCACCTCTTCGTCGCCCTTGCCCAGTATCCTCGGCTCACCAGTCAAATTGTACTTTTGGAGATTGTCGAGCACTCTTGTTGGCTGACCAGCCTCGTTGATATCAGCTATCGCCTCCGCTACGAACTCGACATCGTGGAGGTAGACGATATCTAGGTAGTCCGTGTTGAGATATGCAAACGATCTGCGGAGAGATTCGTGAATACGCGCCTCACTGTAATTGACCTCATCGCCGTAATGACCGACTTTGGTGATGAGCGTGTATGTGTGCCTCGGGTGCAATGGCTCGAGGATGTTAAGCGCCCGGCCGAGAACGGCTTCGGCGGGTGCGTAGTGAGGGGCGTTATCGAAAGCACGCACACCTGTGTATGCAATGTAAGAGAGAGCGTTCGATTTCCACAGTTTATAAGCCGCCACCGACCATTGTCTAATGCCACTTTGACGGCTTCAACGGGGGCCGCAGACTCGTAGATGGAGCTGGGAGTGTAGTTGCGCCCGAGTGGCCCGCATCCGGCTATCAGGGAGCGCTTCAGTGGCGCTGGCTCGACTGGCTCGCTGAGATCGTCCAGCGTGATTTCCTCGAGATTTGCATCAGCCTTGTTCCAGTTGGAGTGGATCGTGTGCGGTGGCTCATGCGTGCTGTCCACACCACCTGCACCATCTGCACCGTCTATCCGTCCATCCTGTAACTTTGCATATCCGAGCGTCATGGCTGCACGATTAAGAGACCGGTTATACGCGTTTGTAGCGATTACACTCCAGCACCAAATGATCTACTAACATATACAACATCAGAGTTCCTGATTGACCAAATTAACGCTTTGTTTTTCCGCGCTCCTTCCACTTGAAGTTACACCTCCACCATGAGCAATCTCGAGGTGCCTCAGAAGAGGCCAGCGAGACCACAACGATCTGCAAGACGGCCAAAGAGTGCATCGCGAACACCGTCACCTGCTCCCAGCGATCTCACACCGCCGTCCGGTTCGGATGGGGATCCAAGCGAGAGCAGCGAGAGCATCGAGGATACATCAAACCCACCGAAAAACACATTCAACGTACCACTACCGTCCTCTTATATACCAAACAGGCAGTCATCGCTAGTGAGGCCGGAAGCTCAACCACCGGTGCCGTCGCGTGCATCGAGTTTGACCGTGCAGCAGCAGCAGGAACAAGAGCGGCTGCGAAACCGACAATCTAGTCAAAGTCAGCATTCTTCTTCAAACAAATCAACAGATAAGAGAAGCTCCTCTCTTTGGCATACAATTCAATCACTTAAAAGAAATACAAGTCATTCTCAATCACAATTTTCTGGTGTGCGGAAGAGGAACACGCTCAGTCTATTCAATTTCCCAAGGAAGGCCTTTTCATCGACTAACCTTAGGAAGCCATCCATGTCCAGCCTGCCCACTTCTCCGGCTACTCATTTTGCCGTACCTCAAAGATTTAGCTCCGTTGCTGCAGATAATGATCAGATACCCACTATCAATGAGCACCCAATGAAAGATATTCACGACGATTGGGAACCTATACAGGCTTGGTTGAGTACTGGTAAGTGTGGTTGTTCCATATGCACAACTCCCAACTTACGATCTCTCCAGTCGAACCACTCAAGGAAGAGGATGAATCTATGGCCGAAAGGCAGCCTCTTTCCTCGAACTCTAGCATGCTTCGTGCCCATCAGTTTCCCGCCGAGAGTCTCGGCAACTTCGGCAACTCTGAGACGCCGCGAACAAACCCTGAACATTATGTAATTCAAGACCCTTCAGGATACTCCCCAGAAAGACGTGAATCAAAGATTTTAGGTGATAGTCACGAGGAAGAGAATACCGAAGAACGTGAACAACTGCCATCAAGAGGACGAGCGAGGGAGAGAGCAAGCAGAAGAACAAGTGGAGGGATATCCATTGAAAAAAGGCATTCTTCGCTTCTTCGCAGTATGAAAAATACAGAGGAACTTACTGAATCTACCGAAGCTGTTCAACCCACTCAACCTTTAGACCACGTCGAACCACAGCACCCTCAACCCGAATGCAAGTCTATTATATCAGTTGAAGAGGTTCAGCTCCCTCTTCACTTCAATTCGGGACCGCAACCTAGGCACCAAATGTCCTTCGAATCAGACCAATTCTCCATCCCTCGCAAACCTATCCGTGTTTTCAATTATGGTGCTAACGATAACCAACAACCTACGCCTAGAAACTCATTCGAAACGTCGATAGCTTATTCATCAACTAAAGCGTCAACTCACTCACATGAAAGTGGAAATTTACATCGTCACACGGAAGACCCTCGGGAGGAGGAAGGAGTGATGCGGAGTGTCTATGACAGGAGTGCTTCATTTGCCCAGGAAGAGCGGTATCTTGAACAGATCGAGCAAGATGATGTAGTCGAAGAGCTTGGAACCCCAACTGGCACTTCGTTAAAAGAGAGCGAAGAAGTCGTCGAGCTGGGTACGCCACTTGGCACTATCGACACGGAAGATGAAGTCTCGATCTTGCAAAAGGCAGCGTGCTCTCTACATTCCCACTCCCACTCCCATTCTAATCCTCCGTCTGCCGTCCAAACACCAGACACGAAGGACATTGAATTGCCGATACCGCCCGCGCGGGAAGAGCAGCTGTACTCGCTGGTACACCCGCTATACTCGCCACGGATGGCTTATGCATCGCACACACCGCACACACCGCACACACCGCGCTCGGCGGATCAAGACGAGCGCATTTCGCTATCATCTGGCGACATACTAAGTGCAGAAGCTGACAAGTTATATCATACTGAAATATTCTCGCCACATTCTCTGCCTCCTAACGACCTACATTCACACAAGTTCAAATCACATTCACCGTATATCAAGCTCGAGGAGTCTGACGATAACGACCTGATGACGATTGAAGATAGTTTGCAAGGGTTCTATATTGACAGTGCCATTGGGCAAGCACATTGATAGCTTTGCAAATCACCACAATGCAAACATAAACACACATCCACACACACCACTCGGACCACGTCATTTCACTTCACTTAAAATTACTCTTCTTTATACTAAGAAGCCGTTCTAGCTACAAATTGGCTCTTCATACTTTAAGAGATGATTTAATCACAGATATGACACACACGCCTCTCATATGCTAACAAAATCAATTAATCACAGTTCCTGATATACACGCCGGCATCACTTCACTCTTTGCTTTTTGTACATCGAATATAACTTATTCTAAGTCTCTAAAGATTTGAATAAGTGTAGAATTCTGAAGATCTTCACTACAGTGCATTGCCATCTCTTTGTCATGAGTGCTTGTCTCATCCGGGATAATATGCTGTCCACCACTTTTCTTGAATAGATACAGCTTGAGAAGCATTGCCAGGACAATACCAAACACGCAAACAATGATTGTGATTACTATTTTTGATTTTAGCCATCTGGAGTTAGAACATATATGAGCTCACTAAATGCTATCAACACCCAAACTCCGCTATCTAGTTCCATCTTCATGTTACAGAAGTGAGTGGTTTCAGAGAGTGGGGAGCAGGGTACTCATGCAGCGTTAGCTAAGCTATTGATTGTGCAACTGTGCTGCAATATCCGGCTGAGACATTTTACGCCCAGGCTGATGATGGTCTTGGCGTTAACTCAGCCCATATTATTTGATCGCGTTCGACTTCAACGACAGATGACGCAGCGTGTCAACAGACTTGATTGCTTATTTGCTGGCATTGGGCTTTGCACATAATCGGAAAGTAATTTCTTGCGCACAGTCCTAATAGGCCACATAGGTCTAGGGTTACTCAATAAAGAAAAAAATAAAAAAGACGGCGGCACCCGGGAATCGAACCCGGTTCGCTATCAGGCTTATTAAAAGGAGGCGCTTGCCTCAACTTCTACTAACCCTAAGATAGAATCTTACCATCGGACCCATGCCGCGGTGGAACCGTTACGCTAACTTAGCTGGTAAAATTTTAAGTTTATCAGTTATTATTATCGACCTTATAATAGTTTAAGATACGTGACGAAGGAGGTATCAGGCCGTTTCCGACTGATCAATTTGCCTCAATGCTGTGCGTGTGGCACAGAGGACAACATCTCCCATAGAACTTTCGTCTGCAAAAGACATAAAATGGCCAGAATCACATTAAGAAGAAAGATTACCAAGATCAATACTCGGTTCGAATTAGGATCAATACACAGAAATTCACGCTCTCTACAAGCCCTGTACGAATCCTTCAAACCGCAATTGACTACGTACCAAAGATACTCCGGTGATTCAGCGTAATTGAGAATCACCAACAATTCACGAATTACGAATTAAGAAAAGCTTCCAGTAATTTCAGCACCCCTTTTGACTCCTCATGCTATAAGAAGTATTGATGACGCAGTTTCTAACATGTATCGTCTTAACAATATAATCAGATCTCATCATCATCATCATCATCAGGAGGTATCAGTTTAAAGAAAGAGCTACTTAGGTTGTTTCAAGTTAGCTTCAATTTGCTGTTGCGGAAAAGTTGTCGAAATAAAGCTGTGATGAAGAGATCAGCTTGCCAATCAAAGTTTTAGAAAGACTGATATAAGCCAACAAACCAATTTCTGAGACAATCAACCAATTGTTTCATATTTATAGCCCTTTGAATTGTTCCGGAACTGAGTCTGGGTCTGAGTCCTCAAATCTTTCATCTTAATTAATTCCGAGTCACGCCGAGACACCTGTGTCGGGGTACTCATAAAAGATAAAGCAGCCATACTAGCATATAATAGCATAGCTTCAAACAAAATTGATCAAAAATTAACGTGACTTTTCTCAGAAAGAAATGACCTCATAGGAAACCGGACTTTTGGAATTTCGAATTTCAATCAGGAGAACAGGTTTACGTGGGCAAAAATTGAGCAAACCAAACTTATATCAAAGCCTAAAGAAAAGCCAATAAGAAAGTTTACACTGTGCAACAAGTGTCAACACAACTTTTCCTTTTACTTCGACAACCATCGCACCGAAATCTAATTTCCCCGGGTCGAGAATACGAGAAAAAAGGATAATGACAAGAACAGTTCGAATGATATACGACCAACTATCACAGCGCGACCCGCTTCCGGCACTCAACCTCGACCAAGAAGTGTACTATCCGCCTCTAACGGGCGACATTGATAAACTCGCTGCCAGTTTTCATGTAAAAGCTTGTTAGTGGGGTCTTTGAATTTCTCGCACAGCCGACTTACCCCTGCGCAGCACTGCACATGCTCAATGACGATATAAAAAGCACACACTACTACGCTGAAATGAACCAAGGCGATTCGTTGCTCGATTATTTGCATGCCATTGTGCATAGGAGAGAAGGTGATTTCTGGAATTCCAAATGGTCGGTTCATTTGCATCCGAAGTCAAAGTCGCCACGCTGACGAACTGTGTACAGGTGGTTTGCGAGAGTGAAGCATCCACTGCTACAGCAAGTATATAACGCTAAACTTCAGCCAGCCAAGGTGGTCGACAAGGTGGAGGAGATAGAGTTGTCGAATAGCCCAGAAGCAAAGAAGGTCTTAGAGGAGCTGCAGTACAAAGAACTATGCTTGATTGCCGAATACGCTATTAATGAGAGTATGAAGAGTGAGGTTGAAAGTTGAGAATGAAGAATGCACCGACACACGTTGCACGAAACATCGCAATATATACCTTAATGATCAATGTACTTAAATTATACAGATTATCCAACTTATCCATGTTTCATTATGGCCTTCATCTACGAGACAACCTATCCTTGGTAAATCTGTAGCTCAAAATAGCCGCCACGAGTGCCGCGCATGCACCTATCCGCATGATTATCCCTATACCTCTTGTATTAGTGTTTTCGAAATCAGCACCAGCCGATCTATGCTCAAGACCATTTTTCTTCGGCTCTATGAAGGAGAAGATAAACGACGAGATTGCAGTAATCAAAAACTGAGGTACGACCGTAGATACGTTCAGTATACCAAGCATGACACCAGCTTGGCTTGACGAAGTGACGTCGATGGCGTTTGGCGGGGCTTGGAGGGGTAATGGTGGATGCAAATGCTCGGTGCTAGAACTATTGCTATCAAACAGTACTTCTCTTTCGACGTCTTCCGCATCGTACATTATTTCCCCATTCTTCGCATCCAAGAGTATGCTCTCGCCTAGAAGAGAAAAAGGCGCCCATTGGGCGAGCGCCCAAGTGCATCCAACAACAGCAACCATTGCCGACGAAACGACGTAAGAAGACGAGAAGCTAGCACTAAAGATGGCTACCGCGAAGACAATGTGAGACATGGTATACATCTGCAAATATTGTTAGAATTGGAGTGTCGTTTCAGCCGCAATTCCCTCACAGAAGACAGATCCAATAGCGATGGCCGTAAAAGCTTTTTTATGAGCTTCGAGAGTGTATTACGGGTCTTTTGTACAGTTCCCTGGGGCTTGACAAGTGGTATTATGAGTGTAGGGAGTATGACAGCGGTTGAAAAAGACACGATAGCCTGAAACAGCATGGCGCGCGTACCAACTCGCGTCGCCTCATCTGCTGTCCGGCTATCAGCATCACTCAGGCTACTATCATCCAGATAGAGCTCTCCAATGTAAGAAGTTGACCAGAACATGACTGGGAACCATCCCATTGAAGCGAAGAATTGTATTATGCACAACTTGCGTACTCTGGGAGGTGGTTTAGTGGTAAAGAGAGTCTTGAATACCTGCTTTATGCTGGTTGTGCCCTGGTCTCTCACGAGGATCCTCTCAGACACGCTAAAACACGTGAGAAAATGAGTGACCACGACAAAGAAAGCGACAAGTGATGACAGAATTTCAAGCTGGGTGTCTCCCAAGATGGAAAGGTATCTAGTAAGGTCGATGTTGCCGATGAAGTAACCGATGCAGCTACCAACACCGATCATGCGACTGGCCCAGGCATTTGCGCCTTCCTGTTCAAAGGATGGCAGGGTATCTACGATGAGTGCTCGATCGGCAGCTTGGACTGCATTGATGGAAAAGTCGACGAGGTATACGGCAAGAACAGCAAGGTAAATAGTGAGGTCATCGTTGGGTTGAGTGTTGATAGTGGTGAAAATAGAAGCTACTTTGCGACTGTAACCGAGAAGGAGGATGCTCAGGGAACTGAGTAGCACGCTAGCTATGATATAAGGCTTCCTTCTGCCGAATCTGCACTTTGTGCTGTCTGCGAGTGCACCAATCGTTGGCTGCATTACTAGACCACTGAGTGGCCCTGCTAGGAGGACAGAAGATATAGAAGCTTTAGATAGGCCTAAGGATTGCAAATATGGGCTGGCCATTGAGAGCTCTACGCTCCAAACCAGCTGCAGGCCAAAAAGACTAAATGTGAGCAGTGGCTTGTGTAGCCATTCTGGACCTTTAATTCTAGCCTCGCCTTCCCATTCCATAGCGTCTCTACTTGGCTATAAGATGGCTGTAAGATAGACGAGAGAATGCGTGTCAAATGAAATTTATCAATAAAACTAACATTCCAATCAAACGCGCTAAACGGTAGCATTCTTGGTTGCGCCCGCTATCTCCTTGAACCGCGACGGTGACTATCAATTGAAATGAGCTCTGCAATGTCGATGCCGCCGTTGAGAACATTTGACGCTTTCCCCAAGACGCAGCCGACGTACACGGTGCGTATACGCAAACACATCACCGGCCAACACAACTCACATATTCACAGATACGCTCGAAACGGGGCGGGATAGCGACAGTGGTTGTTATATTTACTTTAGTGCTGCTTGTGTTTCATGAAATCGGCGAATGGCTGTATGGACACAACGAATATCAATTCAGCGTAGATACCACCACACAAAGAGAAATGCAACTGAACGTCGATCTCACAGTCGCTATGCCCTGCCATTACCTTAATGTAGACATAAGGGATGCTGTAGGCGACAGGCTGAAGCTGAGCGATAGAATACAAAAGGATGGTACCACCTTTGAGCCGGAGAAATACCATCAGATGGGCCACGACAAGCAGAGCACCCTCAGTCGTATTGTAAAGGATAGCAGGAAAGGCAGGAAGTGGTTCAGACCTACGGGTACGCGTAATCGTTTCAAGAAAACCAAGAAACCCATCAAGAATGGTCCAGCATGTAGACTCTACGGCAGCGTCGAAACCAAGAAGGTCAACGGTAACATGCATATCACTACTCTTGGTCATGGCTATAGCAGCCTGGAGCACACGGATCATAAATGTTGGTCGAGCTGTTGCATAAAAGTAAAACACTCACATATTTCCCAGTAATGAACCTCTCTCACACTATCGACGAATTCTCATTCGGTCAGCACTTCCCTTACATAGCACAGCCGCTCGACAGAAGTGTCGAGATTTCAAACAACCATTTCCCAGTATACCAGTATTTCATGCACGTAGTTCCAACGACGTATGTCGACGCGTCGGGGCACTCTCTCTCGACGAATCAGTACTCGGCACGCGAGGATATTAAAACCATCAGCAACCACCAGCGAGGTATTCCGGGACTTTTCTTCAGATACGATCTCGAGCCAATTCATCTACAAATGAACGCAACTACTATGTCATTCACTAAGCTCCTCATCAGGTTGACGGCATTGATTGGTGGTGTGTGGTGTTGCTCTCGTTTCGCAGTTCGCACTTTAGACAGACTGCTGCCTAAACGATTCAAACCGCATTCAGACAAAGATGGGGAGATGCACATTCCAATCACATCTCCAAACGTTAACATGCCCTCACCGAGACTGTCGCCTGGGTTTTTTGGGATGAATACATCGACGTCTCCACCACCGCCATACACGACCAACAACGGTATGCTGTCTCCGGGTGTATCATCGAGCAATCAGGGGCCATTTAGATTTTAGTGTGGCAGGGGCAGTGGCATTCTGGCATCATAGTGCATTTTTATTTGGGTTTGTAAAAGTACATATTAATCGCGATTGAAACGTGTAGTAGGTGGACATCGTGTGCATATGTGAAGTGCCTCTCAAACACCGACACTGAGGGCATGTTCGGTCATGCTGATGAGTTGATTTATAGTTGGTCTTTTCGAAGGATCTATTTTCAAGCAAGCTTCTATAATTGCTTTGAATGTATCCGAGTGGGTGTCATTAGCAGGGTAAGTAAATCTGCCGCTCTGAGCAGCCATTGCAATAGAGCCACCCTGTGCGGCCTGTTTTGGATCTTCAAATGGAGAGTGAGAGTAAGCGAGGGCATAGAGGGTGCAACCCAAAGACTATTGTTGATGTCAGAAAGATAAATTCCTCGCTACGATAAACACCCACCCATATGTCGACTTTCTCGTCTAAAGTGGTATCCGATTTCACATCGAACAGCTCAGGTGCCCTGTACGGCATAGAGGAGTGCTCAGCTGCCATGTCCTGCTGCACGAGCGCTTGTGACCGGTTATGAATGCGCACTCTAGCCTTGATGCAGCTACCCAAGTCCATCAATACGGGTGTGCCGTCATCAGCGAGCATTACATTCCTTGAGGATGAGTTGGGTCAGCGGGGTGTAATAGTGGGCGAAGGCTACCCACCCTGGTTTGATATCCCTGTGTGCGTATGGGACGTGACCAGGTTGATCGCCCTCTTCGTCGTTGACATCCTGGTCAATTGAGGATGGAGGATAGCTAGAGCGGGAGTGAGAGTGTGCGGGGTAGTGATTGTGCAGCACCTGCACACCCTGACACACACCACTAAACAGTTGCAGCGACATGCGCTCATCCAAGGTGGAATTGAGATTGATATAGTCCTGCAAGTTGCCTTTCTTCAAGTAGGGGAGGATGAGGTTGATAGCGCCATCTTGAATGGAGTAGTTGAGGAGACTTATTATGTACTTGCTTTTGAATCGCTGGTAGCATCCCACTTCACCTTCGAAGCCGCCGTTTGTGATCTTCTTGAGCGCGTAGACGTTGTCCGCGTCGCTGACGAGATACACGTAGCTGAACGCGCCTTCTGAGAGGTATTTTATGATATTATATTGAGTTCCGTTTATATTGATAGTTTTGGTGCGGCTGGACATACACTGGGTGAGCCATGCTTGTAGCGACCAGACTGCCGGTGAGTTAGAAAATAGAAGACACAGCAATATAGCAGACTCACGAGCATCCTTAGCAGCCTCGATGAAGACATTTGGGCTACCGACTTTGAAATTCTGATTCTGATCCATTGCGGCGGTATGCGTGGTGGCTGTGAACCAGGAAGCCATAACCGGGTATTACCTGTATAGTCATGTCCGACATAGTTGTATTTCAAGATAAGCACTACAAGCACAATGGAGAGCACTTGTGTACTCTCTCAATGCCAAATTCAAACATCTACAAGATTACGATGAATAGATTGTCTAATGGCCAGCCAGAGAACCGAATTGAAAGGGATTTCCTCGATTTGGGGTTATCCAAGGCTTTAGATGATGTAGAATCTCATTGGAGGTCCCTTCGTAGCGACTTGTATCCGGCTGCATCTCTGGTTCTCACGGGTTCAGGGCTGAAATTCTTCAGCAACGGTTTAGTACTCGATAAGGCGCTGGACGATAAGATGTTCTTCGCCAGTATTCTAGACCCTTTCATTCTCCGTTTATCCAGTTTCCCCTGTGAGTCAACTCTATGTCTGTCTTCATTTGCATGTTGATATCATACAGTGCCCACAATCGCAGCCGTCAATGGACACGCCTTCGCCATGGGATTCGTCTTGGCGCTCTGCTGTGACTATATCGTCGGTAAATCCAACGGCAGAGGGTGGTTCTGCATGAATGAGAATGAGTAAGTGGGGGTATCATCAGGGATATTGCTGAGAGGTCTTCAGATTCGCCTCTAACATTCCCCCGGGCATGCTTTCGGTATTGATGCGTCGCCTCAACAACTGGCAGCTGATCAGACAGACAATACTGGATTGCAGGCGCTGGACTCCACCGCAGCTGAATGAGGTTGGTATAGTCGACGTTGTATGCTCCGAGGAGAAGTTACAGAGTGAGGCTGCGAAACTTGGCCAGAGTGTCGCAAAGTACGCACAGAAAGGTAGCTATGGATTGCTCAAACACAACTACTGCACGCTTTGAAGGTAATTTTAGTATACCTGAGTATCTATTTGGAACTTGTAAATATTTATACATTGCTCTTTTCCTCCTTTCTCTCCCGCAATCGCTCGCCTTATCGAGTTTAATAGATTCCGTCATGATAAGTTGAGCGTGAAATCTCGAGGCCTAGCCACTGACACTGCCAGCACAGTTCACCACGGCGCAGAATAGAGACTGATGTATTCAAGCTGTCAGTTGGTTATTTCCGAAAGCGGTAAGAGACTAACGTACACAACAACAGTCTCATGTCCGAGTACGAAGTGAATCTCAGCAACGACAACATGCAAGAGTTTTTTGTTAGATTCCACGGTCCCAAAGAGAGTGAGTGGCCCAATTGCCCAATTGCCCACTCTAATGGCGCTGTCACCAGCACACTACCAAGGCGGTGTATGGAAAGTACGCGTAGAATTACCTGACCAGTATCCATTCAAATCCCCTTCAATTGGATTCCTCAATAGAATATTTCACCCAAATATCGATGAGCAGAGTGGTAGTGTGTGTCTTGATGTCATCAATCAGACTTGGTCACCCATGTTCGATCTGATAAACATCTTCGAGGTGTTCCTGCCCCAGTTGCTCAGATATCCCAACCCTTCGGATCCACTCAATGGCGAGGCTGCTGCCCTTTCCATGCGCGATGCCCAAAGCTATGAAACCAAAGTAAAGGGTGAGTTGGAACGGGTTTTCAGGGCATTTACGCTGATCATACACTCACCCGCAGATTACATTCAACGCTTCGCCCTCCCAGAAAATGTCAAGCTCGATCAAGACAATGACGACGACTCGGATGTCGAAATATCTGATCAGGGCAGCTTGCCTTCTGACGACCAGGTCCCAGGCGCTGTAGATATCTAAAATCTTAGCATAGGCATTTTCTTTCTTCTTTCTTACTATCATTCTTAGTTGTTTTACTTAGTTTTCAATTTATGCATAGTGCATATCAACTAGTTTACATTTACATCTACATCTGCCCTAGCTCCTTGACCTGGATAGAGCGCAATATAGACATGGCTTCTTCGCGCTCTGGGGCGTTTGTTTCGACGACCTTGATCAGATACGACTGCGCGAGTGCAGTATTTCCATGGTTGAGTTCCCAGACAGCCAGTTCGCGATAGACGTTTACGTAATCGGTCACTCTCAACTCGCCGGAGCTTGATTCGACAATATCGTAAACCTTGCGCAATTCGAGGGCGCTTTCGTGTGCCAAACGAGCGTCTTTGTACAGTTTGGACAGTTTGATGTGCATCTTAGGATCGACTGTATCTGTAGCAAGCTCCATATATCTCAATTGACACTTGATAGCGTCGTCGAACCGTCTGAGATGTTCATAGTTGCTGCTGAGGGCATGCCACATACGTTGGTCATATGGACGCAGTGCTGTAGCTCTCTGGTAGAAGTAAAGGGAGTAGTTGTACATACCGAGCAATTCATATGCTTGTGCGAGACCATACCATGCTCTGTAATCTTTCGCATTAGCGTCGATAGCCCGTCGGTAAGCCTCGACGGCAGCATGTGAGTTCTTCAGCTCGATGTACTCATGCCCCATGAGCGTCCACGCACTCAAGTAGGCGCGATCCAGCCGCAGTGCACGTCTGAAGTACATGATGGCCTTCTCGTGCTCCCCTCGAATACTGAAGTAATTTCCAACAAGACAGCAAACTTGCGGATCACTCCGGTTGTGCTGCACAACACCGTGCGCTAGCGCAGCCAACTTGGTCTGGTTGCCCATCACGTAGATGATGTTGCTGTAAAGGTCGAGGTCCTGCGTGCGATGCGGGTCACGTGCGTATAGCCTGTCAAAGATCTCTTCAGCCTCTTCCATCTGATGCATGTTGTAATAGACAAATGCGCGCTGACTGTGGATGTGCGTAGAGTCAGTGAAAACCTCCTCAAGCTCATCTAGTGCCCCGTGAAGCTTCTCCGTTACTGCGTGCAGTTCTATGAGCATGTGCACGCTGAATATCCTCATCATTACACCTTGTGGGAGGTGCAACTCAATGGCGCTGAGCTAGGCATGGTCAACTTTTTTTATTCTTCATTCTGTGCTTATACACACACACCACACTTACATCGTCAATGTCTTGCACACACACTCCTAACATCAACCACGCACTCCAGTTCCATGGATTCGCATTGAGCGATTTGATGAGTGCATCCATCGCTTCTATCCGCTTAGAGGAGCGGTGAAGTAGGATACCTTTGAGATAGAGCAGGAATGCGTCCTTGGGGTCGCGCAGGTGGGCCAAGATCTGCGGTACTTGGGTATTGGCATTCTCTCGTCGCGTATCGCGTGGGCCTGGATTGGTATTGTGAGCTTGAGCTAGTCGCAACACCAAGACAATGACGCACCCATGATAGGTTCAGTGCGTTCCTGGATGCGTCTCTCGCTGTCCAAATAGCGGGCATACAGTGCGAGAAATAAACTCTTGTCGGTGGTGCAGTTGGAGAGGACAGTGGCGCACCTGTCGAACTCCCTAGCGTCGTAATAGGCTTTGGCGAGCGCGTAGACATCTTCTTCGTCGCTCGCGAGCTCTTGGTCGTCGTCGAACGATAAGGCGTCGGGTGGATTGAACGATCTGTCGCCGTGCGTGGCTCGTGCAGGCGTGGAAGTGAGGAACGCTGCAGGTGTATTGCTCGCACTGTCAATGGGTATACGCATACACGCTGCCATCTCGGCTGACCAGATTGAGGCGAATATCAAACCACGCGCTGAGCAATCGCGAGTAGATTGCCTCAAGCGTGTTTTGATCTGTGTGGTAGATTCCATCGGTTTTGATGGTGATGGTGGCTGCAAGAGGGTAGAAAGCGGGTGGAAGCGAGTAGAGATACAGATACACTTCTAGATGCCGCACAGCCACCCCACGGATACTCCCGCGTCTCTAAAAATTTTGCAGCTCTTTCTCCGCGCTGTAGCTGCACCTCTTCATCACCAACGCCCATGTCCTCAGGCGAGTGGAGAATGGCGTGTACACAGACCCACCGCTAATACGCCACTCACAGCTAACAATATCCCACTGGGTAACAGACGCAAGTATGGAAACGGCGTTGAGGAAGAAGCACCCCGCGGAAGACCAACAGAAAGACCAGAGAAGAGGATGAGAGAAATGCCTCCACCGCCACCTCCCAGCGATCACCCACGCAAGCGTAAATCGAGATGGGGCGATGCTGCAGACTCGGGTGCTGTCCTCCCCACCGCCATCTACAACGCCAACGCGGCACCAAAGGCTATTGAATGTTACGCTGCTCAAATGCGTATTGAGGAGATTAATCAGAAAATACTTAAAGGCAGGTTTGTCCCTTCAGAAGCTGAACGCAGCCCTTCTCCACCCCCAAGCTACGATAGCTGGGGTAAACGCACTAATACCCGCGAACAACGCTACAAACTTAAGCTTGAGAGAGAGCGCATTAAACTTATCGATAAGGTGATGAAGATGGATCCCAGCTACAGACCTCCTTCCGATTATAACCAGGCTAGGCGGTCAACGCGCCCCACTGAAAAAGTCTACATCCCCACACATGACTTCCCAGAAGTTAACTTTTTTGGTTTACTTGTTGGACCGCGTGGCAACTCACTCAAGAACATGGAGAGACAGTCTGGCGCTAAGATATCTATCAGAGGTAAAGGTTCCGTCAAGGAGGGTAAGGGTAGGCCAGATAGTATGGATTCATCGGGCGAAGAGGATCTTCATTGCGTTGTTAGCGCAGACTCGGAGGAGAAAGTGAGGAGGTGTGTAAAGCTTATCAACAAGGTCATAGAGACTGCAGCTTCAACACCAGAGGGTGAGAACGATCATAAGCGCAGCCAACTCAGAGAGCTCGCCTCTTTGAACGGCACTCTCAGAGACGACGAAGGCCAAATCTGTCAGAGCTGCGGTGCCGCCGGCCACAGAAGATGGGAGTGTCCAGAGGGTGAAAGCATTACTACGCAGATTAAATGTGCGCTGTGTGGTCAGTCTGGTCACTTGTCCAGAGACTGTACCGTCAATCCAGCCCAAGCGGAGCAGATCAAGGGCGCTTCCAATGCACCTGGTTTCGATAGTGAGTACGCAAACCTCATGGCTGAGCTTGGCGAAGGCGGCGGTACCAGTAAGGGTATGATTGAGGGTGGTAGTGGGCAGACTGCTGCCCAACCAACACATACATCCTATGTTGAGAAATGGCAGTCAGAAGGCAAGAACCTGCCACCATGGCGTAATCCAGACGTGAGTGAAGAGTGTAACTGTATCAAACACAGCGAGCTAACAAATCAAATTTTCAGATATGGGCTAGTGCAAATGCTCAAACAGGGGGTGGATATGGAGGAGGTGTATCTTACGATCAGAGTGGATATCAAGGATACTCATACGACCAGCCCTCTTATGGCGGCTACCAGCAATATGGCTATACTAATTGAACAACGTGATGACGTAAATGTATCTAAACTAACTATTTGAAAACTTTCATCTGCCGTGTAAGATTTCCTTTTTAGGCAGAGACATTCCAAACTTAAAAATATTTGTCGATTTTGTCTTAAACCACCACATCGCAGAGGTCGGACGCAGACATGCTGATACCTTGTGTAAATACGCATGAAGTTGACGACAACTCAACGCACAGAAAGCGTCTCAATAAGCTCGTTATCGGCGGGCCAGTCAAGGTGAGCGTGGTGTGCTAATAAGTTCGACGAGACGGCTAACGATAACGACGCGTAGAATTCATTCGCGCATCTATCGCACACATCCAAAGACAAGGACAAGGAGAATGTTCAACAAGTGCGCGAGTCTCCCATCATGCAGAACAGCATTTCTATCAAGGATGCACAGCTGCGGGCTGCGCAGGTGCAAATGCAAATGCAGAACGATAGCGGCGAGAAGGAAAATGAAAATGGGGATGGGAATGCAGACACCACTCAATCTCAGCCACTCAATCTCACTGTATCTGATGATGGCTTAGGCGCGCTCCCCAGATCAGCTTCAAGCGTTGGCAGACTGGCTAGCGTTAAGAGAAAGCCCGTTCCAAGACTGTCGAGCAAGGGAGAAATTGTTCCGAGCTCGTCTAACATCCACCTCAATGATCCTTTCTCCAACGCTGACTTTGCTCCCACACCCGCGATTACTATCACCGCTTCAGCTCAGTGATGCACGCAGCACATAGCACAACACTCAGCTACACCATTAAAGAGGCTGGCCCTCTTGCTTAACTTATCTCCACATAGCAGCCCATTCAGTCACGTACATTCTTCACCCTTTTAATAAGAAATTCCTAACTAACTTATCCAATTCACTCCAATTCACTCATTACGTCTTCACCCCTTTTCTTGTAGCAAATATACATGTGAAACATTACAAAATTTGAAATGGAAACTAAAGGGAGTGACTTGAGTGAATTTGAAGAGGACGACGTGAATATGAAGCAAAACTAGCTAATTGATTGAAATGTAACCTGTATCAAAAACGACCTTAAAGCATATGCACAACCTCAAGAGATGAGATTGCACGTCGCAGCGCGTGAGTATCGCACCGCAGATTTCCACTTTTTCTTCCTTTTTCTACCGCTGCTGATGCCACCGCTTTTAACACTCTTGCAATCATCCACCCAAGATTTGTTCGGTAGTTGAAGCTTTCTCTTGTGATTATCAATTGCGAACATCACAGCATCCTTGAAGAGTATTCTGTGGTGTGCAACGTCGGCCTTCCACGCGACAGGGCTAACTGCCTCGTTCTTAAGCAAGCAATTGCTGATCTGTTGAAACTTGGCCTCCAATCCAAATTCCCTGAGGAAGCTAACATGATTCATATCATATTCTGCAAGACATATACCAAGATGCGCAAGCTTGTCGAAGGATCTGCATGCATCTTTGACAAGAAGCTCGGCATCCTCATCTTCAATCTTACTTGTTAGAGGAAGAGCGCCGCCCATGCCTTCAAGAAGGAATCCTCTCGCAGTGAAGTATTTCTGGGAATGGCCCGGTGGGGCGACGCTGATTTCAAAAGTAACAGTGGTGACGAATTGCTGCACACAGTAGAGTGGCTCACTTTTTATGGTTTGCATTGTAGCCAAATCCCTTTCGAATTGAGCGTTGCATGCTCTCCACGCTTCCACTTCCCCAGCCTGTAACTTGCTGTCACCATTATTCAGAGCTTGTCTGAACTCCTGCTCCTTATCCCTATTCCACATCTCTGGACGATTTTGGTCGTAGCGTCTGTCGTATATGCGAATCGTGAATGGCTTGCTGTAGTTGTCGCGTCTTAATATGACCTCAATAGATTTATTATCGCCGACGTAACGCGAGTTTACTGTCCAGTATGACACTTTTTCATTGGTGTTGTCCAGCGTGAAATACAACTCTTTCTGTGGTTTGTAATCGAAGCTGTGATTTATGGCTTAGGTGGTGTTTCAGTTATGATGCACACCACTTACTATTCCATGTTGACTTTGACTTTGGCAATAAAGTGCAGGAGCTTAGCAAAGAGTAATTGAGCCATCTGTACTATGTTATAGTCCCGTCTCATCCAAATGAGGAAATTGATTGGCGTGAAGGTCAAAAGCGGCAAGCCAGCAACTATGATGCGATAATGACGCAGTTAGTAAGAATTAGAGCGTGTAGAGGTTGTATCTAGACTTGATAACTATATTCGATTTGCAAATCAACTAGCTAATTGCCGCACCAAGCGCATTTCAATTGATTACAGTGCATATGATGGCGCCAAAATGCCCAAGACGAATTTAAACGAGATTATGTGAGGTCGTTAACGCTAAACCAACCTCGATTGCTTCCAAGAATATCCCCAAGACGTATCGCACGTCGCACACAGCGTCACAACGGCAACGTCATCGCTAGCGATATCAAACACGCACTTGGCGGATATTTCTTATACCAACTCTGGTGATTAGCCGTACTTGAACTCGAGCAGAAAAACAAATACGGCGAAACACCAATATCGCTAAGCGATGGATGGTATGACATTTGAAAAGGCTATCTAAATTGCAAATATAGAATTGTCGTAGTCGTACAACTCTTTCAACTTTGCGAAATCACATTTACATCATCTGCGGACTGCCTCGTCTTGGTGGTTGAGGTTAGAGAGTCCAAGTGATGATAGCAAACTTCCTTAGAGTAACACTCAAAGCGGACTTTGAACGGACTGCCAGCTCTTAATGAAGTTCAGAGAGAGTTGAACCAGTGAAGGTAAAGTTTACTGGGATTAGTGCAGAATATTTACAGGGAAAGGATTATACCTGCCTTAATATGGCCCCCAAGACGTTTTAACGCAAGGAGAAGAGTAAGGAATGTGGGCCACCTAAATACCGCAGCGGCAGCCAAGAAACACGTGACTCGCGCCTCGTGTTTGTTGTTTTTCACGAATCCGGCTACCCTCGTTCCCGGTAACACCGGCTAACGGCGTAAACATATCTGCTCAGCTATTTTCCTCAAAGCTTTCGGTGCATTCAATTAATCTTATTGCTGACTGTGGGTTATCGAATACCCTCATGGCTAGTCACGTGGCTATCTGCATGCACAGCAAGCGCTAAGGAGCAGCAAATACACTTTTGTTTATAGTGCTAGCGCTCGCAGTATTTTATGTATTTGGTTGCCTGTCCAATCACCCAAGCTCACCAACAAACACACTGAATCAACATTGGCAATCTTCCACTAGGAACATGACAAAATTCACAATCTCATTCACAACTTATTATTCCCAGTAGAAAACTATCACGAATCATAAGAAGAAGCAAATAGGGAAAGCAAGTTTAAATTTTTCACCTTCGATGATTTCGGCATGCAATTACCTCCGCTAGATGATTTGCCAAACATAAGGTTTTTTAATCCTTCAATCTATGAAGAGGATCAATTTGTTTAAAGAGAATTCCCGAATTTGACCAGAGGGTGTTATCAAAGGAAGCCTCAGCGCGAAACGTTTCGGTTGAAAAATTTGGCACTGAGTTGCTCCAAAATTGGGGAAAAGCATGTCCTGCGATTAGTGCCTTCTTCCTTTTGGCACTAACTGACGATACCATCAACTCAAAGAAGAGGAGATTGATCTGCAAAAGAAAGTGAAAGACGAGAAAAGCAAGAACGGTAGCTCAAAATCTTTAGAAAGTACAATAGCGTTCTTCAATGATCCATTTGAGGGTTTTAAGCAAACAAACACGGTTGACAAGTTGAAAAGTTTAAATTAAAATCAAGACAGGAGTGAAGAATACAAGCAAACCTAAAACAACAGAAAGGCCAAAAAAATCAAAATGAACAATATTCTTACCTTGAAGTGTAATTCTTTTGATTTGGACACTGCTTGATGAAATACGCATTGCCACCAGATGGTGTTTGCGTATGCGATCGAGAGATGCGCACTTCAAGCAGCCGGCGAGCCGACAGCACCAGCAAAAAATTCTAGCACTTAACGCAATCACGTGGGAACACTTAGAAGTCCGCTGAGATATCCTACAGCACACATATTTTCAGGCTCATTACCTTCTAAGAACTGAATGCAATACCCAATTGCAATTCAAGGCTGCCATACAACTATGACTGAGCGAGTGCTATCAAAAAGATCCACTTGGAAACGATGGAAAAAAAAGGAAGGGTTCGACAGGGATTTGAACCCTGGACCTCTCGCAAATTGGTGTCCCAAAGCGAGAATCATACCCCTAGACCATCGAACCGATACTAAAAGATCCGATCTAAAACATTCATATCCGTAAAAACTTATTATACGAAATTCTCTATTTTGGAGGTTTTCACGAGTTTTTACGCCTTCCCCAATCTACTTGAAGTTGGTAATTACATATTGAAGCTGTATTAAATGTGCGCCAACATCGAAACAAGTCAAAGTTTGTTGTCGTGGACTTTCCAGCGACAAGAGCACTTTGCAACTCTTTGAGAGTTCTTCAAAAGCCAGCTCAGCACCCATCCACGCGCCTCCGGTTGCTCCACGTAGTTACCTCCCAATTTGCGGCACACATGCCAAGAACCGCATCCCTTTGAGTCACTACAATCCACAGCTTTCAATGCACAAGAAGTATAGATAGGCGAAAAATATTAATCCTTGTAACGCTTTTGACCATATTATGACTTCTATCTAGAGCACTGTGCATGATATAGATCCTTAGAAGAAGACTTGAAGAACACCCACAAATGGTACTCATGATTAACGTATGAATGCTTTCAGCTTTTGCCTGATTCACAGCTTGTGGAGTCCGCACTTGGCTCAAACTCAGCTTCCTATCAATACACCAGCTGAATCAAACGCCTACAAAACGCATCTAGCCAGCTTTAAGATGCTGATGAAAGATGCACGTTTGAAGTCAAGTGAGAAAATTGGCGATGATGTACTCAATGAATTGACTGACTTTAAGCTACCACCAAAGCCTCGAGTCTCTGAAAATTGAATTATTGTAAAATTAATCTGCCCAGTTCTCAACCTTGATTTCCACGCATTCACAATGTCGTATTCAAAAGTGATCCTACCGCTAAAACCAAAGCAATTCATCTCCAACCAACAAGTGAAGGTGTCTTCCAACCTCTTTCCCCTGAAGGAGAAACCCAAAGTCCGCTAACAGTCGTTTCATGTGTAAGATGTGAGCGTCGAGGCAGACAGGCCAAAGATACGCAGCTGGAACGATATTTTGCGCGCTGTGAAGTTTTTCTTGGTAAGCGCTCTATCTCTCAACCTGAGACCTTGTTGTGTGGCTAATAATGAAAATCAGGAACGCGAAGTCACTTTTGGAAATATGTTTGCTTACGATGACCATGCTCTACTTTATAGCTTAAAGAGGCTTCCTTTCGACAACGAGATCCTCTTCTTTTCAACACCTTGTAGTACAACAAGGCTTTCTGCAAACGACGTTGTCTTGAACATTGACACATCGTCCATTCAAATTTTGTAGGAGGGTCGCTTACACGCGATAGCCCTAAAGCTGATTAGTCTGAGTGGTTCAATAAATATGACTGTCGGTCCAAACCGCCGCCTCAACAACCAAATGAGACGCCAGCTAGAGAAGCAGCTCAAGAAGGTCAAGGTTGAGACCAATCACATCCCTAACCGTAAACAACCCTTCAAAATCCAAGACGTTTCCGTGAACAATGCAAACACTTACACATTTGAGGAGTACAATGGGAGAAAGCTGAGCAACACAGCTTATCTTAAATCTACGCACAACTTTGTGCTCAGGCTTCTTCAATTACCCGTTATTGGGAAAAGCATGACATTTTTTTCAATGGAGCTACTGAACATTATCCCAGGTCAGATTCATCCAGGCGGGGTTTTAAATTCTGCCCAGACCAAAGACATAATGAGTTTCTGCAAAGTTAAGTCATTGTAGAGACTGAAAAACTATCGTGGTCAAGCAATGTCTCTTTCCAGGAATAACCCTGTCATCAGTGAATTTGGCTTCAAAATTGATTCTAATGCCATCGAATGCTCTGCATCAGTAATCAAGCCATCAAGTCTTGAATACGGCAACCGTCTTCAGATCCAACCCAGCGAGCCTGACGTGGAATGGGATAGAAATTCACAAAATATGACATTCTTCAAGCCAGCGACAATTAATAACTGGAAGCTGTTTGCTTTTGGAAGACCAGACGAGTACGAATGGCTGACAAATTTCCTCAAAGATGTTGTTGCAGTGTGTATGAAGAGAGGTATGACGGTACTCCATGAGCCAGCAATTTGCTTCCTGCGTAACGAGAATGCCAGCGTCAAGACAATTCTCAACGAATCGAAGAGATTGAACGTGAAGACAGATTTTGTCCTTACAACTTGCAAATTTGAAAAATCAAACACGTACACAGTCATCTAGCAATACTGCGACATACATGTAGGAGTTCCTTCGCAATTATTTGTGGCAAAAAAAGGCGATCAATGCCAAGCCAACCTATGTCTCGAATATTTTTTTGAAGATAAACGTGAAAGGAGATGGCGTCAACCATACACTGGTTTCACCCAATCCATACCTTGCTCAGCCTGAAAGAGTGATGTGCTTCGGTGTCGATGTTACCTACCCTCCTCATGAGATGAGGACCATTATGTCGATTGTTGGAGTTGTCTCAAACACAGACCAGCGTGTCCCTAAATTTATAGGCAGTAAAGTACCTTTGAGAGTACGCCAGGAGATTATTGAGAACCTGAAGAACATGGCCAAAATAAATGTCAACGTTTACAGAGAGAGAGAGCAATCTAGGTGCTATTCCTAGGCACGTTCTGCATGTCAGAGATGGCGTGTCTGACGTCAAGTACCGAGAGGTGCTCCAGCACGAGAGGCTAGCAATTGTTCAAGCATACAAGGAGCTGATTGGTGGCAAAACTCCAAAGATCACCGTTATGGTTAGACAGAAGCTGCCTCACGTCAAATTCGCGCCGCTTAGAAATGATCTGCAGAACAAATCATGCAGCTGCAAGAGTGGAACGATAATTGATCACCCAAGTGTCACTCGACCAAACCAATTTTAATTCTACGCCTACACGCACTCTGGCTTGACGGGTACCTCTAGAAATTTAGATATGACGTATTACACGAAGACATTGGATTCAATGTCCTAACCCTCAGCCAGACAATATACGCGACATCTATGACATACCAGATTGCTAATCTTGCGGTTTCATTAGGTATACCCGTATACTATGCCCACAAACTAGATGATAGGGCTCGCTTATACCTGATGGATGGATCTGAAGCAGGATCCGTCGTTTCTGCTACTGCTGATGCCTCGAAGTTGATGGTGAGTGGATTGAGAGTGTTGACTTTCGTTGCCAAGCGATTTACAGGAAACACAAGTCAAAATTCGCAAATAACCATACTTTGATTAATAAATCGTCATTTATTCTCCTCTTGGAAGTCTTTCGCAAAAGTAAATTGCAGAACATAATCCAATCATTCATACTTGTTGTATTAAACGCATCCAAATTATAAATTCTCACCGCCGCCTTCGCCATCTCCTTACACTTTGACGATCGCATGCGAAGATCGATATTCCCAGTATACAAAGACGTACGGCGGCGGCTGATACTAGCATTGGAGAGCTCAGCAGACGACACATGTGCAGCGATAGTGAGCAACCATCGGGAGATATTATCAAATGTGGTGATGAAACAGGATCAAATACATGAGCAATACGGAGGGATACACCCGCTGTACGCAACGCAAGGACACATGAAAAACATATCGCCTGCAATTTCAGAAGCGATCCGTCGTGCTGGAGTTGCATTTGGGGATTTGGACGCGATAGCTACTACCGAAGGACCCGGCATGAAAGGGTGTTTGCAAATCGCGATGGTCGCAGCCAAGTCGCTAGTCGGGGTTAGTGGAATACCGCTAGTAGGCGTACATCACATGGTGGGTGGGTGTTATTCGCAGATAGAGCTCTATCTCATGCTATAGCATTGTAGCAAGCGCACGCCCTTACTTGCTGTCTGACAGAAGAGAATCCCCCGCAATTCCCATTTTACACGCTGCTTTGCAGTGGAGGACACACGATGATAGTCGACGCGGAAGAAGTCACCAAAATGCGAGTGCTGGCGACGACAAACGACGATTCGATAGGGTAGGTTTAGAATGGTTGGTATCTCGTAGTCTACTCACACGCTCCAAGCAACGCTTTCGATCACGCCGCTAAGCTCCTCAATATACCATGGTCAGGCAAGGCGCCGGGAGCCGCATTGGAGGGGTTTGCGAGGCACACTGAGCACTTGTTTGGCCATAAAGATGAGGTGGATTGTCGTGTCAAAGAGTATAGACAGAAGCTGCGCGTACCAGCCCCCTCTCAGCTCCTGTTCAGCTACTCGGGCCTCAGGAGCGCGTTCTCGAGGCTGGTGGATGAGAGTGACGGCGGTGATGTGACGAGAGTAGCTCTAGCGCGCGCATTCCAGAGTGCAGCAGTGGCGCAGTTGGCTGATAAGGTGGGTGGACGGCATGTCAAATTCAGCAGTCAGTCTGAACTCGGGAATAGGTGACATTGGCACTGAGCAAATCTACCGTCGAACCATCTAGTCTGGTGGTTAGTGGGGGTGTAGCTAGTAATGGATACCTGCGCGAGAGGTGTGTCTTGATTTGATTATGCGCTCACGCTAACAAGGGTAAGATTGTCAGATGTTACTGGAAGACATGGCTTGAATATCTACTTTCCGGCGCCAGCGTTATGTACTGGTGGGTCTGATCTCAACTTGCCCCTCGCAAACCACTCTTACCATATTTACGCAGACAACGCCGCCATGATCGCATGGGCAGCCCACTACAAACTTGCTAAAGGGGAACTAGCAAATCCTGCCACACTCATGCCACGAGCAAAATGGTCACTAGAGGACATGTAATTTATCATAGACATTTCAAAATTTATGGGTAGTGAGCTACAAAAAAGCCTTTTATACAATTCTGACGTTCGTTACGTCGTTTCTGGGATAACTTTTTTACCCAAATTTGAAAGAGGTATGCGTTTTCCATCCAAGTGGATGGTGATAGGTTACAGTGCCAGTTCGCATATTGAGCTGATGTAGTTGTTCGAGACTTCTCTTCTTAGCTAGGTGAACAGTTTTCAGTGTTACGAGGCCTTCACAATCCATATAATCTGGAACATAGAAGCTCAAGTCCGCTGAACAAGCATATTCAGATAATCTGTCATTATCAGGTTTAATTTATTCTTCAAACGTGATATCAACGCAGTGATCCATGCTCTTCGGGTGGATTTTTGCAGACCTATTATAGAGGCCGTCGAATTTCCGTCATTCAAGACTAATGTAGATAAACACAGCGCAATATAAACCTAAGAAACCGATAACAAAGAAAGCATAATTTTTTAAGTTGGAAGCCATAGGAATCTAATTTGAGTTGAGTGATGACCAATTGAAAAGCAATTCAACTCACCCGATTTTGAGGTCACAGAATTAAAATCTTAGCAGGGCCCGAAGTACAATAACAGCTTGAAAATTACAATTGGATACTCTTTTTACACATTCCTGTCAAAGAAACAGATAGCTAGCAATACGTCATCTGCGACTGGAAGTAATAGGTGGATAAATAGCCTGATTTTAAAGAATAGTCTACAAACCAACATGACATCATCATTTGCTTTAATTTGTTTTCACATTTAACAATTTTCAGCGGCTGTGGAGCGGGCAATTGCTTCTAACGTAATTACAACAAATAATGGACAAAGTTCAAGACAAGATTCAAGGTGCATGGAAGGGATTCCACGGTGCGTGATTGAGGTTTTCAGTGTACACACGCCTAACACACGACACAGGCGCAGGAGAGGCAATTCGTGGCACATTCAATGAGAGCGTCGACAGGGCCGGTGACCAAGTAGCAGGCCGTCAAGCTGGCAGCGTTGAAAGCAAGTCAGATAACCCGGGCACATCGAAGCAGGGCTTAGAAGAGATGAAGGATGGTATGGATAAGCTCAACAGCAAAGGCAACACTGGTGGATCACAGGAAGGCAGCGTGGAGCAGCCTAACTCCACCCAAAGCCAGCAAGTCCACAGCGTGCCACCAAAGTTACCAGAGAGACAATAAGTTAATAGTGTTTTCTTACTACCGTATCAATGTTCCGTCTAATACGCTTTTACAAGAAGGCGGGATATCACTGCAGCAGCTACTACTGCTGCTGTCCCATCAGATTGCGCGTCACCAGCTCCCTCAGCCTCTCATCGGGATCTGTGCCGTCTCGTTGTGCCTGTTCCATTATCTCGGCTATCTCTCTGCCAGTTTCCGTATCTTCGAGTGCTGTGTTATCGTTGGTGTTTGGCATTGATACAGGCGCTGGACCGACAGATTTGAGATATTCCTGCACTTCCTCGTGCTCATCATCCTGAATGAGTTTCTCGAGTGGTGTGAGACCTTCCGCGTTGCGATGTGAGGCGTCAGCCCCGTGTTCCACCAGCAGCCTTGCCACATCTTCATCCTCGGCGACAAAGAGCGGCGTTTCGTGATCATCGTCGACGATATTTACATTACCGCCTTTCTCAATGAGATAGCGGAGAAGATGGGAGTGAGAGTAAGATGTAGCTGCGTGTAGAGTGCTGTAACTGTTTTCGTCCAGTGTATTTACATCCAATCCGCATTTCTCAACCAGATACGCTACTCTTTCCATATCACCTTCGCTGGCGGCTGGTGAAGTAGTTAAAATTGATATTTGCACCATATGTACACGCACACAGCCAAATATTTTTATCGTTCGTTGGATCGCTCACCATTTCTACTCACGACGGTGATGGTAAGATGAGCATCACGGAAAAAGCAGCGAGCAAAAGTCCTTGGGATACAGACTTGACATTCCTAACGCAGTCGTACAAGCGTACGCATCTCAATGCACTGCTAATGGGCCCAGATGACGCTGTACAATCCACGCTTAGTGCGCTGTGGAACAACACCTCACATAATCTCATTACAGAGTATAGACGTCGCATACGCAATTTAGATGGCTCTGAGAAACAATCTAAAGTTTCTTACGAGAGAAGACGCGTCTTGCAGCACTTTCACTCCTTTCTTACCAAAGAAAAACGTTTCTACGTCGATATCATCAGCCGAACTATCTCACTGTACAGCCTCGATGAATACAAGTACACTATTAATGCGATTGACTCGCAGGATGGCGATCATAAGCAGGATGTGCAGATGGATGTCGATAGCGATGAGGAAGTGACACGCGCAGATGTCTCCTTAGACTACTCCAACACCGTAGCTGACGAGGGCTCCTTCGACAGAAATTTGCGGGCGTGGATTATTTACCGCTGTCTCATCTACATTGGTGATCTGCTGAGATATAAAGAGCTGTACAATGAGGAGAAAGGTCGTCCTAAAGCTGGGCAGCACGTAAAGGACAATGGAAAGAGACGTATCTATACTCAGGTCGTTGCTTGCTACAATCTCGCAAAATCAGTAAATCCTCATGAAGCACTCCATTTCAATAGCTTGGCTGTGGTGTGCAGCTATAACGATGACAATTTAGGTGCACTCTACCACTACTACCGTTGCATCACTACCACGAAAGCACCAAAACAGCCTCAGAATCTCGCACGCAATAACATCACCTCCATTCTAAACAAGGTACTGGACGAGAGTGTGGAGGAAAATACTGACGGAGGTGACTATAATGTATTAGTTAAACAGCTGATAAAGATCCACGCCATGCTCTACTTGAATCGCAATGAGTGAGTGCAAGAAGGGGATTGCAGTTGAAGTTCTAACACCAACCCAGCATACAAAGTGTCACCAAACTAGTCAACAATTCCACGCGTCTCTTTAGGAAGCTGCTGGATACACACACTCTCAATTCTGAGACAATCACTAGAATCGTCGCTGTCAACATTTGCTTATACCATTCTTTGCGCACCTATAGACAAATTGATATAGCCGGTGCGAACATGTCGACGGAGGTGCGGAAGAGTACCGCACACAAATACCTCGTACGTCTCATCACCCATCTCATGCGCAGCGTGCGCGTGAGTTTGGAAGAGGTTGATAGTGGGACCGGGAGCGAAGGTGATGACGTCAGGTTGTCACACCTGCTGACTACTTCGATGAGGAGATCGCTGCCAGCACTGCGCCTTAGTATGCACTGGCTCATCTCCAATATAGATCACCACCTCAAAGCCAAGATGGGATCCAAAAGTAACAGTATACCGGAGTTCTGGAGTGAGATGGAGTATTTCAGAGATACGATACATAAGTGCTTCTATGGACTCGATTTCCCGAAGTGTGGCTATGCATTCGATGAAGATGAGGAGTTCTCGGAATTCGAGGGCGTGAAGAGGTGCAAATTTTTTATCAACACTGTCTCAGCGGAGGAAGTGCGGCGATTGAGACGAGAGAGACATCCTAATGAAGACCAATTTGATAGAGTGATGGATGTTAATGAGCTGGTTAATAAGGCACTTTCTAAAAACGGATAGGTACAAAGTGAGAAATTTCGCCGAATGTCACAAATGAGCAATCAATAATCAATATGATAGGTAATTTGTAAGCAAATATGAATGATCTTAGATAACAATGAGCATCGCTGCAAATAATTACAAATTCTACAAAGAGTTTTCAATCGTTGCTGAGAGGGTAATATCGGAGATGTTTAAGACGGAGAGAAGCACTACAATGCTAGAGTTTATAAGACGAGTGTTGGAGAGAACGCAGGTGGAGGAGTACATAGTTTTGACAAGTCTAGTGCTGCTGTATAGATTGAAATTGAGATTGGTGTGTTTGACTCAGTGCGCTTGTGTGGCTGACAGAGCATACAGCCAGACGTACAAGGGAGCTGCTCTAGTAGATTGTTTATAGCCTCAATGATACTGAGCTGCAAATCACACAGTGATAAAACATACAGCAATCAGAGTTGGGTTGTGGTTACTAGGTTTGACTTACACGAGGTGAACAAAATGGAGCGGGAGCTGTTCAAGTACTTATACTACCAAACAAACGTCGATTCACATGAATTAGAATACATTTTAAATTATTTCAATTGTAAGCATTTATATGTCACTTAGTCTACACGCTTATCGGCTTACAGGCCTACAACGAAGATGAGGCAATTTCTTCTAAGCTTTATAATTTCAAGCTTCATAACGATAATTCTATTATCGCGATACTCGCTCCTCAGTACGAATTACACACCAAAGCACAAGCAGTTGCTTCCACTCCAATGGCAGAACTACGACTACGTGAAATTGGTCGATCACGGCAGCAACAGCAGCGACGACAACAGCCTCTATGATTCAAATTACAACGTACTCGAAGCTCCACTTGACATATGGAATCCAATACTTCCACATTCCACACCCATCAATGATATCACCATAAGAAGCTGCTCACTCCCACCTTCTTTGGAGTATTACTTTGGTGGCTGTTATCCTCCTTCAACTTCTGAGGATAACAGCAAGTATGGCCCTTGGGTTAGAGTCGGCATGAGCTTAAATGTACAAAATGGACGCGGCCATAAGAATAATTACTTGTACTACAGAAGGTCTCGTAGACTAGACGTCAGCTACATTGATGACATCAAACTGCTCTCTTCTGACAGCTCAGAAAAATTGGATGAAAATTGGTTCAAAGTTAAATCGAATCCATCACCAAACACCCGCCTCTACTACCACACTCATCCTCCATCCTCCAATCCACGGCCATCAGACGCAGTCACTGAGGTTGATATCTTGTTCGGTGATGGTCCGCCATGGCCAGACTTCAAGCGCGTACAAGGTGCAAACATCCAAGACGCGTCATCCAAGAATGAACGCATGACTTTCACTATCCGCAAAGGCTATAAACACCCCAAGCAGCCTGAACAATTGAAATTTAGAGATAACGGACAATTCCGCATACTACAAATTGCTGACCTACATTTCAGCGTGGGCAATGGTACATGCAGAGACACTGACAAGTCACCATGCCAAGGTGATCCAGACTCTATACAACTTATGGCAGAGACTCTCGACGACGTCAAACCTGATTTCGTTGTCTTCACAGGCGATCAGTTGAATGGACAGGGTACGTCATTCGATGCTGTCAGCGTTATTTCCAAGGTCTACAGCGAGGTGATTAAGAGAAAGATACCATTTACCGCAATTTTCGGTAATCATGATTCTGAGATGACTGATTTACCTCGGTCGGAGCAGATGAGAATTATTCAGGCATTACCCTTCTCGCTCGCCCAGCCTGGTCCTTCTGATATCCACGGCGTTGGGAATCATGTGCTTAAAGTGTACTCCCCTGATGGCACCAATTCTCACCTCCTTACCATGTACTTGTTCGATACGCACGGGCTGTTGCCTCCACCTCGTTACAACCCATTCAAGAACATGATGGGGCAGTATGACTACATCAGACAGGTACGATGAACTTAAATGTTTTACTTTCGTTTCTCACACCAGTCGCAGAATCAGATCGATTGGTTCGTCGAAGAATCGGACAACATCAAACTAGAGAATCGACCATTCATACCAAAGCAAGGCGAAGTCTTCGATGACACGCACAAGAGAATATCACAAACACCACAAAAAGCTAACGCATTGGTATTTGCGCACATCCCCTTGCGTGAATACTACGACAGTCCCGCCGATCTCGACGCCAACGGGACCCCTATAGAAGGATGGGGTAGTAAAGGCATTGAAGATGGTGACGGTGCGAGTGGCATAAATGGTGGCTTCTTCAACGTCGCTAACGAGCTCCGCCGCGGTAGCGACACCACCACCAACGAAATAAGAGTGATTGCACATGGACACTGCCACCTGACTGACGAATGTAGGCTGATTCAAGGAACATGGATCTGTTTCGGGGGTGGAAGCTCATACTCGGGCTACGGGAAGAAGGGCCACGACCGTAGATTCAGAGTGTATGATGTGAGTGAGTGGGGAGAGACAATTGAGTCTTGGAAACGCACGGAGACAGGGGAGCGCATTGACGGCCTGATACTTGTAAACTAGTTATGAGTAGTGTAAAGATAATTACCGCATTTCTTTGTGTCATTAGCAATCATCACGAAAATGTCAAACGACATCGGTAGCGTGAGGAACGTTAACAGGAAAGACAAAGTAATCGCTCTTTCTAAATCTATAGAGCCGACTCTGCGTACGCTGGCATGGCTACTTCCTGGCCGCTTCGACGATTCAGAGTTAGTAGCCGAGATGAGTGAGGGATGATAGTGTATACACAGCAAAATACTAACGAATACGCTACACAGTCTTCAGCTCACTCAACATGCTCACACAATCACAAGATGCGCACTCTGCGAAGCACTCTCTCAACGCACACAGCAGATACACATCCTCCAACTGGGGACGCCTGCACGCCCTATCAGCCAAGCTGCTTTCCTTGACGACCTCTCTGCAGCTCCTGGGCGAGATAGTGATGCACCGGCGAGAAAAGCGCGATGAGCAAGGTCGATATGCGCGCCATCGATGGAATTACATAACGGCAATTGAAGCGTTAAAGTTTACACTGAAGTTAGTCATTCTGTTGAAAACGCAACTAAGACCGCTAGTAACGCCATGCACGCCCTCTCGTGACCAGGATGTAAGCCTCGATCCAGAGTGCGATGAGGCCAATAGGGGTGTGCGAGGAGCGAGGAGTGTAGTCGATCTCAAGACCAAGTATGGAAGTGTCGATAACTACTTGCATGCCACTGCGCTCGATACTGACTCACTCACTCCGCCATCTGCATTAGTGAGGCCGCTGAGTAGTGGCGCGCAGGTTTTCTCGGAACTCATGCTTATTGCCGAACCTCTAGTGTATGTTTTGGCACTCAGACGCCAGTTCGCTAGGACACAGACGCGCACTAAACCTTGGAGAACCAAATCCGAATGGACACCGCTACTTCTATCGCTTTCCATGTCGGTAATGAGCAGACAGCTGCGCAAGTATGGTCATAAGAGCAGGAGCGGTGTGTCGCCATACTCGTTTGACGTCAACAAGTCAAGCATTGAGGCTAATGAACAGAATAGACGGGAGCAATCATTTATTAGGTGGGTTATGCTATGAATATATACACCCCACTAACAATCCCATAGATACTTGCTTCGGGGTCCTATTTGGCACGACTTCACTAAACCGCGCGTCGAATCAGTCGTTAGCAGGCTGCAGAATTGGCCACTGGTCGGTATTGCAGCAGGCATCGTCGGCGACTACATACCTCTCATTGACGATTACCACTTCTATACTTCGCAATAGCGTACTGTTACAACAGTTCATAATACATTTCATAGTTTAGTTTACTAATTGTCCTCGCTATCCCATGCACTAGCATTATCGCTAGCGTCGTCTTCTTCGCTGCTCACCTTCTTCCTTTTCTTTGTGGATTTAGTAGCCTCCTTCTGATTTTTGGCTGATTTGCGTGGTCTGGCGGTCACTTTCTTGCCATTGCCTCTACCTCTACCTCTACCTTTACCATTACTTCTGCTGCTGCCTGTATCTTCGTCCACCTCCTCGTTGTCGTCTTCTACTCTACCACCCCTAAACGCTCTCACTACCTCCTTCAGGCGGTTGCTGGAGTACGCAGCCATTGGGCGTGGACCTAACACACCACTACCCGCGCTATCATCAAAGAACCTATCGAGAGATGTTTGAGGCGCTGGTTTCTGAGATTTGTTAGTAAACAGTATTTAATCAAACTCCCACTCACCCTATTGTTCATGTGCTTGATGACAGGTATGATAGTATCGTCAGTCTTATGAGCAGGCCATCCCAGATAATTGTAAAGATAATCTCTCAAAGAATCGAGATCCGGTATACCCCACACAAACTCTTCATTGCTTTCATCAGCCTGTGCACCGTAGTAAGCAGCTCTGACACCAGAATCCGGGAACTCCTTATCGAGAAGCAAATTCTTATTCTTCTTTTTAAATGTCTTTCTAAATTTCGTACTCGTATCCTGTTGAGTATCCTTGCCATTCTGAACCTTTGTCCACCAATTCTTGAATCCAGTGAGCGTGTTGGGGGACTCGTGAGCAAAATCACCCAATAGTTCCATGGCCATGACTGGTCCCACACCACTGAAGCCATTTGTATAATCTGATCCAAGGATATATGCCAGTTCAATAAGTCTATCGCGAGACAAAGACAGGTCTTTCTCCAGATCGCCCAACACGTAGCACTCCACAAACTGCTTATCGTTGAACATATTCTTGTATACGATGGGCGCACCGAACAGAAAGATATCACTGTCATCTGTTATAACTGCATCTACTAGATTTAGTTGGGCGAGTTTCGCACATTGCGCCTCAGCTTCCATTGGAGCTGTTATATAAGGAATACCGAAAGCTTTGAGCATTTTCTGTATTTCGCCAGTCATCTGAACTGTAGGGTCGTCACTACCACCCGACATTTTCTTCGCACTCTGCTGTAAACGTCGAATATCCTTGTCTGCTTCATCAAGCATCTCATCATAATTTTTGTTATTCGCTTTGCTACTGAATGCTATATAGTCCTTTTCTTCATTCTCTATCGCTTCTTGCGCTTCCATTTCATTATCGGAGGCGTCAATGTCGATTGGTGGTGACATTTCTCGCGCACCATCGGGTTGCATTTTTGGCTGCTCCGTGGTTTGTTCAGCGGCATATGCAACTGCTTGCTCTATTTCATGCTCAACTGCCTGCTCAGCAGAAGTGGATGCTTCGGGTGAAGGTGTTGGCTCCCAGCCGCTATAAGCGCTTTCGGAATCTGAGTCTAATCCTACACCTCCAGTATCAGGCTGCGCTGGTACTGCGCCTGAAGCTTCAATTGACTCTTCCTTCTCCGTCACATCGTAAGGCTGAGGTAGTGGCTCGACCTTTTCCTCCTTCACTGTAATTGGACTACTTGGTTTCTCTGGTATCATCCCTGACGGCTCCTGCTTCTGCTCACGAACATTTTCAGTTTTTTCCTTGACTTCGTCTTTCTCTTTCGAGTAAACCGCCTCCATATCAGCATCGCTGCTCATAGATTCCTTTTCCTTCTGCTCCTGTTCCTGTGCCTCTTCCTCCTCACTTTCGTCAGGGAACAACGGAATATCTTTGTCAGGTGGGGGTGTCTCCTGAGGAAGCTGCTGCGGCTGCTTAGCATGAAAGTCTTGCAGCGTGACATTCCGCTTCTTCTCTCCTCGTGGTTTAGCTGGTACATACTTTGGTATCATCTTCCGTTCAGATGTGGCTTTGACTGGAGGCTTTACAATGGTTTGTCTAACATCGGGCGGTGTATGATCCACTTTTTTAGACGCTTCCACACTCCCAGTACCCCTCACATGCTTGATGGAATCCAGCTGCTTGTCAAGACTCTCAGTAGCATTTTCCTTTTCTTGATGTCTGCGTGTAGATTCCTTCAGCAGTCTCAAGCTATCTTCTTTGGCTTTGGTTACCATACTCTCATCTAAAGCAGCATCGAGACCGGTAGACTGCGCTTCATTCTCTTCGAATCCAAGTTGCGGTGGCTGTGGCGTTGAAGATGGTCTATCTTCCACCACTGGAATATCTGTTACCACAGCTGGAGGTATGTTCACCTCCTCCATGTCAAAATCATCCTCATCTGTGTCTTCTGAAACGTGCATTTCATCATTTTCATATTCATTCTCATGATCACTCGATATCTCAATCGGTTTCTGACCTTTTTCACCTCGCTTGTCTTGTATACCGAGCACCCATCCACCACCTTCATTGTCAGACTTACGCATGAGGACATACTCTCTATTCCGCGAAGTAGAAACGCGTAAAGCAACCGGCGCGTCTTCTTCTTTACCCATACCTTCGGAGTGGTTGATGAGTTTTTGAGTGAGATCGTTCCTTTGCATCAAATTATTAATCTGAGCTCTAGAGAAATCGATAGCTGTCGACGATTTTCGTAACATATTCTCTAAGCGAGAGAAAGATGTGCTTCTCGACTTCAATCTCATATCACCAATCAGCTCGTACTGCACTTCCGGAGGAAGCTGTTTGAATGCATCGGAAGTGGTGTCGAAATCTGATGGTTTCATTGTCGATATGAAATCACGCAGCTCATCTTCAGTAGCTAGACGCGGATCGGGTATGCTGGACTTGGGACGCTGAGGTGCTGCTGGTAATTCGTAGGGATCTAGACGCCTTTTTTTCTGCGTTGCTGCTTTCTGCTCTTTTTTTGCTGGTGAAGCTGTGTTATTGAGATCATCGAGATAAGCTATATTCCCATCTCCATCTGCGTCGTCGTTGTCTATACCACTTTTAGAAGGACGCTTTTCACTGATTAGTGATGTTAGTGATGTTTGTAATGATGTCATTTAAAATGTAAGCGCGACTCACGCCTTCTGTTGTTGCTGTATAGCTGCCTTGCGCAGCTGTGCGGAAAGAAGCTTAGACGCTATCAATGCGTGGCTCTGGCGTGCACCCTCTCGTCTGTTCTTGCGCTCAGACTGGGAGTAAGTCAATAAGGTGTCACGCTGTTCTTGTAGGCGAAACTGACAATGGTAGATTTCTTGAGCTTAGGCGCGCCACCGTCGAATACAAATACAGGCTTGAGGCCATAAAACAGGATTTTGAGTATACGCCTCAGGAAACCGAGAATGTGGGCATTGGTGAGGGTGTGGCCTTGCTTATCCTTGATAGCTCGAAGAAAGTGGTAGAGCCAGATGGAAGAATCTATCGCGACTCTCTTGCCGCCCAGCATTTCAAGTCTGGTGATCTAATTAGCGGGAGATGGAGATGATGGCAAGATCTACACACTTTACAGGCCTAGCGACTGGCTGAAGCAGCTGCCAGAGACCCTTTACACCCATATCCTGGAATTCAGTGGTGGTGGTGCAGAGATGAGATGGGAATTTAGATTTACAGCAGATGTTAATAGTGTTGATTAATAGCGGTGGCTTTTAAAAGATATACATTGGTAGCTTGACGAGATTTGTCGGTAAATAGCCTGTCTTCTTTCTTCATTTCAAACTATGACGACGTATAACGAGCAAGTGGAGAGGAAATTAGTCGAAAAGGACAAAGTTATACTTCCAGAGGATGACAGGGAAAATGTGCTCATCACATCTGCACTGCCTTGTGGGTTGGTTGCTGGCATACCCATCAACAGCTCACAAGCACCTCAGACTGCAACAATGTACCGCACTTGGGAAATGTGATTGGCAGTACACTCAGCGCAGACGTATTTGCTAGATTTAACAGAGTTAGAAATCGCAACACTCTCTACGTTTGTGGTACTGACGAGTACGGTACGGCAACAGAGACGAAGGCTATCGAAGATGGCATCACTCCGAAGGAATTGTGTGACAAGTTCACAGCCATCCACAAGCAGGTCTACGATTGGTTTGAAATTGAGTTTGATAAATTTGGGCGCACTTCCACAGATAAGCAAACGGAGATTGTTCAAGACTTCTACAAGAACATTAGAAGCAACAATCTCCTTGTCAAGTCTACCAGGGAACAAATCTATTCCGTCGAAGAAGACAAATTCTTGGCTGATAGATTCGTTGAAGGTACTTGTCCATACTGTCAAGCAGACGACGCTCGTGGTGATCAATGTGACAAGTGTTCGCGTACTTTTGATAGTCCACTCGAATTACAATCCCCAAGGTCTAAAATGAATCCAAATTCACAGCTCGTAACTCGTCCAACTGCTCATATGTACCTGGATTTGGGTAAATTGCAGCCATCATTAGAAGGTTGGTTGAAAGACACTGCAAAGCAATACAACTGGCCTGCAAACATTATCATCAACTCAGATAGAGAGATTGTCGAGGCTAGAATGAAAGCTGGTCTTCAACCTTCTGCAATCACTCGTGATCTTAAGTGGGGCGTCCCTGTACCAGCCGTAGGAGATGCTGAGGAAGACGCTGAAATGGCTGGAAAGGTCATGTATGTCTGGATGGATGCTCCAATTGGTTATATCTCCATCACTGCAAATTACACCGATCAGTGGCAGAAATGGTGGTTAAATCCAAAGAACGTCAACTTATACCAATTTATGGGCAAGGATAACGTATATTTCCATTTGTGTTTCTTCCCTTCCTTGTTGTTAGCAGATGGACGTGACTGGACTAGACTCAAGTACATTTCATCGACAGACTATCTCCAATATGAAGGTGGAAAGTTCAGTAAATCAAAGGGTGTTGGTGTATTTGGTAACAGTGCTAAGGAAACAGGCTTGTCACCATCCGTATGGAGATACTTCTTACTCAGTCGTCGTCCCGAATCTGGTGACACTGAGTTCACATGGAGTGACTTTGTCAGTGCGAACAACAACAACTTACTCAAGAATTTCGGAAACTTTGTCAATAGAGTGAGTTATATTTTGTCTTACTTCTCAAAGCTAACGTGAAGTCTAGGTTCTCAAGTTCACCGCTGCCAAATTCGACAGTCTTGTGCCTGGTGAAGCTCAAGACACTAATCTCATCTTTTCAGATGATTCCGAATTCATGGCACGTAAAAATAGCTTCGTTAAGGATATCAATGAGATTCTGAAAAGATACATTGACTCTATGGAGCGCGCACATCTGCGATCTGGCTTGGAGGATGTCCTTGCACTGTCCAGACGTGGTAATGAGTGGATACAAGAGAACAAGCTCGACAATGCGCTTTTGGGTGAGTCGATTAGAGTGAGAAAGACCCTAAAAACTAACAAAGCGATAAGCTGAGCACCCACGTAGAGCTCAGAGAACAATACTGGTAGCTATTAATCTCATCTACATACTTAGCGCAGCTGTGCACCCATTCATGCCATCAACCTCAGAATCAATCATAAATCAATTGAACGCACCACCACGCACTCTACCAGAAACATTCGCCATAGATCTTTACCCAGGACACAGAATTGGAACACCAAGCATTCTATTCACTCGTATAGATGAGAAGATGGAAGACGTCTGGAGAAAGAAGTTTGGTGGTATGCAAAGCGAGGAGCCAAAACCAGAATTGTCGAAAAAGCAGCTGGCCAAGCAAGCAAAAGCAGCGAAAGCAGCCAAGGAGGTAGTGAAAGTGCCAGATACACCAGAAGCAAAGGTATTGAATGATAGTATCTTAGCTCAGGGTGATCGGATCCGTGACGTCAAGTCAGGCTCAATCAATGATGCAGATCTTGATAAAGAAGTAGCGCATTTGAAGCAGCTTAAGAATGATATGGAAGCAATGATAAAGAAGTTAGAATCCATGTAAAATATCTATTTAGAATCATACTATCCTCATATTATCCTCCTCATATTATCCAATGAAATGTAATGTAATCCGGATTATTACGGCGATGTGAGTGGAGTGAATGAGAATTTCCTCGAAACGCTGAGATATTCATGTGCTTACAAAGTCACCCTAATAAACTTTTTTGTCCCTAACCGATTAGATTTCAATCGATTGCAAAATTTTTACCAAAGAAGATTACGCGAAACAATTTAATCGAGATAAATAGCGGGCAGAAGAGCACATAACTAGAATATATTCATACAGATATTAATTGATTCATTTGACGTATTATCACAACGTCATCTAAACAGGCACTCCACGTTTGGACATTTTAAGCGTACTTCGTTCGCTGGTTGATTCTTAACTAAAAACAGCTAAATACAAAAATGATTAGCAGCCAAAACCAACGTCGCTCCAGCTCAGGTTGGGATCCAAAGCAATCTGAGCGTCGTCGCTCCTCTATCAAGGCCCTCGCTAAGCCTTCGGTCCAGCAAAGACCATCGAAGCCAGAAGGCCCAAATATCCCTGCAGACAAGATCAAAATGATCATCTCCGACGTTGATGGTACTCTCTTCGACGATGACCACGGTGTTCACCCAAGAGTTATTGACTGTTTCAAGTGGTTGAGAGCCAACAAGCCTGAAATTCCAATTTTGCCAGTTACTGGTAAACAATTGGTATCTATCAATGATATGCGTATCGAATGTGACCTCCTCGATATGCCAGTTGGTGCCTGTCACGGTGCTATTATTTACAACCCAGACGGCACCGTCCAATCTCAACAAAAGATCAACAAAAACACCGTCTTGTCTGTTGTTGACATGATGATGAAGCACAACAAGACCTGTATGCTTTACGAGCACGACAAGGTCCACTGTGTCTCTTTGGAAGAGAGGCCAGACAAGGATTTCTTCGAAATCTCAAAGGGTTTCGATCCTTCAATTTCTGACAAGAGAGGCACCGACTTCTTAGAAAAAGTTGATAAGGAGGAAGTCGTCATCTGCAAGATTTTCTGTCCAATGGAGGAAACCGTCATTGAAGGTGAGTATTGGTTTTACTTAGCTTATTTGTCAAATTGACATAGTTTAGACTTCATGACTCTCCTTCTCCACGAGCCACGTTTCCCAAGAGACTCATTCAAGTTGACTCGTGCACTCCCATACATTATTGAGTTGTGTCCACCAGGTGTTGACAAGGCTGTCGCATTGGCTCACTTCTGCAAGGTTTACGGTATTGCACCAGAAAACACAATAACGTTCGGTGACGGTGAGAACGACGTTGGAATGTTCAAGGCTTCAGGTTTCTCTTGTTCTATGGGTAACGCCATGAAGGCACCAAGAGAAAACTGTACACACAGAACTCTCACCAACAACGAAGGTGGTGTTGGTGTCTTCCTTGACTCCATCTTCAGACCAGATTACCAACCACCAAAGGATCAAACCAGTGCTATCGAGTAGATAATTATTAATGACGACAATTTTACGCAATGTTTTGTTAAAGCGATAAATCAATTTGTTATAAATTTAGCATTGCTTGCGATGCATTAGATTTTTTTGTATGAAATTTTGCATTATTACAGCTTTACAAGGGAGTCTAGATATCTATTTTTTCTGTCTGGATCAATTGTGATGAGTTCAGTAAGGTATTCATTGTATCTACGGAGCAGCTCGTTCGCTTGAGTATGTTGATGAAGTAGTTTGTTGTAGTGAGCGAGAGATTCTAAGCACCACTTCGACTCAGGCTCAAGCTCATAAAGCTCGTTAATAGACTCCAGCTCTCTTTGTAGCACATCTACGATATTTTCATCAGCTACCTGTTGTATCAACCACTTGTGATACAGCCAAACCGACTGATCCGATGGATCGGTGTACATAGCCTGTTTGACTAAGTCAAACTCTTCATTGAGATCGTCTATACTAACGCCTCCATCTAACGCCCATAATTGGCTCAAAATCTTCGTTCTTTGATGCCATGCCGAGAAATTACTGAAGTTGTTTTCGATGAAGTGAAGTGTCGACTGTTTCTCTTTGAGGAGCTGATCTCGACTGAGTACGTGTGGGAATGTGCTGACTGTATTTCTATCTTCCTTGAAATTCATGAGAGTGAGCAGCTGTCTTCTGTATCCCCAGGCATGGAAGTTGCGTGAATCTAATTTCAGCAGACTGTCAACCATCTTCAATTCATTATTCCACTCCCACAATCTCCCATCGGCTTGCTCGTCTGTGAAAGTAGCCGACAACGTCTCCAATGCCCACGTCCGGTGATTCCAGATCCAGTAGACTTTCGGGAACTCCTTCAGCAGACCAAGAGTAAACATAAGCTCAAATGAAAGCTTCTCCTGCGTTGCATCCACACCGATTTCCGTGAATAGGTTTAATAATATAATACGACGATAATTCCACATCGTGTAGTATTCAGGATTGATTTTGAGCAACTCCGTCACAGCATCTAAACTCTCTGCTGTCTTGACTGCGTGGTTCCTCTAGTCTTCTATGTGAGTGTTTGCTGTTTGCTATGTGCCGTGCGCTATGCAAATGCGCCTACCCACCAAGTCCATAACGCCAGCCTCTACACATCTATAGTGGGCTATACTCTTGCTTATATTGTCATCTGAATCTTTAGCAGCTTGCTGTCTTTTGATTCCGTGCTATCGCTTTCCTTAGACGCGTTGTTCTCTTTATCACCACCACTCACCATGGCTACAGCTCAAGCAGCACCAACGCGTTCGACGATAAATTTGAAGGGATCAACTAAAATTGTTACAGAATTCTTCAGTGTAAGTTTCCTAGTCTGTTAAATAGGATTTAGCTGAATGGGCTTTTAGTATGCTGTGAACAGGTGCGCAGATAGTATACCAATTTAACGCGTCAAATTCTAACAAAACGCGAAAGTATATTATTCCAAAGAGCTGTATACCCTGTTAGTGTGGCTATTGTACGCTCACTGCCCATTCTAACTCAACTGCTAGCCAGAAGACTTCTCGATGGTGAAGAAGTATGGATTAAACATGCTAGTAACAAACGATGACGGATTGAAAACTTACATCAGCAAAGTTATTTCTCAATTGAGTGAATGGCTCCTAGGTAATCAAGTAAGCAAATTAGTTTTGGCGATTGTGAGCAAGGAATCGAGGGAAACGTTAGAGAGATGGCAATTTGACATACAGAACACAGCCTCAGAGTGAGTGGTGCTTTTAAGCGCGAATTATATTATTCCTGACAAAAGAAATAGTGAAAGCAGCCAAAACAGCGAAAAACAAAACAAACCAAAGACAGAAAAAGAAATCCACAGCGAAATACAAGCCATCATTCGTCAAATAACAGCATCAGTCACTTTCCTTCCTATGATCGATGAGCCTTGTGCGTTCAATATTCTCATCTATACATCCGATACCGAAGAAGCAAAGACTATGCAAGTTTCTGATTCCTGGGTGGATGCAGACCCACATCTCATCCAATCAGATAAAACGGAGCAAGTCAGGTTGCGTTCTTTCGATACCTCGGTGCACAAGGTGGAAGCTCTTGTTGCGTACAGGGTCGGCGAGGAAGAAGAGTAATTGGTGTATTAGTGGATTACATTATCATTTCATCATTCGCGTGCGTTTCGAGGTTTTTTAATTCTCTTTGTCTATCTAGTAGCCATGATGGAGGCTTTGAAGCAGTGATGCAGACGCTTTCTGTCTACTTGGATAACTTAATTGTTCTACTTTTCCTTTTCCCGGTACATTCCGATAAAATAAAGTATCACCTGTTTGTGCCTCATACCATTCATGACTTTGATCACTGTGCCTTCATAAAAATAGCGACATTGGCGGCTGAAATAACCCATGAAATTGTTGATACAAGTCTTCACAATTCCGCGCACTTAACTGGTATGCCACTAAGGCAGCCTTATTTCGTCAACAATCACTGGCACTTTGCGTTGTAAAGCCCCAAAACCGCTGATTTTTTCATCGCATGATTCCCAATTCAGAGTATCCAAAATTTGAAGAGCCCACCGAAGAAACTCTTTACAGATGGTCAATTTCGAGAATGTCGAGAGGAAACAGTAAGATTCTGCGACTTAGATTCAACTTCTCTTTTATAAATGATTTTATGCTCTTTTTAGAAAAGAACGCATTAATATTCTCGAACCTCAAACTTTCCGACCTGTGTATCGAATACTCCCGCAGTGGAAGGTTACAAAGACCTGAAGAAGCACATCTGAAGATGAATTAATATTGAATTAACTATCTAAATTTACCACTAAATAAGGCAGATAAGTCTTACTTATGAAATGGGGTCTTCATCTCTTCTATTTTTATATCACTAACATGTCTTGATATCCTTCATACGAAAAATTCAATGTTGAATACTAGTTTACAAAAATTAGCAGTATTTAAGTAGGTCACTATACTTTATAAGAGACTCTATAATCTAGCTTTCAGGGTTTTTTGCTGTGTTTCACAAACGTGTCGCATTTCTTGGAGAGACGAAAGCAAATCACGCTTGAATCCGTACGTTGACGTCGCTGAGCAGTGTAATTTGCTTTCTATACCAAATTTAAGTTCGGAGGGCCCCGCCATGTAATTAATACCATATCCATCTGGATAGACAGTACCAAAGCTGCAGCGCTATGAGTGTTACGTTAAAGTCTTAACAAAAACGCACCCAGTTCCATTAAAACGAGGTCCAGCGCTTAGTCCACTTGTGCTAAGTTTCCATTCCGAGCTCATCGCATTATACTTGTTGTCGAACAACTCATGGCTTTCTCCAGGCCGCAGCAACATCCTCAATCCCAGCAGGTGTCTATCAAAAGCCTTGCCGGTGGTTGCATCCCGCATATTCTTAGCATGTGTTTTTGTAGCTTGCAGTAAGCTGTCGTACTTGGCAGAATCCTATAAAGTTTAAGTGAGAAAAATGATGATGATCAATTATTTACTCACATTGACATCTTTCGACATCATTGTCTTTACGAAGCGCTTCGACTCGCTTGTTAGAGTTCGAAGCGTATCTGTCCTGCCATTATCGAAAATTCTAGTGGACGCAGTCTCATACGTCGCTGTAAAGTATCCTTGGTTCTTGAACCATGCTAATTGCAGCGCCATTTGTATGAACGCATCTGGCGCGAGACCGGCTTTCGATTTCGTGAGAAGATGCCAATACAGCAAGTGAAACCTCACCAACTTCCTTCATCCAATCCACACCGAATTCGCTGAAAAGTAACTCTGAAGGCTCTGAATCATTCAGTATACGCTCAGCTACTGAATTTGCACTCTTGATTTCACTGATAATGTGATCATCTAAAACCCACCGAAGCCTTTCAGAGCGACAAGATTGTTGCTGAGAAGCAATTGAAGCATTCACTGGCATATCTTCATAAAGCGTATAATCAGCTACTATCGATGGCACCAGGGCTTCAACGAATGAGTGTTCACCGTTCATACCTGCTCTGCCATTATTTTCGACAATAAGACTCATTGACTTGTCAAACCATCTATTTTTGCCGTTTATTCCACCAGCTATATTAATCATATGGCCATCTAACACGTCCTGCTCCTTACTGCGAGGAGGGAGAGTGTAATCGTCTAAACAGACCGTAAACAGTGCTGATTCGATAGCAGACAAAGTAAGCTCATTTTTTTGCGATATTATCTTGAGATGTTCACGATTCTGTTAAAGGTTTAGCGGGTATTTATGAGACATGATCGATATCACCCACTCTAGTCCATGTATCCCTATCAACCGCCGTCATGACACCTACAGGTGAGTCGAGATCGTTGCTGAGACTCTCTGTAATACCACTGAAAGACTTGGCAATGGTATCCCAACCAAATATACCACCTTCTGCATCTATTACGTCCACCTTAAACGCCTGACTCTTAGCAAACACGACAATGTGCTTTGTGAGATTGGGCAAGGGTACGTGTGTCAAGTGATCACAGTCGTACTGAGGTAAGCGTGTCATACCAAACAGCTTGTTAGCACGAGGACCGAACCATCGAGCTGTAATGACTTGGTCAGACAAAGACAGTGAAGAGTAAGACACTGACCAGCTTTAGATAAGTCTGGGAGCTGTTCGCCTTTGTCGAGGAGCTGTTTTATGTGCAACAATCCTCTCGTCAGCCACGCAGCTCTAAGAATCTGCCAATTTGTGAAACCACGGCTATCTTTAGTCATTTTGAGGTCGTTGGGGGTGGATGGATCATCTTTGTATAAGAGCCACCAATTTGAGTTTATGAGCAAGGGAGCCCTATTGGTGTGATAGGCCAGTTTAATCCACCAACGATCATCGAGCCAATTTGTAGGGGAAACTCTGTCAACGTCTTGAGGAATATAAGATGACATTTTGTGTGCTGGAAATTCTCACCTTTAAGCCTCGTCTGTAACTTCTTCCCAAGGCCATCTCTGAAATCGTCAGCGATAGCGCGGAGATGAGACCTGACGTGGTTATCGTCGTCTATAAAAGGTTCCAAAGATTTTAAATATTTTTCTAAGCTTGATTCTAAAGGAGGGATTGGCAATCGAGGAGCTAATCTGGACATAATGAGATTAGATCATAGAGGTTGATAATGAAGAAAGAATGTTAAATCTAATTGGGTCTACTGGAGCAAAAATTATATTAATATTTCATCTCCTCTTGCTTAACAACTGCGACTTGCGATGGACTTAGAACAAATAACTTCAGCAGAATTCAAAGTTACAGAGTTAGTTGACGCTTATTATCGTTTATCGCACTCAAAATCCACACAGCCAGAGACCTGATCAGTAAGCATATCCATATCCCCACACACACTCAATTTAAACACGATTCAGTAAAACTAGACGTTACGATAGACAGTTGAGGTGGGTAATATCATTTCATTAGGCTCTGATCAACAGAATATCAAGGTTGTGGGCAGCCGCTGGCCAATCTGCGTTGGAAAACGCTCGAGTTTTAGTCATAAACGGTTCAGCCACATCAAGCGCAACTTTGAAGAACCTAGTCTTACCAGGTGTGTTTTAGCTCCTTGCCTTTCTTATCTGCAGTCTCATTCTTAATTCCAAGGCATTGGTCATTTCACCGTTATGGACGATCAATTGGTCACAGACGCAGATATTGGCAACAACTTCTTCTTGGAGCCTGAGTCTGTTGGTAAGCCACGCGCTACAGAAACAGTTAGATTGTTGTTAGAAATGAACGACAGCGTACAGGGCGAAGGGCTGGTGAAGAATCCATATCATGTGTTGGAAACTCAACCAGACTTCTTCACAAACTTCTCGGCCGTTATTTTACACAACACTGAGACTGATCTCACTTTAAAGTTATCCGATTTGGCTTGGAGTAATCATCTTCCTTTGTTCTCAATGAAAACTTCAGGTTTTTACGCATCTTTGCGCGTACAACTACCCGAACAAACCATAATAGACACTCATCCAGACGCCATCGTAGACTTGCGTTTAAACAAGCCATTTGAACAGCTCAAAAAATTCGTGCAGTCGACCGATTTAAATAAGGTTTCAGACAACGATCACGCTCACATACCATACATTGTCGTGCTCATTAAACAACTCGATGAGTGGAAAAAGAGCCACGACGGTGCACTCCCAAAGAATATCACTGAGAAGAGAGAATTCAAAAAAGTCATGGATAGCCATCGTAGGAAAGGTGTAGATGAGCAAAATTTTGACGAGGCTCAGTCGCAAGCATACAGAGCGTTCCAGAGTAATGATATACCGCACCAAGTTGCTGAACTGTATCAAGACGATTCCCTCAAAAACCTTTCAAAAGACTCATCTCCGTTCTGGTTTTTGGTAGCGTCATTGAAGGTGTTCAGTGACAGGCATGGTGTCTTGCCTCATCCTGGTACTCTGCCAGACTTGCACACTGACACTCAGACTTACGTCCACCTTCAAACCATCTACAAGAACAAAGCACGTGAAGATGTCGAAGAGCTGAAAAGCATTCTCATCGGCATTATTGACAAATTTAGCGTTTCTATCAACATTTTCAGTGACGATTTGATTGGAGCATTCGCGAAGCACTCCGCCTTCTTGAAAGTTATCAAAGGAAGCAGTATCGGAGATGAGTACACTTCGCCAAGACGCGACGTAATTTGTGAGAAGACAGATTTAGTGATGCTTCCAAACTAACGCTACTCATAGCTAGTGGTATAAGTGATGAATTCACGGAATCTGCATACGCTATTTACGTAGCTTTTATAATCTCAGACGCATTCAGTGAAAAGTACAAAAGGCAACCAGGAGACTGTAAATTAGAGGATTTCGAGAATGACGTAATGAGAGTGAATAGTGAACTGGAGAAAGTTACGAAAGATTTATGTGGTAAAGAACCATCTAAAGTCATTTCTGATTCGCTTCTGGAGTTGGTTAGAGGCGGTGGTAGTGATTTACCAAATACAGCAGCTTTCCTAGGTGGATTAGCCAGTCAGGAGATCATCAAAGTGATTACGAATCAGTATATACCAATCGACAACTACTGCATAATCGATTTAATCAAGAGCACAACTAGTGTGTTGAAGATGTAAATATATGAGCTACATTAGAATACAAAAGATTAAATGCTATGCGAGATTAACTGTTCAACGTCTCTGTCAGGAATCTAGGAGTTGGTAGCAGTGGTTTGCCTCTCGCAGCGAGTTCTTTTGGCCAGATTGACTTTGAAAAGTGCCAGACATGACCTACTGCTATACCAGCCAACTCGGTCCTAGCTGCAGAAGCTCTACCTGTAATCGCCCACGAAAGCATAACAATAGCCCAAGGGAGGTAGCTGGCTCTAATTATGAATACTAAGAGACCAATTTGAGCATTTGGGTGACTTCTCGCCCAAACGTAAACCAAAGCTGAAGACAATGCTGTTGATAAGAAAGGCAAGTTGATAAGGGGGGATATTCCTAGTAGCAGAGTAGACATGACAATTAAGCTCCAAACGTATTCAGCCTTGTTCGAGGAGAATTGCTCTTCCTCGAGCATTCTTGAATACCTAATGAAGAAGAATAGGTGAAGGAAGAGGTCAATAGAGATATCTCCAAAGTAAAAAAACGTTGTAAGAGCTCTCCAGGGCTAATTTGGGTGTGAGCGTTATGAATGATGATTAGATAACACCAGCTCACCTGGTTGTTGACGAATGCAGAGTGAAAGCTGAAATAAAGATTAAGAGGACTAAGAACGTTTACTTGAACGAGCGTAGATACGCATATACTTCCAATCAGCCAAAATTTGGAGACAGTAGGTATCTGATTGAAGTAGTCCCACATGGTTGAATTGATCAACCATGTCATCAGCGGAAATTGTGCGCAAAATACTAAAACAATCACCACCAAATGAGCTAAAGGAGGTGCTGGAAGGTAAATTCCATCTCCTGGCTGATCACACATGCTAATTTCCGCGCAGACTTGAAGGTATTGACAGAGATCGATCAAGACGATTTGAATGGCTGTTTAAAGGAGTTTAACGAGCAGCAACTGAATACTATCGATTTAGATGGCGTTAGAGTAAGTCCCGTATCTTTCAGCACGCGTTCATCCCCTTAACACCGACAAAGACGTTGATAACACCACAATCGCATATAAATCATGATAAATACTACGATCCAAAGTCATCCAAAGTCTACAAACTCAACCAGCTTGATCTTAAGGCCGAGAATGTTGAGACAGTCGATCAGCTTAACTATCAGAATCACATTCGCAGCCTCCTCGAACACGCTTTAGATGAATACGTTGAAGAGTTCTACTCTAACGGAACAGCTGCTGTTTATACTACCGTCAAATGTCTCGATAACATGGAACAGGAACAAGAGCAGGAACTGGAAAAAGAGCAGAATCAAGTCGAGCAGACAGACGAAGCTGTAAACGAGAGTGGAGAGAAGCTGCCAGAAGAGGGTGATTCCGAAAATGAGGAAAATAGCGAGGAGCAACAGGATGCAGGCAAGACAGAGCAGCAAGAAGAGTCATCACCCAAGGAATCTCAAGACAAATTGGAAGAAGCACAACCTAATCCAGTTGATGAACCTGCTGCTCAAAATACCCAGGAAACCAAATCAGAGGATATCTCAGAAATCAATTTATACTACACTGGTAACAAGTTCAACCAATCAAATTATTGGTCTGGCAGATGGAGAGCCAGGTGGGTGTATGACCTGACAAGCGACGAGATAGTCGGAAATATCGACATTTCGATCCATTACTTTGAGTGAGTGGTACAAAAGATCTAATCACACTCTCACAATTCCCACAGAAACGGAAATGTACAATTACAAGCATCTCACGCGCCAAAAATTAAATCACCACTTCAAGGACCACCAACAACGCCCGAAGAAGCCAAGAAGCTAGTCAAGGCAATCATTGAATCTGATAGGCAATACCAAGCACATCTGAATGTGCTTTATCAAGATAAATTGAGTGAGAAGCTGTTCAAAAGTCTTCGCAGAGCATTACCAATCACTAGGGAGAAGATCGATTGGGACAAGGTTGTCAATTACAAGCTAGGATCTGAATTGGGCAAGCTAAATAGCTAGATATCTCAACAATGTACAAGTTTCAATTACCGATATGGTATCATTTTCTGTTCTCATGATGTGATCTCACAAGTCTTTACTCAGTCAATTTAGCCTTTGTATCCGAACAACCAAGTAAAATGATAAACGTGGCAATAATTGGTGTTGGAAATTCATCTGACTTGCACATTCCCTTCATAGACGCAGTCGACGACTTCAAGTTGACACATGTACTCGAGCGTAGAGCTACGAAAGAAAACAGCGTTGCGAGAAGCAAGTGGCAGCACTTAGAGCCTTTTACCGTCATAAACGATTATAACGATATCCTCAAAGACACTAACGTCAGCCTCATTGTTATTACCACTTCAAACACTTCCCATTACAACCTTACCAAGGAAGCACTCAAAGCAGGCAAGAATGTGGTTGTTGAGAAACCTTTGACACCTTCATCAGAGCAAGCATTGGAATTGGCTGATTTGGCCGTTGAAAAAGGTTTAATCTTGAGTGTATTTCAGAACAGAAGATACGACAGTGATTTCCTTACCGCTAGCAAGCTCATCAAGGATGGTAAGCTTGGTGACATTAGCTCAGTTGAGTCGCGTTTCGATAGATACCGTCCACAAAATAAGGGTGGTTGGCGTGAGGAAAACGTACCAGGCTCCGGTGTTCTGTATGATTTGGGTAGTCACTTAATCGACCAGTCTGTGAAGCTGTTTGGTAAACCTCATCAAATCAGCGCTATCGTACAAAATAGTCGCCAGAAAGGTGATTTATCTGTCGATGATAGCTTCACTGTTCACCTTCATTACCAAAACAAGATTCCACTGATTGTCACACTCGGTGCTTCTGTTTTGGCGTGCTTCAATGATCAGTTGAGGTTTAAGATCAGTGGTGAAAATGGCTCATTCATCAAGTATGGATTTGATGTTCAAGAATCACAAATCAAGGCTGGGCTGAATGCACTTGATGCCAACTTTGGCGTTGATGATAAGAATGCCCATGGAACGTTTACCAACTCAGATGGCAAGACTGAAACTGTAGAGACTGTAAAAGGTGTCTGGATCGATTTCTACAGAAATGTCGCCAATGCAATCAACAAAACTGAGAAGCTTGCTGTCGATCCTTACTCTGCTGCTCTTACCATCAGACTGATTGAGTTAGCCCATCAATCCTCCAAGGAGGGCAGAAGAATTGACATCCCATAAATACCAAGAATAAATAAAGCAAAATATTACACTAGTTACATGTTTACTTCTTTGATTTTTTGCCGCCCTTGCCTTTGGCATCTTCTGCCTTGCGTTTACCTCCACCTTTCTTATCTGTCATTTTGTCGTCGTTTGCCTGTGAATAGGCGTTAGTGATGAATCACAGACTCAAGATGTCTTACCTTAGGAATCACTGAGAAAAATCCGTCAAGACGTCCTTGTTGTTTGGTATTTAACATCTTGTTCAATCTGTCAGCACCTTTTCTGACTCTGTCCTCACTAAACGGGATGTCAGCTCAATATCGTTTGGTTTACAACTGCACTCACGCAAAACCCTTCTCGTGACACAAGAATTGTATCAGTCCATCTATATCTGGACTCTCCCAATTGAGCTGATCAAACGTTAGAGCCAGTTTAAGTTCAAGATACACACGCACCTCAACTTCGTCAGCTTTGTGTACATTAGGGTTCAAAAAGAGCTCGCGAGCCTTTTCGTATGGCCAATACTCTGGTATGACTGGACCTGACTTGGTTTTAGGCTGTTTACCTCTCTTCTTGGTCTTCTTCTTTGGTGTGGACTCTTCATTCTCACTACCCGATTCCTCTCTTTCGAGCTTCTCTTCTTCCTCTTCTTTCTCATCTTCATCCTCTTTGATCTTTTCCATTTCCTTAGCCCTCTTCTCTTGATTGGCTCTGCAGATTGGCACAATCTCATCTAGACTGCCATGCTCTCTAATTAACTTGAGTGCTGTTGAAGGACCAACACCCTTGACAGGGTCTAGATAATCACATCCCAACAAGATACAGAGGTCGGTAAATTGTTCACGCTCCATGGCTAATCCACTGAGGGCTTCTTCGAAATAGTAGTGACTGATTGGTTCTTTCTTTTGCTCAGAGAAAGTCAAATGTCTGAGTAAGATGGGTGCGCCGAAAGTGAGAGTATCCATATCCTCACTACCTGCAGCCCAAACCTTACCACCTCTAACGAGTTCAGCACACTGAGCTTCAGCTTCAGAAGGAGCTTCAATCACAGGAATGCCCATGAGTTTGAGCAGTTTTCTACATTCAGCGTTATGCTCCTTTGTTACTCTTACAGTGCGTCTAGATAATCTATCCATAGTCTCTGCGTCACCAGTCTCTTTAGCTTCTTCACCTTGTTCAGTCGCGTCTTCTCTCTTCTCGAAGCGAGACTTTAAGACGTTCGATTTGAGATCAGGAGGTTTACCATCGAAGACATAACACGGTTTTAAACCATTATCGACCATTCTCAGTGTACGGTAGAAAAATCCCATTAAATGAGATGTAGTTTCGCCTGTGTCGCTCATTAATTGCTCGCCGTCTCTCTGCCTAACTGCTATCAGGAATTGGTAGATGGACATGGAAGCATCGATTGCAACCTTCCTGCCAAATAATGATTTAATATCTGTGTGCTTTATTGCTTTTGGTGACTCTTCTGAAATTACGTTGGCAAGTGCTTTAATACCCATAGGTGTTGATTGTTGATATTGAAGTGGGTAGATGGCGTGATAAGGGCGTTGAATTTACCTTGAAATTACTTTCAATATATCTATTTCGCGTTTAATTGGATTTGCGCGTTCTACTCGAGTTCCAACCGCTGTTAGCCTTGCACCATCATCATCTCAAAATTCGATGAGATTTGATGATTTGAGATTGTCGCTGGTTAGAATTGCGTCTTGATGGTCTATTTCATCTCACATCTCTTACCATCTCAGGCTATCGTCGTGGCTGCAACAGCACACCGAGATATGGCCACTACCGGTGAAATCTGGTGTAGAACTATGCAATGCGACTCTTACGCTCACATTAGACTGCGTAGAGCTATTCAAGTTGTCTATTGAAGCTGTTTCCAGTGGTACTTATCCTTATCAATTGGCTGCACAACTCGACGATCCAAGAGCCAGGCTAGATTTATTGAGATTTATCGACAACGGGAAGTATGAGAGTGTAGAAATACACACCACACACAACCCGCACAGCTCACAATATGGATTTGGTTAGATGACCTCATTCGTTTGATACACGCTGAAATCTTCAACAGACGCGACACGGGCACTTATGAGACAGCTACAATTACTCAGCCACAATACATTTAACCTTGAGTCACAAACTACACTCACCAAATCCATTTATCATTCCCTTCAAAATGTTTTCATGTCTTGTCTCTATGATAAGATTCAACCGCGTATCATTATCATGCTGATCGATATGGTTGGCAACATACGCCAGCAGACTTTGCACCAACTCAATTCACTCAACAATAAAGGTCAGCTAATTGGGTTTGAGAGTCTCTTTGCATCCACAGTCGTTAGATCTTTGATATGGTTGTTGATACATCCTCAATCTCCTGCCTGTATTCAAATTAAAATCGTCAAGATGGTTCTCGACCTCCTCAACACTCAAGATAATAGTGTCGCGATGTCCATTTTTAAAGAGATTATTACTCCGATTTACAATTTCGCGTCAGAACAACGCACAGGAAATTGTCAATGCATTTCATCGCTCTTCGCCCTTTTATCAATATCTGCACTCAACGTCGAGCCAACTCGTTCATCGCAAATTAGCATTCTCGTGCTTCTTGCCCCGCTATCTGGATCAAAGTCGACAATAACTCAGGACGTTTTCAGCGAAGCAATCAAAAATACTTTGGATAGCATCTTTGAGCGCACATGGCAACTTTTTATTAAAGGATAGCAAGGGGTAGTTTATGCAAGTTGAAGTGCAATATGCAAATTGTGTACAATTGAGATTCTGAGATGGAAAAGATGTTGCTTATTAAAACATGTTGGGGGTAAATGTCGACTTGTACTGATTTGATCCGGGTTTTTTTTTTTTCTTTTTTACTAATGTTATGTCAAAAAGGGGGTTGAACCTTTGTAGACCAAGGTGAAATTAGTTCTATAGGTGTGAGAGTGTCTTGAGTGTGCTAATTCTTTGTGGTATCGTTAAGCACTGTCTTTTTATCGAATTCATTGATAAAAGGTTTGAATATGTCTTGACCATTCTTGAAGTCATTGTGGACGACGTTCACCAGGAAATGCGTGTCCATGATCTGTCTGATGATTTGTTGACTTGCCGATCCGTACTTGTACATATCGCTCCACTGATAGCCCAATTCATATGCTTCGTCTTTCCATGCCATGAAACTGACTGCTTCGACGATTGTGGGTTGGACTATTTCACTGCCAGGGAAGACACCCCACGTGACTGCATTAGGGCCTTCTGAGTGAGTGTTTGTTCTCAAATCACCGCGCTTATTGACTGCGTAATATGTCATCATCGGATTCAATTCTATACGACTGATTAATTTGTCTAGATTGTCTGGAGACACAAAAAACTCCAGATAAGCCTTGAATTGATTGTCAGCAGTGTAATTGGGTAGTCATTTCAACTAACTTTTTGGTATACGTATCCGCCTTTAGGACCCCAACCGTGCACTTTATCATCTGAGCGAGCACCGTTGACTGCAGGTTGAGAATTAATCGTAAAGAAGCCTATATCATTCATTTTTGCGAGTTGTCTATCAATGACGCTAGTTTCACGAGCTGGCGGTTGATCAGACCATGGTAAAGCTTTTAAGTCATTCAAGCAGAAACGGGAGAATAAACTGCAAATGTCATCGTACTTTGATGGTTCACCCCAGATTTCAAGAGCTTCCTCAGCCTTAAGGTTGATTGTTGGACCCCAACCGTCTAATTCACCGTATGCAGGAGAGCGTGAGTCACCCCATCTACCATTTGGAAACTCATCCCACATTTCCGTGCGCGACAAGTATGATTTCTGACGATTCGCCCAAAATATTGGTCTGATGTTTTCTGTGCGTCTCATAGGCGTGAGTGATGGTCTCCATGGAAGGGGATTGAGTATTTGAGTTTGTGGGATGAGATTCAACTCTTGTAAAATCATTTTAGGGCCACGTTCAAGGTTCATAGTATATAAATGAAGCCCTCTGATACCGATATTGGCGTCTAGTATCTGTTTGCACATTTGAGAAACGAGCTTAGTACCAACTTTTCTGACTGATGCATCATCCTCTTTGACTGCTTCGAGTTGTTGCATCCATGATTCAGGAACGTTAGCCTGAGCCATTTGTACAGCTTTTTGGAAACCGTTCCAAGTTTGGATCGGCATGATGCCGGGAACGATTGGGACGGTGATGCCAGCTTTGCGAACTTGTTTGCACCAATCGATAAAGTTATCAACATCGTAGAACATTTGAGTCATTATAAGATCAGCACCTGCTTCGACCTTTTCCTTTAAGTATTGCATTTCAAGGGCTTTGTCTGATGAGTGTTTGTATTGGAGGTTTCCTTCAGGGAAACCAGCGACGGCAACTTCGAAGTAGTCACCGTAGACACTTTTGATGTGCTTGACCAAATCAACCGCGTAAGTGAAGCCATTTGGGTGAGGATACCATTCAGTCTGACCTCTGGGAGGATCACCACGCAAAGCAAGGACGTTCGTGCAGCCATTCTTCTTGGCTTCCTTGGATATATGTAAGCAGACGAAGAGGGATATTATTATAAGCGCACCTCTAAAGCATTAATGACCTTTTCACGAGGCATGCCAGTACAGGTCAAATGCATGCAAGTCTCAACGCCGATTGAAGCCTGGCAAGTCTTGACGAGTTCAGTAGTCAATTCAGCAGTTCTGCCGCCAGAGTGCCTGAAATTGTTTAGACTTTGTTGAATACGTTGGCTGGTAGTGCACTAACCAAGTGATGTCGATAAATTCAGGACCCAAGCGTCTCATTCTTTCGATACGATCAACGAGATTTGTCATTCCCTGTATTGAACATGTTAGCTGAAATGTCCAGCCAGCTTAGACTATCAACCAACCTGAGCAGTTCTCTGTAAATTTCATTAGAATTTCAAGAAGCAACCAGTCTACAAAACTCACTGGCGGGAAGAATTCAAAACTCCACCAAAGCCTGTCTTCCCTTTCTGCAGCCAACAGCTTGTCCGTTATTTTCATCTCTCTTTAACGTAAATCACCAAGGATCACAAGGAAACATCGCTGGATTTTAATAGTCTAAATTTTATAAATCACTATTAAATTAATTGCCTAGGTCACTAGTAATTTCATATCCTCTATTAACCAATTGATGCTATCTCGACGATGGTCATACACCCACTAAAGTGCTTAATTCAATTATCCAAATCGTTCAAGCCTTTTCCTAGTACTTCGTCTAATCTAAAATCTAGTCTAACTCCTCCTCCTTCTCCTTCTCCATTCAAGCTCACTAGATCGCACAAGTTTTCACTCAAAAACACTCGCAGTAGACCCACAAATGCCCAATTACGCTCTCTTTTAGACACTTTACCTAGTAACTTGTGCGTACATTCAAATCATGATCCTTATGTTCGAGCCGTCGTTGAATTACTCAATCGTAAACACTTTAGCGCTGCTTTGCGTTTCTTTAAGTATTCCATTCATCCAAACGTTAGCAAAGGTGGGAGGAATATTTGCTACGCTCCAAGGACTCTCGTAACTATCATTTCTGCCGTCGTTGCGGCTAAAGTTGATTGTCAAGGTACAGATTTAGAACAGCTTAACAAGCTAGCTCAGCATTTACACCACAGCCTTCGTTGTTATACTGAGGAATGGAGCGAGAACATTAATTCTCCCTACCCACATGCTATTTCACGCGTTTATGAGCTGCTTCAGCGTTACGATATCGAATCTACCCCTAGTTTGTTAGCTGAACAACAACTACTCAATGTTGATCGCACTCATGGTACCCATATACACCTCATACGATCACTAATACATGAGTACAAATCTGTTGCATCAGATAAGGAAAGTGTTCTAGTCGATATCACAGCCATACTATCGCTAATCTCTCAAACTTACATCAAATTAGATAGGAAGTTTCTTAGTTTTATATCCTCCGCTTTCCTACAGTTGGGACAAGACAAAGCAGCAATAACAGATCGTTTGCGACAACTAGCAGAATGCGACACAATAGAAAACACCAAGAAATTATTAACAATAGTAGAGAATATAGAAAAAGGATCTAAATCAGCATCAGCATCGTTATCATCATCCACGTTACTCAAATCCTTTAAATTGAAAGGCACAACTTCATCTGTAGACTACAAGACGCATAGAGCAAAAGTCATGAGACGACTTGAGATGAGTGAGGACAACACCCATCTACATACCAATACTAGCAATCTACATCACTTAATTAGACTATCACTTACGAATAATCAACGCAAAGTAGCATTTAAGCAGGCTCATATGCATTTTACGGGTTTGCTTAAGTTGTATGAAAGTAAAAGAACACCAATGTCATTCCAGCCCGAATCTAAGCCAATCGTAGCCCAGATTAGGGCTAGGAATATACGCCGACGCGTATTTCTATCAGCGATGAGTATCTTCCAAACAGCAATCTACTGCAATTTTTACATAGGGTTCCGCTATGCCGTGCGCGCGTATATAGATATCGCGAATGCGGGTGTAATGCAACAAGCCAACACACACGAATACGAGCACCTACAGCGATTATTTTGGAAAACGAATCAACACTCCCCTCATTGGAATGGACGAGTGGGTCTGAGTAGAATGCTCAAGCTGTACAAGCAAGCGTGGTGCAAAAGGAGTATACACGATAATGGCGATATATGGCGCAAGAATTTGCGCAAGAATGAGAAAATGATTATGGAACTCTGCGTTAGGTACATGTCGGCTGATATTAATGCGCAGAATCGCATCAATGCTATCAAACTTGTTCTAGAGACTTTTGAAGCACTCGGTTGTTCTGTCCGAGAAGAGCTGTTGGCTAAGGTTATTCAGAGGTCTGACTTGAGCAGCAAAGAGCAGCTGGCTCGCATCATCAAGGCGTTGAATGAATTTGCGGTGAATAAAATGAAGCAGCAGCGTTGATTTTGTTGTGTATTATAATATAACCAATAACCAATAACTTTCATGTGGAATTGCTTATCGAAACGCAAACAATTCAAGGAGGAGCCAGGGAATGCAGAGCAAAGGGATTGTGAAGAGCAGGAGCAGCAAGAGTCATGCCTTCCAACCTATTTGGAAGTAGATGCAACCGATTCACACACCAACACCCTGCCATCATATGATCGTGCCAATTTCGAGCCAGTGGCAGACAGGGCAGCGGGGGTAATAGAAAGAACGTTGCACATGGAAGAGAGTGTACTGAGAGAGCTTGGTTCGACGATCCACCAAAATCCCGAACTGGCATTCAGAGAGCATTACGCGGCGAATACGCTCACCCACTTTATGCAGGGCAGGGGATGGCGAGTGGAGAGAGGAATCTGCGGGATGGAAACGGCGTGGAAGGCTACATTTAGTCGTGGAATAGGTGGACGCACAGTGGGATTCAACGCTGAGATGGATGTGAGTATGATGTCATTCCGGGGTTTATGCTGAATAGGCAGGCTTTGCCGGGCATAGGGCATGCATGTGGACACAGTGGGTAGCTGAATATTTCACGCCCTAATCTTCCGCCTAACACAGGCAGATCTGATAGCTGAGGGAGCATTAGCGGCAGCTTTGGGTGTGGCTGCAGCGATGGCAGAGATGGATGTATCCGGGAGGGTGCTCCTCCTAGGTACACCAGCGGAAGAGCGGGGCGGTGGCAAAATAAGAATGTTGAGACACGGTGCATACAAAAGCGCAGATGCGATGCTGATGATCCATCCGGGTGGAGGTGCGCCGTACAAAACTGATCTAATATCGCCCATGTTGGCAATCGATTCGTTCAGTGCAGAGTACTTGGGCAAGGCTGCACACGCAGCGCTTGCACCGCACGAGGGCATAAACGCACTCGACGCTGCCATCCTCGCATACACCAACATAAACGCTCTCCGTCAGCAGACCAAGCCGTATGAGCGCGTGCACGGTGTCATCGACACCGCGGGCTACTCGCCCAATGTTATCCCTGCGTACTCGTGCCTCAGGTATGGCGTGCGCAGCGCGACCCTGGCTGAGCTGGTGGAACTGAAGAGGAGGGTAGTTGCGTGCTTAAGAGCTGCTGCTGATGCTACCGGATGCCAATTCGTCTTGCATGATACCACCCCTCCTCACCCTGAACTTCGTCATAATGGGCTTCTCGGTGCGTACGTGGTTTGATCACTTGCGGATTGTCCTTACTCACACACTCTCTGCAGCCGTTGAATACGCAGCCGCATTGATGCGCAGATTTGGTACGCATGTCCAGCTCGCTTTGGACGTCCCTGGAGGCGCATCAACAGATTTCGGCGCTGTCACTTACGCTATGCCCGGTCTGCACCCTGCTTACGAAATTTATTCACAGGAAGGCGTTTCTAATCATACCGCAGAGTTCGCAAGGTGCACCGATACACCCATCGCCCATCGAAAAACACTCGAGGCGGCTACAGGTGTCGCACTAACGGCTTTCAGGGTTCTGTGCGATGATGATTTTGCTAGTGCTGTCCAATCTGAATTCCATGGCGAATAAAGTGCGACATTAGACTTTACTGTCATAAACATTAACTAAGGCAAAGTAGTCGCGGCTAAAACATGTATATGGAAACAATTAATAATACAATGGCTGACTGGGATAACGAAATAGTGGAGATGAGCAGTGTGATGAAAATATGGAAAATAGTGTCAATAGCGAGGGAGAGAGATGAGTGAAAAGAATAAAAACCATGATCCATATCTGTGTTACCAGATATTGCTAACTAATTTGCTCATCTTGAAGAAGCCAATTAGCGCCAAAGTTGTTATCAATCATTGCGTCATACTGGTCAGTCGCAGATCCAGCGAGCCATTCTTGAGCAGCGTTGGAAGTTTGGCTATTTGACGTCTTTTGCCTTCCGCTAGCCGACGCATCCTTGGGCGACTTGAGTTCATCGTTGACCGATTCAGGCGAAGGGTTCATTCCATTGATGAGTTCAGGCGTCTCGACGTTCATCTTCTTCGAGCTTACATTCTCACCACTTTCCTCATCCTGCTCCTGATCCTGATCATTGAATGAAGATTCATCAATCAATAGACTAAAGTCGAGCTCCTCGTTAGGTGGGAGATGGCCATGGATGTTGTCATCTGGCGAGAGTATAAACTCAGGCTCAGGTTTCGAGTGGACATCTTCGAGCGTCAGTGATGGTTTGAGTGGATGACCTTCATCTAGGCTGTTGAACATCTGTGGGTTACTTATATGCTGAGGTTGGGGTGCTGAAGATGGCAAGTTGTGCTTGAAATCTGCGAGTGCATTCTCCAAATAGGCGACTGGATCTTCAAGCGCCGTAGGTTTAGGTGGCTGCGTTGGTTGTGATGGTGCAGGTGTAGGTGCCTTTGGTAGAGACGGCGCAACGTTTTGCGCTGGTGAATCAATATCGATGGAGATTGGGGTGTTGTCGTTGCTTGTCGTACCATTTGCACCTCTTTGTGCATTCCGTGGTCTTGCTTGTGGCCTACCGCGTCCACGACCACCACTCGCTCTGGCACTCGCTGCAGCTGCTTTTTGAGAATACGGAGATTTCGGTGGCGTCTGGCCTGAATGTGCGGGTGGAGGAATGGGTGATGGTGAAAGATCTATAGGTGTATTTTGTATCTGCGGAGAAGTCTTTGTGCGCTTGGATGGCGGTGGTGCTTTGAGATTGTCAGTGCTTCTCTGTACGCCACTCATCAAAGCTGGAGAGGGTACTTGTGACTGCTGGTGGTGGTGTTGCTGTTGTTGTTGTAACTGTTGTTGTTGCTGCTGTTGCTGCTGTTGCTGTTGTTGCTGCTGCTGTTGGGCTTGCTTGAGCGCATTATTGAACATAGCCACCTGATCAACTTGTGAAGGTTGTGCTGGAGATGCAGAGTGCGAGGGTTGCTGTTGCGCTTGCTTCATGGCATTGTTGAAAATGGCAGACTGGTCCGGTGGTTGAGAAGGTGCTGCTTGAGGCTGGGAAGCAGGTCTCGGTGCTGCATTTTGTGCTATGCTTTGTATTCCTTGTACGTCCTTGACCTGATTCTTAACATACATGAAGCCTGCAATGATGGTTAATCAAAACAAATGAGACATTGAAACAACGCTTACATCGAGCCAATTGAATCCGCAGCCTGGTCATGTCCTCGAGATTGAAACAAAATTGACGCTGGGGAAGCATAAGAGTTTGCTGGTAATACATAACAGTCTGCATTGATAGTTAGTAAGTGTAAATATCACAAAACCAGCATACCATCAAAGAAATCTTCTTAACAGCTTCAATTTTACCTGGTTCTATTGGATCGTTCAAACACAAGAAAATTGGCAGGATAGTTTCTAAAGAGATAAGCATAGGCTTAATTTCAGCGCAAGTTTGTGCGATTTGGTGTTGTTCAGCAGGATTCAAATTGGGTTGAGAGTTAACAGGAGGTCTTTGTTGCATGATACTCTGCTTAATGGACTGAACAAGTTGAGAGGCCTGTGATAGTCTCTCTTTTGGAGGCATCATGATTGGCAAATTGTTAGCCATTGGAGGAGGAATACCTTGAGATGAAGGGTTGTTTTGAATAGGAGGAGGGATACCTTGAGATGAAGGGTTGCTTTGGATAGAAGGAGGGTTAGAAGGGTTAGTAACAGAGCTGGTGGCATCCAAAGACGGCGCAGTGGTAGACATTTGTGGTTGTTGGATCTTTCTGCGAAGCTGAAAAATTTGCTCAGGAGTCAAGTTTAAATTTCTCAACTGATCATCAGACATTGATGAGAGAGAAGCCATTAGTTGTTGTTGATGGATGGGCTGATTAGGCTGAGGTGGATTAGGTTGAGGTTGATTAGGTTGGGGTTGGGGGGGTTGAGATTGTTGAGGGAATTGTTGAGGAATTGGTTGAGGGAAACCAGTCATTGGTCTAGTTAGAGGTGATTGTTGTGGTTGTTGTGATTGTTGTTGATGCATGACAGCGGCTCTTCTCTGTGAGACTTGATCATGAATAGCTTTCATCCACACTTGTTCAAATGGAGCGAGGTATTCTCTGTAAACGTTTGCTAAAGCTTGGGAGGAGTTGTTAGAGATACGTGGATTAGAGTCTGAGAATTGATTAGACATTGGTAAACCGATGATTGCACCAACTAGTGGCCACTTTGATTGACGATGAACTTCCAAGCTGCCACCAGATTGGATGACAGTCATGTAGAGTTTGTGTAAATCAATACCTTTACCATCAACTTCAGGTAGTTTTTCAATAGGAGTGCCACGCTTCTTCATGAGATCGATAAGGGCTTTGAGAAAATTTTCGGGTTGAAGTTGAGGGAGCATGGAGAGGTTTGGGCGGGGTTGAGTGGGAGGTTGGTGAGTGGGTGTAGGTTGTTGTGGAGGTTGTTGTGGAGGTTGTTGCTGCTGTGGAGGATTTGAAGTACCAACCAAACCAAGACCAAGGATGTTTGAGTGATGATCGCCGGAAAAGTTATTTGAGAGACTGGGAAATTGGTGTTGATTAGCCCAGTTGTTATCGTAGTTGGTTGTAACTTGTGGCTGAGATTGAGAGTGTAACATATTGGTTGATTGTTTAGTCGATTGATTACTCCTAAGCTGTTGAATAAACAAAGCTTGTAAATTTTTAGCTTCATCATAAGACTTTCTAGCGTTATCTCGGTCTTGTGGGGATAAATTTGAATTTCTCAATTGTAAATCGATGGTTTCTATTTTCTGTTGGAGGTTCTTAGCGGCAGCTATTTGGGAGGGGACTAGGTGCGGATGTTGTGGTGGTTGCTGAGGGTGTTGCTGGGGTTGTTGAGGTTGTTGTTGTTGTGGCTGTTGCTGTGGTTGCTGTCTAACTTGCTGGCCACCACCGGCACCCTGTCCACCGCCCCGTTGAATATGCTCAAGTTGAGAATTTCTAATAAGCCTCTGTAATCTTTGAAGGTTATCGTTATTTAATTTATTTAATTTTGCAGCGTCGATTAGGAAGTGGAGGTTGTTTGATTGAAATGCTTGTTCAAGGGAAGGTGATTGGTTAAGGTCCTGAGGATGATTTTGTGTTTGTTGAGGTTGTCCTTGGGGCTGCTGCTGCTGCTGCATTCTACTCATTTGAGTTGCAATCATCGCCTATAAGGAAATCCACTAATCAGAGCAATTAAATTAATATAACAAATAACCCACCTGCTGCCTCTGTTGTGGATTTAATTGATTAAATTGCTGCTGTTGTTGTTGTTGAAGCAATCTACCAATTTCATTATTATTCATTGATGAATGTACTTGATAAAGGTATCTTAATTGATTGTCATTTTATTTTTATTTTTATTTTATTTTAAGTAAATCTATTGTTTATTGATATTTATATACATGTTATTTTCTATTTTACATTTTAACATCTTACAGACGTGTCGTGTCAATTCTCTTTCTTCAAAATCATTGACGATACCGTTAAACTAGTCAGCAATGACAATAAACCGCCATCGCCATAACCTTGGTTCGTAAACAGACCAAGTCTGTCTGGAATTAACAATAGCAACGGCTCAAGTGAAAGCGCATCAATTAAGGTGTACCCACCACTGCCACAATTCGTGTTTGGATAGCAGTCAGGTGTTTCAATTGCAGGTTTTACATCCATTATGAATGAACTGAACAGACGTCTGCCAACTGCCGAAGTCAAGCCTAAATTTGAAGCGCAATCAGAGACGAGTAGATCATCAAAGAGTGCAGCGCAGTTAGGATTGAACAGTACCACGAATATCAAAATAAACACGAATCTCAAGATAAAGAGGAAATTCGATTATGCACATAAGAATTAATTTAAGAAGATGGGCAGTATAGCCGATCACTATGCAGCCAAACCTAAGGTTTCCCCCAAGAAGCCAGGTCAGCCGAGAGCATAGACCAAGGGCAAGGCAAGTCCATCGAAGTCTGAACAATCTAGGCAAACGACACAGCCTACTTAACCCACCTCATCTGCTCAAGACGAGGGTTTTACGCAGAAGGAAGCTAAAGCTAGATCATCTGTAGCAGAACCAAGCCAACCTAACAAGAGAATCAAGGGGACTGTACCTTTAAATGAAAAGGAGCGTAGAGATGATATCAAGCGTAGATTAGAGGTGTCGAGACAGAAGAGACGGTTAAGTATGACAGCTAACACTAGAGGAAGACCACTTGGTAGGATTATCGGAGGCGGGAAACCACCAACTCGAGTCGCAACTGCTAGCAAGGCCGCTTGGATGATCAAGAGTGTAGGCAAGAAGATATTCGGTGGAGGTAGTAGTAGTACAACTAATGCAAAGGAATTGAGTAGCTCTGGAGGCGGCGAAGAAGGTATAGTAAAGACGAGAATTGTGAAAAAACATAAGAAGGTGCAGTAAGCACCGCCAACGCCAAGGCCATTTTCGTTTGCCGGTGCTAGAGGAAAGGGCGATAGGAATGATAACAGTAGAAGCACTGTAAACAATGCAAACACAGCAAACACTACAAACCCATCAAAACCTACAAGCTCCGCAAACCAAGCAGTAGAGGCACAGTAGAGGCACAGTAGAGGCACAGCAGAGGGCTGCAGGAAGGGTGAAGATGGCAAAGCTGAAGGACACCAATGAGGGAGGGAAGGGAATGCCAGCAAAGAGAGGAGTTAGGGGTAGTAATGTAAATAAGAGACCTTCGCAGGCAGAACAAGTTTCCAAGGCTAGGATGTCTCATTCACCAGTGAAGCGCAGAGGTACAGTATAAATGGAATGACACAAGTAAATATGTATTGTAATATACAAGGAAGAAGACTTCGAATAAACTTTAAAGTAAAAAATTGGGAATTGATATCAAGTCAAATTTCTTTTCAATACTCGTGTTGAAGCAGGTTATTCCATCGTAGTGAGCTTTCGCCTTCTCTATTCCCTCTTTTGAAAGAGCCGAGACCATCTGCCACACGTCAGACATTGCAATTGAATTACGTAACTTACTTGACGCGTGTTGAGGGAGTTGGGACGCAAATCCATAAGCATTATAGCTTCGTCTTGGACATATATTTTACTGATGCCAAGGGTGTGGCATCCTCCTTGCGTTGTTTGGGATTGACGAGAAATCCCCAATCGTTTTTTATGGCAGTTTCTGTCTTCTCCTTGTATTTTTTAATGCGTTTTTGGTCCTTTTGCTGATCTTAGCTACATCTTCGGCGTAAAACAGCTTCTTCTTCTCCTTTTCACGCTCCCTGTTCATCATAGCGACCATTTCTTCGAATTGAGCATTTGAAGCCATTCGTTATAGTGAGCCTAGACAACAAATTGGCTTTCCTGCACAATTAACCTCTATTATCTAAGTACTTGTGGCTGCACCTAGTCGCCATCCGAGCCGTTTCTCCACGTTAGCCTCATTTCTTCCCAGGAGTCGAACAAAGGCGTAAACCGGTGTAAAACTGTGTAATATCTACATAATGCATTCATACCTGTTTACATTCTTGATCAAAATTTTCGGGAAATTTTCTAGAATATGAACATTTCGTTAAAAATTTTCTCCTCGCTCAATTGGAAACAAAAGCTCATTTAGGCTTCTTTCCTCGGTCGAATTTATTTTTCACCCGCCCCGAAACCCATCTTAGGGTTTTGATGAATTAAACTTACGTTTGAAGTCAAACCACACGTCAAACCACAAATTTCATCACGAATGGAGAAGATTAAAGAGGTTTTTATCGGTTCATTTACAAATAATATAACACTGACACCCACACAGAAACTCAACAACCTCCGCATTGAAGCTGATTCCAACCTTGAAAGGGCTGAAGTTTCTGAGGAACGTGTAAAGAAGCTTGAACAGGATTCCCTTCAAAGGGAACAAGAAGTTCAATCCCTTCAACACAAACTCAGTCTCGCTGAATCTGACAACGATTCCCTCGAATCTCGTCTCAATGACTTGAAAGGTTTCAGAGACGAGGAAGACGCTCACCGCACAAACGCTGAAGCTTTACATCGCAAAATAGCCCTCTTAGAAGACGAACTCGACAACTCTGAAAAGAATTTGAAAGACGTCACTGAAAAACTCCGTCAAGTTGACGTCAAAGCTGAGCACTTTGAACGCCAAGTACAGCGCGTTGAACAAGAACGTGATGCCTGGGAGAAAAAGTATGAAGACTCTCAAGAAAAGTTGGGTTCGATGAAACGTGAATTAGACGAAGTTATCGCTCAAATGAACTCCCTCTAAACTCAACTCTATATCATCTCTTTATCGCACAAATCATATCCTATGCTTGATTTTTTTATTTCTTACTTCTTATTTACAATTCCATTCATCATTTCGTTTACCTTTCCCTCTCCAAATCTCCCAACTTGTCTTGCTGTTGCGCTGAGCATTGTTATTGCTTTTCCAACACTCTCTATTCCATCTGCTATAATACTATCACCATCTTCCTTCTCTATGCCCTTTGTGCCTGCATGTCTCACAAGGAATTCCTTCACCCTATCTATCTCATTGATCATCTCCAACCCCATACTACGCAGCTGCACCAGTGGGTTCTCCCCACTTACTTGGAACAACGCATTTAACTTATCTGTCATCATAAGCATGGTTAGATTTACTACATAGCGATCCCTCGTATACCTCTCCAATATCGTCTTGCTTCCTATATCTCCCCCTAATCTTTGGCCCTCTGCTAGTACTGACGTGAGTGATTGCACATCTCCCATCCCTAAATTCAACCCTTGTCCTGCAAGTGGGTGACAGCTGTGAGCCGCGTCTCCTACCAATACTGCTCTATTCCCATCATATCCATCAGTATGATTTAGTTTCAGTGGGAATGATGCCTGCGATCCATCCACTACTGATGTCACTAACGGTGGAAACCCTTCATGATCACTTGGTGGTATCCCATCAGCTACTCCGTTACTAATCTGTCGCGAGGTAGTCATATCAATTCCTTGTGCACTCTCAAGCTGCTTCACTAGCAGTAAAAAGCTATCATAGTCGAGATTTACGTTATTGTAAAGTGTTGCAAGTATATCCTCTCTAAATCTGAACGCAGCATTGATAAGTAACCCAAGCACTCTTATGTCAGCCTGTTTGAACTTGTTCGCAAGCTCAGGTGTTGTTGACCACACCATTGACGCTGCTGAGCCCGGTAACGGCAGATAAGCGATCGGTCCTGTTGGCAAAAATCTTTGAAACGCTGTTTGTGATGAATGTGATGCGTTATGAGATGGTTGTGTTTCTAATGTCGAAACAAATCCTGCTGCGTTGTATGACCATCCCACTGCTTCGATTTCGGAGAATTTCCGTACAGGTGAGTTGAACCCGTCTGCACCAATTATGAGCCGTGTACGTAGGCTATCTCCGTTTTCTAAATTAACCCTGGGCCACTCATTATCACGATCTATATATCTAATCTTTGCCGAGTCGAGTATGTCAATAGACGTCGACCTGTCAATATGATCGAGGAATGATTTTTGCAGATTTGTATTTTCCATCATATACGAAAGCGTGCTGCTGTCCTTTGCGAGTGCTCCGTAGTCTTCGTCGTCGAGCTGCCTGCCAAATGTGATCCTGGCATCAGTCCTGCCATCCCAGACCTGCATATTGTTGACTGGAGAAACACGGCATGTATTAAGAGTGTTTAAACCACCTGTGCCTGCATCTTCTTCAGCTGTCACAACCTCCACTTGTCAAACTCAACTCACGCTGGAAATACACGTAATTTGAAGCACTAATCGACGAACACCTATTCGAATACGCTGGGAGTTCATTTCCATTCCAATTTCTCACGCCATCCAGCGAATTCGCTTCGATTAATCCAATTTTGAGTGCTTTGAGATCGGCACACGATCCCAGTGACGAAGCCAACGCCAATCCAACAGGCCCACCGCCAACAATCAGGACATCATAAGACTGTGTCACTTGCCGAGGTACCTTATTAAAAAGATTAAATGCCTGTTTTGATGTCATCATGAACGTTGACTCCAAACCTCCACCATGGCAGTAATTGCAATCGGATTGCGCGCTGCACCGCAAGTTATCCTAATTACCCGCTATGCTATTCCTATTCTACTCAATGCCGTCGTCTTATTTGGTCTCGCTAGAGTGTATATCTCCCCCCCAGATCCACAGCCATCTCGAAAGAGATACAGACGTGTGTGGTTATTCGTAATTACGCAATCTGTACTATTTACCTACTTTGCTGATTTACTCGCGTCTTTTTTACACTTTTTTATCTTCAAATCTGTTTATCGCAATCCAGTCATATACGAGCACTGGCTGGCACTCGTCGTGCATTGCATCGGTGCTTCTGCAGCATATGCTTTTGGTTCCCTTGCCATTGCCTACGCGGTCCAGAAAAATAAAAATATCTGCTCTTATGTCCAATCTTTCTACATTATATCGGTAATCCTCGAATTGAGTCTTCTTATTACGTGGATTGACTATCTTAAATTTTATTCTGGTGGGTTTATTTTGGTTTCTAGTACTCAATCTCACTCGAACAGATACAAAGCATCTCCCTGCAATTGAATATGCACACATCGCGATTCAGTCATTACGCGTCATATGTCTTGCTATTGGAAGTGCGTTGCTTGTTTGCGGTGTTACTACTACCTTCGTCAGGTATGACAGCCATGGCAATGCTGCGCCTGGTGAGAACTCTCCCTTGCTCAACGACTCTATACAGTACGGTGCAACCAGCGAAGACACAACTGACACAACTGACACAACTAGTGACGATGCTACGCACGACGCAAAGGACAAATCTCCTTCTGCTGGCATGGGTGCGTTCATGAAACGTATGTATCAACTCGGTGATGTCCTTTGGCCACGTGGTTCACCACGCCTACAAACACTTGCCTTCTTCTGTCTTGTTTTGTTACTTGTCGGTAGATATATCAACCTTCTCGTTCCAATTCAGTTGGGTAAAGTTGTCGAAGACCTCTCTTCCTACTCCTCGCCTTGGAAGCACTTGATCATTTATATCGCTCTTCGATTCTTCCAAGGCTCCGGAGGCCTTTTGCAAGTAGTCCAGAACATCGCTTGGATTCCTATAACACAGTGGACAGACCGGAACATGTCTACTCACTGTTTCACCCATCTCCTCAATCTTAGCCTGGCGTTCCACACGCACAGGAAGACTGGTGAGATTCTGCGTATTCTCGACAAGGGGCAAGCTTTGAACAACTTCTTCCAAATGCTTCTATTTTCTATCTTCCCCACTGTCGCCGATATCTGTGTCGCTCTCGGCTACTTCTATTTCAAATTCGGTGGGGTGTTGTCGCTCATCATCGCGTCTGTCATGTTCCTCTATGGGTATATATCGGTGCTTATCACACGCTGGCGCACAGCGCAGCGTCGCGACTACGTCGCTAAGGACAATATAACAAGGGCGATCTACACGGACGCATTGCTCAACTACGACACGATCAAGTATTTCACAGCCGAAGCGCATGAAATCAGTCGCTACACTACCGCTTTCAAGAATTTCCAAGCGGTGGAGAAAAAGGTGATAGCGTCGCTGTATCTTTTGAACATGGCACAGAACGTTATTATTGTCTCGGGTATAGCAGCGGGTACGGCAGTGGTTTGTGCGGGAGTAGCGCAAGGACGATCTGATGCAGCAGAGCTGGTAGTGTTCTTAACTTTCCTCCAGCAGCTATACGTGCCTTTGAACAATCTCGGGATGATTTACCGTTCGATTAATACGAGTCTAGTTGATAGTGAGAAGCTAATGCAACTGCTTAGCGAGCACACTGATATCAACGACAAGCCTAACGCAGTAGCTTTCCACACTCGTCAACCACTCATCAAATTCGATAGGGTTGGGTTCAGGTATGATAGTTCTGGATACGCACTCGATAACTTGTCGTTCCAAGTGCCTACAGGTCAGACAGTTGCTCTGGTGGGTGAAAGTGGTAGTGGTAAAAGCACTATTCTGCGTCTTCTCTACCGCTTCTACGACGTCGACGCGGGTTCTATCACTATCAACGGGGTAGACTTGCGCGATATGCAGCAACATGCTCTACGTCGTCTCATAGCCATCATACCGCAAGATTGCGCCCTCTTCAACGAATCCATCGCGTTTAATTTGAAATACGGCAAGGATGATGCTACAGATGCGGAGATAGTATCGGCTGCGAAAGCGGCGCAGATGCACGAGCGCATTCTCTCCTTCCAAGACGGGTACGATACGCGCGTCGGTGAGCGAGGCGTAAGATTGAGTGGTGGGGAGAAACAGCGCATTGCAATAGCACGCGCTCTCCTCAAAGACGCTCCTATACTGTGTCTAGATGAGGCTACGTCGGCTCTCGATACTAATACAGAGCGCGAGATCCAGGCTGCATTCAACGAGCTCAGTCAGGGTCGCACTACTATCATTATCGCTCATAGACTCTCCACTATCGCTAAATCCGACCTCATCCTCTTTGTGCAGGACGGTCGCGTCGTTGAGAGCGGTTCGCACTCTCACCTTCTCAGCCTTAACGGCATGTTTGCGACCATGTGGAAGAAACAGGTAGAGGGTGAGACTGAAGATGGCGATCATCTTCCTAAGCTCCTCAAGGACTGCAGCTACTGCAGTGGCGTTAAGTGCTCGAGATGCTCCAATTGCGGCAAGTGCACAAGCAAGAAATGCACCTGCGCTAAGAAAGGTAACGAGGACGACCATTCATCGTCAGATTCAGACTCAGGATCAGATGAAGATGATGATGAAGAAAAAGACACACGCAAACCCACCCAGCGTCACCAGGAAAAGGTCGATGAAAAGGGGAAGCAGCCTGCTGACAGAGACTACAGGGAATACAAACGCACCTACAATGGCAAAGTCACTGGCAAGATTGATGGTGAGTTTGATTATAGTTTGAAATTCTCAACCAAGCTTATAGACGTTTTAGAATCTCCTAAGGTCGACAAGAAGCAACCAGACGTCAAGCAATCTCGTGAGGACCATGGCAAGGTTGACGGGAACTTCAAAAAGGTTGATCAGCCACACGTCGATGTGAAGCAACCAGACGTCAAGCAATCTCGTGAGGACCATGGCAAGGTTGACGGGAACTTCAAAAAGGTTGATCAGCCACACGTCGATGTGAAGCAACCAGACGTCAAGCAATCTCGTGAGGACCATGGCAAGGTTGACGGGAACTTCAAAAAGGTTGATCAGCCACACGTCGATGTGAAGCAACCAGACGTCAAGCAATCTCGTGAGGACCATGGCAAGGTTGACGGGAACTTCAAAAAGGTTGATCAGCCACACGTCGATGTGAAGCAACCAGACGTCAAGCAATCTCGTGAGGACCATGGCAAGGTTGACGGGAACTTCAAAAAGGTTGATCAGCCACACGTCGATGTGAAGCAACCAGACGTCAAGCAATCTCGTGAGGACCATGGCAAGGTTGACGGGAACTTCAAAAAGGTTGATCAGCCACACGTCGATGTGAAGCAACCAGACGTCAAGCAATCTCGTGAGGACCATGGCAAGGTTGACGGGAACTTCAAAAAGGTTGATCAGCCACACGTCGATGTGAAGCAACCAGACGTCAAGCAATCTCGTGAGGACCATGGCAAGGTTGACGGGAACTTCAAAAAGGTTGATCAGCCACACGTCGATGTGAAGCAACCAGACGTCAAGCAATCTCGTGAGGACCATGGCAAGGTTGACGGGAACTTCAAAAAGGTTGATCAGCCACACGTCGATGTGAAGCAACCAGACGTCAAGCAATCTCGTGAGGACCATGGCAAGGTTGACGGGAACTTCAAAAAGGTTGATCAGCCACACGTCGATGTGAAGCAACCAGACGTCAAGCAATCTCGTGAGGACCATGGCAAGGTTGACGGGAACTTCAAAAAGGTTGATCAGCCACACGTCGATGTGAAGCAACCAGACGTCAAGCAACCTCGTGAGGACCATGGCAAGATTGACTGGTCTTTCAAGAGGGTTCATCTGCCAAACCTGGACGTGAAACAACCACTTTTCGAGCTTCCTGGTCATTATGGTAGTATATTCAACGGTGTTTCTGTCTTCGGTGGTAATTTTTTGATCGAGTCACTTGACTGGTTTAGCTTTGTTTCTGATAAGCCTGACGCCATCACGTTCGATACTCGCCAACCTGTCATTAAATTCGATAATGTCGTTTTCAGCTACGACTCTGACAATGCACTGCAAGGCTTATCGTTTGAAGTTCCCACTGGCAAGACCATTACGCTCTTCAGTGACGGTGACAGTGGAAATAATACGATATTAGACTTGCTTTATCGCTTCCACGATGTCGGCAAAGGTTCTATCAGCATTAATGGTATTGATGTCAGAGACATGAAGCTTCAGTCACTCAGAAAACACATTGCCATCATCTCGCAAGTTTGCCCATTATTCAACGAGACCTTCACCTTCAACTTAAAGTATGGTAACGAAAGCGCTACTAAGGAAGAGATCGTAAGCGCCTGTAAAGTTGCTAAGTTACACGACAAGGTACTTTCATTCCAATACGGCTACGATACCAGAATCGGTGATGAAGGTATCACATTGAACGGTGGTGATAAATTGCGTATAGCCATAGCTAGAGCATTGTTGAAAGATGCACCAATCTTCTGCTTCGATGTGACTAGCTTGGAGTTGGATGATGACACCGAGAAGGAGATCCAAGCTTTGTTTGCGGAGTTGAGCGTAACTAGAACGACAATTATTATCTCGAACAGGATCTCAACAATCACCAAGTCAGATGTGATATTCTACATTCAAGGCGGTAAGGTTATTGAGAGCGGTACAGAATCTCAGCTTCTCAATTCGAATGGTTTATTCGCTAGGATGTGGACAAAGCTGGTAGGTGGTACAGAAGACAAGTCGAAGGTCGACAAGAAGCAACCAAACGTCAAGCAATCGCGTGAGGACCATGGCAAGGTTGACGTGAACTACAAAAAGGTTGATCAGCCACACGTCGATGTGAAGCAACCAGACGTCAAGCAATCGCGTGAGGACCATGGCAAGGTTGACGTGAACTACAAAAAGGTTGATCAGCCACACGTCGATGTGAAGCAACCAGACGTCAAGCAATCGCGTGAGGACCATGGCAAGGTTGACGTGAACTACAAAAAGGTTGATCAGCCACACGTCGATGTGAAGCAACCAGACGTCAAGCAATCGCGTGAGGACCATGGCAAGGTTGACGTGAACTACAAAAAGGTTGATCAGCCACACGTCGATGTGAAGCAACCAGACGTCAAGCAATCGCGTGAGGACCATGGCAAGGTTGACGTGAACTACAAAAAGGTTGATCAGCCACACGTCGATGTGAAGCAACCAGACGTCAAGCAATCGCGTGAGGACCATGGCAAGGTTGACGTGAACTACAAAAAGGTTGATCAGCCACACGTCGATGTGAAGCAACCAGACGTCAAGCAATCTCGTGAGGACCATGGCAAGATTGACTGGTCTTTCAAGAGGGTTCATCTGCCAAACCTGGACGTGAAACAACCACTTTTCGAGCTTCCTGGTCATTATGGTAGTATATTCAACGGTGTTTCTGTCTTCGGTGGTAATTTTTTGATCGAGTCACTTGACTGGTTTAGCTTTGTTTCTGATAAGCCTGACGCCATCACGTTCGATACTCGCCAACCTGTCATTAAATTCGATAATGTCGTTTTCAGCTACGACTCTGACAATGCACTGCAAGGCTTATCGTTTGAAGTTCCCACTGGCAAGACCATTACGCTCTTCAGTGACGGTGACAGTGGAAATAATACGATATTAGACTTGCTTTATCGCTTCCACGATGTCGGCAAAGGTTCTATCAGCATTAATGGTATTGATGTCAGAGACATGAAGCTTCAGTCACTCAGAAAACACATTGCCATCATCTCGCAAGTTTGCCCATTATTCAACGAGACCTTCACCTTCAACTTAAAGTATGGTAACGAAAGCGCTACTAAGGAAGAGATCGTAAGCGCCTGTAAAGTTGCTAAGTTACACGACAAGGTACTTTCATTCCAATACGGCTACGATACCAGAATCGGTGATGAAGGTATCACATTGAACGGTGGTGATAAATTGCGTATAGCCATAGCTAGAGCATTGTTGAAAGATGCACCAATCTTCTGCTTCGATGTGACTAGCTTGGAGTTGGATGATGACACCGAGAAGGAGATCCAAGCTTTGTTTGCGGAGTTGAGCGTAACTAGAACGACAATTATTATCTCGAACAGGATCTCAACAATCACCAAGTCAGATGTGATATTCTACATTCAAGGCGGTAAGGTTATTGAGAGCGGTACAGAATCTCAGCTTCTCAATTCGAATGGTTTATTCGCTAGGATGTGGACAAAGCTGGTAGGTGGTACAGAAGACAAGTCGAAGGTCGACAAGAAGCAACCAAACGTCAAGCAATCGCGTGAGGACCATGGCAAGGTTGACGTGAACTACAAAAAGGTTGACCAGCCACACGTCGATGTGAAGCAACCAGACGTCAAGCAACCTCGTGAGGACCATGGCAAGGTTGATGGTGAGTTTAATTATAGTTTGAAATTCTCAACCAAGCTTATAGACGTTTTAGAATCTCCTAAGGTCGACAAGAAGCAACCAGACGTCAAGCAATCTCGTGAGGACCATGGCAAGGTTGACGGGAACTTCAAAAAGGTTGATCAGCCACACGTCGATGTGAAGCAACCAGACGTCAAGCAATCTCGTGAGGACCATGGCAAGGTTGACGGGAACTTCAAAAAGGTTGATCAGCCACACGTCGATGTGAAGCAACCAGACGTCAAGCAATCTCGTGAGGACCATGGCAAGGTTGACGGGAACTTCAAAAAGGTTGATCAGCCACACGTCGATGTGAAGCAACCAGACGTCAAGCAATCTCGTGAGGACCATGGCAAGGTTGACGGGAACTTCAAAAAGGTTGATCAGCCACACGTCGATGTGAAGCAACCAGACGTCAAGCAATCTCGTGAGGACCATGGCAAGGTTGACGGGAACTTCAAAAAGGTTGATCAGCCACACGTCGATGTGAAGCAACCAGACGTCAAGCAATCTCGTGAGGACCATGGCAAGGTTGACGGGAACTTCAAAAAGGTTGATCAGCCACACGTCGATGTGAAGCAACCAGACGTCAAGCAATCTCGTGAGGACCATGGCAAGGTTGACGGGAACTTCAAAAAGGTTGATCAGCCACACGTCGATGTGAAGCAACCAGACGTCAAGCAATCTCGTGAGGACCATGGCAAGGTTGACGGGAACTTCAAAAAGGTTGATCAGCCACACGTCGATGTGAAGCAACCAGACGTCAAGCAATCTCGTGAGGACCATGGCAAGGTTGACGGGAACTTCAAAAAGGTTGATCAGCCACACGTCGATGTGAAGCAACCAGACGTCAAGCAATCTCGTGAGGACCATGGCAAGGTTGACGGGAACTTCAAAAAGGTTGATCAGCCACACGTCGATGTGAAGCAACCAGACGTCAAGCAATCTCGTGAGGACCATGGCAAGGTTGACGGGAACTTCAAAAAGGTTGATCAGCCACACGTCGATGTGAAGCAACCAGACGTCAAGCAACCTCGTGAGGACCATGGCAAGATTGACTGGTCTTTCAAGAGGGTTCATCTGCCAAACCTGGACGTGAAACAACCACTTTTCGAGCTTCCTGGTCATTATGGTAGTATATTCAACGGTGTTTCTGTCTTCGGTGGTAATTTTTTGATCGAGTCACTTGACTGGTTTAGCTTTGTTTCTGATAAGCCTGACGCCATCACGTTCGATACTCGCCAACCTGTCATTAAATTCGATAATGTCGTTTTCAGCTACGACTCTGACAATGCACTGCAAGGCTTATCGTTTGAAGTTCCCACTGGCAAGACCATTACGCTCTTCAGTGACGGTGACAGTGGAAATAATACGATATTAGACTTGCTTTATCGCTTCCACGATGTCGGCAAAGGTTCTATCAGCATTAATGGTATTGATGTCAGAGACATGAAGCTTCAGTCACTCAGAAAACACATTGCCATCATCTCGCAAGTTTGCCCATTATTCAACGAGACCTTCACCTTCAACTTAAAGTATGGTAACGAAAGCGCTACTAAGGAAGAGATCGTAAGCGCCTGTAAAGTTGCTAAGTTACACGACAAGGTACTTTCATTCCAATACGGCTACGATACCAGAATCGGTGATGAAGGTATCACATTGAACGGTGGTGATAAATTGCGTATAGCCATAGCTAGAGCATTGTTGAAAGATGCACCAATCTTCTGCTTCGATGTGACTAGCTTGGAGTTGGATGATGACACCGAGAAGGAGATCCAAGCTTTGTTTGCGGAGTTGAGCGTAACTAGAACGACAATTATTATCTCGAACAGGATCTCAACAATCACCAAGTCAGATGTGATATTCTACATTCAAGGCGGTAAGGTTATTGAGAGCGGTACAGAATCTCAGCTTCTCAATTCGAATGGTTTATTCGCTACGATGTGGACAAAACTGGTACGTAGCCAGGAGAAGCATATTGGCGGCAAAGACCCAAAGGGTATGTTCTTTTGCTTTTTCTGGATTGACTAAAAGCTTATTCATTTCTCAGGACCTTCCCAAGATCATCAGGTCGTAAATGATCAAGTTGGAACGCGTTGGAGTACTTACAGTGATGTTTTACTTGGGTCATCAACGTCTGATGTGCAAGCCAACCTGAAGCATTTAGGTGATGACGTCGAAGGGCCGTTGGAAGATGAAGAAGACAGCGATTCAGACAGGACCATTAAGAATGCTTCAGATGATTCTTCTTCTGACTCGTCGAATTCTCCTCAACGCCGTCCTAAGTTGCTAGAGGGTGAAGGGACGAACCTTCAAGATGAGGATAACGACAGCGATTCTGACAAAACCGTCAAAAATATTTCAGATGATTCTTCCTCATCTGACGAGTCAGATGGTCCTCCAGGTGATCCAAAGCAGGCAGAGACCGAAGCCCGTAACGGTGAGTTTGTTAGCATTACAGATTGTGTCAGAAGGCTTATAGACTTGTCAGAATCTTCTAAACAGGACCAGTCACAGCCAGATGTCGAGTACCCTTCCAAGTTTGATAGTATTTTCAACGGTGTTTCTGTCTTCGGTGGTAATTTTTTGATCGAGTCACTTGACTGGTTTAGCTTTGTTTCTGATAAGCCTGACGCCATCACGTTCGATACTCGCCAACCTGTCATTAAATTCGATAATGTCGTTTTCAGCTACGACTCTGACAATGCACTGCAAGGCTTATCGTTTGAAGTTCCCACTGGCAAGACCATTACGCTCTTCAGTGACGGTGACAGTGGAAATAATACGATATTAGACTTGCTTTATCGCTTCCACGATGTCGGCAAAGGTTCTATCAGCATTAATGGTATTGATGTCAGAGACATGAAGCTTCAGTCACTCAGAAAACACATTGCCATCATCTCGCAAGTTTGCCCATTATTCAACGAGACCTTCACCTTCAACTTAAAGTATGGTAACGAAAGCGCTACTAAGGAAGAGATCGTAAGCGCCTGTAAAGTTGCTAAGTTACACGACAAGGTACTTTCATTCCAATACGGCTACGATACCAGAATCGGTGATGAAGGTATCACATTGAACGGTGGTGATAAATTGCGTATAGCCATAGCTAGAGCATTGTTGAAAGATGCACCAATCTTCTGCTTCGATGTGACTAGCTTGGAGTTGGATGATGACACCGAGAAGGAGATCCAAGCTTTGTTTGCGGAGTTGAGCGTAACTAGAACGACAATTATTATCTCGAACAGGATCTCAACAATCACCAAGTCAGATGTGATATTCTACATTCAAGGCGGTAAGGTTATTGAGAGCGGTACAGAATCTCAGCTTCTCAATTCGAATGGTTTATTCGCTACGATGTGGACAAAACTGGTACGTAGCCAGGAAAAGCAGTCGCAAGAACAGCAACATGGCGAAGAAGCTCCACATGCCCTATCGACCCATACAACATCACGACAACTTCAAGATCGACACAATGTCAGAAAGTTTAAACTTAGAAACAAGCGCAAAAACCAAGGAAGAGCTTGGTAGATTTATGTATTTCCATTAACTTTTCAAACATTCACTCAATTATTTTGTTTTTCAATAACGAACCGGCCAATTTTTGGTTGTGGATTAGAGGGAGAGTGTGTGGAAGTGATGGAAATTCACTACGGATTGCGCGCTGTTTTTTGAAGAGGTAGCGTTGGATTGCTTTATCCAGGAGCGTATAAACGCCTTCACGCAAAGTCTCTCGCAGTGGAATTTTGAATGGCTACAGCGGCGCCCCCACTTTGAAAATGTTCTGCAACGAAACCTCAAAAAATTTGTAAACTCAAATGCATATTTAAAGCGATAAAATGTAAAATCTGCGTTCATTTACACTTTTTATATTGTTGTCTTGCATTCCTGTGACTCTGATTTGAAAGTATAGCAATTAAAGATAAAGACTAAAATGAGTCATAGAAATACCCTTGGCGTGGAAAAAGTTTGTGGAGAGGATGTTTGATTTCTGCATTCAACGAAGAAGAGAGGAGGATCGACTATGACTGCATCAGCAACTACAAAGTGAGCAACAACAAAACAGAGACAACTTCTGGTATGACCTTGCTGAGTGTGTCTCACACAGAGTGCTAGCAAGTGTATACACTTATGTTCGAACTCGATAGCATCCTTATGCAAACAAAGGAGTCTGGACGAAACACAAGAATGATAGGTTAGTAGAGTGAGTGAGACATTTGAAGCACTGCAATCAACCAACCCGTGCTCAGTGCACCAGTCCAGCTTGAAGCTTGTTGGATAGTGATATCGCACATTTCCAAGCGTTCAGCCATCGAGTGCTACCACCGGATGTTTGCTTGTCCAGAAAGACGCAAGGGGCTTTGGTCGGAGGATGAAAAGATTGTGTACCTCTCAATCGTAATATTAATTACAAATGAGCGAAATTACATGAGTAGAGATGGTCACAATCCTTTTTGTTTGTAGGAGAAGATGAGCAGGAAGCTTTTAGCACTTCAGTGTGCATCAAATGGAAAGATGAGCTACGAGGACGTGGCCTCTCTCGTGAAGTGCTTGTATGTTCTGTGCAAGGTTACGTATCGCTCCCAATCGAACATTATTCCAAGTGCGATCATTCTGCTGCGTAACGTCGTCAATTATACTCTCACGTGCCGTCCAAAGATAAACGTCCGACGGGGTATGATGATGATGAAATCTGATTATATTTTAAGACGATACATGTTATAAACTGCATCCATCAATACTTCTTAAAGCATGAGGAGTCAAAGGGGGTTCCGAATTTACTGGAAGCGTTTCTTGACTAGCGTCGTAATATGTAAATTGGTGGTGGTTCTCAATTACACTGAACCACCGAAGTATCTTTGGTACGTATTTAATTGCGGTTTGAAGAACTCGTAAAGGACTTGAATAGAGTGTGCGTTTCTGAGTATTGGACCTAAGTCGAACTGAATATTGATCTTGGTAATCTTTCTTCTTAACGTGATTCTGGTCATTGTATGTTTTCTGCATATGAAGATTCTATGGGAGATGTTGTCCTCTGTGCCACATGCACGGCATTTAGGTGAATCAATCAGTCGGAACCGGTAACGGTAAGACTTAGTCGTAGGGTAATGCCCTGACCGTAGCTGGGTGGCTAGGCATCTCGTTGCTCTGGGCAGTTCATTGAATATCTTGGCCGTTTTTGCTGCTGTCAGCCTTCCAGCTGATGTTTTTGCGGCGTTGGACTTAATGTCTGATATTTTGGAGGCTTCTACTTTTAGGGATGCTGTATAGCGCTCGCGCATTCTGCGTCGCATTGCAGAGTATGAAGTTTTGAGTGTTAGTTGACTCCACATAGTCCGGTGGGTCGGCCGTGTCCAACCCTCGTTAGCGGTTCTGTCCGCTAGTTCGTTACCGTAAATATCCACATGTCGTGGGATCCAGTTTAATTGGACAACAAAGTCTTTTTCCCTTCGTTCGTTTAATCCAATCAATTTTGTCAAGGACTGGTTTTATCAAATATTGGCCTGTCTTTGTTGATTGCAATTGAACGATCTCCGAAAGTACCGCCTGACTGTCGCTATTGATAAAGACTACTGGCGGTATCAACTCTTCCTCGATCCATTCTAAAGCGAGATATACTCCCAATAACTCTGCTTCGTAAATTGTGAATTTGCTGTCAGGACCCCGTTTGTATGATGAGCTAAACCAGTCTCGTCTGTGTGGAAGCTTAGCTGCATAGCCTGGCGCAACTTGCCCCTAAGCTAGAGATCCATCTGTGTAGATGTACCATGACATATTGTACTGATTGCATAATTCCATATTCTCTGCTTTTGCTCGTTCCTTATTCTCTGCTTGTGAAAAGCTTAGTGTTGCAGGTACCCACGGCACGAAAGGATAGGGTAATATGGTTTCCATCTCCTTCAGGTTATTTTCAAACTTTCATTTTTTTGGATTGTATCGAGATTGGAAAACAAACATGCTATATAGCAAAATGTACTCCATAACCATCGCTTTCGTGGCTTAGGGGTTATAGCGCCGTGTTAACATCGGCTCATCTACTGAGATGATTAGTTGCTCCGCGGAGGTCGCCGGTTCGATTCCGGCCGAAAGCTTTTACTAACTAAAGTTTTGAATATTTTTGCTTCCACAAAGTTAAAAACGATATGGTTTTGTAATGTCAAACGCGTCACTATCAATCATGCCAAAAAGACCACGTACTCTCTTTCAAAAAAGCAAGCATAAATATAAAATTACAACTTTCTGAAGTTACCACCTCTATTACCAGCTTTGTTCATATGATTTATTCAGCGCAATTTCAAGATCGGCTATTCTCCTTTCTTGCTTACTGCTGTTCTCCCTCTGGATCTCAAACGTCTCAAAAATTGATTCTTTCAGTTCATCGCGAAGAGATTGCAGCTTGTCCTGAAATCCGCTGTTAGATTCGTCTATACCAGCAAAGTGCTCCTTAAGCTTCGCTTGCACCATCTCAAGAAGATTTTTGTGTAAATCTTCTTGCTGCTGGCTTGCGTCTCGTCTGATTTCGATAATCTTTTCCTTCACCTTTTCCTCTAGACTGCTAATCTTCTTCATCAGCCTGTCCTCCAGCCCTTTTTCTTGCTGCTGAGGAGTCGAGCTTCTGCTTTCTGCGGCGCTCTGCAGCTTCGTCCCGCCTATGGCCACTTTTGTATTCTCGATTGAGGTTATTCGCTCACCCATCTTTTCCAAAAGATTTTCGATGGCACTTATTTTGAAATTTTCGGTGTCACCTTGCGCTTGATTGGAATCTGTGCGTCTTAATGTCGACTGACGCTGATCCACTTGTGTCAATTGAAGATTCATGGCGTCCATTCGAGCTGTCATATTATCAAATGCTCTAGATGCATTCTTAATACTTAGCTCATTTCGGCTCAACCTCTCTATGCATGTTTGTGTTTGGCTACGCCACTCTTGAGTAGCACTGGTTCGAATGTTCAAGGTTCGGGAAACATGTTCGAGTTCCTTGAGTTTACTGGTGTGCAACTCCTGTTGTTTGACTATATCTATGTTACTTCTGATGTTTTTCTCTAGATGATTTCTGAAATCTGAAAGACTCTTAAGGACCTCTTGACTGATTGGAGATGTGTTTTTGGAGTGTGAGAGAAAGTGCACTTCGTCATTATCATTTTGTTTCGAATTGGCGTCAGCAATCTGCTCATCATTCTCATTACTTCTGCGAGTACGTTTGCGTTGATCCTGCTTAGAGGGGGTACTTCTTGTACTGCTCAACCAGGTTGACTGTAGGCCGTTGTTTTGTGCATTAATCGCACTTTGTTGATTTAATTGATTTTGATGGCGCATTTTATGAGTATTATGTAAGAAATCCACACCATTAGAGTCGATGTTGTCCAAATAACAGGTAGAAATCGTAGTATTGATGGAATTCGATACCAGTTGAGTAATGTGCTGAGCGCTCACTTTCTCCATCGTTGATTGGATCATGGGTGTGATAAGGTCGTTTACTATGGTGAAGATTTCTGTAAATAAGGTGTTGCCTTGCGAATGATAATTCTCGCCGTGTTTATGAACGTATCGCTTAATGATAGGCAAAACCGAATCCTGTACGATTGGAATAATGCCCTTCTCTATCGTAATTTGTAGACGTTTTATGTTGGCGGCGTTCAATTCATCGGGGATCTTTTGAGTTGTCATACTGAGGATGTCCCTTCTGTGATTGCTCGTGTCATTTGCCCGCGATGGTGTCTGTACTTGTGGTTGTTGTTGTGGTTGCTGTTGTAGCTGTTGCTCTTCTTTCTGCTGTAATTGCAACTGTGGCGCTGTTTGGCTTTCATCGATAACATTTCTCGAAGTACTGGCTTGACCATTGCTTTGGACATTGAATATGCCCTAAACAATGTCAAAAAAATAATATACTAGGCTAATAGTCCCTGTACTCACATTTCGCGGCACTGAGATTAGTCCCATCCTCTCTGCCTTCTGAAGCAATACATCGACGTCTTGAAAACTTAAGCATTGGCAATCATCGCGAATATACATGCAAGAGCAGAGAAAGGCTCCGTGAGATGGCGACAGACGAGGATTGCGGTTGAACGTTATGCAATTGAAATGACTGCACTGACGGCAACTGAACAGACTCTTATGATGTAGAAGTAATCTTTGCATTAGCTCGTGCTTTCTCGCTTTAATTGTTTCCTCGGGAATTTCATTTATCATTTCTTAAAGATCACGGCCTTAATCAAGAGTCATTCATCATGATCAAACGTAGCGTAGTCTGAGTTGGACTACTAATTAAGCAAATATCATCACTCTAAAAATAACTTTTTTTGACTATAAATAACATAGGCTGCCTTGAATATATCATATTGAATGTTTTCCGATAATTTTGTGGACTGCAAAAATATTAGCCCCACGCGGGGCTCGAACCCGCAGCCTTGTGATTAAGAGTCACACGCTCTACCGATTGAGCTAGCAAGGCTTGATAACCGTAGCGAGAAACACTCAATTAAAAACAAAAATATTTGAATACATATTGCTCAATTTTTCAGCCAGTTATGGTTCCTCTTTCAAATTTAATATGGACATTTTTTAAAGCTACAAAATTAACGCTGCCTTACTATCAAATGCATATTACATACTTCTTAATTTATTATACATTTACGGAAGTTTCCGGTAGACTTCCGACGAAAAGGAAGCAGTCAGCAAAGAGCGTGAGCTGATTCCAAAAAATTGAGGAAACTGTCCTATATAATCACAAATCCAGCCTAATTCTAAGTTATTTCCGTCACTCCTCATGCCCCAAAGTAAAGATCTGAAGCCTACTCATTTTATAAGCGTACCGTTGGTAGGTAGTTGGTGTATCGGTGCACCTATGTAACAAGACAATAGACCAGATTGACATCCATTCGGCCACGTCTCAACCAGATACGAGCGAAACTTATCCAAGTCGAGATAGACGGCATCAAAGAGGAGGACTTCGTAAAATCGACTAAGCTTCACTTCACATTAGGACTGTTGCGCTTATCTGAAACCACCATACCCACGGCGATCGCTCTGCTTGATTCGCTCAAACCCGACATCATCAAATTGCTATCACATAACAACCTTATACATATGAACAATCTGGGATGCTTCCCTAATGAGGATAATGCACGCGTCCTCTACTATAGGCCGTCTGAGAACGGTATTCTAGACATAGTGTCGGGGATTGTGAGGAAGAAATTCAGAGAAGAGGGTTTGCTTAGCGATACAGGTCCGCCTACTGTGGGTCAACTAATCGAAATACAAAACATCTAATCTATCTCCTAGTTGCATTGCACAATTCTAAAAACATCAAGCACGCAGAAGAAGCTGAAGAGGCCAAATTTTTCCTACAGCAGCGTGCAAAAGTCTCTCGGAGATTTGAACATTGGTGGTCCATACCCTTTTGAGCGCATCGAAATTGCCGCAGTCGGAACCACAACACCAGAAGGCTATTACGCAGTCGAAGGTGGGATAGCGCTGTGAAATATGCGCATCAAATGAATGGATTTCTACATGAACATTTCTTCATCACTATTTTCGCTCAATGGCTCCACATGCAATCCCTCACCTTTGCTAATCTCCAACTCAACAGCTCGCCTAATATATGGCGAAGGGTCAATACGGAGCCGCATGCCATATTTATCCATAAGCGTGAGCACCTGCAGCAAATGGCTCTCCACTTGAGTCTTGTTGGACAGATCGAAGAGCAGCATGTGGAGCTGTTTCGACCACGGGCAATATCTAAGACTGTTGATTATCACCTGCTCGGCTAACTTATAATCGCTTGCAACATGCCACTCGAACTGAAAGTATAGCTTCCAAAGCGCGACAGAGTGTTGCGCATCCTGCGATAGAGTGCCCATCGTAAACACCCTCCTCACCCGATTCAACAAGGATGTATTGCTAACTCTTTTCTTATCCATAATGTTCATCACGGCTTGTATGTAAACCACCGAATGTGCATTCTCGGCTACTTCTTCGTCAAACAGCTGCCTATATCCATCGAGCTTAGTTTTGGCAGTGTAGTATGAGTAGCTAAAGAAGCTATTGTAGGGATATTCACTGATAGCGCCTCTAAGTATACGCTTTGTGGTGCTGGTCGATGGTAACTGCACAGATCTATCTGCGTCATGCAACTTATCTAGCGCATCAACAAAACGCACCAGCTCCGACGTTAGCACTTCATGAGCGTATGATGGCTTGTCAAGATTTTTCAGTGACTCCTCATAAATAGACACGGCTTTATCTACCGAGCTGCTGACGAGAAGTTCAAACAGAGCACGACAGCTGACAGCCTCAAAAGCTGCTGATGAATCTTGCGAAGACCACAATTTGCGAGCTTTAAGTATGTTAATTGAACTCTGCTCTCTAGTGACTTAAGACGTTTTAGTCAGGATAATCAATACCAGCCTATCACCTAACTCACCATCATCGACGACTCCAACGGTAATACCATCACACAAGACATTCAGAGCAGCATTCCGATTACCTTGCACCAACTCCATATGCGACCAACTGTAGCATAATTTGACTTTGTTGGTCTCATCATCACCTGTACCTTTCAGACATTCGCTGTAGACCTTTCTAGCAGCTTCTATTTTACCCTTGCCGTATTGGATCCTTGCGTATATATCGTATAGATCCTTTTTGTCAGGGTTTGCCGCGAGCAAGTGTTTGAGTTTGCGATTGTCGTCTTTACATAGCAACATCTGTAAATGTGTTATGCCCAAATCATCTATAATCCTCTGCAAATTTCCCAAATGCTCGTTGTGAATTATAGTTGGACAATCACTGAATGGGAAGAGTGTGTTGACGTATTGCGGTTGATTGAAGGATAAGTGACTGCTATCTTCAAAAAACTCGTTGTAATTGGATGATCCCTGCAACAGGGAGTCATGGAGAAGAGGGTGATTCGTGTTCAACCCGCTAAGAGCAACACCTATACCAAAGACATTTAGCAAGCTATCAGCTAGCCTCATTCTGCTGCTATAGCCACGCAGGCTGAACAGGTATGGTAACAAGTCAACTTCCCATATAACATTCCTAAACGGATCATCACTATTATTCTGCTCGCCAGCGACAGGGAAAGCGTTGTCAATGTCATCGTTGAATTTCTCGTACTCATGCCACTCCTCCAGCTGAAAGTTGGGGTGTGTGGGGTACTCTAATTGATAAACGTCCTCAGCATCAGTCAGCTCGTCCCCAACACGCCTATACTTGTAGTCATACCACAGCTCACCAAGCTTGTTCAGATGGACGCCTCTAAAATTAAGTTCAAACATTGCTTGGTAAAGGGAGTATACACGTTCAGTGTATCCTGCGCTTAAGAGGAATGAGCAGTATCTGAAGAAGAGTTGAAGAAGGTTGTCTTCAGCTGCAATATCAGCCAGATGAGTCAGATCAGACATATCAATCAAATCACGAAAAGCGTCCATATAAATCCTGGACACAATCTCGAATGAGCACAAGCTGTCGTACTCATTAGGGAATAATTCCCCAGGTGCTATGATTGAAGCGTAACATTGAGCGTAGTCTATGTAAGCTTTCCATATTCTATACACACCAGGCTTGCCTTTGTGGTTGTGAATGGCAATTCTGAAATCTTTTCCCAAACCCTCGCGCGATCCCTTCGCACCGCATTGCAGCTTCTTTACGACTAGATCCAAATTGCGCGGCTGATGCGAGAGCGCCTTGTCGAGCACCTGGTATTGTAAATCCAAGACGACGTTCTGAGCAGTTTTTCTATTGAATTCGTTATGCTGATGGGTGACAATATCGCTTTGAAAATCAACATAATCCAACCAACCCTGCACGTCTTGTGGGGAGGCTTTGAGATATCTATCCCATTCGATTCGTTTGTTGAGTGTGTCGTTGTACCTTGTGTTGTTGGAGTCTTCTTCGCTACTGTCATCGCTGTAAGAAGGGTGTACATCCTCATCGATAGCGCCAGGTTTTGAGGGTCCTTTCACTCCCCTATAGTCCACATCGAGCGTGAGGAAGCCACGTTGATGCGCCTCTCGTTCTTTAGCCTTCCTGCGATCACTTACAACAGGTACGAAATCATCTCCTGTTTTTAGGTCACTATTCGAACACCTTATCCGCCTCACGTCGCTTTCGGGTGCAGGCATACGTGTCTTGGATGATCGCAGCGATCGCAATGCATTGGAAGACGGGAGGATAATGTTGCGCGTCGTGTAATGCACCTTTTCACTAATGCGCATATCTCTAGGCAAGCCTAGTACTCTTCCGCCTGTTGGATTGCATTGTTAGCACATACGCACCATGACAGAAACTCCGTAAGTAAACTCACGCCCAGAGCGTCGATATCGCGGAATGGTAGATATTTCAGGACCCTCAAGAAGAAGAAGGTTATTCTCAGGAAATGAGCTTGTGTAGAAGAAACGCTTATCGTCGTGAGTGAGCTTTGGTGGGCGGAAGTCGGTGGTATTTGAAATCGATCGATTATTGTCGTAATCCTCATTGTATCGCTCTAGTTCCCTCCTCTTACGCCGCTGCCTGTCTCTATCTCTATCGCTGTGCCTTCTCTGCCTGCGTGTATCTTCATCTCTATTTCTCGCTTTTCTTTCGTCTTTGTGTCTACTGCTGCCACTGCCGCCGCCGCCGCCACTACCGTTACCACCAAATATATCGGGGAATGAATCGAACATGACCGTCAACCGATAAGCTTATCATTTACAGCTACAATACAACAAAGGAATTAAATAATTAGACGTGTTATTTGCTCAGACGCGCTAACACGCTGAAACGCTACCACTACCACGTCTTGTAGTTGCTAGCGCTGCCATTGCCGTTGCGTTGCGACGGTGGTCTGTAGATTGGATTCGTAGGAGGTTTAGCGTATGTCGGTCTAGGCAGGGGAAGTCCGTGGTGAGCTTGCGGAGCTTGTGGTACTTGCGGAGATTGGGGTGCTTGCGGCACTTGTGGTACTTGCGATACTTGCGGAACTTGAGTATTTAGTATGGGTTGTAAACCGCCGAATCGAGGCTGATGTATAGGTTGATGTATTGGCTCTTGTGCCGTCTGGGCTGTCATATCCAGCGGTGGATGCTGCGTATGTGCCAAACCAGCAATTGAGTATGGTCTATATGGTTGGGGTTGCTGGTAGCTAATTGACGGCCTTGTCATAGTCGCAATACTCGAGTTCCTAGATTGGAGTTGTGGTGTCAATGGTCGTGGCGGTGATGGTGCTGCTGGTGCTGCTCCTGGTGGGCCAGAATTTGGCAATACCAGCGACGAAATAGAGGAAGTTTGTGGTGCTGATACGTGTCTGACAGGTGGATTGCCCAGTGGCCTTTCTGGCAGATTATTAAGACTGTGAATATTACTGGGACTGTTATTGTAATGTGGCGTATCTTGCACATCGCTCTGGGATCTATACTTTTGCACACTTGGTGACCTTTCTGGTTGATTGAGAGGCACCTCATTTTGTATATGCGTATTGCTCTGTGATGGCATTTCTTCTTGTGCTTGCTGTATTGCTGGTGGGATATCTTGTGTTGCACTAGGTGGTCTTTCAATTACTGCTGGCGACTGCAAATTGCTCGATGGATTTGGTGTAACTGCATTAGTACCACCACCAACACCACCATTACCATTCTCAGTCACACTAACCGCATTACCATTTTCAATCAGCCTCCTCTTTTCACACTCATTCGCACTCTCCTCTTCCTCTTCTCTATTCCTCTTGAGGGAGTTGTGAGCGGTTGTTTCTTGAGCAGGATCTTGGGCTTTGGGAGTATGTTGAGTGTTGGTTGTATCTTGGGTGTTTGTAGTATCTCGAGTTTCATCACCAGTATTGTTTGGATTCACCCTTTGATCACCCTCATCATCTGACGACAGTGTCAAATCAATGACCTGTTGTTTTGGCAGCTTTTGACGTGACTGGGGAGTGATTGAAGGTGGTTGATTAGACGAACCAGCGGCAACAGCACTATGATCAGTCTCCTCATCGTCACTGGAAAGGTTAAGAATTTCAGCAGATTTTTCCTTTTTAACCTTTTTACCCGATTTGATTAAACTTTCTGACTTGTCAGTTGACTGCTTGTCGTGAGAAGGATGAGATGTGTTATTAGCCAATTTTGCAGCCATCCATGCATCTGAACCGTATTTGCCATCTTCAGTGTGCCATTCAGCGTCTGGTTCAACAATCACACTACCGTAATCTTGTGGGATGGCTTGGAGTATGTCGTACGTGTATTGATCGACTGCAAGATCGTTGAACTTGATTGGTTTCTTTGATGAAGGGTCGGTGAAAGTTGGTAGTTGCTCGTTGATAGAAAAGAAGGACATGGCATCGAAACATTGAAGAGATTGAGAGGAGGTTGGACGTATTGGAGTGTTCATTCTGAAGAAACCGATGGGACATTTCAAGCTGAGTGTGGAAGCACCTGCGACGACATCGTCGTTATCTTGCATTGAACGGTCTGTGAAAGGGCTAAGAGATGGATGGAGTGGGGTGACAATCTTCACTTACACTTATCTAAGACATCAGAAGAAGGAATTTGAGGTTGCTGTTTAACCAAGTTAACCAAATGATCACAACTGTATTGCTCGACGAGGTTAATGACAATGTAATGTTTCTTGTTAGTATCTCTATAAACGACTTCAAGGGTGTTTGAAGCGTTTGGAGAGATGCGAAGGGATTTATCAGAATCAGCGTTGGGAGGAGCAGCGGTGCCAGGTTGATTCCTAACGCCTCTTGTGTTTGATTTGAGAGGGTTTCCGTTAATTTTAAGGTCGCAAAGAACGGGAAAATCGATTGGGAGGGGTTGATCGAAGAGGGGGGGCTTGTAAAAGTCAGAGGAAGCCGCGTAGATTCTGAGTTGATGACGGACGGGGTTTGAGGGGACAATTCTAGATTGATAAAGTTGCTGGGAGTAGTCGGGTGGGATTTTAAACTCCAATAGGGCACTTCTAAGGGATCTGTCTCTGGCTTCGTTGAGGACAGCGACGTGGGAAATTTGCTTGATAATGGATTGAAAGGGGTTTGTTTTCCAGGTGAGGGAAGGGTGTGTAGGTGGTTTTGGTTGTGGTTGTACTGGTGGCTGTGGTTGCTGTGGCTGCTGTGGTTGCTGCCTCGGACCAGAACCATTAGCAGGCCGTGAATAAGTACCAGTGTTGAAAATCTGGGTTATAATATCCCTTGTAATATCCCAATTGGCTTTATTATTAAACTTATAATGATCAACAGTGTCCTCAATTCTATCAATGAAATCAGATTTATTGCCAGATAATCTGAGTTTTAATTTTAAATGCGAATTTAAACTTCTAATAATATTCTTTAGTGCATCCACTGTCAACATTCCCAGCTTTTTGTTTACTTCTTCATCTTCAACCACCATTGTAATTGAATAAGAATCAGAATGATTTCACTTGAGAATGATAAAATCCATTTAATTCATTCTACCGGCAACTCAACCACTGTGTCTACACTGGGTGCCACAATCACCTCCTTTAAGGACTCCCACGGTAACCAACTCTTATTCTTATCAAACAACTGTCAACCCAATAAAGCAATTAGAGGCGGTATACCAATTGCATTCCCTATTTTCGGTAAACCTCCCTCTGATGGCCCTTACAAACAACTCCCTCAACACGGTTACGCCCGTATTTCGAATTGGTCTTACGATGGCCCGATTATGGACTCCGACGACGGTGTCTCTATCAAACTATCACTCAACTCCCCTCCTCAACTCCCTCCAGCTACTCTCACTTACACTGTCACTCTCTCCGCCCATCAACTTACCTCCACCCTTCACGTCCACAACCCTTCATCCACTCAGTCTCTCCCCTTCCAGGCTCTACTCCACACTTATCACCTCGCTAACCCACACAACGTCGGCGTTATTGGATTGAATGGTGCCACTTACCTCGATAAGACAGCTTCAAGTAACAAAGTGATCGAATCACGCGATATTGTTCATGCAAACAATCTCACTGACTCGGTATACCTCTCTACTAACGACCACTTGCAACTCTCAAATGGCGTTAAAATTCGCAAACACAACTTTCCAGACACTGTTGTGTGGAATCCGAGTGTAAGTTGGTGATGGAGTGCCTTTCATCCGTCTTTCTCTAACACACTCCTCAGGAAAGCGCAAAGAATATGTCAGATATGCACAAAAACGGTTGGAATCAATTCGTTTGCGTTGAACCTGGACACGTCAATGACTTTTACTCCCTTGAACCTAATTGTCAGTGGATAGGCATGCAAGTCATTACTATACCACAGTGACTATAGCACTCGAGTAAAACGATTACATTACAATATGCTATGCGTGGATATTTAAACTAAAATCTACAAATACATTTTACGAATTACGTCTAGCCGGTGAAGGAGCTCTACTGTTAGCTCTTGAGGTAGATCTTGAAGTGGCGCGCTTGAACCAATTCCTTGATCTAGATCTAGCTTCACGTGAGAGTGACTGTGACGACGGTGAGGGTTCTATACATGGCGATGTGATGGATGAAGGGCGTGACCTAGAGCGTGTGTTTCTATTAAGGGAGCTATCTCTCGACTGCTGTCTGCTAACATAATTATCAGCGAATCGCGCATGAGTTCTACCCTGTCTGCCATCTTCATTAGCCAGTCTCGCCTTCTCTTCATCTTCCTGCTCCTGTGCGATAGGTAGCAGAGCATTACTGAGATCAGATGTGCCTGGCATACCACCATGCATGCCACCACTTGACATTGACATTACCCCACCCGATCCCGTTTGCGGTACCGCTGTTTCTTTAGCAATAAGTGATTTCAACGGCTGACCACATGCACACTCGTACATTACATCTTGACTGGGTGCAACCTCTTCATAAGCGGGCAGTGTGATTGAGTCGAGACTCACGCAGCAGCTACTGGCGAAGATAGGTCTACGTATGCTTATAACTTTCATCTGCGATTTATCATCTTTATCGCGCACGTGCTCTCCGTCTAGGTTGGACGGTGTGACGAATATCTGTACTAGCAACTGATGTGAGATGATGATGGATGTTTTGTTGGTCTTGACTGTGCTCGGACGGGCGTGGTCGTCGTCAGGTAGTCTGCCTATCCACTCATGCTTCCATCCATCCTCGTCCACTTCCTCATATGGACTGAGCAGTGGCTCGTGTTTCCTCGAACCAAGTTGAAAGAATTTCACAGCTACAGCCGGTGCTTTCTCCTCCTTACTCCTATCTCTATTGCGCAGAGTGATATATTGCAGCAACGACACATTGATGCAATGCAACGTGGCGCCCTTTGGTGGTTCGTGGAGGTGGAGGCGTAAATGAACAGGTCCGCCGATAGTAAGATGGGTAGATTCTACATCTATAGACATAGCTCCAAGACCGTCGATTATCTGATCGTGGTGCCAGCTCAATCCACTCGGTTCTCCTTCAGGATTGGGGTTAATAACGAGTAGCACCTCCCTCGAATCCGTTAAATCAAATCCGAGCGGTCCTGCACTTATCGCTTTGGCTCGTACATAGTAGTACACCCGCCCATAGGCGCACCTCTCATACCCCGGCGTTGAAGATGGAATAATAATTGAAAACTCAAATTTATGCGTGCCTTTCTCCAAATAAGTCTTATCTATCTCGACAAACTTGTCGAGAACTGGAAAAGTCTCGTATGCACCACTCGGGAAGTTAATACATTGAGATCCAATTAACCTAACTTCTATCCCGTGTATTTTACGTGATGATGGCAGGTAAAGCTCAACCACACCTCGGATAACATCCTCATCTTCAGAAGAAGGTGGTGGTAGACTAACACTGCCATCATCGTCCTCATTGTTATCGTTGAGTCGTGGATGTAGAAACACTATAGACGAGTGTAGACTGAGATTGATAGCGGGCAGTGACAGCAACTTTGAAACACCGAGGCTGGAATGTGAAGGTGACTGCTGTAATCTATTTAACGGCGATGATGAATGGCTGGGCTCTGCGTGATCAAGCGTGATCACTTCGTTTGAATCCATTGTGATCACGGTATTGACAGACTCAATAACTAGATGATGACTCGATGACTCAATCAAATAAAAAAGTTAAATCGTTAATTACAATTATAATTAGTTTTTAACACCTGTAATTGACTCAATTGCTTTATTTGAGAAGTACCTCACATCTGCATCTGGATCCTCTTTCAGCTTGTCCACCGCAGGTAAAATTTCTCTTTGGATTACTTCTTGTCCTTCTGGTGTTTGTTGTAGGTTTCCACTCAATACTTCTAAACATTTTGCAACGTTGAATCGAACATTTGGAATTGCATCTGTCGTTAATGATAATATTATCGTTAATATTTGCTCTTGAATCACTTTTGGTTGTAATGCAGGTGACATTGTCGTTATCGCAAATACTGTCGTCATTCTGTATAAGTAGTTGGAGTGATTTCCCATTGCTACCACCTTTGGTACTACCGTTTGTGATGCCCAATCTGATCCAAACACTTCTGTCAAATTTTTTAAGTTTATAGTCGCTGCATCTCTTATTGAGAATACTGTATCACCCAACCATGACATGCAAAGGTTACCCAATTGCTCATTGAAGAATTCTACGCCTAATTGTTTTGCTAAAAGTGGTATATACTCAATTATTGCTTGTCTAACTCTCCATTGTTTATCTTCTGCTAACTCAAAGATTGCGGGTAGTAATGCCTTTGAAAGGTAATCAATACCAATCACATCATTCACCTTATCAAGTCTTGAAATGATGTTTAATCTAACATCTGGGAATTCATCTTTCAAAAGTTGAAGGAAAATTGGTAAAACGTTTTCAACTGTTTCATCTTTACCCAATAATGGTGCTAATCCTGATAATTCATTCGCAACGGCTGCTCTAACATGTTGTGATTGATCACCTGCAATATCTCTCACAACGGGCAATATCTTTGCCAAAACTATTTCTTGATCAACAAATTTAGCGACGCCAGGTATTTGAGAAGCGGACGCAGTTCTAACTTCTGCCTCATTATCCTTTAACAAGTTAACGAAAGCCTGTACCAATTCATCACGAATGATATCTTGATTGACGCATTCAGCCATTTCAACAAACTTCTGGCCAACCATGAATCTAACTCTCCAAGAAGCGTCGTTGCATGCAGCTCGAACACAAGGCAAGAGCTCAGAGTTAACTTGAGATTTGTCTAGCTTCTTCATGATTGTGATCAATGCTTCTACGGTGAGCAATCTAACGCTGTCTTGATCATCAATGGCTAATTTCTTATAAACGTCGATGAATTCAGAGAAAATTTCATTCGGCTCAAGGACGTTTATGAAACCAGCAAGATTCTTAGCAGCGGATCTTCTAACCATTGGAGTATCGTCGTTTGTGAGTTTCTTAAAAAGTCCACGGAGCTCATTGCGCGTACTTTCATTTGCGGTTTGGTAGACTGAAGCGAAGAGAGCGCAAGCAGAGGTACGTGGAGTGAACCAGTCACCATTGGTAAGTCGTTGGAGAAGTGGGAGGTAGTCAGTCTCCACCTGCTCGCTAGACAAATCTGTAGCGATTTTGTTTATGGATTCTGAAGCCTGTTTTTGAGTGTGGGTGAGCTGCTGGCGTATAAACCGCCAGAGTAACCCACCTTATCCCTGACAAGCGTCTCTTCCATACCAGCCAATGACTCCAGCGGTGAGAGCGTTACATGCGCGTATTCCTTTCCACCTACGTACTCAGTGAAAGATCCCAATTCCTCGGCTAAAGCGAGGAGAACCTCATCTTCGTCGTCGAGGGAATCTTGCAAGAAAGGAATGAGCTCATCACGCGTTCTTTCTGGGCCAAGTGCCAAAGCGATTGTTGATATTCTGTGAATAGCATTTAGGCGCAATGTAACGTCGTCAGATCTGTAATTGCTCTAAGCTTTCTAATTGGTTAAAGTGATTATCTACCCACTTCAATTCATCAAGCAGCAATGCCACAGGGAATAATTCTTCATCCATTTTCACTTTCACGTTTAGGGTACGAGATCAACAACACAACACTTATATTTCACAGGTAAACGTCAAAAATTATAAAAATGTTTTATTTTTATTTTTTCTTGCTATTCATTCGTCATTTCATATCTCCCACTTTTCATTCCTTCTGAATGGCTTGTCTACGTTCACCACGCTCTCTTCCACCAACGGATCTGACTTGGACAGTATCTCATCGAGCTCTTTCCGCAGCTTAACCACATCCTTCCTCTTAGATGTCTTGTTGTTCGTGTTAAATATCTGATTGATTGTCGAAGGCACCACCAACTCCCTAAGCCTCTCTCCACTAAATCCTGCCTTGGTTGGTTTCGCTTGATGCATGTTTTTCACTCCCTCTATCTCCGCCTGCAACTCTACGATCCTCCGTAGCGTCTCTGGCTTTGCGTATGTCGCTACCTTCTCGATCAGCGCATCCACCCTATACACGCGCTGCGTTGGGAACACGTAAAATTCACTCCCTCTTATCGCTTTCCCTGATATGGCGCACTTCTCATCTGCAGCAACGACCACTTTTCTATCCTTGAGTTTATCCATATCACCCTTGATGCGTTGTGATGTATGTCCTGTCTCGTCCATCTCCGTCGACAATTGCTCAATTCGCGATGAATACCTATCCAATGCGTTGCATATCTCCTCCTTAAAGTCATCCACTACTTCGAACGAAGGGAAGAATGGAAGTATGTCTTCCAACTGCAGCACATCTGATCCTTCGAGGAACTGCATCGCACTGAGTGATTTAGTTTCGTTAAATAGTATAAACTCTCAAACACACACCTCTTTATATCCCTCCGATCCTGCACTATCACCTTTGCTATCCTGAGCCATAATTTCTTGCGCAAGATTGGATCGTCTGCCGGTTTATCCGCATACACCGTAGCTAAATCTAGATCTCCGCTCTCGATAGCAAGATCTACGCTGCTGTCGAACAGCTCCATTAGCGCATACATCTGTATTGTAGCCCTCTTAAGTCCACGTTTATGAAACAGACGGAGAGCGAAATCCATATCAAATCTAGCTGTCGTCGTTCGTTTGAGATACTCTACTAGCTCTTCTTCCCTTTCTTCGTCTTTGGAGAGTAGTGTAATGTACACGTTGTACGCTATAGGTTCGTCCACGCTGTCATAATCAAGTTTCCATTCCATGTACTTCGTTGCATGCATTCTGCTCTCCTTGGAAAGTTTCTCACATTGTATTAGAGATGGTATCAGCCGCTTCAAATCTAGTCTGGGCTCCCGCTTCCATATCTCGACGGTATGCTGCGTAGCCTCGCGCAGCAGTCTTGGTGCGTACTTGTAGTGAAGCTCGAGATCAGACTTATGTGGACTTGTTTAGTGGTAATGCATGTGCTGATAAATACCCACCTGTCCTGCCAGCACATGCAGTATATCTCGCCATCTGCAATGATACGAGTGTTGTTCGAGTATGACTTTGTAATCGTCGATGCACGTCGCAAACTCAAGCAGCAAATCAAGTCTAGCGTGAAGTTTGAGACTTTTATATACCACATTCTTATCCAAATTCTGCTTATACGTTTTGATAAACACCTTGACATCATCCATCATCATCTCTAATTCCATTCTGGCATTTTCTGCATCCTCGTTGGTATTTTCGCTAATAAGATCGTCGAGCTGATTGAGTTTATCGAGGTATATTTCCAGCAACCACGTAGCGAGCATCATTCGCTGAGTCAATTCAGTTTTCTTACTGCGTTCCAATCTAGCGCTTAGGTAGTATCTGAGAGCGTCGCGTTCGTCGACCTCCACAAACTGCAGCACAACGCTCTCGAATGGTTTAGACGTAGACTGGGCGTAAATCTGAGCCGATTGGATAAACTTGCCTTGAGCAAAGTAAAGATCAGCCTCCTTTCCGAGAATGACATCACGATCGACGGCGCTCTTGCTGCTTCGCAACGCCTTTTCAAAGTCACGTTTACACAGATGGACTTTCCAGATATCGCGGTCTTCATCAGTGATGGTAAGTTCGTAAATGGCGTCGTCAGAGTAAAGCCAGAGTGTGTGGTGGAAATTGTCGCGCGCCATCCCCCTAATACCCTTGGGTATTTGCTCATCCCACACAACGGCCCCGTCGAGAATGCGGTATGCCTTGATCGCGCCATTGTACAGACATAGACAGTGGTATGCGGTGAGAAGCACCCCTCGCACTCCGCCCTCTACCTCTGTGAGCGTCGCACCTGCGCAAACTTTCTCCGCATTACGCGTCTCCGTGTCCAGCCACGCGTTGTAGAGCGATCTGTCGCATAGCCACGACAGAGCGCGCGGGCTGTGCGTGTGTGGGCTGCGATTGGTGGTGTTGTAGTAGAAAGATGCATGCGACTCAAGTGTATGTGTATGCGCACCTGCATCTGCACCGTCTGTGATCTTTATGGAGAAGGGCGACTGTGAGAAAACCGTCTCGAGGCCAACACCACCATCATTGTCTATCTTACCGAATGGTCCTATGAACGTGTACAGTCGCGATCTGGTGACTACTATCGCGAGAGCACTCTTGCGGTCTGGGTAGACATGTGAATTGATTTCGACGATGGGTTCATTGAACGAGAAAAGTTGCTTCAGGTGGCGCTCTTCGCTATTCTTTCTGAAAATATCTGAGGGATTTGGGTTGATCACTGCCTGATACACTGAGCCTTCGGCTGTGCCTGCGAGAACAAGAGCCGAGGAGAGCGACTGCCTCGAGTTGACGAAATGAACACAGCTGGGCGTGAGTTTGGACATCTTGGGGAGCTGCTTCGAGCGTTTGTTGTCTGGTTGGATGTAGTGCACGGTGGTGTCTACCAGGAGCAAGTGCCTGAGTGAAGCGTCTGCGTAGATGCGTGCACTGGGAGAGATAGCCTGTACTTGCACCTGTATGCTGTCTATCACATCCGCCTGCAGCAGATTTATTCGCAGTATCTGCGCCGATTCGAGGAGAATGTATATCAAGTTGTTGATAACGGTGAGATGAACAATGTGCGACGGCGGAGTGAATTGAACCTGCGTAAGCTCAAACATTCCATCTCCAGCTTCTTGCGGGGCTTGGTGCTCTATCTCCAGCAACTGCTGTGCTGTTAGCCAGGGAACACGCTGAGATGACGCACTCGCCTGCACGTTTGGATCTGATTGCCAGCCATTATCATCTACCATCTTCTGGGATTTTACTCCGCTCGCTTCGTTCGGGTGCTGTACGAAATCATCGAGCATGGTGGTGGTGATATTGTAAGAGGTGAAGCCACGGCATACACGCGGCACGCACGAGACACAAGCAGCATACACGACGTACAAACAAGGCACACATACACTATGTGTCTCCATAACATAAAATCGTTAAACATTAATAATCTATGAAAAACAAAGAAATCGCTTATCCTATTAGTTTTGAGACAGTGATTCAGTATACTCTATCTCCTGATCCAGTTGATCCAACTTATTGGGTATTCTGGCATCAATCACGAGTGACTTCACGCCCTGACACAGCGCCGACACGCCCTGGTCTGATATTTGGTTGTGGAACACGAGTCTACCCTGATCGAACACTCTAACTCCGAACTGGAAGAGGCGGTGTCTAAAAACGCGCGGCGGGATACCTGCCTCTTCCAAATCCAACACAATCATATTGGTTTCGGTGGGTACTGATAATTTTAGCCCCAGTTCCATTGTGAGATATTCTGATACTAATTTTGCCTTGTGTTGCGTGAGTGCTATGAGTGGTAGAGCTTGGTCGAGAGCTGCAATCCCTGCAGCAGCCAGCATACCCGGTTGTCTCGCACCACCACCGAACATTTTCCTGTACCATTTGGCCCTATCGATGAAAGGCTTGTCGCCAACAATCATGGATCCTACAGGCGCACCAGTACCTTTCTGTATACATAAGCTCACGCTGTCAAAGTTATCGCAGTAATCAGTCAGGCTAACACCTTCAGCGACGACGGCATCGAACAGCCTGGCGCCGTCTAAGTGCATCTTTGGTTTGTTAGGGTGATTGAGTGCGTATTGCCTAATTCTCTGTGCCTCAGCAAGCGGGAGAATTGTACCAGACAACGTATTTTCGAGAGATATAACTTTTGTAGGTGCAAAGTGGATATTCCCATCTGGTATCATAGAATGAGCTATGTCGTGTACTGTAAGATGACGCCTGTTGCGTGGTATAACAGGAGTACATTGGGCTTGTGAAAGAACGGAGATTGCGCCAGATTCCCAGCAGTAGATGTGAGCCCTATGGTCGCAGAGGATGGAGTGAGGAGGCTGATGGAGATGGGTACGTAGGGATATTTGATTAGCCTGGATCAAACTGCGTTAGATGGCTGGAACTATATGGGAAATCACTCAACTCACCTGCGTGCCAGATACAACCCACATTGCAGCCTCCTTTCCAGCCATTTTAGCCATTTTAGATTCAAGTGCAGCAATAGTCGCATCGCCTTCGTAGATTTCATCGTGGAAAGTAGCGTTTACCATAGCTTCGAGTACTTCAGGGGTGGGCACGGTAACGACATCGCTGCGGAAATCACTGGGAGGTGTTAGCAGATATACAAGGCTATCTCCAGATACCAGACACACCTGGAAGATCTAATTGTAGCCTTTTTCAGAGAGGATAGCGGGATGTGGATATATTCATCGCTGGAGTGCGTTAGGCTCTCGACTGGGATTGGCATTTTAATAAATAAAATTTAGATGATGATTGTTTCGTGCAACGCAGATTGAAATTATCTTGTGATCATTTGAACCTTAATCCGATATCTGCAGATCACTCGCTGCAACACGTAGAGTTAGTAAAACAAGTCAAAGACATAGACCAGTAGTATGAATTATAAGATTTAATATCGCATAGGCAATACCCTATAAGTCTCCGTTTGATTAATTGTTCCTGCATTTCCTGCGTAAAATTTGCATCAAATCGGCTAAATCGATGGGAGTATTTTGAGGCGTGCTTGTAATGAATTGAGTGGGTCTACTTAGACACAATCACTGATCCTCTCTCCGTCTTTTCCCACTGTTTTACTCCAACAACTCACCCGGATCATCCAAACTTCTAAATGCAGACTACTTAATTTGGAAAACACAAACGAATACTCTTGTACTCTAACCATGACCACCGACAGCGATTTTAGCCATAATCTTGGCGATAGAAATTGCTGCTTAATTACTTCCGATTCCGTGCACTTCAATCTTGACTACCAGCTCCTATCAAACACCTCAGCCTTTTGGAACAGCTTGTTTGATCTCCCGCAGCCATCTAACGCCGGCGATGACAGAGTTATCCACATGCATGAGTCTTCCACAGAGCTCAAACCGTTATTGCAGATAATCACAAATCAATCCATCGAATTTAAAAACATCGATCATATCAAATCCGTCATTTGTTTGGCCCTCAAATTCGACAGCGATAAGGTGCTCAACATGATGCGCGCTGATCTGCTCTACCATGCTTTCAGTGAGCCATTGAGAGCATACGCTGTGGCTGCCAAATTGGGCTGGGAAGGTGATGCTGTAAAGATATCTACCCTGACGCTCGAATCTGACATAGAGAATCTCAGCGATGCAGACGCTGACTCTATGCCGACACACTACTACAGACGTCTTGCCAAGTTACACCAGACTAGGCAAATGGAGGCTAGAAGAATTCTCATCGCACAAGATCTTATGATGTCAAATAAGCACGAGGGCGATTACGATAGAGCTGCACATGTCGAATGGTAGGTGGCTTTTAGAATATCCAGCTAACCCACTCACTATAAAATCAGGTGGAACTCCATTCAGCAGGCCATGTTGAGACGTTTGGATGGCTCACACGGCTCAAAATCGTTCAAGTTCCCCACAACGATCCCGTACCTCGACTGCGTCAAGAACAAAGCATATGTCGACGGAGATAAGGACGTCCTCAGCTTTCGCGGTCTCTATCTCATCTACCGCACAATGGAAGTCGTGGAGACTGCGTGGAAGGAGAAATTACCCAAGTCCATTTAAATTCAAACTGTTTTTGCAATCTCATGTATCTCTAGTGTATTAATAAGTTAATTGCGCAACTACTTCTTTTTCTTTGGTGCTGGCTTGTGTTCTGGTTTAGCCTGTATCTTCTTTTCAGACTCTGTGGCCTCTCTGTCGATATTCTCGAGGTCCTGGTCGCCGAATCCACCCAAAGCCATCTGTCTCTCGAGCCTGCCCTTCTCTGGCCCGTCATCTGCCTCGAGACCGAATCTCTTTGCGAATCTGGTCAATCTGCCAGACTCGTCTTCCGTGGTAAGCTTCACGCTCTGTGGATTCCAGACGGCGTGGTTGCCTGTGTCCTTGGATGACTTTATCACAGATCTCGGCGACGTTGTGAACATTGTTATCGTCGAGCCATCAGATAGCTGTACCTTTTGATGAAAGTGTGGGAGAGTAGGCGGAGGTAGTACTGTAGCTTTCGTAGTAGCTAGCCTTGCGATTGTGCGCTGCATGGTGGTGGCGATAAAGATAGAAATGGAGATTCGAAGCAGGGAATCAAGTGAGATTTCAGAGTGACTGGCGGTGTATTCTTATGCTGACGGTGAGCTGGCAGTGTTTATCTCGCTGTCATCTCATCAACCTCCATTTCCATCTGTAATCGTGAACGGTGCACTGTATCAAGCAATAAAGCACTTAAGGATATTAACATATATTTATATTACATAAAGATATATACACCACCACGCCGCCTCACCGCCTGCACAAAAAATTCATCTAATCCATCCCCTCAAATCTTACGACCGTGACTTCCCTGTGTACGACCACGAGCAATTTTAAAAATGCCACAAGAAGTGAGCAGACAGGACACGTTGTACACATAGCATTCTAATGCGCACGCCACAGATCAAGGACATCAAGAACTTCCTCGAAATCGCTCGTCGTAAGGATGCTCGCTCAGCCCGCATCAAGAAGACCAACACCGTTGGTAGCAAGGGCGAGGCAGCTCAACTTACCAAGTTCAAGATCCGTTGCTCACGCTACCTCTACACTCTTGTCGTCTCTGACGGCGAGAAGGCGGAGAAGCTCAAGCAATCTCTTCCACCAAGTGAGTAATATTCGGCTTGTCAGGGCGATGTGCTTTTCGCACTATTCAACTCTAAGAGGGGACTATGTGTTGCTCTTTACGACAATCACACCGGCTCTGAATAGCGAACGAAGATCGCTCCTTGACGAGTCTGGAATAACCCTCACTGACCACTCATTGCAGCCCTCAACGTCGAGGAAATTGGTAAGGTTTCAAAGAAGTAAATTTGTTAGTTTGCTCCCTTGATTTCATGTCCCTTGTTGGTATTTATTCTTGGTTGTGATGATTGTCCATGTGAAAATTCGTATAATTACAGCCATTTCAATTGATCTTCTTGAGTTTCTGAGTGTTTCTGAATATCTTGTCATCCAGTTTACCAGCCTTGTTGTGGATGTCGTCCAGCCTATCGTTCTGTGTACCGACTTCTTCGCCGGAGGCTATAGCGAATCGCTTGAGATTGCCGACTGCCTGATTGATATCGTTGAGATTTCCATCAATTTCGTCTTCCAATTCGTCATCACTCGCTGTCGCTTCGAACTGGTACTTGGATCTCTCCACCGTCGACGACTGCTCAGGCTTTTTCCTTCCAAAACCACCGAATCCTCTTTTCTGAGGATCCAATACGTTATCAACCCTCTTCCTCGATGTAAAGACATCCACGTGTGCTTTTTCCCTCTCCTCACGCTCAGTTTCGTGTCTATCTTCAATGCGCTGCTGAACTTCGCGTCTCCTCCTATCCGTCTGCCACGACATGACAGGCCTGAAGATGGACCGGTTTAGTTTCTTGAGTTCTTTCCCCTTATCTTCTGCGCGATTAGCGTGTGCTTTAGCGAGATCGAGATGACGTTCAGTGTCAGCGACACGCTCTGATTGGTCACCCAATTTCATCATGGTATTAGCAGCATTATCCTCAGTCTCGCGTGCGATACGTAGTGCATTCCTCGTACTCTCTCTACTATCCTCCTTAACGAATCGAGTCTGCTGCTTAATAGCCTCGACGTCCTCATCTTCATTGGCTGTGTGTTGCTCCTCATCGAGACCTTGGGCAGAGTTGGTGATTCCACCGCCCTGATTGCGCTGGGCTGTGCGTGGCGGTGCGCCGCTGAACAACTCACTACGCGCTGCGTCGTCAGCTGCATCGCCACCCTTATCTACTGTTGTGTACGAGGGCGGGCGCATACTTGCAGCGTCTTCCTCATCAGCTAGTGCTTGCGCTTGCGCTTGCGTGCCGTCACCACCAAGCAGCTCGTTCCGCATACGGTCTTCACCTGCTTGAGGGATATAATTCTGTGCAGATCGTTTGAACCATGACATTTCTCGGGGCTCTTGGTCGTTGACTCTCAACTCGAGTGCACAATGGACAAGATGGAAGCACTCAAGCGCCAAATAAGGCAATTACAATTAGATTCTCTATCGGAACTGAGGTTCATCGGTGTGTTTGATGCTCCCGTCGGTGATATCTCACTGCTGACGACCGTGACACACAAGACATCGGCCTCAATCTCGCGGACAGCATGTTCCGCGGTGTTTATAGATCCAAGCAATCTCATCCGGACGATCTAAAAGCCGTGGTGGAGAGAGCTCACAGGGTTGGTGTCGATGGCGCCATGCTCACCGGCGGTAATCTAGAAGAAAGCGTCGAAGCACATAACCTCGCTACTCAGTTCAGTGACTTCGCGTACTTCTCCACAGCTGGTCTACATCCTACCCGCTCAAATGAATTCGTCGACGGATACATCACCCAACTCGAGCAGTTCATCTCCGATAACCGATACAGAGGCGCCGTCAGAGGGAAGAGGGTAGTGGCTGTGGGTGAGTGTGGTCTTGATTGGGACAGGTTGCATTTCGCGTGTGTTGTTTTTTTTTGCTCCCTCTTTCATGTCTCACTTACACGCGCTCGCACTCGCTGTAGCGATAAACCTAAACAGATAGAGGCTTTCACCGCACAGCTACAACTAGCTCAGAGACTGGACATGCCTATGTTCCTTCACTCCCGTAACTGCCACAGTGATTTGGTCAAGGTCATCAAATCTACCTGTGGAATCAAGCTACCGCGAGGCTGTGTGCATTCTTTTACTGGGACTGTTCAAGAGATGCACGAATTAGTGAGTAGCTGAGATATACACGCGCAACTCGCTACTCACACTTCAACCCACCTCAGGTCAAAATGGGTCTATATATTGGTCTGAATGGATGTAGTCTTAAGACAGAAGAAAGTATCCAAGTAGCCAAGGCTGTTCCACTCGACAGACTCATGATCGAAACTGATGCTCCGTGGTGCGGTGTCTCATCTACTCACGCTATGCACGAGCACATTGATACTCTTGACGACTTCTTCAAGCTTAACCCTCCGCTCAAGAAGGAAAAGTGGAGTGAGGAAGCACCCGTTAAGGGTCGCAACGAACCTGGTTATCTCCCCCTCATCGCTCATCTCATAGCTTGTGCGAAGGAATTACCTTTGCATATAGTCGCTAATGCCGCACACATGAATACTAACGCTCTCTTTGAATTGTAAAGAGCTGGCGAGATGCGTGGCTAGAATACTCACCTTCTCTGCTCATCATAAAATGAATTTATGTATATATTTATTAATTGTAATTCAAATACATTTCGGAATTGCTCGTTACACCTTATTGTCTTTTTCTTAATATTTTAAGAAACCGTAAAGTATAGTCAAAAGCGGTACAACGATTGTTGATCTTCGCCTATCTATACCAAACTCGTAGAGAGAGATCTTGCTCTCTGGCTTAACTAATTGTGCATCTTAGTCAATTTTATGACTAGTAAGTCGGGATTATGTAATCGGAAATCAAATATTTCAACAACTGAAAGTCTGTTTAACAACAACAAAAGCATTTGCGATGTGAATTTATCAAAAAAATTTGAGAAGCCTATATAAATACAATAATATAACTTAATAGAAGCTTGCTGTCAACAAGCCTTGCTAGCTCAATCGGTAGAGCGTGTGACTCTTAATCACAAGGCTGCGGGTTCGAGCCCCGCGTGGGGCTAATATTTTTGCACTCTCCAACCTAGAATATTTTGAACATTTTATTTATCCATATTTATGCATAGGTTTTCTAGGTTTTTTTTTTCTTTGTGTATGCAGAGATGAGCACTTATCATCTTCCTGCCTTATCTGAGATTTTCCTGTACGTCAAGGTTGCGTCAGAGGGATACCCTGTGAATGAATCAAAGACTGCGAGAGATGTACAGGGTTTGTCAGCTAGCTCTTTTTGTGTGCAAATCCATTCACACTCTGCTTCCCGACTCCAAATCCCTGAAACTCATCTTCATCAACCACCTAGAGGTCACAATCTACCAATGCAACCCAGACGGAAAACTGTAGATCCAGGATCACTTCAATCCGGTAATAAATTAGAAATCAAGGAAGCGTCTTGTGATAGACGAAAGAGCAGCTCGTCTTTGAAATCGACTGGTGATAGCAATCAGAATGTTTCCAAATCAAGCGAGAAGCAAGGAAAGCAAAAGCAATCAAATGTAATAGCGGGATTTGGTACAAAAGCATCACCTACGCCTATGCATACACTTAAAAGACGTCAATCGATAGTCCTTGACTCAAGTTCAGACGAGGACGACTTGGCTGAGCCTGGAACCGGTTCCACATCCACACCCAATTCCAATAAGCCTTCCCAAATCGATAAGAAGCCCCCTAAATCTACCAAAAAGTCCAAATCACCCTCCAATAGCTCCAGCTCAAACAAGGGTAAAACATCAAAGAGCAAAATGATTCAGCAGTATGTGGAGAATGCAAAGAGAATATCGCAGCCTGCGCAAATCCAGGGTGCTGCTGAAAGCAATTCCGAGGAGGAGGTAACTAACAATCTCACACGAGGCAAGGAATGTAAGTGTATGCGTGCATATTTAAAGTGGATATTCTGACAAGCAAAACACAGCCAACCTCCTTCAAAGCTCTGGTTCAGATTCAGACGATGTACAAATAGTCGAGCATACCACGCGACCAAGTCACCACCACTCTTCAAGTCGAGCTCATTCACAGAAACCTTTCAAACGATCGAGGATCGAGGACTCTGAGTCTGAGGAATCTAATGGCGATAAGAGCTCACTACCTGCCAATAAGAAGAAACAACATACGCGTAGAAGCGAGCCTCTGAAGCATTCCTCAGTTGCTGCACCTGAAAATACAAAACACACCCCTCAACACGATCGTCGAAAATCTCAACCCCTTCCTTCATTTTCCAAGAAGCGACCAAGTGCTGTTACGGAGGGAGAGGATGATGAAGCAAGACGCAGCATTGCCAGGAAAGTTGAAGACACTAATAGTAAAATAGCGATACGAAATGAAAAACATAGTGCCGACAAGAAGTCAGGTAAAGCAAAACATCAGACAGCTCTGGATCAGTTAAATCAAGAGGTAGAAAGTAGACAACAAGAATTCACCAGCAGACAAGAAGCAGCAGCTAAAGTAAATGAGGAAGCGGTAGCACTTAAGAGAAAGGAAGAGACTGTAGCAGCTGAGAGAAAAGAAGAAGCTAAACGGAAAGAGGAGGCTAAGAGAAAGGAAGAAGCCAAGAGACAAGAAGACTTCCGATTTGAACAGCAAGTCAAGCAGAAGGACGAAGTACGACAGGCTAGGAGAGATGAAGAAATGAAAAAGCAGGAGGAAATCGAGAGACAGGAAGCAGCTCAGCAAGTCATCGAGACCAAGAAAGCCGAAGCCGCCAGGAAGGCTAAAGCTATGGAATCGGAGTTAGCAAAGAAGCAGACAGACGATCTGAAAGCAAAGGTCGCTGAAGAGAATGTAGGTAGAGAGAGAGACGATCACATCAAGCGCCTTAAGCGACAGCATGGCAATGATGCTAATGGAAAGCAAATGCGCGCAGAAGTTCTTTCTAACAAACCTCGCCATGAAGCTTCCTCTGTCACTATCGATCGATCCGCTAATGAGGGAGACAATATAAAGAAACAGGCGTCAAAGGAGGAAGCAGACGACAAGAATAAAGGCGTCAATAACAGTGAAAGATTTGATTTGGTGAGCGTGCGCATATCTATTCTTTTAACTAACAGCTCCATAGCCTCCTAAGCCGGGGCAAAATGGTACTGATCAGGGGCATGACAGAGCATCTCAGCCTCAGAGCAAAGAAAGGATGGAATCACCTGGCGTCAATCAAGTTGAAATGATGAAACTTTTCAGTGCGCAAGTTGACATGATGAACATGCTCACGAAATCTACTACCCGCAATGAAGAGCTTCAACAGACCATCTTGGATCTCAAGCGAAAAGATGCTCAACGTGAAGCGAAAATGATAGAATTGGAGTCAAAAATTTCTACTTCGGGAGAGGCTGCTTTACAGCGAGTAAATGAAGAGCAACTGTTAGCAAAGAATCATTACGCCGAGCTTACTAAAAGTATTGAGGCTCTCAAGAGCAACGAGGAGAAAATCAGCAAGGAGAAAGCTTTAGAAAAGGACCTACAGAAGAGCATAGAAGAATATCGACATGATACTATGGAATCGAAGAAAGAAACTCAGCTGCTGTCTATCAAGGTGGACAGCTACCTGACATCATCTACGCTTCGTTTTGTAGAGTTCGAAAATAAGGTCAACGAAGGTATAGCTCAGGCAAGAAATTCTTCGAATACACAGCCAACGCAAGGTATAGAGGGCATCCTTCAAGAAGTTAAGCGCTTTGAGAATAAGTTAGAGAAGGAGAAAGAAGACGCATCTGAGGTTCATAAAGCTAGAGAGACACGCGAGACGGCAGAAAAAGTAAAAGATAAACAAAGATTTGAAGCGAGGCTGAAAGAAGTCGAAGATAATTCCAAAAAAGATAGCTGGAAGCAAAAAGAAGCTGTCGACAGTATTCATGTTCGCCTACACCGCCATAATGACTTTATACGGAATTTCGAAGAAACTGTAAAATCTAGTCTGAGAAACTCGAATAGAGAATTGGAAACAAAGTTTGCCGGTCTCAAGCAGATTGTTGACCAACACGCATGGACCGAAAAAGGAATAGTGAAAGATATAGAAAATCTCAAGACCCACTTGAGTAGAATAGGTGAACCACAGAAAAAATCACACGAGATGTCAGGCATTGACAGTGCAAGTAACGACAAGTACAACGCACTCAAGGCTGAGATAGAGCAAATGTCAACATCGCAATCTACCCAATTCGACGCGTTGAGGAAGCAATTTGTTCGCAAGTACGATGATCTTAGAATAGAAATGGTGAGACGGAGCAACGAGGCAAATACTAGGCTCCAAGATTACAAGACGCAAATGGAGACAGTAGCTAGCAGGGACAAAGGCGCCACTTCCAACACAAATGAGAATGTATTCTTGAAGCAAGAGATTGAATGGTAATTAGATTTTATTAGTTTTTTTTTGCTCATTTCGAGCATTGTATTATTTTCTAAACAAACAAAATCAAATCACATACAAAAATAAAATCTATATATATAGTTCACTCGACTGTGACACACTTGTATGGGTTGAGGATACCTTTTGGATCGAGTGTCTTCTTGAGTGTGCGCATCAGATCGAGTGAGGGAGCGTCTTGACTGTATGAGACATAAGGTGCTTTCATCAATCCAAGGCCGTGCTCAGCCGAGATTGACCCGTTGTAATTAGCGACCAATTCGTAGATGTAAGGCTCGACGACTTTTTCAACTTCCGATCTGTACGCATCTGCAACGATGTTGATGTGGAGATTTCCATCACCTAAGTGACCGAAACCAAAGACTGTCTTGACTGGACCATTTCCATTACCGCCTTCTGATTCAGCTGCAAGGAGACCCTGCTCAGCGAGTTTCTGGCGAAGTTCAGGAACTAGAGAGTACATTTTCTCGACTGGTAAACTCAAGTCGTATTTATATACACGACCAGCCTTTCCAGCAGCTTCAGGGATACCTTCACGCAAGGTCCACAATTGAGCGATCTGAGTTTCGTCTTGTGCGAGCACACCGTCATTGACTATACCAGACTCCATAAGTTGTTCTAAGAAAGCTCCGAGTTTCTTAAAGTGTATTGGTTAGAGTAGAAAAAATCATTTGCAAGACTAACCTCGTCGTCGTGATCTTTGTTTGAGCCAGAGGTCTCCACCAAGCAGAAAAATGGAGCATCTTCACCGTCTTCGAAAGTCTTACGTTCGGCAGCATGGCCGTGGGTGCGAACGAGTTTGTACGAGGCAGCATCGAAGAATTCGAAGGCGGAGAGGATCTCACCAAGATCGCGTCTAGCGGAGGAGAAAGCGGTCTGGACGGATTCGTAATCGGGCAAAGCAAAGACAGCGACGTTTGTGGCAGAAGGTCTGACAGGAGTGGCAAGAGTGACACCGGTGACGACACCGAGGACACCTTCAGAGCCGATAAAGAGCTGCTTGAGGTCAATACCTGTGTTATCCTTCTTGAGGCCCTTCATACCGTTAATGATTCTGCCGTCTGGGAGAACAACCTCGAGACCGAGGACGTTTCCGTGCAAGCTGCCGTATCTCAACATGCGCAGACCACCAGCATTTGTGGCAACGTTTCCACCAATTTGGCAAGAGCCTTTTGCACCCAAATCGAGTGGAACGACGTGACCTTTTTGTGCGAGGAAGTTATCCAAGTTCTCGAGGACGATGCCAGAATCGACCGAGACATAGCCGGAGAGAGAGTCAAAGTGCCTGACGCTGTTCATTGAGGAGAGTGATAAGACGACCTCGTCATGCAGAGGGACTGAACCACCTGGTGGGAAGTGAGCGAGTGTGGATTGAAATTTCATTTACGCACCAACCAAGCCAGTATTTCCGCCTTGTGGAACTACAGCAACGTTGTGCTGATTGCACCACTGCAAAAGCTTGCTCACTTCCTCCGTCGTCTTTGGCTTCGCGATAATGGACGAGTGGCCTCTGTATTTGCCCATCCAATCAACGTTAAATGGCTCGAGATCATCCTTTGTCGCTGTTGGGTTATCGCCGAGCGTTGTGAGGAGTGAAGTGTGTGGTGAAGAGAAGATGGACGCGAGTGAAGGGATATCGTCTTGAGTGAGCTTAGCAAAGTGCGTGCTGCGATCTGGAGTGCTGGCGTATGAGCGCAGTTGCAAGCCCAGCCTGCTCGAGCGTCTGATATGCTGTAAGCTGCGAAGCATGTGGTGGTGGCGGTGGTGGCGGTGGTGGTAGAGAAAGAGAGATTGATTTGGCCGTTGAAATGATTGCCGCTGCGGTGGACTTGATTCATGGCCGATAACAGCTCGTATAGCCCTGCTTATCTCAATTCCCGGACATAGCATCTTATCGACGATGATGATTGATTTTAGTGAGTTAGTGAATATGACTGAGCGTAGCAGGCAGGAGCATATTCTTGTATTCTTGTCAGTGGTGCTTGAGCCATCTCCACCGCTTAGATCGATGCTGGTACCGCAGCTCAGCGAGTATATAAAATCAGGCAGCAGCAGCTACTTAGAATGCTTAGATGCGGCCAGTAATATCGTAAACACATGGAATTCCGCTGAAAAGGCGCTATTCGTCAATTCACATCCCCGCATCGGACAAGTCTCCGGGCTGAGTTCGCTAAGCGCTGCAGAGCAAGCGGCTCAGAAGACGCCTGAGAATGTTCTACAAAGGTGTGTTTAGTGTGTTTATCCATTTTCGCGACTGAAGTGGCTATCTCCCGATTTCCAGACTGAACACACTCAACAACGCATACGAGAACAAGTTCCCCAAGCTTAGATTCATCACTTTCGTAAATGGCCGCACTCGCGCTGAGATTGTCCCAGAAATCGAGCACTTGCTGACTCTCACAAACGGCACGCAGGAATTTGGAACCGAACGCTGGAATACGGAACTGCAGCGCGATCTAGATGCTATCTGGCTTATAGCTAAAGCTCGCACGGAAGCTGCTAATCTGAGGTAGCTGAGTGGTTAGAATCTTATCGTCACGCTACGCCACGCCACAGAATACAACAAGATATTTAGCTGGCTAAATCCATTTCGCGTATATGTAACGTAAACTTCCTGTATACACTGCCAAATCGCCTCTTGCTCCGTAACGACGACGACGTTTATGCTTCGTCGATTAGGGAATCCACTTAGAAGCTTAATTACGAATACAAGGACAGCATCTACAATGTCACAATCTTATGGAAATTACGATAAAGTATTTAGCCAGCGTGTCGATTACGCACCAGTACATCTTGAGCGCTGGAGGAGCAGAGTCACTGGGCTTAGCGTAGCTCAAGTCAAGCACGAGAGCCCAATGTGCGAGGCCAACTTTGTCGTCCCCACTGAAATATTCGACGACAGCGGCTGTCCACATACCTTAGAGCACCTCGTCTTCCTTGGATCTAAACTCTACCCGTATAAGGGCGTTCTCGACACTCTCGCCAATAGAGCATTTGCAGCAGGTACAAATGCATGGACTGATACGGATCAAACCGTTTACACTCTCCAAACCGCTGGATACGAGGGCTTCTTGAGGATGCTCCCCGTCTACATGGACCACTTGCTCAGACCAACTATCACTGATGCCGGCTACACGACCGAAATTCACCACATAAACGAGTCTGGTGACGATGCTGGCGTCGTCTATTCTGAAATGCAGGGTAGATCAACCTCCCCATTCGATTTGATGGAGGACAAGCAGCGTGGTCTCATCTACCCAAAGAACAGCGCTTATCGCTCTGAAACTGGCGGTAGAATGGAGGCTCTTCGTGTGCTTACTGCAGACAAAGTGCGCGATTTCCACAAAAAATACTACGCTCCTCATAATCTCTCACTCGTGGTTACCGGGGATATTCCAACCGATAAGCTTTTGGATGTTATGCAAAATGTAATTGAACCACGTATCATCTCTGATGCTAAGGAGAGAGGTATTGAGATTGGTGTCAAGCCACGTGGCTGGAAGAGACCATTCGTCGAAACTCCTTCAGCAGAACCCCTCAAGTTGCAAAAGACTGAAAGAGCAGTCGCTGAATTCCCAGAGCAGGATGAAAGTGTTGGTGAAGTTGAGTTGTCGTGGGTCGGTGGGAAGACTAACGACTTCTTGCACACTAAGGCACTCGATATTCTCGGCACTTATTTAACTGACTCTGCTATTTCACCATTGCAAAAGCACCTTGTTGAGATTGCTTCCCCTTACTGCACAGATATCAACATATACAACCGCGAGCGTGTTTGCAACGACACTATACATTTCAACTTGGCCTCTGTACCGACTACTGAAATTGACAACGTTGAAGGCAAGCTTATGGAAATTCTTAACAACATTGTAAAGGAAGGTTTCGATATGGACAGGATGGCTCTCGTTCTCAAGAGAGACCGCGTCAAATTGCTTGACATGGCTGAGAGACAAGCTGCAAGTGCATTCGCCTATATGTTCATCGCCGATCATCTCTACGGTGACGCTGAAGGCAAGGATCTTCAAGACTCGCTGGCTGAGATGAAGAGATGTGACATTTTAAGTCAATGGACGTCTGACGATTGGGCACAGCTTTTAAAGAAGTGGGTATTGAAGTGCTAACGAGGAAGTTTTTAATTTAACATACTCGCAGGAGCTTTATCGATGCACCATTCATCAATGTCAAAGGAAAGCCATCAGCCACGCTCGCAAAGACACTTGAAGAGAATGAGCAGAAGCGTTTGGATGAACAGCGCAGGTCTTTGGGTGAAGAGGGTATCAAGAAGGCCAAGAAGGTATTTGATGATGCTCAAGTGGAAAACAATAAAGAAATTCCAGATGGTTTGTGAAGAGGTTTTAAATTCCAATTATTTAGCTAACAGATGCTATAGACATGATCAAGTCATTCGAAGTACCATCGACAGACTCAATCTCCTGGATCCCAATAGAGAGTGCTCGTCAAGAGTACAAAAAGGCATCAATCACCTCACCTACTAACAATGAGCTCCGTAAGCATATTGAGTCTGATCCAAGCAAGCCACCAATTTTTGTCCAATACGACCATGGAAAATCATCATTTACATCAATTCGCATTTACCTCTCAACCAACGAACTTCCAAAGCATCTGAGACCATACGCGTCGCTATTCCTCTCTACCTTCTTCTCATTACCAGTCAAGCGTCGCGACGGTACAATGCTCTCGCACGAGGCTGTTGTTCGCTCACTTGACGAGACAACTCTTGAACACGACATTAACTTTGGTTCGAGAGGGACATTTGCAGAGCTATTACAAGTGTCTGTCAAGGTTGAAAAGCAATATTACGAAGCTTCCATTGAGTGGTTGAGCGACTTGCTTACAGGTAGCGTATTCGATGTCGAGAGACTGAAGGTAACTGCTGCTAAGATCCAACAAGGCCTGCCAGAGCAGAAGAGAGAAGGTGATACTGTCGTGTGGGCAATGTCGACGTCACTCATGTTTGACAGTCTTCAACAAGCCAATGCTGTTCTCGAGCAGTCAGAGTTCAACCCAACTGTCATAAAGAGACTTGAAGATGATCCAAAGGGTGTCATTAGCGATCTTGAAGAATTTAGAAGGTGTGTTGTTCAGCCAAACGGAATACGCGTCAGTGTTGCTGGAAATGTAATGGGTCTTGAGCGTCCACAGGAGCCATGGGCCAAGTACTTCCCAGAGGAGAACAACAAGCCACTCGCATCCGTGCCTTGGGTGAAGGACTTTAAGTTGCCACTTGGTCAAAACCCATCAAAGAAGGCAGTCGTTGTCCCACTACCATCGATTGAATCGTCATTCTCTGTGCACACCGCCAAAGGTGTTGAAGGATATGATCATCCAGACATTCCAGCATTAATGGTCACATTGGGTACGCTCAATGCACTCGAGTCATACCTCTGGCGCTATATTAGAGGAACAGGGTTGGCGTATGGTGCATCCATAACGCAAAACCCAGAATCTGGATTGATGATGTTCACTGTGTACAAAGCACCAAATGCGTTCAGGGCGTATGAAGAGGGTGGAAAAGTAGTTAAGGGGTTAGTTGACGGCAGTATCACACTCGAGGACACAACGCTTGAGTCGTCGATAAGTTCACTGTGCTTCTCGATGACTTCGCGTGAAGCAACTATCGGCTCTGCTGCTCTGTCCAGCTTCGTGAACCAGATCTTCAAGCAGGTACCGCAGGATTATAATAAGCAGCTTCTGGCTAAATTCAGGGAAGTAAAGAAGGAGGACGTGATGGATGTGCTGAGAAGGTACATCGCTCCTCTGTTCAACGCCGACACTAGCAGCGCTGTGATCGTTTCTGGGCCATCCAAGGTGGAAGGAATGGAGGAGAGCTTGAGAAAGGAGGGTTTTGATGTTGAGAGGAGAACGCTGGATGTTGAGGATGTTGAGGATAGCGACGGCAGTGCAAGCGAGTAAAGCAGTGTACTTGAATGTCAAATAGATAGAATCTTCTTTATATGCTTTGAAGTGCTTTCTAATGCTTGAGACTGCTTATTTCAACACACCCAACATACCATTTGAGATGCGATACCCGCAAGCACTTAGAATGGCATTGAAATTGTCTTTGCCCTGTAAAATACACACACGCTCACTCAGCGCTAGCGTAATTCCTGAGAAATTCACACTGCGCCCGTATCAAGAAGCAGCCATTGCATCTGTAATGGACGCGCTAAACAGGCCAAAGCATCCCAAAAGCAGGCTAGGCGTATCCTCTCCCACTGGATCAGGCAAGACTAGAATGTTTGTCGAGCTGGCGAGAAGACTGAGTGAGAGTAAGCCCGGCAAGGTGCTCGTCATCGTCAACGGCATCGAATTGGCCAGTCAGGCCTACGACGCGTTCGTTTCAGGCTGGCCTTCTGCAAGCGTCGAAATGGACCAAAGTGCCAGCGTTGCGACGGGCGATGCTGACGTCACCATTGCTACATTCCAGACGCTCATCAGACCAGGGAGAATGTCCAAGTATGACCCAGCGGATTTCAAGTTGCTACTCGTTGACGAGGCTCACCACGCAGCTGCACGCTCGTATGTTGATATACTCGCACATTTCGATCCAAGTATACACGGTGAGCAGGATTCGGTTACTGGATCTAAGGTTCCAATTGTTGGATTTTCCGCTACATTCTCTAGACATGACAGTCTTGCACTTGGCAAGGTATTTGAAGAGATTGTGTTTCATAAGGTCAGTGTCTTTTTTTTCTTTTGGAGTATATAACGCTGAAAAATACACAAGGACTTCCTAGATATGATTAAAGAGCGCTGGCTGTCGAATGTCACCTTCACTACCGTCAAAACAGACATTGATCTCTCTCAAGTCAAAATATCGGAGCGAACAAACGATTACACTGTCACTTCACTATCACCGATACTCAATACTCCCTCTGTGAGGAGAGTAGTGCTCGCTGCATACCTCGACAAGTGCTCTGACCGTCGATCGACGTTGATTTTTTGTGCTGATCTCAAACACGTCCACAACCTTACTGCTGATTTTCGCGACGCTGGAATAGACGCTCGCTTCATACACTCCGGTACACCTCCCAAAGAACGGGTGAAAATCTTGAGGGACTTCAAAGAATACAGATATCCAGTTCTCCTCAATTGCGCTGTTCTCACTGAGGGTGCAGATATACCCAACATTGACTGCATTTTGTTGTGTAGACCGACACGCTCAAGAAATTTGTTTAGTCAGATGATAGGTAGGGGTATGAGAGTCGCGCAAGGTAAAACAGAGTGTAAAATACTCGATGTGGCCGCATCTTTGGACAAAGTCGGTGATATAAGCGCTGCGCCTTCACTTGAAGGTCTGGATATGACTGAGTTTGACCGTGTCGATTCTAAGGCAGTCGAAGGTGATGTGAAAAGTGAGTAGAGATATTTAGTGCACAAACATAGCTCATGAAATGCAGACGATCTCTCCGAACATCCTCTCTTCAAGGAGGAGAACGAGCAGAACATAGTACCACATGCGGACTATATCACTTTCACCGACTTCGACGATCCGCGTGCGCTTTTTGAGTCGCTCAAAAACAAGCACTCGGATAATGTGTACAATCAGTCCCAAAACGCCTGGGTGGATTGCCGGGGTGGTTTTTATGTCCTCAGTTGTCAGCAGGCGGGAGATTTGCGCATCGAGCACACAGGCGAGGGAAAGTACACGGCGTCGCACAAGCCAACAAATGTACCACTCCAAGATGCCAAAAGAGTAGGTTTGGCGCCGTTCAGAAGACCAATCACACTGGTGCACGACGTCGACTTCAAGCTGGCTATTAGAGCGAGCGATAAGCTAGCGACTGAGAAGCTGATGCGCGGGAAAGCAGCGCTTATACGTCGAGACGCACCGTGGAGAAGGGCACCGGCAACTAAGTCGCAGCTGGATGCTCTCACGAAGCGCTTGAAAGGCGGTTTCAATACAGACTTGCTGAAGGGTGAAGCAGCGGATATGATAACGAAGTTGATGAATGGGTACAAGAAGCGTGCTGAAAAACAACAGAAGCAGGCTTTGAAAGAGGTCAAGATTTCAGAAAAGAAACGCAGGCATTCCGTGCAAGTTGGACCTCTGGTTTAGAAATTTACACTGATGAATGTGTTTTACAAGTATATAAGAGTAGGATTACAATAATACCCTTTGAGAAGAGAAAGTCCGATGATTTGACAAGATAATGCTCCATTATGCTTTTTCGATTGACCTGGTTGATCGAGTGGAACGGATGGACGAAGAATCTGTCTTGGTTGTAGTAATAGCAATACCACCATCCGCCATACCACCTAGACCATTTACTTCCAAGTCGTATATAGAATCAGTGTCGTGCGTATACCCACTGAAGTCAATCTCTTCAAATGGTGCATTGAACGGTACTGCTCCTGTAGGTGGGAAGATGTAGCTGATGGCTATGTATATCACCGAGCTGACTAGAAATCCAGTGAAGAAGGACAGGTTATAGATGCGTGTTGCGCTTCGACCTACAATTTCTTCGTTACCTGGAGTGGACGCAATAAAGCCTGGTAAATTTATCGAGACACCGCAGAGGTAAGCTGCTACAGCGCGAAGGTTAACACCGTATGTGTAGCTGTACCATCCCTCAGCCTGTTTCCAGTCAGCATTATCCGGACAGCACATGTCAAACCCACCCTGTACAGGTCTGCAACGTTGGCACGTCCGCGTCTGACGACAAAGTAATCGGAAAGCATAGTCCCAGCAATGGCAGAGAGGAAAACGCAGTATCCTGACAAGTAGTTGGTGAAGCTCGTTGCGCCGTCTGTAAGCCTCCAAGGCACGAGACATAGACCGAGGAACACGCAGATATAGCCGCCTTTTCTGTTGTTAATGTATGAAGGCAGACATGCGGTAAGGTCGCATCCGCATGCTATAACATTAGCCGCTTGGTTGGTGCCCATCTGCGCAACACATAGACAGAAAGCTATAAACCACACCGCGAATCGCACAGCAGCGCTGTCTGGATTGATGAAGTTGTCAAGAATTACCATAGGATCCCACTCTTTGATCCCCGTCTCGGCTTGATAGCACGAAGCTATGATTACTCCGAAGAAACTCGTAATGAAAAATCCGAGGGGGACTGTGAGGAGCTGCGGAAAGACTACATTCTTTTTGTCGTGAGCTCGACTAGCCAAGTCTGAAATATTGAGGATGAGAGTGACGGCATTGGAGATGGCTCTGACTATCGCTTTGACCATTTCCCAGCCTTGTTCAGAGGAGGTGAGCGTCGATGGGCTGGTGAGGACACTTTTAAGTGTGGCTTCCTGGGATGGAGTTGCAGTGGCTCTACCGAGAGACCATCCGAAGAAAATAATCAGTCCAAGCGGCGCGACAATAGCCTTGAACGTGAAAAAGTGCTTGATTTTTTGAATCGGGAAGTAAGTCGGTATGAGCATTAGCGACCAGAAGATGATAAAGCAGACCATATCAAAACCCTTGAGATTTGTGTCTAGCTGCTTTTGGAGCCCCGCAGAGGTCGTCCAATTTGGATCCCAGCATCTGAGCATCACGCGTATGCAATTACCGCCGATGTATGTCTGGACTGCGAACCACAAAATGGCGATTACGACCCTGTTAATTATGGGCCATACGCTTCCAAAGATACCCCAAGACTGTCTAATGAGGACAGGAAAAGTTAAGTGAAAAGTAGCACCAGGCCGGGAGCTAGCAATGACGAAAACTGCCGTAATGGCATATCCGATGAAAACTGCAATTAGACTCTGCCACCAAGTCTGTCCAAGCGCAACGTTTGCTTGACACAACATCAGAGTATTTATGTTGATGCTGTCTGAGACCCAGAAGTTGACAAAAGACATACTTGTCCACGTCCTGTTTTCTAACTTCACAGGCTCTAGATCCGCGTTGCTAAGCCATCGCTCTCTTTTTGACTTTGTGATTGACTGCTCAACTCTGAGCCACGATGAAAGCGTTTGCATTATGTGGTCGTTGTGTTTAGTTAAGGCAATCAAACCAATTCAAGTTGGCTCTTCTATCACTCACTATCTTGATAACGCTGTTGTGTGCCTGAGATAAGAGAGACAATTTCTCACCGAAAGTATCTTTAAGCATTGATAGGTGATATCTATGGCTGTTAAACTTTCTTTTGTTGCTAGAAAGTATCCCATCTTCTCCGAATCTGTTGCGTTTGTGTGCGTTGCGTCACTGCCTATTCAATTCACTATCAGTGGGAAGCCGCCCTTATCAGAATCGTCAGATCTAGATAGTCATGCATATGGAGTACAATAAATTACAATTACAATTTGCGTCTTTTGTTGAGATCGTTGGACTCGTTTGGATCACTTGAGTCTGTGCTCAGACCCATGCTGTTCTCCGGTGCGGGTGTTGTGGGTTTTGGCGTGGAGGTGGGAGTAGGGTGTTCTGACGCCGCTCTGGCCACGGGTGTTGAAGCAGTTGCCCGTTCGTCTGCAGACACGCTGATGCCCTTAGCGAGGCGCAATTCATTTGCAACTCTCTCATGCGCTCTGCGTATTTCTTGCAACTGCGCCGTTGCCTCTTTGACGCCTTCATATTTAGCGACATTGGCAGCTGTCGGGTACTGCAGCTTATCACTCAACCCCATACTCTGAAGGCATTCTCTGATGCGCTGCGGTGTTATCTTCTGTGCAAGTTTGGTAGCTCTACTGAAGGGCGGTATGTTAGAGCTGGATTTGAGCGGGAGGTGGGACGAAGGGCGAGTGATATAGTGCTGAGCGTCATACGCAGCGCTCTTAGCTGTGCGTTTGTGTGGTTGCTCTTCGTTGGATGTCGACATAGGAGCGAGTGTGGATGTGGCTATATCAGCTCCTCCACTAGCCTTGCGCTTCTCGTTGCGGGACATAGACACCGTGCGCACTAGCTCGTCGCGCTCGCATCGCCACTTGCGCTCATCTTGCTCTATCCGCTTCGCTTCTATATAGAGCTCCTCCTCTTCGGTGATCTGCTGTGGTGTGCGTGCGAAGAGCGAGTTGACGTATTGTTTGCGCATCATTTCGCGCTCTGGTTTGGTGTGTTAGTGGGGGTTTAGCTGACTACATATACACCAAATCACACCTTTGTCGAATTGATAAGCTTGGAGAAGCTGGTTTGTGCTGCTTTCGTCGCTCGAAATTCTCGACTGGATCAGTTTGCGGCAGATGTCGAAATACCTCGCTTTGAGATCCTCGAGAGTTCTACCGGATCTCCACTCATAGCGGTCCCAGATAACTGGCCATCTCACGTCGAATTCGTGTATGAGCTTGACGAGGTAGTCCGTCTCGTCCCTCGACCAAGTTACGTCTTGGAGCATTCTGTCGTACTCATCCTCGCTGTAGCTGTATGGCTCGGACGTGGTGTTGAATCGAGCGTACGGGTATGGCTCATCGAATTCATCTAGCCGCTTCCAGTGACGGAGCTGTAGTCCATCTGATCTCGCTGGATTCGTGAATGATTCCCATTTCCATTTACGTGCTTGTTTCCCTTTCCCTGCGTAAACGTTTGGATTTCTGGCTGCGACGACTGACGGAGCATTCTCTGCCATCATCGCGAGCAGGTTCGTGGGAATTTGGCTGGTCTTTAGCGACTCAACATCGAATTCAATGTCGCTGGCCATGATGATGGTGCGGAAGCAGGAGGAAGTTCGCAGCAGAGGGATACAAGATAGAGAAAGATGCCCTGCACTGCCATATTGCTCACAGCCTCCTCACCGCAATGTAGACAATAATTACCAAAAATGGTTGACATCGGTGGGGCGGTGACATGGTGACATTTCCGCAGTTGTTCGAGTAGCACGTGATGCGGTGTACTGCGATACACTATGACAGACGTGTGTGTTTCGAAGAATAATTCACAGGTAAATTTTCGGTTGCTGAAAAATATTGGCTAAATCCTCCCCGAGGAGTACCGAGGTTGTGTCTCAGGTGAAACAAACTCAAAGAGGAAATGAGTCTGAAAGGCTGGATTTGGGAGTGTATGAAAACCTACAGGAGATGGGCTGTGATCGATATACAATGGTAATCAATTAAAGTTAAGATGCGCGCACAAAAAAGCCTGTAACTCTGTACCTGATGATGAATAATCTAATCTGAAACTGAGACTGCGACCTGACCCCGCACTTCGTCCGAATATTCCACTCCGAATAATTATTTTAGGAATTCCATTTAATAACGACTACCATCACGACGATGATTAAATTGCCCACAGAACTCCTCGAACCTATTCTCACAGACGCACTGCAAGACTCCCGCTCGAGCGCGTTGGATCTGCTGCTGATACACCCGCGCACAACTCAAATTCTCTATCGTCACGTATACCAGCAGCATCCATGCGCCATCAACTCACTCAACCAACTTGAGCTGTTTTCCAACAACGTTCCACTCGAGCTTCTCAGCAAAGTCAGGGCACTACACATCAACCTCCCCTCAGCTGCTGGTTCTGTGTGGGATTCTGTTGGCAATGCCTTAACTAAGTGCCGCAACGTGCAGCACCTCAAATTACGCGCTATGGGTCTCTGGAACGAAGACAGGCGTGGTTTGATTGAAGGTCTCGCTGCTATCGAGTGAGTGGGAATGCCATTACACTTCACCTCTTCTCACACTCGCACGCAGCCCGATAAGCTTCGAATGGACATCACCTGACCCACCGCATCATATCAGTCTCAGTGTGGTGACGCCATGTCTCACAATCGTCCTAAACCAACTGCCAAGATGGAGCAGACTGCTGCACTTGAGCATGTCACACGTCCAGTTCCCTCAGTGCACACATCCAGATAGATACCTCCCTGCTGTCTTGTCGCCAACCCTGGAGACTATCTCGCTCGGCCAGGCTATTAAGGCGCCTGCAACAATGCTCGCTGGTATAGCCACAGCTTGTCCCAGATTGAAGCGTTTTGACGCCGAGGATATCTACAGCGAGTCCATCTGGGGTAGCAGAGTCGACGAGAAAGACGTCAGGAATAAGCTCGAAGACAGCATGTCCTTTTACGGTGACTTCTCAATCACTTCCCGTCTGCAAAGGATTGCAGGTGGTGACCGCGGTGTCATTTACTAGGATTCTCTTTTTTTACACACTCTCATAATTATATCAGCATAGAAAAGCACGATAGCCAATAGCTCGTCGCTCATAGCACGTAGCACATAGCACCAAAGACAGCGCTTGGATTGCGCACCCTAACGATTTGTTTTGTATTGCATTATTTCATTCATCTTCAAATATAACAAAAACATGACAATAACGATTGTGCGAGTATGCGAACGTACAAATAAGAAAACGTAGTGAGCGTAGTGTTTTTCGTGCAAGAGACAGTTAATAAATATCATCAGAGTCATAAGAATGTTTAGGAAAATGCGAGTATATCATCCGCCATCAGCAATGCCTGCTTCATGCTATCATCTAGATCCTCAAGTTCGTTCTGTTCAGCGTGGTTGGTGTTGCTCATCTTTGAGAATGTTGCATTCGGGTCAGACGGGCTGGGAGGCGCTGATTTTGGTGCGATTGATTGTGCGACTGGTGGTGCAGGTGGTGGTGCTATCTTGATGGATTTGTACGACTGAGAGTGTTGAATGTACCAATCCAGATCGTAATCGACGAGTGGTGGAGATGCCTCCTTTGGTGGTGACTCCTTATTTGCTAATGGCTCATGCGACTCCTTGATTGGTGAGTATTCCCTGATTGATTGTAGTGGCATGATACCAGCAGCATTACCATTGACCCTGTCTTCATTCCCATTCCCATTATCGAGCGAAATATGGCTGTTGCTGTTGTATATATCGTCGTATTCCCATGTTGGACTTGGACTGTAATCAGCTGGGTTGGTGCCATCGAACGCACTCTCGAAAGTCTGCTTAGATGTGCTTGTCGTTGCAGATCTGAACGTCGAGCAGCTTTGAGACTGTTGCAGTGTCTTCGTGAGACTCTGGTTTGAGGCAACCTGGAGGTTGTTGGAAGACTTAGCAAGTGACAACCGCTTAGCTCTGTCCCTCAATGCTTTTGAGCGAGCTCTATTCAAAGCCACTGTGTTCGACGATGGCGACCGCACTAAGCTATCATCCATGTCATTGAAACTGATCACAGGCGCGGGCGTTGGTGTGCCTGTGTTATCGACTGTCCCTAGTGCTAATCCTGTAGGTGTCGCTGTAGATTCCGGTGAGTTGGTTATACGCGAACCAAACGATTCTCTCTGTTGTGGACCGAATATCTTTGGCGAAATCACCGGCGTCGTTTCCACTTTGTTTGCGATCGGTGTTGATTCCGGAGAGTGCCGGGGGTGGCTGATACGTGAAGCGATCGACTGTCTCTTATGCGATCCGCATGAGACGTGCGAAGCACTTGAGCCATGTGAACCATGCGTACTGTGGGCACCGAACTTCTTGGGCGAAATTAATGGCGTGTCCAACACGATGCTCGACGGAGCTGTTGTGGCAGTGGTGTCAGTCTGGAAAGTAGTCGTTGTGTTAGCAGACGATGCTGTTGTCTGTGCTTCCGAAGCTGTAGACGCGTTCCTAGAGTGTGTATAGTCTACGTCACGACCTGGTATCTTTATGATTGCCGGTACGCGCTTGTGGCGTGCGCCTAGGGGTAGTTTGGCCTGCTTTGGCGGAAGAGGGGGAGGTTTCAGTTCTTCTTCGCTGGAGCACGTCCGCTGCCTCGTTACGGGTTTTAGCTTGAGTTTAGGCTGGCCGAGTTGCGGTTGTTCTATGTGGGTGTCAGAAGGTGTCGTTCGCGATACTCCAAGCACTCACTAGGCGGTGATCTCGCTTGTCTTGACGGATTGAGGATGGAGTACGACTTGGACTTGCGTCTCAGTATCCTGCCTTTCAGCTTCTTCTCTTCCACGCCGCTCTCTTCAGGTGTACCAGGACTGCCGAAGAGCATCTGTCTCGCTTTCTTCCAGTGTGACTTGCGTGTAGCAGATTTCTTCGAAGAGGACGACTGACTGTCGACATCTTTGTTGACATCGATTTCTTTGCTGCCTTTGCCGTCCTTACTGCTTTTGCTGCTGGCTTGCACGTGCAACTCCTGTTTGGATGATACACGGCGGTAGTGGCTGGCTCGTGTGTACGTGAGCTCTTCTGGCGCGGTCAACGCAGCGAGTGAGTCGGCTCGCGCGCATGTTGTCGAGCAGTAGATTGATTCAGGGTCGCGTGTCTTGTTGGGGATAGCACCACATAAGCACGCGTTGGAAGCCATTGTAGTTGAGGGGTTGTGGTTACTTCTATTCCTAGTTAACATGACGGTGCTTATTCCAGAGCTGTTTCTGAGGATCGGCTGACAGATCTTTGGAATGCTCTGAAGTTCTCTTAAGCTGCACTGTAGGTGCTTGAGGAATGAAGATGCAGTTCTTTGAAGAAGGCAGTGCCAAATCTCGAATCTCGAATCTCGAATACAGCTCAGGCACTCTCAAGGATACTGATATCATATCGACTCAGGCTTGTACCCTTCTTCAAATGTCACACAAAGCCAGAACGGTCGACTGAAAGCTTGTAATTTTTTTAATCTACAAACATTAATAGTCTATAATATTCACATGTACACTGTCGCTAGCGCCCTTCTTTAGCCTTTATAAACCTTTAAGTCTGATTGCATTTCACTTATAATGAAGAGAGCAGTCAATAAGCTGCGCTGGTAGGAATCTCATCCATTAATATATTTCATGCTTATCTCCCATATCACTATATCCCTTCATCACACTTAATGGAAACATTTGACTTACGCCACGGTAAGCTTTAAAGTTTGAAGGTCATTGAGTGCTTTTTCCAGGGTTTTCTCACGCCACACATACCCTGTCAAGTATGACGCCAAAATCGCATAGAATGCCATAGACGTAGTTTACCAGCCAATCTGTCAGCCTGCTTGTTAATGTCTAGCATTCAGGCGATGTTTAGGAGCTTAAAATTTTACATCCAATTGTCCTGCCTATAATGATTCCAAAGGAGCCTCAACAGCCTTCGCATCCCCATCATGTGAAATCCTGAAACGCACTGATCAGAAGCCAAACCCCGATTTCAGAGCTCGGCTGACTCCCACTTTCCTTTCCATAAACTGTTTTGCTAGGTGTTTGATGATCCCACTATACCCCTGGAGCAAGCATCAATTCCTGTAAAGACTATGCGTCGAAAAGGATAATTTGCGTTTGTAGATTCGAAAAATTGAGATTTTTGGATGCTTGTAGTCTTTAAAAGTCAATAAAATCTGTTATATCGATCAAACACATAAAATATTCCATATCTATCCTTAAAACGTGTTCCATAGTGATTTCGGATTGCAACTTCCGAACAGCCTATAACACGCAATTGGAATCTCAAGGATATGATTCTGAAGAGATACTTTAAAGATTATCTATGGCTATGTATCAAGCTTACTTGCTCGCAATAGCAGGAATGATTGTGCAAATGTCAAGGTCAGCTAGAATAGCCGACAATAATTTCATTGTTTCTTTGGTACAAAGATGAATAATATTAGCTCTATTCCAGCCACGACAATTAGCACTGGTTGTAATATATTGGCTGTAAAGGCATCAGCGGCGAATGAGAAGAAAAAGGGCGCGAAACTCGCTCCCAGCAATCCAGAGCATATTATCAGTGGGGTTATTATTGATATTTCCTCCTCAAGCACCATCGATATACCTGCATCGATACTCGCTGGAGCTATCGGGCCTATATTCGCCGACGGTCAGTGTTTAAGTTTGAGGTCGTTACTTTAGGGTTACTTACCCCATGCTAGCCCTGTCAGGCATAGAAGTGTCGCTCTAGCTGCCAGGCTATCGACAGCAAATATGACACCACTGAATACCATTGCTAGCGCGACAAGTGATATATTGCGTGTCTTGTCATATACTTTCTTGAACACAGTGGGACCGGCCAACCTGCCAATTGTCACACCTGTCGATAGTTAGTGCGAAATTCTAGAGAACCTTTAACCCACCTCCCCAGAATCCGGCTACGACATATGTACTCACGTCTTCCTCGTATCCCTTTAATAGGAAATAGGACGGCGACCATTGTGAGTTTATACACTGATGAGAACTAGCGAGGCATACAAGAACGAGTGCCAAATACACCTCAGATCTTGAAAGAATTAACTTCAGTCGGCCATTCACCGTTCCAGACTTGTCTTTCTCGTGCTTTTTATCGCCTTGGTTTGGAAGAGTAAAGTGTTTAAAAACCCATAAAGCAGTTGAGGCGAGAACGATTCCTAATGACCTGGTCTACTTTAGTGACTTTCTTTCTATGGCGTTCTTAGCTCACATTGGAAAGAAGTAAAAGTACTGTCGTTTGTTGAGCAATTGAGATGTTTCAGAACATCCCACTTACATTCCAAGTCAAATGATGTTGAGAGAATGCACCGATAATAAAAGGCGCAGTCATCTGTAGCCATGCTTTGTTAGACTAAATGTTCAGAAGAGTTGTGACTCCCAACCCACAGAACCAAGCGAAAATGAAGCGTACACACGCGATAGCACATCAGCAGAGGCAATTAGAGCGAGAACAGAGGTAGCTGCCGCGTCTAAGAATCCACTACCTACTCCTTGCAGGAATAAGGAAACGACGATAACACCAAAGGGGGGTGCAAAAGAAGTAATAAGAGCTCCTCCAGAATAAATAATAGCTGAGAAAAAGATTGTCCAGCGTACACCTATCCAAAACATTACGTAGCAAGTGCACAAACTTGAGACAGCATAGCCGCCAGCGTTGGAGAGAAAGAGAAAGGATGTTTGCTTATAGCTTATTGAGTAGCGCTCTTGTATGTTGTGTAAATTGGAACCCGTTGCTGAGTCGTTTATCCCGATTGCAGTGAATGAGAAACATAGAAAAACTATCATGATAGACCATCTTATGGTGGAAAGCTCTACTTTTTCACTGATATTTTGTTTCTCGAGACTAGATATGTCGCTATTTGCGTCATTATCCGCTACTTGTGATTTGACAGTGTTGCCATTGTTGGATGTGTCATTATCTGTGCCAGTATACGGGACTGATGATTTGTCAGTATTGCCACCGCTATTAGCTGCTGAAGATTTTTTGAAAAAAGTAACCATAGTCTATTATAACAACGCTTGCGGCACCTCAGTGAGATGATTATCACCATGAATTCATGTGGATAATGATTTGACATTCCGTTCTCCAATTGATTGAATCGGGCTCAATTGCCCGTATCATCCGCAGTGAACACGTAAGCATCAAAGGCATCTCCATTCCTCACTCTTCATTCCTCCACCATTCTTCATTCCAAAGCAAACAAACAAAGATTTCTAATTTACTTTCCCTTTTCAAGAGACTCAGGAATAAGAATTTCTTGCGTAGATTATGTAATTAATCAAACAAGCCAATCTTAAGATTCTTGAAAAATTTAAGCAAAGTGTAATTGAAAACTACATTAAAGTTAAGAAGAGTAAAACAAGTTTTAAGCAAAAGCAATAATCCATCGATCTGTAGAGATTTCAATATTTAAAGCGCTCGTTAGAGTCTGGTTAATGTATTGATCATTGTCTGTTTATGCGCGGTGGATGAACGAGCTTTCTCCTATTTAACCTCATTTCATGAGCCAAGGAGCCGTGGTTGTGAACAGTCTTAGAAATGTCCTTCTTGCTTAAAGATCGTCTATAGTATTTCATAGAAAAGAGGGCGAGAAGTCCAGCGAGAAGGATGAACGACACGACAATCAATACCCCTGGTATAATGTGTTCGGAAAATTTATGAATAGCTTGACCGAGGGACATCGGCATAACGGTACTACCAATTAGTCCGCCAGCTATGACTGTAGATGTTGCCGTCGTCTTTAAAGTATGTGGCAACCGATCAACGGCTGTTGTTAATATGAGTGGTACCAGCGGACCTACGAAAATACCGCAAAATATGTTCAAGACAATTGGACCGTAATTGAGACTGTCGTCGATTTGCCAAAATCCAGTCATCATGAACGTGAATGCCAGATTGAGCGTGATTGCAGACTTCATATCACCCCATTTGTTTATGAAATGACCGAGAGTTAAGCGGGAGAGGGTAACACCAGCCCAGAAACATGCTAAGTTTATGTTTGCAAGTGAACCTTCCATACCCTTTGCCCTCTCTAGATACGATACAGCCCACTGCGACCAACTATCCTGCATGCCCATCATGACGAAGAAGAGTATGATCGTGAGTCTATCGTGTTGTTAGTGGGTGTTTCATTATATAACCAAAACTCACAACATGAAAGGATCTGAGAGAACGAAGCGGAGTCGACGGAAAGATGTGTCATTGCCAGAGCGTTTCTCCGAGGGTGACTGGTAGGAGGCGTAGACAAACCACTGCAACACCATGAGCAGAGAGGAGAGTGCGACAGGAAGCCAGAAGTACAGATTCCATGGCTTGTTGTTGCTGGCTCTCAACCCTCCGACTAAGAAAGGTGCGATCATCGACCCCACCGAGAAGAACGAGTATGTGACTGTCAGTAGCGGACCATCTTCGTAATGCATAATAACTGAAGTTGCAGCCACATCCAACAGACCTGCCCCTGTACCAGTCACTGATGTTGTTAGACGAAGTTGACAATACATTGCACTACTCACAAACGAGACTGACGATAAAGACAGCGAAAGGAGGCGCAAATGTTGCAACGAGCGAACCACTAAAGTAAATTGCTGATGCCGACTGTGCTGCTATCAGATAAGGTTTACAGTTACTAGGAACAGCCCACAGTTAATACCAAACGGAGTCTGACGTGATGAATCAGGAACGCGGACAAAGCGGTCGAGATTAAGTATCCGCCAAAATTAGCTAAAAAGCACATTGACATATCATCTTCTGACTGTGCTTGTCAGTAGAGACTGAATTGTGCATAACTTACTCACTATGTCATAATACTCTCCCATTTGTGGTATAAGACCACCGATTGCACTACTGTTTAGTCCGATTACCATGTATGTCAAGCTGTTCTCTTTAGAATTTTTAAGTAGACAAAGAAACAACTCACCTCGTCATACCAATCATGACATAGCACCTGCGAAGTCTCCATCGCGAGTTGTGGAAGAAAAATACCTTCTTGAGGTATTTATCGCCCCTATCTAACTCATTTATAGATGCTTCAGACTGAGTGTCAAAGTTGTGCATGGTCAGCGGAGGTGCAGATTTTGTGCGTTTTGGCTTCTTCCTAGTACGCTCGGGTTCCTTGATGTACTTCTTGTCATCAGGGGAAACACTAGGAATAGTTTCTAGTGTATCAATAAGTGATGTGCTCCCAACACCCAACGTGTTATTTCTCGTGTAGTCTTGACTCTCACGTCGACCATTGTGGAGGTACGGCAGAGTCCTTGTATCTGGGAGGTTCTCCTTATTTTGCTCCATTCTCTCTCTTTCTTTCTGTTTTTGCTTCTGCGATGCTTTTTTGTTCTTGCTTGTGAACATTTTCACTAGTAGCTATGTTGTCGTATTGTTGTGTAGTGTTCGTTCTAGATCGTTCGTGTGTTTTGTAACTGGTATAAGACGTCAAAAGATGCCAGAAAGGGAAATTATATTCCTACATGCGCTCGGCGAAGCGCGAATATTCAAAGAACATTCCGGTCAAATTTTCATAATTGGAGTCATTTCGCGGGGATTAGCGAATGCATGCTGCCAAGAATAATAAAATGTGTGACGGTATAGCTTTTTCATATTATAATGTAGCTGAGAGGTGCTAGAGGCTAGTGTAGGGAGATTTGCAGCAGGGTTTCAGAGGCGCTTGTATCCGTGCCAAGCAACAGTAACAATTGCAACAAAAACATCGATAAAACAAATTACAAATCATTAAACAAGATCCTTCTATCTTAAAAAACCAAACGAGGGCTTGTGTGCTCTATACAAAGAAATATATCACGGTGATTATGGTGATGCTTGGGACTGTTGCGCGCATTCTCTATGCTTAGAGGAAAAAGAGGTATTTTTGCTAATTGAAGCTTTCATCCAACCACTTATGCTAGGCTTGATATCATTATCTTTCATCAGCTTGAGGTATTTAGTGGTATACAGCACGGTATAGAGGAGGATGCTGACTGCTGCAATAACAATAAGTACTCCTGGCACAATATCGGTAGAGAAGGCGTTGACAGCCTGTCCCACAGCAAGGGGAATAATGCTAGAGCCAACTAAACCGCCACACACAATGGCCGATGTAGCAGGCTGTTTGAGGTAGTGAGGCAGAGTATTAACACTGGTAGACAGCACGACGGGTACGAGTGGTCCGTCGACGAAACCGAGCAGGATATTAAGACATATAGCACCTGCCAAATGCTGCGTCTCGACCAACCACACACCGACCAAGACGAGGGCAAACATAGCGCAGAGGCTGACCGATGCCTTGATGTCACCCACCATAGCGACTAATTTGCACAGCACTATGCGCGAAACAGCCACGCCGGCCCAGAACGTCCCTTGGGCGATCTGGGGAATACCGTCACCGAGCTCCTTCGTGTCCTGCAAATACTTGCTCGCCCACTGGCTCCAAGAGTCTGTGGAGTGTCCGCGTCAGTGTTAGTATCTGTCGCAAAATTTCCTCCCACCCTGCATTGCAAACACAACAAAGGTGAGCGAGACACCGATTATGATGGTCCAGTCAGTGATTACGAGGCGAAATTTGCGCGCAGCACTCAGATGCAACGCATCCTTCTCAATTGGAGCCTTGTACGAGCGATAGACGAACCACTGCAAGAGGAAGAGAAAAGCAGCTAGGGAGAACGGAAACCAGAAGTAAAGTTCCCATGGCTGCTTATCGCCGCTCTGCAGTCCGCCGACGAGGAATGGCGACGCCATAGATCCGAGCGAGAAAAAGGAGTATGTCACTGTGAGCAGTGGCCCATCTTCGAAATGGACGATTACAGATGTAGCCGCAGTGTCTAGCAACCCACCACCAAAGCCAGTTAGGATAAAAGAAACCATGAGAGCACCGAAGCTGTTGGAATTTGAATTCTATGAGTCCTTGAACCACCAAAGTTTTCGTATAAACACTCACGGTGGTCTAAATGTGCCAATTAATGAGCCTAACGAATAAATACAGCTGGCGATCATAAGTACGTAGCGCAATTGCAGGTGGTGTATCAGGAATGAGGATGTGGCGGTTGAGATGACATAGCCACCCGAGTTCGCAAGGAAGGAGAAGGACATTATAGCTTCGCTCTGAAGGGACAAATTAGATTTGCAAATCTAAATCAATCACTTGTCTCACTTTGTGGTAGTATTTCTCCATCTGCGGCATTAACGCACCTACAGCGCTATCATTGATACCTATCGTAGCGAAAGACAACGCTGTCATAGCCACCAGCACCCACTTCTTCTGGAAGCGGTAGGCTTTGTTGGGAAAATAGTAGGCTATGTCTTGGTTGAGGAGGTCGTGCGACGCAGGGGAGTCTTGGTGTATCGTTGAGCTCGAGTGGTACTTGTCGAAGCTGGAGCTATGTCTACTGCAGACATGGGTGTGCTGAGATGAATCTGTAGATAATTTGCGCGTGTCTTGAGTGTTTAGGTAGAGCTGCGTGGGTTGGGTGATATTGGTTGATAGATCTTCTGCGTTTTTTGGTGACTCTGTATTTGTCTTTAATTCCGCATCTGCATGTGCATTTGTATTTGTGTCCATCATAAACTGAGACACCTGTATTTCTAGGGAGGATAGAGTCAAGAAGGACGAGAAGGAAACAAGAGACGATCAATTTTTTACACCAACGATAGATATGCACTGCGGCAAATATATATTCGGTCATTTGGGCATGTGGGCATTCCAAAGATCACTACGTGACGTCATGTTGAAGGATATTCAAATGCACACAGCACCAAGAAATGCGAGAAGAAATCCGATTGAACAATACAATGCATTTCACGATAAAGTTTAAATAACACTTTAAACCTTTTCCACCTTCCACAGCACCATTACACCGCTCCTACACGGAGGTATCCCAATCGAGACGCTTATCCCAACCCGATTTGAGGAGTTCACTGACCTGTTCGACATCCTTATCACCTCTACCTGAGAGACAAATGACGACGTGATCCTCCTTGCGGAGGGTAGAGGCATACTGAGCACCACCCCAGATAGCATGAGCGGATTCGAGGGCGGGGATGATACCTTCGAGCTGAGTGAGCAATCTGAAGCCGCGCAGAGCTTGCTCATCATCAGCGACCATGTACTGCGCTCTACCCGAATCCTTAAGATGGGCATGCTCTGGACCTACACCTGGATAATCGAGACCAGCAGATACAGAGTGAGTCTCGATAATCTGTCCGTTGGCACTCTGTAGGAGATACGTCCGCACACCGTGCAAAACACCAGGCTTACCCTGACTGAGTGTGGCTGAGTGTCTCTGTGTGTCCACTCCATCACCTCCTGCTTCCACACCAATCAATTTCACAGATGGGTCCGGAAGGAAATCGTAGAAGGTGCCGATCGCATTAGATCCACCTCCCACGCAGGCCACGACTGCATTAGGGAGCACTCCCACTTTCTCCATCATCTGCTTCTTGATCTCTTTGCTGATGACGTGCTGGAAATCGCGCACAATCGTAGGGAAGGGGTGAGGACCGATAGCGGAGCCGACGAGGTAGTGAGTTGAGGAAAGGTTAGTGACCCAGTCACGCATAGCTTCATTGATAGCGTCTTTGAGTGTCTGTGCACCGCTGGTGACTGGAATAACGCGTGCACCTAACATACGCATCCTGAATACATTCAATCCCTGACGTCTAACATCTTCAGCTCCCATGAACACATGACAATCGAGGCCGAAGCGAGCACAAACTGTAGCTGTAGCAACACCGTGTTGACCGGCTCCCGTTTCAGCAATAATACGTTTCTTACCGAGACGCTTTGCGAGGAGGATCTGACCGACGGCGTTATTAATTTTGTGAGAGCCGGTATGATTAAGATCCTCACGCTTGAGCCAAATGCGCGCGCCCTGGGCGTGTTCAGTGAGACGAGTTGCCTCATAGAGGTAGGATGGACGACCCATGTACTCGTACATGCCCTCCAACTCTTGCCAGAAGGAGGGATCACTTACGGCAAGACTATGTGCTGCCTCCAGCTCAGCGAGGGCGTCGACAAGCGCTTCAGGAACATACTGACCACCGAACTCACCAAAACGGGCTGGATGACCTGTCATTGCGTCAAGCAAAGGCTCAGGCATGTTGGGAGCAGGTGGGTGCTCAGCAGCGTTGCGCTCAGTCGGTGGATCGATTGGTGGCGCTGCTGCTGCCTTGTGCCCAGAACTTGCCTTGGCATCGGCACAAACATCAGCGCAGTAGCTCACAACAGCTGCATTGATGTCACGACCTTCTTTGTGTGCATCGCGGACGAGATTGATGATGCGCGAGCCAATGACAACACCATCAGAGCCAGCGTCTGCGACAAAGTTGAAGTGCTCGCGCGTGGAAATGTTAAAACCGACAGCGAGTGGATTGGAGGTGTATTTTCTAATACGAGCGAGAAGCTGGGGAATATCAGTCGAGACGTCTGTGGAAGAACCAGTAGTGCCCATCTGAAGAAGAGTGAAAATGAGCTAAGACAGGAACACGCAAACAACGACGCACCTTGGAGACAACATACATAAACGAGTCAGTAATGCTAGCAAGGAACTGAATGCGTGATTCGGTGGTAGATGGAGCGACGAGTGGTATGTAAGAGAGACCCTCTGAAGTGCAGATATTACGGAATTTAACAGCTTCTTCTGGAGGCAAATCGACCATGATGTAACCAGAGGCACCGGCGTCTTTGGCGTCCTTGACTGCTTTCTCTTCGCCGTAGCTAAGGACAGGATTGTAATAGCCCATCAGCATGACAGGTGTTTTCAAACCACGCTGTCTAGCCTGACGAACGAACTCGAGGCAGTCCGCGTAGGTGATTCCGTTTGACACAGCGACAGTGTTGGCTGCCTGGATCGATGGACCGTCTGCGATTGGATCAGAGAATGGCACACCGAGCTCGATGATGTCTGCGCCGCCTTTCTCGAGCGACAGCATCAAATCGACGGTGCTCTCTCTGTGTGGATAGCCAGCTGTCATGAATGTGCTGTGCGGGGTAAGTCTTTGTCTTGTCTCGTTTCTGCTGCTGATACGCACACGAAAGCTGGTTTGCCCTGGAAATGACGGTGTGAGTGGGGGATCTATGCAGGATTACCACGCACAACGCACATTTGAATGGCACTGCGAGAATGTTTCCCTGATGTGTGTCGACATGATCGGCGTAGCAAAACAAGAATGGTGGCGGTGGGAGATGGGAGATGGAAGGTGAACGTGAGAGATGGCGGGAAATAAGGATATTTCGGCGCATGTGCGCGCGCACGTAGATCCACATACACTCTCGCTCTCGCTCCACTCGTGCCACCCAACCATCATGAGCGCCCCATCAAAGACCATCTACTTCACGCGCCACGCGCAAGCTGAGCACAATGTCGCGGACGACTACAGCATAGCCGATGCGCCATTAACCGCGCTCGGGCGAGAGCAATCGGCGCGACTGTCCCCACTGACAGCGGGTACGATACAAAAAACGGCGGAGCTGGTAGTGAGCTCACCGTTGCGCCGCCCCATGCAAACCATGCTCGAGGGGTATCCAGAGTTAGTGCAGCGACTGCAATCCGCCGGTAAGCCACCGCTACTTGTCACTATTGCGCAAGAGATCAACGCGTACCCCTGCGATACCGGCAGCGAGCCCCACCTCCTCACAAGCGACCCTGAGTTCGCCTCGCTGGACTTCTCGGATGTCCACCCAAACTGGACTAACAAGCAGGGCATTTACGATCCAGCTAACGCTGGCGAGAGAGCGCGCAAGTGCAGGGAGTGGATCAGACAAAGACCAGAGAGCGAGATTGTTTTCGTGGCTCATGGCGATATACTCAGGTGGATCACTGATGGTTATAATTCGGGCAAATATTGGGGTAATGCCGAAGTGCGCACTTATACCTTCAAACATGATGATGATGAGCAGGCTCTCGTCGTGCCTAAGCCTGGTGGCTTGCACTACGAGGTGGGCGATAAGGTGGGCGGAGTTAGACTTTCTAGGCTGGTTTACTGACATTGCTCTACTCAACAGGGCCCCACCAGCTCATCACACCAGTTTAACAAATAAATAATACACTTGAAGATAATTAGATACATTACGGAGATTGCAGTGGATTAGTGTGTGTGTGTGACTGTGGCTGTAAATGATTACTGCTCTCACTCTCACTCTCACTGTCGTTGCTCCCACTCACGCTGCCACGCGGAGACAGATCAGGCCCGAGAGGGATTACCGATCGCGAGCGTTTTGGCGGTGGGCTGCCTTTATGTGAGGAGTAATCGGAGGAAGCGATAACGTCTGAGTCAGGGGAGTGTGAGTCGTTGCTGTCGTTGTCACTGTTGCTGTCGCTGTCGCTATCTTGAGGCTGCACACGATTGAATTCAGCGATAAAGTCGTCATCAGTGGACACGTCAGAGACGGGACTGTGAACATGCTGCGCGTCGCTCAACGGGCTCTGTTGGTGAGGCTCGTAAACCTCCAACGGGGGCTCATCGAACCAGTCAAACGCCTCTGGATCATTATATTTCCTCCTCGACGTGTAAAAAGATTCCATAATATCGCGCATCTCCGCTGCCACGAGGAGAGGATCGTTATTTGCTATGGCGGTGTTTTCGAGCACCTGTAAGCGAGGGAGGAGAGGAGCTAGAGCGGCGTGCAAATAGTCATCATCTTCTTTGGAGTAGGTGTGAGAGTTCTTCTCGTCGTTATCGTTATCCTTGTTGTTGGTGGAGTGTGGGTGGCGTATGTCGTAGATTGGCTGCAGGTGCTGTCGTTGAGCGTGCTGGTAGATGGTTTCTTCGGCGGAAGAGAGGAGATGTCTACGGCTCTTGCGATGGGCGTTATTGTGAGAATAATTATCATCCTCCTCATCATGGTCAAACGCCCTCTTTAATTGGGGATGCATTCTCGTGGCCTCGACACTGTCCAACTCTTCAGTCAGACTGTTGACCGTGCGCGTGTACTGCTGCAGCCTATGCTCTCTACGCTCGAGCTCGCGGTTGTGCACGCCGAGCTGATGTTTCAACTTATCCACGCCATCCTCGAGTGGACGGAGGCGGGATTCGAGAGAGTTAGCAACCGACTGGAGGTCGACGGTTGAGTCTGTGGTGAAAAGCCAGCCAGGTTTGAATTTACGCGCTTGTGTGCTGCGTAGGGAGTTTGGCGGCGGGGGTACTTTGAGCTGGTGGAGTTGAGATTCGAGGGAGGTGGATAATTGGGTAAATAGATTACGAAGGGTCTCCTGGTACCTGTCGTTGGCGCGTGCAGGGGGGGTTTGCCGTATGAGCCGGACAATGAACATTCTGAATTGGTTCTTAGTGAGACTGGGAATGTTAGACCATTTGGTGTTGATCTCTGATTGGTTGGTTTGTTTGGTGTGGATGGGTGGGGGTGATGGTGATGGCGATGATGACATTGGCGGAATAAGAAGACATTGGTGGAATAAGACGTGTAGATAGACGTGTAGAGTACAAAAAAGGCGATACAAATGATTTAAAACAATTAATCACCTATTTTACGCGGTTTCCAAGGCTTTTTACATTGTAAATTTGGGCAACTGGATGGGTTGTATTGAATGGATTGAGAGTGGGTGATTGCAGTATTGCAGTGTTTGCAGTAGAAGCCCTCTGTGACCAATAAACCATCAAAATGAGATTTGTAGAGATCGTGATCAACGAGATCGTCGAGTAGACTACTCAGTTCAACGATAGATCTTATACCGATGCATAAATCATTGCCAGACTTAACCAACCAATCAGATTCAACGAATTTGTCAAGTAGATATTCGATATGTAGTTTAGACAGTGTGCTTGGTGTATTCAAAGCGTCATTTGAGTTTATAGAGTAATTGTTGTTCAAAATGAATTCTAAGAGCGATCTAAAGAATACCAAATCTAACTGGGTGTAGCTATTGCCCAATAGAGTATCGCCAGATAAATTCACTAATACCACTAAACCACGAGCAACTTTCAATTCCATTGAGAATATTGATAGTCGTTTGTTTACATTTTCAATTGCAGTATCTAATTGCACGCCAGATAAACCAATCAAATCACTCAATTCATCCAGCTTGATCACTTTATACGCGTAAAGCACTTGTACTATATCAACTTCGATGGACGTCATGGATAAATCAAACAAAATCAATTCAGTGTCCATATTGAATTCATTTTTGATAGATTCCTTGTTACTTAAGCTCACTTCCACTCAATCACTCAGCGATCTCGTTCCACCACGCCACTTTGAAGATGTCCAGTTCCTTGAAATTCAAAATAACCTCAATGATGATTTGAAGTCTAAGCTCTTCACCATTAAGCAGAATATCGAATATGAATTTATCCACAACGACTACGATTACTCCACCTCAGACGACACCCAATACCAATACTCAATTTCAATCCACTCTGCTATCAACTTTCTTAAGAAGTCTATAAATGATCAAGCTTTCCTGATTTTCATCTTGTCCAACGAAGAAGACTCCATTAAACGTCATTTAGAGTCTAAAATTAAGGAGCTGTCTCACTCCAGTCTACCCCTCCACACTCCAAATAAGTTAGAAATCCTCGATAAATTCAACCAGCTACAACAACCCCCTCAACAGACCCCCGGTTCAACTCCCACCACTTCCACTTCCTCTTCTTAATTCATACTCGCCAGCTTCATTTCCTGTATTATTCTATTAGCCACCTTTACTTAATCAATACTCTCCTCACCATGAATCTATCCGCTATTGGTACTGCCTTCACTTGTCTCCCACCAAACCATCTTCCATTGAGTCCATTAATTGCCTTCTGTGCACCTTCAAGCGTCGCAAATTGCAGTACTATCTCTCCCTCCTCGCTATTCCTATCCACACCAATCTTGCTCACCTTTCCATATTTACTCTCGCACTCCTCACCCACATCCTCAGCTAGCTCCTTCTCCCAACCAGCCTCCGTCTCTTCGCTGCTCTTGAACATATACTTGAGTAGTACGCAATCTGTTTTCATCATTGACCTCTCCTTCTCCCTCTGCCTGACGATCTCTTCCTGCCTCGCGCGCACCTCCTCTTCCTGTGCGCTGGCAGCTGGGTCATGTGAGCGCATGAGTGTCTTCATCAATTCGTGCCGAGAGATAGAGTTGAGATTAAGGCCCTCGTTCTCAATGCTTTGTTCGGGCATGCGAACGGGAGTGCCGTAGTGATTAACGAGCAGCACTTTGAGAGATCTCCCCGCCAGCTCGAAGCGGTTCATTTGCTCGCACGCCATGCGACTATCTTCCATACGTCTGTACTTGACATAAGCATAGCCTTTTGATTGCCCTTCGCCATCCTTGCCTAGTTCTACCTCCTCGATCGCGCCAAAGGGGGCAAAGACACCGTGAACGTCCTCCTCACGCAGTGCATAGCTGAGACTGCCCACAAAGACCTTATACAAGGCGGGGTCGTTAGCGGGAGAGAGGGAGGAGTCATTGGCGTGGGCGTGTGAGGATGGTTTGGAGTTGTGGCTTGGAGGTGCACGTGCGCGTCTCCCCTCATCGCCTGCCAAACTCGCGTTGGCGTTCGTACCACCACCACCACCCCTCGCCATCCTGTTCTTGTCTGCCTCGCTCTGGGTGACTATCATAGGAATCCCGTTGAGCAGCTCCCCGCTGAGCTCGAGAGCACTATCGATCATGCTCGCAGTGCGCACCTCCACGTACCCAATGCCCTTGCTACGGCGACTGTTCTTGTCGCTCACCACCCGCGCATCCACCACACCGCGACTACCCAACTTCTCCTGAAAGAAGCGGCGAAGGTCGTGGCTCGTTGTGCGTGTACTGAGCTGGTTTACAAACACACTGCGCTGCTCCGATTCCAGACTGTCGACATTCTCCGACAGCGGTATCTCGGGTGAGCGTGGGCGGGTCTGGCGTGGCGGGCGGGCGCGTGGACGGGGCGAGTGCGGGGAATGGGACCGCGACCGCGACCGTGAGCGTGATCTTCTACGGCGGTGAGAGTGGGTGTGCGCCGAGTCCCTTCTCTCATACCCCTCATAGCGGCTGCGGCGTCGCTCGTGGCGCTCTCGCGAACGGTCTCTGGAGCGAATATCGCGCATGTCACGCACGTCTCGCCCGTCTCGTACGTCGCTGCCTATCTCGTGTGTGTGTACGTCTACATCGTCTGGGGAGAGGCGTGGGGAGCTGAAAGATGGGAAATGGTTAGAAAATATCCACATTCACAGCCAAACACCCACTATCTATCACCAGCAGACATGAATAATAATTTATTCAAACTACTCGTCTTGGTTGTTTACCGTCAAGAGAAGGAGAGAGATGCCGCTCAATTACGACAAATGGGCGAATCTCGAGTTGAGTGATGACAGCGATATTGAAGTGCATCCCAACGTCGACAAGAAATCTTTTATCAAGTGCGCTTCCCTTCGCGGCGCGGACTGCCCGCTTACACGTCCACAGGTGGAAACAGCAGGACATTCATCACAAGCGCGAGGAGCGCAGAAGCGCCCTGAAGAAGCTGGAAATAGAGCGCGGTATTAACGCCGTCCTACTTCCCCGCGTACAGGCTATTCGCGACGGCGTGCACGAACACGGCCCACAAGTGTTCAGCGCTGAGGTCGCACGCCTCGGCAACACTCCGTCCCCTGATAAACCTCTCACCGACGCTCCGGGTCAGCCCACCTACGACGAGATGATGCAGAACCTTTTTATCCAGGTCTGGGAGAAGGCCAGGGTGTTTATTGACGACAGCGAGAAACTGGCGGCGGAGCTTATCAGCCAGCTCACGAAGACTGAGGAGAGTGTTCTACACAGGAATTCAGCTATAGCTGATGAAATAGCCGCTATTGAGGTCGAAGAGGGTCAGAAAATCACAAGCGAGGGGATCAGAACCGGTTTTGACAGCTCCCATGTGAACAAGATTGGGCAAGAGGAGAATAAGTCACAGCAACAACACTCCCAGCCATCCCAAAAATCCCTAGAAGTCCTTAATCCAGACGCTGCCACGAACACCCCCGCTAACACCGCCAACAACACCGCAGACGACCTCCCCTCTCTTACCCCCTCCATGGCCACACTCGCCCGCATACCTCTCCGCCAGTACAAGGCCCTGGTCGAGTTAATAGCAGCCGACAAAACGCTCCTGAGTGACGTCACCACAGACGCCCTCTTCGTCGAGGCATTCAACGCCGGGATGGAGAAGAAGACCACACATGCCCTTCAATGTGTCAACGCGGGGCTATTTATCCAATACTGCAACAAACTCGGCAAGGATGGTCTCAGTTTGTTCATGCAGCGTCTCACCCAGGCCAGAGAGGCAGAGGCAGTGTTTATGAAGGATGTTCAAGACACCCATGCGCGCATTATGGAGCGCAGTGCGGTGCTAGCTGAGCAGTCGAGCAGCACCAACAATCCACAGGAAAAGGAACAGATACAGTTGATGAGCGAGGGAGACACCGCTATCACCTTCGACGTGCCTGAGGGACCTGCGCCTGAGAACATTATCCTCGAAGGCGACGCTAAGCTCCAGCAACTCGACAGTGAGACTGTCAAGCAGTGGCTCAATCAGCGCTGGAGTATTTTCGAAGCCTTTGACGGGGAATTGAAGCAAGCTCTATCTTCTAACTCTCTCGACAATGTCAACAAATATCTCGCTAATTTGCCAGTCTCCTCCGCGGAGAACATTGTCAAGGACCTCGATACCGCTGGGATACTCAACTTTAGTTCGAGCGAGATAAGGGATGAGACGGGTGTGTGAGGTGTGCCATGTGCGCCGTGTGCGCCGTGTGTTTTGTAGAGAGTGATTTGAATTAATTATCTTATCGTTAACATCAACGTCCATGGCCTCGGGAGCGCGTCGCATACTCAATCTATTCCGCAAAGGCGGAGCACAGAACAAACGCAGCACAGCCAACGCCGGCACGCTCAATTCGCTCTTCCATCCGCTGCCAGCGTCGCCCATACCGGCCATGCGGGCACTAGGTGAGCGAATAGCGCGCAAGGGGCGGTGTCCGACGACGGGCGAGAGTCCTTTGGGGTACGTGTGTCCAGTGAGTGGCTACCCAACGCACGTCGACGAGGCAGCGTGGCGAGCAGACGCCACGCACGAGCACTACCACGAGTATGCGCAGCGGCTGCGCGAGGTGAATGAAGATGAGCACGATCTGCGCAGTGGGCGCGACATGACCGAGTTCGAGCTGCCTCCTACGCAAGATCTCGAGCACACTGTCAACCTCAAGAGCTGGGAGATGTTATTCTACACGCGCAATTTCAATAGCATCGACAGTCTGCGGTCCCAGCGCCATCTCTCGCGTCTCCTCAGCTATCCTATGACCGTGGCAGGCGTGCTGCACGAGCTGGGTCCATATGCTGACCGTGCGGGTGGGCGGGTCAGTGGGGGCGGCGAGCGCAGCCTCCTCGCGCTTCGTCACACCCTTCACAAACAGCCCACTCCTTACTCACCGCCGACACCGCCCGTGCGTATTTTCATCCCAGGCGCCCGCGCTGAATCTCAGTTGCCTCCGAGTGTATGGATGCAGCTCGCTCACCTCTTCCCGCACGCTCGTTTGCATGTCTATTTCGTTGGCCCGGAAGTCAACGCCGAGGAGACAATACGCCCGTTCGGCGTGCCCGGATGGAGCACCACCGTCAATTCTCACCTCACCCTCAGCGCTATCCAGGCTAGCTGGGAGGAAGTCCACGATGCTTTCTACCCCTACGACCCCTTTACTGATATCTTCTTCAATTTTCACCCAGGTTTAGGCTTCCCATCTATGCTGCCCTCCAGTCACAGACCAAGCGAAGGTCTGGGTCAGCGCAACGGCCAAGTCGTCCCCTTCCGCGAATTCACTCCACAGATAGATGCCGAATGGGCAACCGCATTCGATAAAATGCTCTCCACTAAATGTCCAATCGTCTGCACGGCTTTTGGTCACGCAGATATCAAGCGCGATGTAGACGCTCTACTCAACAGCAAACAAATCACACAGGAGTGGGAAACCGTCATCGAGCCTGGCAACAACGTCTTTAGCAGTCAACGTTGGGAAGTCGCCGAGTTCGATACACGCGTCATGATTAAATCTAATTGGGGTTTGTGGGCCGTGCGAGGTAGGCGCTACGATATACAAAATGTCGAAATGGAGGATTGACGGGGAGTCTTGATTTTGAGTACTTTGTGAACAACGCGCAGTATAGACTTATTTATGCATAGTTACATTACATTTGAGAGCAATTGAGCATGCGATAAAGTAAGCTAGTGATGAAGAGAACAATTGAACGAATCAGCAAGTGAAAATGACCAGCAAACTAAAGCACGATGGCAAGCGTACCCCCTACAGCAGCCAGAATAGTAGCCCACACGACAGCCAAGTAGAACACCTGTAACTGCACGCGACTGACGATGGGTTCGTCAACGCTCGTCAGTGGTTCAAACACACCACGCACACCTGCACTCTTTGGTTGAGTGTGGCGAGTCACCGTACCAAATCGTTTCAAGTATCCAGGCTTGTTTGGCACGAATGGCGTATCGATGTAAGGTACGTAAGTCGCTGTCGTCGTCACGGGCGGCACCTGTTCAAATTTGCGTTTCATGCGCGTATTAGCACTTTTCAGAGCGTCTTCGTGGTAAAATGTTGTGTCATATTCGTCGCATTTGTCTACCTTGTTTATCTTGTCACTACCGCGTTCTGCATTGTTCGGAGTAGTGTATGTGTGCGATGTTTGCGATGTATTGTCGTCGGAATTGCTGCGATGCGATGTCGTGGTATTTGAACGTTTGGTATTAAGTCCATATGCATCAGCGCCGACGCCAAGCGTTCCTGGGGGCGGTATGAGTGGGTGTATTCTCATCGTGTCTCACCCAACTCACTTTCGTCGGATGTGTGAGTTTTAGCACTACCACTACCACTGCTAGTATGATAAAGCGTCGAAGGCGCCATCGCGAGCTCTATTGGATGTAGTTGACGCGCGTCTGTGTCGTTTGAGTGGGTTTCTTAGCACGTCTAGCCCATTCTACACACCACCGAACATGAAGACGACGATGCATATCTAAATGGGAAACGGTATGAGCGAGACGCTTATATAAACACCTCCAACCCACGCCATGCAATCCCATCACAAAAGTAGCGACGCCGAACCAAAAGAATGGGATAGAAGCACCAGCAGTGCGTCTACCGCCGTCGCCTGTGATTAGCTCTATTAGCAGAGTAGTACGATTATGGAAAAGAACATCACACCCTTCTGATAAAGACGCGCAACGAGCACGATAAGCAGACCAAAGAGACCAAAAAGAACACCAACAAAGAGCGCAAACCAGCCACGCTTGCGTCCTCCATTAGCTGGGGATTTGGCTGAGAATTTGCGTGCGCTGCCGCGCAACATCTGCACAACAGCATGTTTGCACTGCACAAGAGGCACAGCGTCAGCTGGGGGAGGGAGAACGGCGTGTCTATGCGTTGATGTGAGATCACCGACATCTACATACTGCTGTGGAGCAATCATAAGCAGTTCCTGGATAAGCTTTGATGGCAGATTGAGCTCGTATGCGCTGCCAGGGAGGATGAAAGTAGAAAGAGAACGCTGGTATTGCTGAGACATTTCATCGATCACTTCTGCCGCATCGCTGCTGCTACGTTGGTTGTTGTTGTTGTTGTTAATGCCATTGTTATTGCTTATAGAATTCAATTTCTCGTGCAACGACGCGTAATGTGCCAACCAGCGCAGGTAAAAGAGATTCTCGACGCTGTTCTCGCTGAAGACGAGGTAGTCTTGGAAATCGACGAGAGTCTGTGGGTGAAAGCAGTTGTAAGCGCACCACGCACACCACTCACACAAACGACACTCACCAGTGGCGGGAGGTAGCTGTCGTTGAGAATGCTCTCGAGCGTGACAGCATCGAGCGGCGTCGCTGCACAGGAACGCACTTTAAACCTGGGCGCAGAAGGGATCGCCGGTGGAGCAAATACGCGGCGCGGGAGATTGAGCAGTGTGCGCCAGGAACATCTGAACGAGGAGGGGCGGGAGTGGGAGATTGTGAGTGAGACGTCTTGGTTGGAGGAGTGTGGTGTATCTGATGAATCTGTTGCTATTGCTGTTGTTGTTGGCATCGACGTCGGTGTGATAGATGTTTACACAATCTTGATAAGATTTTCACACTCTCGTGTCTCAGAATTTGTGGATTAATGACTATTGCGCAAATTGGCTCTTTTGAGTGTACACAGGCCATTTTGAGAGATCTGATGCTAGGACTGGACGAGTATTATCATCCAGCGTGTGCCTATATTATGGCTAAGATTGTGTAGCCTATAGCAGCCACAACGAATACGACAACAATGCAAATTCCAAGTTTTATAGACGAGCACTTAGCGCACCCATCTCAAATCAACACGATATCCCTTTCTAGTCACCACTACCCACCCCAACTAATCAGATCGAAGCAACGAATCGATCGGATGCAAATGGAATGTGTGACTGGAGTGCATAGACAAAGACAATAATGTCGGAAGGTACTGGGAGATAGTGAAAATCGCAGTTATCGGCGGTGTCTGTGCGAGACGGAGTACACAATGAGAAAGGGGAAATGAGAGAATAGAGGAGTGAAAATTGGCTTTAATTTGCAACAAGAAGGACAAGACGGGAAGGAATGAAAAGATGAAATACCGCAGTAGGGAAGGTGAAGCAACTACTTCAACTCCAATCAAATTAATTTTCAAGTGGATAAATGGACACAGTCTTTCTGGATAAGGCGTTGGCGTTGAACATGAATGAGTGAGTGGAGTGTTTACTGAGCACACAATCTCCTAATAGAAGACACAGGAAGCCAACGAGCGGATTGAAGGAGAATCCAATACACAGCGTGAACGAGCAGAAGTTCATTGATGCGAACTCTGATATCTCTGGTGAGTTGGAGTGATTCGTACGGGATACTTTGACATATTCCCGCTTAGATTCTGATCAATCCACGCCCGATCTACAAGTAAAGACAAATTCACGCTCGAATTCTCAGACATCCTCTGATAGAAACTCACGCTATCAGACGATGCAGGTACAACTACAGTTACAGTCCCAGCCACAGCCATCAGTCCAACACCCACAGCAGCCACCTCCACCGCATTCTCCACCACCGCAGATCCCCCTCTCCCAAGAGCACCTACACGTAAACTTCCCTACGCCACCTTCATTCAGACAATACCACAACCTGCCCTTCCCAAATGATCAATCGACCATTCCAGGAACTCCCCCACTTAGCCCACCTATCACAAACAGCGCTGGATACTTTACCCACCCAAATTCCTCCAGGATAAAGTCCAGCTATGATTTTGGCGGTGGCTATCTTAATGGCGGCGGCGGTGGCAGTGTCAACGGCCTCGGCAACACCAACACCAACACAAACTACCTCAACTCCTCCTCCACAAACCTCAACGAATCCGCTCAAAGAAGCTCAGATCTTGCTAATTGGGCTCCGTCTAGAGCAACGCCCGCTCAGCAATCCTCTAACATCGCAAACCTCCCTGACTGGAGGATCATTGAAGGCGACAGAAAAGCTCAGACTTCTCTGCCAACTTCGCTAGTCCAGGCCGATTTAGATTACTCAATGCGCCATCTTCTATCTGAAAATGTCTTTGAGGAGTTGATCAGAGATCCACTCGGCAGACACAGATTCAGAGAGTACCTCGAGCAATCCTCATCCCCATCCACCTACAAACTTGACTACTGGACCGATGTGGACGTCTTTGAGCGCATCGTAGGTCAAATCAGGGCTGGCTCACAAGCTCTCCACGACTTGTACATTGCTCCGTCTTCGAATACTAAAGTCGATATGCCTCCAAATCATTCAGAAATGGTGTTCCACAGACTGAGATACCTCAATGAGCTCGATTCTGGCCTTCTTCACTCCCAAACCAATCTCCTCCACTCTCTCTACGAGATTGACTTCCAAAATTTCATCAGACACAAGCTCATTGAGAGGAGCAAGGTGAGACTCGGGAAGGAAAATCTCAACGATCTCGAGCGCAATGGCCTCGGGGACTCATTCGTACTCACAAACCCAAGACTGAGAGATCACCCTATTGTCATGTCCAGTCTTGGTTTCACGAAGGTAAGCAGAGTACGGTGAGTTGTTTACCTGCTCACGTATCTGTACAGGTCAGTGGATTCGACAGAACTACCATTATAGGACGCAATTGCAGATTCTTGCAGGGTCCAGGTACAGCGCCAGCCTCTGTGCAGCGTATAAGAGACGCACTCAACAATGCCGAGCCGATTACAGAGCTACTTCTCAATTACCGTCGCGATGGCACACCGTTCTTCTGTCTGGTGAACATCATCCCGCTCCGCGACACCAAAGGCCAAGTAGCGTACTTTATCGGTGGACAGGTGAACGTAACTGGGATACTATCATCCAAGAAGAATCTATCATTCTTGGTTGGTGGGAGTGCACCATATATCTCCAACGAGGCTGTCAGTAACACCGCCGTCGCATTCTCGCCGACGATGCAGCGTTACAATAACCACGAAAGGCAACCAGAGTCGATGAGCAGAGTTGGCGCAGGCAGCATTGCAGCTGGTAGTTTTGAAGACCAGTCTACAAAGGAGGCCTTCAACGGTGCGCGTGCGTTTGATCATTTCCAGCCAGAACCTGAGAAATCCGGTAACATTCTCAGTCGTCTGTTCAACTCTTCTCAGGCTAAAAAGGATAAACGCGCACAAGATAAGTCTGCACAACGTCTCCCTGGCGCTGAGAATATGCTCGGGAAGGAGGCACAACCGATCGAGAAGCAGATGGAGTTCTTCAACCACACTTACAACAAACTTATGATAGTGAAGCGTGAGAAGAGGGAGATTGTATTTGTGACAAAGGAGTTGCTGGGATATTTAGGACTTCCAACTGAAACAATCAAACAATGCACTGACAGTCAACTAAACCACCAAGATCTTATTCAATTACTGACGTGTGGATCAGAACATCGTCTCGAATCGAAACGCATCAAGACGGCACTCAAGCAGGCGTTTAAAGAGGGTATACCACTTAGTGTCACTTGCGGTATCAAATGTAGATCTAAATTCAGTCTTAGAGGCAACTCGTCGAATACTGATATACGATTTGGCGTGTTGCATGCAACGCCGCTCGAGGATCGTGATGGAGGAGTGTATGCGTATGCTGTAGTTTTTGGATAGGTTGGTGATAGTAATGAGGTATAATAACCCAAAGCTTTCTCTTTCTTCTTCTTTTTCCAATTTCTTCGTTTTGTTACTTTGTTATCAGTGTTAATTTGCAAAACACGCGATAACCGCACAGCCATAGCTTAAATTAGAAACATCAAGCTAATAATGTAATAGATTCTTGGATAATTGTTATGTATTTCATTTTTCTACGTGTTTGCAGGTATGTGAGAAATTTCATCCACCGCGTGCTGTTTTTGTCGAGAAAGTTGTTATTGATGCGAGAGGACGGGTATGAGGGGAGTGTATCAGAGATGAGTATATACACACTCGCATACTTGCACTTTCACTCCGTCTACAAGAACACCCACAGAATGTTGCATCTTCCAGACCGCATACAGAGCGCCGAAAGGAGCAAAACGGTGGCGATGGATACGAGCGGTTCAAGCACCACACCCAATCCTAAACCCACTGCGTTTCCACCGCTCCAGCACAGGATGACGTTCCACAGAACGAAAGGATCGTTACTACGCCCACCACCGAGTCAGAAGGTGGACATTGATCGATGTAGCGATATAGGACAGCTGCAGGAGATAATCCACCGCTTCGACAGGCTGTCTACGAAGAAGCTCCTCCCTGTGGAGACACTGGCAGCGAAGCGGGAGCACGCACAGAGGCGCATCAGCGAGCTAGAGAAGAGGGATGAGGAGAAAGTGCACGAGGGTATATCCAATATGTCATTGAAGAGTGCCACCGAGAAACCAGTCGACTCGAGCGTCTTCATGAGCACACACGATTCACTAGCTCTCCAGAAAGAGGAGGTCACACGACAGGAGAGTGCGCGCATGATGAGCGAGGTCGTTCACAGTAGCAGAAAGGCGCAGGATGAGGCTTATGCGCAGTTCGTTAGTGATAGCGATGATAGCGAGGATAGCCAAGACGACGATAATTGGCTCTTGCCCTCCTTCTCGCGTCGTAGGGGAGACGCACACAGCGCGCACGATGAGCAAGATGAGCAACTCGAACAGATAAACAACCTCGATATCAATGAGGACGAGCTGACTAATGCACACGTAGACGCTGCAGGCAGTCTGCTCGAGCGTGGCGATACGTAGGTGTGAGTGCGTGACTGCGTGATGCAAGCGTCGACCATCTATTAATGTAGAATAAACGTGTATAAATGTATGAATCTAAGGCATGTGTTCCATATGCTCCATCTTAATCCAGCGGATGCACACAAGCACCAGAAGCAGGCAGAGTAGCGAAAATAGCCTGCTCAAGCTCATCCTTACCAAGGCCCTGGTACTTACTGTACCTCTTGGAGACATTCTCAATGAAGCGGGGAACGATATGTGCCGGGACAAGGCTGACAGTGGACCCACCCCAACCAGCGCCAGTTAGTCTACTACCGAGTGCGCCTTCCTCGCTTGCTATGGAAGTAATTTCGTCAATTTCCTTACAGCTGCACATGAATTGATCTCTGCAGCTATCCTGCGACTGGCCCATAATCTGACCGAGCAACTTGGGTAAATTTTGCATGTTACCATCAGCGCCTGTCTCAATAGCCCTTCTGAATTCCAATACACGAAGCGCCTCTTCCAAGATATGTTTGGCGCGTGAATAAAGTCTGTACTTGCCACCGAGAGGCTCGACAGCGAGGGAGAGGTAAGTGTCAGCGAAAGACTGTTTAGACATATCCAAAGCGTCGATGAGATCATCTTCGCTCAGTCCATCGCGCACACTATCGTTTCCGAGATGGTGTTCGATAGCTTGCAAGGTTTTTTTGAACGCCGCACGCAGCCCTGCGGTAGGGTCGGTGTTGTCCACACTCTCCCCCGTGAGACTGTGTTCTCCACCGGCAACCTCACTGACGATCTGTCGATAGGACACTTTATCAGCAGGTGTATACGCCAACCCCAGTCTCTTGGCGAGGAGAGCCGCACCGGCGAGAGTCTCGACGACGCGTAAGTTGTAGTTGTATTTCGCCGTTGTCGCTTTATCGGATGTTACGAGGGTGTTGGCAATGACGAAGCTGATGGCGGGGTCTGTGGCGGGGATAGGAACGGGGTCGCCGGCGAGCTGAGGGAAGAATTGGACATAGAGAGCGGCAGCAGGAGTGGATATGACGGAGGCTGCCTGGTCCATACCGCCTGTGTTGACACCCACATTGCCCTCGGCGCCCATGGACATCTTGACGAGATCGCCCTTGGAGATGCCTTCAAGGCGTGCGTTGGCGGCGAGGAGAGCGAGAAGAGTGCTGATTACCATGGCTGCAGAACTGCTCAGTCCGGATCCTGCAGGGACCGTGCCATCGTAGAGCATGTCGAGACCTGCAGACTGACCACCAGAGTGGGGGTGTTTGAGGTAGCCCTGGAGCGAGTCAGCGTCGGATTGAGCCAGACAAAAGCATAAGAGCCCACCAGCAATGCCGCCTTGACGTAGGAATGCCATTGGAGATGGCGTATTTCAATGTCGACGGCTGGACCACCGCTGTAGCTCGGAGTAAAGGCGGTTGGGGGGTACTTGGGATCGACGTTTTGCGCTCTGATCTCATGGGTGTCTGCACGCGGACCAATAGCGATGATCACATCGGGGACAATGGCCATCGGGACGACGCCGAAGAGAGCATGATCGATGTGTTCACCGATGAGATTGACACGGCCGGGAGCCCTGACGATGAAAGCGGGTTTGTAGCCGTAGTGAGATTTGAAGGATTCAACCAACGAATTCCAGCGAACACCTTGATTGGTTACTCTGTCCGCGGGGTAAACCTGGAGAAGGCGTGAGAGTGGAGCGGTGGGTAGACAGCCAGCGTACTTTATCGAGGGCATCGACGGTAACAAGCGGGAGATCTGCTGGTGCAACCATTTTAGCTGGTGGAAGAGCGAAGATAAGGCGATAAGTGGGGTGGGATGTGACTTCGGTGTACAGAACAAGGCAAGGTTGGAGGTTCGAAGCCGGGCTGGTACCGATTGAAGTTAACGCGCATTGACACACCCACCTACACCACCACACACCATCATGGAAGACTCCGAGATTAGTAAGATGACTTTGTCTGGAGTAGACATAAGCGGAGACAGCCGTGGAGATAACCGTTAAACAAGAACAACGACAAGAACAACGACAATGCAAATAACATCACCAAACAACAGAATAACCTTGCAAGTACTCGAATTTGGATTGACAGTGCACAGTCTCCAGATAAATCTCAGTAATGGTGAGACCATCGACGTTATCCCAGCGCCAGACGTGGAGGACCACCAGAAGAGTAAATTCCTGCATACGATAATTGGGAGATATACAAACAGACTTCCTGTTGGGAATCATCAGATAGATTCATCGACCTCATTCACTCCACAACTCGTCGAGGGTGATAGCGTATCCCTCCACGGCGGTGTAGACGCTTTCGATAAGAAGTTGTTCGCCCCTATTAAACTTGAGCAGGCGCAGCTATACGCTGAAAACGACAGACTCCCCAATCACTCCATGGCTTTGTTCAATTATGTCTCATCTTCTGGTGAGAATGGCTATCCTGGCACTATGCTAGTAGAGGCAGCCTTCTTCCTCAGTGACCACAGCCTGATTCTCACCCACCGCGCCAAGATGCTCGATGAGGTTGCATGTCCGATCAACCTCACCCAGCACTGGGGATTCAATCTCACAGCGGACCAGGTCAAGTCATCTACCATCGCCGACCACGATCTATACCTGAATGCGCGCAGCATCGCCGAAACAGACCCAGCGACCAAACTTGCTACTGGCAAGAGCGTGGCGATACAAGGCACGCCATTCGACTTTTCAACGCAGCGCAAGATCGGTGATAGGGAGATCGTGCAAGACCACTACTACCTCTTTGACAGAAATGCACGCGGCATAGACAGGACAATCGCACACTCACTGCAGGATGTGAAACCGGCAACGGAGATCGCACAAACTCACCAGCCTCAGCTTACACTCGAAAGTGGAGACGTCGCACTCAGGTTCCACACCAATCAGTCTGGCGTCATGTTTTACGCTGGCGGTAAATTCGATAAGAGTGCTGCACATCGCAAGCCGTGCCATGTCGATGATAAGGATAGAGACGCAGCTTACCCCAGACATGGCAGCGCGTTTTTCGAATTTCATCACCCCCTCGCTACGTTTTTGCACGACGAGTACGCAGCTCACGCGAATACATCGACCATTCTCAACAAGGATGAAGGGAATGTGTACCAAAACTGGGCCAAGATTGATGTGGTGGTGAAGTGAGTATGTATCCATATATTCTTTACTTTCTTTACTTTCTTTACTTGCCGAGTCGCTTCCTTTCTGCACGGTGTGCCTGTTGATTGGTTAGAAGAGTAAATGTAATACATCCCTCACAAACCTTCCTACGTTTCCTATACTTGTGCTTGTTCATTTTCTTCTTTCTCTTCCTCTTTACGCTGTCGAGCTCGATTTGGAGGCTTTCGCCGAGGCCGATTCTAGCGAGAGCACCCCTGTAGTCAGCCAACTCAGTGATCTTGACTTTAAAGAGAGCACAATCGATATCGTCGAGGATAGAGTCGATCTGGTCATCGTTGAGTTTGTGCGGTGCTGGAGTGGCACTCGAAGGGAGAGCAGGACCAGAAATGAAGAGTGGGCGATGAGCAGCAACGAAAGTTTCAAAAGCAAGGTTTTGCTTGTTTTCTAATGCCATGACTTCCCTGTCTTCTGGCTGCTCTTTCACCTGCAGTGTCCTGTCGAACGCGTTTATCGATGAGAATTGCGCTGCGTGGGTGGGCACTCTAAGAACCCGCCTCAATCTGGATGTATATCTTCCACTGAGCATTTTAAACTCCCAATTTAGATTTTATCGTCTTTATCGACGACCACGATGCCACGATCTGTTATCCAAAGAGTTTTAAATGGAAATATTTTAAATTTTACACGTTCAATTAGTAAAGTTACTAGGCCAGTTGCACTCACTATGCCTGGGAACATCCCACTCTTCCCGACATTCACCACGCTTCTCAATAGGCGACCAACCTTACCAGCCATTTCAGCTATTGCTGCGAGTGGATTGAGATTCGGCTCAAGGTTGGTGGATCGCTACCTTCTTCTCCACTCCAGCTGACAACCTTACAGAGGCACCGACTATCAGCCATCGACACGCAAGAGAAAACGCACTTTCGGCTTCTTGGCGAGAATACGCTCGAGGACAGGCAGGAAGATAATATCGAGAAGGCTAAAGAAGGGCAAGAAGAATATGAGTCATTGAATAACGTATAAAATGCATTTCACTTCAACTTTATAACTTTGGTACTCGTAATGTTTTCGATACCATCGCAGCAGCCCACAGTCCAAAGAGGAGACTGAGTGGGTGCAGCGCGTGCAAATGATACCCGAGTGGTATACTATCGTGAATTAGATCGTTGTGAATGAGATAAGCCATGTAAGCGACGAGGCAGAGACTAGAAGGGATGGGTAGTCCTTCAAAGTACTTTGATTTCCCACTGGCATCTTTAGGGAGATTGGCGATCGTTGCATTGAATCGAGCAAGCCTTGCTAGACCTGCGCAAACAAAGCCAATCAACATGATCATATCCACCTTGCTCCTCAGACCTATAGAGAAGGCGAGAAAGGCGGGTGCAACGCCGAAGCTGATAAGATCAGCCAGCGAATCTAATTCCTGACCGAGCATTGAAGATGACTTTCTCCAGCGAGCTACTTTGCCGTCTAAAGCGTCGAAAATGAAACCACACGCAGGGAGGAGAAGTGCAGCGTATAGAGGATGCTTATTGGAAGGATCGATGAGGTAGTGAGCAGATGAAAACAAGGAACTAACGCCACAGACGCCGTTCATGATTGTAAAGAGGTCAGCGAGGTGGAAGTTTCTAAGCGGAGTGAGTGGGCGGGAGAGAGAATGGACTAATTTACCAACCTCACAAGACTAAAATGACCTTGATGCTCTGTGAATTCCCTTAATTTAGATTTTGAAGGTGCCATTAAAGGTGGTATCGCGGTTGTAAGGAGTAGACAATCAGTGAGAAGAGTATCTATATGATACAAGATAAACAATTTTAAAATAAATATTTTATACCTTTTATGCGTTATTGCACCTTGAACACGTATAGTCATGGCTAGAGATAGGCTAGCTGCGTTGAGAGTAAGTTATACGCTTAAAAACGCGTATAAAGATCTAATCATCTAATAATCATCACAGGCTCAGCAAAACGCTGGCGGTGGAAGCTACGAGTAAGATTACTGCGTAGCGCACAGCACACTAAACTCACTCACCACCAGCCAATTCCAACAGCACTCATACTCCACGCCCCAATATGAGATGGACGATGTATCCTCTACCAAGAACATATCCACTATCGGTGATATGTCGTCGTTTTTCAACAAAATATCAGATATACAGTCGTCGTTAGCTGGTTTACAAGGAAATATTTCACAGATTGGCCAGCTACATAACCAGTCTTTGAATAACATGGATGAGAAGGCTCAAGATCGCGTTCACGCTGAACTTGAATCACTCGTCTCACACACCTCGAAGCTCACTAACAAGATAAAGACTGAAATTAAATCCCTCGAGAAGGAAAACGCGTCTGGTCAAGTCCCTACAAACGACATCAACGTTAGAAGAACTCAAATTGCGTCTGTAAAGGGTAAATTCTTAGAGACTATCCAAGATTATCAGAAAGTTGAGCAAACCTCACGCTCAAAGCAGAAACAAAGAATTGAGAGACAATACAGAATTGTTAAACCTGATGCTAACCCTGATGAGATTGAACAGGCTGTTGATAGCCCCGATAATCAGATATTCAGTCAGGCTCTTTTACAATCTAATAGATACGGTGATGCTAAATCTGCTTATAGAGAGGTTCAAGATAGGCACGAGGATATCAAAAAGATTGAGAGAACTCTGACCGAGTTGGCTCAGTTGTTCAACGACATGTCTATCCTCGTTGAGCAACAAGACGATACTCTACAAAACATCCACGCTTCTGCTGAAGAGACTAACAAAGATATGGAACTCGGTCTTCTCCAGACTGAAAGAGCTGTTAAATCCGCCAGAGCCGCTAGACGTAAAAGGTGGATCTGCTTCTGGATCACTATTGTCTCATGTGCGATTATTGCCGTCGTACTCGGTTGTGGTATTTACTTTGGAGGTGTGTGTTGATTACCTTATGATTTCTTGCTAACTTGCCTAATCAGCCGTCCGTCCTGCTCAGAGAAATGAAGGTCCTGTTGCGAGTGTCACTCAAGCTTAGACAGTTTTACACTCAGATTACACCATTTAATGGAACCTTCTACGACATTTCTTCCTGCTTTCATCTTTTTGGTAGTACCTCCTTAATTCTGTTTGTTTATTTAAACCCATACAATTCACTTCTGTTGTTTCCATTCATTGCCGCGTACTCTCATTTCTTTGAGTGTGTGTGTGTGAGCTATTTGAAGCTTTAAGTATTGTAAAGTGCATTTTCTCTGCTTTCTTTATTTGCTCTCACTCCCAACATCTTGCAAATATGCATTACTACAGTTGGTGCTGCGGGTTGAATGGCTATAGATAGAGCCTCATTAATTTTAAATGCTTCTGAAATACGCTTTCAAAAAGTTTCGTTTGATCAAGATGAGTAGATTAATAGAAATCATAATATAGACAAAAGCGTTACAACTATTAATAATCGTCGCCTATCTATACTTCTTGTGAATTGAAAGCTGACGATTGTAGTGACTAAAAGGGATGCGGTGCTTGGCATTTGTGCCGTGAATTGGGAGGTAACTACGTCGAGCTACCGGAGGCGCGCGGG